GGAGCCGAACTTAGACGGCAGCATACAACAAGAAAAGAAAGAAGCAGCATGAGTACGGCATTGCCTGCAACATGGCCCGCGCCGCTGCCCCGAAACCCGCTGTATAGGTTTGTCCCAAGACATCGACCCATATCCAAGGACTGTCCTGCATCGGTGGAACTCAGTCGCTGCTCCTAGGCGACGACTTTATCGATCGCTCTCCGGATTTAGCCTGGAGGATTAGCGGTTTGTACCGCGGCATCACGCCCATCAGCTTAATCAAAGAGTGGGGTAACCTGTTCACCTCGCCACCTTCGATTGCGCGACAGGCCATCCACAAGTTTGTCAGCTTTATTGAGACTCAGGCTACAGAGCTGATCTGGAAACCACGCTGTAACGCGACCATTACTTGGGAAATAGAGTGGGGAATCACAGCCAAGATGAAACGCGCATCATACAAGGGCCCTCGAGGAGACTGGAGTGAGGGCAATGGATACATTGCGACGCTGACCACTGTCCGTGTGGTGCGTTGCTCGCCGACCATGCAAACGGGAACTGCCCTGGCTTCGTGCTCGGCCCAGACGCAGCGGATCGGACGCTGCTGGATTGCCTGCGGAGGAGGAGGTGGTTGACAACCATGGCGGGGATGTGAAGATACCCTTTTTGTAACAAGGAGTTTTCAGCTTTTAACACACTGATGAGGTGTGGCAATTGTTGAGCAGGCCCTAGGGACAGGCTCGGGGAATATGTCCTGTCAACTGGCAACTGTGGATCTGATCTGCTTTGGAGGAGGGGACAACTGCAGTAGATCGTTGTTAGTTAGTCTGCTAGATTCGCAAAGTCAATTGACTCGAGAAGCAAATTGGTATAAAAAAATATGTTATTACTGCCTGGATGAAGCTCGCGCCGAAGACGCGGTTGTCGTCCTTATCTTCATTGCAAAGGGACAATTAAATTCAGTGTGAAGGAGGTATACTGTTGGAACCTTGCCGAATCCATTATCCATTACATATAATAATTGTAATAAAAAATAACGGGTTCGTCTGTCGTAAGGGCCTTCCTTCACTACTCCATAAAGATGTCAACAACTGCATTCTATCAATGCCTGCGCTATTTTGTTTTATATCCTTTGGTGGCGAAAGGTCAGCCGAAGTTCGGATTGATAACCGGTCCGCAAGGTCGGGAGCGACACTTTGCTTAAAATATACTATCAAAGATGGCTTATGTTTTTGACCCGCAACGGCTTTCTAGCGCTATGGAACAGGCCAGAAGATCAATCATTTCACTTTTTTATACGGTCATAGTGATAGTCAGTGCGTCCTGCACATGCGGTCCCTTTTGTTTAGCTATCTCTGACCCTGTTGTTGTGTCTCTTTGCGTGTACTTGAACGAGTTGTGGAGAAGTGCAACCTTCTTTTATGGAGCGCTTTTTTTTTTTAGATTGGCAAATGCATGAGCCACTCGTTTGGGCAAAGCGACAAGGAAGAAAGCGATAAGATTTATGAGACGCGTTAGTTCAAAGTAAAGTGTCGCGTTAGAATGGTAAATTCAGTCCCTATTACTAAATTATCTCAAATACCTATTCAGTCTGGCGTGCAATGCGGTACCGCACACGGTTCATGTATGCGCGTCTGGTTTGGTCTTGTACCGATGCGTGTGTTTGCTGAAGCGAACCGGGACGCGGATCAAATTGTCCCAGCCGCTAAAATAAGGTGCAGGCGCTGCTGCTAGACTAAGATGTACTGGTGATACTTACAACCTTAACGTCGCTGTCCACCCGATCGGGCGGTTAAATACGTCCTGTTCCTCATAGACTAACCACTCTTACTGTGACCAACGACGACCTGGGGTCAATTGAACGCATTCATCCTATATAACGCTGAGCCTGGCGCCCCGTTTGCAGTAGAGGAGAAGGAACGCTGCAGCAATTGAGAAGCAACCTGTTAAAGCGGACACCACCTATACATCCAACGAAATAGTCCACTCGCCGCTTCTTTATCAATCTCTCTCCTCTATCTGCCCTTCTCCAGAGGCCCCATTCTTTTGCTTTTGTTATAAAGGGCGCAGAGCGAAGACTATCCTTTCCCCGCTCGGTTTGCTTCCTTCTACTTTTTTCTGCTCTTACAGCCTGGGGCCTCACTGTTCCGTTACCAATTTTTTCAGCAGACAAATAACAAACCAGCCAACCACATCAAACAGACAGACAACCACCGCCAGGAGCAGCAACACCTTGTTTGTTCATCCTTCTTGCATCCTTCTCATTCCATCATTTCCTCTCCTCATTCCTTTTCATCCGACAACGCTGCCTCGCACCCTCCGCCTATCCATATTACAGGGGGAAAAAAAAAGCAAAGACATACTCGACCGTGCGAAGAAACTACGAGGTGAGTTTTTTTTTTTTTTTTTTGTTGAAAGCTGAAAGTTGGTAAACTAGCCGTACTGCATAGTGGGGTATCGGATGGCCAATGCGCACCGGAAGCCGATACAGGGCACGCACGGCATGGCAGAGACTCTCTGGTCCGAGAGGGGAGTCGGAGGTTTCGGCCAGGCACAGGATGATAGTTTCCAGCTAAAATAAATGCGTTCAATGTTCTCCACATGTAGGAAGCCACACGCTGCGATAATGCCGCCAGACCGCCGCACCTTTGCCTCCCCTCCACGGTCGCCTTTCTCCCTCTCCCTCTCCGCCTCGGCTGCCCACTCGGCAGCGAGGATACCGTCAGCACCAACTCATGCAGTGCCGTCAGCGCCCCTCTTAGCATCATCGGCGTCGAACCCGTCGCCGTCCTCTCATCAAGCCCTCTCCATTTCACATTCAATCCACCGCCCCGATCCGTCCATCTCGTCGTATCTCGCAGATCGACATGCCCAAGAAGCCATCTTCAGTAGCGTCCTCTCCAAGCGGCAGCTGTCGCGATTAGAACTCCAAAAGCGACATCAGCCCAGTCAGCGGCAGCTCAGGATTGCGCATCAAGAATTCCATCGCCAGCGCGAGCTGTATCAAAGACAGCAGCTCCAGCAGCAACAACAGCATCATCATCATCACCACCATCACCACCATATGAATCCTCAGTTCCCAGATGGTGCTTCCCCGCAACTGCAACAACAACATAATGGAACGAACTCTACTTCAGCATCTGGTCCCTCAAGTCTTGTTTCGTCCACATCTAGAGGATACACTTCAATCTCGTCAGCGCTTCCTTCCTCCTCCTTTTCGGCATCTATACCATTCAATCCTTCCTCTTCGCACCATCCACCCTCGCAGTCTTCCAGCCCACAGCCACTGCCTCTGCGTTTGCATCAGCATCCGGAGTGGGCTGTGGTCCGCAAAAAGGAACGCGCCCGATTGCTCTCCAACATGTCAACTATTCGCGAATCCCTTCCCATAGCGCCTCTCCCACAAAGCGTGGCCAAAGTCAACCTTGAGCGACTTTCTCAGCGACTGCAGCATCGACGGGCCCGTGCACGAGAGACTATTCTGTTTGATCTGCATCACGGTGTCAAGGCTATGGAGGCCCAGGTCCACAAGCAAGTCGAAATGGTCCTAAGTCGGCTCAAAGAAGCTCCAGGGTCGAGATATGCGTTTGCACTGAAGAACAGCTTCTTTTCACATATTCCAGTGTCGTTATCGAATTCGCTGCTGCCTGCGGGGTCGTACTCAGACTGCAGTGCTTCAACCCCGTCCCCATCGTCATCATCATCGTCGCCTATATCTTCGTCCACGTCTTCGTCCACGTCCTCATCCTCCTTATCACTGTCGTCTCTTTCGAGTGTCATGGAAATGGACGGTGACTTCCTAGTGGAAAAGGTGGAGGGTATCAAACGGGAGAGAGAAAGGGACAGAACGGCGACTGATACTCTGTCCAATCATTTCAATTCCATCGCTCTGGCTGGCCTTTCCGCAACACCAGAAAGTCAATCGTCCATTCCTACCGCGATATCTCGAGGAGTAGGAAGAGGGTCGCAGGAGGCTGGTCATGTCTCGATTTCGGGAGCGGGTGCTTCTGAAGTCCTCTCGGCCTCAATGCATACGAGGTACTCGACCGCTTGTTCCCAAGTACTCTCGGCAGCCCTGCCTTCGTTTATCCCGTCCATGGTCGCTCCCTTGGTCTGTGTATTTTCGTACCCAGTTCCTCCGTCGAACGCACAGCCTAATGGTGGCACGAGGCCCCATTCGCAACAAGAGCAACATCATGAGCAAGATAAAGACCTGGTGTTTCCTTGGGGACTTCCTGATCGCCCTCCACCACCAGCATCTGTTTACATGTCTCCACGCCAGAGGGAGCAGCTACAAGCAACGCCAATTTCGGAAATTGTGGTGTTGCATTCCAAATCCTGGACGCAAGCAGAGCGCGAGGCCCTTTACTTGGCCACAGCCCGATTTCGGCTGATGGGCCGATGGTCAAAAATACGAGAGATAATGAATCTGCATAGGACGGACCAAGAGATCGAGACCGAGTACATGAAGCTGTATGGACCGCGGGACGACATCGATGTTGTCGATGACGAGGACGAGGCTGAGGCTGAGCGTAGTTATAAGCGCGGGTACAGCAGTTATACCGAAAATGACAAGGAGAATGAGGATATAGGGACAATGAGGATGGGAGAGGACCGTTTCGGGAGCATGGATGGGGATGCAGACGATGAAGCCGAGGGCCCTATGTTTATAAAGTTTAGGGGTGCACGACGGGCTGCGTCCACCACGTCCTCGTCGCAAGAGAAACGAGGCCAGCAGGAACAGAACAACAGTAGGGTCTTCAAATCTGTATACGAGCACCAGCCGATTCTGGGTCCGCGTCCGCGCCCTGCAATCTTGAAGGAACCCATCCGGTTGCATAAGAAGGAGCTCATGATTGATAAGCAGTTCGCACTCGAAGAGATTCCTATGCGACTGTGAACAAGGCTCATCCAGCCTAATAGAAGGAGATAGAGGACATATACAGGTAGAAGATAGACACTTGTATATGGTGTACATAATAGTAGGAGCCCTCTAGCCTTCTGAACTGCACGGTGTGAAGATGATCTGCGTCTTTCATCCTTGGGGATGGAGACGATGTATAGTACAGGATTTCATTTAATTTTGAAGCGACAAATGCTTCAGTCCTCGCTCCTGGACTCGTCGTCTTCATTCTCATGATGCGTGTCCCTAATAGTCATCGTCCATCTCACCCTCTCCTTCATCCTCCGGCTCCTTGGGCTCCTGGTCTTCTCCAAACTGGATTGCATTGTCAACATGGGACAGAATTGCCGTAATTGAATCCTCGTCCTTGATGTTGAGTGGTAAGAACGCCACCATGTTAAAATCCTCTACGAGCTGACCGATGGCTTGGTTCAACTGATGGTACTTTGGACTTGTCTTTGCGTTCACATCCTCCAGCAATAGTAACGGGTCGGGGTTGTAGTACCTGTAAAGATATGAACCAGCAGGATGAGAATGGTCAGTTTTTTTTTTTTTTTTTTTTTTGGCTGTTAGGCTATAGAAACAATAACAGAAAATGAAAGAGAAGAGGGAGAAGGCGAGACGTACCGTTCCAATTCTGAAGCCTTCATCTTTGGCAAAAGGTCCATCTTACTCATGACATTGATATGAGGGATCTCCAAGTTGATCATTGCACTCATCGCACTCATCACTCCTGCAAAGAACTTGGACTTATCCTCCACAAATTGCTAATATACGCACGGCCAAAAGAAATAAAGACGTACGCATATGGATATCAGCAAATTCGTGGGACATGCTCCGAAAAATACAAGATATTGCAAAGCCTTACGGATTCCAACAGATAAACACCACAGATCGCAATGTTCAGTCGCGTCAAGGCCTCAACCAACCGTTTCATGATATCGAAATGGGTATAGAGCTCGATCTGACCGGGACAATCAATGATCAGGTAGTCATCCGTATACGAGCCGACTTCGTCCTCAAGCCAATCAATGTTGTTCATAAGAAACTCCATGCAATAGATCAGTCCGCCGTTGGGTCCATATTGCAGCTCTTCCATAACATCTTCCAGTGAAATCAAATCCTTGATATCTAAAAAGCACAAGGTTTGGGAAACATTGAGTTAGTGGACGATGAATATAGCGATGCGGCGGCCAAAGCTGTTTGGGTCACTGAGAAGGGGTGTGATTGCCCTTACCAATGGAGGGCTCATATTCGAATTTCTCTGCTGCTGGGTCCAGATTAACTAAATGGACGGGCCTTCCGATATTCTGGCAATGTGTCATAATAGTCGAGCAGTAGGTGGACTAGTGAAAAGAAGCGAGTAAGGAGGAGAAGAAGTGTCAATGATCCGCCTATCTTTGAAATACTTTTCGTCGCCCTCGCCATACATACGGTCCTCAGGCACGATGCCGAAGTCCATGCTTTCCTTGATAGACCTCTGCCCAGCACCTTACCTTTCCGCTTCCAGCGGGGCCCATGACCAGTTGACAGTAGCGACCCCTATGGTCAAGAAACAGGTTGAAAAAAAGAAAAGAAAAAAAAGGGCCATCAGTCCGTTGTTGCTGGCTGTGGCTGCATCTGATTGTCCATGGGGAGCAACGACCTCCTGTCTTACATTGTTATGAATGCAGCGTTACTTCAGAAGACGTGGTAATTCGAATCCAGAGTTTGCTCTCTTGGGGCTGTTATCGGCTGCTTTTGTCTCCTGCAGGGTCCTGAAGGTGTTTAGCAGCGGTGTGTCCTCAAGCACACTTTTTTATCCAGTCAACATTCAAGCCACAGCCACTGAAGAGATCATAATTTTTTGTATTTTAAACTACATGCAATATGCAGGAAAGAAAACTACTGAGGATCGTATGCGGAATCAACGAGAGACATAGGTGGAGGGTCCCCAGCCAGCTGGAAAGAAGCTCTTGTTACTTCCAGATAGATAGCTGAACACGGCCACAAATGCCAGAATAAAATGATATGCAAAGTAAAGTGATAATAAACCAATGATAAGCAAACAAGACACATCCATAAAATATCGACGCCTGTCTCGGACAGCCTAGGCTTGATGGTGGATACGGCTCGTATCCATGTAGGCATACTCGTCGACTTCCATCTCCTCCTCTGAAAAATCCGCACCAGACATCTTTGGATGCGAATGGGGTACCCCGGATGGAGCAGGTTCCGGACCGGGTCGCATAGTTGACCTCATCTTCAGTAGTAAATAATCCCACTTGCTTGCCATCGATCCCACAGATCGGTCTTTCAGATAGTGGTGCTGGATATCTGTCCACGATCTTCCAAATTTCTCGACACCTTGCTTCAGCTTTTCGACCTCTTCTTCCGTCCACGGTACATACTCCGACGGTCGCTTCGAGAGATGCGAAGCCAGCGGTGACATCTCTGACGATAGCTGGGTTGGGATCGGACTTGTGGGCAACGATCGTGCGTGGCTGCCACGTCGTGCGTCCAATTCTGCACCAGATGGGTCCATATCCACAGCCATGTCGTTCGGTGCGCTCAATGTGATGATTGCCGGTGACGAGTCTCTTAATCGGGGCCGGAGGTGTTCGTACTGTGACATGAGATACCATCGACGCTTGCACTGTTCCTTTGTCACCACCGGGTTCCTCCCCATGAGAGTCGATACTTTGACCCAATTGACCTTTTGCTGACTAGGAAAGTACTGGTGGATAATCTCCTCTAGTTGTCGTGTTAAGGGCTCGGTCCAGGTCATGGGTCGATTCCTTTCTGTCCAGGGCTCGAATCCAGAGTCTGCTGCCTGGTCCCCTCGCAGTGGACGGTGGTGTTGTTGTTGGTGGTGCTGATGATGTTGTTGTTGATGCTGTTGAGGGTGGTAGTGCTCTGGCTGGCCGGTCGACATGTAGAACGAATCTGTGGAGGATACAGAGAACCTTTTGGATGACGAGATCCCTTCCATGTGCTGTGCGGTAGAACAGACTGACGGCCCTATATTTGCTGCTTCCCGTCTCCAGAGAGGTGATAGTGATGTTTCCCTTGATGTGGGCTCATTGTGAGAGTAGTAGTCCGATTGCTGTCTGTCCATCATATCCCTGTTCCTGTCCGAGGGAGAACGCTGTGGCCCTTCTTGGTCGTCCCCGGTGGGCTGTGTGAGGACCCGGGGCCGGTATGGGCGATCCCGTTCTGTACTCTTTCTACAAGCTGGTCCTAGTCCTAGAGCCATTGGCTGGGATGCGGTCTTCCATCGCGGCGAGCGTGCGGGCGGTTTGGGCGCTGAGCCAGGCTGAATGCTTCCTTCACGTGCTTCGGACTGGTGCTTTTCGGACGGATACTGCTGTTCCGACTCACGAGCTTGCAAGAGATTCCACATGATGGAAATTCCGCCCTGGGAGCGCTCGGGCAGGTACTTTTCCTGGATCTTACTCCAGGCCGGTCCAAACTCTTCGTGTCCCTTTTTTAGTAGATTGATCTCCTCCTCTGTCCCAGCTCGGCGTCGCATTATCTCCCACTTGTTTTTACATTGTTTCCGAGTAAAGGTGTTACCCATTTGCGAGGCGACCCAAACCCAGTTGATACGATAGCCGTCTGGGAAACAATCCTCGATGAGGCTCTTCAGCTGTTCTGATTGCTGCGGCGTCCATACGCGCACTGTACGGGTAGGCTTACCATCGACCGTGGTGCTATCGGACCGACTTCGATTGCCGCTGTTCTTGCCACTTAGAAGACGCGAAACAGGGGAGGACTGCTCGGCATCCATCCTCAAGTCGTCGTTCTCATCGTTATGGTGGGCATCATCCAAATTCGAATGCGGGACACTGTGTATTCGGCGGGGCGATCGGTAGGAGTGTTCTGATGCTGATGGGTATGGAGAGTGGTGGAATCGGCTGCTGAAAGCCTCTAGGGACGACTGTGTGCTCAAGGTGGAGGTGGATGCGGTTGTGAGGACGGGGGTTGTATGGCCATGTACGTGTACGTGCGATGACTTGGTTCGTTGTTCTCCCTGTCTGTACTGGTTTTCGTCCTCAGAGTCCGGAAGTTCACCATAGAGACGCATGTATTCCTGTTCGATCTCGGCCACAGAGCGCTCCAGATGCATGTGATCCCTGACTTTTGCCCAACGGCCATAGAGATTGTGTCGTTCGACTGCGACGTAGAGTGCCTCCTGTTCTGCATTGGTCCAGGGACGTTTGTTGGTACCTTCAGATGGGGAAAGCGAGCGATGTGATTTAAAGGGTGGTTCGTGGCTGTGGGGGCCTGTGCTGGGATGATCGGGGTTCCAGGGAGCAGAGTGAGGAGGCGACATTGTTGAGGATGGGCGCTTTTTATACTGGAGTGCGGATAGGTTGGCTGTGGTAGGAGACACTGAAGGATCGATAGATTCGTTTGTGTCGCTCGATGTCATCGCAAGTGGGGAGGTAAAGATAAATAAAGGCGCGTTGTTGACCGAGAGGAAAAGATAAGTAGCCTTCGTACTGTAAAGCGATGCTTGTTAGAGCGTAAGGAATGTGGAGGGTCTTTGGGCTGGAGGCTAGGGATGACACGATATGCGCATGGGAATGAGATGCGTTAGATTCGATGCGTTAGATTCGATGCGTTGGGTATTTGTGTGTATGAGAGCTAATGAGGGAGAGAGAGTTGTGTGAGCCTGGGTCAAGCAAGGTGCAATCAGCATTGCTCGGAAGCGATCTCTGGTTGCACGTACGCTGACCCATGTTCATGCATATGCCTGTCGGCTCATGGTTACTTTACTTACGACTTTTGACATTATCAGCCAGCGAAAATTTGTGTCTCGGGCGGTTATCGGGGTACTCGCACTTGGATTCGCTCACCAGAGAGCCAGGAGTGAAGCAAAAGAAGAGTGTTCGACGGGCGCAGTGCAACGCGTTATCGAATCGAGCAGGGACAAGCAGGCGAGGACGGAGATGGAAGATAGGATATCAAGCTGCGGAAGAGAGTGCGTATGTGTGATCCGGCGCTTTTGGTGGATAATAAAGAAAAAGTGTGTAGAATGGACGCGTTTTGATAATAAAGTACAAGCTAAAATGAAAGAGTTCACAAGGCAAAGAAGCAGCTGGGGGGAATATAAACAAAGCAGTAGCTGTTGAAGAACAATGGACAGGCTAAGCAGAACTGAGAATTAATGGAAGGGAGGAAACAATGTGTTGCGATGTGCACGATAGTGATTTATCGGGGCTGTGTGTATGTGAGTGACAATGTTGTTTTCTTTGTTTAGGTTGTGTACCCTGCGCAGAAAGAAGGAAACGAACAAATAAAAGCGATCAGAAGAGATAGGCAAAGCAAAGAACAGAAAGAGCGGAAGTGAAGCGGAAGACGAAGAAAAAGGTGTAACAAGAGAAGTGGGCGAGCGTGATATCTATTTAAAAGGAAAAAAAAAAAAAAAAGCAATGGGGGGATAAACGAACGGTGGCTGTGGATGTAGATGTAAAAGAGAAAGAGAAGGAGAGAGAGAGAGAGCGAGAGAGAGAGAGAGGGAGCGGAAAGGATGGATGATTGAGTGGGCGTAAGGAATATGTGATGAATGACAATAGAGATAGTATACTAATAATAATATGGTGAAGCATAAGCTAAGTTGAAGTTGAAGTTGAAGTCGAGGAAGGAGAAGGCATAAAGAGAACAGCAGCAAATTGCAAAGTCAGAAATGTCACTATCGTTTGGCAATCTGAAGGGAAATGAAGAGGAACAGCAGCAATCGCAACAACAATAGCACAGGTACACAGGCACAGTTACGAAGAAAAGGACTAATGTGGGTGTGTATGAAGAAAAGTGTATTTTTAACAGGGCTGATGAGACAGGAAGGAATGTGTGGGCAGGTAGCCAATTGATGATATGCGGAAGTGTGTGTTGCTGTAAAATGAAATGCGATAATAAAGAGCGGTAATAATAATAATTATAGTGATAACAATAAAGCGGTGATGAGCCTTAAAAAACCCGACCCTTTGCTTTAAGAGCTATCGACGGAGTGAACGCTCTCGTTAGCGGGACTGAGCTGGGCTCGTTGGGGTGGAGTGATTGCCGGTGGGTGCTGAGACGAGGAGGGGATCTGAAGAACAGGAAGAAGAAGAAGAGGGCGAATTTGATGTTTGTAAAGCGATATCCGCGTTTGGGAAGAGGAGTGGATGTTGATTTTGGGTTTGCTCTTTGGGTGGAGACACAAAATCAAATTCAAAACGGACGAAGACTGTATTACTTTGGAAGTGACAGAGAGACAAGAAGCAGGGTGGGGGATCGGACGAGGAAAGGGTCGTGCAGGGAATGAAAGGAAGAAGGAAGACACGGGTAGTGGAGAAAAGGATGTAAAGTAGGAAACAGCGGTCGATGTAATGGTGGGGAGTAGAAGTGTGAGGGAGGCGGCGTGAGGAAGAGATGTGAAGGTGGTCAGTGCAATTGAAATATTCTTTTCAATACAATGGCCCAATAATGAATAAACAATATAAAGCGTTAATGAAGCGAAGTGGAATGAGAGAATGAGACAAAGAAGGAATGAGGAATGAGGAAAGTGCTGATCTTACAGTGGGAAGGAGTCAATCACGACGATATAGCAAAGAGTCGGCGGAGAAGGAAGAAGGAGGGGGAGAAGAAGAAGAAGAAGAAGAAGAAGGAAGAGGAAGGAAGAGAACAAAGGAAGAGGAAAGGAGTGAAGAAGAAATTGAAGGGCCAATTGACTCCTCCCATTGAATAGACGACAGTTCCGAGTTACGCACAGAAGGAACCCTTTTTGGTGTTCGAGTTCAGATACTGATGCCCAGTCTGGCACTTTGCCTGCCAATCCCGTCAATCCTCGGGTCTTCTGGTTGCCATTTGTATAAAGTAGTTGCCATTGCACGTGCAGACACAGAGAAGACAAACAAAAAGGCAAAGACAGCGCGATGTGATACTATATGATACCGACGATGATGATGGTTCTGGAGTACACCTGTTCTACCTGCGTCTGTCCGCTGCTGGTAGAGCAGCGACAGGGAGACAGAGAAACAGATCGAAGCCCCGCCCCCTCTCCAGTCTCCAATGACCGATGTGCTGCTGTGAAATGTATATTGGCTACTCGTAAAAAGAGAGCGTATACGATCTGTCCGTTGGACGGAAAGACACATGCATGCATACATAGACTACACACTTTCACACTTTCACAAACTACATTCGTAGGACTACTGTAGTCGACTGAACTCCGTTTATTTAATATTTCAGTGAACAAAGAGCGAAGAGGACGAACGGTGAATACCATGCTCCAGGTACGTCGTATTGTATGCACTGCACCACAAGAAGATACAATTCGGATATCCGCTACTCGATGTGTAGTCCTATTCGATATTCGGTTTTCGATGTTCGGGTGCGAGTACGCAAAGCACCAACCACCGGATCCCATCCAGCCCTTTCGCTTTTTCCCCTCAACTTACCCCTGCTTTTTCATTTTCCATGGATGGGATCAACTCCTTCGCTGCTTTCTTCCTGAGAACATCTTTCTTTTTTTTCCCCCTCTGGTGTATGTCTGTGAATCAACCTAAAGCCCGCGTGGGTGGAATCTGGGCTTTTGTCTTCTTGCAATTTCCTGCGCCGCTAGGAATAATATCCATAAACCTCGATTTGTTATTTTTTTACCGCGATCTACCAGCAGTAGCAGTAACAGCAGCAGCAGCAGCAGCAGCAGCAGCATTTCACTAAATCCGGCGCATGAACCAGTGTAATAAATTGTAGACTAGTATTCCGAATCTTCAGGGCTCTGCTTTTTTTTTTGTATTGTCATACATTCAACACTCTGCTTGTTCTCCTTGAGCGAACGATGTATAATGAATAGGTCGGCTGGGATTGCCTTGTTATTATCTTGTGGACACATGGAGGTCTATTGATAGAAAGCTAATCGTTTTTTTTAACGATTGTTTTTCTGATGTTGATGATCAATCCTGTTCTCGGACGTCTTACTGGAGGATGTGTTCCTGAATTGAACTATGATATGACTCTTACGAGCAATCCAGAGACCTCTTCTTTTTGTACTAGCGTATACCTTTATACACTTTTTTTATTTTCGTTGACTTTCTTTCATGCTTCGGTTCCCAACTAGCGTATTAGCGCAAGCCAGAAAGCACGCATGAAAGCAAGCATGAAAGCAAGATCGCAAGCAATATCGCAGGTAGGCAAAGGAAGCACTTGCGTATGCGCAGTTTCTTTATGCATCCTTTGTGTGGTCACTGCTTGTCCACGTCCTTCTGTCCCTCCTTGCCTTGTTCCTGTCTCATCTCAACCCAGTTCGAGCTTTGGTTGGTTATGCCCGCGTTGGCGTCAATTTGTCTCATTGATCTGTCATGCAATGCAACAAAAGGTTATGGAGCCCCGATGGCTTCATTCTCCTCGTATATCCGTGCGTTGAAGAAAAAGAAGTGATCAAACGGATAAGCGGGATAGTGAACAAGCGGTAGATTCTATTTTTTTAGGACATGCAGACATGAAATGGTGGTGCTTAGCCGAGGCTGTTGATGTTGTTGTTTGATCTGCATTGTTGTATGTACAGTACACATTGATGCTCATGCAATGTGCATGTATGCTACTCCGAGAAAATAGAAAAGTAAGCAAGCTGGTGGTGGTGGTACAGGGTCAACAAACACGAAACTTGGCACTTTTGAATTTTTTTTTTTGCACAGGCACATGCACCTACACAGGTAATAATATATTATAATGCCTACCTCCCAGGTAGCCCTCGACGCGTTCCTGAAAATAAAATATTTTTAGCGCGTCGAATGTCCGTACTACGGCAGACTATATTCCAGTTCAACCGAATTGATTCATTTCAGTCCAATCCGATCCAATTCAATTCAATCCAACAGAAATCGAATCGCGCTTTGTCCGGGTGTGTCTGACACATGTCCATACAGAATGCGCCGAATTGTCACATGAGTCTACTTGAGAAAAAGAAAAGCGCGTCTGTCCATGCCACTCACACACCCACACATCCATACACACAGCGAAAAGCCCTTGCAGCATTATCCTTTTATTATTCCTTATGCTTAATACTTTTATTCATTTTGACTGGCCTTGGCTTTTCTTATTTAATGTCTTCACACGGTTGCTCTCTTTGAATGGCAGAAACATATTTTATGCGCATACACATTTAATATTCGTTATTCATATTAGTACCTCTATCTATTTTACATTGACACTCTACATTTGCCATGTAGACCAATGCCGCGTCCTTCCTCGATCGGACCATGCTCATTATCATTTTCATCATCATTACCACCATCACTATTATCATTATCATTAGCTTGCTTGGTCACTACTAATCCCTTTTTAGTCTTTTCTAATGAACACGCTGAGAGCGACCAAGAACAAGAGCATTGGAAAGGAGGGGCGCGAACCCATTACATTCTGTAATCCGTAAGAGCGCCCTCAATTTGCGCACGAGACAGGGGCTGAAGAACTCAGTTCTATCCAACCCGGTCCGACTTGACTTTTGGTTTTGCACTTGCTCTCAACCAATCGCGGCGGACGTTCACCTCTTCCTCCAGGGACAATTTTGTCTTTGCTTTCCCAACCCAACGGCTTCCTATTTCACCCATCTCCCCATCGCTCTGTCCCTGTATGTCTCTGCGTGTCCCTGTTCCTGAGACGAAGGCCAAGCAGACACCTAAATTTATGCCTCGGCTTCATTGATTGAAACGCAATGGATTGTTGACAACGGGGACCAAAACCGTTTCCCTACCTGGTCGTCTTCCGATCACTTGGGAGGGAAAGGCAGGACCTTGGCGAAGAACAGACTGCCATGTGGGCTTACTGGCTGCCTACAATATATCCATCTACACACCCATTTAGAAGCCAGGCAAGCATATGTCGTAGATCATGATTACCGCTGTTGCTGGGAGGGGGTTTTTTCCCCTCTCTTTCATATGATGACAGGATACGCTTCCTAAGCTGCTTTCCTTATGTATTTGATCTTTTTTCGCCTTTTTTCTTCTTCATGACAGCTCAGCTACTGTAGGTAATAGTGTATTGTTTTTGGCTTGGGGCTCCTTTTCGTTCTCACAAGCCAGGCCAATACCCATGTGCCTTTTGCCTTTTGCCTTTTGCCTTTTGCCTTTTGCCTTTTTTTTTTTTTTTTTTTTTCAAGCGTCTTCGGTCGGGCTCCAAGGAGAGGGCGGTGAGGAATGCAGTAGTCATGTACTGTAGACAGCCAAAAATGTACACAAATGCACGAAAACTTCATACAGTATCTTCTTTATTGTTGTTGTCATTGTACCGTTAGAAGCCTTCCTATTCGCGTTCACTTGTCTACTTGTAGAAAATGATTAAATGAGGGAAAAAATAAACAGCAACAACCGGTTTTTACGCATTCCTTGAGTAAGATTCTATCCACGTAGGTACCTACATTGCACATATAAAACTTTGAAATATCTTTGTGTTGCTGGTTTATGCGTAGCGTTTTCTTCGGGACCCCTTTAAAAGTTCTAAGCGCCGCCTGCGCCTGTGCTGATGTGCAACTGAAAACGAAAAGAGCGTCATGAACATGTTCGCCACGCCACTGCACATTTTTTACTTTTTATTAGTTTCACATTTTGAATGACAAGAACAAAGAAGTGGGCCAGATGGTTCGACGAGGACCTTCATTCACCTTTCGATCTTTTGATCTTTCGGACCACATGCGAGCTGGAAAAAAAAAAAAAGAATTCAGGTTATTATCGATAAAGAATGCGGACGAAAGATGCAATCCATTGGCTATCCAAAGATGTGTTACATATCATTCCTGTGTGTGCGTACCTCGATACTTTTTAAATGTTCCATGCGACATTGAAGGAATGTTAGACTACTCTGTCATGCAATGGCTGTCGGTAAATAGTCCATTTGTCTGCTTACCCGCTCGACTGGCTGCCTGTGGTGGAAGCAACAACGAACTACCTAACCGAGGCCTGTGTGCGTATTTGTTTGCAGTTGTAGTTTGCCGCCGTATTGTTAGCATAGTGATGTCTGTGTATCTTCGCAGGTGCCTGCTGCAATTGTATGCATGCACATGCACCGACTGAATTGAATATTGCATGTAAAAATAAGTTAATTCGAAGGCATATGTTGCATGAATAAAATAATGGTTCTATGTACAGTATGTAAGAATTCATCCATCCTCGACTCAAGGATTACCCCTTCTTTTTGCACCGTGATCGGAAGAGAGCGAGGAACTCGAAGAACAGCTATGGGCTGGGCTTGTATGTCCTGGACTATGTATTGCAGACAACAGCACAGGGCTCTCATCGCATACATATCATTCCTTTTGTTCTTCTTTAGTCTCACAAAGTTAATGGCACGTTCAGCTATCATCTCCGTCTATCGCGCCTTAAAGACCTGTATACAATACAGAGATGGAATGTTACACAGGTATGTCTCTCGTATGTAAATCTTGATATGCGCCGCTCCAATGGGCGCTTCTTTTAACTATTGAAGGGCAGAGCTAGGCATTTTCTGATCAGCGTTGTGGTCCCATCGCGCTGGAGGTCGGCCTTGAGGTCTAATTTATGTACTGAGTCATATGCTGATGACCAATGGCCGCCACAGCCTGGGTTGGGGCAGATGAGCGAGCGGCCCTGAGCTGGACTCTCTAGTGGCATCTGCAGCATGCCAGCATCCCCTCGTCGGCGGCCTATATGCACAACGGTATTTGTAGCAGTAGGATATCAGAGACAAACACATATTATACTACCTTCATCAATGCGAGTAAAATGTTCTGCAGTTTCCTACGTACCTGAGCCTGGAGTCTTGGTATGACCTTGTTCGACTTGACCGGTTCTCCATTCATGTCTTTGAAGTCGCCATCATCGATGACGACCATAGGCCGTTGATGCTCGCCAATCCCTATGCAGCTTTCTGTGACGTTAACTTTCAAATATGCCATCCTTTGGACAAAGATAGGCCTCAGGACTTTTCTGGTGTGAACGACTATGGCAGTACTCTTTATATTTGGGTCGATAGCAAGCACGACGTGGGTTCCCTGACCGTCAAACTAATCCCTCCAATAGTGCATCGGAACTCGGGATCGCCTCGGTCAGGTACTTCAGCTTGGACCTCGTGGTCTCGGCTGAGGTCTTGCTAGTGCCTGCAATGTCCTCCTAATCGCCATTATTCGATTCCAACGGCTTTGTGGAGCAGAAGGCGCTGCTCTGGAAAGCGTTTTCGTTGCTGCCCTTGCCTTCTTCCAGCATTGAGTCAGACTGTAAGCGTGAGTCTTAAGCTGGCCCATCGGTTTGCAGAGTGCCAACGAGCACGTACCCCCCCCCGCCCGAGTGGTACTACCCATGACCAAGATACTTTCTTTACTTGCTGTCTTGACACCATCCTTGGTCCTTTTGTGTTCTGGTGTGGACGAAAACTGAGTCATAAATGTGTCGAGCTGACCAAAGAATCAAAATCGAGCTCATGCAGTAAGGACTTGTTATTAGGAAATACCACCCAAGCGTGTCGATTGTAGCTGGTTTTCTTGCCATTGAAAAATAGTAAAAAACTTTTCCGGATGGGCTTGAGTCATTGCCTGGACCGCTTTGGTTCCTCCGAATGTTCTGGTCAGTTTGTTCCTGGTTTCCTTGTCTGGTCTTCTGGCCCTTAAAACAGCTTCTATGGTTCTATCAGTTGGTTTTTGCTGCTCAAGCAGAAGTTGTCCTCGTAGGCTGGCATCGGGAGATACATGGGGCGGTTTGAGGACGGCAACACGATATCGAAGATCCAAAACACGGACACCAGATTATGGACTGAAAACTCGCCGTGGTCGTCGATCGTGCTCAATAGAGCCGCCCCTTCCTGAGTCACTGTCCCTTCTGGACTCCAGATGTTAATCCGTGCAAAGACAAAGTATATCAGATCAAAGGGCTTTGATAAATGAAAAATTCAAGAATGCTCAGATTGGATGGTACAATCGCGACAGAGGACAGAGACATAAACAGAGCGCTTGCCCTTTTCTTCAACTCGGAAACAAATGCCCAGAGGCGGTGCCCGATCATATCCCCCGGTGTCTGACTAACTTGTTCAAGAAACTGAGGCGGGATCATGCCGTCGACCTACCACCTCCCTCTCTGAACCATAGCGTCCTTATTCCCAAGCATTGCCTTGAAGGATTCGAGTGTCGCTAACGCTGAGTCAAAAATCAGTACTGCATCCCTTTTACGAGCGTTCTGAAATATCCATGGATTTATCGCGGCGGGTTCGAATACTCTTTGGTTGATATATTCTTACTATAGCAATTGAATATTGCCAGGCTTCCGTATCTGATCCAACCCATGTAGAGCTTGACAAGATCCTGAATAATCGATTCGATGTGCTGACTCGCTTCAAGGTAGTCACCCGTGCCGTAATTCTGCTGGAGTCCGCGTTGAAGGCGACGATCAATTGGTCCAGTGTTCATCATTACTGCCGTGAAATTACTGTTTACCATGTTCCTGATCATATTTCCATCGTATCACTTTTCTCTTCTTATGAGTGTTTTTGAGTTCTTATCCTCTTGCTGCCGAATTTCTTGGAGCGGTGTTTTTTCTTTACGGGGTCTCTTGGACTGGTTCTTGCCCTTGCCTTTATTCCTGGAGCTAACTTTCCGTTTCTTGCTCTTGATGGGATCTGATTCAATCGACCGTCTCGGCTGGTGCAAACCTTTATGCTGGTCACATTTGTCTCGCAGCAACCACTTACTCTTGGAGGAATATAATGATACTGTCCACGGTCTCCATTTTCTCGTCAATTGGGTCACTGCTTTTAGACGCCTCTTCCGAGGTCTCGGCCTTGTGGAAGAAAACTTGCTTGGGCAACTCGAGTATCTCGCTGCTTACTGCTATCTGGCTGCAATACTGATCCAGGACGCCTTGCTTGTCATCTGAACCAGATCCGTGCAGCACGGCGAGGCCCTTTGCGAACGACCGGCCTGTCACACGACCCATGTAGTCGTTGTTTGTGACGAAGCCGACGACAATCCACTAGGGTTCGCTGACCTCCAGCTTCTAAATCACATCCTCCGCAATGTACGATGTAAAGATGTGGTTACGGGGATCCTTTCTTAGAAGAGCATCTTCACCTCATAGAAGAGCATATCTAAGCCAACCGAGACAACCACATCCTGACCATGACGATGCTCAGGACTATAGATGGGAGCGATTGGAAAAAGGTGATTTGAGAAAAGAGTGCAGTAATTTAGGGCCAAGTTGCACAGCGACTGGTGCTCACGCGTTTCCTTTCCACGCAAGCCCAATCAAGGCATGGCGAAAGCGTGCAGCAGGCCAGCACGAATAATATGCATTGTAGCCATTCAGCCAGCGATTTGGTCAAGAGTACTCAGAGTTAGTGAAACAGCATTGGAGCCGACGGAAAGAATAGCATTTTGGGCAAGTAAAAATGAAAGAAAGCTGCTCAAAGAGATGCCACTAGGTTGTTCGGGCAGGGTCCACCCAGCATGGTTTTTCAAGAAGAAAGAAGAGCGCCGGGGTTCAAAGACCAGCTACTGTTATATAAAAGGACTGCTTATGTACGTCTATAGTCAAAATGAACTTACTTTTATTCTATGAGGATTATCGTCGAGTTCATCCAGGTCTACCTCGAACTCCTCCGACACTTCGTCGTGCCCATCTTCGGTCTCTGTGTTATTGTCCTCAGCATTTCTCTCAAACCCCAAGGGTTAACCTGAGCGCTAATTGAGATGGATACGGGCCTTGATGATATACCTTGAATTGCCTATCTCGCCAGCTTGTACACTGAGCTGACATACAAAGTTCCGTCATCTTAATGACCGACAATTGAGATGACAACTATAGCTTAAAGAGAAAGTTCTTGACGCCAACCTAACGTAAAAACTGACACCGAACAAGAAAACTCAGCCAAAGAGACAAAAAATAATGAACAGACAATGAGATCAGGACAAATCATGTTTTCGTGTAGATTGTAGGGCGGTGACAGTAAGGGGTGTGCGCGAAAAACTGAACTATAAGGTCAAATAGTGGGTCGGGAAAGAAGGATTGGGGAGTCGAGATGTGGACAACGAGTCCCCAGTAAGGGTCTCCATGGTTTTCATAAGAGTATACGGAGCCAATTCTATTACTTCTTGTTCTGGGTTTGGTTTCTTGCTTTTTTTTTCACGTAGAGCATTCTAACTATGGCTGGTTGGGCTGTATATAGTAACTGCAAGGAGCCGAACTCGGCTGATCTGATTCTTAAGCAAACGTCTATGAGCAAAAAGAACTGGGTCGAAATTAAGTGTTTGCGAAGCCAGTGAGAGCGATAGTGTTACAAACTGCAGTAGCAATCGTCATTTGTCAGTGCTGTTGGACTTGCTGCGTTGGTGTTCTCGTCCTTCATAGCGCTGCCGCTGTCATTCCCGAGACTTTGGCGGTCTGGACACCACCCTCTACCTTCACCGCCTCATTCCCCATCGCAATCTCAAATCCAACAGCCTCCAATCCACTCGGTACCTTCGTTTGCGCTTCCAGCGACGCCTCCCTCGCACGTTCCTCTGCAACGTTGACAATGTCCATCACATCCGTTGCCTTAGCTGCATCTCCTGCCAACAATAGCTCGATATCTTGCTGCTCCTCCTGCAAATGAACGGCACCATCATCCATGTCACTCGTGGTAACGCCTGCCTTGGATGGCAACTCCGATTTCGCCACATCCTCATCGTCATCGCCTACCGATGCCACATTAATAACCGCCTCGTCCTCCGCAGCATGTCTGTGTTGTTGAGGAGGATACCTCGCTTGCTCAGATTGGAGTCCATCATCCTCCCTCGTCAGATCCACCTCGGTCGGATCCCTCGGCGCCCGGTACGACTGCGGCATCGGCTGTCTCGATCCTCTGTGGAGCTCGGCTGAGACATGTGCTCTTCTTTCATCCGACGTCAACGGTTCTGGAGCCATATGCACGTCTCTCGATGACTTATACTTCAAGCCCACTGAGGGTAGCTGACGTGGGGTGTGCCCTGCTGATGAAGCGGATATGGATGGCCGACTGGAGTGGTGGCGGGCCCTTCTCTGATCGTCCGTGTGGTACTGGTAGATAAACGGATGAGGATCAAACCGCACGCCCTCATAAATGTCATCGTCCATGTCTTCATAGGGGCTGACGAGCAATGGGATTCGGATCTGGGCTCGAAGGGCATCCCACCGACGGCCTTGCCTTGCCACAGCTGCTGCCAGACGCGCCATGTCGCGACCTTCCCATCGACCAGCAGCCCAGTCCATGTCGTCCTCCATCACATAATCGATATAGCCAGAGTCCCGCTCATGATCCTGACGTTGGCGTTGTGAAGAGTGAGTACTTCGACGGTTGATGTAGTAGTCCTGATCGTTGTTACTATAGTCGTAGCTCAGCCGGGATTCACGGCCCGTGCGGTTGTTGCTGGTTCGACCCTCCGCCGGATAATCGTAGTTACGATAGCCATCTTCACCCTCCAATGGTATTTTCTCGCTGTGGCCATGCTCTCTTGCAAGGGATGTTCCCACGGTGCCCTGCTCAGAACTGCGTCCTACTGGTGAGCTGCGCTGCTTTGAGAGACGAGGTTTGTGCGGTACCTCTTTGTTTGGGTCCACCATCGGTTCCTCTGCCCGAGAATAGGAATGCGCTCGACCGGCATGCTCGTCGCCTTGTGTTTCCAAGTATGGATGGTTCGGATTGTAATGGTTTCGATAAGAGGACAATACTGAAGAAGAACGGTAGCGAGATTGCGCATTAGCATCAAATGTGTGTCCATAATCGATGTTGTGTCCGTTTCGCTTCTCATCCGACCATCGATGAAGCTCACCTGTCGATGTGGGTCGATTGTGGTGCTCTTCGTACGTATGTGGCTCTCCTGGGTCTCTCCCACTCTTTGATAGGTTGTCCCGCTCGTCCGCTGCCCCAGTAATGTCCGCTCCCCGGTCAAAGTTACGCGCTGCTTCATACGAGTTTCCATATGCACGTGCCTCGTCCTGAGTGTATGCGACAGGTGAGCTTGGTCGGCTCGGTGTCTCGCTATCCGGAACAGCCAAAGTCGCAGCTACAGCCGTGGCTACGTCCTCGCCTTGGCTGTGGTGACGACGGCGTCTTGAAGTTGTAGAGTGCATCTCATGACGATGTCGCTCAAAATCTCTGTCGTAGACATGGTCATCGCCGTACGCGGAGGAGTGGCCTCTGTAATCGTATGCGTATCCGGAATCTGGAGGGGGCAATGAGTCCTCGGTATTGATCCTCCTGCGTTTGCCTCCGGCGTCATAGTACCGGTCGTATTCCATTTCCACAATGCGCGCATCCATAGGGTCCACAGTGTTGTAGTCGTATCGTTTCAACTCGGTGCCATCCTTTTTGAACCGTTTAGCGCTATCTGCATGGGGATCGTTGTACATGTGTCGTTCCTCGGGTCCCCGACGTCTATATCCTGTGGACCGGGACTCGTTTGAGGCGATCTCTGGATCCAAATCGAGGTCCATGCTCGCACCGCCCTTGCTACTGTCGTTCAGCATCTTATTATTCTTGAGGTGCCTCCTCCATTTGGACATGCACTGAGTCTGCGAGTATCCCCGGCTCTGCATCTTTTCCCCAATCACGCTCCAGACCACATTGCCAACAGGGAACTCCTTTTCAATCAAACGATACATGTACTGACTGTCCTCTTCCTTCCACTCGATGTGCTTCTGGTGCTCGCCTGTACGGGTAGGACGTGGTGACGACCCTCGGTCTTCGATTACGCCCAGCCTCTCATCGTCGTCCATTCTTTCTTTGCTCAGCCCTTCGGAATGCATCCGCTGTGAGGTCAGATCGTTGGTATTGGGTTGGGACGGACGTGATTCGATATGGAGTCTCTCCTGTCCAGCAATTGATCCTTGCCTAGATACGGTCTGATCACCACCCTGGAGTCCTTCCTCGTCCGAAAGCGCGTGCTTCTCATTCCTTCCGTCTGCTATGCCGTTGGTCTCTAGATCGATCGAAGCCTGATCAATGCTTTGCCGGTGTTTGTTGCGAGACGAGGGCTGACTGGTACTGACGAGGTGATTGGAGTTCATACTGGCCTGATTTCGATGTTGTACACGCCACCACCGAGATTTGCACTGTGTCCGATCATATCCACGTCCGGCCATCTGCTGGGATACCCAGGCCCAGTCCACCTTGCGTGATGCGAACTTGGACTCAATCAAGTGCACGAGGTAGTCGCTATCCTCCGGCTTCCACTCAATCTTGCCAAAGTTGGTGGGTGTCGCGGCAATGGCTGAGAGCGAGCGCTCATCCTGTACCTCGTCTCGTGGCTGATTTGAGCTTGACTGTCGGCGATGTTGTAAATATTCACGGCTCTGGTAGTCTTGAGAGTACCGTTTAGCACCCATGTTGTGGTTCTGGTATCCGCCATTGTCATCGTCCGACCAGAGTTCATCCTCCTCAATCGCGCTACGCTCAGTCGTGTGTCGATTGGCGGAGTAGGATGCAGAGGGTCGATGGGTGGGTGGAGGTGGAGGTGGTGCTGATGAGGATGTGTAGCTGTCCCTTCCGTAATGGTAGTTGCCGCTGCCTTGTTGACTATGCGAGGTATAGGACGCATAGAGACGTGAGCCATAGGAATCAGAATAATCGGATCCTTCTGATGGTCGCTCATACTCTTGACGGTGCTGCCACTTTGGCTCCCGTCTGGAATCGTCCGTCATGCCGCCGCGCTGATCTGTTGGTTCGTCTTCATCTTCCTCTATCAGCTCATCTGGTTCATGGTCACGGTGCTGGTCCTTGTATTCCTTATCCTTTATGGGTGCATCGTTGCCGTGAAGAATCTTTGTCCGCATGCGCTTCCATTTGGATCGACACTGGCTCTTGCTGAAGCCCCTGCTGACCATCTGCTGCCCGACCCAATCCCAAATGATGTTGCCCTTGGGGAACTGAGTCTCGATTAATTGAGAGAGGTACTGAGCATCTTCGTCCTTCCAGTCCGTCTTGCTCACGATGCTGCGTCCGGAGGCAAGTGCGTTGGCAACCTCATTGTCAACTTCCGAGGATGTGCTTCTAGTAAGATGACCGAGAGTCTTGGTCTTTGTCACAGCGACGTGTTTGTTGGAGAGCATTGATGGCAGCTGATGGACTGAGGTGGATGATGATGTCGAGCTGGATGATGAGTGGGTCTTGTTCTCTACTGCAGTTGAGGTGCGGGGCTGGTAGGGTCGCGAGGATGAGGACGAGGGATCGGTTGATGTTGGCACGGTAGTAGTGGCGGTGGTGTTGGGCGATAAGCGGCGGGCGATCTTTTCGATGGTCGGATCACGGTCGTGTGGGTCTCTCTGATCTTGGTGATCATGCTGGTGATCTGGCGGCGGGCGTGAGTGTTTTGAGGACGAAGATGGGGGTGGTGAAGGAAGACTGGAGCGCACTGCTGATCCGGCGTCTGGGCCCGAGGACTTGTTGGGTGGTGTGGCGGGCGGCGAAGAGGAGGAATCGAGATTAGGGGTGCCTGCGGTAGTCGAGATGTCCCTGGGATTAGCGCCTACGGCTATTGATGGCGCAATTGACATGGTTGGATGGATATATGGGTGTCAAGTATTAGGAGTCGGATGAACACAAGGAGGAACCGGCCTCCGCTGGCTTTTGTGATATTCCTACTGTAAAATGAAATGTCGTGGTTCGATTAGTAAGGGGACAATCCCCAGCCAGCCTGCACAGCAAAGTGAACAAAGGAAGGAGAGAAGGAGGATGGAGATAGGGGGGATGATTTGCAGAGGGGCAATAGGGCAATGGGGTAATGGGGCGCTGTGTATGCGTGTTATGTTATGTTGCGTATGTATGTGTTATTTTGTTGTTGCACGCGTCAAGACGTTGAAATGCAATTAAGAAACGCGCTTGTCCCCCCTTTCCCCTGTGCCTGTGCCTGTGCCTGTGCCTGGAGAAGTAATTATCTCCTGTCCCTTTGAGCTGTGCATTAAATGCTGCATACAGATCGATGAGGTTGTGGTATTCCATCCAGGACACACAAATACATACGCACACAATGTTCAGCGCTAAAAAAACAACAACGAAAACGCGAGGACACGAAACAGTTGGGGGCTACTCCGCGAGAGAGCAAGAAGAAAGGGGGAAGACAGAAGAGGTAGAGAGGGCGCAATGCGGGTAGTGATGATAACCCAAAAGGATAAAGTACGATGGATAGATTGTGTGTGAGTAAATAAGTATGCATATGTGTAAGTGTGCATGTATGTAAGAGAGAGAGAGAGAGAGAGAGAGAGAGAGAGAGAGAGAGAGAGAGAGAGAGAGAGAGAGAGAGAGAGAGAGAGAGAGAGAGAGAGAGAAAGAGGGCGGGGAAGGAACAAAAAAAGGCTAGGGGATGATGATGGACGGACAGGGCAGGGTGAGCCGGAGGGGAGGGGAAAAGTGAAGAATATGAGCAGCAATTGACAGCTGGGTTATCCACGGAGGCCAACTGCAGCGGAGTGTGTGTGTATCAACTGGGAAGAGACAGTCTCAATGAGATAGGAAGAGCATGGCATGCCCATGCCTTGGTTGTCTTAGTCGCGGTGAAGAAGGTTCTCTTTTTTTTTTTTTTTTTTTTTTTTTGGTGGCGTCCGAGGAGCGAGAGTAAAAAGAGGAGAAAGGAAGGTCCTTACGTCTGTCAAGTACGGGCCGGGAGAGAGTGGGGAGATGAGGGATGACGAGGGATGGGGAGCGATGATTGGTTGATTGAGCGATGGGTGGTTGAGGGGTTGAGGGGTTGAGTGGTTGAATGATGAAAGATGTAAAGCGTGTACGTGGGATGAATGAGAGTGATGAGATGGGACAGAGGAGGAGGCGGGGGAGGTAGGGAGGTAGGGGAGGGGAAGTGGACAGGGTAAAAGGGAACAAGAAGAACAGGAAGAGAAGAGCGGTCTGTCTGGAGTGGGGGATACCGAGTCCGAGTACCGAGTGACGGGTGACGGGTGACGGGGAACTGAGGAGGAACTTGTCCGGGTCCTAGTCAGGTCAGGCCAGGCCAGGCCAAGTAGTCCGAGTGGATAGTGGTTTGGATATTCAGTGCTGTCTGTCGATGGCAATGATGACGGGTACTCAGTTCTGCCTACAGCAGACTACAGAAGCGGGTATGGTTCGATTGAAGAGAGAGTGAGAGAGAGCCTGCGAAAGTGACGGGTGATACTGATACTGATGATGATGATGATTGTGGTGATCATGATGATTATGATTACAGACAAACGAGCCCAATCCTTTTCTTTTTTTTTCACTCGACGCCCTACACAGCTCCATTCATTTTGCCACTAGACCATGGGGTAGTGTGCACATGTGTTTGTCCTCCAAGGACTACTTTCTTTCTTGCTCCATCCAGATATGCGACGAAAGAGAAGGTGCTTCATATCCCTGGTACCCGAGATTATTGGAATAGCACGAAGAAACCACTCCTGATGGTGTGCTCTCATGAGCCCGGTTTCAGACCCAAGATCCACGTCCACACCCACACCCACACCCATACCCGCATCCCCAGTTTCCCTTGTCTTCATTGATGACAATTAGTAGTGACAGAAATGATGGTGATTGTTATTAACTGTTCTTGTATACATTGGTACCATTGACACCATTGGACCAGTCGAGATCAATGCACCTGCATCTCTCTTCCTACCTGTCTATGTTCATACTCATGTCGACGGCTCTTTTTTTTTTTCTATTGCAAAACCCATTGTAATGCTCTCTCGTGCTCTTGAGGGATCGGACTAGGACCAAAGCGGACCGGTCTGGTTGCTCACTTCCAAAGCGTCCGCTCCTTACCTTTGTTTCGCTGTGCCCGTCCCTTTTTGTCCGTTGTTGTCCCCTCTGTTCCTGAACGTTGTTCCTGAGTTTTTTCCTTGTGACTTTGCACTTGCGAAAAAAGTTCTATAGTCGGTCATATCAAAGCACTGACTCTCACTGAATCCGCTCTGCTGATGGATCCGTACACGTAGTAAGCAGTAACCACAGGAGAAATACAATAAAAGGTGATGCACTGTGATTGAATGGGCGCAGTTCACGTTGTAAATCCACTGAAATTCCCATCGACATTGTTATCACAGATGGAGCAAATGTCCCAAACAGACCCCGCCATTGTACTGTAGGAAAAAAAAGTGAAAAAAGTGCTGCGTGAGAAGAACTGAGCAAAATACGCCCTGCGATGTACCCATGGACTATGTTTCTCGACAGGATGACCTTTTCCGGTTCCGTAGGACACAAAGCAGCAGCAGCAGCAGCAGCAGCAGTGGCGAGTGGCTTGATACGCGCCATAGACCATATGTGGTGTCATGCTTAATTGCATTAACCTAGTGCTCTGTGCTCTTTTTCGTTTTTTTTAAGAGTGGTTTACACGGGGTTCGAGACAAGCCAGAAGAGAATGAAGGGCAGCACAGCATTGTTTGCCTTAGGACTTAAGATGCAATTATATCGATGTTTGAGAAGGAAGACAGGGAATCATGGGCACATTTTCTTTCCCTTTTTTTTTGTCTGTTGATTTGACTGTTGACTTGTTTGCAGAAGAGGGCACAAAAGAGAATAAGAAGAGCGCCAAGGAGCATAAAGCAATGTCTGTGGACCGTTATGTAATAACAGATGGTCCAGAATGTTGCTGCGTCTAGGACTGCGCGCAACGGTGCCTTGTGGATTGTCGGCCCAATAATTTCCCGGAGACGCGTCAGTGCTTTATAATAATAAGTGATCGAGCTGTACCATAAAAGGAAATCGGGCCTAATCTGATCGTTTCATTTATTTCAAACGGGTCCTTTGCTCTCAGGGCTCCCTACTTTCTCCACGCCATGGGAATCATTAGGCTACGACTAGATAGGACTATTTACATTTTTGTATTCGTCGGCCTTTTTTTTTTTTTTTTTTTTTGACCCTCCCACGTTTTATTAAACAGCTCCTTCCTGTGGAATGAGGGTCGCTTTGAAGCAGACGATTTTATTTTTTATTTTTTATTTTTGTTCAGGGAGCATGGATAGAGGTAGAGTAACGGAGCAGAAGAGGATGCCGCGAGACGGAGAAGAAGAATGGAGTAGCTTGGTTGCTTTGGTGGTTTGTTTGTTTGTCGGACAAGTAGGATGTCATGCCCCAATTGCACAGTGGTCTTTGCATACACCAACGTGTGTCTGTGGTGGCCGGGCCAAGAAAAAGAAAAAAGGAAAGACGAGAGCCAAGGAGCCTAAAATAGCCATTCATTTGGAGCGAATTGAATAAAAGTCGATGTGTCCAATGATGGACCCTCCTTCTCACCCCCAAAAGAAAACTCCTCCGAGCTTTTCTTCTTCGTCTTCTCTTCCTTCTCTCCAACCTCTCTTTCCTCACTACTCATAGCCATCTTCAGCCTGCTGCTCCACCTCAATCCTCATTCAGATTTTTTTGCCAAATATACTCGTCTTTTGCACACCTTGGCAACCGAACATTTCTTACGACAGCAGCCTCTTCAGCATACCAACCTACAACGACGACAGCCGCGAACGATCAACCACAGCGAGCGGCGACAAGTACAAGAATCAACTCTCACAACATGAACCCGTCCAACGGCATCCCGGAGACCAATGTCGAGGACATGTCCAATGCAGAGCTATTCCAGTATCTCTTCAAGGCTGAACTCGGCTCGGATTTGCCCGCTGCCTTCGCTGATGTCCTCTTCACCGATACAGCCTCAGCCTCCCCGGCTCCCTCGCCTTCCTCGTCTTTGTATTCGTCCGACCCTTCCGTACACTCGCCCTTGTCTCCCATGGACAGCTCGCCGACAACCTCATCCCTCTCCTTCCATTCCCCGCCCTCATATCAGGAAACCGACATCGACATCGACACTCCACAGCTCCAACAGGAGCAGCAACAGCAAGTCCAGCCTCTGCTTCAGCTTCAGAATGTTTCCTTATATCCAACTCTGCTGCCTTCAACTTCTTTTTCATTCAGACAAATCTCACCCGATATGCCCCCGAGCATGCCAGCCCAATCCACCACAGCAGACCCAACAGGTCCTGAAGACCAGTTCCTCAGTCTTGCCCACACCGCCACCGCTGCCGCCAGTGCGGCCTCCTCCACCCAAATGTCCTTTTGGATGCAGCGCTTCCAACAGCTGCAGCAGCTTGAGCAGATGCACTACCAACAACAGCAACAGCTTCTCGCATCACCCCTCTTCGCTGCAGACAGCCCGTTCAACCTGAGCAGTCTCAACATAGCAACCTCTGCTGCCGCGGGGCTTCAAAGCAGTAGTGCTTCTGAGCGCTCTGCTTCGCCATCCTTGCCACCATCAAAGACATCTTCCTCGGGGTTGCCCACTGTCAAGCCGGAAAAGGATGTTATCTATCCTTCCCCTCCTATGAAGGACGACATGTACATGGACAGCGACTCAGATGATGGTTCGAATCAGGGCGGTGCCGCTAGCCCCGACCCATTGAAGCCGAGCCCAAGCGAACTTAAAAAGATGACCAGCAAGGAGCGCCGTCAATTGCGCAACAAGCTGTCTGCTCGCAATTTCCGCGTTCGCAGAAAAGGTAGCAATCAATTCTACATGTCTCTCTTTCTATAGTACCTTCTTGCTGTTAAAACCAACGACACGCCGCTGACATGAAGTGTACATCTCTTTGTTCTTCGCTATAGAATACATCAGCTCACTAGAGAACCAGGTCAAGGAGGCACGCAAGGAGGCCACTGAATTGCAAAAGAAGCTTGCCCAGTCGGAAATGAACTACCAAATCCTGCGACAGGAGCTTGAAACTGCTCGCCTTTCGCAGACGTTATTCAACGATGGTCGCAACATGTCCAGAGAACACGCCAACCTTTTGGCCAGTCTATTGAATCCCAACACCGAGTCCTTCCCCACGACCTCGTCCTCAGACTCTATTCTTTCAACGGCACAACAACAACAGCAGCAGAAAGAGCTCATGGACAGCATCCACCACAACAACATGACCATCCTTAACAACCCGCTGACTGTTACTCAACCTCAAGCGTCATCTGCGTTACCTGAATCAACCCTGAGTACCTCTCAAGGTTCGCTCCAGCCCTTCGTGGCCTTTGACGGCAACTGGGAGCTTATTGTTAACCGGGCCGAGATGATTGTGGACCCGGCACTCGACCCCAAGGATGAGCAGTCCAAGGCAGCGGTCTACGAGGACCTCTTGGCACGTTACGAAGCCGCGAAGTACGAGTCTGAGGTGGACGAGCAGATGCGTACTGAACTTCAGGCCTATCATGAACAAAAATTAGCGCAGACCTACATTGTTATGCCCAAGGACGAGGTCGCACTTCTGGCAGCCAGCAAGGCTGGTCAGGACACTTTACTTCTCCAGACCATGGTATACATGATGATGATCCAGCTGACTCGGTCGCTATTTGAGGCCGCGACGCTCTCCAAGGCTCAGTTGGTCAACATGTACCAGAACGTAGACCCATCCCTGCGATCCAAAATGGGACAAGAACAACAGGAACGGCGCGCATGCAAGTTTGCAGAGTGGCGCGAGGCGTGGATATGCAAATACTGGCCCTCGTTCTACAACAACCGTCAACGTGTCTGTGAGCTGTTGAAGAACGGACTCTGCCCCGCAGCGAATTCGCCCGTAGAGGTGGATGTGGACGAGGCTGTGCGCCAGATGGAGGAGGGCGTCAAGGACAAGACGGTGGAACCCCAGATGACTCCCTTCTGCGTGTGGTTGCGTTCATGCATCGCCTCATGGCTGCGATGCCCTGAGCAGGTTGCCAAAGAAGAACGCGAGGCACTCTTGCGCGAGTCTAGAAAGTCCTTGGAGGTGATTGATTGAAAACGAACGCCACGACTTTAATGACCCCTACGATTCTAATCTACCCTTCAATCCTTTTTTTTATCCCAACACCAATGCCCTGCACTTTTTTTGTGCTATCTCCGCTGTAAATATTCATTCACCTCGATGATTTTTTTTCTCCAAACACCGTATCCGCTCTCCATAGCCTGTCTTTCATCAGCTTTGTAATAGATGTATCTTTACCATAACATAAAAACACCATATTAGCAAGACTGATGGTCATGGAGGGTTCTTTTATGGCGCCATTGATTGGGGTAAAGTGTAGAAAGGACGAGGAAATCCAATATGGCCGTAGGATAACTGTGTCAGGGAACAATGGGGGTATGCCCTCTGCTGAGAATCCTTGCGAACACGCAATTGTGGCCTCCTTATTTGGAGATTGTTCCTCCTTTATTCCGTGCGGACCCAACGCATAATGTTGTTTAGCATCGATCCACTGGAATTCTCATTCTTGCCGGAGCTGCTTTTGGATAAAGCATCTGCATCCATCCGTGCAGTTTAAGGCCCCTTTATTGCGATATTCCCTTTTCTCCATTCTTTCAGGATGGATTTTTTCGATTGCTCATTCGAACATTCGTGCTCTTTCGGATTGTCAGTGAGGACCTTGACTAGGAGTTCTCCTTGTCGATGACAACTCGAACCAACGACGGACGACGATGAGTCTCTGCGGTTCCTACTTTTAGGAGTTTGTAAAAATGATTGTCTGCATATTTCCTTCCCCTGTCATCAAGGTTGCGCTGTTATAAAGCCATCGCAAGCCGATCTTTTCCTCATCGATAGTAAATTCGCATCCTTAACCCGATACCCAAGCCCACCGCATTCTTTCCCTTTCTCCCCATTTACGCTTAAGGAATAAAATTACAAGCACACGTCCCGCTCTAGCTCAAATTTTCCCCGCCACACCTCACACCGATTATATTTCATACTCAACACACGCATCTCAAGATGAAGATTTCAACGATTGCCACTGTCCTCGCCTTGACCTCTGCTCTCGCGCTGGCCAATGCCAAGGTGATCCAGAACGAGCGCGCGATCGTTGCCGATGATCGTGGAAACGTCGTCGACCTGTTGAAGCGGTTTGTCGACACTGCAATCGGAACGGATGAGGCAGCGATCGAGATGGCCCAAGACATCAAGGCCGCCCCCGCCGGGGACGAGGACGCTGTGGCTACCGAGGAGAAGATCAGCGGTGGCAAGAAGGACAAGAAGAACAAGAAGGACAAGGCTGATAAGATGGCTGAGGCGGACAAGAACGACGTCCAGCAGACGAACAAGGTTAGCAGCAAGCAGATCAATGCTGCAGCTGAGGGATTAGAACCTCAGAACGAGCAGCAGCAGCAGCAGCAGCAGGAGAAGGAGAAGGGAAAGGAGGAGAAGTCCAAGGCTGCCAAGGACGAGGAGAAGGAGGAGAAGGAGGAGAAGGAGGACGACGAGGACGACGAGGACGATGAGGACGACGAGAAGGAGGAGGAGGAGGAGGGAGAGGACAATGGTGATGAGGACGAGGACGAGGACGAGGACTATGACGGTGAGGCATATGACGACGATGAGGATGAGGATTATGATGGTGAGGATTATGGCGAGGACGATGACGAGGATGAGGACTATGATGGCGAGGATTATGGTGAGGATTATGGCGAGGGCGATGACGAGGATGACTATGACGACGGAAATGAGGATGCAGACGAGGTATCCGCTGAGCCTGAAAACCAACGGGACCATCAGCAAGAGGAGCAGCAGCAGCAGCAGCAGCAACAGCAGACTCCAGGTAAGCATAAGTGCGAGATATATGGTTTCACGAAGGATATTGGCGCGTCGCGTTTTTATGCTAGAACGCGTCTAGTCCAATGAAATTTGCGGGGCGGCAAAGCCCTAACCTTGAACACTTGAACGCAATCATATTGCTTTAGTGGCCGAGCAGCAGCAGCAGCAGCAGCAGACTCCGTTGTCCAAGCGCCACCACCACCACAAGGGTGCAAAGTACAACCACAGCAAGAAGTCGCACCAGAACTAAGGAACAGAGTGAAGATGGAGCGGATATGTTCCCTGCGAATGGTTCAACACAGTATACCATGCTTTACTAGAATGATGTCCGGCAGTGGCACCAGCAATAACGACTTGGGAAGGAAAAAAAGAAAAAAAAAAAAAAAAAAAAAAAAGGAAAGGAAAGAAAGGAAAGGGAAGCAAGCCTTTCAGTTTAGTTGCATGTACATAGTCTTCCTTGCACACACAGCGCCCCCAGTAAATTGGTAGCAGACAGTCATCTGCGATCGCTGTCAACCAAAAAAAGAAATACACAGGCTCCAATTGCTATTCATTTCGTAGTTGATAGTTCGTGGCAATCGCGGACGGGCGTGTCTGTTGACACAACGTATCCAAGTACGTTTAAGGCGAGCACTGTCTATTTGTCTGTCCAGCTAGGAGGAGGAGGAGGAGGAGGGGGCTCAAAGGGAAGACAGCTACTTTATAGTCTGTCCTACAATCTTTAGTTGAAATGCCAGTAGAATAAAATACCAGGACACTGAACAACCTTTCCATATCCGTCTTCATCTTATCAAAATCTCCTCTTCTCCTTGGAGGCCCCCGTGGCATCGTTCTTGGATGTTGAGAGCTTGAAGATGACTCCAGTGCTTGCTGACTGGCGGTGGTAGTAGTGCTGGCGGATCTAAGATGGGGAGTAACTCAGAAAAATAGCGCGAGCTGGGCGTACTGGGCTTGTTGGACTTGGACTTGCAGGATATCCAGGGCTTTCGTATGCCACCCGAGGTCAGGGATAAAGGTTATATTTTGCATTGAAGCATGCTTCTGTAGGGAAAGTTGGGGATGCGTAGGAGAAGGATTGATAAAGTCAAAAGTGTACTTTGGTGAAATGAAGGAGCATTGCAAGGTAGAGAGCGATGGAGAGTTGTCAAAAGGCGCGGGTTTATAGGCATCAATACATGCATGCACTACCAAGAACGCGAAGCCTTTTGTTTCGGCAGGCCTTGATAGATGCGGGGAAGTAAGAGGACAAGGCGTGATTAATAGCCTGATATATCTCCGTCTATAATTGATGCTAGCTCGCGTCAAACCATGAACCGAGAGAGACTAACGAAGGGATAGATCGCTCAAAATAGCCATCCTCTATGATTCTGGTTACAGAAGGATTCGTCCAAATACACAAATACGGCGTCCTTATACTTGTCGGACCGTCGCTCTTGAAGATAGTGCCGCCTCATGGCCTTGATATCCACGGTCTCGACACAATTCCTAGTGTTCCCGACATCCTGATAACGGAAACTCATATTCTTCATCAACAAGCGAATCGCTTGGAATCTTGAATTGATCCGCGAATGGTACTCTAAGGTTAACAGCTTGTCCCTTGGTATTCATTTCCGTTGCGATTCGTCGAAGGTCTGAAGCATACGATAAAGTATGATTGTAGCGTGGATGCTTGCCTCGAGCGTCTCCGTTATCCTTTCTCAACACGATATCCTTGACGGTATTGAGTGATAATCCCATATAATAAGCCGTTCATAGAAAAGGATGCGATATCGTAACAAGTTTCGCGTTCTCTTTTTCTCTTTTGCAAAACTCGCAGCAATAAAGTACTGCTCTAAGCTCCTCTACAGACACCCTTTTTCCTGAAGGCCATTTGTGCTATTTAATTGAAACGAACGTATTGTTGGGAGGCGGGACCTTTCGCAATCCTCTGCCCTGGCTCTGCAATAGCTTGACCTTCTTCTGCAGCTTCTCAATCATCTCCAGGATCTCCGAGGCTATTGGCTCTTCCTCTTTTTCCAGATCGTTGGACAGAGTTTCGGAAAGAGGATCAAGGCAGGGGCGTTTTCTTGAAGTCCACGTAGATGACTTGTCCAGCGAAGCAGCATAGGCGTCAGACAAGGACATGGCTTTGGTAGCTTGTATATTGCAGTCGCCGAAGCCATCTTCCACAGCATCAAAGGCTTCGTCCTAACCTACGGCCAACTCGTTCGCAATTTGTTGGTCGATTCTCTCCTCGCGTCACTCCTTCTTCCCACGCCGGTCGCGGTCTAGAACGGAAGTATAGAGGAGTGCCTTGTCTTTTCTTACGCCATACCTTGGTAACGTTTTAGTGTCATTTGGAATTGATGACCGGCAATGGCGGTTCTGAAAATGCGCTTTATGAAGAAACGCTCATGGCCGGTACAAGTAAACCGGTGCCTGCAAATTCGATGCCGTGCTCCGTTTTGTAGAAAGTGGTGTGTGGACTGAGATCTTGGGCTGATGAAATTTTGGATGAGGATGAGGATGAGGATGAGGAGGGGGATGAGGAGGGGGATGAGGAGGGGGATGAGGATGGGGATGAGGATGGGGATGAGGATGGGAAAGTGGTTTTTGAGAAAAACGCTCGGGGCCGTGTAAGCAAAGTGGTGCCAAAAGGATAGAAGAAAAGGGCCTCCGTGACGTGGGACGTGGGGGGAGCTGTCACGCACAATCATCTCACTTGTCGTCGGTGGGTGCACATGGACTGTATTCCTTTTTCGCCTCTGCCCTTGGCCTGTCCCTCTTCGCTTCTTCGCTTCTTCGCTTCTTCGTTTCTTCGTTTCTTTCCCGGTCTCTTGCACGCCCACTCCTCCCTTCCTTCGCTCTTTCGCCCCTCGCTTGTCCCACACCCACACCCACACCCACTCCCACTCGACTCTTCCTCCTTTCTTTCCTTTTCTTTTCTTCTTTTCTTTTCTTTTCTTTTCTTTTCTTTTCTTTTCTTTTCTTCAGGGAATCCCACAATGTTCTCCTTCAGACAGGACACCCCTGCTGCAGAGGGACAGCCACAGCCTGCGCCCGACACCGCCCCTCCCCCGCCTCCTCCCCCCGCCGCCGGCCCTGCTGATATCCCGGCGACCATTGCCAGTCCAGCCACCCCTCCAATGCCCGCCGCAGCCGCAACGGCCGCCCCGTCCTCAACCTCCACAGCGTCTGCTCCTGGTCCTGCTGCTCTAGACAAGCCTCTGGTACGAGTCCAACCCGACCCATCGACCGAGGGAATCGGTTGGGGGGCCCAATTGTTCGTCTCTGTCTTCGTCTCCCCTTTTCTCTTCTCCGTGCCCAATCGCACCCACCATGCACCCGCCATGTCCGTATATCTCGCTGCGACAGTCGCGACAGCTCTCCCATCTGTTGCTAGTAGTCCACATTCCTCTTAAAATGCCTTGTGCTGCTGCAGAGCAGAATACATTACGAAGGGTAGCCTGTCGGCCCCTCTCCTCGGTCCTCGCTATTTCTTCCCGCACTCCCATCAGTCATACCATTATCGCTTTTCTGGGACTCGAAAAGACCTGGAAAACCTCCTGCTAATATCAAACCTCTGTTTTTTTTTTGATCCTCTCCTCCTCTCCTCTCGCCCTGTTGCCTTCGCCCTGTCCTGCAATTGTCTAGTCCAAAGCGCGCCAACTTCAGGACATTGAAAGCACTGAACAAGACATCACCTCGTCGCTGCAGAAGCAGCTGGAACATGTACGAAAAGACGCAACGTTATTTGTCTTTCCTTGTTGTTGATCTGGTCTGCATGGACAACAGAATCCTGTCCAACAACAACCGTTCCGCCACTCCCACGTCCATCCTGCATGATGTACTGTCATTGGTGCACAGCAGAGGAGCAAGGACGATGAAGACCTGAGAGGAGTGAATACAAGAACCAAAATATCAGGCAACTTCACACTCAATGGGAGTGGGGAAACCCCTCAATGGGTGTATGGTCCCATTACTGTCTCTTGGCTTCTGCATTATCTGTTCTCCAAATTCCCCTATTCATGCAGAAAAAAAAAAAAAAAAAAAAAAGTCTCCAGGAGTACATTCAACTAGCACAATTGCTGACCAGCCATGCATGCCTTTCTCCTTAATAGGCGCGCGAGACGACCGCCAGCCTCAAGGAAAACCCAACTTCCTTCAAGTCCAATCTTCAAATGGTTCAAGAGTCAAGTGATCCAGAGATCTTGAAACGCGCTCTCGCAGAGGCATTGGAAAAACAAAAGGAGCATGAGGCCACTATCAAGAAGCTGAGACACGAGGTAGATGTTGAGCGTGGGCATGCCACGATCCTTCGACATGACAACCAAGTCCTTCGACAGATGAAGGCCAACATGGTACCTTTTTTTTTGTCTTGTTACATTGAGATGGCTAGTAGTCCTCTTGTTCAATTTGAAGGTTTGATTGCTAATGTGTATTGCATGTATATACCGTCTGTGGTATTATTAGCATGCGGTTGCTGAGCAAGAGGAAGAAAATATCTCCAACAGACTGCTGAAGCGTATTTCTGGACTTAAGAAGGAAAAGGGCGAGCTGATGCTGCAGGTAGAACAGGAGGAGGAGTATTTGACAAAGACACTGCAAAAGAAGCTAAGCCAGGTGAGTTGGGTTTCATACTTACGGACATGTCGACTATGCATGTGCATAGTCCATATCTGTGTATAGAGGTGATCCAGTGGTGTAGCATAATAGCATAGCTGTTTAATATCGTTTTATCTTGGTCTCCTCCAAAACTAGCTGCAGAAAGAGAAGATCGATATGGAAAATGCCCTGGAGCAGGAGCAGGAGTACATCGTCAACCGCCTACAGAAGCAGTTGGACGCCATGCGCATGGAGCAGTCCGCCAACACATCAGCAGCGTCGAGCTGGCAGGACAAGGACCACAGCATCGTATCCAGCCTCCCCATCGGCTCATCGCCCATCAACATCGCAGGAGGCGGCAGGACCTCGAGAATCAACGCAAACCCGTCTCCGACGCCCTCGCCCACCCACAAAAAATGGATCCCATCGCACTCGCCCTCCTCCTCGGACCATGGACCATCACATCCTATCGTGGACATGCTTAAGGCAGAGTTAACAGCAGCCAAGGCGACACTCAACGAGCTAGAGCGAGAATGTACGTGGTAATCTCGAGAGCATTGGTGCTAAGAACACATATTTTACCAATCAATCTGTGCTTAACTTTTTTTTTTTTTTTTTCTGTTCGCCCCACGACACGCTTGGAAATAGATCTCATAAAGTTCAAGCAATGCAACCGATATCGGTCTGAGGTCCTTACCTTACGTCAGGAGTTGGGCCTGCCCATTGCCACGGATCTGTTGGTGGAAGATAGTCTTCCTACTGTGCTATCGTCCACTCATCGCACCGGCGGAACACCTTCAAGAAGGGTAAGTATGATTGATTTACATTGTTCGGCTGCATTTCAGATACATCGAACCTATGCTGACAATATTCATCTTTGGACATTATCCATGCATCTTTAGAACTCAAGCACGAGTGCCTCGGGATCGAGCAGGACTTCATATGGTGGTGTACCCGCTACACCAACAAACACCCCGGCGAATCCAGCTCCCATCAACAACCACCACTTCTCAAGTCAACGCGTAACCCTCTCGCCTCACAACCCACAGACAAATCCTTTCTTGGGCGGCAATAGTGCTTCAGGAGTCTTTAGCCACTATTCAACATCGCCTACACTCTCTACATTTCCGGGAGGACCACTGAACAACGGAGGCGCCAGCGCAGGATTCCCACCCACAGCATCAGCGGGGAACAACCATTCACACCCCTATCCTCACCACCAGCCGTACTCCTCTGGCAACTCGGGCACCAACTCGTTTTCGTCCTCTGTAGGATCCTTGGGCTCAACTTCGCCAATGATGCCGGTGGCGTCATCGCTTTCATCTACGTCGGGATTGCCGGCTATTGTACCTGAGCGCCAATCGCTATATCGATCCAAGAGTAGCAGCCGACAGAATGCGCAGTATATGCCTTCGCAACAACAGAGCTATCAGGCTTATCAACACCAGAGTGGGCTGTCTTCTTCACAGATGCCAGTATCATTGCAACAGCAAGCACAGCAGCAGTCGCAACAAGCACAGCAGCCAACACAATCAGCACAGGGAACTGGCGTGCCTCAATGATGGAATTTTCAACATGGGCTTCTGGCTGCTGTTTTGTAATCAACTCTCTTGGAGTTGCTCGTTTTGTTCCTATGAGAGAAGGGTCTGTAGATGGGCCGCATATCATCCCTATTTGAAGCGGTTGAAAGCGCAAGAAGGCGAACTATTCTATTTTTTTTCTGCGCTGAGCAGTGTTGTTCAGTTCTTTGTCTTGTGCTGCTCATTTTTGTAGATCGCGAACGCCGAGTCTTTTGTGCCAAAATGAATGAAAAGAGAGGAGTACCAAGGTGGGATATTATTTCCTTCGTGCACTCGTGAGTGTTTCTTGCATTGTCTAATTTTGTTGACGATTCACCCCAGAAATAAAGTCAAGGCAAGGCTTCTTTTTTTTTTTTTTTTTTGTGCCGCAATCACTGCTGTAACCCTTACTCAATCGAAAGAAACGATGCGAATCCTATAATGTATCATTGCCAACCAGTGTTCTTTGCTACACTCGTGTAGCTCTATAACAGACGACATAGATGCCTTGGATTTATTGTATTCGGTCCAAAGAACGTAAAAAGATGAGGAGAAAAGAAGGTCAAGCACTACGCAGTGTTTTTACTTGGGCCATTTCAGTTGGCGGGAGTTTGCTTGTAAACCGAGCAAGGTCGAGGAAACGTAGCGGACCTCAAACCGGGACTCGCGGTCGTCGACGAGGGCGTTGAAGAGCGTGAGGGCATTCCAGAGCTGGTTGAAATCGAGTGAGTGGCAGCGCAGGACGGCAGAAGCAGCGGTCATATTCGAATAGGTAGATATGGTTGAAACAATGGTTGCTGTTTCGGATGGCGATGATGGTAACGAGGGTATTGAGGTATCTGCAGCAACAGATGTTGGCGAAGTTGCTGTCTTTGTTACTGCTGGAGAGGCGGAGATGGACGTGGTCATGCGGTTGAAAGGGTCCTTAATCTGGTCGGTCCAGAATCCGAGGATATCTATGTTGATTCCTCCGCCCATAGCGGTGCCAAAGAGATCCTGGACGGCACTGGAGAGCATCTTACGGAAGGTCAGGATGGAGAGTTGATGAGCTGTCGCAGTTTTGGCTCTGGAAGACGTGGCGTCTGGTCCTTGGTCGTTGAAATCCATCTCTCTATACGGAAGAGGCAATAGTGAGTTGGTGTTAGAAGTTTGAAGCAGAGGGATGTATCCTTTTTGAGCTGAGTTGTGCGAGAGGAAGGTCAGATCCAGATGAGGCGGTTGAATGGATAGAGCCTTACACTGTAAGGTAGATGTAAAAGTGCTCTGACTGAGCATCGCAGAGGCGGGTGAGTTTCGTGAGTTTTTGTTGCTGTTGTTGTTGTTGTTGTTGTTGTTGTTGCTGTATGGGTGGATCCGCGGTGTCGATATCCATGGCTGTGCTCACGTCCATTCTACTGTCCTGTTGTTCCCTATTCGCTCCTGCTTCCCTAGCTTCTTTGCTTTCCTTGGATCCGTAGCTTCCTTTGACTCCTGGCCCCTGTATCTCTCTGTCTGGCTTGTCTTTCGAGGAAGGGTGATTGAAAAGAGAGATAGATGCTTGGGGCAAAGGTCTTGTTTTGAGAATGAATTGATATTACCCTTAAGTAGATACTTGTATTCAGGAGGGGTCTTAACAGCCCCAGTTGACATGGCAAAGTGGTGCCCAGACGCAAAAAATAAGTGAACTTTACTTCGGAACCCGATGCTTCTGAATCGTTTGGGTCTGCTTAGTTCGATGAGCAAAATGAATCACCATTCCAACCGACCTGTCGAGCCGTCTCTGGAGTCGTTTTCGAGCTACAGTTCAACCACGTAGACCACCTGACGAATTGGCCAATAACAATGCAATAAAAAATGGGCTTGGCTGCGAAGACCCTAGGATTTTGGGCCCCAGACGCCATAGTAAACCGGTGTCCTGGTAGCAAAACGAAAGAGAAAAAATGCTATATTGCTTTATTATTTGTGGAATTCCTTTATAGTCGAGGCTTTGATGGCACTCGAGTGTTATCAACCTTATATGATGGTGATGATGATGGCTAACCACGAATCAAACCTCGATTATATAAAGGAATAGGATCGAGAGGCCCGGTTGTAGTGCTCAACGACCAACTTGCCCTTGATCAGGACAGACATTTGATTGACTGGCAAGCATTCATATCCAAGGTCTATGCCTATGGGACATGGTATACGCACACAAATCCACTCCGTAGGAGGATGATTGCCTAGTTGCTTAACCATCCCGAATGGTTGACTCAATTCGCATCGCAATGTCTCCCAAGTAGAAACGAAGAGAAGTAGGCAACGAACAAATTTTCTCCGCAAAATTGGCCCTTGGGTTTCATATCTATCATTTTTCTCTGAGTCAACGTTGGAGCACGCTTTTGGCTGCGACCGATCATTCGGTTTAGTCGAGGGAAGGCGGATTGTCGAAAGCCGAGGGTATCTCACCAAATCACGCCATTATGCGGACAATTCAGAACGAAGGAGGTATAGTTGGGTCACTCACCCTTGGTCACAAAGAGAACGCTGTATGCAGACGTGGTTGTTCTTTTATGGAGGATATACAGCACCGCAGCTCTTGCATAAAGTACGCTGCACCCTCCTTCATCATCATCGCCCTTCCTGTCTAGGGAAATAAATTTCCCAAGTCCCTCTGTTCGCAACTAAGGGGGGGAACCATGCAGGTTTTCATAGTATTGATTGCGTCCTTTGCGGCAAGTCGCGTCTTTATCGAGTCTTCCTAATTACTGAATGCGGAAATATCTACTAAGAAGCGCAAACGTGGCGCCAATATTCCACCTGAGAAGCAGCAGGGGTCTTGGAGTGGGCGCCATAGGCGACGCATTTGATTGGTTCTGGTAACGAGTTATTTTGATTTCTTTTCTAAGCCATGTCAATGGCCTTTTTTTTCTTTTTTCTTTTTGGCCAGCCCTCGTTTGCTCGCTTTGCGCATCGTTCATCCCACTTCAAGCTTCTTCACTCCCTTCATCCACTGCACGACAAAGACGCTATTCAAGGCGCCGTCAGCAGCACTCGACAACTCATCACTGATCTACGCTTCAATACACCGACAATACGCACTCGACAGATATGGATTTGCCAGCAACCAACGTCTCAATGGTCCCCCAGGCACCCAAGGTGCCCAAGACTACGACTGAAAAAGAGAACACCCGACGCCTGATTGTCGTCCTTGAGTCGGCCTGTCTGGAGACCTACAAGGTCGGCAAGGACAAGGATGCCCGCTACCAGCTGCTAAACTGCGACGACCACCAGGGCATTCTCAAGAAGATGGGCAAGGAGGTCACTGACGCCCGTCCTGATATCACCCATCAGGTAGGAATCAGTGCTATCAATTAGAATCTTTGCGTGGAGCGTCTTATTGAATGGGATCCATGAGACAGACGGTTATGTTTAATGAAGGATTGGATTTAGTGGCACTATGAGCGAACCTTTTTTTATCGTTTGTGCTATCAGATTGGCAGAACGGATCGTCGTTGCCCCATGGTATCGCATTGTCGTATCTGTTCTGCCTTGCGTTCTTCTGCTTCTTGGTCACCCTACGCTCTATCTGCCGAATCGATTGCTATTTCCGCCCCCGCTTATTGTCATTTTCAAACAACGACACATTCTCGTTTGTACTCCTTGCCTCATTGGAAGCGCTGTGGGAATTTTCTTCTTTTCAGGATCGCCGATGGTGTCTAAGCCATCATTAGTGTCCATCTTTCACTTTCAAACCCAAATGGCATGGACACGGCACCGGGGAAAAGTAACTAACCTGCTTTATTTATCCCCTTTTCTATCTCTCTAGTGCCTTCTCACCTTGCTGGACAGTCCCTTGAACAAGGCTGGTCTGTTGCAAGTCTATATCCACACCGCCAAGAATGTTCTCATTGAAGTGAACCCTCACGTCCGTATCCCAAGAACATTCAAGCGCTTCTCTGGATTGATGGGTATGTCCATTTTGGTCTTTTCTCTCTCTCTCACACACAAATCGATTGTGTGCTATTGATCATTAACGGCTTTTTTTTCCTCTGTTGTTTTGGCGCAGTTCAATTGCTCCACAAGCTGTCAATTCGCTCTGTGAATGGATCCGAGAAGCTGCTTCGCGTTATCAAGAACCCTATCACAGACCACCTTCCTACCAAGTGCTTAAAGCTCGGTATGCATCGTTCATTAGAAGGCTGGAATGGGGTGCCGACAAACACGGGGATGGACCAGGCTTTCTATGTACATATTGTTAGCATTGTTTGCTGATCTGAAGGTCTCAATTCTTTATTTTCAATTAGCATTTTCTTACGATGCGCCCGTTGTTGCCTTGAAGGACTTTTTGCCCACCATCCCTGAGGACTACTCGATTTGTGTTGCCATTGGAGCGATGGCCCATGGAGAGGACAATTTTGCCGATCATTATGTGGACAAGAAGATCGGTGTGTCCGGATACCCTCTGTCGGCTTCAGTTGCATGCGGAAAGCTTTGCTGCGGAGTCGAGGACCTCTGGGGGATCGTCTAAAAGACGGTGAATGATCACGGACGAGCGCTTGAAAGATTATGGGAAGGGAACAGGAGGTTCATTCATTCTGAGGCGATCAGTGAATGTGCCAGGAACAATGGGCTCTCTCAACCTACAGTTTCGATACAGTTTCCTTTCTTTTCTTTTTCTTTCTCTCTTTCCGTCCTCGTTTATCGCGTTCCGTTAATTATCTTTGTTCATTTTCTTTTGGTTTTGCATCGGTCTCCGTTTTTTCAGTTCTTTCTTTTATGTGTGATCTTTTCTGCACTTTGCATTGTACAGTTTATATTTTCAACAAATGTTATTATTATTCCTCTCTCCCTCTCCGACCCCCTCCACTCCGCACTCGTATGGTTTTCCTTGTTGGACTCTTTGGACAGCAGCGAGTGGGCCCTTCGTTGTTACTGCAATCGAGGCGACCGTTTTGAAAAGGGAGCCAGTAGTCCATATCCTTCGGACCCGCACTGTCACTGTTTCTTCTCCAGCATTGTCATTTCATCCCGCAACATCCCAACAACAGATCAAACTTTGCATTCAACTCGAAGGATCTGTTTCTTTTCTGTTCCATGCATTTTACGGCAGATAGAACAAATAAATCATATGCCTTTTTCTCTATCGAAACAGGTCTTCTGAATATGCATCTGACAATTAAGAAGATGGTGAGACATAAAAGTAGTAAAATTAGCACATATTGCAACAAAGTATGGTCGATGAAGACAAGAGATAGTGGGAGTGTTGTGGTTATTTCATTCACTCATTCACAAGCAAAGCAGTTTGTCCTTTCATGCACCTCACCTTTCCCAGTAGACTGAGGTGGCACAGGGTGTCAACGTGTCGGCATCGATGAGTTGCCTTGCACTGCTCAAGGCCTCACACCTCATCACCTTTATCTTTGCCCAAAAAGAGGAAAAAGAGTCCATGCGGGCAAATCATTTTGCGAAACATTTATGCCCTGAAAAGGGGGCATACTTATCAAGGACTAATGGAAAATACATCCGCGCGATGGCAAACGCGCTTCAGGATCGGGTCAATGGTTCATTGGAGACAAAGAGTGGAAAGATAACATATGGAAGTCGAAGTAGCAATGAACATGCAAATGACGTGTTTTACTTATTCTAAACGGCGATCTCTCATAGACGCTTTTAGGTTAGCAGTAGCATGAGTTTATACCGAAAAAATGACATGAGAAAACCTCGCCAATTCTCATTTTTGCCTTAAGCTATCTCTATTGAGGTTTGGCCTGATGCCAAGGTCTGTCTGTACTTGCACGAATGGCCTTTCCTTGACAAACGTTGCTTCTACACACAAGGTACTCATTACTCATTTGCTCGTGTATTTGCAAATCACTATCCAATTAACGTACCATACCACTAAACGAAAAAAAAAAAAAAAAAAATCCTCCTCCTCCCGAGGCCGCGCCGTGATCGCCGATATCAATTCCATCGAGCGAAGTAATGCGACGTACTGCCCGATGCAAGGAAGCGACACCTACATCTGCCGTGATGATATCGCCCTCGCCATCTTCGTGAACGTCGGGATTGGGCTCGTTATCGTTAAACGGATTGTCTTTGTTGGTGGCATGGTCTGATACAAAGAGCCATGGGGTAATATGTGTAGCTTTCTTGGAGCAAGTTGATAACGACGAACTTTAATTTATTTATGGACCCTGATCTTTCGAATACCCTTTTTTTTCACGTATTTCCATCGCACTCACGGCCTCAGCGACGATGGCATCCGCCAACCTGTCCTGTGCGTCCTCAGTCGGCTTCTTGAAGATTCACATCAACTCCTTGTTCTGACGATCGTCCTAAGCAAGGGACAACCAGTGATAAAGAGTCAGGCATAGTAATACGCGCAAGTTGAAGGGCGGAATTTGGTATAGCACTTTCAAAGACTTTTTTCATTTCCGCGGCTCAACCTCCCTGCTCGGAGGAACCACTATTCTCAACGTCCGCCAGAGTTTTATGTAGTCCGTTCTGTTGTAGGAGGCAGTAATTGAGGGGGTGCAGCACATCCAAATGAACGTCCATCCTGTGAAATCTGGGCGTGAAGAGCAATGAGATAGATGGAATCAACAGTAGAAGAGACAAGGACAATCCAGAGGTAGATAAAAGACCATTGGAGTGAGTACTAGGAAACTAGAGAGTAAAACTGTGGACGCTGGGTGGCATTTGGCGGCCGATGGTTTGTTGTTACTGCTACATGCTGAGTGTGTCGCTCTTTAGGAGCATGGCCGCTTGAACTCGCGGGATTACGAGCTTATGGGCATGGTATTGGCACCCATTCTTTGTATGACGAAACGCCCTCGATCATGCTGACCCCTCTCGCTGGTACAGGCTTTAGATCGCTTAGTTTTTGATTCTTGGATCATTGCGACTGGACATGGTTACCTCGATAAGGCGCCTCCTCTTTGGCGCAGAGTATAAATGGAAATGGTCGTCGACTTCCTGTCGATGGGCCATATTTACGCCATTGAATTTCTTCAACGCTTACATGGAGGTGCCCGCTGCTCTCCCGCTGCCATACCTGGCTGGACAAATAGTTGACCATGAACCATTGCCATCGTTCTCCTCTTTTTCACATTCAGATTCAAATCCCTCACCCACATCGGCTTGGCTGATCCCTTACTTGCAACAGCTTGTATATGGACTTCGCACTTTAGGCCCTCAACAGCCTCTCTCGACACACATACACACCCTTTGACATATACACGGCTCCTTCCTTCGCTGGCTTGCTCCATTTCTGGTGTGAACTGCTAGTTTTGTTCGGCTAGTCGCTCCCCGCTCCCCGCATGGTCGTACAGCCCCGACTCGTCGGAGTGCTCTTGCGCGGTCGCTCCAATTGGAAGCCCATTGTCGAGACCGATATCTTTGTGCTCCAACACAACCCTCGGCAGGCCTCCCACCCCTGCAGGATCATCACCCGAGGATTCCCTCACTATCGAGGCAAGTCTCTCTCTGCTTTCACTTCTGCTTCTCCTCGTAGAGCACAATGCACAGAACTTGAATGGCTATACTGTCGCCTACTCAATCGACAACACCGCCTCCAATTTATTTCTCAGCACCAATGGATCAAGAAAAGAAAGACAACCAACTGTCCAGATATATTGGGAGCAGCAGTTTGGACAGAGGTGTATTGATATCCAGTACCCAAGCTATGGGTGCGTGCGTGTGTGAATGCTGACGTTATTTTCTTCCTATATCATGTCCTTTGATATGCTTGGTCCTCATATGCGCTGCATGTCTGTAGTGGCAGAAGGGGACTCAATCGAGCTGCTACAGGAGGAACTGACCCACTTGTCGCAGCATGCACGCGTCTCGATTCAGGGAAAGATCACTTCAAAAAAGATCGCGACCTGGCTCAAGGGCACTAGCTCATTGGTACGAGAGAGTCTATTATCATAATCCGCGCAGCTCCTTTTGTCTGTTCCACCACACACCGTTGCTTTCTTCACTCTTTTCAATCCTCATTTTATTGATTAAGGAATGCTTCGTATATGCATTCCGACCTGTAATAGCTACCTTACTGATTTCTCCCATAAAACATCGTTGCTATCCATTGCGTCCTGCCTGTAGGCCGCTGTCTCACCACCAGGGGATCAATTGCAGCAGGACGACGACGACGATGACGACGAAGACATCCAGGACGAGGACGGGTACCTCTCAGACCTCTCGACACTCTCGAATGGAGAAGTAGGCATGGACGAGTCCTATTCATTCAGAGTCGGAGGCGCTGGAAGGCTCCTGCGAAGAGCTATCTCGCTTGAGGATATGAAGGACTCATCTTCTGCAGCGCACCACCTAATACTTCGCAGCGATCAACCAGAGAGACCTGCTTCGGCTTCAATGTGCTTGCCCGTCGGCTCTGATACCCTTCCCCCGGTTCATCACCCACTACAGCCGCCTTACGAACTCGAATACCACTCCTATCCACACCCCTCGTCCTCATACATAGTAGCCAACAACCGCAGCACCGATCGATCCGGCATGACATCCCATCTACATGCGGATAGCTATGCCGTCTTCGACGCCGATCGTCCATTTGATCCGATGGTCTTGACACAAACACCCGAGCGAGAGTATTTAGACGATCCATTGGCGACATTCGTCTCGCGGCCCGGTTCGAGCGATAGCAAACCAATACGGTTTGCATACGCCGCCAGTTCGACGCAAGCGGACCATGCAGGGATGCGAGCGAGATCTGTGGATGAGACTACGCTGGCTGCAAATGAGCGAGCTCCTGGAGGCTCTTTAGCATGGTTTAATGCGTCACCCCTTCTCGATACTATCGTCAATTGGGTTGAAGGACCTGCCAACTATCCGGGAACAAAGAAGAGTGACAAACCAAATCCTCTGCTGGATATCCCGTTTCAATTCATAGCCATGTTGACTTATCCTGAACTGGATCCGGGAAATAAGCCGAGTCTTGCTGGTGAGACCTGTGATCATTGGTCGCGCTAGTGCATCAAAGCGATGTCAAAAGTATTACCGATCTCTGGGAAAGAAAAAGACATTATCGTGCACTAATTATACCTGTCTACTTCCATCAATGTAGTGGTCCGGGAAACAGCATTCGTTAGGCAGAGGCGCAAAACGCTACTTATGCTGACGACCTATACATTCTTAGTGCGATATTGTAGTTTCGATTTCTTTGTAGTTCTTTTGTTCATGAGCAACTGCGGGATGCTGTTCCTGATGAAAAACTCTGGACGCATAAATGTTACCATGGCCAAGGGTGCAGTTAATCAACGCGTTGGCTGGGCGAAGCAGTGGGCAGAAGGGATCTTCAGGAAAAGTGGCAGCGTTGCTAGCAACAACATTCAAGATTCCGCTTCACATGATCCACAGGGCGCTTCCTACTCGAATACGAATTCCAGAAAGCACGCATCTTCCTTGTCTACCACCCACACAGAACGCGACCATGCAGGAACAGCATCCGTAGTAGGAGAAAAGGCCGAGAGTACAGTGGACGGGAATATGCAAATCAAGAGGCGAGGACTGTTTCGGAAGCGAAAGACTTTGGGCAGCAACGGCGACAGCAATACCAACAGTTCGTCTGTGGCCCAAAACGGTTCAGGATCCTCCACCATTCCATCTTTTCTCGATGGAGGCGCTGGAGGAGACGACGCATCGGTCATGGCGAACAGAACCCGGAAGCGTGGGTTCTTCAAGAGATCCGCTATCAGTCGATCGGCTACGGCCCCGCCAATAGCGCTGAGCGACGTTTCCAACAATGCACCGACGACAAAGCCGCCACCTGTGCCAATTTTACCTGGGCAACCGGGAACGTCCCTGCATAACGGCGCAATGCCTCTACGAGACGTCTCACTGTTGCCAGCATCCAATCTGTCGCAGACACAGTCGTTACCCCATCCCCAGCTCTTGCTTCCACGGTCGCCGAGCCCCAATGTTATTAGAAAGGATGTATCATGGTCCAAGCCTTGGGGTTCAACATCTCAACCATCACAGCAACAACCCAACCCCGACTCTGCACCATCTTCCGGGACAACATCAATGTGTTCATCACCTAAAGTCGCACCTGTTACCATCCCTATACCACAGTCGCCTGGAAGGCTACTTACGTCTATCAACCCCCGACTGTTTCTTCCTGGATTTTCTCAATCCCAGAGGCAGCAGCAACAACAACAACGGTATCCGCATCCTCAGCACGAACAACAGTCGTTGTCTCTATCGATGTCCATCGAGAAATCTGTAGCGCCAACTCCAATCTCACCACAGCCACGCAATGCCATTGGATTATCGACTTCAGCTATCCTGGGAGGACAACATGGTCGAAATCAGGAGCAAACTCGAGCTCAAGAGTATCACAGCTTCGACATTCCGGGGGCGACCCTGTTCGAAGACGAATTAGGGGAGCCATTTGTTACGCATACGCCATTACCAACTTCCAAGTATTCGACATCGCCTGAACTTTTAGCAGTTTCTTCGCTTGTAGGAATCGAGACATTGGAACTACAAGGGATACAGTCAACGGATCAAAGACAACAGGGCGTGCAAAACTTGGCAGGAGCGTTCGATGCCGGCGAGGATATGGGCGCGAGCACAGAAGAGATGTGTGTCAGTATCGTGGAACTCCATATATCTGTCAAGGACGAGGCGATAGGTCCAGTGTCAAACACGCCTACAGAAGCCGTTGGAGCCGGCTGAATGTGAGATATAGTAGTATAGGAATCCTTGATTGCTTTATTCCTGTAGACAATAAGATTGAAGATCATCTGGCCAATTCGGCCTTGCATAGAGCTTTGTACTTGAATAGGGCTAACTAGAGTTCTCTAAGGTATATCCACGCATTTAGCAGCCAGAAGGTGTACTGACCTTACTTGTCGTCTGCTGTGTTCTTTTCTATGTTTGCTTTGAGTGAGGCACATATATCGATTCATTTCCGCGTCGATGCAAGGCGATGATGATGTGTCTGCTTTATTACCTTTATTACTAAAACTATTCGCAGTTATTTTGTGCCTTTCAAATAAAACTACACGGATTTTTTTAGTCGAGGTTGAAATCGGCACATCTGCGCGCCGGTTAAGTGACGTAGATAGTCTCTTTGAGCGCATTTGTGCACTCAACCAACCTTGCAGCACACAACTCTACAGGACGCACAGAATCCAGGGCAGCAGAATCCACTTGCCTTTGCCTCATTGAACGAACGACCCTTCTCACCACGGACCAACCGAGCAGAGGCGCGCCATGGTCACAAAGGACATTCAACTCGCACTGCATGCTCATCTCAGTCAAGCAAGCCTTGCTGCTAATCAGGACGATCTCGCTAGACACCTCGAGACGTTTTCTCGCGACTGGAAGCAGGAACCCACACTCGAACAGTTCGATACCGCTCTGGGACTTTTGCGCGACTCAAAGGAATCCCTCAGCAGTGAGACAATCGCCCTCTGGTGGCTGCGGTACCTGCAGGATATTGCTCTCAGCAACCACATTGAAAAGTACTCCACGGAGCTCAGTGATGGTATGAACATCGGGATAGTCATGAGCAGCCCCAGCACAAGAGAAGAAAAGTGTTGCCATTGCATACCATATATCTCGACTAACCGATAATCGACTGCCATCTTCTGGATCCGGCTTTTGTGATCGTAGCTCTGCTAAAATCCGTTGATCCGCTGGCCGAGCTGCTCCAGGGTCCGTCAGGAACGTTAGTCAAGCGTGCCCTCCAGGTCTGCGCGACTCTTTATGGAACAGTATTTCAGATCTGGTAAGACGCTTTGCCGCTGCTGTTACTGCTTGAGCATTTCTACTTCGCACTAATAATGTTTGATTTAAACACGAGTAACTCAAACATTCCCTCCATCTAATCATTACATGCTATCTCTTGATATGAAGCTGCCAGGATAATGCCAACCATGGACAACTCTGGAATCAGTATGCTATAAGGATAAAACAACTGGCGTTGGCACACTTTGGCAGTCGAAGCGAGGGCGTTATGGTGACAATTTGCAAATACGCCCAAACTGTCGTCCAGATCCAGTCATACAGCCAGCCGAACTCGCTACCGCAGGAAGCAGAGGTGCGTATCGATCCATATTACAGGCTGTGATCTGATATCTCTAGCACGCGTCCTCTCGCTAACAATTATATTCATTTGGCTTAGTAGACCCTATCATTAAACAGGATACCCCCGAACCATCCGTTTCTGAACGCCAATGCATTGCAACAGGAATCGGATCGTCTTCTTCGGGATCTCTTATCAGTTATCCAGAGACCACAGATGTACGTTCTGGATTCAACGCATAGGATTCTGCGGACAATCATTGCAGTGCAACGTGAGTATTTTTCAAAGGCTTACCCATAGACTCTTTTGGCAACATGCTAGTTCCCCAACAATTGTCACGGCGGTAATCAACCAGACCAGCGCCCTGCAACGAGCCAGGCCGCAGTTTGTACCGCTCGTACTTGGAATATGGACTGTATTCACCAAGCCCACGCTTCCGGCTCACTTTACACCACTGCAGATCAGATCGATCGACAAGGCTATTAGGATACAGCTTCTGGCCCTCACCAAGTAAGATACCCACGATTCATCGAAAACCGAGGAGTGGTCTGCACAGTGATCTGAGCTCATATCTACCATGCCTATGCTAACTATCGTTTCCTCTGTCTTTTTTGTTTTGTTCTTGTGAAGGACGCAACTACAACCGCCACAGTTACAGGCTTTGACGGAGGCGCTATCTGGGTACGGAATCAAGTTCAACGGCGTACCGCTGGGCCGATCACAGCAACAACAGCTTTTGTATGTTGACAGGGATAACGGAGAGGACTCGAGACGATCGGGTAAACGGTCAAGATCATCGAACAATCAGGACAGTGAAGATTCGGAGATAAAGCGATTGAAACCTGAGACGGATACGACAGCTGCCATTGCACCAGCAGTGCCAGCACCAGCGCCACCGAGTATTCCTCCAGGGTTCGGCCAGACACTGCTTGGTCAGATCAATATCACTCAGCTCCCACTTCATCACGTCGTCGATATCATCTTTGAAACACTTGCTGCGAACAACGTGCCGCACTTATTTCATTCGTTTTTGGTAGGATTCATTAACATCGGTCAGCAGTGTCGTGTTTAGTGAGAACATTAGCGCCCATGATCATTCACTAATATCGAAATGATTTCTTCCTGCTCATATAGTCCACACTACCTATTATGAGACTAAAAGAGGGACCTCTGCCAATGCCGCCTCCAGGAGTTGGACCACCTCCGCCTGGGCTGTTGCTTCAGCGACCACCGCCGCCCATGCTTCCAGGAATGATGCCACCTCATCCCAGCGGTCTCTTCCCACCGCCTCCACCCCATTTGCTTCCGCCTCATCTTCCACCAGGAGCAATGCCACCTCCCATGCCCGAGCCTATGTCTGAAGTCAAGCCAGAAATCAAGCATGAAGTCAAGAAGGAGGCAAATCTGTCAAAACTACAGCTCCCGAAAATCCCGGACGATGTTCGAGTAAGCATCACCGTCCTGTCCCCAAAGCACACTCCGGCCCAACTCCCTACAAGGCCTGTTGTTGTCAGATCGGATACTGTCTCTGTTGCTCCAGCTCCAGTCCCAATTCCAGCTCTTAAAAAGGAAGATCCATCAGAGGGTGATGTCAGTGCGGCACCAACGATGGAGGTTGAAGAGCAGCAGCGGCTACTCAAGCAAGAGACATTTCAAGTAAAACCTTTTGAGCCATCGACCGAGCGCCCTGGCATGGATTCGGCTATACTTCCAGCGAGGAAATTATTGGAGCTGACATTTGAGCGCATCCTCGATTCTGAACATGTAGTCTCGGTACCCGCCGCATCAGGAAGGAAAATGCTTGAGGCAGCTGCTTCTAGTCATAGACAATCAGATCAGGATCTTACGGAAGACCAGAACGCAATGGTGCCTTTCGATCACAAAAACTCTGGAGAGGAGCCTACCAAGGTTGTGACGAAAGCGGACTGGATGACCATCGTAGCTCGACTACTGAGTAGGGCGTTCACACGAGATTCAGGTTCAATCAGCCCAGCAAGCGGCGGATCGATCGACCAAGGCGTAAAGGAGAGAATGATTGAGTACATCTGCAAGGACTTCAAGCAGCGACGAGAACTTGCGTTGACATGGCTCCATGAGGAGTGGTATTATGATGGGATGCGGCAGCGCCAGGCCGGAGACATGGACGACCGGGAGCCGCAGTATCTTTGGTGTCTATACAAGATCCTAGACGGTATCACGTCTGGTGCGACGCAGCTCGATGCCAAGGACCGCGGTCTGACTCGGTTTCTGCTGGAGGTCCCGGAATTGCCCGATGGAGCAGTAGATATCATCCAAAAATACTGTGACGATCCAGCCCGGGCGCAGCTTGGAATAGCTTGCTTGCGAGACGTTGTGAATCTGCGCCCACCTAGCCGATCTCGAGCCCTGGAGATCCTTCTGGGATATACAGCCCACCCAGAGAAACCGCAGCGCTCTATGGCGATTGTCACAGCCAAGAAATGGTACTTGGAGCATCCCACTGTCGGGGTGAAGGTGGAAGAGTTTGCTCTCGCACAGCTGGAGACATTGAAGGACTATCCTGTACCCAAGCGTGAGCTTGCCATACTGCAAACGATGTCTATGCCACCTAATCAATCTGACGCCACTAACATGGACGGCGTGGAGCCGACGATGCCCCACGCATCAAGTGACGACGCAGAGACAAAGATCAAGACAGAAGCTATCGAAGATTCTCTAAACCGCAACGGAACCAAGGAATCATCAGTGGAACGATTCGGGACTCCTGCGCCTTCAGGACCAGCCAGCACCGGCCCAACAGAGCGAGACTTTATTGAAGCCGAAGAGGATATTGGACGTCTTCTGGAGCTGTACTTTTCGCTCTGCGCCAAGAACCATGGATTGCTTGAAGTATTGTTTAAGGACTACATCTTGTATGATCCGTTTGTCCAGAGGGTCATCCGGCAGAGGATCCAGCCACTCATAAAGTCGATTAAATCGGACTCGCCCAAGCTGCTCGCGCTCATCAGGGATATGCCCAAGGGCGCGGAGATGCTGGTGCTGAGGATAATTTTCATTCTGACAGATGGAGGTACTTTTGTGTTTCTTTATCCCACGGCATGCGAACATTTCGTCTTGTGTAATCTTTTTTATTTTTTATATATATTTTTTTATACTAACGACGCCGTCTTTTGTTCTCGATAGTTAACCCTTCGCCCGGCTTGGTCAGTACGGTCCAAGGTGCAGTGGTCCAGCACGATTTGAATGCTCGGTTCCTGATCCCTATCATCGGTGGATTGGACAAAGAGGCTGTCCTTACCAATTTACCGCGGATCGTCGGTCTTTTGAAGGGCACTGAGCGCGAACGCAGGACAGTGACTGATGTATTTATGAAGTTGCTGACTGCAGGCGGAGGGACTACAGGGCCGGCTTCCGCTGTCGCATCCTCTCTCAGCAGACGCGACAGCAGCACAGCCTCGACGAGTGCACCCTTGTCAACTCCATCCCAACTCCAGAGCGCAGCGTCCATGGCTAAATCGCATGGTCCTACTATGTCGCCTTCTGATCTGTTGATTGAGCTTCATGTTATGGAGGACACCGTTGGCTGGAAAGCAGCTTGTGAAGGTAAGGAAACAAGGAATTGTCGCCCTTTTTGAAACTTGCTGCATTCTGCGCTCGCGCACTAAATGGCTTAATTTTTTTCATTCCAATAGCCATGGATATTTGCTTCAACCATCCTGAGATATTCAAGTCTGAAATTATTGCAGTATCCCTGCAGCAACTATTGGACCGACCCGCCATCCCCTCACTTTTCATGAGAACAGTAATTCAAGCCATCACGCTCTACAAGAACCTTGTTGGATTTGTAAACAGCATGATCCTTGCAAAACTTGTCCAGAAAAAGGTGTGGACGCGGCCTGTTCTCTGGAAGGGATTTGTTCGTTGCGCTAAGATGATGCTGCCGACCAGCTCCAGTGTTCTTGCCAGTTTACCAAAGTCCCAGCTGAAGGATGTTCTCACCATGGAACCGTCACTCAAGGAACCCGTGGAGGCGTACATCAAGGCAAAGTCCTCAGGACGACGCGTTGGCGGCGGTGCCGCCAAGCAAGTCAATGTCCTTAATGCAGCTAGCGCAGCTACAATTGGTCCCTCTGCAGCAACAACGGCTCTTCCTCCAAAATTGGAAAATACTGAACGTGCTACAGAAGAGTCCAAGAAGGAGCAAGATGCAGAGACAGAGCTGAAGGGGTCTGAGATGGACGACGTTCCTATGGAACCCAGCAGCAATATCTTGTCAACGGAAATTAGATCAGAATAGACCCATTCTCAATCACAACAAAGAAAAGAATAGCGTAAAGACAGAGTGCAGATGATGATGTACGATTTTATTATCAAGTAGCTGTATCCTCCACAGGAGCTTTTGCTGCTGCAGCTTGAGCAGCAGCTTTCGCTTCAGCTTTTGCCGCAGCTATAGCAGCTTTTGCTTCAATTTTTGCAGCTTTTGCAGCAGCTTTTGCAGCAGCTTTTGCGGCAACTTTTGCTTCAGCTTTGGTAGCTTTTGCAGCAGCTCTTGCAGCAATTTTTGCTTCAGCCTTTGCAGCTTTTGCAGCAGCTTTTGCCTCGGCTTTTGCAGCTTTAGCATCTTTAGCAGCCTTAACAGCAGCTTGTTTTTCTAATGCCCTGGGGCGGCGAATCCCGGGCCCTTGACGCACCATAGCTAGATCCTCAAGACGGTTAGCGAGCTTGTAAATGGGATTGTCCTGTAGGGCTCCGTGTACATAGACGTCCACGTCCAAGCTTGGGTCTTCCTTCTTCATTGACTCTGCAATCTCTCTCTGCTCCTCCATCAGAAAATCCCGGTTTCTCTGTAAGTTGCTCATCTTGCGTCGGATTGAGTCCGTACTGCGGTCGCTCAAGTAGTACTTCTGGATCAGATTCCATGCCCTGCCGTACTCCTTGACGCCCTGCTCTAATAACTTGATATCGCCATCGTCCCAGAATTTGCGAGATTCTATGCGCGCGCCCTGCTGATTTGGAAGTCTCTGCCACTCCGCGATGCACATGTTCGCATCAAAGTCTGGACCAATGTGTTCAGCGATCCATGACCAGTTGATAGGATGACCTGAAGCACGCTCCTGCTCCTGTTGCTGGGTGACAAGGCGCCTTAGGCGGTAAATGCGCTCGTTGCTCCATAGCGAAGATGAATCTTGCGTTGTGGTTGAGGATGACTCTAGCACTGGCGATGACGACAACGATGACGACTCCTCGATGTCTTCGTCCTCCGATATGGATTCCAACTTGACGTGACCTGATCTCTTGAACAACGTCTCATAGTCATCGTCGGATGCTTCAATGCCACGCTTTGCTGCTTCCTGGGTCCAGACTGGCAGGGTGCTGTACTTCATCAACATGGTATTCAGAATATCGACCTCGGCGTCTGTCCATGGCCCATCCCGAGGCACTGGTGGCGCGGATTTGCTCTTTCCTTCCTCCTCATTTTCCTCGATCTTGGGTTCATCCTTGATGGCAACCCCACTAAGTCGATAATACTCTGCCTCGACTTCGTCGTCGCTCAAAAAGGGTTTGACCTGCTCCCGAATACTGGTCCATCCCGAAAACAGTCCATGCTTCTCCACAGCCTCTAATAGTGCTTCATGCTCAGCTGTGGTCCATCGAAGTCTATCCTGTGCCGAAAATCCTGCCTGTTTCTCCAGCATCTCCTCCTGCTCTCGTCGTTTTCGCATCCGAGCAGTTTTAGAGGTCTCCGTCACATAGCTGAAGGCCTCGAGCTTGATCCAGCCCTGTGCATCTTTCAATGCATTAAGTGTCAGGGCCCGGAACGTATCCTTGCACTCCTTCTCAGATCTCGTCCTTACACCCATAGCGATCGCAGTCCAATCGGAACCGTTATGCTCCAGCCACGCCCTCCAAAACGATTCAATCTCCTGCTGCGTCCACGCAAATGACTGGGTCGAGGTCATCATACCCTTGATTCGATATTTGCCCTTGCCAAGCGTGCGCCATTGATGCTGACAGGCCTTGATGCGGGCGTTCAAGGTCGCGGCAATGTGCGACCACCGTGCGCCGGCCTCGACCATTTGATCCAGTTTGGCGAACATGGCCGGTGTCCAGTTCCGAAGTGCTGGGTCCAGAGCGCTGTAATAACGATCGGAACAAGCTGATGACGAGCGGCCAGTTATGAGGGCGATGTAATCCCAGGTGCGGTTCGCGTTTCGGAGATCGATGATTTGTTGGTCGATTTCTTTTGTCCATGTTCCGGAACCTAGGTTGCGCGGGCGCCGTGCAGCTGGTTTTATTATGGACGTCTAATATATATTGGTTGGGAGCGCAGACAAGGGTAATAAAAAGTAGGGATCAGACGGGTGTTTGAATCATGGTTACGAATGTAGACGGCGCTGGATATGAGACTGTCCACCTACTTCGCCGGTGATAGCCTGTGCAGCAGCACTAGTAACGTCTGTCGGACTATCATGCGCTCGGATACGGTAGTATCGAGGCGCAAGTATGGTCGTGATCTGGATCCTGCAAAGTGCGGCCTGGCGTTGAGTAGGACGAGCGAGCACAGTGGCGGACCATTGGAAGGAACGCACCAGTGCCGGTGATAGTAACATTATGGGGCGTACTGTTTGTCCTGTGGTTGCCGTTTCTCGTCAGTTGATTCCAGATCGATATCCTGCCGACTTGGAAAGAGGCGGGTTACAAGTCCGGTGGAGTTGTCCAAGGGGAAGGAGTTGGTTGGGTCATGGTTGCTTTTCTCCGGTTTTTTGTTGATGTTTGTTGTTTACGATTACTGAGACAGTCCCACACCTCCTCCATTTATGGCTATTGAGGATTTCCTTGCACTGGACTTTTGCTGAATCAAAAATCATCATGCGTGCGAACGAGCGGATCGCCCTTGTACGTGTCCTCATTCCAACAAGGAAAACATATTGCGGAATGAAAGAAGAATAAAGAATGAGCTCAGGAAGCAAGAAAAAAAAAGGAATAACATTATTATCGAATTGCTCTCGCCCTGGCCTCTGTTCTATAGGTAGGCGAGAAATGCGTCCTGGTGCCGTATCTCAAACGCCATGTGGAGCACTATAATAAATGGATGCAGTCGCCCGAGTTGTTGGGTGAGTCAAGTGTATTGCGTGTATCAATTGGACTTTTTAGCAGAGGGCCCGTGTATTCCAAACGATGATATGCCATTTGCTTCTAACCAGCAAGTATGGCACGCTCCTGTCCTACGGTTAGAGATGACCGCCTCGGAGCCATTGACGCTGGAAGAAGAGTACGAGATGCAAGAGTCGTGGCGAGTGGATGAGAACAGTGAGTCTTCACGTGGCACACATCTTTTCATGCCTTGGATCTCCATTTCCCGAGGAGAAACAACTGTCTTTTTTTGATCTGCATGCTAACATACCTTTTGATGCATGTTGGAATGTCCCAGAATGCACGTTTATTATATTGTCAAGAGAGAGTCCCAACCAAGAGATCACCAGGACGAATGCTCTTGCTCAAAGTAAGTCCCCTTCGTCCCGCTGGCTGCATCGACTTTGCGCCAACGACAGCCTGTCAACAAAATATTCAGAACCGCTAACGGCGCCATTACATGATACCAATTAGAGATGGTCGGAGATGTCAATTTGTTTTTTAACGATCATGACGACCCCCGTTCGGCCGAGATTGAGATCATGGTTGCAGGCAGGTTGTGTATGATTTCTTATGACTATAGCAAGAACGAGAAACGGGATCAAGGCATGCGGCAGTGCTAATGATTAAAAACTGATTGTATAGAGCCTAGTTATAGACGAAAGGGAATGGGCTTGGAGGCGCTCCGGATGATGATGGTCTACGGTAAGATCGAGTGTTTGCACGCGGTCGAGGGTCCTCGTATAGCTCCACTTTCAAATACTCATCAGTTGAAAGAATCTCTCTCTTCATGTTTGATTAATGTGCAGCACAACAATCTCTTGGCACAAGACGCATCACCGCCAAGGTCTCGACCGAGAACAAGGGCTCGATCCAGCTGTTTCTCACCCAGCTCGGTTTTGTCCAAATTTCGTACTCTCAGGTCTTTGGCGAGGTCACTCTTGAACGCGTCCTGTCCCCCCAGTCCCCCTCAGCCGCCTCCGATAATACTGATGTTGGCAAAAACACGATACTGGAACAGTTTGTTACCATTCAACTGGACGAGGACCAGCTTGACCATTAAGCAGAGAGAGAGAATAAACATACTGCAGACATGTATATGTACACTTACACGCCAAATAGATCGCCAAATAGATCGGCAAACCATGTCTTCCTCCCTTGATACCGCTTCGTCATTCTTGCATGCCGTTATTCCCGCTATATTGTGCAGCCTGAAAAAGGCACATTGGGAAAGAGTACACGTGCATATTTGTTAGGTCATTGTTGCTGTCAGGGAATGGCTGGACAACGTACATTCCAATTCAGGGTCGACATGCAGACTGTACAAATCTGACTGTACCTCATGACCCTTTTGATTCAGTACACATTTTTTGATACACCAATCTTTCAAACATGGGGTAGAAAGGAGCTACAAAGGGGTGATGTCTGTTAAAAAGTGATACGGAGATGACAGCAGTACTGTCAGGTCTCGTCGTCATTTAGGCCGCGGTGGGGATCTCTTCCACATGGAGATGGTTCGGTGACACTGCATGGCCTGTAGCAAAATGTGAATACAGACAGAGCCCATTGTGGACATAATTCTTTTTGCTTTGATGGATTTGAAACGGATGGAATTGGCCCGTTCTTTGTGTTTCAAAGAACAGCACACAAAGAGGGTCCTTAAAGCGAGCATTGTGTGCCATGGGGCGGGTTCAGGATTCATGCGTCAGTTGGGACTAGGGCCGGTCGGAAATATCTGCAAGGTATGCTGCGGATATGTGTATGTTGCGTGTGTTGGCTGCAGAAAACAACAGTGCATGCACCCCGTCTGTACTTGCGGGAAAGAGGGAGAGGAGGAGGAGTAGGGTGGTGATGGACCACTGGATTATACCACTGCATCCTGATCCACCAGCTCAGTGAACATCAATCAACAAGCTCTTTAGTTACCAGATACAGTACCTACTTTGTTATGTTGTTTCGTGTTCACAGTCCTTGTCGGGTTCTCGGTGGTATTGAGGTGTTTACATGGAGGAGAATGACTTCTTTGCTTTCCTCAGGGTGAGTCAGATCAAATTAGGTCTATACACTGTCCCTCGGTCCCTCAGTCAGGGGCGCTCGCAGAGGGAGTGTGCTGCAAATGAAGGAGCTGTTTGAGATTGATTGAGTCTTCGGCTATGGCGTTCACGCGCAGTACAGCAGATAAATGAACAGGGGAGACCGTTAGTGCTATTGGATGAATCAGGAGAAGCGAACCTTCTCTGGTCCTCATTAACCCTAAATAGTAGATGGATGTCTAGATTTCCGAGATGGCTGGGCCAGTCAAATTACTGTCGAAAACCAAAAGGGCGGTAGGAGTACGAAAAATCGATAGCGACTGGAAAAGCAATATACTCAAGAGAAGATATGGGAGACAAGCGCTGCTGAGTATGTAAGCAAGGTTGGTGCTGCTCTTCCATCTATGAACAGCAACCAAGTATCTCCTACGTATGGCTTGTTGATCCTCCCCCTTCCTACGCGCTTTGTAACGCGTGTGGACTACATGTACATGTACTTCCGTAGACTACAACTGTCTTAGATCATCCTTGCTCAGCCTCTGTCTTATCAAGGACATAAAACTTTGTAATTGCGCACTGTGCCCCGCTTTCTCGACTTCGTTCCCCATCGTCAAACGAACATGGACTGGGGCATATTTGCAAAAGAGCTCCAGATAGCGAGCAAACCTCCTCTCTCTATTTCCCATGCGTCATTAAGACTTAGAACCTGCTGTAAGTTGGGCCCGCTAACCAAAATTCATTAATCGGCACTTTATGTTGTAGTTGGTCATATTCGCCCACATACATCCTCATACAAACAAACCAGGTGTCGCAGGATTTGCACATGCCACATGATTCCTTTGGTTTTTTTTTGTTTGCTCCCAGCAGAATCGTTTGCGCCGAAATAATTGGCGTAACTCTGCGGCGGGATGAATAAACCATTGGCGGCACATACAGCCCCATAATTTTTGTTCATATGGACTTTCGTGCATGTGGGATGGAAGATTGGTTCAAGCCATTCTCGTTCACTGGCATGAGTGGAGCCATAGGGCTAGCAAATTAGTACTATCCTATTTTCTTCTCGCTTGTTAATTGCGTACAAGAGTGGCGTTCTTGAAAATCGGTGAAGCGTTAAAGCGAAACGAGCAGATATGGTCGCTCTGAACGACAAAAGACGAGGCATTTTTTGATACGTGGTTTGGTTTTGCTAGTGTATCATCCTTGATAGAGTCCAAATCACTGGCGAACCGCAAGATATATTTCTGAATACTTGAGAATCAATTTAATGAAATAAGGTTTCTTTGAGCAGTAGATCTGTAAGTGCATGGTCATGCTTTTAAAGGAGGCCCAACCACCCACCATCCAAACGACACGGATGGAATTGAAAAGGACTACTAAGGGCGTATCAAATCAAGTCGAGATCTGAGGCACAAGTCGCGAGTCATGGATCATAAAGCCAAGCATACGACGTGTCTCTTGCTGCCGTCCTCATTAAGGAAATGTATAATAAAAAGCAGGTTCGTCGCAATCGTATTTATTCCTCTTAAGTCCCGCCTAGACGTGACCCACGAGCTCCATTGAAGTAGTAGCCCTGCTAGACATTACAATGTCTGCTCTCCATAGTCCTTCCTCATCTATGCTCCGAGTCTTGTGGTATGCTTTGCCGTGTCATTTTCAGTTTATTCAGGGATGTTCAAGATGCCCGTTCTCGAGAATTCTATGGCTATATCGCATAACTCTACATCCACGCCAGTAATCTCAGACAAGCGATCTCTCGTCATCCAGTCTCGGACCTCAGGCGGAGCCGTGGAAAATTTTTTGAAGGTGTTGGCTAGGACCACGTACTCGTCGCGTGTGAGGGGGCTACGAATATCCTTAGAGGCATTTTCGCTTTGAATCCGAGAATCGGGAGGTGACAGTTCACAACTGGATGAGGAGCTTGCGGGTCCGGAGCAGATGAGGGAACCAGAAGTGCGCTCGGCAGGGGTCGACATTGCTTGCTGATTGTATAAGGGATGGAGTTGAAGGAATGAAGATCGTGCATTTCACAAGAGGCTATGCGATTAATTTTCGGCCCCATACATTGATTTCAAACAAAGAATCACGTTTAATTGTGGTTATTCATATTCGTACTCTTCCCCTTCGAATTCGAAATGGTCATCCAGCTTCTCTATGATAACTAATGGCCGGCCATAACGAGCATATTCTTCTTGGAGCTCTTCCTCCCAGTCCGCTTCACTTACAGACCTGAGTTCATCCTCATCCGGATAATGAGACTCCTCCTCATGGTCTGTGGCGGTAGCGGAAGCGCTCGAAATATCACCTTGAGACAGTTTATCCAGGGCATCATAGTATGCTTGGCCGATCTTGACGCTCTTGGCCCACACTGAGATGAATGTACTGTCCTTTAGCTCGCAAAAGTAGTGAGTTAGGGTTCTCTTGAGTCTCAACGGTGTCATCTTCCCTGTCGTATAGGCAGCGACCTTGTTCTTCACAACGGCCCATATCTTCTCGATGGGCTGGAGCTCGCAATGGTAAGGAGGGGTCTTGAAAATCTCATGGCCACCAATTTCCTCCGCAATTTTTGAAATCGAAAACGGCTGGTCAGGTAGACTCTTGATATACGCCAGCATTTCATGGTTCGTTGGTGGGCGTCCGTTCTTCCCATGTGGAACCAGGTTATTGGTGACAGCGTACCAATTCAATATGTCCTCCTTAGTGCTTCTGGTAGTGGGCTTCCTGTTGACCTTACTGAAGTGATAGGAGGCGCCATCAAGGTGAATGTGGCAAGGGCCGAGTCCCATGTCTCGCAGATTCTCGCAAAGTTTCCTGAAGATGCCGTTAAATGTCTCCGAGTTGAAGTTTCCATGATAATCGTCGTCCTTTGCTATGACATTAGATGAGCGAATTACATCCGGGACGTCCTTCCATAAGTCGGCGTCTTGCAATGATTCCAGACCATTGGATAGGCCTTTTTTTGATTTTGCGGGCCAGATATGCACACTGTCCTTGACGAACTTGCCCACAACTTCGTCCGTGTCCGCATCGTAGTACACCACAAAGGCGGCGAAAATAACCAACAATGGCTTCCGACCGGGCTCGGAAACTGCACCTCCTGTTGAAACCCACCGCTTCGCTGCTGCATGATCAAGGTGACAGTACGACTCATCCAAAAATACCTCGGGCCGTTTGGGCACCAGCCTTCCATCCGATAGAGTTCCCAGGTTTTGTAGGCGGCGCGCGAGGTACTGACGTCGGAACTTAACATTCTGCGGCGCATCGTGCAAAATGTTTTGGCGGATCCCTTTGCCCCAGTGAAGTCCCAGTTTATGGAGATAGCGTCGGATAGTGCTGACTGATACATCGAGTACCTTCTCATCTCGTAGCTGGTTTGCAATGCGATTAGATGAGTTGGGTAGTCCTAGCTTATTGGTCTCGACCACAATTTCCATCATCCTATTAGAAACGGCCATTTCCAGCGCTTGCTGGGGAGGTCCAGATCTTTTGGCTTCGCCACCTTTGAGGGTGCCGGTTATCGAAAAATCAATCGCCTTCCTGCATGTCGACTCACTGACGCCGGTCAACAATGACAGTTCTTTAGATCTTGAGCCATTGCCAAGGCTTGAGATCCATTGCTGGACAGGTTCTGGAGCGAGGGAGAGACTCTTGAAAATCATTGCAAGGATGCAGTATTCATTGAACGTAACGCAGGATCTATCACGCTTGAAGGTGGGGTTATTCAGGACAAGATCCTCGCTTGGCTTCGATGCTGAAGCAGGCTTTTTAGGTTTGGAAGAGTCCTTTGGTGCCCTACAGTCATTCCTGGAGTCAAAGGGGTTTGAGGAATCGTCCGCGACAAAGGCCAATGTCGGGGGCACCTTATGGAATTTGGGGGGTTGGATCGGAATGCCACAACTCTTGGGAGGGGTTTCCTGTACAAAGAACAAGTTCCCTACCGGTGGGTGATATCGGAGAGGAGGAGGAGGAGTACGAATCCTATGACTCGGGGAACGGTAAGGGGATTGTCGGTTGTAGCCAAGAGACCCCGGAGACCCCGGAGATCTAGTAGGAGTAGGAGTTCTGCGCCTCTGTGGGGGCTTGGGACAGTTCCTGGGCTTGGCAGAGTTTTTTGGCGTCCTGAAACTATTTCTGGAGGTGAAGGTGTCCGAGGGATCATCCTCGACAAAGGTTAACGTCGGAGGCACCTGGTGGAGGCTGGGGGACTGGGTCGAAATGCCGCGACTCTTGGAAGGGGTTTCCTGCACAAAGAACAAGTTTCCTACTGGTGGGTGATATCGGAGAGGAGGAGGAGTACGAATCCTATGACTCGGGGAACGGTAAGGGGATCGTCGGTTGTAGCCAAGAGGCCCTGGGGACCCTGAAGACCCTGGAGACCCAGTAGGGGTTCCAGGCCTCGGTGGGGTACGACAACTCACGCGAGTAGGGGATGTGGTAATATTCCACGCGTCTTGTTTCGGGGAAGCATTGGGAAGCGATGAATTAACGCGTCCGATGGTCTCAATGGGAATGCTAGTGCTGTTGGACATTTTTTCTCGGTTGTGTTGCAAGATTTGTGTGGTTCATCATCTAGCCATGAGCTTTCAAATGAGCATTGGCGTTGTGCATCCGTAGCCCCATTCCCTAAGTGCACTACGTCTCAGTTTGCTTGTAGAGAGCTACCAGTCGTTCCAAATTGGGAACAACAGGAATCTGTCCAAATCGGGATAGTAATCATTCAATTCAAAAAATATATGCGTCCAAATTAGGAGTATTCACTTCAATTCAAAATTATATTTCGCGGTTTACCAATGCTTTCGACTCTATCGACCATTAGATAGCTCCATTACATATTAAGTAAATGAGTAACAGTCTATGACAGTCCCCCTACCCTCCCCTCCCCTCCTCCACCTTCCCTTCGCATGACCCGGTGCATAGACTATATGTGCCAAGGACAGAGTGGCAGACTATCCAGGGTACTAACAGTATAGCAACATGAGAGTAGACGGAAAAACGCCTTGGCACAGGATTCGAGCCACTTCAATTTAAATTAAAGCTGAAGGAGTAGTATATCCGGACCTCAGACCTAACCTAAACAGGCTCTAGGCGAGTAAAGCAGCTCTGCTGTAGTCTACCATTGATGGGTTTTTACTAGAGATTCTCAATAATATATAACGGTGAGAAACGCTAGTTTTTACGAATGGTTACAAATGGCCCGCACACGGAGCTATACCCCTTTCGATTTAGGGATGGTTTCTCCCGCGCAGTAATGCAGTGGCGAATCCCCCGTAGATTGCAAACGATGCTGCACTTTCCAGAAGCATGCAGGAACGTCTAGAGCGGGCTAAGGAGGAAAAAGAACTATGGCTCTCATCCATTCGATCATATTTAGCGCATGCTCTCAAACGAGAAAAAATAAGACATCTGGACAGGATAACCCATATAGAGATGGCGGTTTTTAGAGCTGGTGCTCTTTTTATGTGTCCGGTCCGATGATGAGCCCCGGTCGGAAGAGATCGTGGTTAAGCATGTCCCCCGAGGTTTCCAACGTGGAGGTTACCTACTTAGTGGCTAACTTGTGCTGCTCGCGAGTAGACTATACCTCGGTTTTTTTTTAGGTTAAAGCCTGGTGTGGTCACCTCGTCGAGTCCACAGCTTGCGGATGCTGGCTTAGAGCCAGTTGGGCGTGACGAAATAGAAGGAGTGTTTGAAATGGATGTCAAAGAGCAAGATAATTGCCGAAATCAGTCATTAATGCAATAAAGGCCAGACAGGCTGAACGCAACGGGACACGGCGTAGAGGGCGAATGTACAGAATACAGTGTATGTATCTTTTTTCATATTCATTTAATTTGCCCGGTCTTTTGTCTCCAAGCGCAGGCGAAAGTCTAGGTGCTCGCAGGCCAAGGATTGGTTCCCCTGAAATCTCATTTACTCGGAAATTTGAGTTCTCTTTCCTCGAGGTCTGGGTAAACAACCAAACGTAGGAGAAAGGAGTTCCTGAGTTCCAGTCCGACAGAATTGGCTGGGCTTGTGGCTTTCTATATTGGGTCGCAGGGGTCACACAGGGAACAACAGATAAAAAGGCAAACTTTAAATCGCCGATCGACTGAATGGTTGTCCCCATTGAATGCAGGCCAGTCAGAAAGGACCCTTCACAAACTGACCAAAATGGCAATCTCAATTCAGGAACTAACTTGGCCTGACCAACCAGAGGCCGCTGTCTTAATTAAACTGATGGGCTAATCAGAGGAAAGGCTGCCGCAACAGAGTCTGTCTAACCACACCCTGCTCAACCTTGCTTTTTTTTTTTCTTTCTTTCTGCTATAAAAGGCCTCATCCTCACCACCTCTCCATCGCATCACCCAGCTCTTCCTCACCACTCCTCTCCACACCAACTCAACCCTCTCCGCTTTCGGACAAAGCACACTCACTCCGCCTTTCTCGCACACTCACAAGGCCTTGATCTACCTGATCTCCTATCCAGCCAACCCACAGCCCCCAACGCGCCATCAAACATGATCTTCTCCACCCTCTCCAAGGCTTCCCTCGCCCTCATCGCCACCTCCATCCTCCTCATCCTCACCCAATCAGTCGAGTCGCACTCGTACGTCGACTGCGTCGATTGGCGCTTCTCGGACCCTAAGAACAAGTCCTGGTCCGATAAGCACGGTAAATGCATGGGCTATGCTCGTCGCTTCCCTCTGAAGGCCAAGCCTTTCGCCAAGCTCGATTCCGATGACCCCAACCGCCACTACCAGCAGTCTCACAAGGACCCCGACCACGCCTTGCCTTGCTCCGACGGCAAGCAGGGTGAGGAACCCGGTGCTAATGAGCAGAGAGGCAAGACTTTCGAGGCCCCCTACACAGGAGTTGACCAACATGGCCGCAAGGTCGGTCAGATGACTGTCGTCAACGCTGGCAATGAGCTCTGCATTCGCTGGCCTGCCAAGAACCACGCTGTCCCCGACGAGAAGAATGAGCCCGTGACCATTGGTTTGTCCGGACCCAACCCCGCTAAGGACCCCACGCAGCAAGAGTTCTTAAAAAACATTATCAACAAATTGAACTACAAGAACTGCACTGACAAGGGAAAAGACACCGACATCTGGCCATGCGGCGGTTGCTTCAAGGTGTCCGAGAAGCTCAAGCCTGCCATTTACACTATGCAGTGGCGCTGGATGCTTAACGGCGATAGCGGCAAAGAGTATTATACAAGCTGCGCTGACATTAAGGTCTTGGCCAAGGGCGCGAAGAACTAAAGCAGTCTTTAAGCCTTGATACCCTTTTCCCCGCCGTTTTTTTCTTTTTTCTTCATCTTCTCTTTTTTGCGCGAAGCGCTGTGCGCGAGTCAAAAGTAGAAAGTGCCATTAACATTAGAAATTTCTCAGCTGTACCATACATTCAATAAAAACGATATCCACCACAAGACTTAATTCAACCGAGCAGTATTGTTTTCTAGTACATTCCAGGTTCACTATTTACTGATTTTGTGGCTGTGCACCTGGTCACGGCAGTTTTATAAGATCAGAAATGTGAATGTGAAGGACAAATATCGAAAGCAGACAGATCAAGGCCGTCATAGAGTTCAGGCAATCAAGATCTCGTGGACCAAGGGAGTGAACATGTCAAAACACCATTTTCCGCAACAAAGGACTCGAGTCGTTAATAATGAAGCACGGCAGGGGTCGTATTTCGATGTAACCAAGCGCACGTGTGAGATGCACCACAGCCCATGGTTCACTCAACCGGTGTACCTATCCAAGGCCTTTTCTGGACATCACAAAGGACCGCCCTTCGTATATGTATAATATGTATAATATGTAATTGCTCGGAAGTAATAGCCATCCATTATTTATGTGAGATTCGGCGTATCTGTAAAGACTCCACCTGGACGCTTAATAACGTTCTTTAGTATGCCTTGTGTGCATTATAATTGACGATTTTTCACTTATTATGATCAACTTGACGCAACGACGAGTATGTAAAAGCACCAGGAGACATTCAACGAGATCATGGCAATCCCGGTGGAGAAAGAAAGAGGTGCACTCAGACATATCTTGATTAATAAGACGGTGAAAATGATCTGCTATGTCTCTTAAAGACATACTGTCTCTGAGTATATGGACGCCGCTCATGGAGTCTCTGTTGCCTAGCCAAGGCCTAGGTCTGTTTCGATGGTGACTATAGAACTACGAGTTTTGGGCTGAGTATGGTTCTCACAGGGCACCGGGACTGTGACAGAGAGAACAGAATTTCCACATAAATTACTAGACTGATCAGGCCATTTGATCACATAGACTTGGAGCAAAGTCGATGAAAGATCCGTACCATACCATAGTATATTCCATAGCATGCTCCGCAGCTAATTTCGTGTTTGCCTGCCGTCCGCATGGCTGTGTTCGTGTTCTTACATTTACTTTGCGACAACGATTGCTGCATACTAGCAACATGAATTACGCAGCTCGCCGCATGTCCTCGATCCGTATGGTCTGAGTACAATCGTTTAAACCATCAATCGCTCTGATTCAAGAACACGCGAATACTATGGTGCAAGCTTCGTGGTCTCAAGGACCACTGTACTACACTCGCCAAATACGAATCAACTCGAGCACTCTTCACTAAACTCCGAAAGACAAACGATCCGCAGAAAGCAATGGACTCGACCTACGGATATTTTGAGAACACTATGTTGAGGAATTACCACCATACTGATCTCTGTTTTTTTTTTTTTTTTTTGCATCACGAACATTTCTGTAAACATGACACCTTTTCCTCGCGGTCTTATTGCATTGAATTTGTCAAGGCAACCTTTCAACCTCCAAAAAAATTGGTCATTATCGCATATTCATCAGTGTAGAGACATCTCTTTCTCATTTACTTATCTGGACCCTATACTTCTCAGTCATTTCATACAGCAGGAAGGAAAACATTTTCAGTAAGATTTTATTACTGGGACGCTTGGCAGGCAACCTTCGCATAGATACATATTATATGGGAAGCACGGTCCATATAGGTTTTGTATGGTTGTTGTGGTTGTTGCTTGTGCTTGTGTGTGTGCGTTTATGCCTTGTGTGGCGGCGTGGGTTGGTGATGATAGAGGATGAGATTTAGGGTGACGAGGGAAGTAGGTCCAGCCAGTCTTCCATATTGACGACGTCTGGTTCCAAGTCATGCCTAAGAAGGCGTCTCTCTTGACTAAGCATCTTGTAAGCCATATCGTACTTTGTCATCAGGTCTATGGTTGAGGACTAGAGTTGAAAAGAAATGATTAACAAGTGCATTTCTGACAGAACAACATGAGACTTTGGAGCCAAGACTTACTCTTAGCAGCAGAAGTTGGTGGAGCGCGAGGAGAGAGGTTGACATGTTTTGCACATTGGGGTCTAAGCGGACTTTGCTCCATCGTATGAGCCTAGTAACGTTTTCACCCTTTGTTCCCCAGCATACCGCTACCCGTTGGATGCACGGCCCTAGGACCCAGAAAGGTTAAAATAAATAAACCATTAAGAGGCTGTGCGCTGGAATGTTGTTGCCGGCGACAAAAGACATTTACCTCCTAATACAAGCCCTGAAACTAGAACATCCCGTAGCTTTCCGGGGCCTCCAACCTCCATTGACCGTGCCACAAGGATGTCATGAAGCTGACGGGGTAATTTGAAATTGCTATCATATGCGTATTTTTGGGACAACTCATCCCATACCCGGGCGGCCTCCCCGATGGCCCAGTCTTTTTCTGGGGAAAGCATTGAACGCCATATAAAATCGGCGCGCAGGCCCATCCTCTTCCGTGAGTCTTGTGGTGTCTCCTCTTTCGCGTGCATCTTAAAATTTCGACGGGCTGTTGAGTCTTTCCCTGTCATTTCCCCAACCATCATGAAACATCCCGGGATCCCCTTGCAGAGGTTGTTACAAACGCCCCACGCATGCGTTTCCCACCACTTTTCTGAAAGCTTCCCCTCTAAAGCGAAAGGGGATGGGTTCATCTCGTAAATATTAGTCCTAAAACATGAAACCGTGGTTGTTAGAAAGAAGATGAGAAAAAGAATTCCAGAATAAGCGTAGAAAAGTGAAAAAAAATACCAATTTTTCAAGCAACTGTGGATGAGCTCGCATTCAGCGTCCTGTGCGGGGCTGCTATCAAGCCGTGTCTTTAAATCATTCAGAGATGAGACTTCGTCAAACTTGCCCATAAACGCTGAGGCGGAATCTGAGTATCCTGTGGTCTTGGGAATCCCCTTCAAAATCTCATCCCAGTCATTTTGATTGAATAGTTTTTTTGTAAAGGGATCTTGTATGTCAATCATGAAGGCATGAATGGGACTAAAGAATGCAAGAATAGCATTATGGAAAAAAAAAGAAACAAAGAAACGAGGCGAGTTGGTGAGCAGAACGGCATGGAAGGTCAGTGGTGCAGAACACAATGGCAAGAACATTTAATTCCTTACTGTGAAACTGCTAGCTCCTTTCCTGCATCGTTCAGGACGTCCTCAACCACCGTTCCAGATTCTAATGTCCATTTCGGCCGAAGGACATCGTATCGCCGTGGAAGTGATCGCCGGGAATCATCCGTGAACTATTCAACAGCGGCGAAAAAAGAGCAATGAGATTTGTTGACCAGTTTTAAAAATACATGTGTTAAATTAAGGCCAGCCCAGTTCCTTACTGCATTCTTTTTTTTCTTGTCTGTTTTTTGGGTCTCTTCAAACAGGCGCTTGCGTGTATCTGTACAAAGAGCTGAGCATGGGTTACAAAAGGCGATATTTAGAAAGACACAAAGGATGAAATCTGAAGGCACGTACCAGGTGATAATGCTGCTGCTGCTGCTGCTGCTGCTGATGATGATGATGATGATGGTGCGTTGAAGTGCACTTGGAAATGATGAAAGGTGTGAAGATCCAGAAAGCAGATTAGCTAGGTGCCTAAACTTTAAAAAAAAAAAAAAAAACGCAAGTAAATAGGCAAAGCAAATGCATGCTCATACAAGAAAGAGGATCCTGTGGCAGCTTACCAGATGTTGTTATTTTTGGCCTGGCTGACGGGGAAATGGCCTTGCAGGGTAGTTTAAGATTGATTAAAATAATCAAGGTCGATATGTTAATCCAGCAAGAAAGAACAAAATCGACAACGTACACGTCTGACTACTGGAATATATTACCACACACCATGCTTACCTGAGAGGAAGACCTTGATGGTGCCAATGTCTCGGCTTGGATAGGATCATTCTATGCGTAAGAGATAGGTGTAGGAAAATGTTAAGCACTATCAAACCACAATTCACGGCCAAAATTGATTATTGGCACAGGTCAAGCTAGCCTGTATATAAATTTCAGCTTCCATTAGGTCCCCAAAGAGCAGTATGGCTCCCTTTCGACATTATCGTACCTGCCCAGCAGATGTTCTCAATCGAAATAATTCCAGTGGTGAAGTTGGTTGTGCAAACGTTTTAGTTGAGAATTTAGCCTGCACAGTCGAGTATGTGGTTTGATTCTTTACTGCCGCCATCTTAATTTCGAAAAGGCCTTTCGCTTGTTCTTTGAGAATGCTTCCGCCTGTTGTGGACAGATACACTAGCCACCGTCGAGCATAGACGCTGGGAGATGGAAGTTGTTTTCCAATTATATTGAGGCCCTGTTCAAACCCGTCATATCCAAATGCGTCCGAATTATTGGCGTAATGGATCGGATGCCAGTTTCCAGGGTAATTGGTTTTGAAGTACTCATCGATGGGAAGGTTGGAGAGTACATTAGCGTCGTAATCGCCAGAAAAGATAGGAGGCTCCGTCGACATTTCTGAAGAACAAGGTACAAGGGAACGGGGAACAGGAATAATCATCTCTTAGCATTGTGCTGTAGCCAGGAGACGCGTTTACCAGCGTGACTGCCTCTACGAATCATGATCTTATGGTGTAAAATTGATGTTTTGATTCCGATGCGTGTGTACTTCTTAATCGCATACATCCCGTTTACTTCTCTTTTCTAAATTCAACAGTGAGCGCCATTCTAGATGATAGTGTCTCATCGCAGGGTGCTCTAAGCTATGATGCGCGTTGGGCTCAAGGTAATGTACCCCAGACAGCGCCCATGGTTGGTGACGCTGGGCATCCTTTTTCTTATCACTCATCCCTTCATACTCGCAATCGCATTTTCCATGTCACCGTCCACCGTTTACTTTTTTCTAAATTCCACGGTGAGCGCTATTCTAGATGATGGTATCTCATCACAGAGTCCTCTGAGCTATGATGCGCGTTGGACTCAAGGCAATGAGTGCCATTCTAGATGATAGTGTCTCATCGCAGGGTCCTCTGAGCTATGATGCGCGTTGGGCTCAAGGTAATGTACCCCAGACGGCACCCATGGTTGGTGACGCTGGGCATCCTTTTTCTTATCACTCATCCCTTCATACTCGCAATCGCATTTTCCATGTCACCGTCCACCGTTTACTTTTTTCTAAATTCCACGGTGAGCGCTATTCTAGATGATGGTATCTCATCACAGAGTCCTCTGAGCTATGATGCGCGTTGGACTCAAGGCAATGAGTGCCATTCTAGATGATAGTGTCTCATCGCAGGGTCCTCTGAGCTATGATGCGCGTTGGGCTCAAGGTAATGTACCCCAGACGGCACCCATGGTTGGTGACGCTGGGCATCCTTTTTCTTATCACTCATCCCTTCATACTCGCAATCGCATTTTCCATGTCACCGTCCACCGTTTACTTTTTTCTAAATTCCACGGTGAGCGCTATTCTAGATGATGGTATCTCATCACAGAGTCCTCTGAGCTATGATGCGCGTTGGACTCAAGGCAATGAGTGTTATTCTAGATGATAGTGTCTCATCGCAGGGTCCTCTGAGCTATGATGCGCGTTGGGCTCAAGGTAATGTACCCCAGACGGCACCCATGGTTGGTGACGCTGGGCATCCTTTTTCTTATCACTTATCGCTTTTTCATACTCACCACTACCTACCATTGTACTAATGCAAAGCTACTGATGACACGTTTCATGAACCTGATGCTGATTCTCGCCTTTATTTATTTGTTGCTGGTAATGAGATTCTGCTTATCAATAGCTCTCGCGATCTTCCGTGCCTGTTTGCATTACAATCGATGGGGGGTAGTAAAATGAAACCCAGGGTCTTTAATCTTATCACTTTTACCCTTATTTCTCCCCATCGCGTAAGTTCCTTGATCGCACACCTACGTACACTGTCATTTCCTGTTTCTGACACATTCAATCATTCGCTCACTATCACGATCGACCAGCCACTCGATTCCTCCTCCTTGGACGACTATCCACATTCAACGAACCAACAGCAGATGCCGATGACCTCAGGAAGCTCATCATGGCAGACCAAGCTCCCACGCTCGATGATATTTCTGCAGACCAACTCACGCTCTGGCGGGTCTCGGTCTCAACTGTCGCGAGACTGATATTTTCGAAGAGATGCCACCGAAGAAAACGATTCACATCATTGAGCAGCGACCAGTAGCAGGTAATTCAGGCATGCTTTGCTCGTCCAAGACTTGTCTGTCTAGCTTAACTAATACGCGAGGACTAATGTAAGCATTCACTCGCTTTGGTATAGCCCATGCATCCCTCCCCACTCGCGTCCCAGTCCATCCCTTGCTGTCTGGTGAGTGCAAGCATCCGTCTATTTTTTCTTATCGCCTTTTATCAAAAAAAAATTCATTCCACATATGGGGTGAAATCTTTCCTGCACTATCTCCATGTAGCGCTCGATGGCTCTTTCTGCCTCGACCTCGACCTCGTCTTGCTTGTCCATCCTACTCACTTCGATTCCGTACTCTAACATGGTCGCCTTCAGATCTTCCCTCCACTTCATACAAACTTGTATTGTTTTGAGAGGCAGAATGACTGATTCGTACTCGGCAACTGATCCATAGTGTCCTCGGAAGACCTCAATTTCCCATCCTTCTTCCAACAAGGAACAGTCGACTTGGCAGTGAGAAGGGTAGCCATCAGCGCCATCATTGATAAACCAATCATCACTGAGAAGGTGTCGGATGTCCATGATGTGGAACAAACGCCAACCATGTTACATTTCTAGGTGCCCCGGAGGCCAGGTTTCAATATGTGCTTAGAAAGAAGGGCAATCATAATGTATTTTACACAATTGCGATCTAGAACTTGAAAGCCTCAAAATGGACCTCCCAATATTACCTATCAAACATGCAACCCAATATTACCACGGCATCAGACCCCGCCGTTACTTCATCAGCCTCGACCTCGGCCGCATCGACTGAGTCAACTACTTCAACGCCCTCAAGTTCCAAGCGTCTATCCGTGATTTTGGGTGTAGCGTTGGGAGTCATCCTTGTATCGGCGGCCATTGGTGCCATCGTTGTCTACCGCAAGTATATCAAGCGTCCCAGCGTCTCACCCTCTGGCTTTTCACTCAAGGAGACAAACGCCGACGGCTCTCCGGACGACCCATACAAGGCAGAGATTGGTCACCAGCACATGTTCAATTACAAGGCTGACGTCAGCGACGATAACGACCCCCAGCACAGAAGCCATCAGTCTCCACATTCGGCTTCGCGAGGGCGGCTCCACGGCATAGGGCGCACCAACAATGGACCGTATCGGTCTCCTCAGCAGCTGAGTGTCTCTGCAGAGGATGCAGCCAGGGGACGGAACGTGCAAGAAGGTCCTTACGGAGCACAGCGTTACTCACAGCATCAACATCCCCATGCCATCGTCCATGGCCCGCCAGAGCGGCCTGACAGTAGCACAGGAGAGGAAATCTACCGCGCACGACCGATCTCGCTGCATCCTCATGCCTACATCGAGGGACCGGTAACAGAAGACGATTTCCTAGAGTGCTACTATGGCCCAGAGCTTATGTCGAGTTCCATTCCGAGCAATACCACTCCACGCTATACTGAGTCGCTACCCCACTACACGCGCAAACCCTCCAGAGACCGGCCCAAAGCTAACCGTAAAAAAATGACAACAATACAGTAACAATAACAATAACAACAATACAATAGTATAGTAATGCAGGAATGAAGCACATATGGCTACGATTTTGAATTCTCGGAAATTGGTCCGTTGCTTTCACCACAGGCATGTTTGATCCACATGCCCTGAAAGCGTACACCGTGGCACAATCTATCGCCAATAGCTCCATTGCTGGATCGTATTCATGTAAACATGGCTTTGGCAGATTCTATGCTACAGAAGACCGTTAGGTACACCCTCTTCTCATTCGCATAGAACTCACGCTGAAAGCAAGTCTGAGTCTTCCTGGGATTCGAACGGGTAGTATCCTTGGGACAATTTTAGAATAGGGAGGCAACACAACTGACTTGTCAGCAATAATGAGATTGATCTTGAATATATCGCACTTTCAATGGCTTTCGTCTCGAATATGTGTGATGAAAAATGGCTGAAGCCATTTCGGACACTTTTTTTTTTTTTTTTTTTTTTTTTTCATTGGCGCGTGGACAGGCGTGCTATTTCCATCAGCAAAGTTGTGGTTCGTTGCCTTCGAAACAGTTCCTGAATCGCTCCATGGATCGTTGTTTCCCTAGCCTGTAGTTTATATAAGTCGCTAATCTTTATAGGTGTTGGATCGAAACCCCATGGCATTTGAGCTTCTCTTTTTTTTTTTTTTTTTTTTTTTTTCAGAATAATTAGATCCTGATACTCCCTTATTAAAGTGAAGTGGTTCATGATATTATTGACACATCCTGGAGAAGGTTCTTTATAGCACACTTTTTTTCTTTCATTCCTTTCGCTCCCCCTCTGAACAACATGACCCATAGCTTGTGCTCTTTGGCAGTACCAATACTATGGAACATTACGAGTGGCCATCCATCATGCACATACACATTGTTCCTCCGCTTTTTAATCGTGTTCAAAGATAAAAACAAAAAAGATAGGTTAGTATGCAGCCAAAGCAGGGCAGGGTATCGGTTGCGGAGTAAATGAAGCTGACCAAATGAGAAAGAATGATATGAAGAGCTGTATGTCTATCGTCGTATTTATACAGCTGGGTCAGGATCCATCTGAGCAAGACATGCGCGTAATGTTCTTGGTTGCGGCGGGTCGCATTAGCATAGTTTTTGCGTGCCAAATCCTGTGAGATCAAAGGCGTACCTGAACAGCCGATCAACTAGATATACCAGACATACAATGCAGCAATGTCAGGTCGTCACCAGCTTCAACGCAACATAATTTACAAGATAGTAGAGTTGTTTTCTGATCAGAATAAAATGCTGTTTTCATTAGGAGCGCAAAGAATAACGCGCGAATGCAAGGTGCTAATACATGAAGAAAAGAAGCGGAAAAAGTACAACGACAAAGGCAAAAGTACCAAATGTAAAAGTATCAAATGCAAAAGTATTAAATGCAACAATGATCTGAATGAATGCAAAAACAAAAACCAATGTCCACTAATAATCGTCCTCATCGTCGCCCGTGTAAAGTCCCCTCCCTGAGGTCGTAAAGAGTGGGCTCTGTAGTCCAAGCAGTAGCATGATCCTCTGATATGTCGCCGACTGTTTCATGGACCGTGCCAGTGTCCTTTTCCATCTTGATCCATTTTTGTACACCTTGAACAGCACCACGGTCGCCATTCCAACTGCCAGCCCGACTTCGATACTGAACAGAATTACAGATGTGAAGGTGATCCACCAGATCAGGGCCTCCTTACGCCTTCCAACCCGCCACAGCCGCTTGGCCTCAATCGTATGAGCCAGCAGCGCCTTTAGTGCCACCAGCACAATCGCCGCCAGTATTGTGTCAGGGATTCTCTCGAATAGAACCGTCAACCATAGCAGACTCATCAGCACCATGAAGGCTCCGACCAGGGATGCAAGTGGAGTCTTCGCGCCCAGCTGTGCCAAGATAGCTGACCGCGTCAGACTTCCTGTGCCCACATATCCTCCAAAGCACGATCCGACCAACGAGCCGACCCCCAAGGCCAACATTTCCTGATCCGCATCGATCTCGTACCCGTATTCTCGTCCAAAATGTTTGGCGACCGAGAGCGAAATCACATAGACCACCATCGCCATGAGGATTCCTGGCCAGATCAGTGGAATCCAGTCATATGCTGACCATGGGTCGATCATTGTCAGAGGCCAGGTCATGGTCGGTAGGCCCGTGGGTATAAATCCAATGACCTCGATCTGGTACCGCCTGTCCAGGTCAAAGACGACTGTGACGACCGTAAAAATAATGACGCAGATAAAGATATCGGGTATAGGAAAATGAACCGTCGGTACAAGTCGCGAGAGCAGATCGCGGCAGCGTCCTGCGTGCTGAGCCTCTTCCGATTCAGGTGCATGCGAGCAAGTTCCTAATGCTGGTGATTCACATCCATATCCTGCGTACACCATGGAATCAGATCCTGAATAGCATTCCTCAGCTTCAGATACAGGGCTCACTGTGCACGCGGATCCCCTCCTGGAATAAGACCCATTCGATATATGCGCATTATCAAGCAGTGGTTCCTGTTCATCCTCTGATTCCTCTAGCATTCGTCGCTTGCTGCGAGTTGACGTGGCAGGGGAGCGAAAGGATTTGTATCGATAGGTCCTGGGTGTTGATGGTATCCTTTGCGAGCGAGTTCGCTCCTGACGATGTCCAAATGCTCCCGTGTTGGTCAAGCCAGCTGTTCCTGGACTCACTGGATTGTGCAAATGGGGTGATGAAAACCCAACAGACGTAATGATGACTGGTCGAGCAGGTTCGGTTGAAGTTTGACTGGTCGAGGTTTGTAAATCCAGGATTCCTGGCTGTTCGAGACTCCGTCTAGGTGAAAGGACCGGTGACCAGTATGGACTACTGTCACTATCGATAATAAACTCTGCGTTTTCCAGTGCAACATCCTGAGGTGTCAACAAGGCCTGATCCGAAACTGCTTTAGGAACAATGCTCCTCTTACATTGCTCGGCTGGTCTTTTCATCGAAGTCCCATGAACGCCCACTCCTCGTTGACAAGTCGAACGTGCCACTGGCGACGGAGTGAGGCTCGGATAAGCAGACTGAGTGGTGTTACTGATGCAAGGACTAGAAATGGTGCGCGCAAAGCATGGAAAGGTGGTGAGAGCGGCTGAGGGGTGAGGCGAGGTGGCCGTTATGGATGGTCTTACAATCTGGCCAGAGTGTGAACGCCTGCGGTACTCGATCCGTTGAAGTATATACATGAGTGCCATGGCAGCAAGACCCATCGCTAATGTGGGCCAGGCAGTATCGCTCCAGAAATGCTGAATGATCCAGACCCAGGTCTTAATCATGCTGAAAATCCCGCCCTCTCGCGGCGGCTTCATGCCCAACAGATGCTTAAGTTGGTGCGTCCCGATATGGAAGGCGGATGCGGTGTTAAATCCGGAGACGAGTGCGATAGGCAGGAGGTGTTTGGAAGTCCATCGTCCAAGTCGCGCCATACTGAGCAGGATCTGGATCACACCGACAAGAAAGGTCAGCATAAGACATATGGGTAGATATCGACGCTGGTATTCTCCATCCGGTGAGATGTCATCGCTGTAGCCCTGCTCGGACAGGATTTTGTGTGCGAACTGGCCAAGGAGTAAGGAAGTGATGGCAAATGTGCCTGTGGACATGTGTCTGCTTGTACCGAAGACTGTATAGAGGACGGTCGGGGCCAAGGAGGTGTAGAGGCCGTGGACGGGCGGCAAGGAGGCCAACATGGCGTAGGCCATGCTCTGAGGCATGATAACAGCCGAGATGGCTATGCGTGATAGCAGAAAAGAAGAAAAGGACGGTCAATAAAGAAAGGTGGGGATCTAGAGGGAATATGGACATTAGATGAATGGTATATCTAGTAGCATATATCCATATATTCGTCATTTTGCGAGTCATCTGCTGCTGTTGTTGTTTTGATCTGATGCACCGCTGAATGCAAATAGACCGGGAAAGCACGAACAAAGACATTAAGATCTGGAGCTCATTTTTTTGTATGTGGGCGGTATGGAAAAAAATCTGTACTCGCAAATTAAGGTTAAGTGCGATAAGAATGTGTTTCAATTGGGACTTACTGACGCCTGCGAAGAGGTCCTGTGTCAGGTGGGCCTTCCAGTTGTACCCGGGATTGCTGACCAGCCATGTGAGAATGGGTATCCTCCGTCGAAGGCAGCGTACTGCTCCACTGGATCCAGACTTTATTCTCGTCTGCCACAGCTGTTTCTTTGATGTCTGTGGATGTGAATGTGAATTTGATCTAGCGGATGACGCTGCAGAGGAACGACACGAGGCCATGGACGGAGTGGGCCTGACACTGCGTGATTGGTCTGCTTGTTCTAGAAGAAGCTCATGAGTTGGAGGACAATTCGAGGCGGAAACTGAAGAGGAGGAGGAGGAAGAAGGAGAAGACGTAGGAGGGGAGGGATTAAAGGAGCTGGAATGGGTCGAGATTGGTGGTTGGATCAATGGTTGATCTGGCTGTCCTGTTTTTGCTTGCGGTGGTGTGGATGGTAATACTGGGTTATGCTGCTGTCGAGGGTGGGGCGTTTGAGAATGCATTGGTTCATGGTGATGCTCCTGTGTGGGTGGGGCATTAGGACGGTGCATGTCTTGGCGGTAAAGCAAAGGAAAGCAAAGCAAGGCAAGGCAAGACAAGACAAGGCCAAAGGCCAAAAGATAAAAAAAAAAAAAAAAAAAAAAAAAAAAGCGTTTGGTGGCGTTAAGGTATCGGGGTGTGGATCGAAAGCAGGAAAGGAGGAGTGTGAAGGAGGAGGAGGAAGGAAGGAGAACAGGCGGGCGGGAAGGAAGGAGGAAAGAAGAAGCGGCAGTGGTTGTTCGAGGATGGCCAGGATGCATGAAGACAGCGGAGAGAAAGAATAGTATGGGGACGGGGGAAGGGAGGAAAGAAAGGAAGGAAGGAAGGAAGGAAGGAAGGAAGAAGAAAAAGAAAAAGAAAAAGACAATACGACTGCGACTGCGATTGAATTTATCTGTCTGTGGGTTCGGGAACCGTGTCATACCATGTCAACTGCAATTCTGCACCAAGCCCATGCAACATAGCCCTTCGAAAACAAACTTTTTTCTTTGTCAATGGGCAACCAGCCCTTTATTCGCTTTCAATTGATGTGTCCACCATATGTACAAAATGCTGACTTTTAAACCTTTCTTATGGACCCGTTCGCTTTTCGTTGTTGTGCTCAATCGATGTCCTGGTAGGGTTGCTACCTGTTGTCCTGGCACGCAACAGTTACTCGTACGCGTGATACCACGAGCTTTCAATGACCTGCTCCTTGACAGCATCAATCTTGAACCAGAGATAGTCGTGGTTACCCCTCCACTTGTAGATAAAATACATCACTTGTGGACCTGCATTCGTCGATCCAGAAGGCATCATCGTCGTCGATACATCTCCCAGTCCTGCACCCGTCGCATTTGCAGCACCAACGCTCGCGTCCGTACCTCCGATCATAGGGCCAGGCATCAATGACGCCTGGAAGGCCTCGTCCATGGTCTGCTTCATCTCGTCGGGCTGGCCCATGGTCGCCAGAATATCTGCGGCAGATGTCCCAGGTTTGCCAAAGTACTCGCCCAGTTTCTACATTGTATAGAGGCAACTCATCAGTTACTCGTGTAGTAGATATGACATACATTGCAGAGACAAAAAAACAGAAGAAAAGGATGACGTGTAGCTGACAGTGTCCCCCGTTCCCCCCGTTCCCTTCTTTTTGAAATAAACCGAATGAACCATCAAAAGCGTGGGAATGGAAGGGGAATGAGGAATGAGAGAGAGAGAGAGAGAGAGAGAGAAGACAGAGAGCGAGCGGAGGATTACGGTAGTACACACCTGCAGGGTTTGGTGCTTCTCGCCGTTGAAGTTATCAACAGCCGGGTTGGCTTCTCCTCCGTCCCAGTGGCCCTTGATGGAGCGCAGGTTCTGGAAGGACTGGCCGAGGGCCAGGTATTCGGACGAGACAGTGGCCATGGTTAAGAAGACGACGAAGAAGAGGAGGAAGAGGAAGAATAGAAGGTGGGTTTTTTTATTGGGGGCCGTTTTGGGAGTTTAAAAAAAGTGATTTCTGAAGAGAGAAAGAAAAAGGAATGAATGGAGAAGGAGCTGTCGCGTCCTTTGATGTCAAGAGAGGAGCAGTCACGGCCAAGGAAGGGGAGAGGAGTGGGGTACGGCCGACAGATGGATTGGATTGGATTGTATTGTATTAAATGGATTGGATGGACTAACTGTGGTATCGTGGGCTCTCGACCAGGGAACACAATAGACTGAGACACACACCGACAGCTATGCGTTCGTGATTAAGTGCTGTTGTGTGTCTGTGCGTGCAAATGTAGGCCATAAAGACGCGTCCACACGCGTTTATCGGACCTGTTTCTTCAACACTCTTCCGTGCATTTGCACTTACACCTTTGCACACATACGACTCGCATGAGCTCTTGGCTTCCTCCATATTGTCCCTCAAGTCCTTCTCAGAATCAATGACACTTAGCATACGTTTCCATGAATCATCTCACTGCCTCTACTACTTGGTTCCCCGCTCACTCACAAGGCATGTCCCATTGAAGCTACTCTACTGCTGCCTTGTGATAGTCAACAGTAATTGACAACGCACAGTAAGCGGGAGCCCAACTGAATTTAAAGAAAAAAAAGGGCACCAGCAACTTCTTTTTATAATTTGCTCCGGTGGTTTATGCGCGTTCTTTGGCTCGAAAAAGACGTCAGGGATACCGTAAATAGGATATGCTTTTTAGTGCTACCAGGCAACGACAGGAAGGCGTCTGAGAGCCCTTTTGGCTCTGCAGGTCGACTCTTTGTTATTGCTGTCCGTTACCACGACGATTACGACTACCACTACCATTAGACTGCCGCGCCCTCTTCCTTTTAAAGCCCTCTCTTTTAGTATCGGCTATCGCTCACATAGCACATAGCTCATATATTTCCGAGGAAAGCGTATGTTTTCCTCAGCTCCCAAAAAAGAAAAGAAAATCCTTCTCCTCCCTCCCCGGCAGTCGTTCCGCACTGAGTGTGAATGAAAAACCCGACAAAGGAGAAGCCGCAAGGCGAAAACGTGTTCTGGTCTGCAGAAAACGATACGTGTTTATTTTCGAAACCGTTCTTCGTTTTCTTTGCTTCTGTTCTTTTGTTTCTTTGTTGGTGCTGCACTTCCGCATCTTCCCCTACACACTGCTCTTTCCATCCCTTCTTGTCTCCTCGCCTTCCTTCCTTCTGCTCTTCCTCCCTTTTTCCGCCATATCCACTTTGGGAGCACTCTTCATTTCATACTACCTCACTCACACCGCAATACCCAATCCTTAGCTTAGTCGTGCATGGTTACCTACCCTTCGCGCCTGTGGTACGTATAGAAATACTTTCTGGCGCCCACATCCAGCAATCTATCTTCTCATAATCCATCTCCAGCCCGGGAAAAGCACCAGCACCCTTCCCTTCATTTCTCACCCCAGCTGTTCTCTTTTCTGTCTCCTCTTATTTCTCTCGCGAATGTTCACGACGTAGTACAACACGTTAATTCACACAATCACACGCAAACATCTGCTTCAAGTGGGGCAGCAACCAACTCCCATCCTGGCTCCCTCTCATTCATTTTCTTGTACGTTTGACTCTTCATCTCCCTCCACTACTGTTCATAAGAGCAATTCATCCCCCCACCTATTCCTTAGCTCCCACCCTTTCCTTGATCCCTGTCGCTTCGCTTGATCCCTTTTCATTTTACTTCTTCCGCTGAGTCTCTGGCGGGTCTTGGATTCTACTGAACACATCCATACTTGCAGTAACAGCTACAGCAACGCCAAGGTGAGGGACATTGCTGACATGTCCTTTAAAGAGACACATGCTGTTCAACTCGACGTGTCCGTTCCGCTACCTTTCCCTCCCTTTTGTTTTTTCAGCCCTTGACAGGAACGTATTCAGGCACAGGCTCGAAATTAAACAGCTTGCCCCTCCCCCTCTCCCATCCCATTTTTTTCGATACCCGATCTGGTCTATGGCGCAAATAGGCACGTTCCCGAGCTTGCCTTTTTGGCCTCTGTCCCATACACTCATAAGGATACAGCCTAAACTTCTTTATGTAATAGCACACACACACACACACACATACGCATCCCACATTCACACATCCGCATGGGTTCAGGCTGCTGTTCGCATTCCTGCTGTCGGAAGTGCCATCATCACTATACCTGTCTCCACCGCTTTACAGCACCCTTGGATGGTTCTTTCATAGTTGTGCCATAGCTTGTAATAGGTCGGCCGTCTCCGCGAAAAAGAAATTACATACGCTCCAAAATCTGGTCCTTGTCCCTTAAATCGCGTCTTAATGTCCCTTGCTGCGTTGTTTTCACTAGCTCTGGTTACCAGACCAGATCCCTCTATTTTTCTTATCTTTTCTTTCCTTTCTCTCTCTTTCCACCTGCTCTGGGAGATGGTTACCTCTGGTTCAGGTCATTGATGGGGAACCAGGGGCCAGAGGGGAACTCCTCATGATATCCTTACGATGCTGAATTACAGCCACCGCCCGCCACGATATGGCTACTGGATGAAATGAAAGAAAAGAGTCATGCACAGCATACAAGAAAAAAAAAGACTCCGTTTCTAACATCTCTTTATATCTTTCCTCTGCTATCTAACTGTCATCCGTACGCCCGCTGTTGTTTTATTTCGAATGGCGATGGATGGAAATAGACATCCCGACCTGGTATTCTTAGCACAAGGAAGGACGTTCCTGACTTGGTTACACCATACATTCACATATATACGCATCCCCTCCATACTACGCTCGACACGATAATTATACGACACATACATCCACATTTATACGAACATGTCTTTTCCCCTAGGCTCTTGCTCCTCTTCCATTGCGAGCACCACAAAGAAGTCCGCTCTTACACCTCATAAGCCCGTGCCTTCAGCTGCTCTTCATGCCCGCACTTCTTCCCACCGCAGCCGGGTCGAGGCCCTTCTCCACAGCTGCTCTTCCTCACGCTCTTCCTTGTCTCGACTCGCCACAATCACAGCATCCTCTCCGCGCTCCTTTTCTGCCTCCCGCCCATCATCATCCTCCACCCGTATGAGCACCTTGGCCTCTTCAAGGACGTCCAAAGGAAGCGAGCTTCATAACCACCGCTTTCTCCGGCGCCAGCAGTCTTTATTCACATACCTCACACTCCTCGCTGCTTCGTCCATCCTCACTGTCGTACAACCAGCGCCTCCGCCTTCCACACCACCATCTGCACCTGTTCCCAATGGCCCCTTCCAGCCTTTGGCGCAAGCGCCCTTGGAACCGGCTGCCCCAACGCTGCCGATCACCAGCACCTCCAGACTCGCGACCACGACGACTGCAGCACTACAACCTACAAGAATTACGACCTCGGCAACCAACGTTCAGTCGACGTCTACAGCCACCACACATTCGATCATCACGGTCTCGTCCACGGCCCCGCTCCCAACCGCAACCACAAAGACCACGGTGAGCTTCTCCGAAAACATCATTACTGTCGACCGGCCGACCTCGTCCTCGGGTCGAGCCACACAGTCGTCGGGTACCTCGCCCTCCGAGACTCCAAACGGAACACTCTCTCCGGAAAACAGCAAATCCTTGAGCCTGATGCTTATTGTCTCTCTTGTCGTGGTGTTTGTGGTTCTCGCCGGTATGGGGCTGGTGGTCTGTTGCCTCTTCCATCGTCGGTCCGCGAAACGCCGCCGCCTGTTTGGCAAGAACAACGGCAATTCGAACTCCTCGAGCAATGGGATCGATGACATGCTTGCCTCGGCCGCAGCGGCAAAGAGGCGGGATAGTCATAATGGGAGCGGGTTGAATTCTTCTGGAATTGCACCCGGTGCTGAGAATGGACCGGATTTGGATGTGACAAGGGCACTGCAGGAGATGACGGAGCAGCACCAGAATGTGTTGTTGTCGAGGAGAAGCAGTAACCTTAGCCTTGGATCTGGACAGCACTCAGGGAGTCGGGTGCTTAGCCCGACACTCGCCCCGGCACCGTATGCGCATACCTCTTGGACGAGTTCTGGACCCATGGAGCATTTTGACTCTGGACGGGAATTCAGGAACAGCCAGTATGATGAGTTCTATGGACGTCCAGCTTCAGGCCTTCGCCAGCCGTTTTACCCGGGTGCGGGGGATCCGAATTATAGCAGCAATGAGCAGTTGGTCCCATCATACTCACATAGGCACCAGTCCTGGACGAACGGTACGCCTTCGAGTTCTTCGGATCTGAATGCTGTGAGTCGGCGATCGAGTCTTTCGCCGGCGTTCTACCCGTGTTCAGAACCTATCTCACCTTCGATGTCGCAGCTTCCCTCGGTGGGTGGATTGTATGTACCGGAAGGAGGCGATAATCAAGTGTACGCGATGATGCGTCCAAAGTCGATGTCGATGTTGCCAACTGGCGATCTTATGGACGGTAGTCCTGCACATCCACAGAGCGCGATGATGAACATACGTCCACAGAGCGCGATGGCTTCGACACTGGCGATTCCTCCGTCGATCACGACGCGTCCGAGGTCTGTGATGACCTCCTCGCCAGGGATATATCCTGCCTACTCTCGGCAGCAACATCAGGGACAAATGTACCAGTATCCGGCACAGTCGCAGGTGCCCCATCCATATTACTACCAACAGCCACATCAGCAACAGTATAGGTACTATCCTAATTCGCAGGAGACTCAGCTGCAGTACTCCGTAGTCTCACCTGGACACGCTGATGCTGGACAAATAGCTGAGGACGATAATGTTCAAGCGATAGCAGCAGCAGCCGATGTTCAAGACACAGGCTTGATGACTGGGTCTAGTTCTGAAGCGAACGAAGGAACACATGATGATGCCGAGGCGAACAAGAAGCGCAGGTCGAGTTTGCTGGAGCGCAAGAACACGGCGTCGAATACGCCCGCGTCGTCCGGATAGACCTAACCAACTTGCACTTCCCAGTCGATGTGTTCTACAGCCCTCCTTCAATGAAAGATATCACGAAAACAAATAAAAATAATATTGAGCGTCGCAATCGCGTGTCGCGGTTAGAGTAAAGGGTCGTTGGAATCTTTCTTATCCTCAATCTATTACATGTAAAAAATACGTTCGTTGTATTTTTTTTCTCTGCTTTATTCCAACAACATGATGATTGTCTCGGGTCTCGCTGGATACTACTACTTCGGATCACGCATACCAGCCCTGGAAGCCCTGACGGTTTTCCTTTTGGCCCTAAACTGATCATACCGGCGATCGATATCCTTAGTCGTCAGATCAAACGAGCCCAGCCGTTTGAAGCATGCCTCCATCAACTTGTGGCAGTCGATCATTCGCTTGGGTATATTCTACAATTTCGCAGCCAAAGAGCATAGAATGGGGATTTAAAAAAAAAAAAAAAAAAAAAAAAGGAGCGGGGAATGTTAGTTTTTGAAGCGGAAAATCGCATTTGTAGATGCAGTTGTTGACCAGTTCTCGGAATGAGAGGGTATGGGAAAGGGGAGGATTCGTTACCTGGACCACTTGAAAGACCTCCAAGGGGTCGTCGATTTTTGCGATCTCGGCCTCATGCAGTCTCATGATGGTGAGCGCGACTCGAAAGAGGATCTTCCGACCCTCGTAAAAGAAGCAATCCCATACTCTCAAAATCGACTTTTTTTTTTAAAAAAAAAAACCTGAGATTAGACCATTGGTTCCTGCCGCTGCTCAAGTTCATCATCATTCGCATCAGCGCCCATCTTCATACATACCTCGACGGGAAGGATATTGATAAAGAGTGTCAGGAACCAATGACTCGTCACAAGTGTCACTGTCGGCAACCCTGCGCCCTCATCCATCTCAACCGCATTAGCCCCACCACTGAATTTCGCCCAAATAGCCGGCAGACGTTCCATAACTAAGGTCATCAAGACTGCTTGATCGATATTCGCGCCCTCCATCGTCACATCATACATTCCCTCTGGCAGGAAATTCTGTATGATTACAGACAATGTCCAAAACGACTGCTCCTCGTTCATGAAGAGCAAGAGCATCCCGGCAATATAGTTGAGCGATTGACAGTATCCGATCGAGGGACAGTGGAGAGAAAAGGCGAGGAGAACCCGGCGGAGGGATTGAATCGCGGCGACATTGTCGGTGGAGAGGTGGGAGGCGCCGTCTTGGTGTTGGGTGATCTGGGATTTGAAGTTAATATTTTCGGGGAAGGTCCTGTGGAGATCTATGGTGATATAATCATACGCAGTATTGTTGGCATTGGGATTTTTTTTTGGAGATATTTACGGTGATGAGATGGGGAGCATGTGTGTGTGGGGAGCAGGAGGGGGTGGACAGTTACCTCGCTCGATAACTTCGGCATGTTCGTTTGATGGCCCTTTGGCCTTGGCTTGAGCAACCAGTCGTTTGAACAGTCCTGGATTTGCCTTACATTTGTCCTCTGCGCCGCTGTAATGGAACCATGCCTATTTCAAAAGAAAGGATGTCGATGGTGACACAAAAATATAAATAAAGTTTTCGTCGCATTTCTCATCTGGCCCATATTGTTTCTTGCCCGATCGAAGAAATACTTACTTCGCCTCGGAGCGCTGCTGGGATGCCCTTGCGGATGTATCTCTTGACTAAAAAAATTCCCGAGATCAAAAGTATCCAAATTATACATGACATCAGCAAAAAGAGTTCTATAGAAGTCTTTTCAGGGTAACAAACCAAGAAGATGGGTCTTACGTTTTGCAGATCTGGGGGGCAATTCTCCATGAGAATCATTCATGAAAATAGCCCACTTCTGACGACGCCTCTCCATGATCGGAATATAGTAGGTCTCAAAGATCACAAAGTCGTGGTGTGAGAGCCATTGTGATTCCTTCTTAAACCCATATTGATCTCTAGTAATAAAGAAAAGATGTTCCAGAGAAAGGAGGTGTGGTTCAATGGACTAGTTATATATATTTTTCTCATGAGAGCAATATATATAAAAAAATATTGTCAGAGATTCTGGACTTTTTGAAGTGCGATCAAGAGTCTCTTACCGCTCAACGTGTTCATCATCGTCCTTTTCAACAAGGACAATGGGCTTCAGTTTGGATGTCTTTGGTTTCGGTTTGGGGTCCAGCTGCCCTGATGTTCCATTGAATGACCGTGTCTCCTTTGATTCACTCGTATAATTGCTCTGCGTGGCTGTCTGTGGAAAAAATGACAGCTTTGGGGTTGATCGTGAAGCGACCTGGTTGGTCTGGATATTGAGATTTTGGTATGGCGAATGTGAAGCAGGAGCCTGTGTTGCATGATAGTCTTGCTGCTCCAGTTGGTGTTGTTGCTGTTGCTGTTGCTGCTGTTTCTGAGGAAAGGAACGCTCGCTGCCGCCGTGTTCGTAACCATACCCGTTTCCTGAATGAGGTGGCGCCTTCCCATTCCGATATGACGTCGGTGCCGAGCGTTCGGAGGAATATTGGTCCTGACTCTCCACTGTCGCCGGAGATCCATAAGCGTCCAGTTGAGTCTGCGTCAAGCTAGGGGAGTTGATATGGACGTCGTCAAAGTTCCTGTGGAGACCATGCATGGTCGGGTCTGCGGTGTGAGACCGAACTCGACGTAGGCCATCGACGGATTTGCTGGTCTTGAGCTGTCGCCGTGGGCTCTGGTCCTGGTCCTGGTCCTGATCCTGGTACTGGTATTGCTGCTGATGTGTAGATGATGTGCTGTCCCCTCGTCTGACAAAGTCATTGCTCCTGTTACGGTTGAGCGACGTGGGCACCGGTGCGGGTGTAGCCATGGCCATGGGTGCCTTTTCGTCCTTTTGCGGAACTCGAGAGAGAGGGAGAGAGCGAGTGGCGCCTTTGCTGCCTGATCAGATATTGAGTATATCGCTATGTGGGTTTAATTGGTGATAGGTAGTTGCCGTTCGTGAGCTGATTTCTGTACTTGACTTGAGGTACCAGGTTTGGTAGAGAGCGTCGTCGATAGACTGCAGTCGGTCGTTAATAATAAAGAACTAGTTCTCCTCTGTATGATTTATGCGATGGGCAGCTGCTCCCGGTTTCTTGGTTCCCTTGGGTTCCTTGGGGTTTCTTTGATTCCTGTCCTTTAGACTGAGGTGAAGGAATGAAGAATATGAAAATCAAACCGAGAGAACAAAAGAACGAAATAACGAAAGAACGAAAAAAAGGAGCGAACTAAAGCAGGCAAGAATAACTTTTAAACAATAGTCAGAGATATAAAAAGAAAAGGGCACGCCAGGAGTATCGGACGGGGCCGAGACGGGAGGAAGGAGCGGAAACAGACACAAAAGAAGAGAAGGAGGGCTGCATTGGCAGCTGGATGGTGGTGGAATGCTGGGATGAACTCTGTCGAATGGGAAGGAGGGATGGAGTGTGATGGGATGGGATGAAGAAAGTGGATCCCACGCCTGACACAAAACCTTATTCGTTTCACCTTGTTCAATTGGGTATCCTCAGCCTTGAAGTCGTTTGACGCCACCAAATGAATACATCAAGGCCATCAATTGTCTATAGTTCAGCATGGTTAAATAGTTAGACTATCCTAACAAAAGAGCCCAGGACCCTTTGCATCGCATGCTCGGCACTGGCTACTTCATCTTCTTTCCTCCCCCATGGCCCCGAGCAAGTACCGGCCATTTTGAATTTAATGGGCAGACATTGCCAGCAAGAGAGGACGCCTGTTCGGATAAGTTGCAGCAATCCTAGCCAGGGCAATGTGGGGTAAGCATTTAAGGTTATAGCAGGGGAAATGCGCGAGATGCTTGGCCATAAGAAACTGCGCCAGAAGATCTTTCGGATCGTACAGCAGAGGGGCTTGAGCAGCACAGACACACCTACTGTGTCAATTGGTACGATACTCCAAATCAATAGGCTCCGTCGCAACGTCTCTGCGCGTCCACAAAAAAAAGAAACGCGTCAATGCCATCTCCACACCAGTTTCAGCGTTCGCAGCGACTTTCTAGGACCAAAATACACAAAACAGAGCCATTTAATCTTAGTCATTTCCCCGATACGTTAATACATGGACATTATTCAGTACCTGTTTATTTGAACTACCTTGTTTCGAGACTTGGACTTGACATGAAGTCATCTAAAAGCATAGAGGCCTTTAGACAGATGGGCTTGAGAAGGTCATCTTGGCGCAAAAATGACACATACAGACATGGGCAAGTGAACTTGAATCTAGATCTCATCTCGTCTGCAGAAAAATGCGGCAGCGGAAGATTGTTGAGCAGGGAACGACTAACAACGAAGCTTGATAACTTTCGTTCCCAAGAAAATGAAAGAAATTAGTCTCCAGCATCGCATTGAAGCTTATCCAGTGTCCGGACACTATGGCAGAAACGAAGACTGTTGCAGCATGTTCTCCCAATGTTGGGACCAGAGATTGGGTTATAAACACGATGCACACCATGAGGATGACTAAGAATGTTTTGTCTGGCTTTCCTAACTTACTAGGTATTATTGGATGAGCCACACTCAACAGGAATTTGTTTTCATGTTCAGCAAGGGCAACATCCCACATTATAACCGCAGAGGCACATCTAGTTCGTTATGATTCAGCTGTAATCTCACAAGAACCTGCGTGGCAAAAGAAGAGCTGAAGCTGATAAAAGAAGGAGACTTGGATTCGAGTCCTGTTCACTGTCACTGGCATTGAGAGCGGAATGATTTAAATGGAGAAGGGTATATCGCAAAGTTGCTGTGTGCGGCATATATATTTACCGCCGGTTCTAGATTTTATTTTTTTCAATATTTGCCACTAACAAGCACGCATACAAAGGACGAGGGCAGCAGCGGCAACAATATGGAAAAGCAAATTGATTATCGGATTTATGCCTGCTGTCAAATACCGTCGGGGATCGCTGTAGTTGACCATCTGAAGCCTAGCTGATCGATAGATGGGCTCCGTATCCTGATCGAGTCGGGTACAGTGAGCTATGGCCCTCACTCCCGCCCCCACAGCGTTCTGTGGACTTTTTCACCGGGCGCCAGAGATTCAGTTATGTACTTCTGCCATATTGCGGGCCCACAGCTCTGTTTCCGCTCTGTCGCTTTCTATTGTCGGACACCACAAACGAGCGCCCTTCGAATATGTATAATATGCAATCGCTCGGAAGTAATAGCCACCCATTGTTTGTTTTAAACTCGGCGTATCCACTACCACTTCACTTGCACTCTCTGAGTATCCAAACGCTGCTCATGGAACCTCTATTCCCTTGAAAAGGCCGGGATCTGCTCCGACAACGGCTACAGAACTATAAACCCTGGGCTGAGCATAGGTTTCACAAGGCGCTGGAACAACAGTAGAGGGGTCTTAAGAACAAATGGAGCTGCGCAAAGTGGGATGAAAATAATGGTTATAGACAAAAGAGCGCGGATAAAGACTTGGTCAGTAAAATTGCAATGGCTCGATGGTAGCGAAATGTCTCAAAGGGGAAAAGGGGTATAGCTCAGAGTAGAGCGCTACCGCAATAACTGATGTTAACAACGGCCATGATGAATGCTTGGTTCATTATTGCGGATATCTTGCCTCGTTGGTCTGTTCAACGTCTTGCGCTCATAAAAAATCTCAGTTGCAGAATTCTCGTTTATTTTAGGAACGACACAAACAAGATAGTAGAAAGGAGGACCCAAAATTTCTCATAGCTACATAGGGTGCGCTAGGCCGAGACATGGCCGCTCACTTGTCCTTGGACACCGCCACTGGTAGCGAGTTAATGGTAAGAACATTGCCATCTGGGTCTGTAAACTGCGCCATGGATCCCCAGGGCATCTCTGTAGGAGGCATCTTGAATTCGACGCCCTAGAAAAAAAGTGAAAATAAACACAGGTATACATATCAACCATTAATCTCCCATGTTACGCCGACCCATTTCGCGTCAAAGGCTCAACATTCAATATATGATTTCTTCGCCTTACCTTCTTGACCAATCTGCTGTAGGTCTCGTTCACATCCCTGACAGCGAAAGAGATGTCCGTGTTGTGTTTGGGAATGTCATTCTTCGAACCTTCACTCTTTCCAGCGCAGTAGACAGTGAACTTTGTCTTTTCCTGCTCATTCGCTACGAATTCGAGGTATCTACCGCCCTCGCCGCCGTGCTCGGGCTGGACATTCTCCACACATTGCAATTCCAGCGTTTTGGCGTAGAACTCATATGCTTTATATATATAAAACAAGAGCGAAGTGCGTGAGTTGAGGACATAATGCAGTCCTTGTTGTAACACCATTAAGCATATACCGAGCACAGATAGGATGAAGTACCTTGCTCCCAATCGTCGACACTGACTCCGGTTGAGTAGAGTCCAATGAAGGATGATGCAGGGCGGTATTCCCATCGACCGCCCTCGATGTACGCGCGGATGCGAGGGTTGCTCCCAAAGCGCTTGTACAACTTGTGAACAGCAGGTCGCACAGTCTCAGAAACGAGGGCATTCATGTGCTCTGGATACTCTGAGTAGAAATAATCCATCCAGTCAAACCAAGGGAACTCAGCAAACGTTGTCTATACGCAGTATAAGCGTTATAAACAAGCGCAATTGTTAGTCAAATGCTTATTTCAGTTTAGGTTATTGCGGCCGTGCACCTTCCAGAAAAAAGAAAAGAAAACAGAAAAGAGTTGAACTGTTACTTTTTCGCCCAAAAGATATCCGTTTGAGCCATTCTTCACGAGGTAACGCTCAAAGCCGTCAAAGTAGGGGGCTAACTTCTCAAAGGCGGCGTCGATGCATTCCTTCTTCTTAGGATCAGGCTTCATCCAGATATCCATGACTAAGACGTCAAGAACATTCTGGACGGCGCACTGGAAACACGCATCCAGCAAGGCGTCTTCTTCCAGAGTCCCACCAACAAGTCCAAAGAGACGGGCCAGATAACGGACCAAAGCAGGAACTTCGGGCACAGTGAAAGCGGACCCATCTGGCTTGAAATGGGTCAGGACAGGAAGAAGGCCGAATGGGGTGTCTTTCTTACCAGCAGGCCAGTCCACAGGTGCAGCGCTGGTGTACGTTGCCTATAATAGAGGCTGATGCGTTAGTCGATAAACACCAAACAACATACCATTCTTAGTCCCAAGAGCGTTGCATGACCATCATAGTACATACACCGACGTATTCGAGCAGCAGGCGGGGGACCTCGGCACGGGCCCGCGTGGCCATGTAAAGAACCTCGAACTTGGACTTTTTGAGGAACTCGGACTGGATGGTGTAATTATCCTTGGGGTAGGCATAGACGGGCTGGTCGACCTTGAGCTTCTTGACAGACTGTTCGGCGGCGGCCATATCGACGTCCTTGAGCGAACCGCTGCCGGATACAGAGGTTCTCTTGGTCATGGTGTGGACTTGGGTTGGGGATAAGGCTCTTGGTTGTAAGAAGGAGAGCGCTGGAATGCGGCTGATAGAAGGACGGAGACGAGAACGAAGGCGGATCGACGTGGCGGCGACTGGAAGGGGTGGTGGAGCGGTAGCGATGGGGTTGCTAAGAAGAAGAGGGATGATTATAGAGTATGGGAGGACAGAAAAGAAAGACAACGAGACGGCGCGTATTTATACTGTTGCCCTACACGCGAATTGGGTTTAGAAATTGGTGGCGGTTCATGTTCTCTTGGATGGACGCACTGAAAGAAAACGGCAAATGATTGGCTCAATCAAGTCAACAAAAACAACAGAAAAAGAACGGCGTCAGGCATCAACCAGCACAGGCTCAGCCTAGGCCGGAGCGGACCAATACATGAATGCCATCAATAGTGATTCCCTCATACGGAAAATGTAAAAAGGTTATAGAGTAAAAGCAGTGTCTGGTTTTTATTGCAATTGCAACAAGTGCTTTACAGAACTGTGGGCGTTCGGATCAAGAGCTCGCTGTCTACAGCTTGCTCTTGAAAAATTCCTTCCATTGATCCAAAGTCCAGCCGCTGCTGATCGAGTTCTCCACAATCCCATCCCAAAGGGCCGTCGGCGATACGTGGATTCCGTTCTGTCGACCCAGCTTAACAAAGTATTTTAGGTCATTCGTGACCTTGTTGCCCGTGTTGGTCGCCTCTTGAGCGTCCTGGACAGAGACGATGTGCAGAAGACCGTGCACACCTTCCTCCGTGATCGTTGGAGAGGATGTCAACGTCAACCCAGCAAGAGCGGCCAGACCCCTGTATCCATCCGCGCGGCTTTTCTCGATGATAGTTTCGTCAAAAAATCTCGAGGATTCCGAAGAAGAATAGTTTATGGTTAGATTATCGCGACATGAGAAGCAATGACGACAACAGCTCCTTCTATCATTCATGGCATACCTCTTTTGCTGAGTGAACAGCACATTGCTGAATGGGGCAAACTGTGATGGGTCAATCTTTTCAACAGCGAGCGCAGCCTTGGCAAAAGGAGCCGTAACAGGGAGAGGTAGAAGATCGATGTACGTCAACACTCCAGTCCATTATACGAAAAAGCATGGAAAAATTAACACGCTGGTCGCATCATTCACCTCTGCTGTCAAAGTAGACGCCGGGTGCCATGGTTGGATCTGGTTTCTCACGATCACCTAATGTAATGTTTCCACAAATCAAAGTCAGGTATGCTGGCCCACTGTGCGGCCCTCTTATGCGGACATACCAACTGAACATTCACGCTGCCTACCTGAAAATGACCTGGATGTTCCTTTTCGAGCCAGGGGAGCACATGGTTGTAGACCTGGTCCCAGATTTTAGCCGAAAATGGGCACACGTAGTCCAGGTACAGTTCGAGCGTGTGGCGTGCGTCGGCCGTGCCAGCGATGCGATGTCCAGAGTATTGAGGTGGAAGAGACATGGTACACAGTCAGTTGAGAGGATGGAGGAGAGGATGAGGAGAATGAATGGAGGAGAAAGTCGAGGGTGAATCATTCTGCTTTGTACGGCACGGTCTGCGCGCAAAACTGATGCAATCCACCACAAATACGCGATTCGTGCGAAATTTGTCGTCAGTAGTCCATGTGCTGTCCAATTACGCGCGTGCATTTATTCTTGTCTACAGGTACATGTGTGCAAGAGCAGTCCGTCTATCGTTCTGCGCGCTCGGAGAGTCGCTGCACACTGTCGAGGAGCGTCTGAAGCTCCGCGTCGAGCGCTTTTCCCTGGGCACCCCATCGGATCTTGCAGTTGTTGTCGACCAAGAAGATATATCCCAGATAGGAATTCTGCATGCTCAGCGAGTCCTTCAGATGCTTAATGGATTTGTAGTGCAGTATGTAGTTTGCCTATTTACCATGAGTAGCAGACCAGAGGTGAATAAAAGCTATATAAAGAATCGACCTAACATTCTACTCATGTAGCCGAGTCCCTTACATGTCGCTCCTCTGGAATAGTTTTTCTGACGAAGGGTACCATCATCCGCACTAACCCGGCCTTTAAAGGGTTCTCCTGAATATTGAGCTATAAATGACGTGATGCTAGTCAGTACCGAACTCAGTTACACAGCTTTTACGGAGATTCATCGTTCTTTCCGATACCATTGCTGGTTGGTCCTTACCTCGACAAGCTGGATCTTAGAGTTCCTTGTCCCCATAGGCCATCTCTTCAAGAATGGGGTCATGAACGTCTCGATCTGCTCTTCGCCAAAGCGTGTCCCTGAAATCGCCACCACGCTGATCTTTCCACGCAAGATGTCGACTAGCTCCACAGGCTCTGACGTTTTGAGTGAAGTACCAATGATGTTAGGCATATACAGTGCTTTCTAGAAAATCGAAAGAGGAACAAATGACATATTATTATTTTGCTAGGGCCATTCCAGGTCCGCATCGAGTCGTCTTTCAGCCATGTCAAGACATACGTCGGCACTAATCATGTTAGCTGTTCCTTTCCAAAGCTTTGATCCCGCCCTTGAGAGCTCGCTAAACTCTTTAAAGTAGCCTGACTGGAAATCGTACAATCTATCAAAGGCGTGGACATGAAACCAAAATCGCATTTGTCAATACCCTCAAGCTGTATCACTAAAACAAGAATAACATCAAATAGGACAACCCTCCATGCTTACAATTCTTTCCGCGTTTCCAGATTCTTTTCCTTGTCCGTCCAGTCGTTAACCTTGCTCTTTATCTCGTCTTTAGCCTTTGCGAATGGAGACCGCTTCGAGTTTGCCTGCGCAAGCGCGATGGATTTGGTGCTTTTGGGTTGCTCAGGTACTCCGAATCGTCCGCCATAGGGCGACAGGGGCAGCTCTCTTGGGGCCTCATTATCATCAGGGCCATTTTCCGTTTGCTTTCTGGCGTCGATAGTTTCTTTAGGAATAGAGGGTGTTTCCTGAAGAATGCGGGAGCTCGTGGATAAAGCGTGCCGCGACCCTGTGCTCCTGATCCTGAAGCTCGACTGTGCTGTTGCCGCTCTGCAAGTCGATGTCGAAAAGAGTCTAGGCGCATGAGGGCGATTTAAATGGAGGAAGAAGTTTCCTGTCCGGAGCACAATCTTGCCTGTATTGAGTGCCATCTAGATCCGTCGCCGTTCGAGGGGTGAATGGGAATCCAGGGCCCTGATCCCGATCAGCAACGCCCCTTCGCGGTTGGGGGTGCGGCTTGGCAGAGGTGACTGTTGCGGTCAAGCCCGAATCCCTTCGAAGCTCGGAGGTGGTATCGCTCCAATTGCTTCAGTTACCGCAGTTGCTTCAGTTGTTAATGACTTTATTGAAAAGTAGCTAAAAGTCCTGAAGCGCTATCCAAGCTCTACTCGCGCCTGGAGTCAAGAAACAGGCTTTTCCGGATCCGTGCTCATAAATACGTCGTACACTCTCCTCGAAATGACTTTGCCCAGGGTAGATCGTCTGCCAATAACCTGTATCATTGAGGCACAACGACAGTCTAGGTTAGGAATTGGGGAAGACGACTATGTAGACATTGGAAACAATTTACTTAATCATAAAAATGTTCTTACCGGGATTCCCTCCAGCATCAGCTGGGCCTGATAAGGGGTTGTGCACTGTCGATATCCCTCATAGAGGCTCTTGAGGGACGGGTATTCCTCTGCGATTGACTTTGCAATGATGTTCGTAATCATGTGGATCTCTTGCAGACTTTTGATCCAGGTGTCCTTCGGGTCTGCGCCAGACCTGATGCCCTCGACGCAGACATTCAATCCTGTCTTGCGTGCATTGCTAAAGGATGCGTAAAGGAGGATGCTATTAGCAACACGTCTCTGCATGCACAAGATTGAGCAAGATGTCGGTATAATATTAGACTTTACCTGTATGGTCGTAGTCCGATTTGCTCAGTTAGACTGGCAATTGTATTAGCCGCTTCTTCGTCGTCGTCGGTGTGAATAACGAGGCAATGCTGATCAAGTTGAAGCCATAGCATCTCTTGCTCAATGCGTTCCCGTTCATTGCGCTCGTGTTCAATTTCTGTTGCATTTCTAGACGGTGCCGAATTCCGGCCAGATTCAGAGCCGATAGCACGAACCGCCTGTTTAAACTGCCTATTTGTTGCTGTCCTTCGGCTGCGGAAAAAGCTCTCCATTCCCACGACCAGAAAGATAATACGCTGTTGCTGCCCATGGTCCTCTCTGAGCTGCATCGTCTGGTGGTGCAGCTTGCCAGCCATCTTTAGTCGCTCCTTGTTCTTTCTCATCCTTAAGTCCCGCTTGATAATGGCAAGGTGACCTCTAAGACGTCCTTCGTCCATCAGCTCTGTAAAATGACTTGCGGTCATGTAGATGAGCGTAAACGCTTCCAGCTCGACTTCCTGCTCCGCAACAGGTATGAAGTGGCCCTGATCTTCGTCGTATCGATGGTTGACTATGCGGTACCAGAACGCGATATTTGGAATGGGACATGGGTCGCATGTAATGGACGCATCGATGACCTGGCTGCGATTACTGCGCGAGACCTCCGCCCCAGCTACTGCGAGAACGTTGACCTTACATTCAATCGCAGCGAGATAGGCCTGCACCGTGAGACCAAAGTCTGAATTGTAGAATGACTCCTCGATGCACACAATCATCTCTTTAGCGCCTTCCGATTTTGTGGTAAGCCTGTTCGCAATCCGCAACTCGCGCAGAGCCTTCTTCTCAGCCTGCCTCTCCTCCTCTTTCAGCAAACGTTCCTGTTCCTTTTGTTCTCGCTTCTTTTGCTGCTCCTGTTCGCGGGCAGCTTTCTTGGCCTGTTTCTCAGCCTCCTTAGCCTGTCTTTCAGCCTCCTTGGCCTGCCTTTCAGCCTCCTTGGCCTGCCTTTCAGCCTCCTTGGCCTGTTTCTGCTTCTCCTTTTCTGCCTTTTTGCGTTGGATCTCTGAGGCAGCCCCATCTTTGTCCAGACCATCGTCATCAACATCGCTCGGTGGCCTTGCCCTCTTCTGCCTCTGCTTTGCTCGTCCGACTATCTCCTCTTCCAATGAAAGCGACTCTCCCATGCCTCGATCTCCCGCTGTAGATGACCATGTTGAACCCAAATCGTCGTTCCAATCCAGCAGGTCCGTGGATGCAGACGTAGCTCTATTCTTTCCTTTCCGACTTGAGATGGCTGAAGGAAGAGATCCCAAGTCCTTGGTTGAACTGGTTCTCGATAATCCTGTCTGCTTTTGTCCTTTTGCCTTCCAACTCGCAGAAAACACATCACTCATGAGTTCGCCGTCGCTGTCGTTCAGTTCTTCCTGGGCCATTCTCGGCGGACTCAAGCTCGTATCAACCAGATGGTCCCAACGGTCATCCTCAAATGCCTCCATACTAAACGCGCTAGTTGTCATTGTGCCAGCACGCCATCCCTCATCGGGGTTCCATAAAGTAGATCCTTCGTCTTCTTTTCTGGTCGACCTAGGTAGCAAGTCTCTTGCCATGGGTGAGCCCTTGCGAGATCGATGCGAGAGCGTCGTTGGTGGGGATGAAGGTGGAGGGAGAACTTTTTTTGATGGCCATGGTGTTGGTGATGCCTCGCGCTCGTCAAAATCTGGCGAATATCTCCTGTACAGATCGTCTGTAGGCGATGGTGCCTTTGCATCGAAAGGATTGTTGGTATAGGAACGAAGACAACTTGGCATGGAAGGAGATGAGACCCCATGGTTCGTAAATGGTGCCCCAGGAGATGAAAGAATGACTGTCGGAGATCTGTGACCTTGCGCTGGCAAAGATATGAGCTCAAAATCCCAGTCCTGAAAAGCGTCGTTGTGAATGGGCGATACGAGTTGGAATTTGTCTGCATCCCTCCTGCTTTTCCGTGTAGGTGTGGAGTGGAGATCGATAACAACAGATTCTTCGTCTTCATTCCCCTCGAATGAAGTCTCCAGGTTCGTAGGCAAAGTCGAAGGACCGGGCTCGACTGTCTGTACTATTGTGTCTGGTATTCTCGTAATTCCGAACGTCCGAGCCTCCCTGTGATAATCCTCGTCACCGATCGCGAGCGGGTTCCTGCAAGGTTGAAGGGATGGTACATGCGTGGTCATAATGCTGTGTGTCCCGCGTTTCACCGTTGCCAGGTCTGGCGCTTGCTCAATCCTGACGCTGTTTGTTTCATGTTCAACTAAATGACGGCGGGTTTCCTGCTTCACTACCACTAGGTTTGGTTCCTGCTCAATCCTGACGTTGTTCATTTCGTACTCAATCAAAGGACGGTAGGTTTCTTGCTTCACCACCATCAGGTCTGACGTCTGTTCAATCCTGACGCTGTTTGCTTCATGTTCAACTAAACGGTGGTGGGTTTCCTGCTTCACCGCCACTAGGGCTGGTTCCTGCTCAATCCTGACGTTGTTCGTTTCGCGCTCAATCAAAGGGCGGTGGATCTCTCGCTTCACCGAAACTAGATCTGATTCACGTTTAATGGTTACGTTGTTCGATTTATGCTCAAACATATTGCGGTCCGGTTTATATTTGTCCATAATATGGAGTGGTTCGCTCTTCACTGTAGAATCGTGGTGGATAATGTCGCGGGCACTCCCTTTCCCATTGTCCTTTCGGGTGATGCCAGACATTAGACGCAAGAATTCGTCCTCATCACTGTTATCGTCCTCTGAGCTCGAAAACTGCAATACAATGTTGTCGCGAGATTGTCCTGCAACGGCAACAGGAGGATCCAAAGGTGTCAAAAACTAAATTGTCCGATAAAGGATAGCATTAGTCTCTCAGTCAGTTGAGGTCCTCATGTCTAATCTAAACCAAGAATGCCCATTAAACGGATTGATTTATACTTGTCCGTCAAAGATACGGTTGATTGTCATTTCGCTGTTTCCAGTGATGGTGAGGTCCTCGATAATGTCCTTCAGGGAGCGGTCACTACACACCAACAGGACATCTCGCGCCATATCCAGGATTTCCACGTCTGACGGAGCATTACGATCCATATTGCTGGCATTGAAGTTTGAGCTTCAAAGACGCGTTGTAATCACTCCGAGCGGATGAGTTGAAGGTGGGCTGAGTGGAGTGAAATGGTGAACGAGTCCTGATGGAGTCCCAGTAAAAGTGATATAGTGACCAAGCCACGAAGAGAGAGAGGTGCAGAGTAGGCTCGTTCCTGGAAACTGCGAACTGAGCAAAACGACCAAACCCAAGGGTCCAACAAGTACGACTCGGCATTATAATACATCATCAACCAGGAGCCCAAGGATGCAGGAAGTCAGAACATTCATCCATGAAGCGACCAGCGCCTTTAATAGTAAAGACAGAGATGGGATCACTCAACTGATCGCGCTCGAGGAAGCCGATCCGAGGCTAGCAAAACTCCAAGAGGCACTATACAAGGTAAAACGCCAGGGAGCGAAAGGAACAGATCGAGTTGCCATGTTGGAACAAGGCGGAGGATACGTCGGACAGAAAAGGATGATCAGGAGGGATTCATCAACCCTACACCTACACGTCCGACTAGGACACTGTCTTTAGCGCACACTAGCCTTTGTCGATGCGATCTCATCTGAGGCTAGAGCCTAGATCGTGTCATTTTGTTACCTATTTCGCCAACATTCTAATAGCCTTCTGCTGTATACTTGAATAGATGACTGAGGAGGCAATACGATCTACAGTTCAAAATGATATGAAGAACGGACCGAGGCCTCTGAAAGATTTTATCACAAACTATTTATTGTTTTCAATATCTTCTGCACTGGTGACATCGTCCATGGTCGACGTTTATGAGCAGCTTTCGACGTGCTACGGGTAAGAATGAACCAAACCCACTTCATCCAATCTGCAAGGCGCTATACTGAATGCTCTATTAAGCTGTGCTTCTCTTTCGCTAGAAACTTTCTATCTCTCTATGCGGCATCGGATGCCCAATGGCTAACGCCCCTCCTTATAAATCTTTCGAGTTCTTTGGTCACTTGGGCTGTCTATGTAAGCTTTGCTTTGTAACCTAACGTTTCTTCCGCAGAATATCTATAACAACACTCGAATGCTTTCTAATTAAACTATTCGAATAATGATATGAAAAATAGGCAGATGAAGAGAAACCAAAAGCCAAGGAGCTGAAGATCAGCGATGCTGCAGCAAAGCATCTTTCAAAGGCTTTTAATATTGTCATCAGCGACAAGTAGGTGCCGATTCATCTCGGAGCTTCTGCCATTTGCGTAGGACTTCTCTTTGCGCTTATTACTCAGTTCTAACTTGCACCTGCCACTTTTTTTAGAGTGCCCAATGCATTAAAGGATTCCAAGAAGATGGCGCTTTACTACTTGGCTAATCTGACGTTCCGCGTGTATTTCAAGGCAAGTTGATGCACCCTTGCATTGATATTGATGCATGTTGAGATTTGAGCTGGAAAATGCTATTTTTCCTAACGTCATCCAAAATATCTCGCCATCATCATCACTCACAGCTGCGGTCCACGCGCCTCATCCCCACCATGATCGCCAATATTTCCAAAGCAGGCGTCGATCTATCAAGCTACCCGATGAGCCAACAAGTCACCCACCGATACTACCTGGGTCGTTACTATCTTTACCAGCTCGATCTTCGCCGTGCGGAGCGGGAGTTAGCATTTGCCTTCAGGAACTCTCCAGACTTTGGAGATGACGAGAGCGATAACGGCATCATATACAACAACAGTCGACTCATTTTGATCTATCTCACTTCTTGTCGACTTTGCCTCGGTCGTATGCCCGCCATGCAATTACTGGAAGCGTACAATCTGTTACCATTTTTTGCACCGCTCATGACCGCTGTGAAGCTTGGAAACCTGGCCCTCCTAGATCAGACGCTGAGCTCGCCGGACTTCATGATGTGGTTTGTCAAGAAGGAGATATTTTTTTTGCTGAAGGAGAAGCTGACGGTTCTCTGCTGGCGATCACTCATCCGGAGAGTATGGCTTGCGTCTCAACACCCACCGGAGCCACCACAGTTGCGTGTTCAGCTGGAGGTGCTCTTCAATGTCGTGTTGGAGCTCATCAAGGACTCGACGTACGACATATACAACATATTTGATATTGAGTGCATTACAGCGTCGCTCTTGGATCAGGTATTATTCTGCTGCCTTACACTTTCCTTCCTTCAATTGTACGCAGAACGGAGCTTCAAAATTAATCCTTCTTCTTTGTTACCTTAGGGCTATATCAAGGGCTACATCCATTCGCAAAAAAAAATCCTTGTCCTCAGCAAAACTAATCCGTTTCCAATTGTTTATACCGTCGAAGTCATGGAAGAGGTCCTGTAAAACTTTTTTATTCAAAGTTGCTGCCGACATAGGTCATACCTAAAAATTTGTTAATATGGTGTCAGATCTTAACTCTTCCAGCTAGCAACCATAATTCTTGAAAAAGTCCTTTCTCGCTAGCGGGCGACATACATGTGGTTCGTTTGTTGTTGTTGTTGTTTTACTACCAGTGCGCTTCTCTTGATTAGTAGAAACAAAAATGTATTTATTCAATGGAAAGCTTGAGATACGAAAGACTCCTCTGACATATATGTGATCTGATTGCCGCCAATGGTCTTTCCACAGACAGTTAGAGCCGTGAAAATGCCCCCATCCCTGACGACCAGCAATTAGTAGCTGCGTCCAAACAATGCCCAGCGCTTGGCATCCTTTCCACAGGAGACGCACTTTGTCTCTCCGGCAACAATTGGTCTGTCCTGGGGCTGCTCCAAAGGAATGCACAGGGACTTTGCACCCATCGAGGGAGCCTTCTCGTCTTGCACCTCAGTCATGGCAATGCCAGTGCGCGCACTGTTTTCCTTAATCTCATCCTCACAGTTGGGGTCTTCGCACCAGGGGATCATGCAAATCTTCTTGTCATCGAGAGCAGGAACGAAGTCTTTCCAGTTCTCCACATAGGCAACGTTGGCATCACGACCCTCCTTGGCACGCTTGAACATATCAGACTGGACAGTGTCCAAAAGATCGCGAACGTCCTTGACAAGCGATTCATGCTGGATGGTGACCTTCTCTCCGTTGTCACGGCGAGCAGCCAAAGCCTGGTTGTTCTTGACATCCTTGGGTCCGACCTCGAGACGGACAGGGACACCGCGAAGCTCCCAGTGGTTGAACTTGTAACCGACCGAGTAAGTTGCGCGATCATCCACCTTGGCGCGAATGCCACCCTTCTTGAACTGCTTAAGAATGTCTGCAATGCGCTCCTCAATAGAAGCTTTTTCCTCATCCGTAGTCTTGCTGTTGATGCCGCAGGGAATGACAATGACCTGGACAGAGGCAACGCGGGGAGGCAAGACCAAACCTTTGTCATCTCCGTGAACCATGATCATGACACCCAAGCTACGGGTGGTCAAGCCCCAAGAGTTCTGCCAGGCATGCAGAGGAGGCCTGGCCTCGCCGTTGGGAAGAGGACCCTGGGGATCCTCAAAGGAAATGCCAAACATCTTAGCAAAGTTCTGGCCCAAGCAGTGAGACGTTGCAGCCTGGATACCACGTCCAGTCGTAGGAATGTAGCCCTCGATGGTGGTAGTGTACAGTCCTCCCGCGAATTTTTCCTTCTCGGACTTGACTCCCTTGATCACAGGGACGGCAAGAAGGTCCTCATAGACCTGGCGGTACAAATCCAGAATCTGGTGAACCTCCTTATCTGCCTCCTCCTTGGTGGCGAACGCAGTATGACCTTCTTGCCACAAGAACTCACGAGTGCGGAGGAAGGGCTCTAAGGTGACCAACAAGACCATGGGCATGAGATGTATGATTCCATAGTGCGTTCATGGAAGTGAGGTTATTGGACATTTGTATAGTGTATAGATAGACTTACGGGGGTTCTTGAACTCCCAACGGACAACGTTGCACCACTGGTTCAATCTCAGAGGAAGATCTCTGTGCGAGCGGACCCACTTGGCGTAGTAGGGGTACATGACGGTCTCGGACGTGGGGCGAACGGCGAGAGGCTCCTCCAAGTCGGTGTTTCCACTATTCGTGCAAACATGAAAAGTCTCAGTTATTAGTATATTGTGATCGGGAAGGCATTATCTCTCTATGCACCCTGTCCAAATCAGTCAAGATACATACGCCTTGGTGACCCACGCGACCTCGGCAGCGAAGCCCTCGACGTGGTCCTTTTCCTTCTCCAAGTTCTTTGCGGGCACGAACATGGGGAAGTACGAATTCTCAACGCCCAATTCTTGGATCTCATTGTCGAACCAGTCTAATTTGCCATAGCAATAAAGAAATGGTTGTCCCATCAATTGTGTTGATAAGTATTTTAGATTAGAGGACAATAAAGGAGACGTGCGCGATTGATGATATTGATGGTCAAGAAAGATATTGCACGTACGCTGGATCTCCTGCCAGATTCTGTAAGCCCAGGGTCTCAAGATGTAGCATCCACTAACATCGTAGTACTCGAGCATCTCAGAGCGGGTCACGACCTATGAAAATAAAGACGCGACGAAGCAGACACCAGTCAGAACACAGCTATAACGAAAATGAAGCGCGGCTGGTCCTGAGGCATAAAATGGCAACTGCTGAACATACCTGCTGATACCACTTGGGAAAGTCAACGTCCTTCTTGTACTCGATACCGATCTGGACAGCGCCAGTGGAGGCAGCCTCCTTCTTGGCCTTGGGAGCCATCTTATTGGCCTTGGGGGCCTTGTCCTTAGAGGCTTTGTCCTTAGAGGACTTGTCCTTAGAGGAGGTGGAAGCTTCAGCAGCTGTTTACAGGAAGAAAAGGGCAGAATAAAGAGAATGTGATGAGAGAGGGATGCTTCGGGTTGAAGAAGTGGATCGTAATTCAAGTTCGAGTCCAAGGTGGTGGCGCGTCCTGTTTTACTGGTTCCGTTCTCCCCTGATCAACTTTTGTTCTCGCTACAGTCCCTGTTCCAGTCCTGTTCCTGTTCCTGTTCCTGTTCCTGTTCCTGTCTCTGTCCCCGCTGCTGATGGCGCTTCCATAAACTGGATAGGATATCACCGTGTTGGTCGACAGGCGTGTCAACACACTTACACATGGTGGCTAGATGGAGGGAGGAGGTGTGTGTGGGAAGGATGCAGAAGATAAAGAGAAGGAAAAATAGAAACCAAAACAATTGACCAATAAACAGGCGGACGAATGGGAGTTTGAGGCACAGGCACAGGGTTTAATGGTTAAGGGGTCAGGAAGGGTCTGAGCTGTGTGTGGTTTGATAGTTTTTGAGTGCAGTAAACGAGGATGTAGACGCGGGATGAAGATTTGGGACAGGAAAGAGCGACACCACCTCGTTTTTATACGATGTTTGGGTGTACAGACTGTAGCCCAGAGGCCAACGTGACCCACCTTGCCCGCAGTGGGTGTTTCATGCTGCGGCCAATATCACTCATGACTCAAAAAACAAACATTTTGAGCTCCACGCGCCAAACGCGTAAACCATGTTCTCGCAGGGATTCCAGAGGGCAAAAAATGCTTTCTGTCTAGATAAAGGAGGAGAGACACTCATGCCGGAGCCTATTGCGAGGGTAATGTTTTAGGTCTCGGACGACATAGTGAACTAACGCCCTCATGTACCAACAAATAAGAAACACTCTTCTCTATACCGAATGATATAGTTGGGCTTGTTGAATAAGCATATCATAAATCTCGACTTGGTTGATCCGCCCTTCGATGAGTGCCAAGGCTACCCTGGATCCTTGAAGCTCTAGACGCCATAGTGCAGTTGCATTCACGCGCAAACACAGCACCACTTACTAAGAAGATATCGTGGTGCTCCATCGTTTGGTGCGGTCGACTCCCAGGGCGACTAGCTGCTGCTGATTGCGATCTTTTTGAGGCCTCGCTCAACAATTTCTATAATCGTTTTTTGAGCTGCAACTCGTTGACCAGCTCAAACAACGAGCCAATAGCAATGCGAAGAAAAAAATTGGTGGCAAACTAATTCCTATGGGCTGTATAGTTTCGCACAGGATGCCTAGCTGGTTTTGAGCCCCAGACACCGCAGTAAGCCGGGGCCTTGACGCTAAAAGCGCCGATCTGCAGACAATCAAAATTCGCCGCATGGTGTGGTGGTCTCCACTCCCAGGGTAGGCTCATTCCAGCCATCGTGACCTGGTCTGGCGTTTGCAAGATTCTTTTTCAGCAATCAGTGACAAAAGTATGCGCAACATAAATGCAGTCCTTTATAATCCAATCTCTCCTCCTTCCTTCACTCCACTCCGCTCCACTCGGCTGCTCATCATGGTGCTTTCCAGTTCGCTTCCTGAAAGTAGCGATCCATATACAGCCACCCTAGTCAACGACAGGCGCAGATCATCACTGACTTTAGAACCGTTCTTCGATCCTGCAGCCCCTTCGCCAGATTCTGTGTACATCGATGGAGGCGATGAAGATAATGGTGGGACATCACTTATTTCGGGATTCAGGAGCGACTATGGCCCCTCAGGAGAGGCAGCGCAGCCCCCTTCACGATGGGCAACGAACTATGCGACGAATAGCACGACCGATCAAAGCAACGCCGGTCGATACCCGTTCGCAAGGTCGTCTTCCGTGGGCTCTACGATGCCCAACCTCTCCAACGCCACCAGATTCCGGGAAGCTGGCCCTGCTTCACAGGGCATTCAGTCGCAGCATCCACAAAGCTCGACCCCAGTAGAGTTGCATCCCTCCTCAGAACCCCCGCTTGGCAGAGAGGTATATCAATCGTTGACAATTTATATTCCCTGTCCAGAACATGGCATTCTATATTAATCCGTCTGCTGTCGCTGTGCAAATGATATCTAGATCATCATGGCCATTAGCGTGAAGGGAAGCACTTTGGGCTGCTCCTGCTACGACGGACATCTAGCAAAGTTGTTTGTCATGCAAGATATGCTGGAGTGCGACGCCATCGACGTTGTCGAAAGAGGTGCGACATCATGGCCTTCAGGCAGATTCTACTTAAAAGCAATGAGCTTGCATACTAAGTGCTCCGTACATGATACACACATACATTTAGTCAAAGTCCAACTGCGACCCACTCTAGTCCTGATAAACGCGCGCCTGGAGGAGTCCATCGCGGATGTACTTAGGTTTGACGGTACGGACATTCATCGACATCCTCGACAAAACTCTTTGGTTATACTCCGCATTTACTTATCGTGCATACGCGTCGTTGCATTGTATAGGTACTGGACGAGAGACAAAAACCGAGGTTCGCCCAAGCATGGACTTTTCGTACTCCGTGGCAAAGTCGAGGCTCATTTCAGTCTGCATTAACGCGAAGCGCTCAGGAACGAGCGCAGAATCGTCTGCTATGTCACGTCCCACGTTGTCAGAGATGGATGAGTCGGTTCAGCGTGAGGCCCAGCTGCACCTGTCCAGCATCATTGATCTGCAGAGTGTAGAAAGTGTAAGCAGAGGTATTTGTTTGCCTCGGAGTGACCTCGAACGCGTCTTCAAAAATTGATCGCAAATACCTTGTTCGGTCGCAGGTTAGTTCCGCAGGAGCTGTCATAAGCTTCCTCACGAGGCACGGCGTTAGTCGATCCACCCTCAGAGGCGGCCGCACTCCCATGGTACTCGCTGTCGAGTCATTTGCTATGTACGTATTTTGCGACAGGCGCTATGTTTTTTTTTTTTTTAGAACTGATGCAAATCGTACTAGCACTCATATTCGCAACTGCACACCCTCTTCAGAGATTCGTTCATGCTTATTACTGCGAACTCTCTGAGGTATGCATGTAGGCTTTTGGTATCGCTTTCATGGTAACACTGTATGCTCAAGACAGGTATGAGGCTTGAACACAGCAATGCAACAGCTCCCTTCAGATATTTGAGGATGAATCTCATCCAAGCATGCACAGCAGCGTCCATGGCCGCAAAGAAGGTCTTTCTTTGTTCAGTATGTCATCTTTCTCATCTGATTTATGAGCAACCTTGAGTGTCTGACATTTACAGCACCGAGGAATGAGGAACTAATATGGCTTTTCCTTGACCGTCTTGACAGGCATACTGAGCCAAACAAAAACATCGCAAGGTCGCTATCTCCTGAAGCAATGGCTTTTGAGGCCGTCGCTTGATTTATCCATCATTCAGACTCGCCATCAGTCCGTCGAATGTTTCACCAGAACAGAGAACCAGCCCACAGTAGCGCAATTTTCCAAGGCGCTGTCCCACATCAAGAACATACCAAAGATTCTGCAAGCGATGCCTCGCAAGGCGACCATCGCAGAATGGCAGGCGCTTCTCCAGGTTCGATTTCCGAGTCTGCAGGCGGCGTTTTGATGTCCTCTGGATCAGATTGCTTGAATATGAGCGGCAATAGCGCTTTTCGGAAGGCTGACTGGCAATGAGCTTTATTCTACCCTTTTATAGTTCATATATTACAGTCTCAAAATCTACAGTGCCTCGCACGAGATCCTTGTCGGTGGGCCTCCTATCATCCAAGAGGTAATGAAATATCGCGCGTGAACTTGAGCCGCGGTTTACAAGCTGTGTCGCTGCAAAAGAAATATATTCTTAACATCTCTATGTCGGTCCTTTGTTGTACGGGAACAATAGATGCACCAGCAGTTTGTCGTGAAGGATCTCATGGCTATCGGCACGTTTATTGAAGATGTGGTATGTGGTCATTCCGTTCCTAAAGCAGGGCATCACGCCACAGACAACCCTAGATCGTTGACAACTCTCATTTGGTATTCATACTCCTAGCTCGACTTTGACGAAAGCGTCATCGAGGGCCGATGCACGGTGAAGCACAATGTAGACGAAGAGCTGGATCGGATGCGGCAGACCTACCGCGGCCTGGACAGCTTTTTGTCCGAGATCGCGAAAGAGATCTCGTTGACGATCCCTTCGGATTTCACCTCGACTATTAACGTGATCTACTTTCCACAGCTGGGATATCTGATCACGGTCCCAATGAATCCAAACTGGAAAACGGATCAGGACTTTCATCTGGAAGGTCTGAGCTACCAGGTATATACGCGATTGCTTGTACAATTGGATATTCTACTTTGTAACTAACGGTGAATACATTAAGAAGCGCTGTGCAGCTCATCTACTAACCGCGACTTTTTTCTCCTCCCTTGATTGTAGTTCAGTACCGAGAGCACAGTTTACTACAAGAACAGCGCGATGCGAGGTACTTATAGCACAGTGCACTCACAGACATCTATTTGGGCGCTCTGATCTGCCGCAATAGCTGTGGAGTAACCAGAGAGATTCGTGTCCTGGCTGCATTAGAGCTAGATGAGCACCTCGGAGATATACATGGGCTCATAGTCGACCGTGAAATCGACATTCTGCAAGGTCTTCAGGAGCGCATAATGGAATACAGTCAAGTTCTCGTCGCTTGTAGTGATTTATGTGCTGAGCTTGACGTGTAAGTGCTTCAGTTATTGTCACAAACTTGACCTGGAAATCATGGAACAGTTGTGAAAGCCGTTTTCAGAACGCTGCTGATCAAACCTAACCACGCAGTATCCTCATCTTACCTCCTACTCTCAAAGGCTCGTTTCTTTTGCGCAAGTGGCGCGACTGAGGAACTACAGGCGACCGAGGATGACCGAACAGAGCATTCTGCATATCATGAACGGTCGGTATGTAGGCAATTTCCTCTGCGGCTGTGTTTGGATGGGCTAAACCTTAATATCTGACACTCGATGGATCTTTTAGGCATCCACTACAGGAATTGGTTGTCGGCTCGTTTGTTGCAAATAACACTTGGCTGGGAGAGGTAAAGACTCCTTCTTCCATGTCAGAAGTAACCTCGAACCCCGCAGAAAAGGAGGATCAGGCGCTGACCAATGTCGATGCAGATACCTGGTCGCAGGAGGACGGGGCAAGTAACAACAATCGCATTATGATCCTGAGTGGGGCAAACAGCTCTGGTAAGAGCGTCTACCTCAAGCAAGTATGTTTATGCTCTAGGTGAAGGCTTCCTGTAACAGCGCAATGCACGGACGTGATTCATTAGCCACTAATGAGCAACGGCATTGTTTGACTGTGATACTTCTAGGTGGCATTGATTGTCTACATGGCGCACATCGGCAGCTTTGTCCCCGCAGAGTCCGCTGTCATAGGAGTAACAGACAAGATCCTGACGCGCTTACAAACTCGAGAGACTGTCTCCAGCGTATGTGAAACGATGAACACCTAGATTTTAAGCGCGCAAGTCAAAGTAGCCGGTGGAGATGACTGGAATACTGAAGGAACAACATATGTTCTTATTATTATGGTGATTAGATCCAGAGCGCGTTCATGACGGATCTGCAGCAGGTAACGCTGGCCATAAAGATGGCGACAAGACGGTCGTTGGTCGTGTTGGACGAATTCGGCAAGGGCACAGCATCAACAGGTGCGCACATGAAGGCGTTAGGCATACCATTGTGCCTTTTACCATGAAAGATGGTCATGAGACTCATATGCGAACCTTCTTGTGCTTCCGTCTATGTATAGATGGTGCCGGCATGTTCTGTGCGGTAATTGAGCATTTTGCGAAGCGAACGCACGACCAACCCAGAGTCCTGGCAACGACTCATTTCCATGAATTGTTTGACAACCAGCTGCTTGACTTGAGCCTCCCAATCTCGCTGTTCACAATGGAGGTCTATCAGGAGCCCAACTGCCTTGAAGCGACTTTTCTGTTCAGGTGCGAGAACCATTGCCGGGACCTGCCTCAAAACTGATGACGATTTTGGTTGCGCACCGGAACTCAGGCTGACATGAGAGCTTTGTTCCCATAACATCTGTTGACGGAATAGGGTTATACCTGGCAAGGCTCCATCGTCTTTGGGGCCAGCTTGTGCAGCCATGGCCAGTCTGCCTGCCAAAATTGTGCAGCGAGGTAATGAGAGAGAACTCCTCTCAGGGTCTGGCAAGTTTCCAGCCTCAGCGTTTCAGATACGCACTGACCAACGTGCAATATTTCATTTGTATGTAAACTACAGGCGCGTACTTGTCCGGGCTCTTTCGACGCTACGAGATGGTCATACCCACGCTCACAGAGCACGAGACGAAGATGCAACAGATGTACGAAACTCTAACAGGGATGCTTCTAAGGCTGGACCTGGATTGCTTGGTTCTCGATGAATCCACCGTCAAGGCTGAGGACGACGATGGGCAGCCATATCATGGCGACACGGAACAGAGGGCTTTTGCCACGGCTAGCAGTAACTTTGGTGCGAGTCTTACAGACACCCGGGATTCGAACGAAAGTACGCGTGGAAGTTTCAGCAGTGAGCTCACAAGAACTACGCTTGGCAAGCGTAAAGGTCGAGAGAATTTTAATTATTCCGAGACTGAAGGTCATGTTCCTGACACTGAAGGGCACAGGATAGCGATCAATGAGACGTTGAGTAGGGCCATCGACAAGCTGCTGGAGTACGCGGAGCTGGTCGCCAGGAAGGAGCGTGAGCAAGAGGAGTACTACGATGAAGCGTAGCAGTATTCGGGAGATGGAGCCTGCACCATGCAAGCAAGAGCGAAGTGGTTCTATTTCTATTGCAAACTGTTGCTTATACATATATAAGGAAAGATGACAAACAATCGCAAGGAATAAAATGTGCTTGTCGATTGCCGCTGATCTCTCAGGTTCATAGAAGCCGTCGATTTTGTGCTTCTCCTATCAGTTGAGATGTGGCCAACGACCTCTACTGAAATGGGCGAGGTAGAGTAAAGTCTACAGGAATCCGAATCACATAGCCTGTGATAATAATGTAGTAACCTCAGGTAGGAGCCTCTTCAGACGTTGCCATCGACTCCGAATACGCTCGTTTTTTTTTTTTTTTTTAATCAGGATCCTGAAGTAAGCTCCGGCAGCATCACCATAGATGGTGGGGTAGTTGTTTTCTGGCACCCAATCTGTGAACCTCATTTCTTGCTATGGAAGTTGAAAGTAATACACGTATCAATCTGAAAGCGGGATGACCACAGCACCAAGAGGCACTAAGAGAGTGGTAGTCCACGGACCCTCCTCGCATGATCAATAACGGTTCAGTTGTCGCCTCTTGGGCGTCCATTCGAGGTTGTCCCGAGAATGCACTTTCATTCGCGTTCTACGAAGTGCAGGGTGGATAGATGCATCACAAGGGGTGGTCGTCATCTTGCGCACGACTTTATTTTCGAATATCCACATTAGAAAGAGACGAAGAGAAGGTGGATGGGATTAGGTGTGGACACCTCTGGCGAGGTTTATGCCTATGCGGATCCATGGCAACTGCCCCTCAGAGACGGGGGCAGCACTCTTTGTTTCTACAGAGCAATAAAAGAGAATCAGATGGGCACCACAGTCTATGCTGATGTGTCTTTTACACCAGGCTGCTCACGAGCATTTTTATGCCCGCTGTGGATCTTTCATCAGCATCCGTTATAACTAATGGAAATTCGCTTGCATCTTTCGGATTTAGCGTCTATAGCGTCTACTTTGAGCTTCACCACACCATCTTGCCGTCCCTCTTCCTCGCTAGCAACACTATTTCCAGCTCCATTTCGGACCTGTCGCAATATTTTTTTCTCCATCGCAGCTTTATTCCAGATCTCAGCAATGGACCCTGGTATACCTTTGTGCGACATGTCCGTGCACCGCCCCAGAATCATGGATGCGCCCGCCTCGTATCAAATCAAGACCAAATGCTCTCTTGGCTCAATCTTTACCAGCAACCTTTGTCTCCGGGAGGGCATCCCAAAGTCAGCAAACCACCTCAAGCTATGCACCATTCAGCAACAGTTCTCCACCAACGTCTACAGCATCAACAACTTCCCAATCTACGAAAAACTTACATACCTCTCACGATCAGATGAACAAGCTCGACCCAATATCGATGATGCGCGTGCTCCCTTCATGGATATCCAGGCTTTGCCAACGAAGCGTCGTCATAGACGCCTGTCAATGTTCGTTGCGTCGATGCAGGTGGTGAAAACAGGCAAGTTCAGTCGCAAGCATGGATGCCCTATTTCCTTCAAAGGTCTAACTCAGCCGAGATACCCAACCGCTGACCAACTGCACCCATCCCTCTTTCCGACTTTTTGGCCCCACCGCTAACCCGCACAGCTCGCAGTATGACACCCTACAAGCCGAAAGCACTGCCGTTTAAGCCTAATTCTATTCAAAGGTCTAACGCTCCCAGCCGTCGATTCCTATGTCAGTCCCAGGCTCCGCTTTCTCTTCGTATTGGGGGAAAAATCCATGCACTGCCCGCTCTCCGGTCATCCGAGGCATATCAGTACCTGCTGTGTCGCACCGTTTGTAGAAATGGCCTGGATACTGGCAGTGGCGCTGATTCTACAGAGGCGTCAAGTCATGGTAACCATGCAACCGATTCCACCGGAAAGAGGGCTGAAGGAGACGGTGGATCAAACCAAGGCTCCGACTCGGGAAATGGGGATGGCAATGGAGGGACTGATGAGAGTATCGGTGGTGGTAACGGTGGAGAGAGCGGCGAAGGTCCAGGCGATGGTCATGGTGACGGCAGCGAAGGCAATGGAGAGGGTGGGGATAGAGAAGGAGGGTCCAAAGACGCTAAAGAAGGAGAGGAGGCAGATGGAGAGGACGAAGAGAAGGATGGAGACGAAAAAAAGAATGAGAAGGAGGATGACAACGGAAACCCAGGCGTAGAGGGGATGGACGATGTTGAAGTCGTCGACGCCAATGATGAGCACCAGGCGGGTTCCTTTGTGTATGAGGACGCGCCAGACTACGAAGTCGCTGTACCTACGCCCGTTTTCCCTGTCATTACCGCGACTCAAATGTTCGGCACCACTGGCGACAGTCCAGAAGCCGTGAACATCTATATCGATTCCCCACCGCAAACGAGTACATTAGATTTTTCTGGCATTCACTTTGAACCGCCTAGTCTTGAACTACAACGCGACCATCTTCCAGAGACGACTCCCCACGACGAATTCACTCCGTCCGCTCCTTCCACCCTCGGAAATGCCGAGGAGCGGCGCATCGCTAGACAGCTCTTGCAAGAGAAACTCGACGAAGCCCTGGCTCTCGCATTGCATCAAAGCTACGAGCGTCGTCGTGAACACAACAGCAAGAGCCTGTCAAAACGCGATCGTAACGATGAAGAAGCCGTATCCGATACCGCTAGCGCCGAGAAGCAAGTCAGCAAGAAATCCAAAAACAACGCTACCGACGCAGCTTCCTTGAGCGACGAACAGTACGATTTCGAATACGAGGACTCTGACCAAGAGCAGTCTGTACAGGACGCAAATGACGATACCGGAATCGAGGTCCCCACAGCACTAAAGTTTTCCAGGTCCCGTTCCGTGTCCCCTCAAGCAGGACCACAAGACCACCACAGCGCGAACCAACAAGCCTATTGGGAAATGCGGCCCTCAGAGGCAGGATCCGGTTCTCAAGCCTCGACCACGGAGCTTGTTCATGAGCTGCCTGCAGCGAATATTGAATGGCACGAGCAAGAAGCGCGTGAGACCGACGATGTACAAACCTCTGTCTTTGAAGCACCTCAGTCCGCGCTCGATCTCTTGGCCATAGTGTCGGAGCAACGTCCCCATCTCGAACTCTCGACGCCGCAACCTCAAGGAACCGAACGCCGTACATCTCTACCGGCTGTTGTCGAGCCTCCTGCATCCCAAGAGACGAGTCAGAGCACGGCGGGAACGAAACGCAAGTCTCCGCCTCCCGAACCATCTTATTCTTCCGAAACTCCAGCTCCAGCTCTAGCTCCAGCTCCGGCTCCAGCTCTGGCTCAAGCAGCGCCCCCTGCGCAACGAACACGTTCTGCAGCGCCTCTAAGATCGAGTTCGACGCGGAAAGAATCTACATTATCGGAGAAAAGGCCGACGTCTTCAGAGGAAAAGCCCACGTTATCGGAAAATAGGCTCGTGTTATCGACTAAAAGACCTGTATCGTCTCAGAGAAGATCGACGTCGTCGACGAAGAGACCCAGTACATCGGAGAAAAAACCTGTAGGCTCACAATCATCTGCTCCAACCGGTTCTGCTGCATCAGTCAGAAGAAGTTCGCGTCTTGCGGATAAAATGGCCATGAAAGAGTTCGAGGCAATGAAGGCGCAGATGCAGGGCCAAGAAGTTGATGATGAAGGTCAAGAAGAAGAAGGCGCCGGAAAGGAAAAGGGAAAAGAAAAGGGCAAAGGTAAGGGTAAGGGCAAGGAAAGTGGGAACAAGAGAAGAAAGAAGTAGGCGGTAGAGCGCCTTCGCTAGACAAAGACATTAGAAACGAATAGGAATAATTGGAAGTATGCATTAAAGAACGTTCGTAATAAATTGTTACTGGATCGAATGCAGCCTTCACGTTAGGATGCTCGAAAGATTGACGACGTGGACGAAGGCGAGCGATGTTTATATGAAAAGGCTGAGTGTAGGCTGGAGTCTCTTTGATGAAAGAGAGGGTTATTTTGCTGCTTCCGGTAATATGTATAGCCTCAGTGCCGATGTTGAAATCGTTACAGGCCTGCGGCTGGGGTTAAGGGGTGCAGTGAAGCCATGTTGTGTAACGCATCGTGAATTGGTGGGTGTATGGGTTTCAAAAAGTTACACAAGGTGGCCCTATTGCACCCTTAACCCCTGCTGCACGACTTCAACACCGGGTACCGATTTTAGAACTGAAGGAGAATAATTTTGAGACTGATCAATGGTGATGTTCACTGCGATAGATGACGGCGCAGGGGAGGATGTTGACGCGGGAGAGGAGGGTTGAGAATCGACCGCGGAACTCGCGAGGAGATTGTTGGCGGAGTCGTTTGATGTGAGACAGGGGAGTGTCCAAGGGGGGGCTGCCTGCGCTTAATGGTCTCACATCCACGCGGTGCCTGAACTTTGTTTCAAGTATCGGCTGTAGCGGCTCTGTTGTATACCTTACCGAACTCAATTGAATTACACAAGACTGAGCCTTTGTTTTGGTCCACTTTCTCCCTCGCCATCCTCCCCTCCTCCTACATAAAACCTAATCGCACGCCTCTGCCCTCACTGTCCTCCACGACCCTTCCTATACACTATACACAGTCATCCTATTGAACACATCCACCTCAGGCATCTCTCCACAATGCCAATCGTACTCTGCAAGGTCTTTGCCCATACCTGGGAGTCATTCGACGTCGTCATAGTCGCGTTCGGGAACACAGCGAGCATTCCCGTCTTGTCCGTCGCCGATACCCCTGTCAAGCCGCTTGACGATGCACCTGTCAACCCAGTCGAAAGCCCAGTTGAAGACCCAGCTGAAGACCCAGTTGAAGATCCAGTTGAAGACCCAGTTGAAGACTCAGTTGAAGACCCAGCTGAAGACCCAGTTGAAGACTCAGTTGAGGGCCCAGTTGAAGGCCCAGTTGAAGACCCAGTTGAAGGCCCAGTTGAAGACCCAGTTGAAGACCCAGCTGGAGACCCAGTCGAAAATTTAGATGAACGTCCAGTCGAAGACCCAGTCGAAAGCCCAGTTGAAGACCCAGACGAAGACCCAGTCAGAAAAGACCCAGTCAGAGAAGACCCAGTCAGAGAAGATCTAGTCAGGCCCGTCTTACCAGTTGCTGATGCACCCAAGTGTCACGCAATTGCCGATACCACCAAGCAGCGCTGTCGAAAAGAAGCCAGGGACATGGACAGGGTATTTTGTGAATTGCACTGCAACAGTCGCCCCAACCAATGCAAGGCCTTTGCGCCGACTACCGACGCTCGCTGCCGCAATGAAGGGCACTATGCTGGTCGTTTGTGTGAGGTCCACAGTGACGAGGTCCCCAAGTGTCAAGGTATAGCTGATACTACTGGAATGCGATGCCGAAGGGTTGCGGAGGATCCGGGCATGAGGTTCTGCGAGCTCCACCAACTGGACAGGACGCGTCAATGCAGAGGGTTCGCATCGACTATGGGCAGACGATGTAGGAATGAGGGGCGGTATGACGGTCTCTGTCAGTTGCATAGTAACAGGTTCCGAAAGTGTCAAGCTATAGCCAGGAGCACGAACATGCAATGTCGCAACCTGCCTGTCCAGGGAGACTATTGCGAGTATCACCAAGCATGGGGAAGAGCAACAAGATGGTTCTCTTGAATGCGAATAAATGAAACTTTCCTCTTACGCTCTGTGGCTCGGTTATTTATTACTCATGGCAAGCACAACACACAATGATGCCTTTATAGGAACAAAGATAACCGCGTTTCTTACACCCGTTCAAAAGTCCCATCATCGCCAGCCTTTATTAAGAAAGACTCCGTTCACCAGTGATCATCCGAACTGTCTTCTCTCATTAGCCTTTTCTTGGAGGGTATCCTCTAGTCAGGCTTTCTTTTCTTTTAGTAGTGGGCTTCGCTCTTCGCTCTTGGGATACCTATATATTAACGCGGTGCTGCTCGCACGGATGCGCCTCTCCACATCCACCTTCACAACCCACATTTACTCCCAACACTCTTTCAAAACCCTTCCTACACAAGACGCAGCTGAAAACCACGCCATCTACAATTTGTGCCTGTAAGGTCTTTGAGCGCGAGAGCACGAGAGCACGTTCATCGAACCAAACAACGACAATAGACTAGCCCCAACCGACCCATAACGATCAAAGTTACTATGCCACCCAACGAAAATGTCCCCGAAACCAACATTGGTCTCTCCATAACGCCTGCCAAGACAAAGGCCCTGAGAACGAGAATTGATCGAGATGGCTGCAATAATAAGCAGGATTTCTGTGAGGTACGCAGCAATAGTGTTTCGAGGTGTCAAGCCATTGCTTCGTCCACGATGCAGCGATGCCGTAACACGACAGCCAATACGAGTACTGTATATTGTAGGCAGCATAATAGGCTCCAATGCATGGCTCTCGCGTCAACAACGGGCAGGCAGTGCCGCTTTGAAGCACTGCACGATGGTCTTTGCGAGCTTCACAGCGAGAGATATGTGAAATGTAAGGCTATTATCTTCTCCACGGGGAATCTGTGTCGAAATATGGCGGTGGATGAAAACTATTGTCAGTACCATCGGAGCCGGGCTTGATTTAACTCGGCATGCGGATGTGTTGCAAAAGAGAAATAAACAAAAGAGAATTAGGAACAGCAAGTTTATTGGAAGTGCCGCCGAGGGCGAAGGAAGAGATGTTTTCTTATTTTTTGCCTACTTCGCCCTTTGTTTGTCATAGCGGCCATTCATGCAATAACCCTGAAACCCAATTAGCATCCGCGCTGTTGGTTGCATGGATTACTGGAGGAAGACCTACGGGCGGTGCATTGATGGACCATGACAGACACAGCAGTAAACACAACAACAAACACAAAAACAAAGCCAACAAAACAAAGCCCGAACAAACAGCGCATGTGCTCACGGAAGCAGAAGAAGGGCGCTCTGAAGGAAACTCGACCTCGCCACTTGTTCACGTCCTCTGCCCGGTGACCCATGGGCCAGCCCCCCTTTGGAAAGCAACCTTCGCCAACCAGCGCTACCTTGTACAAATACCGTCGATTATTTCACCTCACTCCTCAATGCACCCTCCTTTCTCCGCGCCCATATCCCAGCACCTTATACACGCACCATGCCGCTCGCACTCTGCAAAATCTTGGTCTGTACCTCCGACCCATTCGACCTCGTCATTATCTCAATCGGAAGCGCAGCCCTTATCGCTATTCAGCCAATGGACAATGCTCCGAGAAAGGCAGTCAAGCCCACGGTCGCCGTAACGAACGATGCTGCCGACCGAGGTGCGAGCGCTGTCAACAAGAACCAGGCCACTAATCTCGTCAAGGTGGTCGCCCCTGAGCCAGCTATTGTCGCCCTAGTCGTCAACAGTGCACCCAGCATCCCTACTCAACAGTGGTGGGACTGTAGGGAGGGCAAGTGTGTCGAGCTAACAAAACGTGGTTGGTTATGCCGCAATGATGCAACATATGGCGGTTTGTGCGATGTCCACAGGACCGACTTGCCCAAGTGTCAGCATTTTTCGGAATGGAAACAGGGCCTTTGCTTAAAAACTGTAGTGGATGAGAAGCAGATGCGATGTGAGATTCACAAAACGGGCAGAACAGATCAATGTCGGAAATATATCTACGCAAAAGGCCGGCACTGCCTCAACAAAGGGGAGTACTCTGGTTATTGTGCTTACCATCCTAATGGTGGCTCGCGATGGGTCTAGGACAGCAAGTTCAGAAGCTGCGTTCTAGCAAAATCTGGGAAATAAAGTTTTTTTTTTTTTTTTTTTTCAAAATGTGTAGGCCCGGCTAGTTCTGAGTCATACATGGCCGAGTCTTTACTGTTGCAGTTCGTAGCTCGCGGCTCTTGTTGCCTAGGGCATGCTGTTTGTAAGCGCAAGAGATGGAGGAGGAAGGAGGGAAAGGAAGGAAAGAAGGGAAGAAGGAAAGAAAGGAAGAAGGAAAGAAGGGAAGAAGGGAAGAAGGAGAGAAGGAGAGAATGAGAGAGTGAGGGCCGGTCTCTGGCAGGTCCGTTGGGAGGACGAATGACGGGCTAGGAAATAAGGCTGCCCTGTTCAGTTGTGCTGGCCCATATCTTATCCTCACACCTTCTCTTCACTACAGCCATTCCTCCCCATTCAGGATCACCGCCTAAGATCGTCGCCCTATCCATGAACAAGCAATGGCACCAGGTGGGGAACTACAGGGGGTTTAACTACGATCCAAACTACACCAGGAGACAGGACTACATCGCCTACGACAGGAGCAACTACAACGAAAACAAACAAAACAGCTGTAGCCACCCTGCCAGCACCAGGCACAGTAAGGGCAACAACAACAACAACAACAATTACACAGACGGCCGCTATTCAAGAAAAAACAGCGATAGCTCCACTCACGAGGCATCGTTTACTACTACTCCTGCCCAGGCGCTCTCATCCTTCACAGCAATGCGTAGCATCGACTACAGCACCGACTCTTCAGTCAGTTATCCCAGTAGCAGAGCTTCACAGTCCCCCTCCGTATCGGACGCGTCCCCACGCAGGGATTATGAATACGACGATCCAGGATACAGCAGCGCCCGTACAGGCGCGTTCGATGGAGCGACTTCAGATTCAAGGGGATACAGAGTCGACGACAGGCCACACGGTTCCGCATATGTCCCCCAGAAAACGGACAGCTCCAACGTGAACGAGACTGTCGACAGAGGCTTCCAAGACCTAGCAGGAAGACGCGAACATGAATGGAACAGACCCCCTATAGGCAACAGCAACTCATGGTCATCAAACCAAGACTCCTCAGCTGGTCACTATGATTCTTTTCAGAGTGATCGTGATAAACAACAGCAGGGTATTGATCGCAACAACAACATCAGCAAGCATGGGGCCAAGGCAAATCAAAGTACAATTAAGTGGCCACATGAGTTGATGTTGTCCAGCAGTAGTTCTGTCGGCCGGTCGGACCAAAATATCGTGAGGAGTCCCCCTCAATCGAGCCCCTCCAGCCGCAACTCCAGCGTTGACCCCAAACAGCACCCGACTTCGTCTACAATGCAGCCTCCATCACTCCAGCAATCACCATGGAGACAGGCACCGTTGATTCCACAATCAACTGAGCGTGCTCCAGTGTCCGCCGTCCTCAAGCGGGCCTTGGTCAATCTTGCAGCATTTTCGCAGAAATTGCAAAGCTCGGCGGTACAGGCGGCGAAGGCAGGACGGCATGATCTTGTCGCCAAAATCAACATCTGGGTGCTAGCCAACCTGTCTCATATTAACGCCTACAGGGTTATTCTGGATAATATTCCCCGTGGCATGGATGCTGTGGAGCGGACGGATATTCTACTCATTATAAGTCAGGAAATCAACGAAATACGAGAACAGGCGAAGTCACATCTTAAGTCTATCGAGCTCATTCGAACGAGCGAAAGCACGCTCCGAATCAGACAAGAACCAAGCGCATCATCCAAGCTGCAGACAATGTCGACGCCAGTAAAGCCTGTCGCACCACAACCTATCACAGGACCTCTCGCAGTGCCTGAGCGCCAACCAAAGGCGGAGCCGCAAGCGACGTGGCCTGCCTGGACAAGCACGCCTGCCGTTGCCTGCTTTGTACCTACGACAGAACCTGCCAACTATCCCGACAAGGAAAGAGTGTCCAAGCGAATGCTCTCTGATGAACTAGAGCAGCAGACGATCTGTTCTCAGGAGACGAATCCTTCTTATACCAACCAAGGCTCAGTCAAGAAGGCCAGGACAGCTGAGCCTACATCTGACATTGGTAAACACGGTTATCAATCGCTATTGTGGACTTCGGCATTCGCTAAATTTGACTGGGGATTTACCAGAGTTTTTTCATTGTTTTTGTTCTTTTTCATAGCCTTGCTCCCTACTGAAGGGCCTTATTCTCAAAACATTGAATGTATGCACGATACAAGAGCGCCAGTGGCAACAGCTAGCCACGAAATCCCAGTTGTGGTGGTCGGTCCAACCGTCAGCGAATCTAGTAAGAGTATGTCAAGTAATACTGCTGTCGGACCCGCGTACGGTACTGCGGTACCCTTGCCGACCTTTGAACAGCCACTGTTGCAGACATTGTCACCATCAGCGCCATTTTGTCACCAAGAAACCAGTCTTCCACAGCAGCAGACAATTCCAGTGGTGACCGTTGATACCGTACTCGGCACTGCAACCGCAGAGGCATCAACCATGGTGCTACCGATAGTTCCAATGGTGACAGTTCCAGCGACAACAGTTCCAATGGCGACGTCACCTTTATCTCAAAACAGCCCAACGCCTGCAGTTGCACAAGATTCTCAGGTCGCGGAACTCAAAGTATTGGTAACAACAACAACAGACGCCAACATTATGGCAGCGAATGACACTGCGACATCATCGTCCTTGGTGCAGAATCTACAGGAGACACCTCGGACGAGTAGCGGTAGCCCTGCGCAGGACGCAGCATCGCTCCATCCTTCACCTTCGCAGACTGTTGATACAGTCAAGGGGGCTGTGGAAGACACTCGTTCTTTGGGTACCAGCCAGTCTGACGTCTCTAAGGCCGCAACAACCAAATATCTGGATCTCCAGCAGCAGCTCAGTATGATCCGTGAAGAGGCACGCGAACAGCGTGCACGGACCGATCAGGTGATGGCTCTTCTCCATAATGAAGCTCAACAGCGTCGACTGGCTGAGCAGCGGCTTGCAGAGTTGAGGGCCGAAAATCAAGAGAAGGCATTCGAGATCCTTCGGAGTGATCTTGAGGCGAAGAGAGCAGAGGCGGTGTCGATGATGCATAAGGCCCAGGTTGAGATGCAGGAGGCGGCACTAACTGTGGCAAGGACAAGAGAGGAGCGTGCGGAGGCCTTGTTTCAGGCTGCGAAGTTCGAGGCTGAGAACCAGAGGCTGCTCAGGAAGATTATGGAGATGAGCTGTCGATGTGACGGAGAATTTCCGCCGGTGGAGAAAGCTGTACATCCATTGATGGTAATGGGTGTGGATTATAGTAAGGTTTGTTCAGTCCCGGAATCTCCCCATTCGGGCGTAACTGAGTCGTCTTCGGTGATTGTGAGACAGGAAGGCAATCCTTTTGCTTTCGTGAAGAATTTGGCGACGACGGCTCCGGCAACTCCTGAAGTGGATCCTATTGCTGTTGAGGCTGCGACTGCTGCGACTGCTGCGACTGCTGCGGCTGCTACGGTTGCGATTGCGGTTGAGAGCACGGATGAGAACGTTGCTTAAGGTCCGGGACAGCAGACAGAGAGAATGGGTTTCCTCCGTGCGTCCAGAAGGATGTCTACGGATTTGGAGATTGCGTGAACGAAGCTTATGTTTATGCAGAACCCATTTGGCAAGTTGCTTGGTTCTTTATTCTTTGTAACATACTATTGTATATTTTCACGTTTTTACTGGTTTTTTAAATAATACTTGTACATGCATTGTATGCTGGAGCCAGCTTGCTAAAAATAATAAAAAATGAATAAGATTGCGAAAACATACATGCGCATAAATGTCTGTATGGGACGTGGACCGACGCAGTATATGTCGCACCAGAGGCAAATTGGCTTTGTGGATGCAAAGAAAAGACACATCTTCTGCGGACCAAACTCGCACTGGTTCCCCTTCTCAAAAAAACGACCATGCGCTGTATGCTTTCCATGTCCTCAATGTTTATTTCACAGCCCCAAAATGATTTCGAAATCAATGCCCTCTAGTAAGTGTTCTCCTTGGCCTTTTCCGTGTGGTCCTCGATATCCAAGGCGTCCCAGGGATAGACCAGCCACTGATCGGGCATGTGCTTACAGGCAAAATACCGTCCCTGCATGATCTCCTCCGGCAATTGCTCACGCTTCTCCTTCAACTTGTTGTGCAACACAAAGACTCCGATTTTGGTCACCGGGACTTCCTTGCCCTGTTCAAGCAACTTGGCCGATTCCTTCTCGAGATCCTTGGTGAGCTCGCGAACGGCGTAGGCGAGCGTTCGACGGGTATCATCGACCTCGTCGACGATGAGGATGTTGCGACCGATGAGCGAGGTCTCGGAGGAGTCGAAGTTGAGCCACTGGGTCTTGATGACCTCGGGTTCGGAGACCAGGGGCTCGGACTCCTTGTGGGCGGCTTTCCAGATCTCGAGATCTTCATACAGAGAGAGACCGATTGCCTGGATCGAGATGTTCTTGTTGTTCTTCTTCTTCAGGAACGTTCTCTGTTGCAGGAAAGACAAGGGCGGGGGGAGGGGTTAGTGAATGTAACAGATCGGGATCGGGATCGGGAGGGAGGGGTGCAAGGAACTTACCAAGATACGAGCTGAGATTCAAAAATAAAATAAAATGAGGCACGCGAGCGACCGGAATAAAAAAAAAAAAAGGGTCAGCTCAGATATCCCACAGCATTGGGGATCGCCGCCTGCATTTTATTCTCCGTGCGCTTCCAAAAAAAAAAAAGAAAAAAAAGGAGCCGTTGACAACGCTTCCTTCTCATAAAGTCATAAAGAGGATCAACCGAGCAAACAGAAGACAGAGCAGTTCACTGCTACTTACCAGGAATGAATCCACCTCCACCGATGGCAACTATTCAATCAAATAAAGAGGCGTTCCCCAAAAAAAATTAATAAAGCAGATGATAGCCCATGGCAGTATCACTCCAGCCCTTGAACATCTTTGCGATGCTATCCTCGACGAGCAATTGAAATCGCCAGCTGCCACTTCCGCAAACGGAAGCAGCGTTCTAGAAGCCATTCAATTCCCGGAAAATATCCTCCAATGGATTCCGATCTGTATCCTCTGCGCATGTGTGTGTCGTACCCATGATGTCCGGCTGGAAGTCCTCGTTGAGGTGCATATTCTCGACGGTCTCCTTGATCATCGAGTGGATCTGGTTGTAGCTGACATGAATCTTGCTCATATTGAATTAAACAAAGGCGTGTGCTGTCGTGAAGGAGTGGGTGGCAAGTTCAATTGGAAAGGGAAAGCGGGACGGGATGTCCAAAAAAAAAAAAGAAAAGAAAAGAAAAGAGAAAAGAAAAAAAAAAGAGGTGTTTTGAAGCGTGCAGCCTTGTTTACCAAGCTAGCAGTGACTGCCATGTGTTTTAAAAAAAGGGCGGGCAAAGGTTGCACAGGCAGCCAAGCCCATGTGCCTGACCCCTGTCGGCTGTCTCAGGGGGAGGTGTGAAGCCAAAGACGACGCCCACCGAAGCACGCATTCATCACACCGACGCGATAGGATGCGATGGAGTCGAAGAGCAGTGCAGATAATAAATAACTGTACATTTTATTGAGAAATACATTTTGTTCCCTCTTGTACCCCTCCCCGCCCCTTGCTCGTTCCCTCCCCCCATTGCCAACAGGTCGTGCCTCGATCATCAGTTTTCCAAAATTGACTAGAGCTTCTCTCGGCTTTCGCTCCCTCCCCATTCCTTAGAACACACCGGCCATCTTCATCGCATCAATCTCATTCAGCTCAGACTGAGGCGTGTGTGTCGCCTCCCCGATCGCCTTCATGATCTTATCCTTGTCTTCCTTCGTTTTCGCCTCCTTCGTCGGTGGCAGTCTCTCGTTGTCCATGTCCGATCGCTTAGCATCCTCAAACGAATGGATCGCCTTCTTCAGTCCCTCGGCTCCCAGGGCCAACGATCCATAGGGCAGCTTGGTCGTGCCCATCAGGTCCTTCAGCTCCGACACCGCCTCAGACTCGTTGCGGAGGACTGCAAACACGCGTGACAGACGACCAACCGCCAGAATCTTTTGCCGGATCCGGTTCCTGTTCGCGTCCCTCTCTGCACGCGCATTCGAGACATCGACCATATCTGCGTCCTGAACCGCCGCGTTATCCGTCCCATTCGTGTTCACTCCTGATGAGGCGGAGCCATTGCCGTTTTCTGAAATCGCCAGTGTTGCATCAACATCCATCTCTCCTGCTGAACCGTCCGTCAGATTCAAGATCACGTCATCCTCTGCCAGCTCCTCCTTGCTACAAGTGTTCAGAATCGCCAGGAGCATGTCCGTGACTACAGTGTGGGAGATGGAACGTGAAGAAAACGTGTGATGTCAGCTTTTGATTGTCCGATATAAAGTCCTATAAGATGCTGCCTCGACACTCCTGATAGAAATCACCAAGAAACATGCATACTTTTTTCACCGACAAAAGGCAGCGACCATGTAAATACGTCCATGAAGTTCGGCAGCCAATAAGGGTGAGGTGTCGCATTGAACTGACTATAAGAGCGATTAGAGAAAACGAGGTTATTAGTTGGTGAAAGACAAGGCAACGGATTGATTCCGGACGCAGGAAATAAGAAGCAAGTTCAGATCCGTACCGAATGTTCATGACGTTGTTCTCATATTTCAGCACAGCGGCTATTTCATCATGTTTAAATGGGAAAAAAGAGAAGGGACATAAGCATTCGTTCATCCAGTGTAGATGTGACATTCTGCCCAGAACAGGTCATGCCGAAGAGGATACCTTTGTTGTTGTAAACGTCAAGATAGTTGGGTGCCGAGAAAATGGTCATGACTGAGGGGAATCCTGTCGCCTTTGTCTTGCGGTACATGCGGTATCCAGCATCCTGTGCCTCGTGAGCACGAATAATCGACAGCAGGTTGTTCTTTTCCAAGAATGCGCAGGCTGCATGGTAACTGTCGAATTGTGCGATAAATTTCAGAGTCAGTATTGTTTTCATTTCCAGAAGTAATCAGGGACCAAGTAAAAATTGCGACGCACCTGAAAAAGTAAGAGCAACCACGGACGTGGTTGTGGATAAAGAACTCAGATGTCTTTTCTTGACCAAACTCCTCGAGAGGATCTGCCCACAGCAAATCACACATCAGTCCATGAGTGGGGGGTTCCCTGAACCGGTTGATCTGGCGCAAATCATCCAGGGTGTTGAGCTCGGGTGAGAGACCTCCGTGAATGCAAAGGAATTGCTTGTTCATAATAGCAGCAAGGGGCAGCGTGCAGAACGACTCCATGCAGGCGTCATACACTCTTTCGGAATATTTGTGCTTGCCTATTCAGGGGTTCCATAAATATGACAGATGAGATTTGAGATCCTGCATCCTGATAACAATATCAAGAAATGACACCCGTTCAACGCTTACATTCGGTCTTGAACGTAAAGTAATCAGTCAGATGTCTGCACTCATGGTTTCCGCGCAACAAGAACAGGGTGTCGGGGTACCAGATCTTGAGCGACCACAAGTAGAGCACACACTATGTTTGAACAGACAGGGCAATAATAGGACGAGGAACGGAACGAGGAATGAGTACAGCACGCAAAAAGGATCCTAATGGCATGTATTGCTGCACAAGGTTTAAAAGTAGTGGATCCATACCTCGATAGAGAAATACCCTCTGTCGACATAGTCTCCTAAAAAGAGGTATCTGGTATCTGCGGGGTTGCCGCCGACTTCGAACAGCTTCATGAGATCGTAATATTGTCCATGGATATCGCCACACACTGCACGTAGAAAGCAAAGGGCAATCGAGTCAGTAAGGAATAACGTAGATCCATCGTTGGCACCTCGTATCTCTTAATATCAGCGACATGACTTCGTACCAGTGATGGGTGCATCGACTTCCAGCAAGTTGGGCTCTCTCCTCAACAATTCTGTTCCCTTCTGGAGGATATAGATCGCCTGCTCCTCAGAGATGCGACCCTCGCGATAGAAATGATTCTTCAAGAAGGCGATATCCGGACGATCTGGGAATTCCTTTGAATAAAACATTTCGTCTGTCGGGATGGTGACCGCAGGAGCCTGGACCTCTGGTTCAGCAGTCGATAAACAGAAAATACAAGTTAATAACCAATGATGACATGGATTCGATAAAGAAGGCATGGTGTTGTTGTTTTGTTCCGCACTAGTTGTACTAGCCCGCTCGGTCGTTTTCCATCTCGAGGAAAACAGAGTAATATAAATCTGCCGAGAAAAAGGTCCAAGAGAGTCCTGGCATGGCGCAGACAGTATCAAACTGTCATCAACGCAGCGCTGCTACGCCAACACACACACACACATACACACACTTCCACCCACACAGTTTACATCCCCCGACCCCATTGACAGTCCAGAGACTTTCGAAGGAGACATGATAAAAATAACTTTTGCTGAGAGCATGGCTAGAAAAGCGGGAAGAGTGAACCAGTCAAGGAGCAAGTAACCTTCCATTGCGACATGCCCTCTTTATTTCTGTACGTCCTTGAACGCGCAGGTGCCCTAACATACGCTGTGCCAACGCAACCACACATGGAGAAACAGACCGCGCAAGAGAAGGGGGAGGGCAATCGACTGGATGATATGTTATCCTTTGACGATAAAGAGGATTCTCACGAGAAGACGAAAGTACCTTTGCTGTAACGCTCTAGAGTCGAGGCTGTGGTGCCATCGTCCATGGTGTGGATTGTAAAGTCGATCTCTGGGACAGGCTTCTTGTTCTGGAGGTTGCGGAGTGCTGCTTGGGCCTGTGCCTCCCTGGCGGCGGCACTGACGTGGGATGAGGACATTGTGCTGGCTGTATGCTTGTTGGGGATGGTGAGAGTAGGTGCTTCGCAGATGAAGGAGGGGGAATGGGTGAAGGGACGGCGGGGCGATGTGGGGGAAGAAAGGAACGGGACGAAGGGAAGAAATACCAAAAAAATAAAATTGGAAATCGCCCCCTCTCATGCTGCTGCTCTGCTGCCGCCACTGTTGTTGCTGCTGCCGAGCCTGGGTTGCCCTGGGTGTGCTCGCCATAGCACGGACACACACACACACACACACTCACGAAGATAACAAACAAACCAAAGACAAAAGAAGCTCCAGAAGGAAGGACCATGGGTGGATGGTGCGATTGAACAACCCTTTTCTCTGCCAATATCTCATCCGCACTAAACTAATGGGTGAGTGTGGGTGTATGTGCTGGTGCACAACAGGGAAGGTGCCTGCCCTTCTCGAGGCCCGATTCGACTCTCTCCCGGTACAACTCCCTATTTCATTTCATTTTATTTCAGCCAGTCGACATCTTTCCGTTTATCGCGCCAGAGGGGCGATACTCCATTTCGCTCAGCCCTACCACATGCAGAGCGCTCAATTGCTAGTCTACGCATACCCCTAAAATAAGAGTCTCCTTTTCCTAATGAGAAAATACCTCTAGCGAATGGGTGAGCAAATGAACAACGGCGATGATAAAGGGGAATCAATATGCCGCTCGTAGTCTAACGCAACTACAATTGCCATTGTTTACAGACATGGAGCCGAAGATGCTTCGCCAGTAGTGCCTCTATCGACTTGTTTTGCAGGAATGATCGACGATCTGAATCCGCGATATGATCCGCCGCGCTCAATCGATGTATAGAAGGCGAGGATGAAAGAAGAAAAAAAAATAAAAAAATAAAAAAGAGAAGCGTATGGGCGTATGGGAGCCTCCACTCAAAGCTGGTGTGTGCTGCAGCACAAACTAATTCCCGTGACCCACCAGACTGCCCAGTGCTACCACCATTTTTGCTGTTCGATTGCAACAAGGAGTTACTTCGGGGTCTCAGGCCTCAGGCCTACGCCCAGGACAGAATGCCCACACCAGGCTTCTAATGGGCGGTATACCCAAGTAGCCGGAACACACGTTGGCCTAGCCTCAAGCGACCCATCATCCCAATATAGACCCAAACTAGGCTTACAGCAGTCTGCCTACAACTGCCCGATTCAATCAACATCGCGAACACTAAGGTTTATATATGCTGAGTCTATATCACAGTGATATTTATGGACAGGCCATTTGAAGGCAAATTGGATATTCGCAGCCAATGTGCAGCGCGGAACAAGCAATCTTTTCTTTCATTCCAACCGACTGCAAGAGGCTGTTCCTCGTTCTACATGGACAAGTCATTCAGAGCAACACAAACTGCGGCCTTCTGGTGTCCATTGTACTGACGGATGGTCTCGCCCGAGGATAGCTCCCATAACCGTGCTACATGGTCCGATGAAGCCGTGACCAGATATGCCGAGTCCGCTGAGAAAGCACAATCCCACACCCAGCGTTGATGGCCGACCAGTGTCTTTTCGAGTTCGAACGAGTAGTTTTCTGTCTTCCAGATCTTGACTGTACTGTCAGCCGAACAGGTAGCAAGGTGTTTGACATCCGGACTGAGGACACACTTTGTGATATACTTGTTGTGGGCCGCAAATTTCGTGATGGGCTGAAGATCCGTCGAGTCCCGCGTATGAGCCATCTTCCAAACGTAGCAATTGCCCTTGTTGTTGGCAGCAACCAGAGACGATCCATCGTTGGCGACAGTGACTGAGCGTATCGGCACATCCTCCTCGGGCACCAATTCATGTGTGCAAGAGCTTTCGCCTAGGTCCCAAAGCTTGATACTTCCATTTTGATCGCAAGAAATGAGTTCGCCCTGGTTTGGGTGGATGACAACATCGTTGACTGGTGCTTTGTGGTCGAAATTCCTCTGAGGATCTGGGCATCTGTATGAGGATGAGGAAAATAAAATCGCGCGTCAGACAAATGCTTGTCCAAGATGTCGCCCCGGGAAACGCGATGCTGGTTGTCCTTACCGAATATCCCAGATCTTTAACGTGTGGTCCTCGCTCGCCGTGACCATCCATTTGCCTTCGCAATGGAATGCTACTGCAGTGACATTGCTCGTATGTCCTTTGAAGGATAGAATTGGGTTGGGATGTGAGCTGTTGATGTCGTAGAGACGGACGTGTTGGTTGCTGGCTGCTGCGAGGTACTGTTTGTCGGGGGATATAGCCAACTTGTTTACTTGCTATTGAATAGAATATCAAACAAGGAGAATAAAGAACGCTGTGAGAATGAGCATTGCGAACAGAATAAGAGGCCTCCGCCTTGTCCGAGATTCAACACGTACTGCATCTGGATGTTGAATGGTCCTGGAGCAGATCCCGCTCAGTGCTTCCCTGTGTTATTGTGAGGAAACTAGCGTTAGTCCGATTTGCATCGCGCATCATTAGCATTGCTGTTGGGTCGTCTCTAGGCCACGCACCAGAAGCGAATGACATGGTCGTATCCTGCGGTGACGAGGATGACCGAGTGCGAGTCGTGTTGCGGCTGTTGCGGCTGCTGCGGTTGCTGTTGCTGTTGCTGCTGCTGTGGATGGCCTGGGTTTGGGTAGTTGGGATGGTGCTGTCCCTTGGGGTTTCCATGTGCTGCATGTGTCCTTGCGGTTGGCATCGTTCTGTTGTGATCCTGGTATATGTCGAGTCGGGTCGAGTCTTTGCGAGTGAGGGCAGGAGCTCCTCTTCTCGAAGGGTCCCTTCACTCTCCACCACACGTCAGCCGTGACAGTCACCGACTGCCATTGTGGAATTGGGGGCAAAAGGCGCATTGGCGACTCCGCTGAAACTCAACTCGACTTGACCGCACACGAAGCTCCTTCTTCTCCTTCTTCTTCATTCTCCTCCCTTCCTTACTTCGCCTCCGCCGATTCTCCCTCTGTTACAACTCACATTCACACAGCAATGGACTTTGAGGCACAACTGGCGAGCATCGGACAGGTCGCGAACCAGAAGGACAAGATCAAGGGCTATCAGGACCTGCTCGCCTCCATCCTACAAGGCGCTGCTGCCGATGAGGCCTCCACCTGTCAGCGTCTTCGACAATTCATCACGGCCGCAACCGAGGACTCTGTCGGGCTTGTCGTCTCACGCCAGGCGCTGACAGACTTCACGAACGCTGTTAACAGCACTACCAACCTCTCCGCTGAGAACAAGAAGGAGGTCTACAAGCATGCGCTAGACAAGGTTCAAGGCAGGGTCGTGTCCTTTGAAGAGCAGGTAATGAACGCGTCAGTGTTCTTCAGCTTCCTTTCTCTCCCATCTCACAGGCGCTTGAAGCAACGGGCAGAATGGTCCAACCGCGACAATTACCTCTTATCTGAGGACGAACTGACACTCAACCTGCTGCCCGCACGGTCCATCTAGGTCTCGGCTATCAGGACACACTTGGCCACCATCTACGAAGACGAGGAAGATTGGGCGGAGGCTGCTCAGGTATTAATGGGTATTCCTCTGGACTCTGGTCATCGGTAATGGGCTACACGAACAATACGCACGCGTTGTTGGATGACCTTGGCTGGCACGACTGCGCCTTTTGGACTAGGCTAAAGTGGCAACTAACATCGATTTTGATCACCCTAGTATTATTCCCAACGAGTACAAGGTTGGAGTATACATTCGCATCGTCCGCCTGTTACTCGAGGACGATGAGGCTGTCAGCGCAGAGGCCTATCTCAACCGCGCCTCGGTGCTGATGCGCGATACTAAGGATCTCGCGCTTCAGTTAACCTTTAAGCTGTCGCAGGCCAGGATCTCGGACTTCAAGAACAAGTTCTTGGAAGCCAGTTCGCGCTATCACGAGATCAGTTATATTCAGGACGTCGATTTTGAGGAACGCATGCATACCCTGTAAGCCGCAATATCTACTACAACTCAATCTTACGCCAATAACGTTTCTTCTAGCGTTAACAATATGTATCATTTATCGTTCATCAAGGTCCGCGGCTGTGGTATGCGCAGTTTTGGCTCCAGCAGGGCCTCAGCGCTCTCGAATGCTCGCCACACTCTACAAGGACGATCGCTCTCAACGACTCCCACATTTCTCGATCTTGGAAAAGATGTACCTCGATCGCGTGCTCAGGAGTAATGAGGTCTCAGAGTTTGCAGGCACATTGAAGCAACACCAACTCGCGCTCTTGCCCGATAACACGACAGTCCTGGACCGCGCTGTTATCGAGCACAACTTGCTGTCGGCATCCAAGATCTATAACAACATCTCGTTTGAGGAACTGGGGGCACTTCTTGGCGTCACACCTGAACAGGCTGAAGCAAGAGCCAGCAAGATGATGGGCGAGGGACGAATGTCCGGAAGCATTGACCAAATCGAGCGGCTCATCTTTTTCGACCGCACTCATGGCGCTCAGATGAGGCTCAGTGCTGGGGCCAAGGGGGGTGCAGGCGGTGGCTCCAGCGGCGCAGCCAATGGGTCGGGTTCGGGCGCAGCAGGAGCATCAGGAGCCGCTATCAGTGCGGTGGATGACGATGAGGATCAGGATATGAATGGACATGAGGCACCAATGCTGTCGACGTTGTGGGATGCCAGTATTCAGGATCTGTGCGGACACGTAGAAGAGCTGGTTGGCATCATTGGGGCCAAGTACCCAGACTATGTCGCTACGAAGATCGCCATGTAGGTTTGATACTCGGCCAGGACAGACAGTCGCGACATATCTTCGACTTGAAATAAAATGAAAAAGGATATTACTGGATGATGTGTTGGTCTTGTTGGATTAGCATAATCTTCATTGGCATTACTCGAAAAAAGACAGGATTAAACACTATGGCCCTACTCAGAGTCTGCCTGTAGTATATGCCACCCCTCTGAATCCTGTCGTCTTGTCCTCAGAAGCGTTCGTTAGTTTTCTCGTCTTCGAAGAGGCAGGCTGGGCCCCGGAAAATCTCCCTCACTTGCTTGCCGGTCTCTTCATCAATCGACCCGATGTCCCATAGCCAGGCCGAGGCGTCCGGGATCGCGTCCTTGGCATCCACCAGAATCGCACCTCTTTATTTGATCAAGGGTTAGCAACAGTTCTTCAGATGGAAATCTCTGGCCCTGATGTGGACACATTTTTGCAACGTTGGCTTTGGTGCTGGCACGCATGATGCATATCTGCAAAAGGCCGAAAAATGCCGATCGTCCACGAGAGTAACGAATAAAGAAGTAAGAATGAGCGACAACATCCTTAAAACGCACTGATCGGGCTGGCGGCCGGGTCCTGGCGAAGATGTAAAAGACACTAAACACGAGCAACAACACTTCTCCCTATGAAAAATGCATGAGTCTGGGATGCTCATGGTTCTACTTCTGCTGCGAAGAGATCAACACCAATCAACGTCAGTGTCGATTATCGGCGCGTTGACAACCAATATGAGAAACGGCTAGTTTGCTCATTAACAACACCTGCCGATTCTCAGTCCTCATGTATGGTAAATCCGAGAATGATCCAGGTTTGGTTTAACACATAAATCAGCTATGCAGTAGAGGCCATGGTTTTCAAACGGACGGGATTGTACAAAATCTCGGATTAATGTTTTTCTCCGGGCGAGTACATCCTTGCAGATTCGGCTTATTCTCTGTCCCGAAACCGTATTCCTGCGTACAAGGCCCTTGCCGCGGATTTGTCATAGCACGGAGTTCAACTACTGCTTGACCAAGTCGCGTGTTCGGATTCGGAACGAGCATTGCATTGGCATTTTAAAGTCTCGATGGGGCAGCAGATTTGGAATGCCGCGGATATGAGGATATTGATCAACTGGGTTGTAGTGTGTTGCGTGCTACACAACATGCTGGTGCACTTTGGTGATACCTGGAGCTAATGTATCATGAAGAGAATGACCAGGACTCGGATGGCGATGATGATTTACCGGCTACAGTCACTGTAGAGATATTTCGGGTGGAGCTGAAGACAATTACGCTGGCGACGGACTATGCACCGCGGCGTTCTGTCCATAAGGCAACGGTAAAGGATTTATTCGTTATCCTCCAACATATCAACCAATTCTCTGATCTCCTTCGGGGACATTCCTTTCTCAATGACCGAGTGCACGATCTGCATACGATGAATCTTGACCGTCCTGGCGTATTCTTCCTTCCTCTGCTCCTTCTCCATGTCATACTTTTCCTTCTATGTCTCTTTCCCCAACTCAAGCTTGCACACTTCCACTTGTACAAATGTTAACAATCAAGTCGAAGGTGGTTAGTATAGGTTCGAGAGAAACGCGTAAGTATGGAAAATAAAGTGACTGATTGGTGTACAGTCGAATCTGGTTTTTGTCATCATTTTGATAGTGAAATCGATGATAAAAGTTAACAGTCGAAACTCGTTTTCATCGCATTTTCCGCGCGCAAACCTGCAATAAAACCTTAACTGGGGATTGAATTGAACCTCTCTGAACGAGCTATTCTAAAGCCGAAAAATACAGCCACATATTCAGTCACATGCTCTGCTGTTGATGCAGAATCCTTTTTTATTCTCATCCATCTCAAAGCACGTACCAGTTGCTTCACTGTCCGTCGAATATCCACTGTATTCTTAGACCTCTGCTTCGCTCTCTGTCTCATTTGCTTGAGGCCTTCGATGCTTACAAGGTCTCCGGCCAGATCTTCCAGCGTTCGAGCGGCTATGTCCCATTCCTCGTCTGCGATCGGTGAGCTTGTGTATCCGTCATGACTAACTTCTTCAGACTGGACGCTTTCTCCTTCATCTGCATTCACCAGCTGCTGCACTTCCTCAGCCAGCTCCTGCACATCCTTGTTTCCTACTACTCGGAAATTCCAATTGTTCTCCATAGTAGTCTCGGCGATCAGATGCTCGAAGTATACCTTCTCCTGCTCTTCGTATTGGTCGTGCCGGGAGTAATGAAGTGGATGTTGCTGTTCAGCATGAATTGGCCGTCGTCGTCGGAGCTGCTCGCACATTTCCGTCGGAAGAATTGGCGTCTTGGCGAAGCAGTTTCGCAGCGTTAGAGACTTCATTCGACTCCATGCATAGGGGATCAATGTCCAAGCGAGTTCGTTTGAGATACATTTCTTCTTTTCGTAGTTGCGAACGAGATAGGTTTCATAGCTGAGCATCTCCAGGAAAGTTCGTTTGAAAACACTAATCACCCCTGCGTCGAGAGGTTGCGTTACTGATGTGGTGTTTGTCGGGAGCCGTCGTATGTGAAGATGCTTCCAAGGCGTGTTAGCTCGTGGATCACGCATGTCGATGTTGTTGTGCGCACCTGCAGAGTCAAGAAGGAGAAGAGTTGGCTCCGAGAGATCGTCATCAAGCATTTGTAGCCACCCTACGAATAGGTCCCTGTTCATCCATCCCGAGTTTGTTTTTTTCATGAGCATCCTTTTCGCCGAATCTTTCTCAATATCATTTGGAATGCCTGTGCCTAAAGTAAAGAGCATCACAGAGTCGTAAAGGTCAAGAATGGAAATAAAAAACACGAATAAATAAGAGATGATTGCAACACAAATCATTCATTAAACGTATTACCGATGACCAACGGCTTCAACGAATCCTTGGTGTTTGCCATGGCGAGAGAGGAACCAGAAGCATTAATGCAGAATAGGATGGAGACCCTGCAGCTCCTGTTGGCCTTGGCGCCTGACTTTGATCCTCGAGTTGTGTAAGACTTGTCGTCTAGCTCCTGTAAGTAAAAGCCGGTCTCGTCGCAGTTGAATATGTTGTCCGGAATGTACTGGGCGCAAAGCTGACGGATGTCGGTAAGCTCCGGTTCAATCGCCTCCAGATCGACCGATCCTGCTTCTCCATGAAGCTGGCAATAGGTTATCCCATGGCGTTTCTTGAAGTGATTAAACCACGAGGCTGAAAATGATAGTGGTGCCTCAGACACGGTATCGCCTGAATTGTCCTGAAGATCGACTAGAATTGTACATGTTTTCTTGATCATCTTGCCGTTGACAGGGACATTCTGTCTCCGCTGGTCTTGTAGCCACCGGTAGAGGACCTCCTCAATCATTACGCTCTTGTCTTCGACGATGTAATGAGCGTCCGGGGGGTGCGTCTTGACTGCAGCGCGTAATTTGTCTTCTCGTTTGAGCATGCATTCAAGGGTACATCTCGGAAGATTGACTCCTATCATGCGCCCAAAAGAGCTGTGGGAAAGCTTGATCGGGAGGTTTTCCTTCCGATCATGAAGATAATGATATATGTCCAGTAGTTCGACTTGCTGCTCCAGGGTGTAAGAGACTCTGGCCATTGGGACCTTGAACGGCTCGGCGTCAGGAAACAGAATAAGCACCTTCATATCTCTACGCCTGGCGTAATACAAAAGCATGTTGTATTGTGCTTGACGAATATGCTCGGCATCCTCAAGTTCGTGCTTGGTGTATTTTTGGCGGTTCTTGGCAGGAAGGTGTTGAGGAGTTGGTTTTTGTTTTTTGCTTGTCGCCGTTGCATGGGTCGAGAGCGACTCGTACTGTCGTTTTAGGGGAGAGGTTGTAGTCGTGGTGTTGAGGTATGTAGAATGCAACATGAGACGTAAGGAGGTATGGTTGAGGCAGAGCATGTGACTGAATATGTGACTGTATTTTTCAGCTTTAGAATAGCTCGTTCAGAGGTTCAATTCAATCCCCAGTTAAGGTTTTATTGCAGGTTTGCGCGCGGAAAATGCGATAAAAACGAGTTTCGACTGTACACTAACTAGTATGGACGCCGTTCGCTTGCATCCACCTCCAACTCGCCCTAGCCCTGGCCCCACCGTGCTACTGCTGCCGCTGCTCCTCCTGCTGCTGCTACTGGCATCTGTGTACGATCTTGCGTTCTGCATCCAAGGGTAGTGCCCATTTTTATCCACCGGTTGAAGATACAGTGACTCCGGGAATTAAGTCAATATTTCCTTCTATCGTAGTTTTTAAGCTGCTGCGCTTCACAGCCGTCTCTAATCACTTCCATATTTGACATGGCGGTGGGCTAGCGGCCTAGGTATTAGTCAATAGGGTTGAACTCCATCCGGTATCCTCCTAAAAAGGAAATGTAGATCCCGCTGGACGCCCATATTGACTCAATTTCCAGCGGTATGTTCCAAAAATAATTATTCTGCTACAACTTCGAACTATTGGTAGTAATAATGCCTCTATCTGCCTCTAACACTTTGTATGACGTCCGCCTGCACGTTTAACAGCCTTGATCCTGCGTGGCGAGCTCTCAGTGAGATTTTGACACACTGAGGCTGGGATTTTGTTCCGGATTTCTTGCGCTCCCATAGCTTGGGAATACCTCCTGGAGGCTCCTGATATCTTGCTAGAAGCCCCTTGAAATGCGTCCAGAGGTGTTCTATCGGATTCAAGTCCGGAGAGTTGGGTGGCCACATGAGAGGCACGTATTCGTTGCCCTCAAAGAACTGCTTGACAATTTTGGCAGTGTGCTTGGGGTCGTTATCCTGCTGAAAAAACCACCTCCTCTGGATCGATGCTGTAGTACTCCTGGGTCAATGGAACGCACTCGTTTAGGATCTCAACATATAGTTCCGCATCCAGTCCAGTCTCGATATGAGAGATGTAACCTGGTCCGTCCCAAACCATGAAACCCCACATCATAAGGAACTCTCTCCATGATTGAGTGTCTCCTCGATCAACCGTGCCTACATCCTAACTTTGTTAATTTTCGCCATCCATAAAATCCGCTTCTAGTCCTCCACCGTCCAGTGCCCATATCGGTGCACAAATTTCATGCGCTTCTTGATGTGATCCTTGGTCAGTTTCGAGCGTTTTTCTTGTGCTGAGCGGTTAAATCTTCTCTAAGGATCTCCCGCACTCTGTTGACTGAAATGTCGGCCGCAAGCTCCTCCTTGAGAAACCGTTGGATCTGAACGGTATTATTGCAAACGACAGTATCCGGAGAGAGTCAATCTAGGGAGAGAGGAGAACTTTATTCTGCCAACAGCGCTCTGAAATGTTGCAGAAAATGGGCGAAGCACCGGTGACATCATAGTGTACTGAACCGAGCGTAAACCTTTTGCATCCAGGCACAAAACAGCGCAGGTAGCTCCATGCACTCGTCTTGCAAACATGACTATGAAGACCATCAAACATTAGAGAACCAAGGTAAGCTCTGCGCCTTTCTGATTTCGTATGGAAACGTTGCGACGAAAACCGCCGGACTTTGTAGTTGGTCATTAGAGGTTGGGCGGCAGGCAAGCGGCGTGTAACGATAGTCACCATAGTTATATATAGTCGTGCACGACAATTGTTATTAAAGTTAGCTCCCTTCTTCACTCCCATCGTCTTGTTACAGAGCGTTACGCTTAGTCTTAACATCATCATGGGTTGCTGAGACCCAAGCCATCTGAGCAGCATGTACAGAGCTCATGCAATAATTTGCCACCAAATATTCTATTATATTGAATTATCAGCCCATTCGGTGAGTGTTCGTTTCACATAGATACTACTTTCAAAGTCGACTGGGATAAAATAATAGGCCCAGGATCAAAGCAGACTACCGGAACAAAAATACTCAAGGATCTCATACAGCATCTGCCTGCTCGCTAAATAGCTTTCTCTTTCCCTCCTGTGGCACAATGGGCAGTGTGCCTCGGCTCTTTGCCAAAGGCAGCCATGCGATTTGCGGTCGGTATGCAGATCCCTTCATCAGGGCCTTTTTCTGAACACTGTTTGGAAGCCAATTGAGAATGATATGCCTGACAAGTCGCTGGACCCATGTCTAGAAAACAATAAAGTAAACGTTGATGAGGAGAACTGCTGATTTGCACACCTGCTTGCTTCTTACTGCTGGACCATAAAACATGCAATCTTCATAGCTGTGTTAGAATACCTGACCGGCAAGAATCTTCGACCATGAGTTGCTTCCCTTTAATTGGATGTTAACACGATCGTAGCGTTGCTTGTAAAACTCTTCGAATGCTGCGGTGATACTTTCAGACCTAACATCTTCCATGTTGTAGATACAATTTGCTAGCACTACGGCATCCTGCATCGCGCTGACAGCGCCTATTTAAGCAAAGAGTGTGGAATGTAAGTATATCATCGGAGGGTTGTGTAAGAGAAGGCCTTGCGTAATAACTGATAGATATGGAAGAGTTTCAAGACGCACCTTGACCGGCACCTGGTAGCATCTAAAGCGGGGGAGGTTTGCAAGATGAGCAAAGTTAGATCTCTTCAGTAACAACAGTAATTTCACAATTGGCCAAAACAGATAGGCTTACCTTATGACAAGCTATACGAAAAATAGGAAAGAGATGCATGAAGACTTGGTCAGCTTATCCGGAATGTAACATATCAACTCATACACCCATCTGAGAACCCGTCACCTTACCATCACCGATGAGTACTGTCTGTGAATGGTACCATGTTTCAAAGAGCTTCTCCTCCAAATACACTTTTGAAATCAGATCCTTGGGTGTCTGGCGTATGAATTCGCCCATAGTGCCTCCCCATGGGGATGGCAGGTCCTCAAACTCCTTGATCATAGCCTCGTTTGATTGTGGTCCCCACTCGGAATTGCGGAAATGCTGTTCCTTGCCTTCCATCTCCGAGACCTGGTAACTTAACAACCATCCTACTTGATTGTTGGCCATGCTGCAAATGCCCCACTATTAAAAAGTAATAAACGCAATCAAAGGATGTTACTTAAATGCTTACTTCTAGTCACACAAAATGAGAAAACGCACTCGCACATACACTTCGTGTGTCCTCTCCCAGAACTTGAGAAAAATGACAAAAGTTGTCCTTGAGTTGCGGATACTTCTCTGGGTCCATTGCAGTAGCTACGCCGACCATGCTCACGTATCCGATTGACAAATTCTCCTGATCGATTTTCGGCAACACGCCCTCTTCCATCATCTGCTTGAAAAGGCTTTGGCGGACCCCACTGTAGGCGCCGTCGGATCCGACAAGAAGATCGCCTTCATATGTCGTGTTATCGGCGCAGTAGATATGGATCTTTCCTTCCTTTGTTTCTGTTCGCAGAACCTTTTTACCGAGACTGATCTTCTCGGGTGGAACTTGTTTTAGCAGGAGCTCGTAGAGTTTGGGACGCGGGAAGATTAGGCTGTCATATCCTATGCTAAATGATTAATTCCTCAGGGATGGTTATTACATAAAGTTCAAAGGGTTGTTAGCGGGCTGAGTGAGTAGCACATACAAAAGGAACTTACTCGGTCATCCAGCTTCCCATGTCAATAGATCCGAGTTTCTTTGCCGTTTTGGCAGTAGTGTACATGTCGACCTGACTGAAAGTCAGAGACATTTTTTGGATCTCTTCATACAGGCCCAGCTGCTCGAACACAGGCAGGATCGTCGCGCCAAGAGTCATTGCAGAGCCTATGGCCGTTCAATGCATCGTTAGACGTATTACTTTTACACAAAAAGTATCCGAAGACGTGATCTTAAAGGGTATTGTTTAAAGGATGCACTTACCGAGAGCGCGAAGCTCCAAGGCGCGCTCAAAGACGTGGTATGGGACATTGCATCGTTCGAGCAGGGTTGCCAGCATGAGTCCTCCTAATCCACCTCCGACGATCAGGACCGTTGGAACGGATTTTCCAGCACTGCGTTCGGTGATCATGGTTTGGTAAAATTTGCTTGAGGTTATTTCGGACGGAATAATGGGGTATTAGAAAACAAAGAACGTAGGAAGGAAAATGAGGAAGGAGGAAAAGAAGGAAAAACAGGCGATCCCCATTCAAACAAATGAAGAAGCGAGCAATGTGCTGTTTGCATCTCGAACGATGACTACAGAAGGAAAGTGCCTCAGTTCAAGTTGCTGTTACACAATCGGGCGCATAGCGCACAGCAGTTAATGTACAGCATGTGAATCCAATACACGGCTCACCAGTTGCTCCCAGCTTTTTTGTCCTCAATTGTATACTGGTAGAAATAGCCAAAAAGATAAACATGGTATGGTATATTCATACATCCTTGATCCTTAGCACCTCAACACTAGATTATCATTTGAAGCACAGCAACTGCTTGCTACCCTCGCAATGGTAAGGCCCTTCCAACGGCAGCACATTCCCGGTACCAGGGACGATGCTCGAACGCGTTGAAGTTAGCCATCTTCTGCACTCACTCCGACAAGTAATTAAGGGGTTTGCCAAGTGGACATAAAGGGTCGAGATGAGGCTCAAATGAAGAGATAGGGAACGAGAATGGGAGAAGGAGGGTGAGGTACAAATATGCGCTCCGTTACACGCCCTCTGCGATACTCCGAACAAATTGATGGGTAATTTTATGACATCCGGACTCAGCGTATCAAAGTTTTTATTCATGTCGCACTCGATATTTGTCATTCCTCCCCATCTATCCTCGTCTGATGCCTTTCTGAAGAAGCCCACGCACCGCGCCCCGCTTCTTGGCCAGGAATAGCCATGCAATCTGGGGCTGACACTCTGATGTCTTGACAAACACTTGCTGCTAGAGCCAGCTAGGTATAGATATAGTTGAAGAAGATATGGCGAATCATTAGTTCTATCCAGCAGGGCTATAGTCATTGACAAAAAAAAAAAATTAATGTTAGCATAAACTTCGCGTAGCTCAAGCAAACCTCTATTGTAGCATTCCTACATGTCCATTCATGAGCTTGAATATTACATTGCTGTGTTCGAGCTATGCTTTTGCGTGATGATATCGTTGCTTGCGGTATTCCCTTTATGCATCGTCAATGTCCTTATCGGTTAAGTCCGTCATATTGTAAAAGGCAGTTGGCAAGAACAGCAGTGTCCTATATAGCATTCACGGCTCCTACATTTGGAGTAGCCGGGTCGAATTAATGGAAAGCATGGGATTGTACTCATTGCATTCGATGCCAAAGCATTTACGCAGTGCTTACTTTGACCTGCAGAAGACAGCATCAACGTCAGATTCAAGGAAAAACTGTTAGCATAGATACGCTCCAAGTGAATGAAAGAAAGTAACTTGAACGTTGTTCGTACCTTGTGGCATCCTATGCATGCAAGACCGTAAGCAAAAGTGAAACACGGCACTCAAAGTGAGTTAGCAAAATATGGCTTTGATTATACACTCGAAGTTGCATAGGGCAAGATCATACCGTCACTGAGGAGAACGGTCTTGCCATGGTACCAAGTTTCAAAGATCTTCTCTTCTACAATCACTTTGGAAATCAAATCCTTGGGCGTTGCTGCGAAGAGGTCGCCCATGGTACCTCCCCATGGGTTGGGCTTGTCTTCAAACTGCTTGATCATCGTATCGTTCCATTCTGGACTCCACTCCGAGTTCCGAGATTGCTGGACCTTTGTCTCTTTTTCCCCCAGTTTCCTCCGATGCCCCAAGCAGATATGCTTGCCGGGGATACATACGGTCGTCCACTGTAATAAAGTATAGAAAGCGTCGGTGAACACATGGATATATACCGGAGATCCATTATGAGGATGATGGTATTCGACTTACACCGTAGCCATTTCCACCGTAAACCTGCGTAAAATGCGAACAATTGTCCTTCAAGTACGAATACTTTTCCGGACCCTGATTCTCTGCTACACCAAGAATACTGACGTGACCTATCGCGATGGTCTCTAGATCAGATTTGGGCAAGGCGTCTTATTAACTGGCTTGTGGCAGCTAAGCGTTCATTGCGACGTTGCTTTTTGATCCTTTTATGTTCATCCTGCCTATCACATCTGTTAAGCATCATTCTAGTAAGCGTTTCTGGATTGTGCACATTCAAGCATACATTTGTCACGTTTTCATTTAAGAGGTAGCAATTTCCTATAGAGAATTCTAGTATCCAGCGTTGGATTGAACATCCGTATGTTTTATTGGTCGAAGACTGTTGGACCAGCCTTCGAGGAGGGATGCTATTTAGCTACCTAAGAGGATCAATGGGTGCTCTAGAATCGTAGAAACTGGGCGACGTGAGCACAAACGACATATACTCCTTGCAACTGTGGACAGCCCGCTCCTACAATTTGCTGACTATTTCACACTAACTTACACTGTTATACTGTCAGCTGTTTAGCAGCCACGTCCAGTGTTCCATGAGTGGTCACCGCAGCCGTCGAAGCCTGGCGATCTGCTTCCATGGCAAATAACTTGGCCTGCATTGGAACCGCAATCGTAGCCTTTCTGTTTCAGGGCGCCACCAAAATTAGCGGCATTTTGCTGCGCAGAGCGTACTTGATCAGCATGACAGTCGTAAGTGCATATATCACCGCCAGACTGAGCTTGGTTCACGAAGCATCACTGCTCACAAGCAAGAGTGCCAAGTACGCAGGGAAGTAGTATGAGTCCTAGCTGGATTTTCGTCATTGTTGGTCGTGCGAGCTGTTGCTGTGGAATTGTCGTATTTGTGAAAAGATAACTGAAGAAATTAATATCAAGGCCATATGAGGTAAAGAAATGTGAAAAGATGGCCAAGTGCAGAGTGCAAATATGAAGGATGCAAGAGACTTTCTGCTTACCTTGTAGGAGAGTGGAGGGTACTGAGGAAGAAGAATGTAAGACAAAAGGGAAGGATGGTACCCTTTAATACGTCGCTGAGGGATAACGTAAATCTGAGAGTGTCCCCTACTCTGACTACTCTGAGCACCATTGATATGGATAGTCTCCTCAAACTAATGCTTCACAAAAGTCAACAAAAAAAGGCAGGACAAAAGGACAGGGAGTAAGAGGAAGACGAAAGGAAAAAAAGGGGGGGAGGGGGAGGAGAGAGGGAGCAAAGAGATGGGATGAGTGCACTCATTCTACCCACTCTTTTGCAGCCTTATTAGAAAAAAGTAGGGGAGGAATGGACATGAACGTCAAGGGACACTAAGGAAAAAGGGATGGAGTGCTCAGTGAATGTGAATAGAGAAGGTTCAAGGGATACTAAGCACACTGCACCTCTGACCTACATCTTAGAATATGTGTTCCGTTCTGCCTCACAATATCGCAGGAGGAAGATAGAGACCGTTAAAGTGCACCCTAAAAAAGGAGGGATGATGGAAAAACGAGAAGCAAGATGATCAATACGTAACATCAAAATAGAGGACGTTGAAAAAGGGACAGACTACAACTACAGCTGCTTACAATATGTCGGGATAACTGGCTTGTGGCAGCCAAACGTTCATAGCGACGTTGCTTTTTGATCCTTCGATTCGTCGGCTCTTCCTATCATACTGAGGCAGAATTCAGTAAGCGTTGGATTGTTCACCCACTAATAGGGAACGTGAGCTGGGTTTAGACCGTCGTGAGACAGGTTAGTTTTACCCTACTGATGAAATATTGCAATAGTAATTGAACTTAGTACAAGAGGAACCGTTCGGATAATTGGTATTTGGGCCTGCCTGAGCAGGTAATGGCCCGAAGCTATCATCCGTTGGATTATGGCTGAACGCCTCTAAGTCAGAATCCGTGCTAGAACGCGACGATTACCGCCTTTTCCGATTTTTAGTTGAATACGAATAGACCCTCGAGTCCTGAATCATACTATGTGGGGTCGTCTTGTGGAGCGGAAAGGCTTCATGAGGCGCCTGCTAATGTTAATTTCAAATATTGGAAGAGATAAATCCATTGCAGACGACTTTTATTGAACGGGGTATTGTAAGCAGTAGAGTAGCCTTTAATTTTCTTGAAATGGCAAGAGTTAAGGGGACTACTTATAAACATATATAGAACATGCATATGTACAGTCACCTAACAATTATAATTGGGCAATCATAATTTTCGCCCATGCTTTTGTCAAATTACCTATATACAACACAACAAAAGAGTTATGCAGTCGCTTTGGAAATCTTCATGTCTATCGAGGAGCTCTAGGGAAACATCCTTGGTGAATATCAGGGTGGCGTATGCTGAAAGAAAGGGTTCAATATCTGCCATTACCCCCGCTGTACTTTTTCACGAATTCCAGTTTCTGGGGCATCGTGCCGACCAGTCTTGCAAGCTGTTCTTGTGGTAAAGCATTCCATTCCTCAACTAGAGCTCTCACCAGGGCTGTAATGTCCCGGGGTTGTCTTTGTCGTCGATTGAGGGCGGTATCAAGGAGGGACCAGACATGCTCGATGGGGCTCAAATCTGGGGAGTTGACTGGCCAAGCCCTCTATTTTGCAAACGCCGTGTGATTGGGGCCAATTCATTGACAGCGCGCAGCTGTGAACTGGGGCGCCATCTTCCATGGTTGTTATTCAAGCTGCTGTCGATTGTGCTTGGAGAAGAAAAGTCGTGTTGAAGAAAAAATGTATTTATTTGCTCCATGGCTAGAAAAATTAAAGTTGACCAGTTAGTTTTGTTAGCTATACCTTCGAACTAGGTTGATAAACAATAAAGGGTACTTCGCGTGATGCGTAAATGACCCTGAGAGCATAATATATCTTTATTCGCTTTTGTCTTGAGCTGCATACACCTCGGGCCATGTGTAGATAGGTTCAGGTTCTCCTTCATATCTAAACTCAGACCAGAAGTGTACCCTTCTGCCAAAATGCGACTCAGCAATAGAAAGCACATGGCGTATATAGGGTTCTGCTTGCGAACGTCCCGATATTTTGGAGCTGAATCTCCTGAATCGGTGGCCTTTGTATGGAAGCGTAGGATGCTCGCCCACTTCGAATTCTATTCTGTCGGCCATTAGGACTACTTGGCTGTCGTATGCATATGCCCATTCGACCGCGGCGATGAAGGAGACCCAAATAGAGCGGTCGTGTTCGTTGTTTTCCAATGGAGGAAATAGATCAAAGCCAATGTCAATGCCCATTGTGATGCGGAAACAATAGAAAGGGCAAATAATGATGGATCAGTTCAAGTTGGACAGAGACGAGGCTTTATTACTGCGGCCTTGTGCAAGAAGGCTTTCAACGATTCTTTTTGTTTATCAACTCTTAGGGGCATTGCTCCAAACATTCAACGATTCGAAACCAGTTCGAGCAGTTATAAGTGCCGCATGACAGAGTTGTACTCTTGGCACAGTTTTGGAAACAGGCATAATCAGCCTTAACAGATGCAATGCCAAGGAGCAGGCAGACGGTTACAATAGTAAACTTCATAACTAGACTCGTTTTTTGAGAAATAATTGTGGATGTGAGATTGACATGAAAGACAGACAGGACAAAATATAGCCACGTACAAAAGGCAATAAGAGAGGGAGAGTTCAGAGACTTGCCTACCTTGTTTACGAGCGAAGAGTGCTGTTGAAGCGGAAAATTGAACGGGAAGGGTCCTTTATATGTCGAGGGAAAGTTGGTTTGGCTCGGAGAATAGAAGCCCAGAATGGAGGCAGTCTAGAAAAATGGGAATATGAGACTGAGATAAATGACAACCAAGTATACAGGACAAAGGAGGGAAAAGAGTGAGGAGCATGCGAGAAAATAAGTCTGTGAAAAACGATATGCCCTTTTTAATAGTGGCAGATCGTGCCTTATATACTAGGGAATAGCTATAAATGCGTCTAGTATAGGGGGCTAGGAATATAGAGGTAAGTCCCAGGGGCACGATGCTCTTCATAAAGGATCGACACCGAGTGGTGGCGGATCCAGAGAAATAGGGCGCTTCATATAAGCAAGACAATGTGGTGAATACACCACAAGGGGTGAGAATCGCCTACCTTTGTTTGCGAGTTGAGAGTTCTGAGAAGAATATAAGACGGGATAGAGAGCCCTTTATATATTAAGAAGTTTGGCATTAATGACAATGAATAACGAGAAAAGGATATTGAAGATCACTCCGGAGGCACAAAAGATCAAAAAGAGGAGAGACGCCGAAAAGATTAAGGGGATGCACATGGAGAGGAGAGATGGCAGAAGGTCAAGGAATGATAGAAAAAATCAAAGGACGAGAAAAAACAAGGGACAACATCAAGGGAAAACATCAAAGGACAACATCAAAGGACATGCAATAACTAGAGGCGGAGTCAAGGGGAACAGTGTTTCAATGGCGTCGAGTCATATCTATCTAGATGGCGATGGTGATGGCGGTGTGCGATGTGATATTGTCAACCTAATCTGTCGCAGGACAACACCAATGGACAACATCAAGGGATAACTGGCTTGTGGCAGCCAAGCGTTCATAGCAAGAAAAGCAACGAGAGCGTCAGACGGCTTGAGTTTATTTCACTTAAGGATACAACTAGTAACGACGCGTCCAAACATTTGACCCTTTTGTCTTTAAAATTTTTGCTATGCTTACGTCGCGTTTATTATAGCTCAACCGATAAGATAGCCACATTAAATAATATAGGCTGGGATATTTTTGGGACTGAAAATAAATGTGACTCCACACACCACACCAATTAGGTATTTATTTGTATTAAATATAATAGTGAGCTGGAGGTACACTTTTTAGACTAAATATACAATGAACTCTGGTGAAATATGCGATATAGGCGCTTGACTGATTCCTCCAAAGGCTCCTTGTGTGCCAACAACGCAACAAATATCTCTGCCTGAGATGACAGGTAAATAACCGCCAGCTCTCGATCATGGATTCCACCATTGACATAATGACATAATCATATATGCCGCGCGTAGCACAGGATCGGCAGTTACTCCCTGATCCCGCCTGAAACTGGTAGTTGCGCCGCTAGTACTTGCTCCACTGGTATTTGATTCCGGTGTGGGGTGTTCCTGAGGCGCAACTGGCCTTGAAGACTGTGCAAATGATGCAATTCCTTCCGTACTAGCTCGTCCAGTGGGAGACAGTCGGTACTCCTCAATAACCTGAAAAGCTATCGCACTTATTTCCATGTCACGAGCCGTCAATGGTTCACAGGATGCAACGGATCGAACAACATCGTTATATGCTAGAGGGGGATGCGGATGCCATTTTCTTGATCCAGATCGACTCGATTCACCTGAGGTTGTTATGAAAAATGATTATTATTCATCCAGTCGTTTGTACAGCTCCTGTCGCACAGTGCTGTAGGCTTCCGTCCGCTCCCACGAAAATGTCACCTTCATACGTAGTGTCATCCAAGCAGTAAATATAGGTGTCGCGAACCTATGCTTGTTCAGAGTCAGGATGACCTTTTTCTAAGCAAGGTAGATACGGACAAATAATGGCAAGTATTCAAGTGTCAAGGAAGAGGTGTCAGGATAAGCTTAGGATTGTATTCAAGTTACTAGATAAGGAATAAAACAGATACAGAACTGTGGAATATATAAATATATTTTTCTATTTGCCTTGTGTAACGATCATACGCGCTACCAAGGGTAGTCCGATCGGTGCTGTGATATTTTATGTATTTCAGTGTGAGTCAAGGAGACAAAAGAGCGTTGTTGTTTATTATGCTCCCGGTAGGGGTTTTTATAGTCCCGACCTGGGGCTTGGAGCATTAGATAGCTTAATAGTCTCATGAATAAAAATGGAAGTGGCCTAAATATGAAGGTTCACTCCCAGTACAGTCCCAATTTGGGGTCCGGACGGAACAGGTGCCAAGAGTCGACCGATCACTTGCCAATCGCAGCTGTGGCAGTGCTGTAGCTCGTGGCACGCCACAGTGGGATAGCCAGCTGCGAACGATTCAATCTCTTCCAAAAGACCGAGTTGATCAAAGACTGATAAAGTCCCTGCTCCAAGCGATGTAGCCGACTCGAGCGGATGCACCTTTGTGGCTCGCTCATTGATATGATAGAGTACGTTGATGCGCTCCAGGAGTGTGCCCAACATTAGACCGCCCAAACCCGCACCGATGATATGCGCCGTCGGCAGTGGGCGTCCCTGAGGGAAAGTCTGGGCAGACATCGACAAGTAGCAATTGGGAGAGAGGAGTGAGGAGATTGGGGTGAGATGAATTGGATGAGGTGAGAAACAGCTCATTCATAACCAGTTTACTTGTGCACCGCATGGATGACTTGGACGTACAAAGTGGAGTCAATGTTCCACTGAGGGCGCTTTGAGGCTTCAGGCTGGGAGACTAGGCACTGAAAGTGGTGTATAAAGATGCAGCCTCGCTGCTGTCAACGCAATTCCAGTCCAACGATGAGAGGTCACAGGGTCTTGTACAGGGCAAGAGCAACGCCGAAGCTGCTGCAGCGGTAGAGTTCCCGCGCTCGTTGAGCATCGGCTCAGAGAGTGGAAGCGCTGTCGGGACCGTCCAAGTCATAGTAGAATGGGAGCGAACTCGAAGAGGTAGCGGCAATAGAAACGCCAATGGACGTTCGTAAAAATATACGCGTTGAGACGTCCATTGAAACGTTCACCCAATATAATCACGTCCGCGACGCGCGTAGACGCACTGTCCCAATTGCAATGATTCGTGTGCGAGTGCGCAGGGAGGGAGCGGATATAAAAGGGAAAGCGCTGGTTTCTCCTTGAACACTTTTCCTCATTCTCTCATTCCTCATTCCCACGAACAACCATGTCTGCCACTGCTGCTAATCGTGTCTCGGTTCTGATGAACCATCTCTCTGCAGCTCCCTCCTCTGCGACCCACCCCGCGGGACTTCTTGCTCAGCAGGTCGCTATCGTTACTGGTGCTGGGTAAGCTAACCGTAATCCTCATATTCCGAGTGCTCACTTTGTGGAGAAAGAAGCTGCCCGAGAAGTGGCCCATGCCGAACCGAGGGAATAACAGACAGCAATAATGCGTGCTAACAGTACCCATTGACACCTCTGCTATGAAATAGCCAGGGAATTGGAGGCGCTACAGCCTTGCTCTTTGCTAAAGAAGGCGCCAGTGTCGTTGTCAGTGACCTTGACGATAGTAAGCGATCTTTGTAGAAAATCGGATAATTGTTCTCCGTAAGACTGGGTGCGAGCCGATTCACGCCACACCCACTCACCCGAGCATAACCGGCTCCATTTTATCTCCTGCGCTTGCTTGTCTAGCCAAGGGCAAGGCCATTGCTGAGCAGATCACTAAGGCTGGAGGAAAGGCCATTGCTGTCAGCGGCGATGTTACTGACCCTGCTTTCCCAGAGCGCCTCATCGAGGAAACCATCAAGTAAGCGCTTTCTCTGTTCGTCTTGGGCAGATGATCCCTTTTCTGTGCGGTCAAAATAGCATGTTACCCTCTGCTAATATGTCTCTACTTGCTGTAATTTGTAGGGCGTTCGGAAAGATCAACATTATTGTCAACAACGCAGGTTATACCTTTGATGGCATGACCCACAAGACGACAGACAAGCAGTTCCAGCTCATGTTGGACGTCCACAACGTTGCACCGTTCCGCATCCTTCGCGCTGCATCCAAGTACATGCGCGTCAAGGACAATGAGCCCCGCTCCATTGTCAACGTAAGGGCTGCTCCGTGGTAGCGCGCCTGTATTCTGTAGCAAAGTGCTCCCAAAACGTACGCCTTAAAATTTAACACATTTTTAATTCGTTGCTCATACCCTAGGTATCATCGACCTCCGGCTTGCACGGAAACGTTGGCCAGGCCAACTACGCGACTGCGAAGGCCGGTATTGTCGGCCTCACCAAGACCATTGCTAAGGAGTGGGGCGCATTCGGAGTCCGATGCAACACTGTAGCATTCGGTTACGTCGACACACGCTTGACACGCGCCAAAGAGAACGGAGAGACTATGGTCGTGGATGGCCAAAAGATTGCGTTGGGCATTCCGATGGGAGCCAAGAAAGAGACCCCACCACCCGCAGTCGTCTTTGCGGACACTCCTCTGAAGCGTGCAGGACATGTGGATGAAGCAGCCGGATCGGTGCTGTTGCTGTGCAGCCCCTTCGCATCGTATATTACAGGACATACTCTCGAGGTCACTGGCGGAAAGGGTATCTAAATCTGTGCGAGTTTGTTCAGAGCTAAAGAGAATGCTCGTTGTCGCAACATTGCAATACGCACGAAGGGCTTTCTTGAAGAGCCATCTCTTAGTCGAAAAGAAGCATAAGTAAACTCAGCGAAATGAGAATTGAGATCCATCCAAGTGTAAAGTCATATAATAGCATATGAAGCATCCATTCTCAGCAGCTAGAAAGACTGGTATGGTTTAATAGTTGTACAGTGAGCTCCTCGAATGTGTCAAGTTTTCGTGAGCGTGGAGGGATGGTGGGCAAGAGAGTGGTGTCAATGAAAAAGGATATCCGGAGCGTTGCTACTCTCCATGCTTGAGTACCCGCGCGAATTCTCTGTAATTAAAGTTGCCGTCCCTGTCGATTGTCGCCCCTTTGAACATGATGTCAACCTATTCCGGAACGACGTAACAAAAAACATGATTAGTTAACACCGCCCTTTCCTTCTCCTGAATTAACTGACCTATTGCAGTGGACCACTCTTTTGGTACCTCGTCGTCTGTGAAACGGTCTCCCATGGTCGTCATCCACTCTCGTAACTCTTCTGCATTGCACATGCCTGTCCCGCCTTCGTCAAAGCACTCGAATGCCTGTAAAATCTCATGTTCTGGATCCGTTCCTGATAGTTTTTCACCCATAAGTGTCAGAAACATCGTGAAGTTGATGCTTCCGGGGGCCTCTGATATCATGTCCTCGATATATTCCTCTGTAGGCGACTGTCCCAAGGATGCCAGCATGTCCTTGAGATCCTCACGGTCAATGAAGCCGTCTGTGTCGTGGTCGATAAGCGAGAAAGCTTCTTTCAGCTCGACGATTTGCTTTTGGTCAAACATAGCGAACACGTTTGAATTCTGGCGGATGGCGCGCTTGGCCTTTTTCTGTCTGCGGACGGACTAAGTGCGGAGACATGAGACGGACAAGTGGGTCAGTATAGGATGGAGGGAACGGTGGTCCACAGGGACGGAGGTAGGGTATGGAACAGATAGTGAGCGAAGTCTCCAGTGCTCAGGACACACTGAGTGTGAGCAATTGACCAATAGAAGGATATCCTTACCATGGCGAGTGGTTTTGCAGTTGGAAATGAACGAGATTGCGTTAGAACGAGGAGAGAAGGAAGGGATGAGAGGTGCATCTCTTTGCTGCTGGTCCCCTTTTATACTGGAGAGGGGCTCTCGATTCCGCTTTCCTCTTTACGGTCTTCAGTTCCCTCCTGATATTGCATTGTTCCGTCATGATGCCCCTTTTTGACTTCCAGCTGACTTGTCCACGCTGCTTTACAGCGCCAGCTGCCGCTCATTTGTCGCAAAGAAGGAAACACACCCTTAATGGGCCCTTTTAGTCGGGCAAACAAAACCGTTGAGCGATCGGCTCCAGCAAGATCAGCAAAGTCATCAAGGACTCGGGGCATAACCAGCATCACTCCGCCACAGGACCCATACCGAGACACCAATACCACGTTGCATTGAATATCAGGTCTCACTGCAGGATGTCAGGATCAACTCGCCAGGCTGCTACTCGGATCCTTCGCCAGCTGGGGCACCCACAGCGGCACTACGTTCCTAGCGCCATTTCGGCCCAACCACCCTCACTCGTCCGTCGCTCAATAACGCAGCAGTATTGCCAGCAGCAGCAAAAGAGGTGTCTCTCTATGACACACCCTGTCAAGTCGAACGATGCATTCAACTCAAAACCTTCAGGATCTATCGAGAAGCCGCCCACGACAGTCCGGGAACCCTCAGCGACCACTGCTGAAGAGACAATGGTCTCAGATCTGCAGGAGAATGCCAAGTCAATCGAGCAAGTCATCGCAGAGCTCCACAGGGACACCAGGATAGTAGCACCCGCAACTTATGCCTCCAATACCCCCTCATCATTATTGTTGGACGGTTCAGCATTTCCAGCAGCAGCAGATCACACTGGATACACTAACGCCGGCGCTGAAGGACCTTTCTCTTCCTCAGCATCAGAACCACGCTCGCCATCATCATCACCAGAGTCAAGTGTAGGAGCAGCAGCAACACCTAAAAAACGCTCCCGATTCTGGTTCTACATTTATCATATCCTGTACTGGTCTGCGCTGGGTTCGTTGCCAGTGCACCTACTGATGTTTAAGGGCGAGGCCAAGGAGGTGAAGGAGAAACAAGAGTGGAGGATTGGAGTCCTGACGGAAATGAGGGACAAGTTGCAGCGGGGCGAGTCCGTCGAGGAGGAGGAAGCCTTGTTGAGCGTAGGCATGAATCGAAACCAACGCGAGGAGCAGGTTGATGACAAGTACTTTGAGGATTGTAAGCTCGGTTTTTTTTTTTTTTTTTTTTTTTTTTTGTTTTTTGTTTTTTGTTTTTGTTTTTTCACTGTGCATTCACGATTTGATACAAGGGCAGAAATCTGACATATCGTTTATTTTCGTTCGCATATTGCTTTTTATGCGTATTAGTGCTGGTATCCGCTGAGAAACTGGATTTCGTGTTTGGAAAGGACAAGGACGCGGCGGTCTCTGACCACAACACCGCATCGCAGGTAGCAACAGGCTCCTCACCTACATCAGCACCGGTATCAGCAGCAACAGCAGCAGCACCGCCATCTATCCCCAGGAAGCCGGCGCCTCCAAAGTCTGAAAGGAGTTTTTTGTAAAGAGAAAGCATCCATCAATTATAAATCCATTCTGGCTCTCCTTCATATCCATATTTAGATTAGAAATGTACTCTATTACTGAAATACAACTTTGCAACAGAAAATACATGGCGGATGTAGGGTTCTGCTTGCGAACGCCTCGATACTTTGGAGCTGAATCTTCTGAATTGACAACCTCTTGTATGGGAGAGTAGGATGCTCACTCACTTCGAATTCTATCCCTCAAGTAAAGACTGGGCTTCCGTGAAACGCGTAGCAGCAAACCATTTCCATGATGTCTTTGTCATCCGTCGGATAACTCGATCCATTCTGACGTTTGGTTTCATGGATGGGTCACTCGCGAAGCGGCTGAGAGGGCCCTATGGCCGAGTCACTGCACCCGCAAGGACACAGCGACGAACCCTATGTTTATCAAGTACGAGGACATGAGACTAGGTCTCGTCCAGAACGTTGTCCAACTCGAATCGACTTTAATGGAGCACCAACTGAAGCGATCCCCTGGATTCCTATGGGATAGTGACCACTGAGACCGTTTGGACGTTTGTCGAATGTACGACCCAGCCTTTAAACGACTCGAATATTTACTGGCAACGTCATGTTCATTCCATGTACAATAATGACGACTGGAGGAAGCAGGAAAAAAACCCCCGATATGTTCATTCCATTCTCGCACTTTGTTTTTGGGAAATTCGAATATGCTTTACTCGTACATGTACGACTCATACACGTCCTAATCACTATAAGATTCGTCAGAGTCGTAATAGTTGCGGCTGATGGGTTTTCTTTTCTTGGTCAAGACAAGTGAGGGCCACTGGTTCTTTAGCCAAGTCAGATTCGCCACGGCTGTTTTCACCGAGTAACGCTGGTCTCGGACTGAAACTCCCAGCAGCTGCTTGAACTTTGGAGGACACGTGTATAAACTCTTGTCATCGTCCTCCTCACTTTTGTCCGATGCTCCACGGATATTGACCCTCTCAGTCGCATATATTAAAGTGTCCTCCTCAGGCGGCTCGTGACAGCTAGGATCAAAGTCTGCCCATTCTTCACTATCGTCTGACTCTTCATCCTCGTCTGAATCGAAGTCCTCATCCTCGTCTTGATTGTACTCCAGAGGTGGATGTGCGTGTAGCCAGCGCTTGTTGTGATGATGGATCCAGTTCCGCGCGATCCAGTCGACTTCCGCTCGTCCAGATAGTTGCTCGTCCAGCCTGTATAGGATCAGCGTCTCGAGGCTCTGCTGCAGTGGTTGAAGGTATGATAGCCCTGTTTGCATCGTCAGCTGCAAGCAGCCCGTGGAGTCCATGTGACCCTTATCACCTTCCAAAACAAGCTGCCGGAGTTTGGTAAGACGACCAAGTTGCTTACAGATTTGAATTTGAAGTCGGGTTTCAGTAGTCAGCTCAGAATTCTCCGCGGCCGACTGGGAACCTTGTCCTTGGAGACCTGATAACTCCTGACCATGCTCCTCGGCGGCATTTTCGTGCTTGGCCTGCTTCTCTACCCTTCTCCGCTTCGCTTCCGCTTCCGCTTCCATTTCGTTTTGGGGCTGATTTTTGTTTCCTTCTGCATTCTCCGCACTGTCTACGTTTAGAGGCTGCATGACCTCACGCTCCCTCTTGTGTCCAACTGCGTGCTCCTGTTGCTTTCTGCGTCTCTGAAGCGCCGTGGTCCATTCGCCGCTCTCGTCGTCCCAACTCCACTCTTTTCCCTTCGGCTGACGCTCCTGACATAGCACAACGCAGATATGCAGAACCTCCAACTTGGTGCAAGCCCAATCAAACCCAATCAGTTGCGTAGCATCCATTGGCACATCCCTCGCAAAGAAGTGTGTCAGTGCGGCGAGATTCCTGAGCACCAATGGCGCTGCACTGTGAGCCATTGCCAAGCCGTTGATATCTAATTGTGTCAGGCAGTGCATGGCTGAGGGACCGTTGAGGGCCCTGGAGGGGTGATCGATTGGCGGGCCAATGAGTGTCGTCAGGGCATCGGAACTGAAGTTTATTGCGCACCACACGCTCAAGGACTGTAGTTTTGGGCCGTATAGCTCCATCATCTCGACCCAGTGCTCTGTAGTCAATTCGTACATCATCCCAAGGTCGATGGTGGTGAGTTTTGGGCAGAGCCGAAACATTTCGGTCACGAAGTTGTCGCGCTCGGGGATCCACCAATAATGTCCTGCCGATGAGCGGTGTTGGACCAACTCACGTACTTGGGTTCCGAACGAGCCTTCGACGGGCAGCCCTCCCAAATTGTATGAAACGGATAGTCGTTCAAGGTTCGGGCAGTGTCGCAGGATGGCCAGGATCGAGCTGTCCGGAAGAAGAGTGGCAAGTTGTTCGATGTTATTGGAGCTTCCAGGGCATTCTGTAGCAGTTTCAAAGCCTATGATAGTCAACGACCGGATTGAGAGGGTTCCAGAAATGGTATTGAGCGCGGTCAAGTCCAGTTGTCCTATTTCGTCCGACCACAAAATGGAGTTGTCCTCCAAAATAAGTTCGTCGAGGCTGTAGGGTCCGTGTTCCATGCATGGCAGGGCCGACTTGCAGTGCTCGTTCGGGTCCTTGTCGGAAGGGTCGCTGTTGTGGCAACGTTGATAGTCACTGTGTGCTTGTATCAGGTATTCCCAGAGCCTGATGTCTTGCCCTTCAAACGTAGATGAAACCGACAGTCGCCTCAGAGCGCCGCCTGTTTTGCTCAACAACTTCAATAAACAGTCCTCCTTCCTGTCCCTTGCGTCGTCCTGCCATACTTGATACAGCACCTCCAGATCACGAATCCCTGGATTTCTGGCCACAAGCGATGCCGCAAGATCGTACAAGAGCTCCGTTTTCTGGTGCAAAAAGCTCTGGAGTTGCCGTTGACTGATGCAGAACCGTTCCAGGTTATCCAGACCTGGTGGATGTCGATACGCTGTCTTTCCAAATCCACCCTTATACATCGTGCTGACTGGCCATCTTTGAGCATCTTTTGAGTTGCTGACAATGTTTAGCGAGCGGAGCTGAGAGCAATTGTCGAAGAACTTTGAAAGTTCCCTGTCCTGCGTTAGTGTCTCCTTGTACTTCTCCGGCTCTTGAAACGCGGCGAAGAAAAAGTCATTGCTGATGTTCAAGGATTTCCAAGCGAGTGCGAGAGCATGAGACCTCCAGAAACGGGATACTCGGGCGCAGACTTGAAGAGTATGGCGGTCGAAGAGGACAAAGACATTGGAAAGGATCTCCGGGATAGCTAGGGGGTCGGTCCCATGGCTAGGAGTGCTGATGCTGTGGGCGCTAGTGCTTGCATTAGCGTTGTCCATGTCAATGATGGCAAGCGAGGATGATCAAGTTTGGCAGCGGACGCGCCATCCGCACATCCTTTTGAGGGTCACAAATACGAAGGTTTCGTGGAGTCCTAAAATAAATTTCCATAAAGTTTGCAGCCAATGTTGCCTCCCTGGACAAGCTCGTCATCTCTGCCGACGACCATTTCATTAAACCTTAGAAGTTAGAGCCGTATGGCTAAAGCAGGACAAAAAAAATACGGTGCGGGACTTTCTTACGCGTGTTGGTCTGCGCTCAAACGGACTTGGCATATTACACAGGTTTATTAATCTAGATCATTGATGCCAGGCAATATCACCTTTTTACTGGCCCAAAGCAAATGCAGAACGTTGTTCAGAGTCAAAGGCAGTACTCTTTGTGCATATATTCATGCCATAATTTTGTCCGCACAAGAAGCGATCTCCGCCTAGCCCCTGTGGATGCTTTTTCTTCCTTCTTCCTTGCGCTGCCTTTTTGTTTGTTTGCAATATAGCAGTATGATATTCAAGAATAGATGGAACGAGAGACTCCATAGTTACTACACCTGTTGGAATGGGCTGTACATGAAAGAATAATCATCATCGATGCTATCCTGGTCCTTCGTGATGCATAGAGAGGGGCATTGCTCCTTTAGCCAGGCCAAATTCGAGTGGGCTACCGTTGTTGAGCATCCATGGCCACGGGCCGAGACACCCCATAGACTTTTGAACTTTGGGGAGGGGATGAACAAATCTTCGCACTCTATGTCCTCATCCTCGTCTTGACCAGTCCCGACATCCTCATCCTCCTCCAATCTTTCTCTTTTAATTGACTGGTTCCTTCTTAACGGATGTTCGCGCAGCCAGCGCTTGTTACGGTGGTGGATCCAATTCCGCGCGATCCACTCGACTTCCGCTTGTCCAGATAGATGCTCGTACAGATGATAGACGACCAGCGTCTCGAGATTTTGCTGTAATGGCCTGAGAAGAGATAGTCCTGTGTCAATGCTCAATGCCAGGCAATCCCATCTGCGACCCTCCATCCAAAAATCCTGCTCGCCCTCCAACGTCAGCTCACGGAGTTTGGTGAGACGGCCGAGTTGTTCGCAGATAAGAACTTGGAGCGCCCTGGCGGTCTTTTTCTGCAATTGCTTGAGTTCCTGTGCGGTCGATGAGTACGCACGCTTTCGTGGGCCAGCTGAATTAGTTGTTTTATGCTTCCTGCTCTCATTATCGTTATCGTCGCGTTGTGTCTTCTTTTTGCGCTCCTTCTTTTCCTTGCGCTCCTTCTTTTCCTTGCGCTCCTTCTTTTCCTTGTGCTCCTTATCCTTTCGCTCCTTGTTCTCTTTCCTTTCCTTGCGCGCTTTCTTGCTCCTATGTCCTTTCTTGTCCTCGCGTTCCTTCTCCTTGGTCTCATCGTCTTCATTCTCTCTTATCTTCGAACGCTTCGCCTCCTTCTCTTCCCCCCTCGGTCGTTTACCTCCTACTTTCTCCTTATCCTCGTCTATGCCTTCGCCTTCGCCTCCGCGTAGCAGGACCTTTCGCATTTTCTTCAACGTTGACGACGCCTCATGTCGCTGCTCCTGTCCGGATAATACCCGCGCTACCCTTTGACGATCCCAATCGAGCAGTGCCTCGCCGCTTAACGTCCGATCGGCCACAATCCATCCCTGGTTCTCGTCATCCCACTGCCATTCTTGCTCGTATGCTCCGTACTCCTGTGGCACCGCGACCCAAATCTCCAGGACTTCCAACTTAGTGCAAACCCAGTCGAACCCCAGTATGACCGAAGCATCCATAGGTATGTCTCTTGCACGAAAGTGCGTCAGCGCAGCGAGGTGCTTGAATACCATTGGGGCCGCATGGCGTAGTCGGATCAAACCGCTAATATCCAAGTGTGTCAGGCAGTGCATGCTTGTGGAGTCGCTCAGGGTTCTTGAAGGGTGGTCGATTGGCGCGCCAATAAGAGCCATCAATGCTGTAGAACTGAACTCTTCTGCGCACCACACGCTCAAGGACTGTAGTTTTGGGCCGTATAGCTCCATCATCTCGACCCAGTGCTCTGTAGTCAATTCGTACATCATCCCAAAGTCGATGGTGGTGAGGTTTGGGCAGAGTCGAAACATTTCGGTCACGAAGTTGTCGCGCTCGGGGATCCACCAGTGCTGTGTTCTAGGACGGTCTATCACCTCTAAGGCCTGAGCTCGGAAGCGGCCCTTGCCCGGCGTCGCTTGAAGCGTTTCTAGGAGCTTGTATGAGACACGGAGGCGTTCGAGGTCTGGGCAGAGTCGCAGGATAGCCAAGATAGAGCTTTCCGGAAGATAGTCCGTGAGCTGTTCGGTTTCCTCGTCGAATTCCTCGGGCCTAGCAGTGGCTGTCTCATACTCCAGAACACTTAACGAGCGGATCGAGAGGGTGCCATCAAGGAGATCCAAGGCAGTCCAGTCAAGTCTCTCACGTTCACTAAGCCACGAGCCGCACATATTATCGAGGATGAGCTCTTTGAGGTTGTAGGGTCCATGTTCCATACATGGGTATGCTGAGTCGCATTCTTCATCGGAACAACGGCAATGATAATCGTCGCAACTACTCAGCAGATACTCCAAAAGATAAAGCTCCCGTCCGCGAAATATACAGCTGATCGATAGCCTTTCCAATGATCCGCCCGTCTTGGCTAGCAAGCTGTAGATAGAGCCTCCCTCCTCGCTCCAGCGGCTGCTAACGTCCTCCACTTCCAAGTCACGGAGTCCTGGATTTCTGCCGGCTAGTGATGTCGCAAGATTGTAGAGGAGTTCCTGCCTGTCCATGGTTTCCGCTTCAGGATAACTCGCCTGCAGGCGGAGATGAACCAAGTTGTCAAGTCCTGGAGGATGTCTGTACACAGCAGGCTTTGAAGAGTCGCCTTTCGCCACGGCTTTTGCCTGTTCGCCAGGGTATCCAGCATAGAGTGGCCATTTATGACCCGCTTCCTTAGAGGCGATGGTGAGAGACCGGATTCGAAAACAGTTCTTGAGAAATTTGGAGACGCACTTTACATAATCCTTGTCGTCCCAATGATTTCTCCACCACGAGTTCGTATTGTGCCGCCGTGCCTCGTCTTCCTGCCGCTTATACCAGTCTCGATCTCGTTCCTGAAATGCAATACAAAATATCTCGCTGCTGATATGACAGATTTGCCATGCAATCAGAAGAGCGAGGGAGCGCCAGGTGCGGGATACTCTGGAGGAGGCACAAAGGGAATCACGGTCTAGGAAACTGAGGACGTTGAGTAGGATCTCTGGAATGGCTGTGGGATCGACCTTTTGGCTAGTAGTGTTGGGGGTATTGGTAATGTCGGTCCCATGGTCGCCATTGTCCCCAGTGTTTTGGGATTCCATGCTGATGTCGTTCATGTCGATGCTTTTGTTTTGATTTTAGGACAAAGCACGCCACTAAATAAAGGTTCTAAAGATCGGAACGTTTGCGCGGCAGCTTAGGTTATCGAACGCGTCTCCGCAGGCATGCAGGTGATAAAACGTTGGACTGATGCCGTCCTACGATATTCATTCCGCAACAGATAGGCATATGGCTGCAGTGCAAACCTCCCCTGTTTATAATCAGGGCGATATTTACTGGCACTGCTTGCCATTTCCAACTTTCTTCCATGTGTTCAGAAGTGAGCTGGTTTTTATTGCCTGTAGTATGCTATGCTATCGTGAATGAGTAACTATGGTACCGGATTCAAGGCTGCACTGTGGCAGCTTGTGAGCAAGGGGTAGAATGGAGTAATGCTGTGTGCTGAAACTGCAAACAAAGAGACGAAGATGGTGTGTAATATCGCTGTAAAGACTGCACAGCACTGGAAGCAAGGTTCATTCGTGTCGCCGGTCCGCTTCATGTGGACCACCACCGTAGGGTCTCGATTCATATCCATGGGCTTGTAGCACGTCGTTCTGAAACTATTAGTGTCGTCTTTGGCGATTCGCTCTTGGCTTCTGAACTCTGTTCGGGTCCGCTGCTCGCTCTCTTCGCAGCTTCGCCCTTTTCTTCTGCCGTTTTCTGCAGGCTTCGATCCCGACCCAACCGCCGTGTGCCTCCAATGCACATTGTTGTACCTCAAATCTGTCGAAAAGTTTCATCGGCGACGCAGAGGCGTAATGAGGATTCCGATGTTCTTCAAATTCCAGCTCGTAGATTTCGTCGTCTGTGAGATGAAATATGTTGCAGGCCTTTGTCACTGTCATCCTTCTCTTCTTCTTGCCCTGCTCAACGGCCTCGATATCCCTCAGTGGCTCTGGATGGATATCGTAATACTGTTGGCGACATTTGAGACACAACGCCCAAACTGCTTCCTGATCGTCAGCATCCGAGACTGGTAGCGGCGCAGCTGAGGCGCGGCTACGCTTTGGGGAAACGCAGTAACATCGATCACAAATCCGATTCGCTTGAGAGCACGCTAAGGCCATGTGTGTCCGGTACTTTTTCTTGGGTTCTCCCAGATTGCCCTGCTCGCACGCTGCTCTCCATATCGAAAGCGAACGCGAGCCATCCAGCCAGGCCTTGGAGACTGAAGAAATCTTGGCGACTTGGGACAGGGGCAAAAAGGCAAGGATTCGATGCCATGTCTCTGTTGGTAACACAGAGCAGGGATCTGATAGATTGATAGGACTCTGATGCTGTAAAGCAGACTGGGTTGTGATCGCTGGTTGACCCTCGTCAGAGATCAGTGATGGGTTGGTATCGGCCTGGGCGTCCTTCTTTTTGGCCTTGCGCGGTCGCTTAGGCTTCTGCTTTTCGCCTGCTGCAGTGTCCAGGGCGTCAGTCTTGCGCTTCCGGGGTCCTTTGGGGTTGACCTCCTCGTTCGCTGTGGTGACTGAATCGTCCATCTTCTTGGTCTTGCGAGGTCGCTTGGGTTTCGCTTCCTCACTCACCGCGGTAATCGAAACATTTCCTGTTGTGACAGCGGAGTCGTCGCTCTTTCGTTTGCGTGGTCGCTTGGGCTTGGGCCTACCCTCCGAACTCGCTGTGGTACTCTCTGCAGAATCGGTCTTCCGTTTGGTGTACGCTCGTTTTTTCTTGGGTGCATCTGACGCTGTCTCTGGGTTGGTGGGTGGGACTTCGGTATTGTTGTCCACTGCTGACTGTAACTTGGTATTCTTGCGCCTTTTTGGAGGAGCAGTTGTTTCTGCATGAGATTCTGGAGAAGGCTTGAGGTCCGCTGCTGCTGCTGCTGCTGCGTTTTCGGCCAAGCGTGCGGATTTCCTGGCGTTGCTCGACATGGCCCGGGTTGTGCGTCTGGTATCGCGAGGGTGGACGCAGAAATGGATTGGGGCGCGCAGGCGTGCCACAGGCTGCATTGTCCAAGCCTCGGCTTGGACTGTCAAGTCCTCCTAGACTCGCAGGCGTACCAAATCAATGGTCTGATCACATGTGCATAGGTGGTTTAAGCTCATATACTTTGTTCACACATCACACCCCCCTGCGCGCCTGGGGGGATCTAAAAAAAAAAAAGTCTAGGAGGATTTGGCGTCGATAAAAAAAAAAAGAGCATTCGCGACTACTGTGCGTTAAACCTTGCGGAAGCCATAGATCGTATGGGCGCGAGAAAGAGTATTGCGTACAACAAGGACCTGTGGTGGTCGTAAGTGCGACGAGTAGAACGCAATGTTCATTTCAGCTGGTCCTTATTCTTGAGCCTGCGTGTTCTTTATTTATCCAACACTTTATGTCGAACTGAACTGAACCAGGGGCCATTTCCGATGGATGTAAATCTCATGTCTCTCCACTTTTGGTTTCAGCCAACGTCCATGCACCCCTGCTTCTCCTTCCACTCCCGAATCTGTCCTCCTATCTCTGTCCTCATCCAATCCAACTCCAACTGTCCCCACGACTCTTCTCAGCTTCTTCCAATGTTCCATCATAAACTCGACCTCGTTCATGCCCAAATCGTGCGCCATGTAACTGAAATTGAACACCTGTAGCTCCTTCAAGGTCCGCAACTGACCGAAACCAGAGCGCAGCGATAAATCTAGGGTGCCTATCCTGAACCAAGTCGACATACAATTGCCGCCCAGGCTAAGGACCTGAAGTTGTGTCAGACGGGAGAGTTGCTCGTAGATCACTAGTTGCTGCTGGCAAACGTATGGTGATGACGGTAAACGCGAGTATGACGACTGAGACCGAGTAGTAGGTAAACCAATGATACTGAGCTGCAATTCCTGGAGCTGAAGACAACCCCATCCGGATACTGGTATTGACAATGTTGTCGAGGAATGGTTATTAGATTCGACCGTAGCGCTAACAGCAGCATGGACGATATCCCTGGCATTCATCTTTGTCGCACGGAAGCGTCTCAGTCCCGAACAAGAACACAAAAGCCTTTGGATCCATGCGCTCTGCATCTCTCTCGCGTCGACCAGATCCAGTTCCTGCAATTGATCCTTGATTCGCGAGGTTGGATTTGTCAGCATGGCCACTGTCGTTTCTCCTATATTGGTTCTCTGTGCGTGAAACGAGATCAAATGTGGCAAATACTCCAGCATCGCTGCAATTTCTTGATCCTTGAGTGTCGACCATGACAGATCCAGATGCGTTATATTAGGACACGATACTTCTAGCTCAACAGAAGCTAGGTGTTCGAGGTCAAGGCGCTCTGATTCACGAGTCAGCCGCAACTTGAGGTGCGTCAAGTATTGGCAGCGGCTGACGAGTACCAGCTGGTCCTTGTAAGCCATGGAGATCTCCAGTAAGGATAGTTTTTGAAGACGATAAAAGACGCTGGTCTGGAGTGGAAGCATATCGAGAGTACTTCTGACGAGCTCTAGAGTCGAAAGCTGGTACACAAGTTGATAGAAAAGAGCGATCGCGTTCGTCCTTGAGACCTCTGCGGTTTCCGTGTGGGCTATCGCAGGCATAGTTATCTTAGGCAAAGAGTATCCTTGTCTCTGATCCCGTTGGCTCCACTGGTTCCCTAGTCCTCGGACCTGGTCCTTGTCCTCGTCTTCGTTCTGGATCTGAAAGTTGACAAGACGTAAACGATCCAGAAATGGACATTTGTTCATGACCTGCAGGAACTGCTTCACTCCAAACGGTCTCTCGAACCGCTCGCGCTCCCTCTCGAACCTAATTGAGGTCAACGTTGCTGTGTTGAGTTGGAGTAGTGGCAATGACTTTTCCGTAAGATCCGCGATATCTAGCTCCGTCAATTGGTTGCAAAATGGCACGAGATAGTGCAAGTGATATTCGATATTGTTGCAGGCTAGAGACCGGACAAGATGGGCATATTTCTTGAAGACTGTTGAATCCGGATATCCTGAGGAAGGGGAGTCGTTAGCGGTTGCCATGATGATACGCCAGCGTCGGGGCAGGGCAAGTGTGTGCCAGAGAAGTGGAATGAGTTGAGCGTGCCACGAGCGTGAGACAAGAACGGCTTGCAGAAAGTCCATGCGAGAGAGATGCTGTCCGACGGCGGTCAAGATCTCGGGTACGAGGAGGGCCCCAGAGATCTCTGGCGATGACATTGTGAACGAATCATCAACTTCGAGTGGGTAGGAACGCGCAAGAGAGGGATGAAAAAAGAGTGTTCGGTGATCGACTTGACCGCTGACAAGTAACCTTAATCCTCGATACGCCCAAAAAGTAGGAGCGGGTTAGTACCAATTCAATTACGATTTTTTTTATTGTGCATTGCCGCGGTGCTATCGATCCATGGCGGTCCTAATCCTCGTCTATCCACTCGTCCTCATCATCCGTCGCCTGCTCGAGCTCTGGTCCGCTATAGTCCTGGTCGTAGTCATAGTCATCGTCGAAGTCCTCGTCCTCATCCAAATCCGTCAAACCAAACATATCTCCTTCGAAAAGGCCGTAATCGTCGTCAAAATAGCTATCGTACGCGTCACCAAAGATTGCGTCGCGCTGCTCCATCGCGGCAATAAAGTCCAGAAATTTAATCCCTCGAGCTTTAAGAAGCCCCTGCACCGTCTCGCCATCTTTCGTAGTATCGTGGGTTGTGTCAAACATGCTCGAGTCCAGAGCACCTTCCACCACCTCGAGTCTCTTCCAATGATCGACCATCCACTGCACGGCTTCGATAGCTTGTCTATCTGCAAGACTCTCACCGAGCGCTTGCTTGCAGCTGAACACCTTCAACTTCTTCAGCATATCCAACCGTCCTAACCCTGCATCCATTGACAGCTTCAGCAAGCTGAAACTCGGTCCATAGTCCGGCATGCCATCGTTGTTGCAAATAGACAAGTACTGCAGCTCCGTCATTTGCGCCAGTCGCTCATAGACTTGCCGATGTCTCTCCAGCGTTTCTGTCTTCCCACCACGGGCATCGACACATATGCCCACATCAATCATCTGCAAGTTCCTGCAAACCCACGGCTGCTTGACCATATCCTCCTGTCCTAATTCGTCGGCGCTGATACTCTGTAGGTTGGAACACGAAGCCAAAATTTCCTGGACCATATGACTTTCCACACCGCCACAGTACTGCAGGTTGATGTCTTTGAGTGTTGGAAAATGTCGCTTGAGAGCCGCAAACGCTTCCGTGTCAAAATCCGTGTGGGTGAAAGAAAGCTTCTCGAGCCGCGGGAATGCTTTTAAGACAGATGCAATCTCTTCGTCCTCGAGATTGAACAGCAGATGAAGAGACGTCAAGTTTCGACAAGCTTGTGGGATCTTTTGACAGAACTCTTCTCCTGGAAACTCGTCCTGTGAGCGCCAGTAAAGCGAAATCAAATTAGGGCAGCGGCTGATCCAGGTAAGTTGCTGGCTGACTGGCATAACGATATCCCGCAGATCCAGGTATCGCATTTCCTGGAAGACGAGGTCATCCGGGAATTTGAATGGTTCATATATATCCTGTTGAGTCAAAAACCGCCTGATGTTATTTGAGATAGTTTGCAGATAGGGTACGACCAGGTTGCAATCAAACACGCACTCCGCGGTCTCCAGGACGATGAGCTTGGAACAGGTATTTAGAGCGCTAATAAACCTTGATGTGGGCGCATACTCGATCTCAAGAGACGGCTCGATGACGAACTTGCGTAGACGCGGATGGTCCTTGATCGCCGCTGCCAGGGATGACCACAGAAATACCTCATGACTCTCGTACCTATAGTTGCCTACATGCCTAGGATTGGCAAGAACAATTTCCTCTAATTGACGGCACTGGCAGAAAAATGAAGCTTGATAGGCGGGGTTCATATATTCTATCACCAGTCTGCGGACATTGGGTGCGTTCTCCCTCAGGAGTGCGAGACTTGGCTGGGGTGGAGAAGCCGGGTCATTCTTGATGTAGGGTCGGCTGGTGAAGGTACGCCAAAGCAGTGGTCCGAATTCGACTTTCCATGACTTGCGTACTCTCATGCAGGAGAGAATGTCTTTGGCGGTGAGGTATTGTCCGATGCCGGCGAGGATTTCTGGCAAATCGAGGGCCTGCTCCATGTGATCTGTTGTCCTGTCTTGTATAACGCTGTTAGCGGTGTGAAGTGCAACGATTGAGTGAAAAGCTCGCTTTGGAATGCTTATTTCCAATTTGGTGGCGCGACAAATGGCGATCACCCCAACTCTCTTTTGGTGTCAAACGCTCACAGGACATATAAAAATTAGCCTGCTCGTGCACACACTTCTTTCACAATCCTTCCCACTATCAACCTCCCGAGCACACTCTCGCGACATCATGTCCAGCAGTACCAGGAAATCTTCGCGCGTAGTTAGGAAGGCTACACTTTCAGTAGAGAACAACCAGAACCAAAATCTTTCGACAAAACCCCAAACAGAGACCCCAATCGCATCGAAAAAGGGCACCAAGACCAACCATGCGCCAAAAAAAAAGCCCTCTGGAGTCGATCCTGAGTTAAAGATGGATGGCAGCACCGCCGGGGTGTCCAACGACTCACCAGCAGTAGCAATCCCATCTAAATCCAAGAAGAATCCAGGGAACAGGAAGCGGAAGATTAATATTGTGGATACGGATGAGGACGTCAAACCCAGGCGCAAAAGCAAGACGAAGAAGGATGATGCTATGGACATGTATGTGGAAGTCAAGCCCAAACGTAAAGGCAGGAAGAAGGAGCAGGAAACGGGCAGTGCCATCGCCCCAGCGATCGACCATCACCAGCCATCACAGATTTCTCCCGATGCTCTTCCACAGCTCCAGTGCCCTGTGAACCGCTCGGACCCGTGCTCGCTTTTCCCTACAGAGGTGTGGCACCAGATTCTTGCCATATTGCCATTGTCTCAGGTCGCCAAGATTTCAATAGTATCAAAGACATGGTTGGACGGCTCGCGATTGCTCCCGATTTGGAAGACAGTCTGTGAGAAGAATAGGCTGGGCGAACCCAAGAAAAAATACAGATCTCATATGGCTCTCGTCTGCTCAAAGTCCTACTGGATCTGCGATCGATGCCAGTCGTACTCGAACGGAAAGCCTCGCGGCTCCGACCTCCCACTCCCTATCGCTAATCAGGACGACCAGGGACTCGTCTGGATGCTGTGCCACAGCTGCCGTGAGCAGTACTACGACCGATGGGAGGAGCCCCTTCGCGAGGGCACCGATCTCTGCGAGCATGAGGAAGAGAGGATTACAAAGACGTATGCGAAGTCGACCTACTACATCCCGGAGGAGAAACTTGACTCCATGGAGTATGAGCTTCGACCAAACCCACACTCATGGTCTGCCCCTCCCATGCGCCTCTATGACACCATCGATGTACAATCGTGTGCGGTGCGATACCATGCAGGTTGGGTGGGTGTAGAGGCGTGTCAGAGGCGCTTGGCAAAGAAGCGGAGCGCGGCGTCCAAGGAGCGAGATACAGCCTTCAAGGGAGTCAACATCAAAGGCGTTACAACCAAGGGTACTGCCATCAAGGGTGCTACTATCAAGGGCACTGCTGCTTAAGGTTTCGTAACTAAGAACTACGGTCCTGCTCGCTAAGGTCGAGGATTAAGAATGCCCGCCCCATTGCATCATCATTCTTGTATTCTTTTTTTAAGACACGCTGTTGCTGTTTCTTTATACTACTTACCCCGGCACCATCGCCATCCACATCTATTCTTGCTATCCTAGCCGCATTACCTTCAAAACGTCATTGCATAGTACTCTGGAGCCTTCGAGAAATAATAATAACAACAACTCCCTCCCCCCGATCAACGAGCGTGCTGAGATACATTTGTGCAAACCAGTCAACGAATAGAACGAGGATCGCACAATACACGCGTATGAGTTGAGCAAGGTCCATATCTGTTTCGCTTTCAGGCCACCTGCGCTGACCAAACTGCAAATAATTTTCTCCGCCTCTCGTGGGTTGAACCAGCTGGAATAAAATTCAACCCTAGTCCCTGTAGGGATGACAAAAAGTCGCATTCTGGTATAGTTCGTCGCGCGGAGGGCTTGGGAATTTTTAAAGAAGTTATACGAAGAGCCAACCCTGATGTGTGCATCGGCTCTATGTCTCCACAAGGCACGGGTGAGGGGAGGGGCCACGCCTCCACACTTCGAAAGTGTGTTCGCTAAGTGGAGAATGTATATGATATCAATATAGTACTGACTCTGAGGGATATACGAGCTCGGGCCAAAGTATGGATATGAGACAGAGGCAAGTGTCTTTTTTTTTTTTTTTTTTTTTGTTTGAGTGTATGTACTGTAGTTACTCATTTTTACCAGCTCATTGTTGTGTATGAATGGCATCTGTTGATGGCACGTTATTCTAGGCCAAGCGGATACTGTATTTACCAAGCGAGGCATATCCCGGTCACCCTGACTTTTCCATGCATTACTGCCTCTGCTTCTGCTGCTTCTTGGTGGGCGTAAAGATAATCGAGGGCTCCATGGTATCAGGCATTGGTTCTCCTGCTACCTTGGCGTACAATTGAACATCGCAATGCTTCCTAATTCCTGCCCTGACCATCTCTGCGAATGAGATGTTGTGCTCACCGACGCGCAATAACGCGGATAGATGGCCAGAATCCAGAAAGTGGATGATATCCTCGGCGCACGTTGGTAATGCAATCGCTTGGGGCGACACTGCACCCGCTCCGAATACACTTGTGTCGACTTTGCGGACCATGTATGCCAAGGCACGTGGGCCTTCAATGTCCAGGATGATCGGTGACCGTCTGGGGAAGGTCGGGTCCACATACATCCTGACTGCATTCGCGAGCGCTGCGTTAGTCCTGATATTCTTGCGCAGCTGAATTTGCAGTTGCTCGGTCGAGGTGTCTGTTACTTTCGCCTCCCATGTGCACACTCCGAGGGGTTTCCGCGTCTCTTGCCCGGGAACCTGTAGGTAAATGTCGACCTTTCTACTTCTGATGTTGGCATCCGATTTTCCGAACTGCTCCTCCACCTGTACACGGTTCTCCCTCGTGGCCTCAGCTCCTAGCTCACCGATGCGGACGATAAGGTGATCCTCAAATATAACACGAGCGATATTTCGCCATACACAGACCACTTCTTGCTCTGAAGGCTTGTCCCTCATCGTACTGACTTCGATCTCCTTGCACCTGTTCAGAGGTACATAGGACAAGCGAATAATATATATTAGTCTGATATTGCCATCTATGCACCCGAATGCGGATGTTGTACTTACAGCTCTGCCAAGGTGTCCATAATCTTTCGCTCCTCCTTCATCATCTCCTCCCGTCCTTCTACACACTCGTCCTTCTCCTCCTGCTCCTCGATCTCGAGTGATCTTCTCTGGCAGTATCTGCGAAGGCGGGCTAATGACTGTTTCTTCTTGTTCCCAAAGGCTAACTTGAGCTGCTGGAAGATCGTCCGTTGTGACGGTGAGACATGGAACATATCCTGGATAACGCATGCACTCTTTATCTCATCAAACTTGCTGTAATGAATTCTGTTGGCGGGGCTCATGGTGTTTATTATTCCGCTGAGCGCAACACTAACAAATTGAAGGGGTAGGCGAGTATGTCAGTACATAGGATGATTGCAAGTACAAGTGCGTATGGGAGGGTGGAAAATTTGAGCGACTTACAAGCAATCCTTTCTTGTGATTTTGTCGGCTTGGTCCCACTTCTCCAGAATTGAGCTTGCAACAAAATACAATTCCCGGAGGGACTCACTGGGGAATGTCGTTATGGGTTGTGGCGTGCTTGTGAGTTTGTGGCGAAACTACGTAGACCGTGAAAAATGAGCGGGCGGAGTTTAATAGACTGGAGAATGGAGAATATCGCGATCTCGCAATTGATCCATACCTTGCAATAGAGAGTAGTGACCAAATCAGCGAAGGGGGTTATGGCTGTCAAGGCCACCATATCTTCCTGAGATTCTCCTTCATCTTCAGTCCGATCCCGGTTGCTGCACTCTGTAGCGGATGCCTCTATTGAGAAGAAATAAGAGAAAAATAAAAGAAAGAGATAGGTTAAAATATGGCATCTGGTCTCGGCATTGGGTACCTGACTTTTTAAAGGTATGCTTTATCGATGTCAACGTTCAGAATCTCACCTTCAGCGGGAGATATGCTTTGAAACGTGCGAGTGTCTTCGCCCTGGGATGGTGGAACAATGAAAGGGTTGGGGAATTTTTCTGCTTCCTGTAACTCAATGCGCTGGTCCTTGCTAGAGGTGCGTCTTGGGTGTGAATCCCATTGACTGGTGGGCACGTTGTGTGGGTGAGCCCTTTTTGAACCGCTGGCGATTACACCGAGCAATGTGGATGCGACGGCATTCTCAGCACTATCTCTGTCCTGCTTGAGAGATCGCCTTCCTGCCTCTTGAGCAAAGTACGTGGATGTAGTCTTTCTGACAATTCTCTCGATCTCTGTCTTGACGTAATTTGGCGTCCCTGAGTTGTTGGATATGTGTTGCAGGTCACGAAGGTATCGTTGATACATGCTGTCCACCGAAAGCTGATCCTTGAAGAAAGCCATGAAGCCGTACACATCGTCGTATTTGGAGGCAGGGTTCACCTTGAAGAACCTGCTAACCTGCAGACGCTCAGGGACCTTCCACGAATCCAGCCTGGAGAAGTGAAATGAGAGAGAGCTTCAGCAATGAGACACGAAAAGTGGGGATCAGCTCCTCCTGTCATGGCACGTACCTTCATACCTCGCGTGTGCGCCTTTATGATTGTCCTGCTTGAGTTCAGACATGGCTATGAGTGGTGAGTGCGAGGTGTACAATAATTGCAGCCTGATAACCTTGTTTACATTTGACGTGGGGAACGCGCTCACCCTTACCATCAAACAAAGAGCCACCGCTTTCAAAATCCACTTCATCAATTCACCACTTCCCTCTTTTTCTACCACTTTTGCAGAAGTTCTGGGTAAGATCATGGAACGAATGTACTTCGCTTTGACCGATGTTTATTCGATCACATATTTACCTTTGATACTTATGGTCGTAGGATCAACGCGCTTCGACTGTAGGCAAATAATGGCAGGACTAAGACAATGGGGCTCGTTTCCGGTTAAGGAGCTGGACGCATCCTATCTTGGATCTCCGCATTTCGGTACGCGAGCGCAATAAGTTGTTCTGCCGTCTTGCTTGGTATCGGTCTTTCCGCTTCTGTCGGCAACATTGTCGCCGACAGAGAAATCGGCCATGGGTCTTCAAAGAGGATCCCTTCATGGGTTAAAATCATGGCTGAGGAACGATTTGGTATCGGCAAGGATGTTTATTTGATGGGGTATGACAACGTGCTCAATCTCTGAGACTCTGTGGCCGTCCTATCTCAGGCGCCATCTCAGTAAAAAAAAACCAGCCTCTTGCTAATAAGGTAGCTTTGGTCCAATGCTGGGGAGCCTTTGAAGTCGCCCATCCTATCTCCTTTTTCCTTTGTTCTGCCGTCTTGTTTGGTATCGGTCTTTCCGCTTCTGTTGGCAACATTGTCGCCGACAGAGAAATCGGCCATGGGTCTTCAAAGAGGATCCCTTCATGGGTTAAAATCATGGCTGAGGAACGATTTGGTATCGGCAAGGATGTTTATTTGATGGGGTATGACAACGTGCTCAATCTCTGAGACTCTGTGGCCGTCCTATCTCAGGCGCCATCTCAGTAAAAAAAAACCAGCCTCTTGCTAATAAGGTAGCTTTGGTCCAATGCTGGGGAGCCTTTGAAGTCGCCCATCCTATCTCCTTTTTCCTTTGTTCTGCCGTCTTGTTTGGTATCGGTCTTTCCGCTTCTGTTGGCAACATTGTCGCCGACAGAGAAATCGGCCATGGGTCTTCAAAGAGGATCCCTTCATGGGTTAAAATCATGGCTGAGGAACGATTTGGTATCGGCAAGGATGTTTATTTGATGGGGTATGACAACGTGCTCAACCTCTGAGACTCTGTGGCCGTCCTATCTCAGGCGCCATCTCAGTAAAAAAAAACCAGCCTCTTGCTAATAAGGTAGCTTTGGTCCAATGCTGGGGAGCCTTTGAAGTCGCCCATCCTATCTCCTTTTCCCTCTGTTCTGCCTTATGTGTTTCTGTGGACCACAATTTCAAGCAGGATTGAAGGTTAGCAGGATCAATAGATAGCAGGATTGAGGACGAACAGAATCAAGCACAGGCGGGACCGAATATGGATCGTACTTCGAGAATAACGAGCAGGATAAGATTGCGAGAAATAAAAATATACAACATGGATATTGTTTGACATCAATCTCCTTTTCAATTTATTTTCCGTTCATATTTGCGACGAAAATTGCTGATACGGACAGCTGCTGCGTTCCTGTGTCCTTCCAGTCACCAATTGCACGGTAGCATATACTCAGCTCGTACAGGACATTCATTCGGCAGCTGGGAGCGATCCCTCCATTGAGCACTGTTTGCCTGGAATATCGGTACCAGGAAGAGGCGTTGGGCATAGTAGTCTTCCTGTGTTTTGGCTACAGGTGCAAGCATGTCTGCAACGATAGCCAAGAAGATCATCTGAGCAGCTCGGGATATATCTCATTGTTCTACCCGTCACCGTATCTGCGGAATTGGCAGGATACACTATCGCGACACAGGTACACACAGCTGCCACGACATTGAGCGCAAATAATATTTGCATTCTGAATATCTGGAAGTAAGGAGTAAGGCTGGAACTTCAGGTCAATTAGCACATAGCTGTTGTCAGCATGTGAAGTTCGGGTTTCAGGGCAATGTGTTCCTGTTACCTTTGTCTGTACTGCGACACCAGTTGAGGATGAGCAGTGCGAGGTATAGCAAAAGACACCGGGATAGATATCAAAGCAGCTGCAGGCACAACAGAAGTGAAAGGGAACGCAACACTCTCATTAAGCCGAGCATGGATACGAGTTTGGCAGTGATCATATCAAAGAGAAAGGTACAGGACAGATCTTACCGTTACTTAGAGTGTAGCAGGAAGCGAAGACGGACGTGGGAAAGAGGACGAAATGGAAGGAAGAAGGACAATAAGAAGATGTAAAATGCGTGAGAACAAGCCCTCCTTTGAGGGCGAGGGCATGGTCAGCATCCACATGGACTATGAATGCTCATCGTCTGTCCTTGAGTAAAACATCGTTACTGTGCAACAAACAACCGGTTCACGTCCAATTGAACTCGTCGATGCTTCTTACGCCCCGCCAGGAGGGCGAGCATACGAAGCACCAACATTACGAGCCTTTGTACTAGTCAGCGAGCAAGTCAGCCCACTCCAGACTTGCTACATCCTGCCTTGGAGGGTAAGTATGACGCCAACAGTGCAGCACAGCACAGCACAGCACAGCACAAGTACATGCAACTGCAAACTCCATTCAGGAGAGAAAAACAATTTGTCCACTGGGCAAAGGCGGGCTATCAACGATCGCCAGGAGGCAGTAGTAGGTGTGCAAGCCGATCACATATAAAGCGTCACTATCTTACTGTCCATCATGCAGCAGCTGTTTGCTTTACTGTTACCGGTGCATGCTTTTTGACACCAATGTAAGAGCATTAGGGCCTTCCTGGAAGGCGTTTGCCGTGTTTGTCGACACGATTGTGCCCTTGTTGATTCGGTTCATAGTTGTGAATACGCGTCGACTATCGATGCTATTGATGTTACAGGTGCTGTTAATGCTAGATTGTGAGAGCTGGGCTTGCTGCATCGGCTTCTAACATTGTAGCCCAAAGGCTAATGATGGGAAGGGATATCGGCCACCTTGGCTCCTCGTGCATCCAGGATTTCGAATGACCTCATATAGTCGCGATGCAGGCTTGGACGAACATATGGGCCCATACCTCTTGATACGCGAAATTTCTTGAAGTACTTTCAGTGGTCGACCACCCGTTTAACTATTGGGACGGCCTCATTGGTCTTGAAGGTTCTGCAGAATGCCAACTTGCAGCTAAAAAGTCATAGTCAATGAGACCCGCAGCTGCCTGTTCAACCTGTGTCCGTCCTCTGTCGCTGTATACCTAGAGGTGGAATAGTATTGTTAAATGTGCCAGTCGACTATACCTTTTGATGTATCTCCAGCAACTGGGCCTTCGCTGCATCCTCTTCACGAACGATACAAATTTTAATGTCGAACACGCAGGCCCATAGCTCTTTAAACACGCCTCTGTAATCATATCCGCAAGGATGCAGAGAGAGATGGTCAAGCGCTACACCAACTCGAATTCTGAGCAAGAAGTAGCATTGGGCGATGCATTTTAGCCCTGAACGCGTTTGTTTTTTTACTTTGACTAAAGCTCTTAGGTTTTGGGGAATGGACTCCTTCTACAGGAATGGTAAGTATCAAGACACTATGAATCTTTGAGGTTTAGATACAATAGTAAAGCTGAATCCACAACTTCCGTCTTAGATAAATCTCAATGGCAATAAGGGTAGCATGGAGACACGCGTCTGGTTGTCGAAGCAAATGCAGTACCGCGCGCGAGGGCCTTCATTTGGTACAAACTCAAGCCTAGGTTTTGTCTCCAACTTTGTGCTGAGATTTAGGTTAGCACGATCGAATAGGTTGTCCCAGCATACCGAGAACCAGAACCGGCGGGACGCTACATCCAGAGGGGGCACTAAGGAAAAAGCCATTCTTTGAAAAAAAAAAAAAAAAAAAAAAAAAAAAAAAAAAAAAGGGAACAGCTTTTGATATTGATCTCAATTTATTATTTCGTTGCACACTGCAATATCCACAGCGTTAACGCTCTTGTTTCTGATCGCTTGTTGTATATTCATATCGCTCTCTTTCTATCTATCTTATTTGCGACGAATATCGTTGATACGGACAGCGACCGCATTTCTGTGCGCCTCCAAGCCCTCGATTTCAGCCAGACGCATCACAGTGTCGCCAATGGCATCCAAACCATCGCGTGTAAGCTGCTGCGACGTGATGTGTTTCAGGAACGTGTCCGTGTTGACACCAGAGTACATGCGTGCATATCCATATGTTGGCAATGTGTGGTTCGTTCCCGAAGCATAGTCTCCACAGCTGTGAAGTATTGTAGCAAAAGTAACGAAAAAAAAGAAAACAAAGGTCGTCAATAAACCGTGCGCGTCAATCTCAGAGCAAAGAAAGACAAGGTAGCGGACAAAAAATGCTGAACGAAAAATAAAAAATCGCTTACCTCTCGGGCGAGAAGTGTCCGACAAAGACACTTCCGGCATTGTTGACTTGCTCGACGTGCTTCTCAGCCTGTTCCAAGTGCAAGATCAAATGCTCGGGCGCGTACTCGTTCGAGAACCTCATAGCCTGCTCCATCGTCTCGACCTCGATGATATAGCTCTTGGGGATCGACTCGCGGACAATCTCGACTCTGGGCAACCGGCTGGCCTGTTCGTGGACTTCATCTTCGATCGCTGTGAGGTGCTCGAGGGTCAATCCGACTGCAATCAACACAACCTGTGAATCTGTTCCATGCTCGGCCTGGGAGAGCAAGTCCGAGGCGACATATGCGGGGATGGAGGTCATATCAGCAATGACAAGAAGCTCTGAAGGTCCTGCAGGCATATCAATAGATACAAGGGATGAGCTATCAATCTAGGGAATAAAGAAAAAAAATCAAGGCGTCTTATGTTAGTATATCGTGCGAAATTGCCACCTGTACTCGCCCTGAATCTGCCCATCTCTTTGACTTACTTGTGTCAACATCTTGGCGGCTGTTACGTATTGGTTTCCGGGACCACAGATCTTGTCCACCTTAGGGCAAGTCTCCGTTCCGTATGCCATAGCAGCGACCGCCTGAGCGCCTCCAGCTATTAAGACCTTGGACGCTCCAACCTTGTGGGCCACATACATCACCTCAGGAACAATACTTCCATCCTTGCGAGGCGGTGTTGCAATCACAATCTCACTGCATCCAGCGACTGCAGCGGGAATACCCAACATGAGTGCCGTCGAGGGCAGGACAGCCGTGCCTCCAGGAACATACAATCCTACACGTTCAATCGGACGAGCGAACCGCGTGCAGACCACGCCAGGCATCGTCTCGACCACAAGAGCCTTATCCTGCAACTGCGCTTTGTGGAACTTGTAGATGTTATCGTACGCCTGATCAATCGCCAACCGTGTTTGCTCGTCTAGGACCATGGATTCAGGAGTGAAGGGAGCCGAAATCACAGTCTTGTCCAACTGGACGCCATCGAACTTCGCCGTCAATTCGATCAAAGCAGCGTCACCACGTTCGCGCACACCCTCGACAATAGGCTTGACGCGGGCCATAATATCGTCGGACTGGATAATAGGGCGAAGTAGCAGCTTGCGCTGCTGCTCAGCAGAGAGAGCGTTCATCTTGTACGACTTCATGGCAATGCGAGCCGATTTTTCGTTCTGAGTGGCGGAGGGAGCGGGGGCGCCAGGTGCAGGTGCTGCAGTAGCAGTTGGAGCCGTGGTGGCAGCGGAGGCGGCTTCCTTGGCACTGACATCCCACTTGGGCTTGGCATGACCTGGTCGGCGCGTAATTTTGCGAGATCTGTTCTCGAGCTGCTGCTCGACATCGCGCAGGGTGACGCCATTGGCCACACACTTAACTAGGGCAAAGTAGATCAAGTCGGCAGTTTCCCAGGCAATATCCTCGGGAGTCTTGGCCTCGCACAGCTCCTCGGCCTCCTCCATGATCTTAGATTGGACAAGGTTGCTATCCTTGAAAAGGCGCTGGGTGTAGGAGCCAGCAGGGGCTGAAGTCTTGCGGCTCTGCAAAGTCTGGTTGAGGTGAGCGATTCCGCTCGAGGGACCGAAGCATCCGCGAATGTTGTTGTGGCAGAAACCTATTATCATGTGTGCGAATTACAATTGGCCAAGATATTCGGTTAGCGATACAGATGTCCATACAATCTAAACAATATCCAGGACCATCAAACATACCGGTGCCGTGCTGGTGCACCGTGAACTGAAGCGCATCGCTGTCGCAGTCGACATGGACCTTAATCAGATCCTGGGTCGATCCTGAAGAGGCACCCTTGTGCCAGAGTCCACGCGACCTCGAGAAGTAAACTCCCTGGCGCGTGCGGAACGACTCGACCACGCTCTCCAAGGACGAGTAGACCAATCCCAGAGAGACTCCTTGCTCATCCACCACAACAGTTGGGAACAACCCATCCGGACGATCTGAGGCTACGGTCGCCATAAAAGCCTCTCCAATGTTCAGTTTGCCGTCCTGATGATCCGTCGACAGGCTCTCACTCTCGAGCAGAGTATCGACACCAATGCGACCGAGTTCTGAGATGGCAAGCAATCCAGGTGTGTTGTTAGGGCCCTTTCCAGAAAACGAAGCAACGATCCTCTTAACACCCCCACGGGGCAACAGTCCACCCTTCTGGACGACCTGCGCAACGGACTTGATCGCTTCCAGGGTCTCGGCCGAGGTGTCAGCAACATCCAGGACGAAGGCAGAGACGGTGGTGAGGAGACGTTCCTCGATACTGGTAAAGTGTGCAGGGCTCAAAACAACAGCCAGACGCTCCTGAGGAATGTGAGTGAACGAGTCGATGCCTCCGGAGACAAAGGCAGTGAAGGGGAGGATGACCTTGTCGGCACCGGCGTCCAAGAGTGTGTGGATCTGGGCCAGAGGGTCCTGGGGATCAAAGGCTTGGGGCTGGATCCAGTAGGCATCCTTGTGCTGGTCCTTGAGCGCAGCCTGGAGACGAGAATCGTCGGGGGTGGGTACGACGAGGATCTGGTTGGGCAGAAGGCTGAAGGCCTTCAGGTCCTCGGCGTACGAGTCCGCAGCGAGGTTGATACGAGGAACGATCATTGGCGCTGGCTGTTGTAGGCGTGAGGTGATGTAGTCAAACAGAAAGCAATTGAAGCCGAGCGAGATAGAGAGGAGAGGGAAGGAGGAAGGGGGAAGGAGGGTATGGGAGTGAGGGAAGAGGGGAGAGAGGTGTGGAGTGGACGGAGAAATATAATAAAAAAGCTGTTGTCACTCATTGTCATTTTTCATTCTATTATCTTTTTCGATCAGCCCCTGGGGTCCACTCTCTCTGAATAAAAGGAGCCTTCCCAGAAACACATAATCGGATATCCTATGATACTACGCCATAAAACAAACATATAATGGATTGTGTATTTATGCAAAGACTAGGGCCCCTGACTCACGCTCATGCCCTGTCTTTCGCAGTCACCCATTGGTCGTTACACTCCGCAAGTTTCGCCCGTTTCCAAAAGCTACCTGCCACAGACAATTGATCCCACTGAGAGCGGACGGTGTCGGGGCCGAAACGGCAGAAGTAATGAATATTTTTGAATCTCCTCCTCCATGCCGCCCTAGGGGTCAACTACTGGAGACCGCAGGCACCGCGTGGGTTCGATCAACTTGGACACTTTTTTTATTGTACGTGCAAAATCATATTATCCTGGGATCCATGGTAGTATCTGCAAGCGTCTACTGATCTTTGACGATAATGCTCTCAGGGCGCGACGCATACTCGGTCCAGCTACCATCAAACACCGCCAAGTCCTTCACGCCTAATTTCTCCAGCGCAAAGTATAGTGCACTCGCCGTAACACCGCTTCCACAGGACAGAATCACTTCCTTGCCCGGCTCGGTGGTCTCTCTGAGTTCCTGAACATCGATTCCCGCGCGCTTGAATGCCGCAGCAAGTTGTTGGTCGTTATAAAGCTCACCCGTTTCCATATCCGAGAGTTCCAAAAAGGGCACGTTCTTGGCACCGGGCATATGGCCAGAGGAAAGGCCCGCTCGGGGTTCAGGACTTGCGCCTGTAAAGCGTGCAGCTGGACGGGCATCGATAATCGTGATCTTGTTATCCTTGTCCTTGACGATCTTTAAAACTTGGTCGTAGTACCGGATGCTGTTCTGGTCAAGTGTTGGAACTTCGTACTTCTTGGGCTAGATTTGCGTTTAGACATGAAAAATAAAAACTCGGGTCATGAGTAAGAGTCGTCGTGGCTGTGGTTTGCACGCGCAGCAATGTCAGAATTGTCGATCGATTGATATCCTGCTTACTGTGACGTTGGCTTCACCCTTCTCTACAGGGTATCCCGCTGCTGTCCATGCCTTGAATCCTCCGTTCAACAACGAAACCTTCTTGTGTCCGAATGCCTGTTGATAAAGAATTACAATACAGAACGGGCTTGCTTCAGTATCTCTTAACTGATATCCATGATCATTGTTCCATTGTGCGGTACAATCTCCTCTGTGGGGTCGCACGCTCACCTTCAGCATCCAATATGTACGTGCTGCAGAATTAAATCCAACTGTGTCATAGACAACCACATGGTCATCATTCGAGATCCCCAGCTCGCCAACCTGCTCTGCAAACTGTGAGGCAGTCGGCATCATATGCGGCAGACTGCTGGTCTTGTCCTTAATGTCTTCGATATCAAAAAATCGCGCTGTTCATTTGAAGTTCCCGGCATGGATTCATGTTAAAAACTTTGCTAGATGTGTAAGCCGAAACGAGACGAGGCACGGCACAAAGAAGATTAAAAAAAAAGCATGCTTGGAGTAGACTTACCTCCAGGGATATGGCCGTTCTCTTTGAATTCCTTAACTGGATCTCTACCCGCAGCAGGCATATGCCAGCTACCATCAACAACGACGGGCCCTCCAAGCTGGCTCTTGAGTTCTGAGACAGAGAGAAGCAAAGGGACAGACATGGCTATGGCGTGGGAAATTAGATTGATGTATTTGATAGAACGAAGATAATGTTAAGACGCTTCAGGAACGCGTTCAAAGAGTGGCGATAAAAGAGTGAGGACGAACCTCGGGTGGCGTGTGTACGGAGGGTGAATGAGCAGGGCCTGGAGAGGATGCGGGTGGAATGAGCACAGAGGGTGCGGGTCGCCATCAGTCGAGCTGGGTTCTAGTCGAAGAGGAGAAAGAAGGTTCTGTGATTGCGTGCTGGGTGCTTTAGCTAGTCTAGTTCGAGCCAGCTGTGTCTCCATATCTGAATATAAACCTCTCATAAAATGTACGCCTTGTGTAGTATGATAATGTGGTGTGCCAGCTTTCTATGGAACTTGTCTCCAGTGTGCAACTACTTCCTCCTACCACTCTCGCCTCTTGACCCTGAACCATCCCCATTCCCTAATCTCAGCCCATAGGAAAGATCAACATTCAACTCTCATGAACTGCCCTTAGCCATGGCACACCACAGGCCCATTCCCCTGCCGCGTCCCAAATGCTTCTGCGGCCACGTTGCCACGGCAGTCTACTCTTACAACGACACCGCCACCTTCGCTACCGCTCCCGCAACAGCCGCTTCGGGAATAGCAACATCCTTCTGGGACTCTGCAGGCGGATTTCCACAGGGGCAACAGAACATTCCTTTAGCAAGCTCGAGTCAAAGTCGTAGGAACTTGGCTCAGACAGCATCATCGAGAGCTTTGACCATCAACTGGGTCTACGAATGTCATTTCTCGCCTAAACAGGAGGGCATGGTCGGACCAGACTATTGCCATGGGTGCAGGCATGACCGGATCGAAGCTGAAGAGCAACGTTTGTTGGGTTTTATCGAAGAGCTCCGGATCAAGGTAACGTATATCTACCAGATTGACATGAGATAACCGAATGCATGTAAAAACATGACTGGACTGACCTCCCCCTCCCCCCTTTTTTTTATAAAATTGTCTAGTCGCAAGAACACAGTAACCAACCCAACAGCGATCGTTCGGAGCCAGGATTGCCAGGATTCGACCCTTTAGGGCATACTGGCACTCTTGAGGATTACTATAACCCTGGCGTCCACATGAGGCCCACACAAATCGACAAGCGCGAGCTGTATGCCTGGATCATGAAACATTATCGGGAAAGCGAATGGAATAAGGGCAAGACTGTGGACCGCGACATCCGATCTTCTTCACGACCAATCTCGACTTGGAATACAAGTGCACAGCCATTATGGCCGAAATTTACGGTATCGGGACCTCTTCAGCCATCTCCAATGCCGGACAAATCGTTCTTTGCCACGGCTCCTCGTGCATCCACAATCAGTGCGACTTCGAATGTGACGGAACCAAGTGTTTTGGGAGCTGAGGCGGTAGCAGGAGCAGTTGCTGTAGCGAGGACTGTTGTGACACCGACGCTTGCGTCTGCAACGACTACGCCCATAACGCCTGCTACGGCTGCCTCAACAAGCCCCAACCACACCGTCAGACCATCGACACCGCCTCTGCCCCCGGAATTAATTGATCCCCCAATTCCGGACAGAAAAGTATGCGGTTTCCATATGCACGCGCTCGAGTACCACAAAATGCAGAAGATGTATAGAGATGATGTGATCAAGATCGCTCAACGTGCTCAATGCCCGATCTTCAACCTCTCGGTCACGCGATGGATGAAGCTTGGGTTGAACCATCTGCAGAAGGAGCCGTTCAATACGGTCGAGTGTCTTTGTGGCGAACCAATGGTTGTTTCTTCGGAGTTTTCAGCGGATGTTTCGAAGGAGAATTGCTATAAGCTGGTGTGTCCTAGGACGGTATTTCCGATCCGTAGAGAGGATGCGAACGAGGCGATAGAGACCAGGAAGGCAGGAAGCACAAAGGCCGCCAATTCAGATTTTGGCCGTCCACGTCTGCATCAGGATTGGGGGCCTTGCTCGCATGAGATTCTGGTGAACGAAGTGCTGTATTCTCCACGATTGAAACCAATCCATGGCCGGATTGTGAACGATGAGTGGTTAGACCAATGGTTCCAGCCGCAACGGCCTCGTGAGTCGTATTTCAGCTCGAGATACACGGTTCCGGACGTGAAGCCAATCATAAACAAGAGCCAGGACCGACTCCCGGTCGATTTCTCGAAATCTGTCAAGGTGAATCGGTATATGTTCTCGAAGACGGTTTCTTTCAGGCGGCCAGTGGATGAGGACGCGGAGGATATTCCTCGACCGCACCTGGGACTTTCGGGACTACAACCGTCATGGGTTTTTACAGATTCGTGGGAGTACAAGACCACGAATAAGCATAAGGGAGATGAGTGGCCGGTCCCGGAGTGGTGTGGGCGTCGCCTTGTGGATCGGATCCTAAACGATGAGAGCTATGGCCTGTGGAGCGACGAGGCATCGAATCATTTCGAAACGTTTAACGTCCAGGAGATGTCTCCGAATTTGATCCGCACAAGCGTCAAAAAGGCGTCTGTGGCTGCAGAAATGTACCATCAGAGAAATGGGACGCTGTTGACGGAGCGGGTCGCGGAGCAGCAGAAGAGGATCCAGCAGGCAGAAATAGAACTCGAGAAGGAACAGGCGGCACACGCGGATTTGGTTCATCATATTGAGAGGATGCGGTTGAATGCACAGGATATGCCGCAGACAAAGTGCAGGATCTGCTTCGAGAAGACTTCGACCCACGCAATAGTGCCGTGTCTGCATCTGGTGACTTGTGGCGACTGTGCGAGCCAGGTCAAGGAGTGTATCGTTTGTCGAGTCAGGAAGTCGGGCGTCCAGCGGATTCGATGGGGATAGTCCCATCCCGCTTCTTGGAGAAAGGATGTACGGGGGAGAAGATGGGAGGGTGTTGTATTTTGTTATGAAGTCTTTCTGTCGTTTTGTTTGATTGCTGTTTTTTTTTTCTCACTGTTTTGTTACTCACCGCGCTGTACAGTATATAATAAATTTGATCTGTGCTTTAGCATATTCAGAGCCGACTCTGGTATTCAAAGATAAGCCCACAATGTTCAGGACCTGCTCCCAAGTTTATAAAATGATCCTCCGCTTAATGTCAATAGCCTAAACAATGTACTGCTTTATGGACACCGCCTCTTTGTCCTGCTGTGCGTTTCACTCTTTCAAAGCAAGAGGTATCCAATACTGCACAATTCGGTCAATTATTGTCTCAATGAGACGCTCTTTCATCGTCCGTCAGGATTGACGCAAGCGGAAGAGCGCGAGCCTCAGATGTACCAGTGCATTCTCCGACTCACGTAATCGACCTCATATCTGTTAATGTTGTGATGCGCCAGACTAAGTGCTGCAGTTATCTGATATCTAAAATACCATACAAAGAGGACGGTTTTGGCGCTCCTCGTCAAGCATGCGGGAAGCTCCCATCTGGTTATTGAGGCTGACCACAGTCTCGAGAGCGTTATGAGGTTCATTAGTGAGGGGTCTAAGTCTGCTCTCCAATTTCCCTTCGTGCAATTCACGTCCAGCTGAGTTCAGGCCACCAAGCTGAGCATAACGCATTGGAGGAGTAATATGAAAACAGCGAATCCCATCAATGCTTGGTGTCAAAAACAGCATGTACATCGAAATTTCAATATCATAATTCCTAAATTTTATATTCTCGCCTTTGAATGTAATACCTTTATCGTCTTAATACGTAAGTGATAATCTAATGTGCTCGTCAGAGGCGCCGCTTGATATTGTTATAAGAGGCAGTAACTGCGAGGAGTCGCACATCCAAAAAAGAGAGGGATTTGTAGTAGAAGTGGCAAGGACAATCTAAAGGTTGATAATAGCTCACTGGAGACTTAAAAACACGTAAAAAGTGTAGAACGAAGTAAGCTGTGGAGTGCTTTATACATGAGGAAGGCGAATACTAGATAACTACAGAGTAAGGCTCGGACAAGACCTTCTATCTACCTATGCGAAATAGATCCACACCCGAAGTGGTCTATAGCTGTCTACAGGTTCGACAAGGAACATCGGTGACAAAGAGAGAAGGGTCCATAAAAAGAGTAGGGTCCATAAAGAGAGCAGGGTCCACAAAGAGAATTGTGGACGATGGGACAATAACCGGCAGCCAGTGCTTTGTCGTCACCACTGCTCCCCTAAAGAGGAACATGCTGAAGGTGGCACTCTTTACGAGCGTGATCGTTCAGACTCGCCAACAACGCCTGTAAAAGTCTCTTCCCTCCCCCCTCCCCCCACTCTTTCCTGTCCTCACATTCTTGTCTGTCGTCTTCATCCTACTTCGTTTACTTTTCATCTCACTATCCGCCCTGCCTACAACGGCGGCATCATATCCCGTAATCCTATTGTACCCCACATATAACATTCATCCACATTCATTTTAAAGTTCAACAAGTTGCGCACAGCATTTTCGTCAAAGCTCGTTTGTGAGTATTGGTCTCGTTAGGTCCGCTAGACTTGGCCCACAACATGCTCATAGTCAGTGCCGATGAATGGAGGACCTCCATAACACGTTGTCAGTGCAGTGTCTTGGGGAAGGTTGAGGGTTGGGCCATCAAGCGCCAACAATGCAATCAGGAGAGAGATCGAGACCATAACTCTGGCCACAATATGACTCGCGCCGTCCGCTGTCTTGTATAGCGCCAAGAATAGCCTCCGGAGCTGATGCGTCCACAGCAACATTAAGCGCCGTGTGGAGCGGCAGCATAGACACAAAAAGAGCTGTGTCATTATCTGTTGTTATAGAAAGTTGAGTCTTAAAACTTAGACGGAGCAAGGGACAACCCATCTCTTTCGACTGTTTGCTCCGCCAACATACATGGTCCTTTTTTGCAATTACCCATAGTCAATTTGCACATAGCAGAACGTCGCCTGCAAAATAAACAAAAGCAGTAATCATCGTCGTTTTTATTGCTACTCTGTACAAACGTCACCCGGAGCATGTCGAGCATCCTGAATGATATTCACCACTTGCCTTTGCCCTTGCCCTTCTTCTTTTTGTTCGCGCTCGAGGCCGAGCTCTTAGCCTTGGCCACAGCGGCCACATCAATGATTTCATCGATCTTGGCAGCCGCGACAGGTTCCGGGGCAGTAACTGGAACAATATGCTCTCTTCCCGCGATCCTGGCGCTTCCTGTACCACCAATTCCACCGCCCTCCATGTTCAACCCCTGAGGTCCCTTACCCATATCCTTCCTCGATCCAGCACCTGTCTTACGGGTCCTGGCCAAGCGAGCTGCGGCCCTGTCACGCTTCGGCAACCATCTCTCCGGATCTGCAGTACTCGCGGTCGCGGGGTCAAAGTTCTTGGGCAACAACGGTCTGCGCTTATGGGCCTTCCGGGCCCCCGTGCGACGGGGTCTCGAGGTCGGACGTCTACGACCACCAGCGCCAGCTCCAGCAGCAGCGTTGGTGATCTCAGTGGAGACGTACTCGCGCTTGAGCCCTGGAACGACGCGTTCGAGCGCGTCCACATCCAGGGCCATCACGTTCTTCATCTCCGGCAACGAAGCGCCATACTTCTCTGCAAGGGCTGGTTCAAATTCCGAATAGGCCATGATCAAGCCAGCGATGGCCGCCGGATCTGAGGGGTCTGCACGGACGAGTTCCTCATAGTCCTTCGCGGCGTCCTTGTACCGATGAGAGCGCAACTTGAACGCGGCGGTCTGTTTCAGTAGCGTCAGAGGCATATGCGTGGCACTTCCAGTTTTGGTTTGCTTGTTGCTCTTGGCCCAAACCGCGCTCGCTTCGCTCAAGAGATCGACACCCTTCTCACCTTGACCGGCTTGATCGTACAACCAAACCAACAGCGCGACATACCCGGGACGATGCTGCTCCTTCTCGGGTAAGGCCTTCAAGAATCTGGTCAAGGACTCAATCGCAGCTGTATAATCCTGCGCATTCAGCAATTCCAGCTGGACAATCGCAAACTGAATGGCCACAGATTCCGGACGCTGGGTGGCATATTCCTTCAGCTCCTCGAGTGCTTTGGCCGTCTTTTTTTGCTTATAGGTGGTGGCCGCAAGAATCAGGTAGAGGGCGTCGTTGTCCGGTTGGGATTTGAGTAACTGACGGGCCGAGTCTCGACAGGCAACGAATTTGGATTGGTAGAGAGACAGAAGAAGTTCGTTCATGGCGATGGTACGTTTCTGAGAGGAGAAGAATTTGACGCCGAGAGCTTTGGTCGTTGCAGTCTTGATTTTCTTGTTGGAGTCGAAGAGGTCGTCCTGTTTTTGGATCACGACTAGGTTGTTGGCTGCCACGGCTGGAACTGTCACTTCCAGGGCCCTGAGGGAAATCGCGAGAAGAAAGAAAGAATGCGCGAATGAAAGGGGAGACCGATCAGTATCCGGTACATGTCCATATTTTCTTTGCTTTCAAAATGCAGGCGCCTACGGGGAAAAAAGATAAACGACTTACTTGATCTTCAGGACGGTGTGATAGAACTCACGGGCCTGTTCGACGCGTCCCAAGAGTTGGTAGACGTAGGCGGTTTGGACGACCAGGATCGCCATCTCCTGTTCGATCTCGTCCTCATCATAATCCTTCAGAGCCTCCCTGCAGACCTTCTTGGCCTCATCCAACAGCTTTAAGGCTTGCTGATACTCTCCCTTTGCGATTTTTTCACAAGCGGCATTAAAGCTCAACTCGTATGTCGCCAGCGCCATATCGTGTTCATCCTCGGCCCGATCCCACTTCTCATCCAGGGTCTCACCCGCGTAGAGCACTGCGGCCTTGCAGGCATGAAAGTTCGTCAAGATATCATTATAGGTGTCCTCGGATTTGCGGGTATCCTTGAGCATGCCCGCATAGAGTTTCAGACAATCCTGGTAGCGTTCCATGCGGTAGAGCATCTGGGCCTCGAGGTGACGAAGGTCCCAGGAGAGCTGCTCCATTGGTTGGAGGGATTGTCGCTTTTGAGAGATGAGAAGGGCACCATCAGAGAGCTGATTGGTCCGGTAGAGACAGTAGGCCTTTTCGAAAGTGAAGATTTTGGGATCGAGCTGGCGGTTGATGATGACGAGGGCGTCGGTGTAGCGCTCGAGACGGATGAGGGTGATGGCCTTGCAGTGCAGGGCGTCCTTGTCCTTTGAGTCTATCGTGAGGACTATGTTGTTGTTTTTTTCGATCGTGGAAAACAGAGGATGTGAGATCAGAGTTAGATCCCGGCATTGATCAGCTCTCGCAAAGTTGGCACACGCGTTCCTGGGTGCGAAAGGGATCTTTTACTCTTGTCGCAGAAGGTGAGGACTTTATCGTGTTCCTCGCGCTTGATATGGCGCTCGATCTCCGCAAAGAGTTGTTGGATGTTGTTGGTTGCCATTGGGAGCGCTGGCAAAGGGGATGGGGAGAGGGATGAGAGGATGGAAATGATCCATGGATGCCGAAGGATGCGAGGGCTAAGGGCTGCATAGCAAGTGCGATGCGTAGATCTACCTAGCGGTGCAGTGTGGGGTAGAGTATAAACTTTATTTTCTCTCGCGGATACTTTTTTCTCCTGTAAGCACCTTTGTGAACACCCTCTTCTTCTGTGAACATCCTTTTCCTTGCGTGCAGGGAAACGGATACTGTGGCCTAGCCGGAATACCGCCGTTGCTTTTGGTTGCCATAGCAGTTCTCGAAAGAAGTAACCATGGCACGACTTGGGTGAAAGAAGGAAATATACCGCATTACATAGAAAAGGTATGACTTTGACTCCCCACAGGGGGAGAATGGTATTTCAAGCAACGTGCAGGCATACCATAGGAGGACAAGTCCTCTTCCTGAACACTTTCTCTTTTCATTAACTCCTCCTCCTTCTTCGTCTTCATCTCTGATGGAATGCTCTCATTCGCCCCTCTCATCCTCCACTTCCAACGCATCATCAATTACCCGGAGCCCCTCTTACTCCTCACTCCCTCTATTCTTACTATGAACACCCTGAACACTTCGTCTCCTACTGAAGCGGCACAACAACCAACGCATCAGGCAGTCGCCTCAGTTGCCGCCACAAGCTTGCCGGAGATCGCCTCGCTTATCGCCCTCACCTTCAGCAAGGAGGACATCGCCGCCTGTGCCCTTGTCTGTCGAGCCTGGTCCTCGGTCTACACTCCTCTACTCTGGAAGGACATCCGCGCTCGCATCCCCAACCCTCTCAACGCCTCTCTCCTCCCCACCCTCCTCGCTACCCACGGCGCCTTCATCCGCACTTTATCCATCAACGATGCTCCCGAACACTTTCTTTCCAGAGCAGACCCGTCTACGGACCTCGTTTTTGACTGTGCAACCATCGAGAATGTCGTCCACCTGACCATCTCGACCGAGAACGACAAGAAGAAGGCTTTCAGGAACATTATCCATCGAAACCGACATACTCTGCGCTTCCTGTGGTTGACATTTCATGTGGAAAAGCCGAAGCAGGCCCCGGACTGGTGCGGCGAGCCGCTATTCGATTTCCCGGGGATCAATGGTGCACCTTGTCTGCAGTCGCTATATTTGGAGCGTTGGAGGATGACACGGCGGGAGCTGATCTTAATTTTGAAAGCATGTCCAGTCCTGAAGCTGCTCTCCTTCTCGGACATCTATATCGTCCGTGACGACAACAACATCAACTGCTGCAGCAGCAGCGGCAGTTCACAAGAGCCCACAGGATCCAATGTCCTTGATATCGAACCGTTCCAACACCTGGCGCTGGTAAATCTCCGGATGTGCTCAAAGCTATACCCGATCCTCGACCTGATCCCGAATGTCAAAACCATTGAATTCTACCGTTTCGACCGCTCCATCGACCCTCTTGAACTTAAGCTTTTCTGCGAATCCATCCGGGCCTACTGCCCAAAGCTCCAACAGGTCTGGGCCTTTGGGTTCGAATGCTCGATGCTCCCCGCAATCGTCGATTCCATTGAGCAACTGGTAACTTTTCGTGGCTCGAGTAATATGGCAACCGTGCTCTCGATTCTCGATCATGCCAACACGCTCGAGGAGGCCAACCTGTCGGATTACACAGAACAGACATTCTTGCCACTCAGGTTCCTAGAGACCTGTCCACGGCTGAAACAGTTCATGACGGGACATTCATCAACAACAATAGCGGAAGTCAGAGGATCTCTGCAAAAGGGATGGGCGTGTCGGGATTTACGGGAGTTGAGGCTAAGCATCTATAAACTGTCGCCGGCATTGATTGGCGCGATCATGCAGGATCTGGGAGCAGAGAAGGAGACGGCGTCAAGGGTTCGGAACACAAGGGGTGCGGCATGGGCGGTGCAGCAGGCGCAGCAGGAGGATCAACTACAGGTGGCCATGAGTGTGTTGACACTGGAGCAGCAGGAGTTCAGGAGACTGTTTGCAGACTTTTTGGTAGGGTTCGGGCATCTCAAGAGATTGAACTTTGGAACTGGATGGCACTCTATCAACAGGACGCACCGCAGTTGAGAATGCTGTACTGTGTAAATAAGCCCCTTGTCAAAAGCATGGCGGTTGATGAGCCTTGGGGGGAGGGAACGAAGTATATACGAGGTTTATCTGGCTTTCAGTTAGTCGTGTCAATATTAAGCACAGCAGAAAATAGAAACCTAGAGGAAGAGCCCAAGATGACCCCATTGATCACATTGCTCGCACCAAATCCGAATCTGCACAAGTCCTTTCATGGACTCGACTACAACCCCGCCAAGACCCTCATGCCTTCAAGGCCCTGGACGCCTAGCGCCGTGCTGCACCAAGGGTTTAAGGCCTCTGTTGAGCTTTTTTTTTTTTTTTTTTTTTTTTTTTTGGTCCCTTGTCAATAGCTCCTTCCATCCCGCTGCCCATACGCCCTTCATGCTACACTACCCAGCACGTTCTTCCCAACTCCCGCTTTCCCCCTTCACTTCAATTTACCTTCTAAACCTATCGCCACGCTTTCAAGTCCTCCTCCACCGTCCTCGTCATCACGCTCTTGGCCGTCTTCTCCACCTACACCTTTCAGGTTGAGGCACACTCTTAGATGGACTGCGTGGACTAGAAACAACTCTTTCAAGCAGGATTACTCCAACGAGGGATTCAAGTGCATGGGGTTATGCCCGTCGTTTCCCTCTAGGCTTTCGGTTCCTTGGGCCTTACTTATCATGCCCAGTCACCACTTTTGGCGAGGTGGAAGAGATCTCGCTTCCTACCTTTACTCTGATTTCAGGCACGGCATACAACCTGACTCGAATGTGGCTCGCGCCAATCCTGTCTCTGCTGCTTATGGTGGCAAGTACGATTGCATGGCCGTCACCTCCGTTGATGATACCCTCTGCATCCGCTGGCCCACCAAGAAACACGCTACGAAAAACCAGCCCTCGAACATGGTGAATATCCACTTGTCGAAGGTCCACAGCAGTAAGGATGGGTGTCAATCAGACAGATTTGCTCAAGAGTACCATTGCCAAGTTGCCATACAAGAACTGTATGATCGGAAGGGACGAGGATCGTCTTGCCTGCAGAGGCTGCTTCAAGGCTCCCCTCCCATGCCTCCGATGTCTACTTGCTCCAGTGGAGATGGATGTTAAACGAGGATGAGTGAAACACTTCCTGCGCTGAAAATTTTTTTTTTTAGACGCGTACTGTCGATGTTTATGTCAAATATATATTGGTTATCCAAATCAGTGGGAGGGTAACAGAACTTGCTGTGTTTCTGGGAAGCGCCCGTAGAAGATGGATTTGAATCAGGCGACGATGCCAAAATCATAAATCCCTCTGGGAATAAACATTTCTCAGTAAATCATAATGAGGACACGGCTCAAACCCCCTGGGTTCGTCCCCATACAGGACTCATGTAACCATAAAAAAAAAAGTCGGATCGCGAGTCAATGCCGATGCTGTGCTAACCTCAGTTCTTGGTTTCTATACTTTGCTTTTGGAGTTAAGGGTGACTCTAGATTGTGGTACAGCACATGTACTACCGTGTCACGCATGGTGTAACCTTGGGCCGGAAATGGCTCGAAGCGCTCCCCCCGAGGAAGGACACTTTAACTCACTGATTCTATCTCCTTGTGGCCTCGTGTCTCTTTTTCAAGAGAAAGACAACTTGTTCTGCTGGGCAATTGGAGCCAAGCATGTGGGCGTAAAAGAGGGACGATGGTCGACCGACCAAAGGGTCATCCATGTTGCGGAATATTCTAGCCATGTCTGCATTTATCCTACTCCTCCTTCTTTCACGAAATATCCACTACTTCTTCTCTCCTCTCACTTATTCACGCCTTTCTCTGTCGGAAATGCCGCCACGACCCACGACCCTAGAATCTCCCCGCTTGACCCGACTTGGTCATGAGCTCCGTCCGTATAACGCCTCTGAAATTCTGAGCCAGTATCGTAGACGCGCCTTCCGTCTTTCGCTTCTTACCGATAATGTAGGTGGTGCAGAATTGAGGATGTTGTAGATCCGAGGGTTTATAGGACTGTACGGGGCATCATATGGTGATGTAAGAACCCAGTAGAGTGCGTAGAGGTGCTGTTGCAAGGATACACTAGCTAGGGAAGTTTGCGAGACGATGATTACTTCAGAACTACAATCCCTTGAAAAGTCGTAACAGTCGGGATTGAAGGCAGCTGCGCTAGTTATTGATAGAGTGCACCGCCTTGGGGTCACTCTGGATCAAGTTCTCGGGTCTCCACTGGGACGAAGAATGATCCTTTACGCTGTTCATTCCCTTATCCGAGCAAGAAGAACTATGGGGGGGATGGATTTAACCTCCAAACGGTCATTTGGGGCCGTACTGGGGTGCTAGTCACAAGTGGAAAAGCAGAGCAGGTATGCGCGTATAATGGAGAAGGTGCTTTGATCTTCTGACGTATGAGCGAGATAAAGGGAGGAGTCGGGCGTGGTCGAGGCTGGAGGATTGGTTAAAGATCTAGGTGCAGTCGATACTGCGGATTAAAAGATGGCGCTAGGCTTGGTAAAGTGTTCTGTATTAGATAGTGTGATAAAGCAGACCGCCATCTACGTGTCGTATCGGGTCGAAAAGAGTGGGAGTTCACTCCGGCTTGGACAAAATTGCTTTTGAATGGATCGTCAATCCCTTTGAGGTGGAATCCACACTTCGTCTTCAGCGCGATGTCGGGCCATGGATACCGCGAATTGTAGCACTGGAAAATTGGGGTAATTGCGACGGTTGCTGCACGGACATTCAGTATTGAAGGAACTCTGCTTAGAGTTTATTAATCCGCGCCTGGACCAGGAGCGCTGTTTATGCCACTCTTTAATGATAATAATGGAAAGCCGACGGTGGTGAAGAATTGAGTTGGCGATTTTAAATTATGTCGGGTCGCGGGCGTGGTTCCAGGGCGTGTTGAGAGTTCGGGTACGCACGATACCGCGGTTGAACAGAGTTGTATTGAATAATTCAACAGACAACGACAGGCTTTCATGTGGAGATTTGTTTATTTGGGTATGCGCCTAAAACAATGGCCACAAGGTTCTACAAGGCAATTAAGAGCGAGAAAAGACGCAAGAGGAGTCCGATGGGTTCAACGTCAGCTTCCTCCCACCTACTCATTAGCATGCTGGGAGACTTGACCCCCCCCCCTCGTTTAGCTTGAGGAGTGGGTCCAGACCATCTTCACCCGCAGTAGACTAGTATTCCAATGTCGACTGTCAATGCATGCAAGCAAATGTAGCTCTCCCTTTTCTCTGTTCACCAGACACGTTTGTTGCAGTATCGTGTGTATGAGAGAGGGGGAGAAAGTCTGGGATGCAAAATGGGTACGGCGGGAATCAGTGGTTGTAGGTGTGGAATTGCCTTTTTTCCAAGCTGAAGATGTGCAGATGCAAATGCTCCAGTGTAATGAACCAATACAGCTGGGATATATTGCGGTGTCTGTTTGTTGCAGTACCTGGATCCAGCCGGTGCTCACTGCAATAAATAGGTGGATAGATAATCCAGCTGCTGTGCCGTTTATTCCTTGCGCCAGACGCATCTGATTGCTTGTAAGAAAAAGAGAGTTCGGTGTTGTGCATCTTGTGGATGCATTCGTGCTGTTGTGTTGTTGACGATTGGACGGAGGAACGGGAACGGAAGAATGGGGTGCGCGGTATGTTCAACCATGTCTGTCCCACTGCCCCGTTGCCGGCTGTTCCGCTCGAAATGGACTTGGGGCTAGAATACGAAGAGCATGGAACCGGTCTGCCATTACCCAGCCCGCTTCTTCATTCTCTTCCTTCATCTTGCTCATTCCGCTTTCTCCATCGCACTTCCACCCCTTCCTGTTTATTAATCCGAAACTCTGCGAATAAGACCCACCAGCTGAGAAAAACATGCCAGGCCAAACATCCCAGAAACGTGCCCTCCCCGCCGTCATGATTGTCGGTGGTGGACTCGGAGGCCTCTTGATGGCCACGCTCCTTGAGCGAGCCGATATTCCCTACCACATCTACGAACGCGCCGGTGAACTGCGTGCCCTTGGTAATTCTCCATTCTGCTTTCGTCCCTAAGAGAAAAAATCAAAACAAAGATCTACACATACGAAAGGGATTTTCATTCATTTCTAATGGCTTTTTCGCTCTCGCCCTCGCCCTTGCCCTTGCCTTTTCTAGGATCCATCATGACGCTTGGTGCCAACGTACTACCGGTCTTTGAGCAATTGGGTTTGTTGGAGGAGTTTGAGCGCATCTCAAAGCCGGTTCCTTCTTTGGACTTTTATACCTCGGACATCCAGAAACTGGGTTCCCTCGACCTCAAAGAGTTCAAAGCTGCGTAAGTGCTAGACCTACTTCCAACCAACTATCTTATTCCAATGATAGTACACACACAACATCTGATACAGAGTACCATTTCACCGTTTTATTATCAAAAAACCAGCTCCGGATACTCGAACTACATCTTTGCACGACCAAGGCTATACGAGATGCTCCGCAAACAGGTCCCTTCGCACAAGGTCAGCCTCAATAAACGTGTCGTACGTATTGAGGAGACGCACAACAAGGTTACGATCTTTTGTGAGGATGAGTCGTCATACAGCGGTGATATCCTTATCGGAGCCGATGGTGCCTACAGTAGTGTGCGCCAGAGCATATTCAAGCAGATGGATGAGAGAGGTCTGTTGCCGGCCTCGGATTCGGAGAACCTGTCGATTGGGTTCATCAGCATGGTCGGTGTATCACATCCAAAGAACCCAGAAAAGTACCCCCAGTTACAGGATACCCTTGGACATTATTCCCAAGTCCTCGGCAACGACTCTCGTGCCGTACGTATCTCCCTACAAAGTCTTCCCAGTTTTTTATTTCGAATTTTAAGCAAAACCTCAGCCTTGTTATGTTGCTTACTCTCTATCTTGCTTGATTTTCTTTGAATAGTGGGGAGTGTTCAGTGCTGCAGACAACCAGATCAGCTGGATGTTGAGCTCGCAGCTCACAGCGGAGGAGGCGAATGAGAAGCGGTTCTCGAACGCTGAGTGGGGCCCTGAGGCAAACCAGGCCATGCTCAATGAGTTTGCGGATATGGCCTGTCCATGGGGCGGCAAGATGAGCGATATTTTCGAGGACACACCCAAGCATCTTATTTCCAAGGTATTCTTGGAAGAAAAGATGTTCAAGACATGGTACTATGGCCGCACTGTCCTGATGGGAGATGGTAAGGTTCAGGGAAGCAGCGGAGGGGGGAGAAGTACCCCTTTAGTTATCTGCATGTAGGGTTGATTCTAACGAAGGTTTTTCTTTACATTGGTCCGTCTTTGTCTATCAACGTACAAATAGCCTGCCACAAGGTAAGCATAATTGTTCGGTGGACTCCTATGAAGTGAGCAGTCTGCACCAGTTCCGCACTGACACTTTCATGCTCTTATTTTTCTCTGCTCATTTGCTTCTTAGATGTTCCCAGGCGCTGGACAAGGTATGGAAAGGAACCATTTTATACATTTCGGGCCTAGCTGAAGTGAGCAGTAAAGAAGGAAAGCCCTAACTTTTACCTACCATTTGATTTTATAGGCGCTGTAAATGCATTCCAAGACGCGGTTGTGCTTGCGAACTGTCTGTACGTGATGGAGGATAAGGACCCTAACACGATCACGGCAGCATTCCAGGAATACTATCGTCAGCGTTTTGATCGTGCTAATTATCAGTATAACCAGAGTAGTTATATGTCCAAGACGCAGAGTGGCCAGGTAATGAATGAAATAGCCATAAATGCTTGCGAGCAAAGTAACAGATTTGAGGGAGGGGGGGGGGGGGGGAGGAGTTTATAGCATTCGAAAGTTATTTTAGTTTTTCTAACAAGAGTATTTCTGCACTGGATTTAATTTAGACGTGGGCAAACCGAGCGCTGCGCTACGCGTTCCTGAACTACACGCCGACGGTGTTCCAACGGACGCTCTACCGCTGGACATGTGAGTACCGCCCTCTGGTCTCGTGGTTGCCGATGATTGAGAACCGTGGCACGGTACCTGTGCTGCCTCAGCAAGGACCCACGAAGCTGGTGGTTGAGAAGAGTGTGGCGCTTTAAAATATCGCACGCAAAAGCAAAGGCGAAGGACGTCAAAGGGAGGTTGTTATGTGTATACCATTTTCAAGTACAGCAGTAATATTGTTATTTTATTTTAAGGAAAGAAATAGTTGATTAGTCCCTCATACGATTTTACGTAGGAAATAAACAGATATTTTTTGTGTTTGGGCGAAGTTCACCATCATGTAGTCTATGGAATTGTTTAAAAAACCTATCTTGAGCGCTGCATGCCTATCGCATCCCATCTAAAAGAAAGCCTCAAAGGCGACGCGCCCTGGATCGATTTACCGCTTATAACGTCCGCCGCAAATCTTAGGGACAGCAAGCCCAAATTTGGCTATGATCCCAAGGTCTTTTTCCTGGACGGACGCATTCGGCGATGGTGCAAAGATTCACCTCTGTTTATGGCATGTCGCACGGGTTTGACAACAAAAAAAATTCGCACCTTTGTCCGTGGTCAAGATGTACAGGATACCAAGTGTCTTCAAGAATCTTACCGCCATGTTCTACGCAACACCATTTACGAAATCCGACTCTTTCCAAGCGGGGTTGGTTCGTTCGCAGAGTTCGCGAGCTATGTCGAAGGTAACTACTTTGGTGAAGACCGCAGACGACTTTGGATGAAGCCTTACCGTCAAGACATCTACTATGCCTCTATGGATACCAACAACTTCGTCGAGCCTTGGTACAGCCAATTAAAGTCTAACGTTCTTAAGGACTGACAAGTGTCAATGAGAAAGAGATGCGGGGCCTCGCCTCCATACCCCCGAGGCCTATTCAACAGGGAATTGACCCAATTCGAATTTAAAATCGAAGGCTGAGATGATTGGCTATTCGCTACACACTTTGCGCGCCCAAGGTCAGAGCCACTTCTCAAAAAAAGAGAAGTGAAAACAAATAGGATACCTCAAAAAGCCAATTCGAATTGGGTCAATTCGCTGAGGCCTTTTCGAATTGGCTTTTTGAGGTGTTCTATTGGCTAATTTTATCAGCAAGCCACTCACTTCGAATCCGTGGTGATGTTTTCAAACGTAAGGTTCGACCAATAATACATCTTTTTTTGAGTAACGAATAGCCAATCATATCGGCCTTCGATTTTAAATTCGAATAGGCCTCTGTTGAAAAGCCCTCCGAATAGCCCGCATAGTGAATGTTTAGGTTTAACGCACACTTGAATGAACGTATATAGCTTATTTATGATATTAATACAGCGTTGACTCTGTTAAATATACCACAAGGACCGTTATAAGTTGCGGGCGGATTTTGTAATTTACACCGTCTGGAAGGAAAGTATCGTGCTCGATCATTCTCCAGCTCCAATCCCATGTACCGAATCTCTGCCAGTCTCGGTAGATTGGTCGATGGATGCGTCTGTCCATATTATGCTCGACTTGACGCATTTTCATGCATATTCTGGCGGCATTTCGAAGGTTTCCGGGGCGGAATTGATGCAGCCACAAAACATTGTCTTCGAGTTTGCCCCAGAGCCAAGAAGGAGCCCCTCAGCAAGGAAGCTATGCAAGAAAAAGAGAAGAGGAAATAGGACGATCTGGAGTTCCAGTTCTTCGTTCTCACAGAGACATTTTTATCAAATATCAAATAAGCGAGAAAAGTCGAGCTAGATCAAGTTTGGTGCGAAAAGACGAAAAGGAGCTCTGCAGACATAGACAGGGATTCTGTGGTTCTGAAGTGCGATAAATAAAGCATGCTTGTTATTAGAGCAGTAAATCGGCTTCAATACAAGCTACGAACAAAGAAACCCCGTGCCAAAGAAGAACATACGCACTCACCACAGGCCACTGAAAGGTTCGCTTTTCTGAGGCAATAATATTGTGATGCTGTGTAGATTAATATAGCGCAACAAGTCTATACAATCTTCTACAGGGTCTCGTCCTTCAAGCGCTGTTTTCTCTGCAACTCCATGGTCTAATCTCTTTCAAGACACCGCCTCCAGGATCCTGAGATATCCTGCTAAAACTCCATTTAGTGAGACTTTCTTCTGTTAAAAATGCATCAAAGTACGAACTTCCAAACGCATCTCTACCGACCCTTTGATTCATAGCGTGCATCTTATCCCACATCGACAGATACGGAAAGATCTTTTCTACAGCTTTCGTTTAATAGACTTTTCATATATATATATAGGAAACAGGAATTCGGTTCTGAGATACCTTATTCAGGAGGAGGTACCAAATTAGGAGGTATATCTACGCATGTCCGCTATCGAGGGATGCCTACAAGACCTTAATTGGCCTAAGGGGATGTATTCTGACTGACCTTCCTAGTTGTACGCGGAAGGAGGTTCTTAAAGAGCTAGAGAAGAGAACCACATCTTAACGAAATAAGCGGCCTCGGGAAAATACCATGTTCGCTCAGTTTGAGCTGAATCGAGCTGAAAGTGAGCTGAGCGACAAAAAAAATATGTCGCTCGGGTCGGGTCGCTGTGCTCATCCTTGAAACGTTCGGCGTAGAGAGAAGTATCCGATCTATTTTTCTTTGCTGTGTATATTTCACTCATGGAGAGGTCCACGTGTTAAGGCGTAAATCTAAAAGGGACCCAGTCCGTGGGTCTTCTAAACCTTCAGACATGCGCGGAGTAGAGTTCGTGTAGAGTTCAGTCCATCGTTACGCCTTTTTGAGTGCATGTTTGGGAGCAGTGGAAAGACGAGTGGCAAAACCATTTCAATGGAACCAAATTGGCTACGGGCGAAGCATAAGCTAACAGTTTCCGAGAGCTGCTTCATTGTTTTGATCAAGGTGTTGTACATTACATTCTGAAGAATTATCCGAGGTTCGCTGTGTTTATTTAGACAATCATCCATGCGTACACAAACACAACAGTTCTCGGGACTGGGTTGTATTGTGAAGAGAGAAGAAACTACAACTAGTTCAGCCCACGCCTGAGCTGTGATGACCTACAGGTCTCCAGGCTACATCTAAAAAATAAACACGGCCACAACATATAAACGAAGTACAACAACGGGCGTACTGTACCGTTGTAAAGCGACAAAAGAAAAAATAAAAAGTCTGAAGCCGTTAAACAGAAGCTGTAGCTACAACTTTGCGCCACGTAACAGACCGTGGAAGTGCGTTTGCGATTACGAGTTGGGTTGGGTCGAGCTAGATGAGGTGGAAGTGGAAGTGGAGCGGATTGAAATGAGGTCTTGAAGTTGTACAAGGCGTTACGACATAACCAACGTACACACACGCATATACACATAAAGAGGGTACAGAGTACTCTGCGACCGAGTGGTTTATGACATGACAAACCTATGAAGCGCTTTTTGCGCATGAATTGACCATCACTCATGTGGGCGTCAACACAAGAGGAGACACAAAACGTTTTGAGTAGCAAAAACGGCCATTTCACTTGCATTTCGTGTAATTAATTGTACATGGGATTTCTGTTTCGTTATAACTGGTCCAGGAACAGAGGACAGGGACATCCCCCGGTCGCTCGAATGAGCGGAGGTAAAGGCGATGATAGACATTTAAGCACGCCAGTAATTATCTCAGCAGTTTTTAAAGTAGGACGTGCAGAAGCTGAGACTAATTTTTGTAGGATGCATTTGATTTGATGCAACAGGAATAAAGATCTTCGCCGCCGTCGAAGCTATATAGTTAACCGAGAAAACGAAACAGATCATGTCGATCTCTTTTTTTCATGAGCTTCTTCGGACAATCATGGCAATGGGGACCGATCCCGGGCCCCACAGCACTAATACGATACTATGCCACAACTCAAAGGCTCTGCCCCAGATTTTTTTCTTTTGCAGCTAAGGAATGGCCTGGCTCGAGAAAGGAAATGACGAAGAAATAAGTGGAAGGCATGTGTAATCTATGCATGGATGTGTCAAATATCTAACAAGTTCATATATTATTGTGCTCTCGGCAGGTGGGGAAGGTAGCCATGCATGTACGACCATAAATGTTTTAATGCAAAAAGATCGGTTATCTTTTTCCAATTAAAATTATGATATGAGTAACAGTAAAAACTTTTTTATTTATACAGATCCATGGTTGTTAGGTGAGATGAGAAGGATATGTAATTGTGTTGAAACTTTGCTTGTACGGCTCATGGTTCATAGTTCTTGGTTCATGGCTCAGAAGGACCCCTACAGATGCCGATGACTGACCATCAACCAAACGGCGCTTAAAGATGATATAGAAAGTGTATCGCCTTTCAAGTCATAGTGCTTACAGCCTGAAAACTGCAACAGCCAGATGGTTAGTGAGAAAAAAGGCAGAGATAATAAAGTGCAAAAACAAAAATGCTCATGAGGGTTAGTCCAGCGAGTAAACGGATGCAGATATGCCGGTACTTTCTCATCATCATGCGAGCCCGTGCGTTTTCCCTCGTCCACTTGGTCCAATAAGCAACCAATGCTAACGATCCGAACCGTATATGCGGCCTGTTCCTGGTGCATGTCGGGTTTGCCATTTCATGGCTAGCCGTTCGCTGTCCGCCGTTCGTTCGTCTGCTTGTTCGCTCGTTCGACGTGCAATGTCCACCAGTGACTACAGCGATCATTCTACAAACTTTGACCGTTGTCTAAGTACAGTAACGTGAATGTGTAATAAAAAAAACTAGCCCAGTTTGCCGTTGGATATTTCTTCTTGTTGTTGTTATTGTTGTTATTGCCATTGTTGTATGGCTCTCGTGCATGGAATGAGTGCAGGGTTTGTACAATCACTGGTCCTGTCCTCCACTTCATATCCCCTTCTATCCATGGTCTTCTCTTTTCTGTAGAACACGTTCATACGCTATAGTCGTTCGACTGGGTGTTCTCAGCGCTCAGTTTTAGTCCGCAGATGATCTTGTACGTCAATGGCCCATAATCTTCATGGTTGTGCTCCTCCAGTTGGTTCAGGAGTATGAAAAAAGGCTACACCGAGAAAGAGAGCGGAAAAGCGTGGTGTGTGTGATTGCTATGGTACAACACCAGCGAATAAGAGAGACAAGAGTGAGTTGTTGTGAAGAGAGCCCTGTGTTCCATTGAGAACCATATCCATCCGTTTGAGTGAGTGTTTTTGTGTTTTTTGTTTTTTCTTACATCTCACCATTAGCTATCGCGTTTTAATCGTCCGCATGCTCGTCTGTTTGCTCTCGATTTTGTTGTTGACATCGCATGCGAGAAGCAAGACAATGAAGGTAAAGTACAGGAAAGTACGCGGACAACTATTCTGCAAGGAAGCAAAAACAAAACAACAGACTCAAACACACCAACGGTAAGCAAGTGAGAAGGCTGCAGAGGCTATAGTACCATAATCAAGTTTACACTCAGTCAATGACTTTCTTGAGCGTTCAACACTCTTTTCTCATCTCTCTCGCCTTTCATTCGACTCCTCATTCCCCATCACCCATCCCCTCATTCACACTCCACCAGACCTTCCTTGGTCTCCCACAGCTAGAGAAACTCTCCTCTTCATCCCTCTCCCTTTCATTTTTCTTGATAACATTTTTGTGTTCATGTCCATCTCGTCCGATAAAATCCCTCTTTTCCACTCCAGCTCACCCGACTCCCCCTGTTCCTCGCGACTATCAGAGAAACTGGACGACTACACCAAACGGGAACCATCAGCACCAGCACCAACACCGGCCTTCCGACTGTCACGGATCCTCATAGCAGGCGGGGGGGTTGGCAGCCTTTTTCTCGCCATCCTTCTCGAGCGTCTCGGTATCCCATACTACCTCTTTGAGGAAGGATCCAAAGTCCAGCACCTTGGTGAGTTACTTGGATGATAAATAGCACCATCAAAGGCGGAGAAGGGGCCTATTTTTGTTCATCCTTCTCTTTCAGAACAGAACACTTGCGACCGAAGAATCATTCCCTTACTTGGCCACTCCTACCCCTTTTTCTCTGAACGAACGCCCGTTATTCATCGAACGTTATTGATAATCGTCACTGGACTTCAAATAGGCGCAGCACTAGCACTGGGCGCGACAGTCCTGCCGGTCTTTGAACAGCTGGGACTGACGAGTCTGCTGGCGAGCATCTCACTTCCCTGTGCAACCCTCGACATATACGATGCAAAGCTCAAGAAGCTGGGCTCCGTCCTGATGAAGGGACAGAACGAGATGTAAGTTGACTATAGTTTCCTCGTCCTTGTGCTCAGCACTCTCCATCTCTCTCGCTCCCTCCCTCTTCCCAAAGAGGTCCCTTTCATCAGTGGTATCATGTACGCGTTGTGCTGCCATGCTCTTTTTTTTTTTTTTTTTTTGCTCATTGTCCATCTGGGCGTAAGCGCCTATCTGTGCACCCTGTCGCTCATTCAAACACGTACCAAACAGCATACAAACACGCTAACCAATCTATGGTATTTACTCTCCCCTCCCATAAAAATTACTAGCACTGGATACGAAAACATTGTCTGCTCTCGCGTGAACCTATACGAACTATTGCTCGCACAACTCAACCCGGCAAACGTGGTCATGAACAAGAAGATCCTGTCTTACGAAGAAAATGAATTGGGTGTCAACGTTTGCTGTGCCGACAACTCTATATATTGCGGGGATATCCTCGTCGGTGCAGATGGTCCCTACAGTCGTATCCGCCAGACGATGCATCGACACATGGACAAGCGTGGATTGTTGTCAAAGAACGATAAGGAGCGTTTGACACGGAATTATGTATGCGTCGCAGGAGTGACGAAGCAACGGAGTCCAGAAGAATATAAGTTCCTGAAAGACCCATTTGTACACTTCTGTACGGTCGTAGGAGGCAAGGGTCATGGGGTAAGGGACACCACGATTTGCAGGGGGGGGGGGGGGGGGGGGGGTCCGTATATATATAGATCGCGGACAGTTTTTGCTAACTTGGTCTTTTTTTTTTCTCCTTGGCAATGTAGTGGCACGCAGTCAATATTCCAGATGACCAGATCTGTTGGGCAACATGGATGCATCTGGACGCGTCGACAGCATCGCAGGTGGCTACTTTTGAAACATCTGAGTTTGGAGTCGAGAACACGGAGCCTATTGTGAAGGCGTTCCGGGACATGCCGTGTCCACATGGAGGCACTATGGGCGAACTCGTAGACGCAACCCCGGAAGACCTCAAATCCAAAGTGTATATAGAGGAGAAACTGTTTGACGCGTGGTACTATGGACGGACGGTTCTTATTGGCAGTGGTATGTTCTTCGTTTTGGTTGATAAATGGCCATCCTTGCAATGCTGTGCAGACCTGATTTCTAATTTGCTCTCCGCTCTTGTCCTTTATTAGCATGTCATATCGTACGTATCCTCTTAATGCATAGATGCACCTTCTAGATGATCCATTGCCATGTGTTTCGTTCAATAGAGCTAACCCTTATCATGGTATGCTCTGTCTACTTATGTCCCTGATATCCGCTTTCTAGATGTTGCCTTGGGCTGGACAAAGTAAAGAAAATCTGACATCCTGAATCCGGATACTGTGGCGAAAAAGAGAATCGACCTAATCTCAACCTGCAATTGTTTACCCATAGGGGAGCTGAATGAAATTCATGACGCGGTGATACTCGCTAACTGTCTATTCGAGCTCAAGGACTTGGGTCTGAAGAGCATTAGTGCATCATTCAAGGCGTACTATTCGCAACGGTACCCATATGCCATAGCCCAGTTCCAATACAGCAGGGCAGTTACACGACTTGTCGTTGGCCAGGTAAGCCCTTTGTGGATCGAAAGCACCCTGCTGGACGTCATTTTTTCATTGCAACGGTTCATACTAATAACATTTTATATTGCTGTCGTTGTTGTGTTCTCGACATGTAGACGCTAAAGGAACGGATTTCACGCTACGCGATCTTGAACTGGCTACCACACTCGTACCAGCAACGGATGCACCATGAAATATTTGCCTACCGGCCACAGGCATCGTTCATGGCCCGAGCAGAAAACCGGGGAAGGGGATTCGCGTTCCCGCAAAGGTCCGCAAAGCAATGGACGGAGGCCGAGATCGAGAGGCGGATCTCGGCCGTCTGGAACAAACGTGCCTCCATCGCTGTATAGATCAACGCATAACAAAACAAATGACCATAGTGATATCGTATACATTTTTTATGTTGACGCCAATGTCCTGCTAGGCTTCTAGGGGTACTAGATCCCACTGGCTGCTCCTGGCGATAGCAGACTAGCTACTTAATAATACATATGAAACAATTTTGTACTGAATGAAAATGTGAAACAAAATAGCCATAATGCATCTCTTGAATCGCGTTGTTTCCATTGTTTGCTCAAGAACCCATTCCTTTACGCTACTGGTTAAGTCCAGCAATCAATGAAGCAGTAATTAAGCAGAATGAACCAAAGATCCTTTGCTGGTTCTATCTGCACTGACATGCTGGTGAGATGCTAAGATGGTAGGATATTATTGCATTTGAACACGATCCGAAGAAGAGCAGCAAGAGCGATATTGAGCCAGATGAATGAACATCGCTCGCCAAGTCTTGACTAAGAAAAAACTTCCTTCCCAGACGCAATATATATCGAGTTAATATGGTGTTAATGGCTTCTGCTTCAAAAGCATGGTAGAGCAAGAAGGTTGACATTAAAAGAATAAATAGTCGCAGCCAACCGGAGCGTTTCTGCGCGGCTGGAGGAAGACAAAGAAAAAGAAAAAGACATGGGCGAAAGTAAAATAAATCAACGCCGCAAGTACCACTTTGAAAGTGAGACAGACATGTACTCTCGTGCTTCAGGCCTGCAAGTCCGTTGGTGACCTTTTACCCCTGCTGCATGGCCAATCGATACCCTGCCCACTTTAGTATGATGAGTTAAGCCGGGCTAGTATTCAACTGATTCTGCAACACCAATTCCAAATCCCCACACGAGAGCTTAGACCTGGCTGGCAGCGGTTCCATTGCCGGTCAAGGCGCCAGTGTGAATGAGAAATAATCGGCTCCTTCAGACTTTATCTTCTCAGATAACCAACTACTCTAGTCCTGTTTATGCGTGTGTCGTTCCATGGTGGTTGATTGGAGTCCTGGGTTGCAAGCAGTATAGAAGAATAGATGATAGCCTATTGATAAAATACGACGGATCCAAAGCTCTCAATTACGATGTCGCTTTAATCTGATAGTATTATTTTGGTGACAATTTGGAGCGCGTTATTTCGCACTCCACAGTACTGTGCCCTATTTATCTCGCTCCTCACCGTGTCTCCAAAAAAAAAAAAGCAGCAACGCAAGTCAACCATACAAAAGTCTCGGAAAATAGCCATCAAGGGACTAGGTTATCAAGCACTTCAATGATGTTAGTCATCCGGACGATTCCAACTATCTTTATACTATATGGAGCAGCAGCAAGACATTTCACTCTTGGAAGAAAGAAAGGAAAAGCTAAGGAGCACAGAGAGTACAGGAGTCAACAGCTCGGCTTTTTTACCTCTTCACAACCGACGCCAGGAAATTTTCTCAAAGACAGATCATATCGAATGACAGGACGAAATCGGTCACATAGTTCGGAGACGCCATCGATATGCTGCTGACAGTGTCGCTTTATATTGCCTGGCCATGATCGAGCGCAAAGACACCATGTATAGGGCGGAGCTGAAACAGCTCGCTGTCATGGATGCATCGTTGCGGCCTGTTGGAATGGTTATGGGGTCTGAGAATTAAGAAGCGATATCAATTATGTGTCAGAAGAATAAAGTTCAAATAGCGTATCTATGAGCCATTTAGCACGGACTGCCCCTTTGAATGACTTTGCGTATCCTAGAGAGTTGTTTAGCAAGGTTAATTCGTCATTCTCCACCGAGTGATATGCGACCCTTACAGGTCCTTGAATCTTACCATCGCTGATTAAAATAACTTGTCCATAACGCCAGGCTTCAAACATTTTCTCCTCCAAGAAGGCTTTGATGATGGTCTTTTGGCGTCGCGTCAATCAGGTCCCTCAGAACTTCGCCGTACGGAGACGGAAACCTGTAAAACTCTTTCATCGTCGGTTCTACTGCCTCAGGAACCCATTCGGTACTCCTGTAGGGAGCCTCTTTGTCCTCCTTGTGATGGTATCAGCGTTCGGGAGAACCGGTTATCGGGCAGCGTGATCATGCGGTACTGAACATAGTTTCACGACAGAAGGCAAATAATACTTAACATGCAAACGTATTTCCCAATAACAATACACATAAAAATTCCAAGACTCACGCTAGGCAAGTCTTTTGCATGAACGAGGTTCGCAGCTCCTCCATAACCGGATACCTTTCCGGACCCAAGGAAGACACTAGAAGATCAAATAGTTACAGATGCGATGGCATACCCAAGGGTTTGATTGCCTGTGCTTTCTCGAGAATGAGGTTGTTGAGACCCATTCTCCCAAAGAGCAACGCCAACGTAATTCATCCGATTCCTGCACTAGTGATCAAGACTGTCAGCTTTTTTAAAGCAGCCGGTCCCAATATTCTACTATCCCCCGAATTTCCGAGAGGGCGATTGGATTGTAAATGATATGAGGACAAAGAGAGGTGAAAGGTGCGAGGGGACCACCGAGCTTGAAAAACCATGTTTATTAGGCTCAAGTATTTACTCCATTCTGCCGTTGCGCATGAAACAAACGAGAGCCCGTATCGTCAACAGACAGGATGAAGTAGCACAGCAATTTGAATGGACGCTAAATCTTAGATTTTTAATGAGGCGAATTGCAGCAAGAATTTGCACAGCGATATTTTAGTCAGCATTGTATAACTCAGCTATGCAGCTACGGGCTGTTGTTCGTTAGAATGTTGCCGCTCTTGATGAAGCTCCAGCTCTCGTCTCCAGGATGGCTTTTGCGGCATGACAGGTCCCTGTCCACGGTTCTCTGCCAAAGGGAGAAAGCATGCTTGGGGCCGATAGGAAGCGGCCTTGAGAAATTGCTGTCGCTGGATAGATGCCGGGAGGATATTGAACACAAAGTAGCGAAGTATCTTGTCAGAGAAGCCCTAAATAAATACAAAGAGAAAAAGTGTTAGAATGCGCAAGTATCTATTTGTTATCGCACAGGTTACATGGTCGATTCCTCGCTCAGAGCAGCACTTACTTGGCCACATGTGAGTCGTCCAACAAGTCGACTGTTGTCAAATTGGGATTGCGCGTGAGGATAGCGTTGTTCGCGATAGTCCTTGAATGCCGCAGTGATTTCAGAGAGCTTTGTAGATCTCAAGTCGTATAGACAGTTTGACAAAATGACTGCATCTTGCATAGCATTGATGGCGCCTAGAGGGGATGGAAGACGAGATGATTAAGTTAGCTAAGTATTGATGTTGAGAGCAGAGCACCTGATTTGAGCGGTCATTGTTCCGAGGCAAGCATGGAATGCGCACCTTGACCAGCAGCTGGAAGCATCTTAGCATGTAAATATCAGAACGATGACACTGTTTAGATACGATATCATCAACATAGCTTGAAACGGCGAATATTAATGACTTAGATATTGATAGCAACTGTTGTACCTTATGGCATGCTACACAGTCGTAAGAGAAGAGTTGAGAAAAGAGAGGACTGTCATCAGTTCCAGTTGTTCAAATCGGCTCACTCTCGAAAATGGGCTATCGTAGCGTCAGGCGCGAGCTAGACTTACCATCGCCGATGAGCACCACTCGCCCATGGTGCCATGTCTCGAACATTTTCTCCTCCAAAAAGACTTTCGAAATGGATTCCTTGGGCGTGGCATCAATGAGGTCTTTCATCATTCCCCCAAGAGGACATGGGAACGCATAAAACTCTTTCAAGGAAGTTTCGAGCGCTTCAGGCGCGGCCCATTCTGCGTTCCGCAAATTCGGGTCTTTGACTGCATTTTCTTTTTCTTGCTGAACAACTAGGGACCAACACATTTGGTTATCTGTAACCGTAACCGCTGTGTACTAAAATTATTGATGTTCATAAGTTGTACACGAGCATCCAAAAGAATACTATCCACATCGCCCCTTTTTCAACTTACATTGAGGAGGTCTTTTCCAATGACCTGTGAAAACCTAGACACATCATCTTTAAGGAACGGATACTTTTCTGGATCCATGGCCTTAGTTAGTCCGACCGTACAGACCCATCCGTAGGTCAGATCCTGAGTATCGCTCTTGGGCAGTTGACCTTCGCCCTCCAGCTTCTTGAAAAGACTTTGCCGAACTCCTGAATACGCACCGTCGGCTCCTACGACAATGTCGCCCTGGTACTGCGAGTCATCAGAACACTTGACGACGACGTGATCCACGGTCTCTTCGATTGACACGACCTTCTTTCCTCTGAAAATCTTGTGCGCGGGAACACGGGAAACCATAAGTTCGTAAAGGCGAGGTCGAGCAAAGACAGCAGGCTGGTAGCCGGTCCTGAAGTGCACAAAGAAAATCCCCAAACGATATTGACCAGGGTACAAGGAAGTTAGAAAGGTGTCTGAAGCATAGACAGAGATCGTAAGTATTTTTATTCTCGGCAGACAACGTACATCTGTTCGTAGTCGGCCATGTTGATGTCGACGATCTTGTTCATCTGAAGGTCGTGTAATCCTATGCTTCTACATGGCTTCGAAATCTTTTTGACGTCTTCAAATAATCCGAGTTGCTCAAACACCGGTAGAATATTGGAATTGATAGACATAACAGACCCTATGATCCAAAAGCGACAGATTGACATGTATATTTATGGTTATGAGATAGCATCCTGACGGAAGCAAGCTGGGGGAGTGGCAAGGGAGTCGTACCCAAGGGTTTCACTGCCTGTGCTCTTTCGAGGATGAAATAGTTGACGCCTTGCTTTTCAAGGAGCAGCGCCAACATCACTCCTGCAAGTCCTGCACCGACGATGATGACTGTTAACCCGTTTGCATTTGATGACTCCATGGTCCTGATGTGGATGCTGCTTTACAGGGAGAAATGGAGAAAGTAGGGGATGGAGCAAGATAAGAACCAGTGGAAGTAGGGTTTGTATGGCGGACGAGAATTGACCGGTTCAACGTGATCAGTGCGCCCATACGTGTGGAATCATTCTTGTGGTCAATAGTTGCGACGGAGAGAGCCCAGTTCGCATGAGAATCACCAATATTTTTTTTATGCAGAGAGCATCTCCTGCATGATAGCACAGCATCAATCGATGACTCAAATTGCGGTTACGCAAATATTAATGAGCCATGAGCATTAAAAACGGGCGGGGACGAGCGCAGAAGAGCTTCGAGATAAAGAAAGCCAAGACGATGTAGGCCAGAAATATGAACTTGGTGCCAGTGAAAGATATCTTCAATGAAGTGTGCAAACCAAGAATAAGACATGAACAGACAAGCAAAAGTCATGCGATCTAACTTCATATAGCTGTAGGCCGTTCAAGAGCAGTTTGTCGTTCCCGCTTCTCGAGCTCGCGTTGTCGTCTCCAGGATGCCTTCTGCGGCAGGACCGGCCCTTGCCCGCGATTATCGACTAGTGGTAGAAAACACGCTTGCGGACGATAGCTTGCGACCTTCATGTACTTGCGTCTTTGGACAGACTCTGGCAGAACCTTGAATATCATATGGCGAAGGATCCTATCGGAAACGCTCTATGTTGGCATAAAAAAAACCTGGGCACATCAGCAAGCGTGGCATTATAGTTGTACTCTTGTATTCGGGCCCAGAAAAAGACTCACTTGGCCGCATGTGAGTTTTGCTACAAGCCGGCTGTTGTCAAATTGTGCTCTAGCGTGAGGGTAGCGTTGATCGCGATACTCCTTGAATGAAGCAATGATGTCTTCAAGCTTTGTGGATCTCAGGTCATACAGGCAATTAGCCAAGACAACCGCATCCTGCATTGCATTCACAGCACCTGACAGACAAATACAGATGAGTTGATGTTTAGCCCGAAAAGTCATTGTGCGGCGCGTAAACCGCTGCAATAATCGAGGATTGAAGATTGTGCACACCTTGTCCAGCAGCAGGAAGCATCTAAGGAGGACAGAGATAAGGTATCTACGTGTTAGCAGAGTGGGGGATGGATTATAACAGTAAATTGATCGAGCCACTGCCACTTTACCTTATGACATGCTATAACATCGATATGGGTGAGAATGAGAAATCATTAACCCTGGATACTCGGTTCTTAGTATTGTTTTGAAAGCCAATGTTTCTGACTGCTTACCATCGCCGATGAGAACAACTCGTCCATGGTACCACGTTTCCATGATTTTCTCTTCCAGGAAGACCTTGGATATGCATTCTTTGGGTGTCGCATCGATGATGTCCTTCATCGACCCGCCGAAAGGGCATGGGAAGTTGTAAAAGTCCTTCAGTGACGTCTCAACCGATTCCGGCGCCCATTCTGAGTTCCTGAATGCCAATTCTTTGCCCTCGCCTTCTTTTTTGTGTTGCATCACCAAAGCCCAGCAGATTTGATTATCAGGTACCGTAGCTGTTGTATACTAGAATCAATGAATACAGTGTTGCGGATGAGTATGCCGTTCTATTGACAGAGAAGGCTCAGCTCGATCGTCGACCCATCCCTGCTCCTCCCTCACATTAAACAGATCCTTTCCAAGGACTTGAGAAAACCTCGTTGCATTGTCCCTCAGGCAGGGGTATTTTTCTGGATCGATGGATTCGGTGGTTCCGACCGTGCAGACATATCCGATTGTCATGCCTTGCGTGTCACTCCGAGGTAGGGAACCCTCGCGTTCAAGTTTCTTGAAAAGACACTGTCGCACGCCTGAGTATGCGCCATCTGCTCCAACAAGGATGTCGCCTCGATATTGCGAGTTATCGGAGCAACTAATGAGAACATGGTCTTCGTTCTCCTCAAAAGATAGCACCTTCTTGCCTCTGAGGATCTTGTGAGAAGGGATTTGGGATATCAAAAGATTGTAAAGGCGCGGGCGGGCAAAGACAACAGGTTGGTAACCAGTTCTATTTTGAGAATGCGGTTAGCTATGTTGGCAAAATCATGAGCAACGCCAGTATATGATAACCACTCAGTCTTTGCTTTTCGCAGAAAAGGAGAAGGACCTGGAAACCTACAAGTCTTGGTAACTGCTCATGGCAAACTCGACTAATTCTTTCATATGAATATCGTGCAGTTTGATACTTTCACATGGCTTAGATATTTTCTTGATCTCCTCCAGTAGTCCTAATTGTTCGAACACTGGCATGATATTGGCATTCATGGACATGGCTGATCCTAGAAAGGGAATGTATAATAGGGCCAGTTACGGGCGGTGAAAGGGATGTCTTATAGGATTAGCTGTGCGTCTAACAAGGAGCGAAGCGCTAGCCTGAGCTTAAAACATGACACGAATCATACCCAAGGTTTTGACAGAATGTGCTCTTTCAAAGATGCAGTAGCTGATATCCAGTCTTTCAAGTAGTATCGCCAGCAGCACTCCACCAAGTCCAGCACCAACGATCATAACTGTGATCTCGTTTAAGGCTTCTTCCTCCATGGCGGAAATGCTTAAGGAAGAGAAAAAGTTGTCGGGATGTGAAGTTGGAAGAATTGTGTTTACAAGAACGGAAAGGAGGTTGATGGACCTGCAATGTGGTCTGCTAGATAGTTTTGTCATGCATCCTGAGAGCCAGGGTGAAGTGGAGTACAACAAGAAGAAATAAGGATCTTTGCGTACTATACATCTCTCCGCGGCATGAATCCGCCCCGGATGAGCTCACTTTGCGGTTCATATAACCACTATGGTAAAGAAAGATTTTGATTGAGATCTCGCTGAACAGCAGCTCACTATAACTGCAATTGTCTTCATACATACAACAATTTTTATTTCACAAAACGGCAAGCGCACAGCAACCAGCACAGTCTTTAAGTTGTCTTTATAGACAGCAAATGGGAAAAATCCTTGGGTGTCAGATGATTAGATGCACGACAGCCCCTTCCGCACCATCTCCATATCAAGTCTTCAGTAGTAGCGCAAACTACTTTCCTACGCTTGAAGCAATAAACCACGTCTAAACACACAAGGCCCATGCATGATCATGTTCGTTTGTGGAAATTGATGTCCGCTTTGTACAGGAAAAAGGGTTCAACAAGCATCTAAGGTTAATCGTGATGATTTCGAAAACATAATTTAGATCCTGGACGTCTGGGTTGTAGGTAATGCGGCGTCAATAGAGTCGATGAGTTGCGTGTGCTATTAGAGTCCTCTTAGATGTTTGTAGTGTGACAGAGCAGTAGGTCGAAAAAACTGCAGGATATTCTCGAAGGTCGGCTCAATTGATACAGACTATATTTGGATTCGTAGCTTCGTACTAGGTTGTGTAGGCCTGCAATTGAATGCATACAGATTCACTTCAATGCTCTACTTCCTCATGTTGCCTTCTTCTGGAGGACTTCTGGGGCAGAAGCGGCCCCTCGCCACGATTCTCAATCAGTGGAAGAAAGCTGATCTGAGGGCGATACGACGCGGTCTTCAATGAACTTTGTCGCTGGAACGAGTCTGGTAACCATTTGAATACGACCTGGCGGATAAATGACTCCATCATACTCTATAAATTAACACATGATGAGAACTTGAAAACCCTCCAGCCCACCGACCTATCATGCACATCGTTTTTCAACACACTGAAATGCGTTCTTAGAATACACACGCACCTGACCACAAGTGAGTTTTGCAACCAGCCTACTACTTTCGAACTGGGCTTTAGCGTGAGGGTAGCGCTGCTCACGATAGTCCTGAAAGGCCTCAGTAATGTCTGACAACCTTGTCGCCCTCATATCATACAAGCAATTGGCCAATATCACAGCGTCTTCCATCGCATTGACAGCACCTACTCAAGGAAGAATATACATTATTAAACATCACTGAAAGAATTATTTGTTCGTTTATGTAAATTTCAGACTGCCTGTACGAACCTTGACCGGCAGCGGGCAACATCTGATAGTAGAACGAAAACAAAAATTGGATACAATTAGCATCACATCTAATAGCATTGAACTTATTGGGTACCGTAAGTCGCAGCTAGAAGGTTATTATGCGACACGCGCCTTTACCTTATGGCATGCTTTCAATAAGAACAAGAGTTGAAAAGAGTAGATTGTCGATGTTAGTTTATTTTGATTTCGCGTCCCATATAACGAAGTAAAAATCATAGCGGTTGGCCTATCTTATCATCACCAATGAGGACTACTCTTCCGTGGTGCCATGTTTCGAACATCTTTTCTTCTAAAAAGACCTTGGATATGGATTCTCTGGGCGTTGCCTGAATCAAATCCTTCATCACTCCACCTAAAGGAGACGGAAGTGCGTAAAATTCTTTCAACGATGTTTCAACCGTCTCTGGAGCCCACTCCGAGTTCCTGGAAGCCGCTTCTTCACCTTTACCATCCTTGATATGCTGCTTACTTAGTGTCCAGCAGATCCGATTATCAGGGATAGTGGCCATGCGGTACGATAATGCAGAGGAAAACGATAGACACCTTGTTCTTAGACACGCTCTAGTAGGGCGCAATTTACCCAGGAGTAGTGCTTCGAATCCACTTTGCTTACACTGAGCAGGTCTCTTCCAACGACCTGTGAGAACGTCGTTGCTTTATTCTGCAGGAAAGGATACTTCTCGGGGTCCATGGGCTTGGTCGTTCCGACTGTACAGACATAGCCCACCTTCATGCTCTCCATGTCGCTCTGCGGCAGTATGTCCTCGTGCTCCATTCGCTTGTATAAGCTCTGGCGAACTCCAGAATAGGCGCCATCAGCACCCACAACGATGTCGCCCTGGTACTGCGATTTGTCAGCGCAGCTGATCATTATGCTGTCTTCGGTCTCTTCGATCGAAAGAACCCTCTTTCCTCTGAGGATCTTATGAGATGGGATGCGTGAGACCAGAAGTTCATAAAATTGAGGTCGGGAAAATACGAGCGGCTGGTAACCAGTCCTAGGCATAGGAAAGTTGAACAAAAAGAATAAAAATCAAGGGAAAGGCAGCAATCAGTTAAAATAAAACACGATATAAGAAGACTACTTACTTGATAAAAGGTTGACAAGACCTACATTCTTTTGTAATCAAGTATGCCCATATCGGCGATCTTGTTCATCGGAATATCGTACAGCCCGATGGTTTCGCATGGTTTCGATATCCTTTCGATTTCCTCGAGTAATCCCAGTTGCTCGAGCACCGGCATAATGTTGGCAGATATGGACATCACCGACCCTAGATGTGGAAATGGGAAGGTGTTAAATTGCAGTAATGGGGTTGAAAGGTGCATCCTTCTTCATATAGCAGGCAGGCAGCGGCATGGATTGTATATGTCTGTGTGAATGGAGGCGGTCGATGTAAAGATACACCATCGAGATATACCTAAAGGCTTGACCATCTGCGCTCTCTCTAAAATTGAATAGCTGATACCTTGCCGCTCCAGTAACAGCGCGAGCAGCACTCCAGCAAGTCCGGCCCCGACTATCATGACCGATAGCTCTTTGGTGTCTGTTGTCTCCATGACTATTTATGGGTGATCCAGTAGTGGAGAAGGCGCAAGACAGTGGAGAAGGCACAAGGCAGTAGAGAAGAGCGAAGATTGAATGAAGAGGGGAAAAAAGGATGGGGAACATCTAGCCAAGCCAAGACTATTTGTTCCGCCTGTATTAACCTGTCCCCGAATTTCGTTGTACCTGGGAGGTCAATTATTTTAAGGTTGTGCAGCAATTACACAAGGTTCATTCCTGTGCTGTCTGTATTACTGCATGAGCCGACAACAGAAATCCTGCTCCACGGCTTGAAAATATCACCTCCAGCGCTATTTCTACCTTCGAGACAACTCTGGCGCATACTGATGGACCGGTCAATCATCTCTATGACCGAGTTTGACGAGCATATCCCACTCACCGCGAATAACCAAAGATTTATAGATACCACGATAATGTATGAAATGGCCGAGGGAGCTTGAGTTCTTACGCCGCCCCTTTCGATAAAACTAGTGCGTTGCAAAAAAGATTAACTAGCGATATAAGGCGGACATGGAGAAATAGACGCTATACATCCTGAGCTTGGTGATGACTGATTTGACCTGCATTGTCCACTGGCTCGAGTTGATGTCTCCAGGATGTCTTCTGAGGCTGGACCGGTCCCAGGCTACGATTCTCATTAGCGGTAGGAAAATGACCTGAGGTCAGTAGGACATGGGTTTCGGTGTCCTCTATCATGACATGGATTATGGGAGGACTTTGAACGTAAAGAAATGCAGTGTTCTACCCCAGTTGCCCTATGTGGAGCGTGGATGTATCTGCTCCAGTATTGATGGTCCTTCCTTCGACATTGCTTTTGATTCCCTGCTATCCTAGGTCATTGAAATGTCACTTACCTATCCACTGAGTAGTTTTGAGGGGTGCTGTCTGGGTTTTTGCGTAAGGGCAGCGTATTCACGATAGCCTTGAAAGGCGGCAGTTATATCCGATAGTGTTTTGGATCTCAAGTCAAAGGGTCCGCGACAAAAAGTGCCAGCGCAAATAATTTACAATAAAAATTTTCAACTCATTCAGCTTCATTCTCCATGTGAGGGATTGTTTTCACGTACGCTAGGAACAGAGCCAGAGCACTCACTCATGCACATGCAATGCCAATCAGAATGGCCATGGGAGTCGTCATGATGAGGAGACTGATGGAGAGGATGAGGAGGACGAAGATTTCTGGACGGCATGCAGTCCAGTGATTTTCGTAGAAACTTACGCTAAGCAGGCCTTTTCCAACATGTTGAACGTACGACGTCGCGTCCTCTTTCAAAACTGGATACTTTGTGTATCCATGGGCTCGGTTCCATATCCCCCGTATCGTTCTTCGGTAGAAGATCTTCGCTTTCGAGCTTCTTGTAAAGGCTTTGTCGAACTGCCGAATAGGCACTGTCAGCACCAATAACAATGTCGCCCTGGTATTGGGAGTTGTCGGCGCAGCTGATCACTACACCGTCTTCGGTCTCCTCGATTGATAGACTTGGAGGGGACTACAGACTGGTAACCCGTCCTTGACACGGATAACCAGGAAGGATACGTGATTAGTGTAAAAACAAATAAAAAGTCTGTTGAGTATATCACCCTGAGATAGACAGACAGGTAGTACGACCCGCAGCGAGCGCTTTCTTAACCTATTAGTGTCCTTACATATCTTTCATACCCCTCATATCGATATTAGCGATATTGCTCCTCTCAATATCATAGGTCCTAAATCGGACATCCCTTAGATATTGCCTGAATTTCTTCGAGGAGACCCAGCTTCTCAAACGCAGGCAAGATGTTCGCAGACATATACAGTGCTGCACCTACATGTCCAATGTAAAGCATAAAAAATGTTAACCGTAGGTAAATATCAAGCGCATGGTTGCACTCTTTGCCAGTTGGCTCATGATGAGCGGTGTGGTGAAGCACTCCGTAGTCTGAATGAACATAAAAGGGCCAAGGGCTACAACTTACCTAAAAGTCCAACTGCCTGTGATCTTTCAAGGATAGTGTAGTTGATTCCTAGCTTTTCTATAAATGGCGCTAGCATCACTCCCGACAGCCCAGCGCCGACGATCAAAACTGAGAGATCCTTGAAAGCTGCCGCTTCCATGATGATACAAGTTTAAGTTACCGAGGAGCTGGTGGAGAGTATGGAAAGGAGAAAATATGGGCGAGAAGATAACGCGGAGGAGAGGTAAGAGAGTTGCGAACTGTGAAGAGAGGCAATTATTTTATGTAGCGCTAAGTTCATTCCTGTGCTTTTCTGATATGTATTTGTACGTATACAGCAGCTTTTATTCGCTCTTCATATGATATGGGCATTTCGGTGGTAGGCTTGTATTCATGGAGACGCAGACTGAGTGGTCTCCCCCTGTCTCTGGTCTTCCAGTTCCTTTTCTCGTCTCCAGGACCGTTTCTGCGGCATTACTGGTCCCTGACCGCGATTTTGGACATAGGGTAGGAAGCAAACTTGAGGGCGGTAGGATGCGGTCTTCAGTAGGTTCTGTCGACGGACTGATTCTGGAAGCCAGACAAACAGGATTTGGCGTAGAAATCTCTCGAACATACCCTGCATGTAACGCATTATCGAGTAGTTGGGCATTTGTGAACGGTGTGTGTGAATGATCTGTCCATATTGCGGGTAATGGTGTTGTTGTAAATGAAAAAAAAAAAAAAAAAAATATCGAAAAAACTTACCTGGTCGCATGTAAGTTTCGCTGCGAGACGACTGCTCTCCACTTGGGCCTTTGCAAAGGGATACCGTTGCTCGTGGTAGACACTGAATGCAGATTTGATGTCCGCCTGTCTCGTCGATTTCAGGTCATACAGGCAGTTGGCCAAGATGACGGCGTCCTGCATCGCATTCATGGCGCCTAGAGAGCGATTAGTCGGTTAGGTTGGCTCATGCTAGACCAATAGGTCGCCATCTGTTCAAGAGCCTCGGGTGCCACGAGTCTACATACCTTGGCCAGCAGCCGGGAGCATCTAGGGTAGGAAGAGTCATGAATAAATCGTTAGCGACAGATAAAACTGTAAGAAAATGCAACCTTGACATTATACAATGCAATGCATTGACTGGATGCTGTACCTTATGGCATGCTGAGTAAACAGGAGTGATGGGAGTGGGAAAAGTAACATTAGTAGTCTACCTTCTATTCAAGCTTCTCCCTATACGATGTCCCTGTAGTTAGTGCTGACGCAGCCACTGCGCCTTACCATCGCCAAGGAGCACCACTCTGCCGTGATGCCATGTCTCGAACAGCTTTTCTTCCAAGAAGACCTTCGAGACGAGCTCCCGAGGGGTTGCGTCGATTATGTCCTTCATTGTTCCTCCAAATGGGCATGGCAGGTTGTAAAACTCTTTCAGCGAGGTCTCGACTGTCTCTGGAGCCCACTCTGAGTTACGAAACGCCAGATCATTGCCTTCTCCATCATTTATGTGCTGCTTGCTAAGGGTCCAGCAAATCCTGTAGCTGTTGACTGTCGTCATGCGGTACTAGAGCCATGCAGAGATGTAGAGTTAAATAACAAAGACGCACCTCTGTGTCAATTTTGAAATACATTGATAGAATTTTGTCGCTTACACTGAGCAGGTCCCTTCCCTTCCAATGACCTGACAAAATTTCGTCGTCCCGTCCTTCAGCAACGGGATTTTCTCAGGATCCATAGGGTTGGTGGTTCCAACTGTACAGACGAATCCGACGTTCATGCTCACCGTGTCACTATTGGGCAACTGACCCTCACTTTGCAGTTTCTTGTAAAGACTTTGTCGAACACCAGAATAGGCACCGTCGGCTCCAACTACGATATCCCCAAAGTACCGCGTACCGTCAGAGCAGTTAATAAGCGCATGGTCCTCAGTCTCTTCGACCGATAGCACCTTCTTGCCCACTGAGTATCTTATGGGGTGGGATCTGCGAAAGCATGAGGTCGTAGAATCGAGCTCGCGGGAAAAAAAGTGGGTGGTAACCGGTCCTAGACGAGAGTGGAGAAGGCTTTAGAGACAAATTACGATAATAAACTAGCACGCGAATGGAATGCTTGATCAGGACGAACATCCTTAGCAAAAATCCTCACATCTCTCTATAGTCATGCATGCCGATATCGGCGATTTTATTCATATTGATATCAAAGAGTTCGGTGATCACGCATGGCTTCGATATTTTCTCAATTTCTTCGAGAAGGCCTATCTATTCAAATACTGACAGGACGTTTGCATTTAGAACCATGACGGACCCTAAAAGGCGAAGACAGTGTAGCATGTGGCGTTCAGAATCTGCTCCAAGGACTAGGCACGCCTCAAACACGGCCGTCTCGGCTGTGGTAATACAAGAGACACAGCGTACCCAGCGGCTTAACAGTTTTAGCCCTCTCAAAGATTGTGTAGCTGATTCCTAATTTCTCAAGCAGCAATCCCAGCATCACTCCGCCTAGTCCAGCACCAACGATAATGACCGACAAATCTTTCAAGTCTGTCGAATCCATAATGATTTAAAAAGGGTCATTGTGTCGAAAAACGTGCGCTTTAACACGAAGGGCGAATAAAGTAGAAGGAAGGAGCGGAAGGCGAAAGTGAGAAAGAAAAGAAATTTGACCACCCGAGAAAAATTGCTGGACACAAATCCGCAAGATCCTGCACGCCCCATGACAGTTTGCAGTTACACAACGAGGAGTGCCCGAGAGGAATGATATGAGATAAAGGATGGATAGGCGACCATAGACTATTGTTGTCCTTGATCATTGAAATTTGATACTATCATGAACATTCCATGTGCAAAAGGTAAGTGTTTGAGTTGCACTACATGATCTGCGACTTCAGCATCAACATCGGGGATACCTCACTTACACTGAGCATGTCTTTGCCCACAGCCTAGACAAATGACGTTGTCCCTTGTTCAAGGGCTGGGTGATTTTCTAGATACAGAGGTGAAGTAGTTCCAACAGTGTTGATGTATTCGACGACCATGCTCTCCATGTCACTCTGTGACAGCAGACCATCCTTCTCCAGTGTCATATAGAGACACTAGCGCATGTGTGAATAGGCGCCGTCGGCCCTACAACGATGTCACTCTTGTTGTCGGAGCAGTTGATGAGGACATGATCGTCGACCTCTTCGATCGACAGGGCCTTCTTTCCCTTAAGAACCTTGTGCGCCAGGAGATGAGATACCAGGAGCTCATAGGGTCGTGCTCGTCCAAAAAAAGATAGGCGGATATCCGGCCCTGCGACAGCAGGGACATAAATGTGTGAAGGACAGAACAGGTATTAGCAGAAAAACTGAGATATGAACGATCGATGGCGCTGCAGACAGCTCGTGTCGAATGCGAAAACAGCGACTTATATCCGCTCATAATCGCGCCATGAGCTTCTCCATTCGGGTATCATATACATCCAAGCTTTCGCACACCTTCGATATCTCTCTGACATTCTGACATCCAGCAGTCTGAGCTGTTCAAACACCGGCAAGATGTTAGCGTTTAGAGACATAACGGACCCTATGCATGGATACCACGCAACTTTGACCTATTTTTCTTTCGGGGTAATAACAGGGACCGGCATCCACATGCATTGGTTCGATAGATATAAACGACACAGAATTGTTGGGAGCCTTTTGCCACAGCAGCACAGCAGTTGAGTTGACTTTTAGCTTTACCCATCTATGTTGGAAGGTTGGAAAGGGTTGGATAGGGATCAGGCTGAGTAAGCGATACGGTGAAGGACAAGGAGAAATAGCATAGTGTTAAAAAAGAAGCAGCTCGAAGGTTCTTAGTACGACTGATGTTTATTAAATCTTAGTGAGGCATGTGTGGTATATGGGCTGCTTATTCCTGCGTCTCTAAACAGTTATCACTCCAGCGATTGGTGCGCCTTGTTCTTTCTCCTTCAGACCTTTCTTAGAGGGCTTTTGTGGCATTACATCGCCTGTGCCACGCCTAGTAATATATGGCAAGAAGCTAGCCTGGGGTCTGTATGCTCCCGATTTGACAAAACCTCTCATTCTGACCCAGTCTGGCAGGTAGTTGAACACAACTTGGCGCATCATCCTCTCGCTCCATTTCTGTAAGCATAGAGATGCTATATTAGCTACCGTCAAAAGCATTTATAGAGGCAAGTCATGAAAGAAAGTAGCGCTTTACCTGGCCAGTCATTAGCTTGGAGACCAACTTGCTATTAATGTACTGGTACTTTGCATGGGGATAACGCTGAGTGCGATAGTCCAGAAACGCTGCTTCAATCGCCTCCTGAGTGGTTGATTCGAGATCATAGATAACATTAGCCAAAACGACCGCGTCCTGCATGGCATTTACGGCACCCTGGCCAGCACTCAGCAGCATCTTGTGGCAAGCATCGCCAGCCAATGCTGTGCGTCCGTAATGCCATGTCTCAAACAACTTTTCCTCGAGATACACCTTCGAGATCAAGTCCTTGGGGGTTGCGTCCATGAGGTCGCCTAAAGTGCCACCGATGGGCACACGGCAGTCTCGGAACAGTGCGAGCGAGCTCTCGATCGATTCCGGGCCCCATTCAGAGTTGCGGAATTGCTGCTCCTTGGACTCAGTCTCGCTTGTGAGCTGCAAACTGGCGCCCCAGCAGATACGGTTGTCAGGGATAGTGAGGGTGCCCCACTATTTGCGTAGCGTCAGATAAAACAAAAGGTTGTCAGCTTTTTTTGGCTGCAAAAGTAAATGAAGCGTATTATTAGGCACTGGAAACGAGGAAAATACTTACGCTCATAAGCTGGCCACCAATGACCTGCGAAAAGTTCACGGTAGATTCCCTCAACGCAGGGTACTTCTCGGGATCTACTGGATCGGTGACGCCAACCGTGGTAACGAATGATGGGGCAAGGCTTTCATTGTCTGATTTTGGCAGTACATTCTTGGCTAACATCTTCTTGTACAATGCCTGCCGCACGCTAGAGTAGGCGCCATCGGCTCCAATGAGAATGTCGCCATGGTACTGAGACCCGTCATTGCAACGGATCATGACACCCAGATGGTTCTGCTCGAGGGCGAGGACTTTTCTGTTCATGAAGACCTTTTCGGCAGGGACACGATCAAACATCACCTCGTAGAGTCGAGGACGCGCAAAGATGAATGTGTCGTATCCGGTGCTATGCAATAGATGGGACAACGATTTTAGCGATTTTAGTGTGTGATTGTAGATTTCAATGATATTAAAGACAGCATGAAAAGGACGTGACAGAGTATACATACAATTCTTTGTATTCCCTCATCGTCATACTGCCAATGTTCTTCATGTTGCCATCATAGAGCTTCTGCTCATAGACTGGTAAGGAGATCCTTTCAATCTCCTCGAGCAAACCGAGCTGCTCGAAGACAGGCAAGATGTTCGCACCAAGCGAAAGCGCGGACCCTTTTACGCATAGCAAATATGAACATTTTAATTAGTCGTCCAATAGCACAGCAACGACACCGTGGAGAGCAAGAGACATGTAGCGCCGAGTATCTTACCCAGTGGCCGAATTTTAGCAGCACGCTCAAAGATTTGGTAAGGAATGTCGGCTTTCTCCAGGAGGAGGGCGAGCATAAGACCCGCGAGACCGGCACCAACGATCAAGACATGGGGTTTACCATTTGGAGTGGCGGGCCGTTTGGAGAGGTCGGGTTGCTCAGTAATGTCTAGTGTCGACATTGGAATGCGGAAGTCAAGGATGAGATGAGGAATGAGATGAGGAATGAGATGGCGAAGAGGGGGACGGACAGAAGTCGAAGAAGAAGGGTGTGAGAAAGCGTTTTTTTTTTTCCAAAAGGTCGCTTCATTTTCCCATAACTTGGTTGATTGTGACCACAATTCAATCGGGGCGAGTTTATATCTGCACCTATGCATTGTACCCTGCTAGTTCATGCGAAGAGCCATGGCTGAGCGCCAACCAGGAACACTTTTGAACTTCATCCATACGGAAGTTAAACATGGTCGTATTATTCGAACGTAATAAACTGCATCCCAAAAGAGGGACCTCATTATTGAGTAGTATACACTCGCCATTCCAAGGTCACTGATTCCTCTCTCATTCTTTCATCGCTCAGTCCCGTTTCTTCTCTTCCTCATTCGCTTACCGGCTCAACAAGTGGGTAATCGATGGAATGCTTGCTGGGGTCGCAAGAGAAACACTTGTTTGTTCACTTTGGATCGATCCGATCCCATATGAATGCAGTGCTGTGCTACCATGAGGCAAAATTGAGCCGCTCTGCGGGCCAGAGCGAGGAGTGAGCCCTAATCTTGTCTTCTCTTGAGAATGGGAACGAGCATGAATAGAACATTCGCCTGATGTTGATCAAGAAACAACCCGTCCTCCTTTTAACACTGACAGAGCAGCAAATAATACACAGCAGAATAGCAATAAACGAACCATAAATGAACTTTGCCTAAACTTCTATTTATTTATGCATGATACGCATCGACCGTGAGGGAGAGGATCGAGTGTCGATTTGCATTATCGGGAGCGCAGGGCGTGCAATGCTCTCATTTTATTTACGAATAGGTGCTTGAAGACATGCCCCTACACTCTCCTTAAAAACAATGTCTTTTAACGCCTCATATCGCCTCAGTGTGCTGTCCGTGAACATTCGCCTTCTGTTCCTGAGCTGCTCGTTTAGAGGGGGTTTGCGGGAGAACAGGTCCTGTTCCCCGATTCTCGATCAGCGGCAAGAACACTGCCTGGGGACGGTACGACGCAGCCTTTGTAAACGATCGCGTGGAAACCCATGTCGGGAGGTGCTGGAATACCAACCAGCGGACTAAGCGGTCAAGCCATTGCTACTCATGTTGTTCGAAATTTAAGAACACATTGAGTGGCAGCTCCCGGGGTTCCATCGCGATGAGAAGAGCATAGCTGCTACTGCATTTGACCCTTCGACATACCTGGCCAGACATGAGCCTTGACATGAACTTGCTGGCAGCAACGTCAGCTTTCGCGCGTGGATAGCGCTGTCCCCGATATGATTGGAAGGCAGCTTCGATATTTTCCTGAGTCGGTACGCCCATGTCGTAGATACAATTTGCCAAGACCGCGGCGTCCTGCATGGCATTCATAGCGCCTATTGTTTTTAATAATCAAATGTGAGGAGTTGGGCTTCGTGGGAACCTGAATCTTGCGGAATCACGCATGGATGACGATGAGCTGGGCTACCTTGGCCACCATGAGGAAGCATCTAAGAAGGAAAAGTGAGCCTGTTAGCGAGATAGTCCAGCATATCTTTGGCCCATCGAAAGCATAAGCAACTCGTTTGTTTACCTTGTGGCACGCTTCAAAGTGGACAAATAAAAAAGTGTTAGTAAATTATTTGCCCTAGAATATCAACCATGAAAACCATTAAGGCTGCTCTATATATGCCTTGCGCCTCCATACCATCGCCGATCAATACTGTCCGTCCATGGCACCAGGTCTCAAAAAGCTTTTCTTCCAAATACACCGTTGAAATGCCCTCTTTGGGCGTTGCGTCAAAGATATCGCCCATAGTGCCTCCCAAATTGCTAGGCGAGTCATAGTAGCGTTTGAGGATTGTCTCGCTGGATTCAGATTCCCACTTCGAGTTACGGAAGTGCTGGTCCTCAGCTTGGGTGCTCGAAGTGAACTGAAGTGACAAGGCCCAGCCAATACGGTTTCCTGGGATTGTAGTGACGCTCCACTGTATTTTATAATGAATATGAGACGCTTATCAGCGCGTGCTTGAGAGTACACTCGAATCCATCACAGCAATGTAAAACAGGAAAAGTCCATTGTCAATTTACCGCTGAGCTGTCATTATCCACGGTTTGAATAAAATGCGTCGCATTATGTTCCAATTCTGGATACCGATCTGTCGGCATTGGTGAGGTGACGCCCACAACGCACAAATATCCTATCGCCATCTTTTCAGTATCGGATTTAGGGAGTTTATGTTCCTTCTCCAGTTCCTGGTACAGGTTCTGGCGGACGCTGCTGTAGGCGCCATCGGCTCCGACAACAATATGACCCCTGTAGGCAGAACTGTCCGAGCAATGGATGACAACATCGTCCATGGTGGTTTCCGTCCGGAGGACTCGCTTCCCGAAGAGGATCTTGTCTGCAGGCACCTTGGAGAGCAGAATCGTGTAGAGGTCAGGTCGGGAAAAGACAATCCCATCATATCCGGTGCTGTTTCGAGGGAGTTTCGCGAATGAGTAATCACGGAGTGCCATTAGCACAATAGCATATGGTACTAAAAATGAGGCAAGTGTTTTTACATTTCTTTGTAGCCCTTGACAGCGATGGTACCCAGATTGACTTTATCTACGTCGAACAACTTGATCTCCTCGTGGATCTTGGAGATGTTCATGACCTCATCGAGTATTCCGAGCTGCTCCACAAGCGACAGAATATTCGCATTGAACGCCAGAACAGAGCCTAGATGAAGGTACGAAAGAATCGATACAAATACGTTGTCGTCAGGTACAGTCATTAAATACGTTTGAGGGTCTTCTCGATTGCAGTTTTGTCAATATGGTGTTGAGGATTCCGTACCAAGGGGCTTAATGGTCGATGCACGCTCGAAGATACGATACGGAATATTGATTTTCTCGAGCAACAGCGCTAGCACCAGCCCGCCGAGTCCTGCACCTACAATAAGCACAGTTAGAGGTTCCGGTGTTGCCTTAGACATCTTGTGCTGAGAAAAAAGTCAATGAGGGGGATTTGGAACGAGTAGGATGAACGATGGGATGAGATGAATGTAATCTGCCAGTTTATCACCAAAGCGGATAAACCCGCGCATGCTTCAAAAACTATGAGGCCTAACCTGTACGACGACCGTACCTGTTTTCTGTGTTTGTTGCACAGGCAATCCTATGAACAAGGCACTTTTTATTGCTCGATCCCATGGGAGTGCTGTTGTTTCCTCAAGAATATAGTTTTTTGTACGCGATGCAGGCATTCTTCAGTACCTTTTCTCGCTCCAGGTCAAAAGCTCCATGTATACCATGTTCGTTAAAAACTATCTCGCTCAACTTTCTTTTTGTGCTCGACCGTGTACACATATCAAATACGACTTTATTTCGAGCGCTACCGTTCGTACTAATAACGGGCGGCTGCCGCTCCTTGCCGCACTCATTCACTCTCTCTGTCCGACCACCTTCCCCCGAGCGCATCTCAGTCTCAAACTCCCCCTCCTTATCTTCTTTATCCTCCATACCCGCTTGTCCCTGACCATGTGGTATCTCGTAGAGCCCGAAACCGAGCCACAGGTACCTCAACCTTTTCAACCTCCTCAAACGATCCACCAGTTGTTGCTCAGCCTCCGTCAGGGGCTCCATCATCACGCCAGCATAACCGTCATCTTCGTACGCTGCGTAAAGCTCTCGACCGGGTGGAACAAATACTCTATCCATATAAGATAAGAACGCCTCTTGGTCCCTAATCGACTCTCCAGAGTTCGAGTAGACATTCGTCGGGTACCAGCCGCAGTAGTCTGCTTGAGCGGGAGAGGTATGATTCCCACATGATGATCATACCGATCTGCGCGTCGTCGTAACGTCTCTTGCGCGATCGGTCGGGCATCCAAGGTCTGCATCACACGCTGAACTCCCCGCCTACTCTTAACGCCCTCAACCAGAATCCAAAGTTCCTCGAGCATAGTAGCACAGTGCCATTGTCTTTCAGACCATGCGTAAGGAAATAAATGACCGTCTGGGAACCTTGCCTGGCGTAGATGTATGCATCGACGCAGAAGCGTGTGTGTCAGTATAATGAGATCGATATCCGTGGATGAGTTGTCGGAACAAACTGACGGCACAGACATGGAGGACGGAGACGCAGGTGATAGGGGCCGGTAACAAGCGTTCAATCGGTTGGAGCCCTGTCCGGATATGTGCTGCTGTAGCCACTGGAATCGAGACAGGCCTGGTGGCGTGTTCAGATCAGCACCAGAGTCCGTGCGAGAGTATTCCGAGTCTGTATTTGAGCCGTTATCCGATGCATTTCCTCCTTGACCCAAGTTGGTTGATCCGTGCATATCGCTCAGACTCCAGTTGTCGTCGGTTACATTAAAGTCGAGCACCTCCAGCGTTGCCTGGTGCAGCCTCAATGCTTTGAGGACCTGTGGTATAAAGTATTCCTGGCCTGCGCGGAACAGTTTCAATCCAGCATTATTTACAGGGCTGTAGTAGTCACTATTGCGAGCCCTAGTGTTCGTCAAGTGCTCCTCGTCGTTATATGGGCTACTCCTGCCTTTACCAGCCATATAATGGGTATCTTGAGTGGATACCCCAGAATCACTTTGATTGCGGGGCCCAAGCGCACGGATCAGCAGCGCCGTATCACCGGCCATGACCTTGGAGTCACGAATACTCAACTTTTTCAGTTTTGGGCAGTATCTGTCGATCTCGTATCTTATCCAGGGAATCACCCGCGTATTGTCGACACCGCTTGTGACCATCCAATGCTCTAATTCTGGAAAGTGAAGAAACAGCGATGGCTCAAGGGCATTGATTGACTTTATCTGCGCATGAGTAGCCAGTTGGGGGCCAGTTAGGACTTTTGGACCAGTTTGTGTCGAGCTGCTTCGCCCGAAAACGATTCCGTTGTATAAATTAGCATTGTTGCCATTCGATCCTACGGCAGAGCTCTGGATTGTTTTTGGTATGCGCAAGATGTTGCAAAACGCCTCGTGTCGACGTTGGCTGAAGAGCGTTGTCAGGGAAATGGCCAGAAATCGGACTCCGCGATGTTGGAATGTCGATAGTCTAGCGGCTGTTCGTCATATCCATATTCGTCGCCTTCGTCAATAAAGGCGCAGTCTCGCAACTGCAGTTTCACCAAATGCGGGGTAGCTTCAAGCATGCGGCAAAGTCGTGTTCGAGAGATTGCCCAAAAGCCGGCGTCAAGGTGTACGAGGCGGCTCGACGGGATATACATCCAGGCTTGAATAAAATTGCGAGGAGGACTTGATAGAGTATGCTGAGGATCGACATGTGTCGGAGCATACCTTGGTCTGAACATTTGTGCAATGTCCAAGAGATACGGCAGCATCCCATTGCACTCGTGTACGCCTGAACTAGTTAAACAAGCCTTACAGCACGGTCCCTGCCACGACAGCTCTTCTAATAACATCCAGTTCCTCTTGATAAGCTCCCTAGATATCAACAGACAGCGTTTGATGGTCATGTCAGGCTCCCTACTAGCATATCTGAAAGGCGTGCTCAGGATCCTCTGCAAGGATATGGCCAGACTGCAAGGCATCTGGCAGCCTTGGGTCACTCCACTCACGGCTCGCATCTTCCAGGAAACTCAGATCTCCTCTGTTTTGATGCCAGCTCATTCTTCTGGAATCAATTGACAGTCTTTCCACTTGGTTGACGCTGCTGTTATTGAATAGCTGCAGCGCGATGGGGCTATCAATCCCTTCAAGCCTACGAACCAGCTCACCGTAGTTCGCGATATCAACCCCAAAGTGGTAAAGCTGCATCCTCTCAAATAGTTCACTCTCTTCTGATTGGACCAACGCGTGGTTGGACATTGCTTCGAGGTAATGCGTCCAAAATGGGTGTGTACTGCTCCGCAATCACTTGGCAGGCGCGATTAACGATCTGTGCCTCAGTGACTTTGAGTTTAGGCAGTTCTAACGCAAATAGCGATAAAGCTGGATCGAATGCAGAGTTATCTTCGTCCAGGATAATCCCAAGTTCTAGCGCCGACGTGTGGATCATGCCTTGGTGCTTCAATATTTTGGCCCACTCAGCGCGCAGACTGTCGACAAGCTGCGAACGCTGTGGGAGAGCAGGCTGCTTCCGATAGCGTAATACCATCATCTTGAGCTTTTCATAGCGCATGCTCTCGGCCCCATACTTGCGCACCTCTTTCAAAAGACAATTCTCAATTCTGAGTAGCCTGGAATGATCTTGGTTCTTCCGTACAGTATATGTTTCATGGTTGAGAATTGACTCGTCGAGCTGGACGCGGTGTTCACCCCAGAGCTCCAGATCCCACTTGTGGTGAGGCTCCAGCACCTGCCTCGGGTATGGGTTCACCAGGGACGTGTAGGTAAACTTCCCCGTCGTCGGTAGTGCTGAAATCATTTCTTGCGTATACGTGATCGTGCGATGGGGATTGTAGTCGAGTGAGTGGTATTTTTCCAAAACCGCATATTCATACCAATTGATGGTATGAAGTTTCTCGATTCCACTTAGGAACTGGAGCCGAGGCCATTCCACATCGGTATCCATTGCCACGTCTGCTACGCCTGTGTTCGGAAGGGTTGTCATGGTCAAATGACTGCTATTGGTGTTGTCGTTGTAATCCATAGCTTAGAAAGAGCAGTGGATGGTAGGTTGTAAAGAAAAGAGGGACCGGCGATAGCTGTGTGTTGAGATGCAAATGAAAGGTGGTGGTGGTCTAGCACGTAGTGAATTCAGTCCCCTATTTATAGGATCCGAAAGCCGGTTCCTTGTCGATACGTCTTCCAAGGACAGCTTACAGTTTTCCCGTTCTTTGGTGAAGAAAAAGGTAGTAAGAAAAGGCAGACTTTCTACATGGAGGCCAGGGCACTTGCAAGCTCATATAGATTTTTTTTAAAGAGAAAGGTGCTCCTTAGACTTTTCTATAAAACCAGGGCGGCTGTAATGACGCGCGGTTCCTTGCTGCTAGTGACCGCGCACCGCAGCATGCGGTGGGCACCAATGTTCCTTCATAGTCCTTGCAAGGAACAACAAATATGGTGATTCGTTCCTACTTTTCAGTCGTTAGCCTACCTACAAGCTCCTTCGTACGCTTGTCAAGAATTACCAGAGTTAAGTTTTTCGGATCCACGGTGAAAAATTTCCTGGCAACAGACTTTACCCAACCACATAGCCCGAAAGAAAACTTTGTATGAAGGAGCCGCAAGCAGTTCAGGGATGTTTTATTAGTAGACGTATGTGAATCGCAAAACGAGATTCAATAGGTCCTTAGTGACAACAGTAGCGCTGGATCAATAGCGCAAGACCCTGTGTTAGCAACGGCTTTGTCATGTATTCGTCCATACCCGCTCGGATGCATTTCTATACAAAGGATCAATAAACACCACAGTGGAACATGTGCTTCCCGTTAGTATGTCTTCAACACCATTTCTTTCAAATTGGTGCGCGTGGCCAGGTCTTCGTGACTTTTGTGTTCTCTTACCTCTTTCGTAGCGAGCTGGATATCCGCACTCAGTCCCACAATCGGGATGCGGATATGGCTCTTTGATGAATCCTCCGACGGACCTATCTCTGTGTCTGCTGCTCCTGCCTCGTTCTTCTGCTTCTGTTCCTCCACCAAGTCTGCTTCCAGCGCTCGAATCTTTTTAGTCGCCGCTAGTCCATCCATGATAGGCATGTGCTGAGGAAAAAGCAAACGAAAATAGTAGCCGAATTCAGTCATTGATTGGTTCATAAAAGGCGTTAATTCTTCACTGAAAATCTAAGGCTAATCCCGCTGGATTTGACGTGTTGCGCAACTTACATGATCAAAAATAGCGATTGTGTAGTGTCCTCGCTTGGCTGCCAGCCATTCATCGACGGCCTCCTGTCCATTACCCGCAATCACCACATTCATGCCGAGCTTTGAAAGTTGCCTACCAGTTCAATAACCGCGGAATAAAATTCTCTGAGTATGAGTGACCTCGTCCCCACCATTAATAACAGCTTTTCACACATAAAAACAGAGCTTACTTCTCCAAGATCTTTTGCGAGACAAAATCGTCTTCTGCAACAAGAACATTGATTCCCTTGCACCTCTTGCGTTGCTCAGGCGTTAGCAACAGCGTCAGCGCATCATTGTTACGGGCCCGCTTCGGAAGATCGCCGTCAGCTACCTTCCTACTTCTCGCCCTGGATGACGAGGACGATGATGAAGACAAGGCTTTTGTCTTGGAAGTCTTAGAAGCCGGTGGTAAGTCTCTATCAGATCCTTCATCACTAGTCCGCCCTCTTCCTGCCAAATCATCCTTGGAGCGTCTACGCTTCAGAGTATCGCGTTGTGGGGATACGGATCTAGAAGGCGATGTGGACTGCGATAACGTGCCGCTTGATGCTGCATATGACGACGGCGAAGATCGTCCTGGATCCTCGAATTGACTATCCTCGGATTCGCCAGGAATCTCCCCCAATTTGGCACATCCAAGCGCTTCAGTACCACCGTTCATCCGATGCTCATGCAGAAGTAGGGCGTTGTACATGATCTGTAGTAGCTTGAGTCGACGCACCGGCTTGATCATTCGGCATACTTGGAACGACGACGACTTGCGCGGGACTGGAGAAGATCCAGGCACATCTGCATAGGTATCTGCCTCTGTCCCTGCTCCGGAAGTCGACTCAACTGTTGCATTCATTTCCTTTCTCTTTGTGAAAGTCGCGGCCAGAAGCGACTGTTTCTTGCGCTTGAACAATTGAGACGGTATCCTGGGCCGCTTTCCTGAGGGTGTACCGGATGCTGGCTTTTTGAGACTTGCTGAAGACTTGGCCCTGATCTTTGACATAAAAGAGGCACTGCGTACCTGTCCCATGGCCTTCTCTGCGAAATCCAGGTCAGAGGACGCACGAATACGTCCGCGCCCTCCAACATCCACTTGCTCAGAATCAGTTTCCTCAGAATTCGCATCCAATCGCTTCTGCGCTGGCGGTAAAATCCATCGCAGAGTCTCAGTTGTCGGAGCGAGGAGCAGGACAAAGGCGATCGATGGCGAAGGATATATGCAATCGAGTTCTGCCGAGTCTAGGACGTGATCAACCAGGATGAAGTCGAATTGTGGGATTGCATCGAGCTTCAAAAGCGGTAACGCTTCAACGCAGCCGCACTTACTCTCGCCTTCCACGCCTTCCTTGTTGCCGATGCCCTTGATAATGCCTTCCATTTGATCCTCTGCGGCCTCTGATATGACAGGATTTTGAACGTGGTCTGAGCAGCAGCTCAGGGGATCGCCAAGAATTCCGATGGCGCCACACTTTACAGCCGAGAACACGTCGTCAAACTCCATGCATATGACGCTAGGTGCAGTGCTCATCACTTGCTGTCGTAGCAGCTTGTTGGGCGACAAGATCAGCACTCTCTTGCCATCGAGCGCAGCCCACCTTGAGGTCAATACCTTCTCGCACTCATAGATCCGAGCGCTTTCTACTGGGTTCAAAGCCCGGTCATGATCTGTCATGGCTCTCAGTTTTGCTGTGAACGTGAAAGTCGATCCTTTGCCCTTCTCGGACTCCACAACGACCTTGCCGTGCATATGTGCAATCAACTGCGCGCAAATCGAGAGTCCTAATCCGGTGCCACCATACTTTCGAGTCGTCCCGTTGTCGGTCTGCTGAAACGACACGAATAGCATCTTTTGCTCATCTGGTGTCATTCCGATTCCTTGATCCGTCACGGAGCAGTGCAGTATCACCTCGTCACCGAGGTGCGAGTCGTTCAACTCTAACTCGACCTTGCTCCGCAACGCCTCCATGCCATTTTTACCCAGATAATCGGTGCCACATTTTCCGGCAAGAATTTCAAGGATCGACTGTGAGGATTTTCCGGAGTTCAGCGTTTCCCGTTTCCGAAGTTCGTGCCAGTACTTGATGACGACATTGCCAGAGGTCGAGAACTTGATGGCGTTACCGATCAGATTCATGAGAATCTGCTTCATTCGATCAGGGTCACCGATAAGTTGAACGGGCAGAGTATCATCGACCAGGATGATGAGCTCAAGACCTTTCTTTGACGCCAATGGAACCAGCAGATCACAAACATCTACCAGAAGAAAGGGGAAAGGGAGGGGGAGGGGGGTTAATACACGTCGGTCGAGTGCAAATGGTGATGCGAGCGAAATGACTGCAAGGCACAGGTGCTCGAACTCGCCTCCAAGAATCTCTTCAAAGCACAGCGGGATGTACTCAAGCGTGACCTTATCTGCCTCCAGCTTGCTGAAGTTCAGCAGATCATCCACGATCCTGATCAGCATCTCACAGGATGCTTTGGCCATATCCACAAACTCGAATTGTTCATGAGACAGCCCGCTCGAATCCCTGAGCAACGAAAGCATTCCTAAGATACCCGAGAATGGCCTGTTGCATAGACGGGGAGAAATAAAATAAAAAAGAGGTATTAAAGACAAGGAGTAAGTTCGCTGCAGCACACAAAGAAATAGCCCAAAAAATATGTGACCGTAGACCTACGTTCGTAATTCATGGCTCATGTTAGCCAGGAAGTTGGACTTCAATTGAACGGCTCGTCGTTGGTCATCAATATCGATAGTGACAGTCAGCCACTGCAAGATCTTGTTTTGATCTGTCGAAGCGTAGATCGGCAGCATACGTACGATGCCCCAGCGGAAAGTGCCATCTTTCAGACCATATCGGCTCTCCCTATTAGCAATAGGTAGTCAACAAGGCAAAGTCCATTTTAATGAGTTAGTTTTTATGGAATAACAGCATCCTGAATCAATCGGTGCAAAAGATGATATGAGTATAATTACCATTGGCACGGTACTCCTGCTAGAACACGCTCTTTCCATGAAAGACCATGTGAGATCAGCTCATCTGGATGGACCAGAACTCTCCACCTGGAGTTCATGATTTCTTTGACTGTAAACCCGGTCATTTCTCTCCATGTTGAGTTGACATACTGGCAGTTTTCGGCCACTGCGTCCCAGAGAGCAATACCGCACGGCATATTCTCAAGCAGTCCATTCAGTTTGGACTCTGACTGAAGCACCGACTGATATAGGAGCGCGTTCGTAATTGAGATCCCCAGTTGCTGCACCAACAAGTTCATCACTAGCATCCGCTTGTTCGCAAATGCCCGCTCTGGGAATTCCTCCATATAAAGCACGCCGACAAGCGCTGCCTTGTGCAGAATAGGCGCGCAAAGGACCGTCTTAAGATCAACTCGCTGCTTCAGGTACTCATCTGCGCAGAATCGAGGATCTTCCTTGGCGTTCGTGAGCAGACATGGCGTAGAAGTGTTGATCACATAGTTGATCACGCTGTGAAACAACGAGCCGCACTTCTCGACCTCCAGCGGCGGATTGACGGGCTCGCACTGACCTAGATCTCCCTGTGAAGCCGCCAGAACCAACTCTTCACCCTTGGATATAATAATACAACATCTTTTCGCACCCACGGACTGGTTCAAGACCCCCAAGGACTTGACGAGGAGCAAGTCCAGATCGATCTCGCTCGCTATCACCTGCATAGCCTCAATCACAGAAGAGAAATCGAGAACATCCAGATCCGCATTATCCGCCTCAGAGGATTGTGGAGAGCTGAGCCAGGTGTTCTGTATCGAATACAACGGTGCTGAGAGGGTCGAGGAAGCCGTTGAAGTGGCCGAGGGACATCCATTCTGAAATGCAGAAGCCATGCTGGACTCTGCCATCGCTGCTGCTGCTGCCGATACTGCATCGCTTCCAAATGCCGTAGGGCTGTAGATAGTCCTGGGACTTCCTGCCCATGGCGACGTGCTATTTGGACCACCTGGTCCTGCTGATGCTGGCCCTGCGAAATTATTATTAGCACCAGAGGTAAGCTGGGAGGTCGACAAGTGGCCGTGGGTGTCGTGAGGTCTGTAAAATAGTCCACGCTTGGCAGCCGCAGGATCTACCTCCGGTGGCGACGGGAACATGTCTGGATAGGTGCGATAAAACCTCTGCACTTTGCCCTTTGCGCCCCACTGTTGATACACCTTGATGGCGTTGCCAAGCAAACATCTCGCGCTCGTCACCATACCGTGGCGCAAATGGCTCTTAGCAGCCAACTCGTACGAAAAGCACTTGTGCAGAGGAAAGTCGCCATCAACTGAGAACTTGATCGCCTTTTCATATAACAAAAACGCCTTCATGTCGGTAGCTCTCTCTCCTCCATTTCTCGCCACGTCGTCGTCCTGGGTCAGTCCCTGGTCCGCGATCTCGGCTTCGAGGAGATAAAACATCGCAGCGTGGTTTGTCGGATATTTGTTTGCCCTTATTTCCATCTGATCATGGATCCTGAACAGTCGGCGCTTGTATTTGCTTCTGACCTCAGGATCCGTTTCGGTCCTAAGGAGATTCACGATCGCCAGTCCAACAACCGTAAATACAGTATGGGCAATCCAGGATCCTTCAAAGTTCATGATCGACTTGGGGTCATCGTGCCAGCTGTCCGTCACTTCCTGAATGAACGCATAGTATCCAAAAATGAAAGCCGCCAAGACCTTGAGCATCTGATAGGTGCTATTGTTATGAACCAGTGCCAGAGCCTTTTTGTCCTTCTTGACCTTGTTCTTGGTTTCGGAGAAATCGACGTCCTCAAAGATTGTCTCGGGGTTCTCAGCCAGGGTTCGCCCCTTCAGACACTTGATCATCTGCAAAATCCCCTGCATGACCTCCACACCATGAGACTTGGAACCGAATTCGATGTGCTTGGTCAAAAGTTCGATAGTCGTTGACATGAGATCGTTCAAGTGAATCCTTCCGACAAGGATTTTCATAACTGAAACGTGAATCATCCCTGCAGTATGGAAGAGCCGATCGCAGGCCAGCTCCACCGCTGCTAGAGTCTCCTCTAGCGCCGGGATCGAGTGCGCAACATGTTCGCCCCACTGTTGGACGACAAGATAGAACAGGAAGCGGACATGATGACTGTTATTGGAAACCTTGCATGCCAATCTATCAGTACGCAAAGGGCGGAACAGATGTTACTCGGCGAAGATCCTCGAATTATCAGACAGAAGGGGACCTGGCAATGTAGGAAACCCCAACTCAACCTAACCTACCTTCCTAGCTCGTAGACATTGTCAAGACGTCCGTACCAGGTGGAGTATGTGAGTGCAAATGTGACCAAGGCTCGACCAGCGTCTTTGGTAATGCCGTGTTTGCAGATCAGCTTTATGGATTGAACAATTCCGCTGGCCATGAACGGGACATTACAATAGTAAAGACTTGAGCTAAGATATTCAAATAAGAACGACAGCGACCGCAATTAATATCAGTGAAAAGCTAAATGAGACCTATACCGCTTTACCCAATGTCGAGTTGCATACCCTGCGACGGAAAGCACTTCCATCATCATGGCAATTCTTGGATCGTTGCACACTTTAGGTGGATCCGCCTCGAGCTCCGACATATGCTCCTTCAGCAACTCGTGCGTCTTGTCAAAAATGACCCTCGTTTCATTTTCCGTGGGATCGAACAGTGTGTCCTCGTCCATCCCGAGTTCAAAAAGACACTGAATCGTAACCGCGGTCGCCTGGGCTGGTAGTGAATATGCCCAAACTGACATCTCAATTTGGTGTTGGTATACGCGAGCCCTGTCGATAGGATCAGTGATTTTGGAGAGCATGGTCTCGCAAATCTTCATTGCCTTGTCAAAATTCTCGCACCAACGCTCTGCCTCGATGCACTGAAGATGTAATCTGAGGGTCTCGTGGTAGAGTGGTGGCTGCTTTGTCAGCAGATTTTGAACACCATCCCTAAGAGTTGCAGGTGAGCCTAGGACACTTTCCGCATCTTCCATGCCGACGTCGTAATCCGGGGTTGTCACTGTTTCTGGAAGTTGATCCCAGCAGTTGTCCGGAAGTAGCTCTAAGGCAGCATTCCAGTACTTTAAGGCCGGTCCCTGCGAACCACTCTTTTGGTTTTTCTCTCCAACACGCGAAAGGATCCTGCGCAGCGCCTTGGTATCCAGTTCCAGTGCCCTGGTCGCATCCGCTTCCGTCATACGTCCTTCTGTGTTCGCCATATTCGAGAAACCGGAATATCGTGCCTCAGCCAGCTTTTTTTTTATCAAGTTGAGGCAGCTGAGAATGTGATGTGCTATTGCGAGCTCCTGACCGGGCTTGGGGAAAAGCATCTTGATCATCTCGAAATGCAGTCTCTCGGTCTGTTCAGGACTCTCCATCAAATTGGCAGCAACTTGGCGCATGATATTATGGTGAAAGCGCAGGTTACCCGATTCCGGAGCGTAGGCTAGAATTCCTTCTCCAATTGCGGACTGTATTCCTGCCATGGTGTTGCATCCTTTGTTACCGTCCAAGTGAGGGTCCGCCCCTGAAGCCGCATCGGCACTTGGACACTTTCCACCCGTCCAGTTGTATACAGCCAAGATCAGCTGCTGAAGGTCCTGGATCGTAAATGATTGTCCGCATATTGACGCACAGACGAGTGCCCTCTTGGTATCACAGTTGAGTGCTTTGAATCTGCTGTTAAGAAACGCAAACTCTTCTCCAGTCAAACCTCGAACGACTGCTGCCAGCTTTTCGGGATTGGACTCCCACTCCCACTCCCTGGCAACGCAGTTGAAATAGATATGTTCTTTCCTGTATAGCTCCAGAGCCAGTTGTCTGATGGTCAGCCATGACTTTTGGTGCAGAACCTTGGCCAAAGACGCCACAGCTGACTTGTCTCGATGCAGCAGAGTCCCAAGGAATTCCTGAACTGTTTCCATTGCAGGGTTTTGGAGCCGAATGAAACGTACACCGCCGCCGCCTCGAACTGCTACTGAGATTCCCGTGCCTCTCAAGGCGGAGCTCTTTGATATAGGCTTTGTCGACGGGCCTCCTTTTGACCACATCTCCTCCATCCATTTATCATGCTGCACCGCTCCGAAGGCGCTGAATCCTGTCGGGTGCCGACCTCCAATGATGTTTCCTCCTCCCAAAATGTGCTTGACCTTCATCAGACAATCGGGTGTATCTCGATGTGTGATAATAAACACAATAGGCAGCCGCTTGTTCACATTCACCAATGTCGCCAATAGATCGATCGAGTTTTCGTCAGCAAACTGGAGGTCGTCAATCAGCCAGGTCATGAAAAAGTGGGTGGAGATGACACGAATCAGCTTCAGAATGAGCGCATGGAATCGAGCGATAGAGTGGGTGAGCGGCACATCCTTGCCCTCGGGCATTTCGGATCCGTTAAAGAAGTATCGGAGTTCCGGTACAAGGTCGCAGATGATACCGATGCCAGAGTTCGGCTCGAACGCTGTCAGAATCGCGACGACCAGTGAAGCGAGTGCATCGGTGTGCTGAGCTAGGAGTTGTTGAAGCACACTTTGGATACAGGAGAGAATTGCCGAATACGGTGCCCGACCCACTGCCTCAAACACCCCTGCCGCAAATAATCCAGAATTCCTTGCAACTGTGGCCATTCCTCGAATGAGCATAGTCCTAGAACATAACAGACCAAAATTAGTTAATTTCAACAGATGCGGAGAAAATAGACGCATAACATAACGAGAAACTGCGTCCATAACATGAACATACTTGCCGACGCCTGAAGGACCACTGACAAAGACTACGCGAACAATGGGATCCGTCTTTTCTGGCCCATGGTGAGCCGACTGCAGTCTATTGAAGGGCTTGGGTGTTCTTAGGAGCGTTTTTGACGACAATGGGATCTTGGCAGACACCTGACTCCTCAACGAAACAATATCGTCCTCAAAGACGTAATAGTCTGCATTGTTTGCAGCTACCATTTTGGATGCCATATCGTCGTCGTCGTCATCGTCAACATCGTCGTCCTGCATGTCACCGTTCAACGATTGTTGGCATGCGCTTGCAGCCTGCGCAATGGCCGCTGAGATCATTTGTTGCTCAGCATGTCGACCGAAGATGGAGTTGGGAAGTACAAACTGGTACGATACATCATGCTGGCCCAATTCGAATGAGTCGATCTAATGAAAAAGGTGTGATAGAGGCAACTAAATTTAGATATCTCTTACTCTCCTCTGTGATCCATCCTTTGATCCTTTGATCGTGAACGTAACTCATTTAGGCTTACCCGGCCAGTCTTGTGCAAAGCGTTCAAGCACCGCAAAATGTCCTGCTTGAATCCGAATGCATTCTGGTATCTTTGGCTTGGTTGCTATATTTGAGGAATATGTTTTTGAGACAATCAATAACTCTGACTTGAGGCCCGTAAAAGCTCCGTCCGTACACAAAAACGATCGTGTTATTACCTTCCGAGTCATTTTACGTAGAATATCATCTATCACAGGGGGCATGTCCGGCCTAAAGATCCTTAATGGCGGAAGTTCTCTGGATAGCACACCTAACGATCGGATGAAAGCTTTAGTCAGCGAAATATCCAGCTCTACAAGCGCCTCACAGGCGCATGCTTATCCGTACCTTGAAGAATCTGTACGCTGTCGGTTCCAGTATTCGGATACTGCATCGTCAACAGCGAAAACAGTGTCGCACCAAGTCCGTATATATCGGTTCGGTGGTCCATCCATGTCTCCGCACGTCCAGTTTGCTCGGGTGCCAGGAACTGCAAATGGTACTCGAGATATCCTGGGATTTGCCATTCCACGATATTATTGGGCGCCCTGGCTCGCTCATGGCTGAGAATCTTGGAGTGCGTGAAATCGAATAAACGCAGTTTTGTGTCGTTGATGTCCATGTTCTCCAGCAGCGAATAAAGGATGTGGGGACCACAAACCGGTTCGGACCTTTCTAACAACACCTCGCCCCTGTTGTCGTCTGCGTTACGTATCATTTCCTCGTCTGAATGCCATGGACCAACATCGGCTTTGGAAGGCATCCAGTGCAGTGCTGTCGGACAGATCGCAAGATGCGCTATTTTCTGTTTGAGGAGCGCCTCGAGAATACACGCCGCTTTCAGAGCAAAGATCAGAAAGGTTCGTACGTCCGGAAATGGCGATCCGTATTTCCTCTTCGCTTGTATCTCGGGGTCGCTCGTGTTGTCCGTGCTCTCCATGCCCATGAACTGATAGTGCGTATGTGATAGTAAATTTGGTCCGAGTCTGCTCAAGATGAGTATTGACATATCCTCGTGCTCCAGGTCGATAAAATCCTCCACGAGGCGATTGAAGTACATTTCCGTCTCTACGCTTCCCGCCTCGTAAACAGCTTTCTTGACGCCAGGTTTCGGTGTGCAGTATTGGTGTGATCGTTCGGTGCCCTTTGATGATGCGACCGCATCTGTCTCCAACGTGCTCTCCTTTTGCTCGATGGAGTCATTGGTCGCGGGCTGTTGGTGCTGGTCGCTGTCTGGAATGTAATGAGCATTGGCGATCTTGAGAGTTTTGAGTATCCGGTATTCATGCTGAAGAAGGATGCGAGACTGATGGAGCTTTCCTGTAACAGGTATGCCGTCCGAGAGCCGCTTGCCCATCATCAAGCCCATGTTTCCAGCCTGAGAGCCTCCTGTGAACTCGTATCCGGGTACGACTGGAGGCACGAATGCTCGGCTGTTTGCGTGTGATGGCGCCTTATACGGATTGTGATAGATTGACTCGTCCTTGATTGGGAGCGGAGGTTGTGCGTTCAAATGAAAAGATCCCAATTGAACCGAGGCTTGTGAAGAATATGGTCCTGCTGTTCTGCCGTGTATCGTCGCGGTATGGTCGGAACCATTGGGTCGAGCGCCTGGATTACCCATGATGGCCCCTGCAGCGAGGGATGACTGCAGTGTCGAATACAAGGTCGCTGGGGTGGGGGTCCGTGCTCTAGCTGGCAATACAATTGAGGGCATGGGTGGGGCAGGAGTGGCCGTGCCTGCGACGCATCCTCTGAGGTCAGGACTACCCGGTGTAATAAGGGCTGTGGTGGGCATTAGGCTGGATGTTGCTGTTGTGGAAATGAAGGAGGGCTGCAGATAGGGTTTGTAGAACCACTGGGCAGAATTGACGGTGTCGAGCCTATCCGTTGCGACGGTGAGGTTCTGGTAAGTCTCCCTGTATTCTAAAGAAAGTCCGATGCCGTGTCTCGAGGCGGAAATGGCGGGGCGAGTTAAGTACGAGGGTATGGTCGAAGTTGGTCTGAAGGACGACTGTTGCAAAGGGTCGTCGTTGTCGTAGCTACTGATGCTGTGGCTGTAGTTGTGATGTGTTGCATCGCTATGGAAGTCGTTGTTGGTGCTAGAAGCAGCGGCGGATGTGGCTTCGAGTTGCTGGTGCTGATGCTCGTTCCTGTGCTGGTTCTTGTCTGAGGGCATTATTTTAGCGGAAGTGTTTCAGAGTGTGCTCTGGAGGACATGGAGAAATGATCGTTAAAGATTTGAGATGATGACCAATTTCCTTCCACCGTTGTTGCTGCCCGAATGAGATTGCTTACAACAGTAAGGATGGTCCTGTGTGATGGACTGATCGCTATAAGACGTGATGGTAGCAACGGCAGGGATGGAAGTGTGATGGAGAGCAAGTCAAATAAGGTGAATAAGGTGGAGTGGTAGGCAAAGTGGAGAGTCTGTTGCTCAGGGATCTTGTCCAGCCATGGTTTGCCAATTGTTTCGTCGCAGTAAAGGCGTTGTGCAACAACCCCCACGCGCATTCAAGTGAGCATGGAGCACGCACAGAGAGCCCATCCCCAGCCTTGGACTATTTCTCCTGCTGGAAAAACTGTATAACATCTGCACTGCGTGGTTTGCATGTTTGGATGCTTGAACTGCACGAGCGCGGCCGTCAGAGCAGAGATAAATAGGCGGGGTCCATCTTTTGTCGCTTGAATCATTTGCGCTACAATGACCAAAAACAAGCACAGCAAATGGTCTTTTGGACTTCAACGCAAAAGATCCAGGTCGGGTACTATTCACCCAACATTTGTTCCTGAAAAATTCACAAGGAGTTGCGGCACTCACTCGTAATACGCAAAGAAAATTATTTAGGCCAGAGTAACGGTCGTCTATCCAACTTGTATTCGTCGTCAACAAATCAAATAGATGTTTTGAATTATGCACAGCCTGTACGTGTCCTCACAAAAAGGAAGGGCCCCTGGGTCTCGCAATAATATCATCACCCTGCCCTGAATTAACGGCATATCGAGGATCAAGCCATGGACACGGATATGGATGGAGTGACTCGCTGGGATAGCATTGCAGAGTCTATCAGCCCAAGCAGAGATTGTAGAAGACGTGTCAGAGCGGCTGTTTCTGAAGGAACGAAGCACACGGACAGGACAGAAAGAAAGAGACTTGCTAGAACAATAATATCTCATAATATTATCGCTAGAGGGAGGGACACCGTAGCAACCCATTCATGCCGCTATGTAAAGCATCAAAGCGATGCTTTTTTTTTTTTTTTTTTTTTTACAATAGATCCATGGAAAACCGCGCCATGGCGTTGTTTTTCGGCGCACATCAATCGAGAAAGAGAAGTTATGGCATAGAATACCGCAATCTTACTGCGGCGCACCGCTCGTTCGTTTGTCACGTAGTTCCCGTGGATAGTCTCTGTGGGAGACACTCTCCGACGGAGTACAAATCAAGGTACTGCCTTTAGTACGCCTGCGCGTCTGGCGTCAATTGATAAATCAAAGTGATGGGGCTGACAAATTATCATCGCGCAGTGCTGTACAAACATGTATTAAGAGTACTCATACAATCGCATACCGTGTTGTATATGCTAGGCCCCTTTCCTTCTTGAATACGGAAATGGGGAAATTAAGTTTCTATCTAGATTAGAAGCGGCGCGTCTGCATGGAGATGTGGACGCACATGGATTATTATAGAAAAAGAATCGCTTAATAATCCTCCTTCAATGTTATTGTCTGTCCCCTTTAATGAATGGACTTCCATGCCATATGGCGCGAGCATGTTCTCCGTCCTCGAGTCTGGAAGAGGGGCACTAACCTTGATTCGATCAAGCATACGGAACTCTAACGAAGCGTGCTGGTCGCCTCCCTGCCCTTGTCTCCAGCGGCTGCGACGATGATTATAATTAATGCCGCTATCGCTCTTGGATCAGAGAGTGTCCCGCCCGACTGCAATCTGTAGACTCCTGATGTCAGGTACAAACTTAGTACTCCCTACAGTCTTGCAGTTCTTCCTATATAGGAGAAAATGGCATGGAAAACCTAAGTGCAGTGATAGCCCCGGATCGTATATAAACTCGGTCTTGCTCTCCCTCATTCTACAGATCCATTGACCCAGTTCACACTCGCTCTTCTCTCCAGTTACTCGCAACAACACAACACACGCACAAAAAGACTCAAGGCCCATCCTCATTTCAGTTACTAAAACAATGGCTCACCCATACCTTGACCCTGCCCAGGCTGCCGCCTTCAACGAGCTCAGCATTGCCCGCGACAGCACCTTTGAAATTTCCTACTTTGGACTCCACGGTTTCGGTGGTATCTCTCGCCTAATCCTCGCCGTCGGCGGCGCCAACTTCAAGAACCACGTCCCCACGGACTGGGCCTCCGAGAAACCTCAAGCTCCCTTCGGCGTACTTCCTCTTCTCAAGGAGAGCTCTAAGGATGGCACCAAGGTCCTCCATGTAGCCGAGACCGACGCGATCGAACGCTATCTCTCCAGGAAGTTCGGTTTCAATGGCGAGAACGCTTTTGAGAAGAACCTTGTGAGCGTTTATTCTTCAAATTCGACATCGCTTTACATGCAGATCTTCCGAAAGCTCTTCGGAGTCAAGGATGAGCAGCAAAAGGCTGAAGCCAAGGAGACGTTGGTCGCGGGACCCTTTATGGATTGGGTCAAGTTTCATGAGAAGTACCTGGCTGCGAACGGATCGAACGGACACTATGTCGGGAACAAGACTACTTTGGCGGACATCAAGACTTACTATGTCGTTGGTATGCTTCAGAGCCTTACTGGGGAGGACCTTGTTTCGGAGAGCAAGACCCCGGCGATCTGGAAAGTCAAGACCGCTCTCGAGGATATCCCCTCGGCTTCTGCTTGGTTCAAGTCCGAGGATTACAAGACCTTTTCTGAGGAGAACAAGCGACTCTCTGGCTTCTAGACTACAAAGACAAACAAAGAGCTATTTACATCATCAACATTAGGTACCTTCACTCGATAGTAACAGCCATTCGCTCATGCACACTTTTTGTCAGTAAAAATCGAGCTCTGTGTATCAAAAAGGCTGAGTACCTGTCCATTGCAAAATGTTTCCTCTTCGAATCTAATGTGTCAGAACCAACCATCGAAGTAAATAAAATTAAATACAGGATATGGAATAGCAATTAACAAGTGGATGACAAGCTTAAGGTGCCAGGGGTGCCGAAAACTGCGGCGCCCTCAGTCTTCTTGATTCAACAAACCACGATTCGGCTCTTGCTATGTCTTTGATGAGTTTTGTCCGCATCTCATAGAGATGATAGAGGCTTGGGGATGAGATGTGTGATAAGTTCTATCGATGCTCGATTAAAGTATTGACACACTCTGGTGCTCGTATCGCGAGCTGATAGATAAATCCGTTCTGTTTCTGTGTATATTAAAGGCGATCGACAACTCGTATCTATGGTGCGACAATATTGCCATGTATTCAACAAACAAGACCGTATTCTTAAACAGCCATCAACTCATGTTGGTCTCGAGCGAAGAACAAACCTGACCCTATGCTGATCTAATTCGTGCATCGAATTTCCTCGCCTTTAGCATAACTGTGTACTGCAAAGGTTCTGAGGCGGCTCTCGATCTCTGTTCTGTTCTAACATAAATCGTTGCGTTTTCGCTCTGGAAGAACCACTCAAGCCTTCTACATCTATAGTATGAAACCCTGCCATAAGTTGCTGACTTGCTTGACGCCGTCAAAGGAGTACGCCTGTGGATTGACTATACATCGTAGAAAGATATAAACTCTAGTTTCGATGCCTAGGTTATTGAAACATCGTATCCTTTTGTAATAAAAGTGTCCCACCCACCTCTTACTGCTTCACAATACTTTTGGCTTTCAGTCGACATAGTCTCTGTCCATGGCAATGGCGATAACTGATCATCGTACAAGGATATACGTTACTAGACATTTTGATGCTCGGTCATTGATTAATGTCGCGTAATAGAGCAACTAACCATCAACGTGATCCATGCATCGGTGCCATGAGGATCCTCGTGGCGTTTCCTGATGTGCGTCTCTATTTAATTGAAACCAACTTGATACATTTGCGTATTCATAGATCTGGTCCATCAAACGCCTTTGCGTTTTGTATCCTTGTCTATCCTCAAGAGGTATCTGCCATGCATAGCCATATCGGGTGCGATACCACTAAATGGTTTCAGACGAATGTCTTACGCTGTGTTTGAGCTTACTACACCACCTTAGTGAACACATTCCACATCTCAATTTAAAGTAATGATAAGCAATCGGCTTGACATGTCCTCTAAACTATCAGCATACGGGCCCCTGGAGACCTTGCGTGTATCAATTCTCGACGAAACCATCCATAATATGAATGAAAGACCCTCTTTAACCGCATGGCATAATCGCGGTCATACTACCATTGACGCCGCAGGTGAAGAACCCAGGGTCTATTCTACTCGGGTACGAATATGGGCATAGAAGAGCATACTTCTGTTACATTTATTCACTTAATCTCCAAGTTAAATGCTATAAGGACTCGAAAGCGCCGGTGGGTGCAGCAGGGCTGCAAGAAACGGAAGCGACGGGGCGACTACGGTTTCCAAAAATTGGTCGAATGACTTGATCTTTCAGCGCGATGGTTGACATGCATGGCTCAGTTGCAAAAAAAAAAAAAAAAAAAAAAAAAGAAGCAGCAACCGCGATCAGATTACGCCCCAGCTCAGTTACAGCGTACGAAAGCTGTCACCAAAGAGAACGACATTCTACGGCCCATCCTCGACTCAATTAGGTATGTGCTTAAACAAGCTTCCCCTTTCCACCGTTATAAGTTCATCCCCTCATGCATGACCCATCGTGAAAATACTATTGTGAGCAGGGAAGAACACAAAAAAAAAAAAAAAAAAACCTTAGAGTACTCTCTCTCAGAATGCTCATCCCAGCTGTGCGAAACCCCAAAAATAGATGCAGAAGAAAATCATTGTCCAGCTTACTATGAAGCCTATTTGCATGACGAAAACGTTGGTATACTTTACTAGCCCCGCCACCACGCGCGCCACGTCTCCTCACTCGAGAGTGGGAAAAAAAAGAGAGAGAGAGAGAAGGAACCATTCCTTTAGGTCTTCGGTCATGCTTTGTCTTCCCATGGTGGTTCCTTCGCTTCTTGGGCACCTCATTCCTGCAAAAAAAAAAAAAAACCATTCCTCAGCCCTCACCACAGATTCACATTCCGTATAGACTACCCTACTTTGCTCGTCTTATCACAAAAAAACCACTTCCGTCCTACCGTACCAGCCCAGCCAGCCAACCAACCAAGCGTTGTCCTTCCATTCCATTGTCCATTTCAAAAAAAATAAAATATGCATAATTGTAGTACAGTACTAGTCTACATTCGCACACCACCCCTTCCCTCTTCCCCTCTCCCCTTCCCGCCTCCTCCTCCTCATCCTTTAGTCTATGCACGCGTGTATACCTGTGTGTTACATCCATGCGCACGTACTCTTGTTCATGTGAGCGCTTAGTTATGCCCTAGGATTCCTCAGGGCTGATCTGGCGGGAATAGATTTCCCTCTTGCTCTTCTACCCCTAACTTTCCTTCTTTGCAGTTTTTCCTTCTCCACTCCCTGTTTTTCCATGCATATTTTTTTTGTTTTTTTTTGCATGGTTCGGCAATGATGGTTGTAGACGAGTGCATGAGTACATGCGAACCAAAACTAAGGATGACAATGCACGGTTGTAGGCGGCTTTCGTGTCTTCATGGGCAAGTAGGACAAAGAGGAAGAAGAGCACAAGGAGGGGGTCGTACAACAGGGACCAGAATGAACACAAAAGCGGAGTTCAGGGAAGAAAGGGGTGGTGCACAAAGGGTGCAGCTTTGTTCTTCGGCAAACAAACATCTCATGCATCGTACTCTCTGCAAGGCGTGTAGACTATTGCAGAACATACTGTCGCAATGTTTATTAGGTATTAGCGAGCGAGAACTATGTAAATAAGAAAACGAGAAAGTAAAAAGTAGGGATTATGACGACATAAATGTAGGGAGAGCAAGGTCCGAAATCGAACAGAGGGAGTAAGAATACAACGTTGACCAAATTATGCTAACAACAGACAACCTGAGGAAGAGCGAGATCGGGGCAGGGCCAGCGCCTCGACTCTGGAAGAAAATGAAAAACTTATACGCAGTAACAGGGCACTGACTATCTACATTAGGAAGACTAAACATGAAAGATAAAAAGCAAAAGACAAAGACTAATAGCGTATAATAATGTATAAAGAGCAATAAGCGAAGAAACAGTTCCAAATCTATACAAATAATACACGGATAATGAAAGACAGAAAACGAAATAAAGCAGGGGACAAAGATCTTAGTGTTTTTACATATTGGGCATGCTCACACCAGCGATCCATGGATGCTTAGCCACGTCCTGGATTGTTGCGCGGCGCTCTGGAGCCTTGGCCAGCATCCAGTTCAGTAGATGGAGGCACTCGCTAGAGGACTGCACGCGTGGCTGGATATAAGGGCCCGAGATGGCCTGAATGGGATCGTTGAAGGGAACCTCGCCATAGAGAATTGTGTACAGCAGGATGCCGAGGGACCAAATCTCTGCTGACTCGGCACGGTACTTCGCGCCCTTGAGGATCTCCGGTGATGCATCTTCAAGCAAAAATAAATACATGTTAGGATCCAAAATAATAAAATTAGACGGACTAATACTGAAGCAATTGAATGTTGCAGTAACTTACAATTGATGGTACCGTAGAACCGATCAAAGAGCTTGCCTTGAGGAGGGATAATCACTGCGGAACCGAAATCGATGAGCTTGACAACAAAATCGTTGTCAATTACAATGTTCTCATCCTTGATATCCCTATGGCAGATCCCCCGGGAGTTCAGGTAGTACACACAATCAACAATCTGCTTGAAGATCGAACGGGCTTGGGCCTCTGAGAACTTGGAATGGTGCTCGATGCACTCAAAGAGGTCGCACGACGTCCTGCGGACCAACAGTGCCGGCTTGGGCGGCTCTTCGACTTCTTCTGCCAACTGGTTCAAACTAGAGGAGCTGCTAGATGCTGAGGATTGGAACGATGCGGTTCCTGAGCTGGTCGAAGAAGCTGATCCGCCGCCGTTCTCGGCAGCCGCGTTGCGTTGATTCATTGTCGCCTTGGCAATGGCCTCCATCATTGAGCTCGGACCATCGCTCTTGCTCAACAGGGGGTTACTGGCTGACCAGGGTGTTCCGTGCAACTCCATCACCAGGTAGAAGTACTTGAAATCCTGGTACGATCCCAAGAACTTGATGATGTTTGGATGGCTGACGTTCCTGAGCGCATAGATCTCCATGGGGACCACACCGAGTTCTGGGTCCTTAGCCCAGCCATGAACTGGCACCTTCTCTCGAAAAATAAACTTGACAGCGACCTCCTTCTTGTCCGAGTTGCGCGTCGCAGAGACCACGAATCCGAACCCGCCGGATCCCAGCTCGTCTCCAAGCGTGTACTCTGCGACAAACTCGGACGCTAAGGGATGGTGCTGCAGATACCGTGCAGAGACCGTCAAATTGCTATCGTCCACTGACGACTGTTGTTTTGCACTCTCGTTCATCAGCGGCTTTGGAGGCGGTGTAATCGGGCCTTGGACGGTGGGGTCGAATGTGGCGTCTAGGATAGCGGTCATGGTGTGAGTACTTGGTATTTGTTGGATGCCGAAGATATTGGTTCTTGTCCTAGGGTGTTTTTATGAAGAATGGTGATACACAAAATAGTGGGTCGAGGAAAGTAACGAGATTGAGATTGAGGTTGGGATTGAGAACGAGAAGTGTAGTGATGGTTGAGGTGAATCGGGATGGGACGCGTGGTTGGTCTGTGCGGATGTCTAAAGTGTGAAGAGTGGGCGTTGATTAGATATTAAGTATTAGTAATTAGAGTATTAGGTGTATAGGGGAAGAGGATGGTTTTCTATGGAGGTGAAGATCGAAAAAGAAGGATGGGGGGAGAGGGGTGAGAGGGTATAAATAAGAAAAGGAAAGCAATCGTTGCGGTCCTGTATAGCGAGCGGGGTAAGACAAGTCAAGTTCGAAATGCCAAGGGGCAATGCTCAATGTGTGTTTTGCTTGCATGTAACAAAACAAACGTTTAAAAAAAAATACATGCGTCCCGATCTGACCGAGAATGTGCCATGGCGATACAGAGTGCGCGGAAGAAAGAGAAGGAAGGGTATGGAGGGAAAAAGACAGAGGAAAGATCGCACTCTGCACATACAATGATTGAATTGGATTGCATGAAAAATAAATAAAAAAAAATAAAAATACAGCTGGCTAGCATGCCATGCATGGTACAGCACAAGCTGATGTGGTTCGTTGGAAGTTGCACGGCTTTTCCGGACAATGCAACCTCCCTAGTCCTATTCGCGCAAACAAACACAACCATGATGCCGACTAATTTTTTTTTTTTTTTTTCCTTCTATGTACACATACTGCAGACGAGAAGAGCAGGAGAAAAAACCGAGCGGTCTTAACGTTGTTAATAGAGTCATGTTTTAAAAAAAGCATTCAGAGAGCTCTTCGTGTCAGTGGTCCAAAATAAGACTACGATACGCGTCTCTGAAGAGCAAAAGCAATAAAACGGACCAAGCTCAATGTTCCAACCAGTCATCGCGAAATACCCGTACAATACCCAACAGAGAAAAATACATGAGGCACCGTATGCAAGGGGGTGCGGCGTGGGGCAATACACAGGGGCATGACTACGGGCTTCCCGATACATTATGCGTATGCCGAGATGACCAAAGGTGGGGGATACCACCGCATCCCTTGGATGGCACCAACAACATAGGAACAAGGTACCGTGCCAGACAGTTGCACTTCGAATATCTGCTTACCGTTAGTTTTCGCGGAACAGGCGTCGATTCAGTCGAGTGGGGTACAATGGTTGGCTGGGAGCGACAGGCGGTCAGACTAAGCGAGCGAGGAAGGCGATTTGGGGATGAAAAAGGGAGGCGGACAATGGATCGGGAAAAAAATAGAAGGAAAAAAAGGGAGCAAGGACATGCAGAGAAATGGTGGCGCAAAGAAGTTTAGGATGGGTTCACACAGGTTTTAATTATTTAGAGACACTGCTAGGAAGACAGGGCAGCGGAAACGAGTGGGAGAGGCAAGAGAAGATGTTTGGGAAGCTACAGGAAAGGGCGCCGGAGAGGAGGACAAGGAAGGTGGTAATGCAAAAGAGCGTATGAGATGAGCGCGGAGGGGGAGCGTGATCGGAGGGTATGATGGTATCGCGAGGAAGACGAATTGCGTGTGTGGTAAAGTGGAGGACGAAGAAGATGAAGATGAAGAAAAAGATGAAGAGGAGGATGACGATGACGAGGATGATGCAGACGAGGATGGTGAAGAGAAAGACGGATGTAGGTCACGCGCCTCTCGGGGGTGCTGTCGAGGAAGGTGAAGAGAAGTAAAGCGAGGGAGGAAGGAAGTAAAGGGAGGAAGTAAAGGCAATGACAAAGACGTGGTGCACACAGAAGAGACCGTCAAAGTAGGAAAGAAAGTGTCGACGGACCCTTCTTTATATCCGAGGATGCACTGTGATGCTGCATTCAGTTGTGTGGTCTGTGTGTTGCCAAACTGCTGCTTGTTTGCATCCGCTCGGTGGAAGAGAGAGCATGTGGAGACCAGTCAGTCAGTCGGTCAGTCCCTTGCGGGCTGTTACTAACTCACGTCAGATTCCCCATGCATCTCTAACAGAACCAGCACCTCCTTGAGGGTGTATCTGCTAAACTTGGATCCCTGACCCAATATTCACCTTCAGGAACGAAACGAGTGTAGTCATCGTGATATAGAGCACAAAGACCATCCAAAACCGCCATGGATCAGCTTCCCTTGTTTCTTCTCACAATCTCACCTTTATCATACGTCCTAAGGATATAAGTAATCGTAGAAAAGGTGGCCTCTTCGCTACCTTTTTTCATATCCTCCCTGGATACTGCAGTATATCATATTGTGAAGGAGGATCCATTTTGAGAGCCGGATACCACTGAGCCGAAGGGGAAACAAATAGAAAGTTGTTTCCCAAGTGAACGTTTTACATGTAGGGAGCTGACAAGGAGCGGGTTACTCTTTGCTACGTACATGTAAATAGTGCTCCAAAGGGCCAGTCAATCTGCTCCCATTTTCCCGCCGAGGAAGAAGTAACAAGTTCCCTGGGATGAAATTGTGGTGGAACAGGTGCGAGGAGTGTGAATTGGGCGAATGCAAAGGATTGGACGGGAGGGGAAGGGCCGTGCAATGTCACAAAAGAAAATAGGGAGGTGCTTTTCGGTACCTGACAATGCAAAGCGTAAGCGCGGTGGAGGTGAATACTGCCTTCCGAGTCGATTCTCAGCAACTCGAAGGAGGAAACGAAAAAACTCGAGACATTATTGCGAACGATCGTAGACATTTGTAAGATTCAAAGCAAGCTGGAAGAGACATCCATGGCTACCGATGAACCAGCCAAGTGAGTCTCTAACATTGAGAGCGTCTGCTTCCTAAAATCATATCCTTCTATTTCCCCAACTCTGCAAATCGTCACTGTTCTCGATGCCCCCTGCTCACTAGATATTCTGACACTTCTACTTCCTCTTCTGTCTATTTTCTAACCGCTGATGACCATGACAAGATCTCGCAATAAATAGCGTTCTTTACTGGCAAGTGGAGCTGGAAAAGTATTTACGGACCCATCCATTTGAGGATATGACGGAGTAGAGGATTAAATTCATGCAATGAGACCTCCCCCCACAAGAACTTAACTATCCTACACCCAACGACCGCTTATCTCTGGGCTTGCTTTACGTGAAACAACGAGAACAGTAATGTCGATGAAGCGGGTAAAGGTGTTCCTGCGGTCGAATTACCTTATGTCCTCATCCCCACCCTATTTCTTCAACCCCGTTTCCTACTTCCTTCTCCGTGTTTCGTGACCCATTCGCATTTTTTTTTTTTTTTTTTTGTTGAGGCTCTTCTAGCTTGTAGTATATTTTTAGTAAAAAAAAAAAAAACGCGTTTCCTCCGTTTTACTCTTCCGGGGACCAAAATCGAGTCCAATTTATATGCAGCAACCTCAAGAACAGAACACCGCGTCGTACACTGGTGAAGCTATCCTGTTCTCGTATGCCGTTTCAATTCATCTTTACGCAAAAAAAAAAAAAAAAAAAAAAAAAACGCGCATAATGCGCGGCACAGACACTTGCTCAACCCCACACAGACCAAGTTAAGCGAAACTCCACATGAACCTTCATTATGCAAAATAGGACGAGCAAGGGACCCAAACAACGCGTCCAGAACGTCCCAGGGACCCTTTTTTTTTTTTTTAATTCGCATGAGTTTTTCCTGCCAGCAATCATCTCCAGACACGACGCGATACGTACCGTTATCTCGAACTATTTGAGCCGTTATTAAACATTATTTTATTTTACACAAGAAGAAGAAAAAAAGGGATATTTTCTAGATCGACGACACCAACAAAGACACGACCAGCCCCAAGACCACTGTCCGAAGATGACTCGACTCCAACATATGTCTCCATCCGGATCCTGCAGTTCCCTTGGCATTCAGTCCAATACCCCCAGGCGCATTATCGACCTTGGTCGCGAACCCAATCTGCTTCTTGCCATAGTCGTACACCACATACTGGTTCTTGATGAACAAATCTCCCAACAAGATACCCTAATAATACACGAAGCAGGAAAAGAAAATAGATAAAGAAAGGTATAAGAAAAAAAAAAAGGCGTAAAATCGTTAGAAGCTGTGCCATTTGCCATAAATCACATTACAGAAAACATCCTTGTTGGAAATGCCGAAAAAATGAAAAGAAAAAGAAAAAGAAAAAGAACTTACAGATTGCGATCCATGTCCCGCCAGTTCCTGCCAGGAATCGATCGCGCTCAGACAATACCCATTATACTCCGATTTCAAAATCACTATATCCGAGATCGGCACACTAAACTTCTGTCCACCCAACACAAACGTCAGATCCCCCACGCTTCTCGAGTTCGCCAGTGCGCATGGGATCAACCATCCCAGCTTATTGTCGTACTGCGAATTCGGAATCGCTCGATGGAACGCCGTCGCCAGATAATCCGGGAACAAGATATAGGACGATCCCGTGTCCACGATCGCGGACGAGGCTGAATTCGATAGCGAGAGCTCCTTCCGGCCGATGAAGAGTTGGTCCACTGAAATCTGCCATTCCTTCGAGGAGGTCACGGGGACGTAGGTGATCGAGCCCGTGTACAGAGATGGGTCCACGCCCCCAAAGATGAACTCGCCCCCGTCCGAGAGACTCGCGTCCTGGTTCGAGGCCTTGTTCAGCCAGACCGAGACAATCGCTTGGTCGATCTGGTTCTGCTGCAACATGTTCGTTACCGGCGTCTTCACATCTAATCGACGATGGCAAGAGCGCGTATGCGTGTCGGTTAGTGTGAGTTGAACTTAAAATTAGCAGGTCTTTCAAGACAAAGAAACCGTAGATGGGAGTTTGAGCAGGGCAATCGCCACAAAAAAGAAAAAAAAAGAAACGTACTGCCCATTTCCGAGTTCGAATCAAAGCCCAATCCCATGATACCGTCCACGCCTGTGGCCGCTGTCGATCCTGTGTTGACGGATGCCAATCCAAACGTCTGGCTGCTGACCGTGATACCCGCCACTGTAATGTCGTCTATGCCGAGCACGCCCGAGACCCACGAGTTGTCCGCATAGTTGATCGACCACGGCTGTCCGTTCTGTATAAAAGAGCTATGTGTTATTATATACGTTTGAGGGTCAATAGTTAAAAAAAGAGAGGTGTTAGTCAGTCTCCGACTAGGTGCTTGATTTCGGGATGACATGAATGTGGTGGATACCACAGTTCCACAACAGAAACAAAAAAAAAAAAAAAAAAAAAAAAAAAAAAGCGTCTCCCGTCGGTGGATTATCCGACCACTACACTTTCCTTGGCTGTGTGTGTGTCCGAATGAATGTTTTTATTTCGCACATCTGTTTGGTCGATAATTGCTCTCAAAAAATAATCCATAATCTGGCGTATCTCTCTGACGCCCAATCCAAAAGTTTGCGCTGTCCATGTTGATAGCCATTCTATGGGTCCTTGCAATTGTATTGTCCAGTTCATCGTTTTCCTCGGTGGATGTTATGCTCGCTTCCTCTTTTCTTTACTTTACTTTGCTTTTTTTTTTTTTTCTTTTTTTTTTTGAAGGGGGGGAGGAGGAGGCTGCTTCTATTATTTTGTTCCTGTTCCTTGTTCCTGTTCCTGTTCCTGCATCGATTGCATATCTGAAAATTTAATCAAACAACAGACAAAAGAATATATAAAAAAAAGAGGGACAAGAGGATGGGAGAGGAATAGGGTTCCTACCTTGACCTTGAAGGATTGAAGCGTCGAAGGGTCATACATATCGTCGATTGACAGCTCGTCGATGAGACCCAGAGGTCACTGCTACCGGTATCAAACACCACCGAGAACTCCTGTGCTGGGGACCCAACAAGCATGGCAGCAACCCATTGGGTATCGAGCGAGTTCCCCCTCACTGGAGCTACTCCCACAAACGCTCGCTTCTGCAATCTCTGAAGTGACTCTAGCTCCTGCTCAATCCGGTCCAGATTCGAGATAGCGTTGGTATTAAAGTCCGAAGATTCATCCGCTAGGAATTCTCGCTTCTCGAATGATGATGTTGATGCTTCAGAAAGGCTATTGTTGCTGTTATATTGCTCGAATGCCTCTTGAGTCGCCGTCGGGGGTGGAGCAGTCGATGCTATTGTTGCTGCTGATACTGTCGCTGCTGAGGATACTGTTGTTGTTGATGATGATGATGACGATGATGAGGATGATGAGGATGAAGATGAAGAGGGAGTATTGTCGTGCATACTATTGAGGACGTGGAGCTTTGACATAAACGCAACCCTAGAGTCGTGGTGTGCGCGTAGTTCCCGCGAAGGCCTTGGATTAGACCCAGGCCATTGTTGGACAGAAATTCTAATTTTAACAAAGAAAGCGACATCGCAAAAGGACCAAATACAAATAAAAACCGGTTAGGTTTAGACCAGACGAAAATGTGCGTATCGATTGATATGTCAGGGATCGACTCTACAGGGCACTGCATGAGGGGGCTATTCTATTTACCTATGTAGTTTGGCAGTTGCTGCAATAGGGAGCAGCACCATGATGAGGAGCATGCAGTAGCATTGACAGCAGCTAGATCGCTTCATGATGGTGAGAGATTATGTTGTAGAGTAGGTAGATGGAGAGGGTTGTATGCAAAGTAGGAGGAAATGGTGTGAAATCGACGTGTGAATCAAAAGTGTAGGGGGAGTTGAGTACGGGGGCGAGATGATGATGCGAGATTAAGGATGGGTGCAGCTGGTTGTGCTGATGGATATAATTAATGTCGGGTATGAATGTTTCTAGTTGCCAATGGCTCGATAAAGGTGACGAAAAGGCAGGGGGGGAGAGGTGCGAAAGGTGCTTCGTGTATGCAAGTGCGGATGTGCGTGTGCGTGTGCGTGTGTGTGTGCATGCAAAAAAAAAAAAAAAAAAAAAAGGCGGATGGAGATGGAGAGAGTGGTCGAAGGGCGTTGCGGAGACAGCAACAACACACACCGAACAATGAGACGATCAAAAAAAAAGAGGAACGGAAGAAAGATGAAGAGCGGAGCCGTTACTTTGCCGACGGTCGTTGCGGCTCTTTTCCCTTACCCTCATCCTTCCTCTGGAATTGCGCGCACGCACAAAAAATCTTCCTTTTCGTAATCTCAATCAATCGGCGATTTCTGCGAGGATTGGCCTCGGCTGTAAACTCTACAGCCCCCTTCATGGTACCTCAAACTATAAAAAAAAAACAAGTTGGCGGGACTTACGTCTTCTTGATCGAACGGCTTTAGTTCATCCTATTATTATTTACTACACCCAGGATAGTACAAGATGGGCTTCTCGAATAGGAAAAGTGCGCTGCAGGTGGCTCAAGGTGCAGTGTAAGGAACAAGGAACAGAAACGCTGGAAATCTGGGTAACAAGTCTAGGACCGCACTGTCAACCCCCAAAAGACAGCCCAAAGGGACAATTCGTTGCATATCGCCAAGTATAACATCCTCTAAAACAAAGAACGTCCGCATCTTAAAGCCCTGTCTCTTCAGGCCGCCAAGGCATTGAAATGAAACCATGCATGACTGTGTGCTATGTGAATGCATCGGCAGTGTTACTGAACGCACATGCGACCTCAATCCTAAAGCGCGATGGAGAAGGTACGTGTTGACTACTACGGTCTTTATTGCACAAATACACGCTGAAAATAAGGCAATGCCTCATAGTTCAAGTAATAAATAGGGTAGATACTGCCTGTTCTCAAAGACGAAAGCCCAGGAAGGAGATCAAAAATAAACACGTCGAGTTCGCTTAGAACTACTTATCGCCCTTATAATAACCGAGCTCAACAGCAAAACCAAGGGCCAGCTTGGCGAACTGCTTCATATGATCGAAGCTGATGTGGGAGACATCATCGTTAGCAGTGTGAATGTAAGGGCCTAAGTATTCGATAGAGGATACAGTAAAGCTCTGTTAGCGATCACAATTCATCAAACGCTAGGCGATCTTGATGTGGATTTAAGATGAGATACATACTGCTGTCGGAGAAGTCGCCCTCGATGGCAAAGGCGGAGCGGTAACCAGCCTTAGCCCAAGAAGCGTGATCGGAGCCTACGATCAAGAACAAAGAGGGGTGGAGTAAAGGCGCGGTCAGCAAATCATCAGCAAGGCGAATAAGCAGCCAACGGCTCTTTTTCTCAATGCGAAGAGGGGTCCTTACAGGCATAACCGCACTTGGTCTCACGGACAGGGATATCGCCGTACTCCCTAGCATAGACCTATAGGACAAAAATACGGGCTATTGTTAGTAACTGGTTTCCAGAGTCCTCCATGTCTCCATCCATCCATCAGCAGGGTTTATATACGTACGCGAACCAACTCGGTCAAATCTTCATCAACATAGTCGACAACAATACCATATGACTCTGCAAACTTGGTGCCAACGTATCCAGTCATATCGTTCTACAGTACGAGAAACCATACAACAACAATTAAAATCTCGGACAAAAAGCACTCTGTTGATAAAACAGCAATAGTCATATGCAAAAGCGTGAGATACCTGGATCATAGCAATGACATCAACTCCCTTCTTCTCATAGCTCTTTGCAACAGCCTGGGATCCCAAAAGACCGGCCTCCTCAGCCGAGTACCAGTGGAACTCCACGGGACGATGGGGACGGAATCCAGTGTTGACGAGGGCGCGGAAGACCTCCAAGATCGTGACGGTACCGGAGCCATCATCATCAGCGCCAGGAGAGCGCAACTGGGGCAACCACATGTTGACAGAGTCCTGGTGGGCACCCACAATCACTGGCTCGTTCGTCAGCGACTCGTTCTTGCCCTCGAAGCGAGCTATTAACATGAACAAAAGTACATCTCGCATTAGGGCCCCATAACTCTTCCTTTGCAGAATTACTCAAAGCGCCTCCTTCTAGTGTCTAGACGTTACCAATGATAGAGAACTGCTTCCAGTTGTCGTGCTCGAACTTGCGGATGCTGACATCCGATTCTGCGTCGGTCTCCTCGATGAGATCGCTGATCTGCTTGTAGAGCCATTGAGCGGACTGGTGGCCGGTCTCGCTCTTGTAGTAGCGGGTGTGGAACTTTGTAAATTCGGTCAGGGCGACTTCCATGTTGGCTGTCGACAGCTGGTCAACGTAGCGAGCGACCTTGTTCTGGTGAACAGCAGCCGATGGGAGGGCTAAACAACGATAGCAGAACGAGCAACAGAAGAAAAAAGCGTCAACGGTAAGCTCGTCTGTTTTTCTCACGCATACACGTTCAGTTTGCTCCTTGACGCAAGCAAGCGAGCAAAAGAGCTCCTGCGACGTTCATCAATTGCCAACTGCCGACGGTGGCACACTTACGCTTCTTGCCAAGGGACTTGGCACGGTAGGTGCCAAGGTCAGTGTTATCGGTGATGTCCATGTAGTGGATGTTGCTACGGAGCATCTCCATGCGCTCCTTCTCCGAGGTATAGAAGGGGGCCTCGTTCTCCGCGACCTGGACAAGACGCATGTCGTCGTCAGCGACAATCACGGACTCGTGCTTCTTGATGGTCCATTGCTCCCACCAGGAGGGGGCAGCGACGGCAACTGAGGCCAAGGAGATCAGGAGAAGGGATTGCAGTTTCATTTGGATGGGAGTAAAGGGAACGCGTACTTGTAAGGTGATGGAAGAGGTGGAATGAGGAATGGATGCAAAAGAGATTAAGGGAGCACACCCATGGACCTATATACTGAGCCCTCATGGGAAATGGGCCGCATACGCAACAGGGCTTCCATCTCCCTCACCACGGAGACACGCACAGGAAATGACGACGCCATTCCTGTCCTCCCCCTCCCTCCCTAACCTGCCGGCATACCAGGAGCAAATCCCGGATTGAGTCGCCCATTGCCTACTGGCTAGCCCAGCCACACCCCCACTGTAAGGCCCCCCGGTCGACCGGCATCCACGCTTGGCGGGACCCAGGTGGTATCTTCAGCAACCAGTGTGCACCCGCAGCCATCAGGGGCCATCCGCATGACTTGGAGCAGCGCCTGGAATAGATTTTGGCTTCCATCGTTTCCTTTTTTGGTCGCGACTATCGAAAAAGCAAACGCGCTCTAATAAAAACAAACGCGCGCTAATAAAACCAACGCGACCCCCATACATCCATCCATTCTTACACCCGTAGGAAAAAAAATACGCTCGGAGTATCGTCTTTTGGTCAACTTGATTTGTTTTCTTTCCTGGGTATCTACATAGTGTACATAGTGCCGTCAAGTCTATCAGAACAGATACTTTCTGATCACACTCGCTTTTCGCTACGCAGCGGCGGCGGCGGCAACAACTCCCGGTCCAGCTCCTCTAGATCCAGCTCGATCGCCTGCATAGACTACGAAGGAGTCATACCCATCCAGAGACTGGCCAACGACATCGACTCTGGGGCCACCCCGCGTTTCTTCGGATCCACAGGGATAGGGCCAAATACGCTTTCATCCGCCAGCTGAACGAGTGATGTCAAAGTCGACAGCGCTGGCGTGGTATCTCCAATCGTACTGATGCTGCTAGTTGTAATGGAGTGCTGCAAAGAAGAGGTCGGGTAATGCTGGTGCTGCTGAAGATGCTGCAGTTGGTGCCGTACATTCAGCGGCAGTGTCGAAAGGCCAGTGACCCCGGACGTAGAAACCGTCCCGAACGTTCCGGTGGATGATGCAAACGAAGCTGTTTCCGCATGCGTTGGGGAAGATGCGCTAAGAGCTGACACCGCTGCCAGACCCCGACCGTTCTTAGTTGTAAAAGATAACTGTCTTCTGTGAATAGTTGGGGAAGATGATTGAGAACGATGGTGCTGGTGATGCGTTGGAGGAAGCTGCGACGACGACATCGAGCACTCGCCCCCTGCCAAGGCCGATATCGGAGGCGGTGTTCCTGTGAAGTAATGATTCTGGTAGCCCTGTGGTTCTTGTGGGCTTCCTTCTCCGCCATGGGCAGTGTATACTCCAGTAGGACTGAGCGGTTCTCCCGGCTTGTAAGCTATCGGAACATTGGTAACCCAGGCACCACTGGCGCCCTCATGCGTCGACTGTCTTCGCGAATGGTCTGGCGTAATGATACAGCTGCTCGGTGCCGGTGAAGCAGATCTAGACGATACCCAGGAGCCCGCAGAACTCGCCCTTCCATGTTCTCCAAACAGCGTCGAGTGCCTCATCATCCTGTTGGGCTCCTCCCACTCGGACGGCAATCCTGTGCAAGACCCACAACGCGGATGGCAACGAAGGTATCCCTTATCATGTACCTGTCTAGGCGATGCCGGTAGAACGAGGCTGCTATCCATAGAGCTCCTACGCAGGAACTTGAATGGGTTCAAATCCCCAAACACTTGGTCTATCCTGGCGCCTCCTACAGCCCATCGAGGGCGTCGTTCACCCTCTATTGGTGCGGATGACGCTGACCTTGGTCCCCCAAGTCCTGACACTCTGTCCTGAAGATGTTTGGGCTTGATAGGGAAAGGCGAATCCGTGTACTGTGCACGGAACTCGCTCGGCGACATTGGTCGTGGTCCCGCAGCCGAGAGCCATGCAGACATGGGGACTCTTCTCGTCTCTGACCGACCTCTCGTCACAAAGGCCGTGTCGATCTTTGGCAGCGTTTGTCGGTGAGCATCTACAGTGGAACTTCGACCTTCCCGTCCCCGATCAACACTGGCGCGCCTTTCACGGAGGTCAAAGGCTTTGTAGGTCGTTTGGGACAAACTGCTTTCCCGTCCATGCAACTGAAAAAATCCAGGGTCCTGTTCGCCCTCTATTAAAACATAGGCCATATTGACTGAGGAATCGGATCCTCTGGCACCAGCTCCTGTACTCTTTGGCCCATCCACATCATGCGCAATATTGTCGCGACCGATAGTTTCCATAACCTCCGACGACGCGGATGACTTCCTTATCATCAAGGCAACGCTATCATCCGAGATTTTTTTGTTGAATCTGACTTTGTCACCATCCTTCTCGCATATGCTTGCCCTGCCATCCGCCACCCGAGACCCTCCCTGTTCTTTGTCATCGTCGTCGTCGTCGGCGTCATTGAGCTCTTCGTCTCTGGTCGAGGACGTAGTACTAGCCGAAGATTCAATTTCTACCTTTGGCGCACTAAGCATATGGACACCGACGATCAAGACTCCGATGCCGAGTAGGATCAGCACGAGGACCCATGGCTGATAGTTGTGGTATTGGTTCAGGTAGATGGTTGAGTTAATGAGCCCGAATGCGGCGTAGTAGCCGTAAAACATGGGCACGACCATGACAGAATCGTACAGCTTCAGTGCTGTGTTCAAGCAATAAACCTACGACCAACGGAAAAACAACATGTAAGGGGAGTCGTTCCTCATGCACTGACAAGTGTCCTTCTCCTTGCCGCAAAAAAAATAAAGCAAATAAAATAACATACTTGAAGAATAGCTGTGAGCACCAAAACGAAGAGGATAAAGAAGCTGAGCATGTCCAAGAACTGGTTTTGTCCCGCAGCGGTCGAGGCCAGTAGCTTGACACCACTCTTTGCGAGCAACAACGTCTGGCTCGCGATCAGTCCTCCGCTAGTCGCCATAATCATGGCCACGATCTTCCTCAGTCTCAGATCCCTGGCTTCTGCCTCCAATCCCTCACCTCCTGCAAACGTCCACCCCGAGCACCTGGCGAGCCGGTTGGTTCCCAAGAACTCTATCAGCCTCGCCTTCATCTGTTTCCTCAGTCGTCCTGACTCATCGTCCAAGGTGATGGCCCAGTACACATATAGCCCGAGCGACAAGAGCGTAAGGATGATTATGTTGAACACCGAAAAGTAAATGATAAAGACGACTCTAGAGAACAAGGCCTTGAGTTCCGCGATTGTGAGCGATCCCTCGACATCCGCACCAGAGTTCATCCCACCAAAGATCACGATCCAGACGACGGAGAACGTGACGACAACGGTACCGACCACGTCCTTCTTGGTGATCCTTGTTCCGACCAGGATCTTTGCAAAGATGAAATTGAAAATCAGCGCGGCCGAACCCAAAGGCGCGACCCACTGAGCTTTCAGAAAGTCTAGACAAAAAGTGGTACATTAAAATACAACGCATATGAAATAGCGTTAGAACAGTAGCATAATCGCCTTACACCAAAGGCGCGTTTAACCCTTGAGTTGCATACTGCATCATAAAATCTCGTTCATGGCCTTGCCCTCTTGCCTCCTTCCTTCTCATATTTGCTTGGCTCGGTGCCTTTTCCGAATCAAAGAATGCACCCCATTCCTATGTACTTCTATAACACGCCCTTCAATGTGGATGTCCCTACCGACAGCAGCCAACCGGCCAACCAGCCAATCAGTAAAAAAAAAAAAAAAAAGACGACGGCGAATAACTTACTCAGTGCAATGGTGCTTCCAGCAAGCTGACTACCCACGTACAGATAGAGTCCCACATGCCACATAGGCCTCCCACATTCATGTCTCTGCCGCTCTTGGCCTCGAGCACTGTTGCGGTCATGGTCCAGCTTGAGCAGGTTGAGTCCTGCGGCGTTCATGATCGAAGAGATCAGCGACACGATCAACCCAATCACGAAGTCCAACAGCGAATTCCCTGTTACTGCCGACATCGGTTTGTTGCTGTCCTCCCCTTGTCGAGTTTTCTTCAAACGTGGGTCCTTTTCTGTGGGTGTCTCGTCGGTATGGGGTGAGTGAGTGGGGGGAGAGAAGGATGTGTGGGCTGTCGCCAGCGAAGGGAGGGGGGGGCAAACTCAATGAGATGGGATAGATCGAGTGATGAAATAAAAGTTAGAGCCATAGGGCTCAACTTTGCTGTGCAAGGAAAGTCGGAGGTAGGATGTGCTTATATCCGGAGGAAAAAAACGAAGTATGGTCCAAGTCGAAGAGAAAATGAGCGGGAGCAACTGTCGACCGCAACGAGCGAGGAAAACAACGGTATGGTGGAGTGACAAAAGGGAACTGGTTTTTTTTAAAAAAAAAAAAAAAAAAAAAAAAAGGGCAACGACGAGGCCATAAAAAGAAAAGTAAGTTTTAGAGAATAGGGATCATCGAGCGTGAATGAAGGTCGACAAAGGTAATATGACAATATACCCCGAAGAAATGAGTGCCAGTGACCTGGTCAGTCATGCCATAATGAGTAAGGGCTATGGGGAAAGCATGCCGAGCAGAGCAAAGTCGAGGTAACGTTGGAATCGGAATGTGGGGATAACACCAAGAACAAAAAAAAAAAAAAAGGGGGGGGGGACCTATTTGAGTTCCAAGTAGTTCTGAACAAGGGAGCTGTTTGCTCTTTTCGAGGCCGACATGGAGGTGTTGGCTGTTCTTTCATGGGGGGTGGACTCGATGAAGGACCAAGTTGATTTTTAAACGGCTTCACTTTATTCTAATCGTATTCATAAAAAAAAAAAACGACCACCCGTCTCGCAACGTTTCACCATTGACCCAACCGACAACGCGAGAGGTTAGCTCTATACCCTTGAAGAAAAAAAAAAAGAAAGATAAAAGGCACCAAGAGAAGACACTTGCACCCTCTCCCCTCCTCCTCCCCAGGTTCTCATCGTTTCATTGTCGCAGCAAAAGAAAAAGAGGGACTGCAAAGAGCGATGCCCTTCTTTGTTCGCCTGTCTTTGTAACAGAATCGCCTTTTTGAAAGAATGGCCAAGGCGAGGGTACGTATTCCGAACAACGGCAAGCGTGCATAATGGGAATGAATATTTGTGTAGGTTTCGTGCTAGGGTCGAGGAATTCTGTGCGGTCGTAATTTATAGGCTTTAGTTTGACAGGAACGGGTTTAAAATGCAAAGGGATAGCTCCCTCCTTACGGCTTCGCCCAGGCTTGTCTGCCACTTCTTTGTCGCGCTTTATTGAATGTCAACGGACGCATGTTTGTCGTGTCAAAGATCCTTGTCGCCGCGTTTAGGATTAATTACGAGTTCATTGGAGCGCACGCCACCCCAAGTAAACAAACAAGCGCGTACTAAAACGCGTCTGATAGGATCCTCCCGCTTTTTTGGTGGCAAAGAAACTCAATTGATCTGCCTTATTAGATAAGTCCAAGTCAAAAAAAAAAAAGTAAAAAAGCGCGTTCATCATCACTTGCATCAAACGAGTTGCAATTCGAGATCAGATTTATTACATTGGATGAAAGGCAAAGTTGGGTTTGGATGGTGATGTACAATGGTGATCATGGAAGGCCAAGGAAGGATCGAGTTGAGGTCCAAGGTCGAAAAAGTAAACAATACGCGACACGTCCTTGACGGATGAATGAAAAAGTTTTTTTTTCTGATTTCGAATCCAAATCACAGCACGCGTCGAGTGGTAAAAAAAAAAGTTCGCAAAAGGTGGTCGAAAAAAAAGTCGGGTCCCGATCCATGGCCGATATTTTTTTGGTTTTTTTTTTTGATGACGCGTCCTGAGGTCGGGTCGTTATCGCACACTGTCCATTGGTTTCTCCTTGTCTCCTGCGGCTTTCCGTTCCCGGTCTCCCTTCTTCGGGTGGAGGGAGGAAGTTTACTTGGACGAGGTGTACTTGGTGACAGCCTTGGTGCCCTCAGAGACGGCGTGCTTGGCGAGCTCACCGGGAAGGATCAGGCGGACAGCGGTCTGGATTTCGCGGGACGAGATTGTCGAGCGCTTGTTATAGGCAGCGAGCTTGGAGGCCTCGCCAGCAATGCGCTCAAAGATATCGTTGACGAACGAGTTCAGAATTGACATGGCCTTGTTCGAGATACCGGTGTCAGGGTGGACCTGCTTGAGAACCTTGTAGACATAGGATGAGTAGGTCTCGGAACGGGCCTTCTTGCGGCCCTTGCTGCCCTCAGACTTGCCCTTGCGGTCCTTCTTCTCGGCTGTGGACTTTGCTGGAGCCTTGCCAGCGGTGGCGGGAGCCTTCTCTGCGACCTTAGGGGGAGCCATTGTAGTGATGAATGTGGTAGGTGAAGAAAAAAAAAGACTGAAGATGGGAATAGGGAGGATGAGGATTGGTGGACAGGGAGTGGTGTTGGAGTGGATGAGGAGAGGATGTTGAGGAGAGGAGAGGAGAGGAAAGGGAGAGAGAGAGAGAGAGAAAAAAAGAGAGAGAGAACAAAAAGGCGCGCTGGGCGCGGACGGTTAGGAAGACGTCACAGTTCGACGATTTATCGTATTTTATGGCAACAATTTGTCTTATACCCTCCACAGTCCTCCACAGGGACCACGCTCGTGTGTTTGTGTGTGTGTTTTGTTGATCAGATTCCGGAGGTGGTTCCTTTGGCCTCCTTTCATTCCCTCAACCACTCGACCCCCGACCTACAAGCACACATGGCCGCCTACGTTCGCTCCTTGGCCCGCATGGCCACTCGCGCCTCAAAGCCAACTGCTTTGTTTGTCATTCGCCAGGGTAAAGCTGTCGAATCAACACCTGTGTCATCTGTTTTGATCGCCTACCTGCATCAACAGCACCGACATGGCAACCACGACCAAAAAAGTATTTCGACTAGGACGCTATAGGGATACCAAGGCTGACCTTTTTTTCCCAACTCTGTTGGATTGTATACGTCTCGAATAGCACCCGCTGCCCTGGTTGCCCGTCAATATCATGCCTTCCGTCCAACACAGATCGGTATGGCTACTATCATCTGGTCAACTTACTGCAATACTGGATATCATCTTCAATCGGCTACTGACAATGGTACCATGCGAAATCCTCTTATTCACTTTTTTAGTCTCGAAGGGAAAGAAGCACGCAGTTTTGGACGAGGACGACGAAGAACTCGAGGCTGAGTTGCGGGAACTGGAAAGAGAGAAGCGCGAATTGGAGGCATTGGAGCGCGGAGAGTCCCTGGAGGACGGAAAAGGCTCTTCGGAAGTATCCTCAGCAGCATCAGCATCACAATTCGAGGCCCTCTACGACAACATCTACACCCATACCTCGCCCTCAACTCCACAGCATCAATTGCCCCGTCACACGGCTATCTTCCACTTGACCAAGGCAGTGTCGACTAAGGATCAGGCAGAGCGACTTCCAGAGATCGTGAAGCAGTGGCGTAATCGCAGCCTTCCTCTCTCGATCTTTGTCACCGACAAGCTGATTCATGCGATCTGCAAGGCAGAAGCACCTGAGACCGCACTCGAATTGCTGGGTGATCGTGAGACCTATGGCCTCTCACCAGGTCAGACGACCATGCGCCGTGTTATCCGCTCATTCGTCAAGGAGATTGCTGCTGCTGGAGCAGAATCGGACGAGGCGCTTGAGAAGCTGGATGGCGCGTTCAAGACTATGGCCTTGATTCCTTATTACAACTTGGCTGCCGATGATGCATCCGTCTATGCCAACTTGGTTCGTGGATCATTACTGTATGGAGGCGAGGAGGGCCTCAGGAGGGCCACGGTCTCGATGGACGAGTACCTGTTGATTGACGGAGAGCGTGAGAAGCCCTTGACGCGCAAGAGGGCCGCGGAGATGGTGGCCGCGGCTGAGAACTTGCTCAATGCATATGTTGCCAAGGGAGATACGGCCAAGGCTCAGGAACTGCGCAAGCATGTGGCAACGTGGATGAAGAGTCTGTGAAGGGTCTACGGAGTACTTTTATGAGCATACATAGGGGGGGGGGAGGATCTTTCATTAGAACAATTTATTATTCGAACACATTATAGAATCAAAAACGATATGCATCTTTGAACCAAAGATGGCTACCTTGCCGTCGCTTTGGTCTCATTCTTCTTCGGCCATGTGCACAATATGCTCTCAATTTTTTTGTCAACAACGGAAACGGGAAAAAACATTTCGCATCGGGTCAACCATATCACCCAAGTGACTACCCTATGCAATCAATGGACATGCTGTGTTGGACAATGCTGAAGCTTTGATGTATTCGATGTGAAAGAGCTAGGGGAGTGACGCAGGACTGAGTGGATTATAGCGGTGTAGGATCGACGGTATTACTGTTTGAGCAGGATATAGCGATTGCACACAAGAAGGCAGCAAAGCAACACCTCTACTTGCGAGTGGTCTCGTTCGGTACGCTGACGACAATGTCTTCCAGATCGACCTCACGTCCTTCCTCGTCCAAGCGTTTCGTCTCCTTTGCGACCTCCTCTGCATGCTCGTCCGCATCCTCTCTCTCCATAAAGACCTCCTTGACCATATCCACATAGCTCTTGTGCGGAGGCTGGGACCACTTCTTCTCGAGAGCATGGGCCATATCACCGAGGTTGACTCCGTTCTTGGCGTACATTCTGTAGAGTGGGTCGATCTCTGCGTCGTATTTGGGCTGCTCAGGACGGATCTCTAGACGATAGATCTCCAGGGTTGGATCGGAGCGGTAGAAGGACTGGTACCACTGAGTCCATGTCAGGTCTGGGTTTGGATAGGGTAGTAGGTCAAAGACGAGGCCAATCTTCGGTGCCAGGGGGTCATCAGCTGGGCGATCGTAGAAGAGGACGGCCTGGACGACCTTGGTGGGTCCGACGGTCCTGAACCACTCGAGGATCTCAGCCTTGGTGCCGATGAAGACGAATGTTGAGGTGTGACCAAGTGAGAGAGAGATTTTTTCGCCAAGCATCGGTGGGGTGATGATTCTCTTATCGCCAGGGACATCGTCTGTGGGGAGGTCGAGAATAGGGGCGAGTGAGTGGGGTTAGCGGTGCGAATTATCCGAGTGGCGATAGTAACATTCCCACGATAGAAAAGAGGCTACTTACTCATGGCATATCCATACTTGAAGCCAGTCATTGTGTCTTTATGGATTGCGATTGTAGTGGTATTTGAGGCAGAGAAGAGGGTTGACAGAAGGCGAGGGTGGGATTAGGGATTAGATGGAGAAGGATGAAGAAAGGCGAATGAGGACGCTTGTTTTTAAGGATGAGGGGGGGAGAGCCTTCGGTAGCCAATCGCAGCTCGCCCTCGATATCTCGAGTGTGTTACTTGCAGCAGTAAAGATGTATCCAGGTAGCCGAAAATGCGCCACCGGCAATTTTCTTCCCTCGAGAACGTGCTTCTAAACTAAAAATGCGTATAAATGAAAAATAAAGCTAGACTAACTAACTATTAGGTAGACTCGCTTACGGCGGGCATCTTGTATGGACGCTGTTCGCTAGCGTTCGCCACCAACTCGTCCTCGCCCTGGCTCCACCGTGCTACTGCTACCACTGATCCTGCTACTGCTACCACTGATCCTGCTCCTGCTGCTCCTGCTGCTGCTGTCGACTTCTGTGTGCGATCTTGCATTCTGTATCCAAGAGCAGTGCCCATTTTATCCACGGGTTGGAGATAGAGAGAGGTCGTTGTTGATTGACCGCCATGATATCGCGGTGGATGTAAGACTTGCAGGTCGAGCAGTGCGGCCTGCGGATCTCGACCTGCCCGGCAAATTTCTCGCACGTCGGGCACTTCTTGGACGTACATACAGTATTCATTTACATTAACCACGATGTAGCCTAGGGACCTGGCCTATGGGACACCAAGACGAAGTCAGTAAAATATACGAAACGATTTTACACGACTTGGAAGCCTCTGGATGCCAACGTACCACTTCCCGTCTACATTCAAAACCATTTCGACGGAAAGCGAGGTCGACCACGCGAATTCAATTGCTCAATGAAACATGTATGCAGACATGGGGACTGAGAAAACACTTTCCAGTGGCCGTGATTCTGTCGGTCAACAGTGTCCAGTCTATATCCGAATCTGCAATAGGGTGAACCAAGACCGAGTAGAGATCGAGTACCATTGACGCCATAAGCACAGCAACTCCTTTGCAGTAAGTAAAAAATCTCCTCTGGGGCCAACAATATGGTACTGTTGACTTGGCTGTGCATTCGTGTTTTCAAAAATCAGTTGACTGCTTCGTATACAGTATTGTAGTTGGAGCAGGAAAACGAAAACCTCCCTCCAGAGCTCCATATTAAGTACGATCATATTTGGAGAGTCATTTACTGAGCGCGTATAAAGAGCGTGGAGGAATGGATCAAACAAATCGGAAAAGATAAAGACAAAGAAGTATTCTTGGACACCATTGACAATGACCCACAGCGATTCATAATCACGTGGTGCTCAGCTCTTCAGTTGAAGGTAATGCGATGCAACACTTCAATCAGCGCGTCTGGGAGGATCTGGCGTCAATAAAAAAAAAAAAAAGATGCAACACTTCAATCAAACCTTTCCTTCATCCCACGAGGAGCATAGTAACCTCGACGAACAATAAATACACATACATACACACCCACACTCCCTACACCCCTTCGTTCCCGTTGTTAACCAATGGTTGCACAAGCCCGCCAGCAGGCAGTCAAGGCTGCTCGCACGGCGGAACAGGCAAAGGCGGATGCCTGGATCCAGCAAGCTATCCATGATCCGAAAGTCTATGTGAGGGTCAGTATGTAGATTCATTGAGCGTGCATTAGCATCATGTATGCTAACTGCCTGCTGTGCTATCAGCCACAGTATAATAGCCATACCTACAATTTGTATGCTAGATTGTTTGCCAGCCTCTAGGAGAGCAAACTGCATGCTGCCATCGGTTTATTTTTTGTGTTTGCTGTGATGCTAGGAGCTACGCACTGTTCTTTCTGCGTGGCAGTCTTCCAGGAGAGCAGTGCCTCCAGGAAACGATCATGGTTTTTTAAAAAAAACAATGCACGATTGACTATTGTGTTGCTTCCAGATATGGCATCGCTGCCACTGTGAATGGGGTCCATTGACATGACAGCCAGCTGCGAAATGTTACAGCCTGCTCTGAGGTCGTCTCACGCAGCAGCAGCTTTTAAAAACACCAGAGATCTAAGAAGATATATGGCACGCCACACCCAGTCAGGATCCGGACCACCCGCTTTCAGAAAACCCTCAGCGAGTTCCAGTACTCTAATATGCGCTGGTCATTGAACTGGGATGTTGCCTCCCATGTCGACTGGCTGGCATCAAACCCCTTCCAGAACGATGGCCTACACTCCTTCTTGCGAAAAAATGCATTTTAACTGAATTAAAAAAATATAAGGGCGTTATTCAGTCCATTTTTATATCTGCTTGGATTTACGGACCACCAATCGTGCTGCTTTTCGGGGAAAAGTGAGAGAGGGAAAAAGTGTGAGGATATAAGGTAGGGTCACCGCCATCACAAAACTGAATAACGCCCTTATATTTTTTTAATTCAGTATAAAATGCATTTTTTCGCAAAAAGGAGTGTAGGATCTTCTGGATCACATAGTCCTGGCCGTCATCATTGTCCATCTCTTGATCAGTGTCGTGGCCACTGATTGCAAGATGCAGAAATTTCTCCTGCAGACGGTAGATGCTTTTTGCATCATTGACCTTGACTTTGAAGGAGGGTGCAGTCACCTGTATGCCTTTTGCGCTATCTTCTCCATCAGGGAAATCGAAGTCATCCTGGATCCAGAAGCTGTGATGTAGCTCCGTTGTGATGTTGCGCAACGCGACCATACGCTTGATATTGAGGAGCAGGCAGCATAGCTTGTACTGTAGCGAGAAGATACTCTTGTCAGACACTCTATTCACTACAGTATGACTGAATTTTGTGAATGTGGTCTGCATATCTGCAATAGTAGTCATATACGTAGTATATATTCCGTGCACAGCAATATTATTAAAAGCAGTTCTTGTTTCCACTCTTCGTCTTGTTACACCAGTTGAGGATTGATGAGAGAGGGATGACGAAAGGAATGAGAATGTCAGAATCAGCGAATTGATGAATCAGTTTTTGACAGCACTATAGTAGTCCCTTGCAGCAGCATGTAGAGTATGAGGATACCTTTCTCGACGTTCCTATAAGGACCTGTGCAACACTTTGTTCCAAATAGTACTGTCAAGAAGAAGAACACTGGAATGATCCCGAGACGATGCTGCACAAAGTCCTTGGCCTTTCTCATGTCCTGAATGAGCTTGATGTCGGTGCGGTGAAATTTGGTACGCTTTACCACGGGCCAGTCTTGGTGCAAGAAACCCCACTGTGCTGCAATCAGTTTGTCTAGCTCAGCATCCATTTTTCATCTACTTGTTAAAATAAGAATTTTCAATTACTAAGCATGCGCACGAACCATGGGGCAAGTCGCCCTTTTCTTTTCTAGAGAGAGAGATGGGCGACTTGCCTCAATGGTTCGTGCACATGCTTAGTAATACACTAGCAAGTAGGCGACCGAGAGCCGGCCCAAAGATGGCTCGCAATTCGTACAAGAGTGTCCTAATGCTGTCGATGCGTGACACTCGAAGCAATCTAGTACATTTTTTTCTAGAAATATTTGATTAACTCTCTCTAATTAGCTACCGCCGCTACCTGAGGGTCACTGTCTCGCTGAGTGGGGTTGAGACGAGACAAACCACTTCGAACGCCTTTGCAGGGATTTCCAGAGCAGTTTGTAAGATGGAAAGGCTCGAGTCTGAGGTCATTCTACCTTAAGAATTTTCTCTTCATTCAGGTTATCTGCGATTCCTCTGCTGAAAAGCATGGTAAGAATACCATGTTCTTGTTCTTTTTAATGTTTAAAACTACTATGAGAGGGACGCGATCAGCCAGCACACCCTTGATGCTGATGAAATCTGTGGACAGCACAGCAAACACCTGTCTCCAATAAAAATAAATAAAAAAAAAGATGCAGTATTGAATTACATAGTTGCCGCTATTGTCGCGCGTGAGCCAGACTACGCCATTCAAGTCAACTGCTGCTGCAATCGCGTTCTGTGCCTACTCAAGTAAAGGGGTCTCCTGCCCCAAATCCAAAAGGTCTCCAATCGTCTCGGGCATGATCCACGCGCGTCGAGTGTAGTAGGTGATGCACACTCGTTTTCATTCGGTCATTTTTAGGTTCCCTGTTTCAGACCTTTTTGTTACGTGTATTGCTCCAAACCATGGCCTTTCATATCCAGAATAACGCGCTACATCGTCGTTTACCGATGGGAGCGATCAAGAGAGGCAAGTACTATGGGGAAGTCTGAAGAAGGTCCCGCCATGAGCTCTTCGGCTCCAACAAGGCGCCAGTTAGGGCTGAATGCCGGTCCCGCTTCCTCTTGCCGGTATGTCGCTTTGCGGCCTGTTCGTATTCCGATATCAACCGGATGGTTGATGTCTACGTCCATTAAAACTATTATCAGAACAGTGGTATCAAAATTGTAAAATAAACCATCGAATTTGCACCTCAGCGTACCCTGAAGAAGAGCAGATCGTGAATGGCTAGAAGCGAAGCCGAGAGGTTGATGACCTTTGCTTCTAGCCTCGTCGCCTCCATCTTCACCAATCTTGTAATATTATCCCCAGATGCTCCCCAACAGAGCCCAATCCACTGGAGACATGGTCCTAAGGTCCGAAAATTGCAACTGTTAGTATTAATGTCTATGCCAGATGTGGAATACAAAGTAGACAAGAAATAAAACCTGGTACCTCCTATTATTAACCCAGAAACAAAAGCGTTTCTCAGTTCGCTCGCTCCGCCAACCTCCATTGATCGCCCTACCAAGACGTCGTGTAACTGCCTCGGAAGCTTAAATTTACTCTCCGATATGTACTTGTTACTATTGGGACACCAAACCTTCGCCGCCTCTGCTATTGCCCAGTCAGTCTCTGGCAATTTCATGTTTCTCCATATGAGGTCGGCGCGGACTCCAACCCTCTTCCTCTCGCTCCCAATTGTCGATTCTCGATCTTTGTTTCTTCTCGCGGAAGAGTCGTGGCCGGTGATTTCGCCTGGTATTATAAAGCATCCGGGCACGCCTAATGCCATGTTAGTGCATACGCCCCACGCCGATTTAAGCCACCAACCCTCCGACAGGCTACCAGCAACACTAAACGGCGACGGATCCTCAGTCTCATACAGACACAGCCTAGAAAATGAAGAAACGAAGCATGATCAGAGGTGCCCGGGGTATATTTTTTTCGATGGACTACAACAACTTACCAGTTCAGCAAGCATTCATAAATTAGCTGACTCTCGGTATCTCGAGGACGCCTGTCCAGTAGATCTTGCAAGTCCTCAAGCGTGGCCACGCTGTCGAATTTGTCGAGATACTCCGATGCCTCTTTTGAATAAGGCGGAATGTGTGGGAGATCGCTGCTAATTTCAGTCCAATCGTCCTTTGAGAACAACTGTCGCGTTGTCTTGTCGCTCAAATCGATCATAAAGGAATGAATTGGACTGCACAGAACAAAGTTAGCCTATGAATTTTTTAAAAAAATTAAAACGAATAAAAAAAGAAACTTACTGCAATTCATTAATGCTTTGTCCCGCCTCGAACAGCACATCCTCGACCACAGTTCCTGATCTGAGTGTCCATTTTCCCCCTAGACTCGAGAAGCGGCGCTGAAGGGATCTCCTCCTGTCGTCGGTAGACTGGTTAGAAATAGAAAGTTAATGGTTAAGAGTGAGTTTAAGTGAATGAGTCAAAAAAGAATATTGTAATGTAGTGGCCTTACTTTCTTATCCTTCTGTTTCTTTGCAGGGGGTGATATGCCATTTTCCTCCAAGCTATGCTTCCCAGCTGAATTGAAGACAGGCGCGGTTGAAGTTGTTGCTGATAATGACAATGAAAATTCAGAGAGAGAAAGATAAAAAGGAAGAAGAATATGAGAATGCGAAAAAAAGAACATTGCTGAGAAAAACGCAGGAGTGAAAGAAGTAAACTAACCGCAACCATTTCCATGCGTTTCAGCGGTGGTGGGTTCCCGCATACCCACAGCAGCGGATGACTGACGTTCTTCACGGGCAAAGTGCTGCTGATATTCGTACGTGGACTGCTGGTGTCCGGCTTGCATCGAGTCCACAGCCGCTTTCTTGGTAATGACTACAGTTTGAATAGCGGTGTAGCGCTTCACCCAGAAGGCATCTGCTGCGTTGGCCTTGAAAGTCTCGAAGCCGAGGAGAAGCTGTTCACGGCGAGGCTTGGCGATTTCATTGCTATTGATGAGCAGCAAGTACGCTTCCTCGGCTGTTCTTCTGTCTGTATAATTGAATTTCTCGGCGAACGATCGCATAGAGGCATTTACAACGCTCAGCGCCCACTCGATATGGTCTCGTGTGGCCATCTCTAAAGGATTCACCAAGGAAGAATCAGATAATTAAATCGCATGATAATTAGCCAGGTATCATGCTTTATACTAACAAGTGACATCCTACTACAACACTAACCTGGCAATACAATTCGCAGCTCAAGCGTAGGCATGGGTGAAAGGAGAGAAGGACAAGTTTTAATAAGACCACTTTCAATACCATACAGTTACAAAACCAGGCAAGTCATCCAGTATTTAACGGCTCCATCAGGCGTCGAAATTCCCAGGGCGCATGCGCTTAGCTGGGCCAGACAACGACTGACCATCAAACCGCACCCCAGCTGCGCAGGCGACCCAACATGACTCGTCAATCGCCCACGTCGAGAAGGTAAATGCATTGGCAAGATGTTGGAGCCGATCCTGTGCACATCAGGCGTCGAAATTCCCAGGGCGCATGCGCTTAGCTGGGCCAGACAACGACTGACCATCAGACCACATCCCAGCTGCACAGGCGACCCAACATGACTCGTCAATCGCCCACGTCGAGAAGGTAATGCATTGGCAAGACGTTGTGCACAAGAGGTTGAGAAGGAAAGCTAGCCCTACCTGAGCCGTTACCAGACAGTGGATCTCGTCCTGAAATGAAGAGGAGCAGCTGGGACAAAGTGGATGGTTGCGATGATTAAGAAAGTGCCGAAGGTGGAACTGTTGCGCCTCATAAAAAAAGGTAATGATGTTGCATCGAACCAATGGGCACGAAATGACGGACGTTGGAGCATTAAAAACGCACCAACTACGTCAGCATAAGGTGACGTCATAGAATTTTTTTCGGTTAGCATAAGCAAATACATGCAGTAAAAGAATTTCGGCGTGCAATAACAGAATTATGCAGCTTCAGGATATAAATTACACCTACCGATCATTTTTGAATGTGCTTGCGAACACATATATGGTTGAGATGGGTTTTAGGCACTTCCTGGGGCCTGGCTAGTTGCCGATTTCTGCCCTGATGCCGCATTGGCCGCACGCTTGCGCCTTGGAGCTCCTTCTTGTTCTGCAGCCGCGGTTGATGCTGTCCTCTTTCGGGCCACACTGCCCTTGCTGGCGCTGGTGCCGCTAGTACTACTGGTGCTATTGATACTGCTAGTACTACTGTTACCATTGGTGCTGCTAGTGCTGCTGCTACTATTGATGCTGCTGCTACTGGTGCCCGCGCTATCAGCTACTGTCTGTGTAGCTTCCATCCAAGGATATCTACCATTCTCATCCACAGGCTGAAGATAGAGTGGCCACTGTTGCTGAAGCAAGTGCCCTCGAATAACGTTACAAATATTGTGGCCCGCCATGATATCGCGGTGCATATATGTCTTGCAGGTCTTGCAATACAGCCGACGTATTTGAACCTGGCCGACAAACTCCTCGCACATCGGACACTTCTTTGACGTGTAGTACTCATTGACGCCCACGACAATATACCCGAGCGCCCTTGCCTAACGGACACAGAACGTAAGGCGCCTCATTAGCGTCATTAGTAGTTTTTTTTTTAAAAAAAAAAAAGAAATCGAATGTCTTGCAATGAAGCACTAAGGCGGATGCCTGGATCCAGCAAGCTATCCATGATCCGAAAGTCTGTGTGAGGGTCACTGTGTAGATTCATTGAGCGTGCATTAGCATCATGTATGCTAACTGCCTGCTGTGCTATCAGCCACAGTATAATAGCCATACCTACAATTTGTATGCTAGATTGTTTGCCAGCCTCTAGGAGAGCAAACTGCATGCTGCCATCGGTTTATTTTTTGTGTTTGCTGTGATGCTAGGAGCTACGCACTGTTCTTTCTGCGTGGCAGTCTTCCAGGAGAGCAGTGCCTCCAGGAAACGATCATGGTTTTTTAAAAAAAACAATGCACGATTGACTATTGTGTTGCTTCCAGATATGGCATCGCTGCCACTGTGAATGGGGTCCATTGACATGACAGCCAGCTGCGAAATGTTACAGCCTGCTCTGAGGTCGCCTCATGCAGCAGCAGCTTTTAAAAACACCAGAGATCTAAGAAGATATATGGCACGCCACACCCAGTCAGGATCCGGACCACCCGCTTTCAGAAAACCCTCAGCGAGTTCCAGTACTCTAATATGCGCTGGTCATTGAACTGGGATGTTGCCTCCCATGTCGACTGGCTGGCATCAAACCTCTTCCAGAGCACATGATATTCAATGGACTCACCCTCTCCACGATGGCCTAGGATCTTCTGGATCACATAGTCCTGGCCGTCATCATTGTCCATCTCTTGATCAGTGTCGTGGCCACTGATTGCAAGATGCAGAAATTTCTCCTGCAGACGGTAGATGCTTTTTGCATCATTGACCTTGACTTTGAAGGAGGGTGCAGTCACCTGTATGCCTTTTGCGCTATCTTCTCCATCAGGGAAATCGAAGTCATCCTGGATCCAGAAGCTGTGATGTAGCTCCGTTGTGATGTTGCGCAACGCGACCATACGCTTGATATTGAGGAGCAGGCAGCATAGCTTGTACTGTAGCGAGAAGATACTCTTGTCAGACACTCTATTCACTACAGTATGACTGAATTTTGTGAATGTGGTCTGCATATCTCCAAAGTAACTCTCGACCTTAGAGCGAAAGCTGCCAAACACTGCATTGTATCTGATCTCCTCTTCTGTCAACTCAATGCCCTTGCGCTTGCGGATTGGGTAGCAAAAATTTGATGATGTGAGTGTGTCGCTTGCAGCTATTATGCCTTCCAAGTGCAGCGTGTATCCTCCATCCAGTGCAAGGCAGTCAAGGTGGTGGATCTTCTTGTCAATGGCCATTTTTGAGAGCATTGTGCCATCATTGAAGTCGCGACACTCTGCAGGCTGTGGGACAAAGACCACCATACTGTTCATGTCGCAGCACACCTGTGTCCGGAAGCCAGATTTGCGCAGCTTGTAAGAGTACATACTTGCCTTGTCTGCATTGCGGTATGCAACGCGGCTGTCATGGCCATCTAAATGCAGAGTGATATGCTTGAATGTCTCTGGGTTGGTGGATCGAGAGCACAGAAGTCTCAACTTGATGCTTGAGCACATCTCAGCTAAGCAAGATGTTAATTTCGCATCCAGGATAGAAGTGTGGGTGCCGAAGAAGCTCTTGAAGATCTCATGAAAGGAACTCTTTGGTAGGAACTCACCCATGTCTGATATAGTAGTCCCTTGCAGCAGCATATAGAGAATGAGGATACCTTTCTCAACGTTCCTATAAGGACCTGTGTAGCACCTTGTTCCAAACAGTACTGTCAAGAAGAAGAACACTGGAATGATCCCGAGGCGATGCTGCACGAAGTCCTTGACCTTCCTCATGTCCTGAATGGCATTGATGTCAATGCGGTGAAATCTGGTACGCTTTACCACAGGCCAGTCCTGGTGCAAGAAGGCCCACTGCGCTGCAATCAGCTTGTCTAACTCAGCATCCATTTCCTTCAACTTCTTGTTAGAAAAAGCATCTTTCAATTTTATTTTTTAAAACCTCTCTTATTGACCGCCCTCTTTATTGAACGGGAGCTCAAACAGAGATGTCTCTGTAGAAAGAAAATGCAGTTTGAGCTCCCGGTAAAACGTTTAGCCCGTGAGGGGTCCTCCCGACAGAAGGCTTCTATGCGGTGTGATGAACTAGAGGGAGTCCTGAATATGGGTGTTGAAGACACTTGTGATATACTCAATCATCTCATTCTCTTTATGGCCATCCTTGAGAATGAAGTTGCGGCGACTAGACTTGATCGGCGCATTCTTGTCATCCTTGACATGCTGGAAGACATTATGTCCTCTCGGGGAGCGATCAAATCGTAACTCGTCCATCACAACGGCATCGAGCTCTAGGTTGTCAGCAATGAACTGGTTCACAGTGCGTTCAACAGCCTTTCGCTGCAGCGTAAAAAGGCGATATCCACCGACAGGCAATGGCTGGGGTGACCGGAACTTCAAGACAACAAAGACTTCCTGCTGTTTTGGTGGGCGCGTGAGGATACGGTCGAGGTTGGCTGCCCGGCATGCACGCTTGCTGTTGGCAAGAGCATCCTGAGTGTTTTGCAGCTCAAGTTGAGTCTCATCAAGCTTGACCTGAGTGTCCTCAAGCTGCTCCTGTGTAGATACGAGGTCATCATTCGCATCCATGAGGTCCAGCTGTGTGTTCCTGAGCTCGAGCGAGACAGCTGCCAGCTTCTTACGCAGTGCCTCGATAGCAGACTCCTCCGACTTGTCTATGAGCGAACAAAGGAACAATAATAGTTGACAGTTGGTTTTTCAGTACGCTTTTGCAAGGCTCATAAGCATGCCGGCTGGTGTGTCTGGCTTGAGGAAGAAGACATACTGACGGTCATGACTTGGGGTGAGAGCAAGGAATGGAAGACTGGGTGAACGAGGGAATGAGGGAATGAGGGAATGAAGAAGGAGGGAATGAAGTGGGGTTGAGAAGCCCATTTGTAGGGCATGGAGGCCGCAGCATCAGGGTAGAACTGGGAGAGATGAGATGAGATGAGACGCGATAGATGAGATTGTGATTGCTTTCTTTTCTTTACACAAATCCTGGTCCACCTGGTCCAGTCAAATAAGGAGGGTTTGCAATTAGAGACTGGTATTGTACGATCTCGGGAAAGCCCTGTTCGAGTCAGACTCGCTGCATCTTGCCCATACCAAAAAACACTGCAATAAAAAACATCTTTTAAAAAAAATGCGTTTTGTGGTTCTCCAACTCGATGTTAAGTCAGTAGTATAAGCCAGAGCCAGCCCTTATTTTCTTTCGTCTTCTCTCTTTTCCTTGGAAAAGAAAAGTTTGCATAAAAGTGGTGGTAGTGGTGGTAGCCAGCTTGAGGGGGTCGGTCAAAAAATACAGTCGCTTTTTTTATAGAGTGCAGGTGCGCAACCTGTACTATTGCCTCCACCGCTCTTCTGCCTCTTGTGACTGAGCTCGCGCTGTGGTATCTCGGAATGCATTTTCGCCATCAACCATACGATTCGACTCAACACAGCTGTGGCATCATCTCTCCACATACTCTTGCAACACAGGACGACTCACTGTTTTTAGGAGTGAGGGGGAAGAAACAGAGTGTGCTTGGAGCAAAGAATAAAGATTTATTGAACAAAGGCAATGCAAGGTATTTTGTAAGTGCTAATTTTCAGGTGGCATAGAGGAGGCGTGGTGCTGGAAACGTAGTTGTGGATGCATGGTGGATTTGTTGGAGACACAATCCGTTGCAGTGCGTTGTGTGGGTGAATGCAATAGATGTGGTGGTGCATGCACAGTCTGTTGTAGCAATCTTTGTGGTGAACGTTCACAAATCGGTCTTCCTGTCGCTGGGTAGAGAACTCGCCTTCCTGGAGTTGTCTTCCTCTTCGCGTGCAGAAATCTCATCCCGCATCTTGGACCAAAGCCATACAAGCCTTTCGAAAACAAATTTGGCATCATCCTGCCATTTGCCGTGGTAATTTAGAGTTCGCTCAAGCTCCGTCATCCTGTACACCACTGCGTCATCTTCATGCATTGTACATTCAATAAACATCCACTGGCTGGCATCCGTGACAATCCCATACGATTTCAACTTCCTTGGTGGCTCTTCCTCCCCATCAACCTCGTACCTCTCACGCTTGCGCTTCTTCAGCGTCAACGCCGATTCCAGCTGCACAATGTTCTGAGCCACGCCCTGGTTAAAATCTTCCTTCTTCACCTCTGTAACGCCAAGAGTGTACTCATGAGTGCATCGCGAATGCACCGAAAAGTCCACTGGTCCATTTCCTCGGCGCCCGCTGAGATTTCGTTGGGTAGCAAGGTACAAGTCTTCCTCAAATAGTCTTGTCGCCGCAACCAGAAATGATGTGACTATAATTGACTTTGTGGCCTCACTTGGCAATGTCAGTCTCATCACTTGTGCCCTTGATTCGATCTCATGGAGAAGCTGTTCCAGTATCGTCTTCTGAAAGTTCGAGTGCAGCAGTGCAGCCTTAATCCCTGTAAACGGCGGAAGTACAACGGGCACCTGGGGATCGGGAGATTCCGAGAGGTTGTATTCAATACAAACATCCTTGAACGTCCATGTAGAAAAGCCCTTAGTTGGAGTATCCAGTGAAATGATCATTTTTTTCATGGATTGTATTTTGGCGACTCTGAGTATTCTGCGCAAGTCCTCGTCATCGCGTATGGTTTCCGACGCGCCGATGTATGTTTTGTAGAAATGTATTTCCACGTAGTCGTCGTGATCGTACTGAGGATAATGTCGAGCAAGGACCTCCTTCAAGTCACGCACAGTCACCGTATCAACCATGGCCGACCAGTTGCATACGGCCTTTCTCTCAGGTTTAACTACAATTCCGACACCTGTAACATTAAGACATCCGTCAGCATCATTGTTAGTAAGGAAGGAAGGAAGGAATGGACGTGTCATTCTGCCACGTAATCACATACTTATTGATCCATCGAGCATGTCGGACAGCTGTTTGCGCAATACAGCAACTTCGGGGTCTACGCCTATACAACACAGCAGATGGTAAACAAAATAAATAGCATTAGTACATATCTTCCAAGTCGATAGCGTCCTCACATAATTAAATTCTCATACCTGCCAAAGGCCGCTCGACAATGATGTATGTGGTGTCGTCTAGGTTCTCAGGGAACAGCTTGGAAAGGTATATCCTTGGGTTGCCTAGCTTCGTCTTGTCATCCAGACCATCGAGCGTGATGATGCTTTCTTCCTCTGCGTTCTCGTCAATGGGGATTGTGGCTCGCCAGAGCTTGAGCCTGTCTGCAGCAACGTCGTCAAACTCAGGTGCTTTCTCACTTTTGATTGCTTTCTTGAGGTCGCCGACGGTCTTGCCGGAGGATATCTCGACGGGAAACGCATTCGATGCGTGCTCACCGCTGATGACACAGAAGAGGGTGAGTGTATTCGCTGCCATAGATGGGTGCTTGTTGGTAACGGAGAAAAGTTGTGTGTGAATGGAGAAGTGGTGCGCCTGTGAATGTGATGTGCGAATAGAGAATGTGGTGTGTGTACGGATGGAGGAGTAAGAGTAGAAAGAGCGAAGATGCCCAAGAGTACGGTGCGCAGCGTCAAAAAAAAAAAAGAATTCCCGTTGTTGGCGGTGACGCGTCCAGAAATGCCAATCACGGTCAAGCTCGAGAGAAAAAAAGCAAACTGCGCTCCATCTCGTTGTTTCTTCTCCTTCCTTGTTTCTTTCCCTGCTCTCCTTCCCTCATGCCATCGCTCTCGCATTCACCTCTTCTCGTTCTACCTCTCTCGGCTTCTCTCTTTTTCTCACTCGCCTTTGCATTGTTATTTTTGCTACATTTTACACTGCTCGCACCTCTCCCTCGCTCTCGTTCTCTCAGTCTCTTCTCACTCGCCTTTGCATTGTTTTTCTTGCTACATTTTTCTACACTGCTCGCACCTCGCTCTCGCCTCAGAATTCACACTCTGCAAGCACCTCCGTCATCGATCCTCCCATACAGCCCGTCGTAGCCACTACAGTAGCACGCTCTTAGTCGATATAACGGCATCTAATATACCAAAAAAGCTTCTTCTTATTCCTCCTCCGTCCTCACCATTGTTACTTCACAGCTCCACCATAAACTATCCGCCCCTGAATTCAAATTGAAAGGCTGTCTGGTTATAGGTAGAACGTATCATCTAACACTTCCTGTAAGAGCTAGCAAAAATATCGACACACTTCAACAACATGGAGCACAAATTTGAGTCCGTCTACTTCAAAGCTGACAAGAAGCAAATACAAGGACCACAGGCCAGATGTCATGAATGGGGCCATAAGAACTCTCATGCGTTCTTCATCGCCTTTTAGACAGGATCATCGTACTACGAGTACTCATGCTACAGAGACCCGTCTGTGTTCTTGGATGCATACGCTGGTGTCCAGGAAGCTGAGCGTTACTTCTTTGAACAAATTCATGAAGGCCAGGCGTGCAACGAGTACTACGACATCGACTGGACTCTCGATGAAGTCTCAGACTCTAGCTCAAGCACAATTGTTACACTGGAGCAGCAGATTTTTGCAGCGTTCCTCATTGCGCGCAACCAACATGCGCCCAATTATGTGGTGGCTCAGGAACAGTGTCGTGTGCTGAGTGCATCTAACAGTAAAAAGGTGTCACTGCATATCGTTATCCCAGCATATCGTTATCCCAGCATATGTGTTCGAGAACAATCATAGGCACATGAAAGCATTCATGCTCGAGTTCCAGGACACTAGGCGTGCACAAGGCCAGCAGAGTGGGAACTGTCATTTGCTTGAGCACATCGACATGGGGGTCTATAGCAAGAACAGACTCATGCGAATTCTCGGGAGCCACAAGTGCAAGGACCCCAGTCGTCCACTGCAACGAGCCCAGTGGCATGAACCTTCCATGGTGGCTGAGGACAGAGAGTTCTTCATATGCAACGTAGGACCTGACTGCATCCAAGTAGCTAACAACACTCAAGAAGTCACTCTCAAGATAGCACAGTCGGGTCCAAGAGTCCTGGAGCATGGCTCCAAACATACCCTTCGTGTGAGCATGCAGGCGGGTATGCCTGAACATATTGTGGATGCTGTGAGAGCCAAGTTTATACAAACATCGCATGCAATGCAGTTTGAGATGCGCTATGCAGCAGAGCAAGGGATGCTCTTTAGGCTGCAACGCAAAGCTGTGGGACTTTGTGCTGTGTGCAACAGAGAGCATGAGCGCGACAATGCATACTTGAAACTCGCAGCATCAGGCGCAATTTTCCTGTATTGCCACCGTTCCGAGGACTCATCATCAAGAGTTCGGGTAGCCGGACCTGATTTTGTTTTAGCCGTCGACATGGAGGCCACAATCGTCTCACAAACGCCACACAAGCCCTTGTCTGCAGACATCACCTACCGTGGCCAGTATTTAAGGCACGATTTTCTGGCGCCCCTGCCAGAGCCTTTGAAACTTGGGCTCGGCAAGTTTGAGATTTACAAGCAGCAGCCTCCTAGTCTCATGATCAAAGCTGACACGGGTTTGGGCAAGACTGTTTACTGTGAGGCGCTTGTTGGAGCTAACAAGGATTCCAAGTTTGTTGCTGTCACATGCAGACGCACATTGGGTGACATGCTGGGAGAGCGCCTCAACTTCGAGAATTATCAAGACATCCCCAAAGGCATGATTGCATGCGACAGGGTGGCCGTGCAAGCGGAGTCGTTGTACAGACTCGACACAAAGTTCTATAGCGAGAACATGATTTTGATCCTTGACGAGTTCAGCTCGCTGATCAAACAGATGTGCAGCGACATGACCAGGGGCAACATGCACAACCTTAACCTCCAGATCTTTGAGCGACTAATCCGAAAAGCAACCAGAGTTATCTGTCTTGATGCAGATCTGAGTGATGACGAGGTCGCTATTTTGAAGAGCCTGCGCAGCGATGTGCATGTCATCTACAATACATTCCAGCAACAAAAAGACGACAAGGTCATGATGTACGAATCTAAGTGGCAGTTGATTGTCGAGGTACTAGACTTGCTGCAATTCAACAAGCGCGTGTACGTCTCGAGCACAATGAGTGCTAGATGCACTGAGGCACTGCATGCACTATGTGAGAGGGCGGGCTTTAAGGGCGTGTGTGTGACCAAGAACACATCGGAAAGCGATAAGCGTGACATTGCCAAGAACATCAACACCATTATGGCTGACCTTGACTATTTCATCCACACGCCAACCATTAGTGTCGGAATCGACTACAATGTTAAGGACCATGTTGACTATGTAGTTGGGTTATTCAGCACACATAGTGAGGTCGATGTCGAGTCATGTAGACAGATGATGCGACGCGTGCGACATGTCAAGAGCAAAACGTACTTGGTGCATGTGGATGCATCAGTCAACAATCTCCCAGACACTGTGCAAGGCGTGAAGGACTGGATATGCGATCAACACGGCCTCGTTACTGGCAGGGTGCAAGGGAGCCCCATGTTAAAGCTAAAGCTTGACAATGATGACAAGCTTGTGCTCCCAAATGACTTATATCACCGTATGTACTGCTACGTGAAAGCCAAAAAGCATCTCTCTTTGAACGGCTTCCGATTGCGGTTTATTCAACAGATGACTCGAGCTGGTTGTGTGGTCAAGGGCGTTGGAGGCAGTCTTCCCAAGAACCACCCCGTTCGCAAGGCCCTGAAGCAGGAGATAGAGGTGATCGCGGCCCTCACGCATCAGCAGATTGCCAATGTGGAACGGTGGTGGCTCGGGGTGCAAGGTACTTATTAGGCACTATTTATAGAGTACCTACTGTGCTTTAGGAGATTGTAGAGGCCCTACAGTCCATATTACAGGTGAAGAATGAAAACATTGACTCAAATATTATTGTCACTGTATATTTATACTACTACGTATCATGTCCTTAACAGCTATGATGACCAGCTATGGCATCTCGGGGTACAGTGTAGTGGGGCAATGGGTGCGTGGAGCGACTTGGGGTACAGGGCAGAAGTATTGGGAGAAAACAGATCAGGAACCTTTCGCCCTATCGTTCTGTGTTATTTATTGACCAAGAAACTCCTATGAATGCAGACCCTGTTGTCCCATAACTGCACACCCTCTACTTGTACACCCGTAACTGCATGTACAGCCCGCGCTTGGTATGATCGTATGGATGTCCTGCACCTATTCCGCTTATCGTATCATACCAAGGGGTGTGATTGATCCTTGTATTTGGCTATCCCGTCTGCACTCTATGTGGATTTACCACACCACGCCGCCAACCGTCAATCCTCCCATCTCTGGGAATCGGTGGTCAAGTGTTAATCTCCTGAGCTTGACAGTACGGCCTAAAGTCCCTGCTCGCCCAAGAGCCCGCTCTTGATTGATTTCCTTGTGAGTCAATGCTTCGCTGCCACCACCGATAAGAAGGTCCGTGCGAAATACCTTATAGTCTACTCGGCAATGATGCGTTCAAAGAATCTCCCATTCATGGCCTTGCTCCCAGTCCTTTAAAAACGCAGATCCAAGGCGGTCTCGGACAGCGCCGATGGGTGCGTTGTAAATGTGGAGGAAGGAAAAGGGAATTTGGGCCAATACTTTTCCAGGGGCTTCTATGGTGTGCATAGTATTCTAGGGCATCCAAAGTGTGCGCTGAGAATTGATCGGATGAACCTTTCAAAAAAAAAAAGCTCGGCATGATCCTGAAAAGGACAAACTACCATTCTTCATCTGCATGACATACTCCGTAATTGCATGACATACGAGATCTTCTTCAACTGCATGATGATCTTTCTGCAGTGTCGAAGAATACAAACACAAATGTTGTCAGATGACGACGACGACGATGACAAAGGAAGCCGACGGCATCCTCCGCAAACGTTCTAGAACTTCCTCAAGAGCAGATCTCCATCCTTAATGGACCATAGCAAAGGCACACAGAAAGATGGGATAGCGAGATATATCGTTGATGAGAACTCTTTTATTTATCAAAAAAAATGTACCAGAAATCAGATTATTGTAGGTTTCCTGTTCTCTCCACGCAGACAGCTCTTGAGATGTGGATCAATAGATAGGTACATCTTGCAGGATAAGATGTAGATGGTAATGTCTCTTCAAGCGAGTCCATCCAGTCCATCTTCGGTCCGTGTTTTACTTGTTGCAGTTGCAAGAGCCGGCGGTGCAGGTGCACTTGGCACTGTTAGGGCGTCAAGGACAGCGGATGGCGGACATGATCAGCAAAGGAAAGGAAGGGAGAGAGAAAGAAGAAAACGAGATGGAGTTAGATAGAAGCGGAGGAGAATCATATCTCCGACCCATGAGTTTTTTTATTGACGCATCAAATGACTATCCGTTAATCCAATGCTCCATTTTCTTGCTACCCCTCCCCGCTGTGTCCCATCGGTCGAGCGCCCTTCCGTTCCATCTCATCAGTCGTATCCACCCGAGCCCCGAGGGCGTAAGAGGTCCAGGTCCAGAGCCATTGCTTGCTCGCCTCTCATTTCTCGCCCAACGCCCTCGCCAGCTGTGTCGACCCTGTGATCCATCCATGACTAAAGTCCTTCCGCACAATCCTCAATAGCTCAATTGATCCAATGAAAAAAAAGAAAAAAAAAAAAAAAAAAAAAAAAAAAAAAAAAAAAAAAAAGAGAAACGATAGCAAAAGAAGCTCCGGAACTTACCCAGAGGAGCAGCCGCATCCGGAAGTCTTGGCAGCGCAGGTGCAGGAGCCGGCACAGGAACACTTGCCGCCGGACTTGCAGTTGCAGGCATCGGTGTTCGAGCTAGCGGCAGCAGCAGACTTACCGCACTGGCAGCCGGATCCGCAGCCTATTGGGATGAGGGTTTGAGATGAGAGGTTGGATGAGTCAAGGATGGTTCGACAGGCGGGATGGGCATGAGAAAAAGAGGATTCAGGCGAGAAGCAGGAGCGAAGGGGATGACTTACCGCAGGAGGAGCCGCAGGTGCAAACGTCGTTTCCGCAGGGGTTCATGGTTGGGTGGGGTGTGGTGGAGAGAGAAAGTGGGGGTATGGGGGTGTTGTTTGCAGGAAGGAAGAAGAGGAGGGGGGGCGGGATGGTCGCGTCCGCATTTTATGCGTTCATGCGAAAAAGAGCAAATAACCGAAGTAAACGCGTGGACAGAGTTTCCCCCTCTGCCGCGTTCCTTTTCGGTCGCGTCCCATCTGTGTGGCCCGTACACGCCCTTCGCTCCCCCATGCTGCCGTGTACGTGCGTTCCATGGGCCATGCCATGGTCAAGGAGGGAGGGTGTACAACCATGCGGCGCCATATCCACACATACGCCCAATTGGCGATTCACTCGCACGCGAACCTCGCATCCACTTCGCCATCTGCTCCTGCAAGCCATTTTTTTCTTGCTTTGTTTGCTTTCGTTTGTGCGGTTTCTTCTTTTATCGGGCCTGGTGCCTCCTTTCCTTCGCCCTCGTCTTATGCGTCTCATGCTTATGCAAACACACAGACACAGACAGACACACACAGACACAGCACAGCTTCGCCAAAACGCATTTGCTCCACCCGTATTTAACCAAACCGCCTCCCACTCCCTCCACTCCCTCTTTCTTCCTAGCCACTCAAGCATCCATCCTCCCTCCTCTCACACCTCCTCCGCAAGCACACACTATGCCACAACTGCTCCTCCACCTCCATGAGGCTCTCTCCATCATCTCCCCTAGCCCGCCCACTGCACACACCGCCGCCCCCGCGACCCATGTAGCCGTCTCCTCAGCCTTCACCGGCACCGCGACCACTTCGGCCTTCTCCACCTCAGCACCCATCCCCATCCTCAGCAAAAACCATCCAGTTCCCCCCCAGGTCTGCTTCAAGCAGCCTTCAAAACGCCAAGGAAGGAACACCCCTATCATCTCTATCACCACCAAAAATCCTGTCACTTTGTCCCTCCCCTCGCCTCCCTCCGACGATGTAGATGCAGATGCGTCCGGCAGCAGCAGTCTGGACGATAGTACTAACGATGATACGGATTACACAGACACGCATGATCCTTTCATGGAGGCCGCTAGCGAGACAACAGAGACGACCCTATTAACCCCATCCTCGTCCCCCGACGTCAACTGCGACAGGTTCCTGAGTAGCCCTTATGCGATCCCAGCCGAAAGCGTCCCCTGTGGCATCAAAAGCAGCGGCATTCTACCGTCGCCTTCTTCCTCGCCACCGCCTCTGCAGGGTCCACTACTATCATGTGAGGATGTCGAGACTGTTCCCGTTGGGCGTGTGAACCGTAAACAACGACAACGACGGCAGCGACGACGGCAGCAACAGCAGCAACAGCAACAGCAACAGCAAGAGCAACAGCAACAGCAACAGCAACAGCAACAGCAGCAACAACAGCAGCAACAACAACACCAACAACAACAGCAAATACAGACGGAGGCGGGTGAGGATCAGACGATCCAGAGTCGACAGGATCAACAACCATTGCTTCAGGCACATCACCAGCGGGAGCACGAAGAAGATGCGGATGAATATGAGGACGACGAGCACGAGGAGAGGGAGCAATATCACAGATCGGCCAACGGCTATAGCTATCGATACGAGCGACAGCAGTATCATGAGGAGACAGCGGATCAATCGGTCTTTGCAAAGTACAAGAGACACTCCGGGCCCTACAGCCAGGTGCACTGGGTCCCTTTCCCACAGGACCGGATTAGGGTTTTCCTGAAGTACGTCGAGGACATCGAGACGATCCCTGAAGATGTCCGATACTGGCACGATGAGCAGCACTTCATTATCAAGGACAGATATCCCAAGGTAAAGCAGTTGGTCTCTCCAATCCACAGACCAAAAGAGGATCGACGGTAGTAAAATGGCCTTAATACAGAATGATGGTTGTTGTATGCGGCAGCAAGCGATAGTTCCAACAACGGGAAAAACAAACAGCACTCGTAGGATCGATCCGGGCCTTTGGTCAAAAAAAAAGGCACACAATCTTCAGTCTTGCATGGTCACTACCGACTACCAGCAGCGCCCATCCCCTCTCAGCGCCATCGTCATAGATCATGCATAACAGGCAGCTGTTGGCTGTACGCACTGCCTGTAGTGTAAAAGCCGCCCGAATGTGTCTCCAACCACAAACCAACATTGGTTACCATGTCTCTATGCGCCTTTCTGCCTTCAAAATCCGTTACTAACGTGCTACTTCTCACGCGCATTCCTCCATTCTTCTCTGGACTCAACATTGGGCCATTGTCTTTCTTTTTCCCGTCGCCGTCTTTGTTTCTCCTGGTGGTTACTGACTCTCATTTTTTTTCCCTTGTTGATATGGGGGAATTTGCATTGGCCATGTTTAGGCAACGGCTCACTACTTGGTGCTACCGCGCGAACGGATCGAGAAACTGTACCACCTCGAAGGCCCGCACGGGATCGAGGTGGTCGAGTCCCTGCAACAACGGGGTGCCTGGCTCATTCAGAGGTAATAACCCCGCACATACACACACGCACACACACCCCCTCTCTCTCCTTTCGTCCTCTTGTACGTATGAATACAACAGGATTCTGAATATCTCTTTTGTCCTTTTTTTTTTTTTTTGGTCTTCCTCTTTGTAGACTGCAGGCTGAAGCACCGCACCTATCCTTCAGAATGGGCTTCCATGTCGTTCCGAGCATGCTGTAAGTGGCGCTTATTTTTTTTTTCCCTCCCTCTTATTTTCCCATGAGTTCCTTTTTTTTTTTATTTATTTACAGAGTACAAGGGCTCACTCAGCATGCCATGCGGTCAAATTGTACTGATCCTACATGATCGCTAACCAACGTACTCTTTCCATCTGTTCTTTTTTAAATTGCATGGCATCGCCTTTTTATCCGATCTCTGTTCGGGAAACATTTGATTCCCTCAACAACAACAACAACAACAACGACAACAACGACTTAGGCAACTGCATCTGCATGTGATCTCCCAAGACTTTTGCTCCCAGTTCCTGCGTTCACGGGTCCACTACAACGCGTTCACGACCGCGTTCTTTATCTCGTCCGAGCAAGTGCTCAGGGTGTTACGGGAGCGTGAAAAGTTCTGGCTGCAGAAGAGTGAGCTGGCGGAATTTAAGAATTCCAAATTCAAGTCGCCGCTGGTGTGTTTGCAGTGCGGGCAGAGGCAGAAGGGGTTCTATCAGCTCAAGGTGCATTTGGAGTTACATCTGGTGGGGGCCCAAGCAGGAGAGCACGGGTGGTGATGATGATGATGGTGGGAGTGGGGGAGTGGGGGAGTGGGGGAGGGGTGATGGTGCGGGACGGTGTGATGTGGGTTAGGAGGGGTATGTTCCTATAACCTGTACGAGTAACGAGAGGACGGGCGATCCGGGAGTGGAGACAGTAGGTTGGTTCTCGTTGTGCTCTTTTGTTCTTTGTTTGGGTTCTTGTGTAAATAGTGAGAGATGTCTTGTAACAGTTTCTGTATATAGTCTTTTGTACATGGGGAGAGAGGGAGGGGGGGGCCAAGTGGAAATGCAAGGTTTACCTCCGAGAGAGAAATTAAATAAAATAAAAGTCTTTTTTATGCCAATGGTAACTTTTTTTTTTGTTCTGTGGGGATCTCTCTACCTAGATAGAAACACGTCGTGTAATCGTCCCTTCTGCGGGTTTCTTTTTATGGGCAACATTTTATTACAAAGGATCTGGGGAGAGGAGGCGAGGGAGGGGGATCTTAGGCCCCAGAAGTCCTTAGTCGACCGGGCACTCTGGAGTCAAAAGGCAGGCACTTTTTTTCTGGGATTGACTCTGGCTGTGCTGCATCACTTTGCACCAACAACCAATCGCAATGCGATATAGAAAACAACGCGGCGGATGGCTAGTCTACCATGTCGCATTGAACACTCATTGCTGTGGAGTCTGATAAATACAAATGATGTTCATTTGAATAAAGCATTTTCTGTTTTTTTTTTTTTCTTTTTTTTATTGCCAATGGTGTGTGCTATCTCTTTTTTTTTTTGTTTTTTCTTTCTCTCTCTCTCAGCTTGGAATAGAAAATCACAGATAGGTTATTTCATATCACCCTTCCCAGTAACAACATTCTTCTTCTGCAAAACAAATGACAGTGTCCTCCTCAGATCGAAGGTCTCCTCCCCGCACGGTGTCCATGTCCGAGTCGGGCCGTGAACCGACGCCACACCGACCCATCCCTCTCCCTCCTCTCACTGTCCGACGTCGTCGGCGTCATCTGTTCATACAACGGCTCCCGCTCCTGGTCCTGATCCTGGTCCTGGTCCTGCCCCGACTCGGCCCCACCGGTACGTTCCCGCTCCCGCTCCCGTTCCCGCTCTTCGTCCGTGCGCACGTGCTTGAACCACATCAGGCGTTCCTCATCCTCCGCTTTCGGCAACGATCCTTCGTAGCCTGTAGGTACATTCTGCTCCCTCGTGAGGGGGGCTGAGGACGAAGGTTGGGTGCCGAGAGAGTCTTCGATCCTCGGGTGCAAACTTAATGAGGGGTTTGCTCTAGCTATGGGTGTCGAATCCTGGTCATCGTGGACGGGGGCTGCAGGTTCAACACCTTGAGAGTAGTTCTGGTCGTGGAGCAGCGAATGTTGATGCGGAATTGATTCTGTGGCAAGAGGTGTGTCGTTCGTAGCAGGACTCGAGGTCGTCGCCTCAGGACGGGGCGGCTGCACTGGCGCTTGGGTCTCTGTAGTTCGCTCATTCATTCCATGCTGCTTCAGATCACCACCCAGCGTCGACTCACCGGCCCTACCGCCGTCATCGTCACCATAGCTCTCGCTCGGATCTTCCTCCATCACCGTCCACTGCGGACGATGCGCCGCCGCATAGACCTGTGCGGGCGACATCCTCTGCGCCCTCACCGGTTCCATCCCCCCGGTATTCTCGGGCATACTCGTACTACGTCCCCTCTCCTGCTCCCGGCGCGCGTCCAGGTCTCGCATGTCCAATTCAGATCGGAATGGTTCCGGGGCCTGATGGTACGTTCGGTCTGCGTTCGCGTTCGCGACCGGGTCGAACGAGGCGGCGGAAGCCAATGTCTCGGTCGCGGTCGGCAAAGCGACGTTGCGGAGCGTATGCTGATGCTCGATATCTTGATGTGTGGCAGCATCTACGTCATGGTGGTGGGGATGTTGGTGACCAACACCGTGATGGTGCCCAGAGCTTGCATCGTGTCGCTGCTGTTGCGGGAGCTCATACTGCTGCTGCTCCGGAAGCTGATGCTGTTGCTGCCCCAGAAGCTGATGCAGCTGCTGTTGCTTCTGCGAGAGTTCATACTGCTGCTGTTGCTGTTCCGGACGCTGATGTTGCTGCTGTTGGGGGAGCTGATCTTGCTGTTGTTGCTCCGGAAGCTGATGCTGTTGCTGCTCTGGAAGCTGATGCTGTTGCTGCCCCAGAAGCTGATGCAGCTGCTGTTGCTTCTGCGAGAGTTCATACTGCTGCTGTTGCTGTTCCGGACGCTGATGTTGCTGCTGTTGGGGGAGCTGATCTTGCTGTTGTTGCTCCGGAAGCTGATGCTGTTGCTGCTCTGGAAGCTGATGCTGTTGCTGCCCCAGAAGCTGATGCAGCTGCTGTTGCTTCTGCGAGAGTTCATACTGCTGCTGTTGCTTCTGCGAGAGTTCATACTGCTGCTGTTGCTGCTCTGGAAGCTGACGTTGCTGCTGTTGGGGGGGCTGATCTTGCTGTTGCTGCTCCGGGAGCTCATAGGGGTGAATTGAATGCGGCTCGACCGTGGGGTGGGACTCACTCTCCATGATCAGCACATCTTCAGGCTTCTCGGTCATCGCCTGCGCAGCCATCAGGGCTGCAACGCCATGGGCAGCCGTCGGCTCTGTCGCCGGGAAACTGTCATGCAATGACATCGTGGGAGCAGAAGGGGCCGCCATAACACCAGGAACTCCAGTGAAGGGACTAGTGGTTTGCATGGACGGCATCTGACCGATAGGGGCCTTTGCAGGGGTAGAGCTGCTCGCCACCCACGAAGCTGGGGGCTGCGCGATCGGGATCTTGGGCTCCTTCGGCTGCTGCTGCGGCTGCTGCTGCTGTGGTTGGTAAGGAGATCCAGACCACGGAGATGTGGTATCGATACCGGTAGTGGGAGCGGAAAGATCAGAACTATGTCTCAAGGCATGACCAGGAGCGGTGGTGATGGTGACGGCCTTGAACGGATTGTCCGTCTGGGGCAGGACCGAGAGGGGCTCTGATTTCCTGGCGATGATGATGGACGGGTTGCTCTTACACCTGGCTCTGTTGGGCATCGTCGAGGAATCGGGGTGATGAGATCCATCCATAAAATCTTCCTCAGCAGTGCTATGGATGATCATGCCGCGGCGGTGGTGCTCGCCAGGGACGAACTTCTTGGCCTCGAGTAACTTCTCCTCCATCGGCAACAAGTTACCGGTACCGATGGGGTGCGGTGGAGACACTCGATGGGCAGAATCTATTAGAAGATTATAAATGTCATGATAGAGATGAATAAACGCTAATGCGATGTTGATTCGTGGGACGAGGTGATGTTTGCTGCAAGCTTACCGACGTAAACTGGTACCACCGGTGGGGACGCGTGCGGCGCCTTCATTGTCTCGGGATGGACTGCAAAAGTGAAAAGGATAGGGGTGATTCGCATTTAGTACACAGAATAGACCAACATATGCTCCTGCACAATACGAATACGATCGAACAGATAGCATGGTGCTTTCTCTTACCGCTACGGTCCTGAGGATGGGACTCGGTTGTGGTGGGCACTCTCATACCATATGGATGGGTAGATACACTATAAGTCACCGGGACATTGAATGACCTAATCTCCACAGACCTGGTTGGCATCCCCCTCTTCCCGTGCTCGCTCTCCATCGTGGGAGCAGGCGTCGCAGTCGTATCTTCGCCCTCATGCGTGGGGACATGAATGCCTTCCAGCAACGACCTGATGCTCTCCAGTCCATGACCCACAGCTGCAGCCGCGGATTCCACGATGGTCGGGTGCAGATCGTGATGCGGATACGGGTGCTCTGACTCATAATACATCTCTTTGATCCGGACGGGATAGTTATCCAGTTGGATTCGGCGGTCGGGACTGTCGTGAGTGTCTCCTCCACGAGGGTAATCAGGTTGCTCTTCGGGGTAGAGGAACAAGTTGATCTTTGGGCGCTTGAGCGCTGCTGCAGTCGAATGACCCCTCTGAAGAAGGGTGTTTGGCATGGACGAGGAGAGATGCTCAGCGCGACTCTGCATCATCGGAGACTCGTGCTGGTGGTTGTGAAGGTCCAGGACCGTTGGCGCGATAACACCTCTGGGTGCTTGAGTCCTGGCGGAGGTCTCAGGAAGATTCGTGGTAGGATGCTGTTCGAGCTGTTGATAGGGGATCTCGACGATATCCATGACGTTTTCGGGGCGAGCAGGGTTCTCATGCTGGTCAAGATCCTCATGGAGATAGTCGGGCTGCTCCTCTGGGAAGAGTGTCAAGTCGATCTTGGGCGCCTTGAGTGTCGCAGCATTGGTGCCCCTAGGTGCTTGAGTCACAGTCGAGGGACCAGAGAGACCGGTGGCAGATCTCTGCTGCTCAAGATTTTGATAGGGGATCTCGACGATATCCATCACATCCTGAGGTCGAGGAGGGTTCTCATGCTGGTCAAGATCCTCATGAAGGTAGTCAGGTTGCTCCTCTGGGAAGAGTGTCAAGTCAATCTTGGGCGCCTTGAGTGTCGCAGCATTGGTGCCCCTAGGCGCTTGAGTCACAGTCGAGGGACCAGAGAGACCGGTGGCAGATCTCTGCTGCTCAAGGTTTTGGTAAGGGATCTCGACAATATCCATGACATTTTGAGGTCGGGGAGGGTTCTCATGTTCGATACGGTTCTCGTGAAGGTAGTCAGGCTGTTCCTCTGGGAAGAGTGTCAAGTCAATCTTGGGCGCCTTGAGTGTCGCAGCATTGGTGCCCCTGGGCGCTTGAGTCGCAGTCGAGGGACCAGAGAGACCGGTGACAGATCTCTGTCCAAGGTTTTGGTAAGGGATTTCGACGATATCCATCACATTCTCAGGTCGAGGAGGGTTCTCATGCTGGTCAAGATCCTCATGAAGGTAGTCAGGTTGCTCCTCTGGGAAGAGTGTCAAGTCGATCTTGGGAGCCTTGAGCGTCGCAGCATTGGTACCCCTAGGTGCTTGAGCCGAGGGACCAGAGAGACCGGTGGCGGAGCTCTGTTCAAGGTTTTGGTAAGGGATTTCGACAACATCCATGACGTTTTCGGGGTGAGCAGGGTTCTCATGCTGGTCAAGATCCTCATGAAGGTAGTCAGGCTGTTCCTCTGGGAAGAGCGTCAAGTCGATCTTGGGCGCCTTGAGCGTCGCAGCTTTTGAAGGCGCATGTTCATGCATCTTCTGACCAGCCAGGTCGCCTGCATGGCTGAACATCGATCCCAACTTGCCAGAGTCGTCTTTGATGGTGGACGGTTCCGAGGCGCGTCGAGTCTTGATCACCGGCATATGGATGGATTCCCAGATCGAGCGGATTCCTTCTCCAAGTCCTGTAGCAACCGCTACAGCGGCGGCTGGGACCACCGTAGAGGCGCCATGGCTGTCTTCCTCATCCTCATCCTCGGGGCGAGAGAGACCGGACTGATCACTAAAGACCTCGTCCAGATGCATCTCTGGAGTAGAGACGCTGTTCTTCTTGCGACCGACCAAAGCACTGCTGATGCTGTCGAAAACACTCTGGCGACTGTCTGCATCATGCTTCTTGGTTGCCTTGCGCTGTCTCTTGCTCGGCTTCCCCTGGCGCCCGGGACCAGTCAAGTAGCGCCATGAGGGACCACTACGCTTTGGAGATCCACCACGCTTCGTGGGCGCATTAGAAGAGAGCGCAGGGATATATGAGGTGGCCGAGGATCCTTCAGGCCCGGACTGAGGCTGAGCATAATCATGAAACTGGCCAGGCATGCGGGGGAGGGTCTCGGAGGGCTCTGGAGTATAGTGCACAGAGGACGGGAACGAGGCTGCACTTGGCCCGTCATCGCCTGTCTGCGAGTGTGAAAGCTCAGGGTGGACAGGTAGCTTGCGAATGGGCTCGTCGTAGCTCCTGCCCAAGCCTCTGTGCGTGTGCGTCGATTCAGGAGTCTTGTGAGTTGACGCTAGACCAGAATCGGACTCGACGGTATCGCCGCGCTGGCGACTCTCGACGGTATGCTGGTTACCCTCGTTGCTGGAAGGCGAAGCCGGAACGAGGTAGACGGGCGCGTTATGAGCCTTGTAAAGAGACTCTGGACGGGTGGCAGACGAGTCCTGTTGCGGAGGGGTACCAATGCGATTCGTACGGAGGGATTTGAACTCCGGAGCCGGGTGATGAGCTGGCGCGGTGGAGCTCGCTGGCGGCATGGCCGACGGGTGCGTGACAACTGGACGATGGGCAGCCGGCGTAGACTCTTCCTGGTGCGCTTCCCTTGCAACGAAGGAGGAGCGGGAGGGGGTCTCGTAATCGCTCGTTGATGGCTCTTGGTCTCGCTTCCAACCGGACGACCTCTTCTCAGGAACGAGCTCCTCGATAGGGACGAGCGAGTGTTTAGTGGAGCCAGCGGTGGTTGCGTCCGTAGCTGCAGCGCTTCCCGGTTCCGCAAGAGTCTCGTCTGCATAGCGGTAGTGCTTTGTAGGGGAAGTCATGCTGTAGGAGCTGTCCTTCGTGGGCTGGTACTGGTGCTGTTGGGAAGCACGACTGCTCGAGGCGACATCATCTTCCCGGGATAGAATGCTCGGGTTCATCGCTGGGTTCTGAGATGGCGCATGGTGTCTGGTGGGCGCAGAAGCACTGGCTGGAGCCGATCCTGCAGACGGTCTGGGGCCGGTTTCCTCGGTGCCTGGGAGCTGGGAGCCGAGATTCATCTCCGCACTGGCGCTCCGCTCGCGCTTCTGGCTCGAGTCCACGGGTCTTTCCCTATGATGAGGCGCTGAGGACCAGGAATAATGGTGATTCTGCGGCCTGAAGAGTGATGGCGCCAGTCCGTAGAAGGTAGAGGCTGGATCGGGCGAGACACTCCCAGATCTATAGGAGAGGCGTGTTAGATACTGAGCTGCTTATGAGATTTGCGGGTCTTTGGGGCGCGTGTCTGTCAGCGTACCTCTCGGTGGGGGCATCAGCGTAGTCGTCTGTGTAGGCCTGGCTCTGCTTGGCGCGGGATGGGAGGTCTTTCCTGTCTCCGCTGTCGATCGCGGCCAAACCAGCATCATCATCAGAGGCAGTGGGTGGGAAAGTCCGTCTATGACATAGGAAACGTCAATAGTTCGTCAGGTTAGGTCATTATTTTTTTGTCTTGGATCGTCCCTCCTGCGAATGAGACGTGCCTTTGCCCGGTGTTGCTTTGAGCATTCAGCGGCTGGAAATCCTCCTCGCGGTGCTCAAACTCCCTGGGCTGCTGCCTGTCCGTGGACTCCTTTGCGCCGGCGCGATCGAAATCGATCTCGGTGGAGGAGAGGTTGCGATCATCGCCGATGGAGTTAAAGACAGTCTGCGAGGGTCGGTCGAGCCCGACTTTGACGTTGTGCTCGAGACCCTTGCTCAAATGATTAACGGGCTCATCAGCCTTGTCTGCGAACCTGTCTGCATTCCCAGATCAGATCAGATATTTATGGCGAAACCGTTCGCTTTGTTAGTGAGGAAGGCAATTTTTGAGAAACAACAACAATGCGTCTTTGACATGGATCGGTGTACTCTTACCCTGGGGCAATGAAGGTTGGGCTTTTTGACGCATGGCCCCACCATAGTCCTCACCCGCGACCTTGAATTCCTGGTTCTCTGGGCGGAGTGCAGAGACACGCATGGGGGATGAACGACGGTCGATGAATTCTGGCAGGTCCGAACGCATGCTGGAGTCCTCGCGTGAGTTGTAGGCGCGCTGGAGGCCGGGGTCGTACTTTGCTGCATCTTGGCCGATGCCGCCGTCCTTATTCTTGTTGTAGTTGCTCATGCTTGATGGCTGGTTTCTTCTTCCTTTCCTTTTCCTTTTCCTTTTCCTTTTTTTTATTTTTTAATTTTTTTTTTTACTGTTCTTTTGATCTCAAGAGGGGCTGAATGTGTTGTTATCGCGACGCGTTGTTGTTGCTGCTGCTGCTGCTGCTGCTACAATAAATGTGGTGGATATGGACAGGGCGATATTTACAAGAGGCGTATATACAAGGGGAGTGCGGGTGTGTTACAGTGTACAGGGTGCTGGAATAGCCACAGAGGAATGCATATGGATATCAAGAAGCAAAGAGATGTGAGGTGTGAGGTGTGGGGTGTGAGAAAGCTGGGTGTGCATATGGCGTCAAAATGAACACCTCCCCTCTCTCGAGACGGGGAATAAGAAATCCTGCTAGCTGTGTCTCACACGGAGACCCCCCATTGGACAGCCGCATTTCACCTGCGTGTGGGGTCAACTCAAAGGGGAGGCAGCCAAGCCCAGCGGCCTAGCCCCCTACCCCGCCTGAATCGGTCTAGGGGGGGAGGGGAGATGACGAACCGGCTGCAAGCGCGGTATCTGCACTCCGCCGTGTCTATCAGATATCAGATATCAGACATCAGACATTAGACATCAGACATTAGACATCAGATACGGCCAATGGCCCCATAGGAAGAAGACCCCCCGCCTGCTGCTTGTTTCGTCCGCATTCCAGCCTCATCGCCCCCTCCATAGTGCCTTCCAGCACGGCATTCCACCCGCATGCCATCCCACCCCATGCCATCCCATGCGGTGCATTCAGCCCCATAGACAAAGAGACCAGGGAACAAAAAGAAAAGAGGGGTGCGCAGATGAATGAGGAACCAATTTTGCAGAAATATAAAAAAGACATCCGTGCAGCCACGACCGCTTTATATCTCGAAACCTATTGTTTTGCCCAGCACTCTGTCCTCTGCTTAATGCCATGCCGACGCAGATGCATGCACATACGCATGTGCCCCTGCCACCCATCCTTCCCAATTGTTATCCCCATTTATCGACCGCCCATCCTATCGCCCGAACACACCCCCACCCCTACGCGTTGCTCTCTGCTCTCGCTCGCTCCGCTATATACCCACCGTCTTTTTCCCCTTCTTCACCTCCCCCCCCCTCTCTCTCTCTCTCTCTCTCTCTCTCTCTCTTTCTCTCTCTCTCTCCCTTTCTCTCTCTCTCTCTCTCTCCTCTCTTTCCATTTCTCGTCCATTGCTCGCTCTCCTCTGTCAGCGAGACGGACTCTCCTCCTTCGGCGCTTTCCTTGGCGTAATACAGCTCGTGCAGCTCACTTTAATGACAATGCATACAACCGCAGACAACATACCACCCAACCCCATTCGTCGGCATCGTCGCAGTCTCTCCGCGACTACACCCTCCCGAACGCCCGACACAGATCTCTTCTCAACCAACAAACATAACCTCAAGCACAGAGTCAACAACTCGGTGTCTGTACTCGACCTGCGACTACCGGCCTGGGGGCCTGTTCCTTCCTACAGATCACATAGGAATGAGACCATGGATCCTGCCCTCAGTCCAAGGTTGCATATGACCTTAGCCGTAGCAGACACATGTGCGCCCCGGATGTTTGAGCGTAACCTCAACTTGCCACACCCTGTTGACACCACCACTACTGCTCTCATTACCAAACTCACCTCATCCCAGCCCTGTTCATCGTCTCAATACCCACCCTGTCCACAAAACAGCCCTCAGCAACTGAATCCAGGCAGACGACAGTCGATTTTCATAGGGAAAGGTGTACTTGGTCAAGATTCACGTCTTACCATGGAGCAGTTTGAACGATGTATTGAGCTGTGTTGTGCGCATATGAGGTCCCGAGGTAAGAATGCCTCTCTCTCCCCGGACTATATCAGACGCTCCCCCATGTTGCATGGTCCATTCACAGTATAGTAAACTTAACATGAACCTATTATTCGTAACTGCAAATCGTTATTATTGTCGATATAGAAATAAGTGGTTCGTCCCCCTGTGTCGAAACCCCAAAGTCCTCTATGGAGAAAACCTCTTCAGCTAACCTTGCGGAACTGATTGCGAGGTTGGCAGCCGATCCTCGTCTAAAGGTAGTCGAACCCCGTCCAAAGACCCCTCCCTTGTCGCCATTCGAAAAGGACCTTCGCCATCTGGCAGAACCCAGCTGCGCCTTTATCGTCGAGACGCACCGCTCTTCAAGCGAAACCTTCCCTACAAAGATCCCAAGGCGCGTCAAATCAAAGGAACAGGTACAACGCACGAACCAACTTAAATTACTTTGTGTTATTTCAATCCTGTAAAAAGGAACTGACATCTTTGGTCACACCCAGACCTCTCGCAAGCATAGACCACCTTGCATCAACACTATTCAGACTAAAGATACACCAACGCATTCTTCACAGAACGATATCCTGAGAGCACTGTCCGTCGAGAGACTACTGGAATTACTTTTCGCGATCATCTCACGAGCGCCTTCACCGTCGGCACCGATTCTATGGGTAGACCATCTCGAGCGCTTGCGCAGCAAGACAGTCCCAAATCCTCAAAGTTCTCCTCCCCCGCAAAGCCAGCGTATAATCGACCTTGTTCTGAAAGCATCATGTACCTGGATCGACCTGTCCGTGGCCTCCAGGAACATCCATGCCTCGCTCAACACCGAGTCTCCTCTCCACACTGGCTTCAACAGCTGCAGTACCGCATCCAGGGATGACTCGAGCGCCATAATATCTGAAACACTGAAAAAAGTGGTCGAGAAGCTACTGCCTTGCGTATCCTCTTGGTTTCGGTGCCCGAGTCCAAGTCCCTATGCTATACTTGACAACAGCTTCCAGAATAGGTACATGTCCGAGCATCAACCCGTTGATCCTCCCTTGACAATGGACGAGGCCTTGAAGACGACAACCGACCCGGATGTAGATACTGCTTTTGAAGCCATGCTCCGCGCATACAGGATGTTCTCACACCCTAACTCTACAAACAAGGACCGTCGCGATGGACAGGGCTCACTGCTATCGAGTGGCCCCCAAGTCGTTCTCAAGAGAAATACAACATTCGGTGTCCAATCACTCTCCCTTCCTCCCTGGCGAAAAGAAATTCTGAGAGAAATCCAGCCCGATACCCCAAGGATATTACTGCATGCACGGTGTTCCAAGCGTACTCGGCAATATGTCTCATCGCACATGAAAGAAAAGCGGTCCCGCCGCATCTCATCGATGGCCACGACCGCAACGGTTTTATCAGACGCTGTAAACCCCATGGCTCAAGAACAAGAAAACCAAGCGCCGTCTTCTCTCTGTAAGTGTTATTACTACATAAACTATATAAACATAACATTCGACTGAGATGTAGAAGGACGCTTTTTTTTTCTTTTTTTTTTTTTTTTTTTCCTGACCAGGCCCTTCCACAAATGGATCGTTAGTAGCTATGACCTATACCAGTACATTGTCATCGGGTGAGAATGACTCTGCCTGCCATTCCTCTGCAGAGATAGACTTTATAAGTCAAGCGCTTTCATCAAGTGGCGATAGGTCACACAGGGTATCTGCCATCGTCCAACAACCTCTCAAGACTCCTCTCCGCAATGCTGAGCAAAACATTCAGTCGCTGCTCACCTATCGCAAGCACACCGCCTCCCCGTCCCCTAGGAGTTTTAAACTGTCGAACTCCTCGCCGAACCCACGACCTGTGGAGACCTCACAGGTCGATGTGCGATCTATATCCGGCCTCTCCAAGGATTCCTCCTACAACTACAAGACATCATACTGGCAGCACCGCTCCAGAGAGCAAACGCGTCGCAAACTTGAAGCGAATGGCTGCATGGAGCCCAAGAGACTTGCACAGCCGGTCAAGGTGGGGTCGGTTGCCACACAGCCACAGAGCCCAGCGCGACCTCGACATTCTGTCACGGCTATGGGCAGCCCTACCTTCGTCCCCGTTGAGTGTATTGTCCCTCCTACCCCCACCAGACGCCACTGGCCCAAGATTACCGACTTTGCGGACGCCCCGGATGCTGTCAAAAATATCCGGTCGGCCTCGGACCTGCGAACCCTGGCAGTCGATCTGGCGCGTGTACAGAAACCCCACGGCAGCACTACCTCACTGCTCAGTCCTGCGTTGTCTGAAGAGGGCGCCCGAGGATCTCCAGGGCTCATCGCCGATAAGGAGAATGCTGTACCCGTCAGTACCAACGTTTCTACGCCTGACAATACCAATACATTCAGCAAGGAACCGAAACGGCGGCCTCCCCCCTTCAACCTTGAAGCATCCCAGCTCTCAGAATCCAAAAAGTCGACTGTCACAACGGCCCTGTCGCCCACGACGGCTACCTCGTTCATCACCAAAGTGTCCACGCCCATACCTTGTCCGAGTCCGCTGCCGCAGCAACCCCGCGTCGTCTCGGACGTTGATACAGAGAGCACGCTGAACATCAGCAAGAAAAACCGGCGGATCTGGGAACGACCAATCCAGGTCCTCAAGCGGAAGCCAAACACCGCACCCGCACTTACCAAGAGCACGGTTGCTTCGCCTGTCGGCGGCTACTCTACTGGCCCTGCGAAGACTGCCGCTGTGTCTTCACCTATCTCGGTCCCAAGAGGACCGACGTCAAACATTCCAGGGCGTACTCGGCGCAATAGTCTGGGTCACGACGTTAGGCGGAGCCCCAACAGTACCAGCAACAACAGCAACAAATCGAGAAGCAGTGTCCGCAATGGTAGTTCTGGTCTTCCAAGCCTCGGGTCAGAGTCTATGTCCATGTCCTTGCCCGGATCCATGTCCTTGCCCGGGTCTCTCGATTTTGATTGCAGCATCCCATCTATCCCTTTCAAGGAAGACTACATGTCCCTGTCCTCTCCCCAATCGGGTTCACTGCTCTGGTCCTCTCCACTGCCGCTCCCATCGTCGCCCCTGACGATCAGCGGGATCCAAGACCCGAAGCAGCGACTTTCTGCGACCGAACCGTCCTCTCCTGCATCCCCAACCGTGCCCTCTACGACCACGATCCGCAGGAAGAAGAGCATCCACGAGAAGCTGTTTGGGAAATGGAACAAGAAGACGACCACGCCCGATCCATCTCCTTCTTTGCCAATAGGCGCCCTTAGATCCCCCACGTTCCCAGGATCGACTTCGCCCCTTGTCAGCGGCCTAAGCGATGGCTGTAACAATCGATACGACGCGTTCATGTACGACTGGAACCGGTCGACCAAGTCCCTGCTGATTAACGATAACGATCTTTATGAAGACCATGATGAGCTAACGTCCAATTACCGCTCCGAGATCAAGGACTATGGAGGACAAAGTCGGCAACAACCATACCAGCCACGATTGCGCTCTCCGTCACCGCCCCCGTCGCCGTCTCCATCAGCCTCCCCATCGGCCTCGTTGTCAAGGGCATCACTGAAACCGCGTGGACGATCTCAGATGAAGGTTGCGGAGCGGTCACATGAGGAGATCTGGGCACATCTGATGGTGGGATCCATCGATGCTGAATCCCTTCCCTGGAAGCAGAACGGCCCGCTCCCCCGTTCTCCCTCCAGTCCCTCGTGGGCCTCTCCTTCTTCTTCCCCGGCGGCTATTGTGGGTAATACATATGGACGACAGCAGCAGCAGATGCAGACGCAGGTGCAGACGCAGACGCAGGTGCAGACGCAGACGCAGACGCAAGCGCAGCGGTCGAGAGTAAAGTCGAAAAGACGACCACCGCACAGCGACCGTTACGGGACTGTGAGCGATGGAGCAGTGATGGAGGGGAAGTGTCGGTGTGGACTCGGGGGTGATTTTGGGGAGACGGAGAACAGGGCGGATACTCCAGTGACGACAACGAGAACAAGGGCAGGAACGACAACAACGACGACGACGACGTCGTCGACGATGGCACGGGAGGCGAGAGGGCATAATGGGGTGATTGCGATGGCGAGAGAGAGGAGGAAGGGTACGCTGACGAGGACGGATTCGGAGGAGTATATCTGGAGGGTGATGGAACAATGGCAAGCATGGAGTGCGGCACATTATCGAGCATAGGTCCTCTCTTTTTTCCTTTTTATTTCTGGGGAGAGAGGGAGGAATTGGTTTTTTTCCTTATATTTTTTTTAATAGATATGCATGCACAATAGACATAGAGGACTTTTTTTCTACAGCATTTTTCTTTTCTTTTTTTTTCATTTCTACACATCAAGGACAATAAGCGAAAACTAAATAGAAGCCGTGGTTTGCGACGGCACAAGGAAGGAGTATCGAAAAAAAAAAAACTATACCCATTTTTTTGCTGTTTGCAATAAAGCCGGAGAGATGTGTTTGGGTGACGATGTGTGTGACAAACAACCTTATATGCTTCGCCCAAAAACCTTTTTAAGGCGGGGGGAGGAGGGGCAAAGCCTAGCCTATCAAAAACGCATCTCTGGTCCAACAACAACAGAGACTGGCTACAGACAAAAAAAGACTTGGCTACAGAGACGCGTAGTTGGTCTTTCCTCCTTTCATCCGCACACTTCATCTTTTTTTTTGCTCACCTCACTTTCAGCTGCACATCCAAACTGAGGTTCTAGAGTCAGTGGTCGCTCTTGTACATGGGATGGGAAATCACGAACGGCTTGTTGGTCTTCATTACTCAAGTCTGGAATAAAAATAAAGATAAAAAAAAGGGAGCTCTAAGAAAAGAGTTTACTAGAAAGTCGTGTAAAAAGGCTACCGGTACCTGTATCTCACAAAAAAAAAAAAAAAAAAAAGGCTGCCCGTGCTCTTTCTTTTTTTTTTTTTATTCCTTCTTTTTGTCTTTGACGAGTTCAAAAGCTGTGCTGTCGCTTGCCATGTCTTTGTCCACAAAAACGATAGCTCTTTCATCTAGCATTATCATTGCTCCAAATTCCTCCACAATGCCTTTGATCATCTACTCAAATAGCTCCCGGTGCCTAGGAACACCTCCTCCTCCTCCTCTTCTTCTACTTCGTGGAAACCTCCTCCTCACTCACCACCACTCATTCTCCCTCCTCTCCCCGTACCTGACGCACAGCTCTCCATCACGAACACGACGAACGAATAATGAAGAATATGCCATTCACAAACAGCACATCCGATACACAGCTCATTCTTATGACTCCCCTAGTGAACCTCATGATCATGTCTTCGTCTCCTTCCATCAGTACTACAACCGCCACGGCAGGTGAGTGCTGCCCATCGAGGATATCATTCACCCGGCGAGAGATGCAGGGTCCTAGCTCTTCAGACTACGTCCTGATCGGTGCGTTCGGATTCGCATTAGGGTACATGATAGCAGTGCTGATCCTATGCTCATGCTACGCAAGACGGTACCACCGTGCGGCTCAAACACTGACGCAGACGCAGCTGGAGGTCCAGGCGCAAGATTCCGGCGGTGGAGGCACAGGGTCATCCGTACGGACGATATCTCCGACAGAGTCATGGATGGAGATGCATGGTCTTCCGGAGCACTCGGGACTGAACAGAAACGATCAGGGACAGCAACAACTTTCACAAATGACAAGGGACAGGAGCAGGTGTAGCGGTGAGGTAGCGAACCAGACGCATGCATGTCGCCATGTTGGGAGAGAGGATCGTGGCAGTGGAGACCGAGTTTCTTTGCAGGAGCAGGCGACAACAGCAACAACGAACATGTGTTGCGTGCCCTTTACTGGACGACGACGAACAACAGGAGAAGAGGGGAATGCAGGAGAGATGGTGACCATGGAGGTATTGACGGATGCACAGGAGAATGTGTGCGTAGGTCCCATATCCTTAATCATGACCAACGACGAAGAAGCAGCGCCTCAGTTTTCCTCGACCCTTCCATTTGGTCCTATCCACAGGCGCGTCGAACGACAGCGTCACCAGTACGCGGGAGTCGTGCCGATGTTGAATTCGACGACGTCCTTGACGTTCTCGTCCGCTGAAGGCACTCTCTTTGCAGTCCCAGAGCACCCGTTCGTCGCACGGGACAGGAGACAGCCTTCAAGACCCACGTCGTTCGTGAACGAGATTGTCGCCCTATACGACCTTGCACACCACTACGCATTGGCCCCACCCCCGCCTTCAACCCCTGTTGACTCTTTCTCACAGGGTTCGGAATCTGATGAGGATGCACACGTATCGGTAACAGTGGGGGCGTCGGAGGGACAAGATGTCTAGGATTGGGGGAGCGAGGTCATCGACCGATATGGCATGGCGGTAACATTTGCAGGATTCGATGATTAATGTGGGTCGTATATGGTCAAAGGCCCTGATAGACTATGAACACTGCAAAATGTCTTTTAGACTACTGGAGGAAAAACAAACAATAAAAATCATTCAGGTCGGCAGCGTATACAGGTTTATGTATGCTGCGCAGTTGCGTGGACGTGCAAAATAAGGAGCGATGGCACCAGATGGCACCAACCGCCTAAACAAAAACAGCAGCAGAAAAGGTGTGTCGAGTCGGGGATACAAAAAAAAAAAAAAATCCAACAGCCAGGACTTTGGACGGGCCAATATTGCGGTTTTTTTTGCTGAGGGAGAGAGCGCTGACAAATTGCCCATCGCGCAGTGTGTCGGTGGTTTCAGGGAGCATGCGCAGGCGGTGTAGAGCGGCGTGTCTGCATCGATCGAAGAGGGAGGGGGGGGACGCACAAGGACGGTGGTTGAAGTGACGACCGCTTAACCCAATTGGGCGCATGGAACCCCAGAGAAGCAAAGTGGAGCGGGAAAAGGTGCGCATCCTGTCTACTGTCCCAGACCACTGGCGGCTATGGGGGGGCTATGATTATTAATGCTGTGGGCCACGCAGACAGAGCCCCCCCTCCCCTCCCGCGCGGACGGGGTCTACGTGCGTCGCCTGATGAGAGACAGCACCACGATCCGATCATCCGTCCACGCATTCTACTCTGGGGATAGAATGGGCCCTGCTCTAGTCCTGTAACATAGTCCCCTTACCTACAGAGGAAAGTGACCTCATATGGAATCATTCAATAGGCCCAACCCCCAATTGCTCGCATAGTCCTGGATCCCGTATAAAAACCAGCTCCTCCACCCCCCACCATTCCCATCAACCTACTTCTCACTCGCTCTTCTCTTCAGCTTCACACAACAACTCCCTCACCTGCAGTCCCTCTCCCTCACCTTAACAATGACCCACCCCTACTTCGACCCCGCCCAGGCTGCCGTCTTCAACGAGCTCAGCACCGCTCGTGACAGCACTTTCGAGGTCTCCTACTTTGGCCTCCACGGCTTTGCCGGCGTCACACGCACGATCCTCGCCGCCGGTGGCGCCAACTTCAAGAACTATGTCCCCGCGGACTGGGCCACTGAGAAGCCTAGCGCCCCCTTCGGTGTCATTCCCCTCCTCAAGGAGACCTCCAAGGACGGCTCCAAGACTATCCACGTGGCCGAGTCCGACGCGATCGAACGCTACCTCGCCAAGAAGTTCGGCTTCACTGGCGCCAACGCCTTTGAGGAGACCCTCGTCAACACCTATGCGGCCCACACGACCGCACTCTTCCAGCAGTGCTTCCTGAAGTACTTTGGAACCAAGGACGAAGAGGTCAAGGCCAAGGCCAAGGCGGACATGGCCTCGGGTTCGATTCCCGGTTGGGTTAACTTCCATGAGAAGTACCTGGCTGCGAACGGTTCGAACGGACATTATGTCGGTGACAAGACTTCGTTGGCGGATATTAAGACTTACCATATCCTCGGGTTGCTCCAGAGCCTGACGGGCGAGGACTTGATCTCGGAGAGCAAGACTCCAGCGATCTGGAAGGTCAAGACCACGCTCGAGAGCATGCCCTCCGTTCGTGCCTGGAGGGAGACTGAGGACTTCAAGGCCTTTTCCGAGAAGAACCTGAACTTCCTTGGCTATCCTTAAATACCCACTATCTTCTCATTCTAGTATAGCGACAATAAAATCACATTCTGTATACTAATCAGCCCCAGGTACCGCGTCAAACAGAAAGGTGTTATTCTCTTCATATTAATCTATATACACGATATGCTAAATTCAAAAAAAAAAAAAAAAAAAAATGCGCTGCCTTTTTTCTTTTTTCTTTTTTCACCTCCTCCACTATGCCAGTCCACAAATCGTCAGCTCTCTCATCTGCTGCAAAATTCCCTCTGATTTCTGCTCCAGCTCATACTCCTGCGGCTCCGGCGGGAAGTACTGTCTCAACCCCTCCAGCGCATTGTGCGCATCCTGAGCATACGACAGCTGGGACTTGACCACCGCCTCAAACGACGGATCCAGATAACCGACCCTTGCGTCGATCACCTTGGGCAATTCTGTCGTCAACTGCGCGTTCATGGTCTCGTACATATCCCGGGCCAAATTGGCCTCATGTTCCGCACGGGGTAACTTTGTAGAGTCCTCCGAGGGTCTCTCGACGAGCTTGCGGACCTTGGACCGTGCGTTGTCATAGTCGAGCAGTTTCTTGTTCCGACGACGGATCGCCTCGTTGATCTCGGGGAAGTAGGCGTTGTAGCGTCCGATCGGATCCAAGACTGCCGCACGGTAAGCTGCTTCCTGATATTTTTGTAATTTGATCCGCAGTGTTGAAGGAAAGGGGAGGGGGGGAAAAAAAAAAAAATGGAGCGGTATGCTGTGTGTTAGTTCACCAGAGCCCGATTCGTAGAGCGATCCGATATCCTTTCGCTTTGTCCATGTTGAAAAAAAAAAAAAAAAAAAAAAAAATGCTCATTTTGATGACGAGGAGATCGTACCTCCTCCTGTATCTGCTGCTCCATCTTCGTGACAGCATCCCTGTACTTTTGTCCAGACAGACCCATCGGCTCGCCTTCGTCGTAGAAATTTTCCAGCGTGTTGGCGATCCTGACCTGTGCTGCAGTCATCTCTATGGACATGAATTGGAGAAAATTGTAACGGGTGAATGGGTGAACGGGCGAAATGAGTGTGGGCTGTGCTTAGCAATTAATTTATTAATTTTTGAGGAGCAACAAAAATAACAAAAAATACCTCGCATAGCTTTGGCGTATCCGCTCGCTTCCTTGTGTAACTTCTCGGCTTTTGACGCCAGTCTAGAGAGAACATGAACATGAACATGAACATGTCGGGGGGAGAGGATGTCAGTCCTTAACATCCTGTTTCTTCTTTCGACTGCTTCCTGGAATAATCCCCCTTGGAAGAGGAAAAAAAGGGGGGAACTTACTGCTTGGCCCGCCGTTCTTCTTCCTCAAACTCCCTGTCTGTGGTGCGGTCCATGTTCCCGGTCTTGTGGAGCACCGAGGTCGTGGCCCTGTTGAGGTTCTTTTTGAATCCTGCCCTATATGTACGTTGCAGAATTGTGGAGAAACCATTGAAAAGTATCCAGGCCAGGGGTGGAGTGGGGGCGTGTTGCGCTATGCGTTAGTGTGCGGGTTCGAGTGTTTGTGTGTCCATGGAGGCAAAGCAGAAAAGAAAAAAAGCTGTAAGCGTTACCAACTCATTTTTCAAAATGGTTTTGCGTGCAGTGTTGGTTGAGTGATGAGAATGAATGGAGACTTTCTGTTTGGTCAAGGGTGTGATGGAGAAATGTGTGTGGAATTGGATGAGAAGAGTGGAGCGAAGCGAAAAGAGGATCTTCTTCGGCGCAGTTGGGTGCAAAATGACGACAGAAACGGCCGGAACATCTTTCTGGGGGTGCCACTCAATTGATCACATGACGACAAAGCGCGTTTCCGATCTGAACGAACGCGCTCTTCACTCGGCCATGTCGCGTTCTTTTCTTATGCTGTAGTCCTCTGTGTTTCCTCGTGGCGAACAACATGAAAGGGTTGTTGTCCTGCTGGGAGAAAAGGAGAAGATACGACCGATAGTAGTGTTCTAAACATCATCCCACAAATACGTCCATCCACACGCTCTACCGACCCTCTACCAAACACGTTTCCTATCCATCTCCTCGCCGCGGTTGACAAGTATGGTTTCAATGGCTATCTGCAGGTTTTCAGCCTGGGGAATAACTGAGGTCATGGCTCCAAGGTGGCCGTATCAACTCAGTGGCACTAGAAAGACGTGTCTGAGGCTGCAGAAACGGCATGCACATTTGGCGTTGGGGGTGTTTAGCTAATACCAAGCGAGAGGGCGTTTCCTCCCACGCTAGTCCTCCCGTTCTTCCTCTTTCCTCAGCACACCCCCTCCTTCCCTCCCTCGTCTTCTTTTGCATCCCATCAAAAAATCCCGAATGCTCTCAACCGCCATGCCCGCCATGCGGCCACCAACCTCCTACATGGCTACGCTCCACAACACCGTCCGTCGCGCTTCGATCGTCTCTGCAGCATCACCCAGCGCTCATGCATTCAACACCCTGTCTAGGACTTCCTTGCCGCAGAGGACAGCCCATCACTTCAACCCATGGGGTTTGCAGGGACACCATCACCAGCGCTTCATGTCCACTTCTACTCAGCGTAAGACGAAGAGGCCCACACAGGATAATGACGCACTCTGAGAATAGTGAGGATCAGGACTAACACTCATATGTGATTGATTGACGTTGCCGGTTATCGTGATAGTCCATAATGGGTTCATGAAGGCCTCTCCCCTGAGCTCCATCAAGGCTACAACCGGCGTATCCTCGAGGACATTGATCGCAGCCGGTGCGACGACGACATGTATCTTTGGACCGTTAATTTGGGCGCGAGCCTTTGGGTCGTTCAGAAACGTTGCCCATTGTGCTCCCGCAACTCCCAGCAACCCCAAACTAGGTACACGCCATTGACGCTACTCGTATTTTGCATCAAGAACGCACAAAAAGCTGGAACTAATGTTATCTTTGCTTTATTATTCTTCGTGCTTGATGTAGCCAATATTGGACAGACACCGCCCTACAGCACTTGTAAGCGAGAATGGGGGAGCTAGAGGCGCTATTTGAGTTGTCATTCTGATTGCAATTCCGAGAACGTTGGTTCTTTGTCATTGACATATCACCCCATGGGTCTCTCCCGCTCTCTCTCTCTCTTTCTATCTCTTCATCTCTCTGTAGCAAGGATTCCCAACGATAAGGACCCACTCATCAACTCCAAGGAACTCACATTCGGCGCCGCCATGGGACTCTGCTCCGGTTATCTGTTCAAGAAGCTTGGCAAGATGTTTGTCCTCGTTGCAGGGTTGGGTTTCGTTTGCTTGCAATTGCTTGCGAATTCGGGCTATGTCCATGTGAACTGGATCTTGATCGAGTCGAGGTTCAAGGACAAGTTTGATCTGGACAAGGATGGAAAGGTCACGGTCAATGACGCGAAGCATGGATTTAATTGGATCATTGACCTCTTGACCAGGAACTTCCAGTTCAAGTCGACCTTTGCAGGAGGATTCTACCTCGGCTTCCGATATGGATAAAGGATAGGCAGATGATGCATTTTATTGTGGAAGAGCTGCGCCGTTGATCATATCACTCGAGCAAGAAATAAATCCATCAGGCATATGCGATTACGCTGCGGCATCCCTTCGACTTGGAATGCTGAATAAAAGATCATTGTCGGCGCTCTTCTCTTTGTCGCTGTCTTTGCATATTGCTTTTCAATGCTTTTCTTCTTCAAAGGACCCCCCCTTTGCAAAACAAGTCACAGCCATGTCCGTTCTCGCTCTCTTCCTCTGGTTCTTTCACAGTCGCAGCAAGGCTGTGCAAGAGCATGTCCTCGTGTTCTTGCGACCCGTCATGTTCAAACTTCTCAATCCCTTTCGTTCTGCCCATCACTTCAACACCATGAGATCAAGCACAATCGTCACCATCGACGAGATTCCAACACTTCAGGACAGCTACAAGGACTACCCGGAACCACCAAAGGGGCAAGGTACTATGAAGCGCTTCTTCAGTTTGTCTTTGTCTAACGCCACCAACATGGCGATTTTAATTTCATTGTGCTGCATTTTGGTTCAATAAATAGAGCTGAGGTATGCGGCGAATGCATCGTACAGTCGTCTGCTCTCACTATGGTAACGATTCAACGCGATGCGCGGAAATAGTACGATCCCAGACTGTCTGAACATATTGTCACACGCTGACTTTCATTCTTTCTTTCTTTCTGTATCCTGTGTCTATCTATAGGAAAGGCGATATCACATCTCTGAAGATCGATGCAGTCGGTATGTCGATACACTCGTTACTGCTTCGAAGGAACCTGTTTTTTTTGTTTTTTTTTTAACGAGTTCATTGCGGTCTTCTTTTTTTTTTTTTTTTTTTCCTCATTCGATATATACCACTTAGTCAATGCTGCGAACGCGTCCCTTCAAGGAGGTGGAGGAAGTAAGTTGTTGTTTTTTTCCTACTCTGCTCTTTTTTCAGATAATATGGATTGAATGGAATAAAAATGACGTTAACAACAAAAAAAAAAAAAAAATTCTGAATTGTTCTCGCACATAGTTGACGGAGCCATCCATAGAGCAGCAGGGAAGCAGCTTTTGGCAGAGTGCGCCAAACTCTTTGGGTGCAAGACAGGCGTATGTCATTCCCATTCCTATTTCATACAAATTTGCTCATGATCTGTAGAAAAAAAAAAAAAAAAAAATAGCTTACGGTCATTTTTTTTTTCTCACCCACCTTTCACGGTCCTCGTTGGTTGAATGTTGACAACGCTAATTAGGATGCCAAAATCACGAGCGGGTACAATCTGCCAGCGAGTCGTAAGTGCCTTCGCACCATATTTTTCAACTCTGTACACGCCGGGCCAAACTTATTGAGACTCTTTTTGCGGACAATATTCTCTATCGTATCTGGTATAGATGTGATCCATACGGTCGGTCCAAGAGGCGAGCACCCGTTGTTGCTGTCAAGCTGTTACAAACGCGTCATGGATATTGTCAAGGAGAACGATCTAAAGTCGGTTGTACGTCTTTCTTCGTCACTGTGCTAAACCCCAATCCGTGCTTGGATGATCTCAATGTTCCAGTGAGAAACCAATCATGAAAAGATACTAATTCAATGTCCTATCCGCTGACGCAAACTAGGCCTTCTGCTGTGTATCGACTGGCATTTACGGTTACGATAACGAAAAAGCTGCTCATGTTGCGTTCAAGACCCTTCACGACTGGCTGGATGCGCATGAAGATCAGGTCGAGAAGGTAATGCGGCTATTACGTGTTGGATGAACCCTGCGTTTCTGTCCATTTGGCCTTCTTAATGACCTAGTGTCATGCACTTACGCGTCATTCATGCATAGATGGATCGCATCGTCTTATGTGTGTTCTTGGACAAGGATGAGAATATCTACAAGAGACTGCTACCCCAGTATTTCCCCAAACCCGACGATGCCACCGAGCGTCAGACAGCAAGTTAGGGAAGGGCAGGAATGCCTCTACTATGGAAATAGGAGGACACCCTCGCTACTGCGCTGGTTTTTGCTCATAGGTGCCTCGGTTTCCATTTCAGAAATGAATAAAAAAAGACGTGCGAGCGTTTTTTTTTTTTGCAAGAGACCAAAACTGCTCTATCAAATCGCTGTGCTTTTTACGCACTCGCTTTTTTTTTTTTTTTTTTTTTTTTTTTTTTGGGACACACCTAAACCTTAAATCACCCAAACAACGCGTGGAGTGTACTTTATTTTTATATTTTATTTCTCTATCGCCTATTATCGCCTGGCCTATTCCTGCATCTCCTGGAGGCTCGTCCTCGACTTTGCGACCTTCTTCCTCACACTCCTTGGCAACGGATGCGCATGAACTCCTGAATGAATAAACCTTACGCGATCGGCCTCGTGGATCACCTTCATCGTCGCGCGACACGGGATATGTTCGAGTTCGAATCCGTCCTCCCTACAGACCCCCCTTGGCTGCATCGGTAACGAGTACTTGACCTTCTTGCCCGCCCGTGGCACCCGTGGCCTCTCGAGCTCCCCACACATCGGACATTGATACACGCCCAAACAGGATTTGTTGTAGGTCTGGCGACGTAGCTGCGGGTCCCTGTTCTTGTTGTCGCTGTGGCCGTAGACGACCATGGCCCAGCCCACGGACCGGGACTCGAGTGCGCTGTCGGTCGCGTCCACGGGGAGGGCGTATTCGATATCTCCGTTCGGGAACTCGACAGAGGACGGGTGCATGTAATTCACATACAGGGAGGGGTCGTGCGCGAAGGGGCCGTCTAGATGTGGGCGAACCGCGGGTATTGCAGAGGTCGTCGAGGATGCGGAGGGTGCAGCGGTAACGGCGGTGGCCACCGTGGCGGTGGATAATGGTGCAGAGGACGAAGATACAGGCACGGCGGAGGTGGAGGACAATTGTCCTACTGCTGTTGCAAGTGCCACTGCTGCTGCTGCTGATGATGATGATGATGATGATGATGATGATGATACTGCTGGTACTCCGACGTTGGATGTTGGACCGCGGTTTGCGAAGCTGGAGGCCAGGTTCTCAAAGGACTATACAAAACGTCCATCGAATCAAGCAACATTTTAATACGAGGACGCGTACTTTCTTACCAAACAAACAACCAAGCAAACAAAAAAAAAAAAAAAAAAAAAATACTACGCGCGCGAGAGGATGATGAAGGAACCCACTAGGATGAAATACCATCTTATGCGCCAGCACTGTACCTCGTCAAAGTTATCCTGTTCAAAATCCGGCTCGTCATCGGACTCATCGCTCATGGTCTGTCGATCCTGCTTGCTCTGCTGCTGCTGATACTGCTGCAACTGCTGCTGTCGAAGCCTCGCATTGTTCTGTTGCTGTTGCTGCTGTGGTGTGCCACGGGGCACTGGCGCCTGCGCTTGATGATGTTGCTGTTGCTGTTGTTGCTGTTGTTGTTGTTGTTGTTGTTGCTGTTGCTGTTGCTGTTGTTGCTGGCCCTCGTTCCCCGTCAATGATAAAATACGATCGATCAATTGCTGGTCCACCCTGGGCTGCGTCGTCGCCTTGAGTGCCGCACTGCACAAGTTCACGAGGAACGACTGCAGCTCCGTCGTATTGCTGTTAATGTTAATGTTACTGTCCTGTGCCCGTCCAGTCGACGAAGACACGGTCGTAGTCTGGTTCTGGTTCTGGTTTTGGTTCTGGTTCTGGTTCTGGTTCTGATTCTGGGTTCGATTGCTGGGCATGGCCAGGAAGTGTTCGATGACGTGATGGTCCACTCTAGGCTCAACGGTCGCGCGTAGGGCTAAACTGCAGAGGTGCACTAGGAATGATTGCAACTCTGACATCGACCTGACAGAAGGGGAAAAAAAAAAAGAAAAGAAAAAAAAAAACTGATCTTCCAAGTTATATAGGAGCAAAGTAGGTGTGTGCGTGTGTGTAAGTGTGTGAAAAGTTGGGGGTGTCAAAAAACGATTTTGTGCGGTAAAGCTGGGGGAAGATGGGGGGAGAGAGAGAAGAAAAGCGGAGAAAGAAGGAAAGTGGGTGTGTGTCATCAAAAGAAAGAATTTGGTGTGTATAAACCCGATCACCCCCTCCCCGTTTCAATTGACGTCCGTTATTTACAGCACAACCCAGGCGTGCAAAGAGCCCATGATCCTGCAAATAAAGCACTCTGATTCCAACTCGGGGCCCCGTTATCACTTGAAGCAAAAAAAAAAAAAAGGGTTATTCTATTTGACAACCTGGGTTGCCACTCTCGTTTGGCAAGCCCTTCTATATTTGGTATTTTAGCGCCACTGTTTGGCAACCCGTTGGCAAAAACCCATTTTTTGTTATTTGGCAACCCGTTGGCAAATAGCACTGGAGTGAATTTCGCAGGGTGACCGACCACACGCAGCTGTACAAGCTGTCTTTGTTGGAGCACCCCCATTTCCCCTGGCCCTTGAAATAAAATGGCTAATACCAGGTGCTTAGATAGCGTGTGGCCCTTGCTCGTTTGTCTATTGCGGGTCGGGCGCGATGAGGGTTGCAGGCAGCACTACCTCTCTCGTACGCCAACCCGATACTATTCCACCGTATCGCACAATCTTGCCGAACTTTTTGAGTTGTTTGAACCTCGTATAACCATACAGCCCACGAATCCAGTCTACAATAAGCCATTATCCTTGTACATAATACTCTTGCCTTTGTCTGCCCTTGACATATACTTAAAGTAGGACAATGATTTGGAATATACATGAAAAATACCTTTATTTAAGAACTTCGTGTGTTGCGACCGACGCTTCTGAGACTCAACACTGCTCCTGATACGCGTCTGCTTCGGCCTTCATCTCAACAGGGTTCATAATTTTAGAAGTCTCTCTCCCTTTGACGACAGCTTTGGAAATTGTTTCTTTCACCAGTTCGAACTGCTCCGGCTTTGAGTTGACTACATCCAAAAGCTCCTTCATCATCCCTGATATTTCCTCGTAGCGGCGTTTCCTCGATATCTCGCGTTCGTTGGGCTGCCTGGGTGCTGCAAAGGCTTTACCAGCCTTTGCGGTGCCTCACATGTAGGTGTCGGCGGGTGTACTGGTATTATTAGACCCCTAGTATATCTTGAGGACGCAAAACCGCTTAGAACTGACATCAAGCTCGAGACCGTCCTGTATGGATTCCTTGTACCATCGCTTGGGGGTTAATCTGATGTGATATTTACATCTTTTTGTCAAGTTTCATCACTTTAAAGATAGTATCGGCACACGATGCCGCAGATTTGCAGCAGAAGGCATGTACAGAGCTACGAGCCACCTTGCAAAAGTAGAACATGCTGTTGGCGTTTCTAATGAATATCCAATTTATAGTCGCACTTGCAGAGTACCATCTGCTTGCGGAGGAGGACTTGAAATTGGAAGAGGATCAAGAGGCAGAAAGGCACTTGGAATACCATTGTGCTGAACTGGTGAAGAAGTTTCGGGTATAAAGGAGTCCATGATGACTGAGAGGAAGGAGTGAAGCAATGAAAGAGTGAGTGAAAAAAAAAGTGCGAAGTGTCCCCATGGCCGGGAGGTAGTGGAGGGGCGACGAGGGTCGAGATTCGCTTCTTGGTTGCACAAGAATCGGCTTGAGAGACAGCAAGAGCCGTTCTTCAGACTCACCCCAATTTTGATCCTTCAGGCTACGCGAAGCAGGTCGAATTCGCCTCTTGATCAGGAATCGAAAGGGATAATCGATGCAGCTCTTTGAATCCATGTCGATTCTCGCAAATTTCCAGAAAGGAAGGGCTATTAGCCTTAAGCACATCTTTACGGCTAAGAACACCATGTCTATTAGATCTAATGTAGCGACAAGCAAGGAGCACAGCTAGTTTCTTTCTTTTTTTTTTTTTGGGCTAACCCCATCTTCCGCTGGAAACCCTGACAAACAACCGAGCAGATCTCATTCAACGAGGCGAGTCGTACAATAACCCGGTGCGTATGGTCAAGGATAACTACGAGGAAGCCATGGTCGGTGGATGGATGATTCTAAATCCGGCCAAGAATATCGAGCAAAGCAAGGACCTTGCTCACGAGGTTCAGCCGATCCCGGATAGGTTTCAGCAGCGCTATCCGAGAATATCTGTCCTGCATTCCGTCTCGTTTTTCTGATGCACTCGTCTTTTTCTACCCTTTAGATTTTTTTTCTTCTAACATTAATAAACTCATCAGATATCACAGCGAACAAGAGTTGATATATGTTATTGGATATGCAGCTCTTGAACAATGGTTTTATGAGTTGGTATACATTGCTGTTATTCTAGTTTCTGGTCTAGATAAATAAAGAGTTCAGTTACTTTTGTGCCCGCGAGCGGGGAAAGGGAGAGCCATCAGAAATGAAATATGGAGGTTGAGATGATAGCGACAATGACAATGAAGATGGGAAAGGTGGAAGACGATAATGGAGGAAGAAAAACATTGCATTTAACTAGAGACGTAGTGTAACAAGACGAGGAGTGGAAACAAGAACTACTTTTAATAATATTGCAGTGCACGGATATATATACTATCACCGCTACGGCCACTGCACGTAGACCCAGCCAAATTCAAAGGTCTCAAAATCATCGGGGTAGTTGCCCTTAGTGAGCTTCTTCTGAGAGGCAACGACGATACGGAAGAAGCTATTAAAGGGAGAGGAAGCAGGAGGAAGTGGGATAGGGGCCAAGGTCGCATTCTCGGCAGGGAGGGCCAATCCGTCCCAAGTGTACTGGGTATAGGCCAACTGGCCGGTGGTGCTATCGACATCCTTCGTTCTGCCGGTGGCACCAAAGGCAGCGCCGCCATCCTTGGAGGTCAAAAATCCGAAAAAATTATTTGCATTATCATAGATGCGGATGGTGGCATCGGGAGAGTGCGAACCAAAGCGGGACAAGACAACGGGCTTTAATAAATTAAAGTCAACGTACGAGTTCGAATTGATATCGTCCAACTGGCCGGTGGCCACGTTGAGTATCTTCAACATGGGGAAGCCGAGACTGGTATCCTGGATTGGCACGTTGCGGATATCGCCTTTGATACCAGTGTAGGGAATATGAACAGCAACGCCATTCTCGGAGTGAGGGGTAGCAACGACGAAACCAGAGTACAGTGGCCATTGAGCAGCATTGCCATTATTGGGCTCGGTGAACTTCAAGGTGAGCATGGCAGTATCGCCAGGGTTGATCGTAACGGTGCTTGGGTCGAACTTGACGTTGGCATAGTCGGCCTCAATAATGGGGGTACCGAGTGGGAAGGTATTGTTGGCGTTGTACGAGTTCAAGGCATCAGCGGGGACGTGCGTAAGAGTATAGGTCTCAGCGTTCTTGCCGATATTCTTGATCTGGACCTTGGCCCGCCTCTGGAAGTTGACAGTATCGAGGAGATCAATGTGGTCGGGCCAGAGCTCGGTCGAGGTTAGGACAGCGTTGAGGACGTTGATCAAACCAGCACCTTGCTTGGCAGCTGAGGTAAAGGTCTCGGATTTGTAGTTCTTGGAGACCGTGGCGGTGTTCTTGAAGGTCTTGCGAATCCATTGACCATGAGACCTGACCTTCTTAGCTTGCATGTACAGAGCATGGGCACCAGAAACGTAGGATGTGGCCATGGATGTGCCAGAGAGGACAGCATAACCACCCAGAGCGAGAGGGTAGGTCGAGAGGATGTTGCCACCAGGAGCAGCAACATCGGGCTTGGAGCGGAGATCACCATCCAATCCGAAGGATGAGAAGGATGAGGGTGATCCCCAGTTGTTAATGGAGAAGAGTCCCTGGTCATTGGACCAGGCCACAACGGACTCGGGGTTGGCCGTCCAGGTAGCGAGCAGCTGGGCACCAGCATCAAACTCGATCGACGCCATGGGCAGGTTGGGGACACCTCCCAAAGAGTCGATACCAGCACCGCTGGACTGGATGATCATACCAGCAGCGCCTTTGGCAACAGCCAGAGAACCACGTTTATCAGACTTGCAGCGGGTGATATCACCAAGGACCAAGACCATCTTGCCCCTGACGTTGACGCCGTTGTAGAGGGACTTATCGCATCCGTCGCTCAGTTTACCGTTGGAGAGCAAGGGAACGATGGCGACAGGGGCGAACAGAATAATGCTCTCGCCGTAGGCCTCAGAGAAGCTGTAGGGGAAGTCGTTGCCGCCATAGGTGAGGTAGTAGAACGAGCTGGATTGATTGTCGAACGACGCGACCGAGGTAGCGTGGTCGCCAAGACCAGTGCCAGACACCATCCAGACACCATCAGAACCATCGTTACCAGCAGGGCCGACCAAAGCTTTGCCGCTGATCAGAAACTTCTCAGCAAGCACAGATATGGGGTTGGTCTTGTAGGAGGAGCCGCCGGCGATAGACATGTTGATGACCTAAATGTTCAAGAATACCGTATTGACCGAAGTGGATGAGTGGCCATCCTTCTTTTCTCCATCCCACATGTCCGTGTGATTGTAATCAATAGCTCGATCACTTACATCCATGCCGTCGTTGAAGGCCAACTCCATGGCGGCAAGAATAACATCATCACCAGCTTGGCCTGTGCATCCAAAGATACGGTAGGCACCGAGAGTAACCTCGGGGGCGACACCGACGAAGGGCTGTGGGGGGTTAGGCGAGGTCTTGATGTTCAGAGCATTTCCACCAATGATGCCGGCGACGTGAGAACCATGTCCAAAGCAGTCCATGGGATCACTGTCGGGGTTGGGAGTGTTGGACCCAGTGTAGTCATCACCGACAAAGTCCCAACCATACCTGACACGGCAGTTCTTGCCATTGAGACCGAAGCATCCAGCATTAGCACCGGCAGCAGCGAAGGCAGGATGCTTGTAGTCGATACCTGTATCGATGACACCAATCTTGACACCCTTTCCTGTCAAATTGTACTTGCTGTGCAAGACATCGACACCAGTCATGCGGTGATTCGATGTCGCAGAGGCATCATCGGGGTTCGTGATGGGGTTCCCAACATTGGGCATGTCGTAGAGCGAGATGTGCCAGACATTCTTGACTCCAGGGATCACGGAGAGAGCGCGACCATCATGCTGGGAATCAACAGTGATGGCGGCTCCGTTGAAGACATTGTACTCGTTGCGGACCTTGTAGTTGACCTTGTGGGACTTGAGGGCCTTATGAGCATCCGAGTGTTTGACACCATCGTGATATTCGATAATGAAGCCGTTGTTGATGATGTTGGTCTTGCCATGCTTGAGAGAGTGGAACTTGCCGGCCGAGACGAGGGTGGCCGCAGCAAGGGCGGAGAGGATGGCGGTGATCTTCATAATGAGAGGTAGGGACCAGTGTCTGTAGAAGACTGTGAGGGGTAATTAGCGAGGTGGGAGAGGGGAGGAGAGAGGGGGGGAGGGGGGTTCAGAAGGAGAGCGCGGTAAGGAAAGGGCTATGGTAAGATGTAGGGTGGTGAGGTCAAAGATGGCTAAAGAAGAAGCCGGTTTCCGGGGGATGGCAGCTGGTATTTATACCATCCTGTCTATCGTCCGCTCCAGCTAGTTCCTGTGCGAGTGGGATATTAATGGCAAGAATGGCTGCTGTTTCTCCGCGGATATCCGTTCGAGGTCGGTTGGGTCGCGTGCTGAAATGCACACATTCGCTGGATGTCATTGATGTGTACCCTCGTACTTGTGAGGTTTGTTACCAGGAACGATTGTCCTCTAAATAGATGGATACACTTGCCTCATTGGTCTCGGGGACCATAGATACTTGTTTGTCAGCTCAGCTGTATTTTAACCTCCTTTGTGGTCTGTCTTTAGGTCCTGTTCATGTTATTCTCCCAATATAGGACCTGTCAAGAGCCTAGCTTTCCCAAATTTGGTCCGTACAGGCGCGTGGACGCTGTCTAGAGCGAGATCTTCTTAAACCCCCGGCTCTAGACCTATGTTTTTTTTTGTAAAGTTAATAGCCCAGAATTCTTACTCGGGTTTTATTGGCTACTATTATGAATGGTCGTATAAGAATCAACCATAATCCATGAAAATTAAGAGACAGTCTTATCGCCCCAGTATGCTGGATACCATTATTCTGCACCGGATGATATTTGCCTTCATCTGCAGACCTGCGATTTCTTTGATGCAAACGATAGTATCCGGAGTGAGTCGATCTAAGGAGAAAAGAGGACTTTATTCGTGTGAATGCTATCTAGTTCTAAGTGTAGATAGAGTTTATATATTGGCTGGGTCTATGCCAACAGTGTTCTGGAATGTTGTAGAAAATAGGCGAAGCACCGAAGACATCATAGCGTACTGAACCGCGCATAACCCTTCTGCAGGCATGCAGGGAAGAGCATACAGTAAGAGCATCATTTATAGAGGCTAGATGTTCATGGGAGCAGGACCAACTCTCGGGCCAACTCTTGATGATGACTAAAGTTTGCCTTTGCAGGAGTCCAAAAATAATGTAGTACAACTGCTGGCACGAATCATGACAACCAAACAAACATCAAGCCTTGCTGCAACGTAGGTTGGCACCCCCGATGACTACGATTAGAGCGAAGCAGGGTGTCGTTGACAAAGATCCAGATTGCGGTTGACATTGCATTGATCGCCTAGCACGGATCGTTATTCGATACGTGCCAGCTATAACGCTCTGCCGTCGCGTTCTGAAAAAACCGTGAATGTTGCTCATCCGGAACGAACTCCCGCAAGACCCAAAAAAGACAAAAAGAAATAAAGTTGCTAGAGATGCCCACTTTCACCACGCACGCGAGCAGCTAAACCTGCCACTCACCCACACTCACACTCAAAATCACATCCAAAATCGTCCTGTATCATGCACACTCTCAACATGCCTCGACGACCGATGTGCAAAGACTACAAGAGCTGCTCTCTTCCTGTAGAGAAGCAGACCGCCGATCACACGCTACGCTATCATGCCACCCCAAAGGTCTCATTTGTAACCTCTTCGACTCACGTCATGGTTGGTGTGGAGAGAGACCCCAAGTATGATATGTATTATGTGTGCACTAGCGACGAATGCCCCTACAAGTCAATCCTCTCCTCGAACCCACGAGCGCACTTTCGTGAGTGCAAATTCGTCCTACAGGACCACCAGCGAAAATATCCCTGGTTATTCAAAAGTTCTTCCGATCCTTCGAGTCTTTCAGGCTCCTCACGTCGCTACACGCGCATAAAACCAATTGGCAACACCATTGCAGACACAGCAGAAACAGCAGCGGCAGCAGTCAGTGGAGCAAACGCTAGGTATCACCCATACGTCCATACTAGCCATCCACCGGTCACTACCACCGCCATCCTTCCACAGGACAGCACGCAAGTTGCGGTCCCCTTAGCTTTCAACGAAACGATGTCAGAGAACTTGACTGCGATTATCAAGCGACTGCAAGGGATGGATGAGAAGTTCATTCACTTCACAAACGATCTGAATGGACGAGTCAAGAGCACGGGGGCATCAGTAATCGTAACAGCTAACATGGTAAAGTATTTGGACGAAAGGGTCATATCATTATCAGAGCGAATCAAGAACGTACAGAAGATAACCAGTTGACTCCATTATAACGAGGATGCAATGGCGAACATGGTAGAAGCTTTAAATGATGTGTCATCTTGCGTTCAGGTTTTGAGAAGCATAGGACATAATATGCGCCCCGCCAAGAACACAGAGATCACAGCTTCCAGTCCGCCAGTTTTTTCGCATACCATAGATCTCTTCAACACCCTACCTGCACTTTTGACGTCTTCTAACGCTATTGTACTATTGTTGTTATATAGATGAAGGAGCACCATTCATCATACCAGATTTATCAGAACCTAGCTCGGTTTACTCCACCTGCACTCGAGACACCCCTTCCCCGTCCATCGACTCTCAGAATCTGCCGGCTGGCAACGACGAGGAACATGAAATTAAGGCCACCATCATTAAGAACATCATGGGTAAGGTGGCGGACCAAGACCAGCAAGATCATTGGGAGGCCGAGTATGATCATGAACAGTGATATTGTAGGAGTGGAGATGGTGAGGAAAAGAGGGGTCCAAAAAATAGCAGCAAGAACAGCAGCAAGGAATGAAGCCCATAATACCTTGATATTCTTATGAATTTATGAATTGGCAGTTGTGCTAAGCAGTGCATAGCTCGGCCTCATGGCTGCATGATCTCTCCCCCATAAGGATTTCCTTGTTGAATAGGACAGCAGTTCAGATGAACTGAGTGCTCTATGACACCCAAAGTGCTGCGCCTAATTCCGCTGAAGTCTTTTTTTTCTTTTTTTTAACAGACTCACATACATGGTCCCCGAAAGCCTTAAAGCACATTTGAGGTAATATTCTCCGTAGTCTTTTAAAGACATTTGCTATGTAGGTTAGTTCAATAACTTACGCTTGCTTGGAGTCATACACTGTACACGCTGATATAGTCTGGCACTTCTCATCCACACGACTGGAATTGTACCTCTACACTCCGTCCCAATACACATGTATCGGTTCTCGACGCACTTGGGGACTATCCATCTATACACAGCGGAACACGAGGATGCGTCGCTAGGCCCATGAAAACGCGAAGCGCTATTGGAGCAACGCCCATAAGTTGCCAAGGAATAAAAATCTTCTATTTGACAACCCGGGTTGTTACTCTTATTTGGCAACCCCTGCACAAATTCCATGTAAAACAAGACTCGTATCTTTTGCGAATTTCAAGTCGAAACAACGCGGCGAGAGGTTGAGAACCATTCCTTCCTCCACCTGGCACTCCATGCAACCTTTTGCGACCTTGGGAGAAGCCTTCTTCATGACGGAAAACAGGATTTTATCGATGACGGACTCAGCGATGACGAAATGGGAAGTCAGTTACATTGTGGAGTCCTTTAAGAGACAGATGACGATCTATCTTAAAGAGCCGGGGTCAGGTACCATAAGGACTACTGGCATAATCGACATTTAAAAAATGTTGGCCTTACATGGAGTTAGTATAGAGGTTGCCAAATAGCAGTGTCAACCCGGGTTGTCAAATAGATGGTCCCTTGTCAAAAAGAATAACCTCCAAAAAAATGGTCCTTCCTCTATGAGGACAAAAGAGAGCAGAATTCCGGATTTGAACCGGAGACCTGCCGATCTGCAGTCGGCTGCTCTGCCGCTGAGCTAATCCTGCAATGGACTTTTATTCTGTGGCCTTCTATAGATCTAAATACCTCATCTACAGCTACCTCTCCATAATTGCATTCATTCTCTATTTGCACAATTATTCCGTAAATGCACGATCTTCCCTACTTGCATAGGGAGCAGGGCTCAGTCACCGACCCCAGGCGGGGTCGAGTTACCACTCATGCTGACTGGGATTGTGAAGGGGATTGGAGCTGCGAGTGACCAGCAGCGGTGCGGCAAAAGCCGTTTATTAGAATATTGAGCACCCTTTACTATGCCTCTAGCAATAGGGTTCCCTAGTCTAGAGTCCCTCACTAATAAATCCCACATATCCTCGTGGGTTCTAGTTATCAAAAAAAAAAAAAAAAAAAAAAAAAAAAAAAACGATCTTCCCTACTTGCATATCTTGTCATGGGGATTTATGTTAATAAAAAAAAAAACCCCCCCCTACTTGCATGTCTGGCTCATGGGAATTTATGTTAAAAACCCATCTATCTTTTGTCCGAGCTGCGCCCAAACCCAACCGGCTCCCTGACGTCTCTCCATCCCTCTTATATTCACGCCCTCCATCTCACATCTGCCATCTTCACGCTCTCCATCTACATCTACGATGACACTTGAGGATTAGTCAGCGCAGCGTTGATCTGGTCCCGTTTCTGTATTTAAACGCTACAAAGATCATGAATAATAAATTGATTATGAAGGCCCAGAGAAAAGACATAATAACTTTGCGATTTGACCGTTGACTCTTTTGTTTATTCCCTTTTGCCCCATATTCTCTTCACTCCGCTCGTTATCACTCTATTTAGCTACCCTATCCTCTGCCTATCTCTCTTACCTTACCTTGCACTTACCTTACCCGCCACCGTTGATTTACCTTACCTACCCTACCCGCTCATTGTCTTCCCCAATAGGCCTGCTTTATCTTTCCCTGACTCCATTACCTGTAACATTTCGGCGCGATTTATGCGCCTTTTTGTATCTGTAATGGCCCGACTCAATTCAAGGGAGATAAAAATTTACAATTTATATTGCATGGATTTTGTGCCAACCTTCACAAATGCAAACACAAAAAGCATAGAGGAAATTTTTATCTCTCTTAAATTGAGTCGGGCCAATATTATCGTACCCTTCGAGGATGTTTTTGAGCTAGATTAAAAAAATCTATCAACTGGCGACTACAGATCGGTTCTACTTCGGTGAAGAGAACAGCTGTAATAGACCATTGCTGGCTTGTCTGATAGATTCGCATGATCAATTGGCTATAAAAAAGTAACAAAAACAATAAAAATAAAATAAAATAAAATAAAAAAAAAGCAGCATGAGCACACGTTGCTCATAACAAGGCCCGTACCGCTGGATCCAAACCCATCTTGTGGGTTTGTTCCAAGATATCGATCCACATTCAGGATCTGTCCTGTACCGCCGGGCCTTATTCGCTGCTCCTAGGCGACGACTTTATCGAGCGCTCTCCGGATTTAACCTGGAGCATTAGCGATTTGTACCAAGGTATCACGCCCATCAGCCTGATCAAGGAGTGGGGTAGCCTTTCCACCTCGCCACCTTCGATTGCGCGACAGGTCATCCACAAGTCTGTCAGCTTTATTGAGATACAAACTACGGAGCGGATCTGGAAACTACGTTTCAGGAACGGACAAGGCAAGAAAGGTAGCAAACAAGATAATACTATGGTTTTATTGCAGACTGGAGTGAAAGTAAGAACTAAGCCATGGGTTTATACGCGTTGAGAACAATCCAGCAGACAGTTTTAGACGCACCTTGATCCGGATCTTTCAGAGATGAGTCGGGATTCGGAGTTGGGGCTATAGAGTCATAGAGTCCTGGCCAAAATTCGAGCCCCCAATATTTTTACAATAAAACATTATAATTCAATCTCTGAAAGAAGGAGGCCTAAAAAGGAAATTGCGTTTCCAACCTCCTTTACTGGAAGAGAGGGCTGGGTCGAGCCTATTGAATTATAATAATTATAATGAAGATAATGGAGGCTCGAATTTTTGGCCAGGAGTCTACCTGCAAACGATCGGAGGATCAGAGTGTTCAAGGGGTTCTAGGGCAGAAGAGTGGTTTATTCGATGAAGATTGCCATCTAATCCTGCCTTCGAAGAGCTATTATATACGAAGGATATGGTGAAGCAAAGCAGCTGGGATGCTTCGGATAACTGGGCGAAGCATTCCTATGACCAGGACATCACATCATTCCCGAATAAACCGTTGTGTCCGTTGCACCAGCCTTAAATCCATCAAATCTTATATCCAGGCATATTCATTCCCAGAGGTTGTTCTTTCGAACAAGTCTATAGAACAACGGGCTTAACCTCAGCGAATCGTAGCAACAAGGCTACTCTACTGCCTGTAATACCCCGTTCAATTAAAGTCGTCTGCAATGGATTTATCTCTTCCAATGTTTGAAATTAACATTAGCAGACGCCTCATAAAACCTTACCGCTTCCTACAAGGCCGTCCCACGTAATACGATTCAGGATCCGAAGATCTATTCGAATTCAACTAAAATTCGAAAGGCGGTAATCGTCGCGCTCTAGCACAAATTCTGACTTAGAGGCGTTCAGCCATAATTCGACGGATGATAGCTTCGAGATCCATTGCCTGCTCAGCCATTCGACATTTTTTCGCGTGTTAAATCCCTCAGTTAAACTCCGTTAATGTATTATTATGTCACATCTTGTGGTCTTGGACACTTGACATAGCGCTTGAACTCCGTTGTCCCCAATTGAGTTGTCCCCCAAGGCCAAAGTGGCCAGGGTCGAGTTGGTCTTGAGTGCCTCAAACAACGTCTGAGCTCCGCTGTCTCCGATCCTGTTGAGAGTCAAGTCCAAAGTGGTCAGAGTCGAATTGGTCTTGAGTGCCTCAGACAGCGCCTGAGCTCCGTTGTCTCCAATTGAGTTGTCCCCCAAGGCCAAAGTGGCCAGGGTCGAGTTGGTCTTGAGTGCCTCAAACAACGTCTGAGCTCCGCTGTCTCCGATCCTGTTGAGAGTCAAGTCCAAAGTGGTCAGAGTCGAGTTGGTCTTGAGTGCCTCAGACAGCGCCTGAGCTCCGTTGGGTCCGATCGAGTTGGCTGCCAAGTCTAAAGAGGTCAGAGTCGAGTTGGTCATGAATGCCTCAGATAGCGCCTGAGCTCCGTTGGGTCCGATCGAGTTGTAATACAAGCTCAAAGTTATCAGAGTCGAGTTGGTCTTGAGTGCCTCAGACAGCGCCTGAGCTCCGTTGTCTCCGATCCCGTTGTTCCACAAGTCCAAAGTGGCCAAAGTCGAGTTGGTCTTGAGTGCTTCAGACAGCGCCTGAGCTCCGTTGGATCCAATTGAGTTGCTCCTCAAGTTTAAAGTGGTCAAGGTGGAGTTGGCCTTGAGTGCCTCAGACAGCGCCTGAGCTCCGTTGGATCCAATTGAGTTGTCCCCCAAGGCCAAAGTGGCCAGAGTCGAGTTGGTCTTGAGTGCTTCAGACAGCGCCTGAGCTCCGTTGGATCCGATCGAGTTGCCCGCCAAGTCCAAAGTGGTCAGAGTCGAGTTGGTCTTGAGCGTCTCTGCTACTATTCCAAATTCCTTTCCTCCAATCGATCTAGCTACCGTCTCAAAGGATAACTGGCGAAGATGAGATGGTCTTTTTGTTTCAAAACTGGAAAGCTTGACAAACTCCTTTGGAAGGACAACATGAATCATTTTCATATTAGGAAGTTGTATGATGCGAAAAAGTACTTCGTATCGTGTGGATGTCGGCAACAGTTTGCTGCCGAGGCTTGTTCGAAATCGATAGAGATCAAGTCGAAGAATCAATACTCTTGATTTCTTGAGTGCATCCTCTAATGCTTCAAGATCACTCCTAGTGCACTCCCAGTCGAATGTGATATCCAGGTCGTCAACACGTCGTGCTTTGCCTAGGGCATCGAAGAATTCTGCAGCTCTGATTTTGGATCCCAGCCTGATCACTACTTGACCGAGTTGCGGTTCATAAGTACCACCATTCATCTGGACTGCATTTGTAAATGCCTGTTGCTCTTTTTCTTTGTAAGTCAAACGATAATGGTCGATGCAGACCCATTTGACATGGCCCTCCTGTGTGACAATTCGGTAGAGGTTTCCTAGTGCTCGATGCTTGTCTTTGCCCTTGATAAAAGCTTCCAAGTGACGAAGGTCTGCACCCTCTAAAGCGTCCAGTCCAGTGAACGAATCCGCCTCGATGTCCTTGGCCGAGTCCTGATCTTTGGAATCGTTGTTCGCAAGTCCTTGTAGATACGCGATAGACTGGTTGACATCTGACTGTGAGATGGTGTCCAGAGAGTCCTTGAACATGTCAATAACTCCAGGGGCACTGACAGCAGCCAGCGCGGGAACGGCGAGGCCCGTAATTGTGACCCTGTACTTGATCATCTCTAGCACAGTCAGCATGTACCTGCCATACTTTTGGAAAAACTCCTTGGGTCTCTGAAGGTCGTATCCCTCATGTTTGGCAAGGTGAATGTGGTGTGGAATCTTGGTATTCTCGCCATCAAACACCTTGGTGTGCTCGCCACATTCGCAGAGAAAATGAAGTCGGAACTGGTTGTTGAGGATGTTGGCGGGGTCCCAGTTGGAGGTCTTATTGGGTAGGATGATGAATAGTCGTGGAATCGGATACTCGTGCAGCTCGTATGTCTGTGTAAGGAGCGCCGCGACTCGTCCATGAATGACTGCGAGTCGATCGAGTGCCTGCTCTTGCATCAGGAGCATCTTGTCATCCTTCTCTTTAGCCTCTAGCAGCAGAGCCAGCATCTTGTCATCCTTCTCTTTAGCCTTTAGCTGCAGTGCCAGCATCTTGTCGTCCTTCTCTTTGGCTTCCAACAGCAAATCCAGAATTTGTTGTTGTATGTCTTTGTTTTCGGACTTGATCATCGTGCTTTGTTCGATATTGCGAGCAACAAAAGGAACCAAGCTTGCTGATGACAAAAGAAGGTTCTGAGAGGTCTGGGTACCCACTTCCCCTAGTGTAGAGCAATAGACAACGGCGTTGTTGATGCTGGACTGAGGTTCTTCTGTAATGACATCTAGGACCTTGTCAGGGTAGAATGCGATGCATTGAGATCTAATAGAGCAGAAGAACATGTGAGAATTGAGTTTCTCTCTTTTGTCAGGTCGATTGAGATGTCTGGGTGATTAGTGCGTGCCTTGTGCCATCAATCTCTGGGAGGAATGGAATGGGATGACCATTCAACGCAAAGTGCTGTGCATCCGTAAACGCGTCCTGAATGTCTTCCAAACTCACAAAGCACGACGAAGTGTCAATGGCTCCAGGGATATTGGTGGTCCTGACAGAGACCTCTCGAATGATGTCTGCCTGCCGGAATTGTTGGTGTAGATGTTGTGTCATGGTGGTGGCAATTCAAAGGATGGTGGGTGAGGAATGAAGGATCTCAGCTGGCGAAGATGTCAACTTTAATACTTGTCTCTGTTGACTCTTTGGTGTCTTCGCCCTCGCCCTCGCCCTCGCCCTTGCCACTTTAGTACGGAATTAGGTTTAAAGTGTATGTTCTATGGAATGTTTTTTTTTTTGGCTCAACTGCGGCAAAGATGTTTACTCATGACCTGCTTAATGCCTAGTGTGACCCCACTTGGCATCCTTGATGACTTTGATCTTTCTAGGCATTCTCTCAATCAAGCATTGGCGGACAGAAGGAAGGGATCTTGTTCCGCTCCACTTGAAATCTTTCCCAGAGTTCGACCATGCCTTTCGGAATGCAAACAGTCAGTGGGTCGGGGTAGTCAAGGGGTTCTAGGGTGGAAGAGTGGTTTATTAGATGATGATTTCCATCTAATCCCACGTTAGAAGAGCTATTATATACGAAGGATATGGTGAAGCAAAGCAGCTGGAGTGCTCCAGACAACTGGGCGAAGCATTCTTATGACTATGACATCATTCTCGAATAAGCCCTTGTACCTGTTGCAATACTGAGTCAGAGCCAGGCGACACAGGCGTGGCGCAGTGGCGGAGTCTACTCCACGCGACGCGTGGGCGAGTTAGTGCCAGAACAAGACCAGTTACATATCACGCCAACCCATTTTGTTGATAGTGCATTCAAATGATCTGAATCCGCATGAACACAGCTATTTAAGAGCGCCAGTGCCAAATGGTAGAACCTTTATTTTTGTTTAATAACCATTTGCTCAACCACGCACCCCGACCTGAACCTATTGCACCTATCGAATGGTGCGATCCCTCATCAACGGTGTCGTATATTCACCAGAATCAGTGCCATATGTAAGCTATATGCGTTCATTCAAATGTACGATAAAATCTCAAACATTTTAATAAATACAATGTTCGAGTGTGGAGGCGTGGCCCCATATCTCTTTCTCCCTGATGTTCTTCAAGTGGCACCTATTTGATCCAGGTCAGGGTGGCGGTCAAGGTGTAGTACACGTCGGCCGGAACAAGCCTTATACCGCGTACACTTACATAACCCCTGAGTTGATGTCGGTAGTAAGGCCGATGCGAGCGACTCTACGACGATCCCCAGCTACTGCGTAGGATGTTATCGAGACGTCAACGCTTAGAGAGGAGGGTGTCGACCGCAATGCCCAATACCAGTCAAAAGGGTCAGATGATCACGTATTATAAATTAACCACTCGGCAGCTCAGCGCGTCCGACGCGTAGTCTACGAGACCCCAGGTCATCTAGGGCTTCGCCTTCTTATCATTGGTTCGATTCCCTTTAATCATCAACCTTCCCCAGTTATATTAAATTGTCGTTCCTCTCTTCCGACTCTTCTGTTATAAGTGTTCTCCTCTCATTGCGTCCTGTAAAAGTAGCCGCCTACACCTTTTGTCCCACTGGGGTTTAACGGTAGCTTGGTACACCTTCGATGTCGCGATCGTTGTTTCTTTTCTTTATAACCTTGAATCAATATCAAAGCTTAGTAACGAAGCCAGAATCCTCGATCCGGATTCCGGGCCTCTTCTAATATAAAAGCAGCTGTGGTTGGTTCTTTGCTACTCAGGTTGCCGTACCATTTTTATTCGTCGCTTTTTTTTGTTCTAGGTAAAAACGCATAGTTGTCGATGCAGCCCTACCCTGCAGGTATAATTTACTTAGTATGCAAAAAGAAAGGAAGTTGCTAATTGATCTATGCTCTAAACCGATACCGAGTTGATAATAGCGCAATTGCCTCGTCCTTAAAAAGATCCTTCTCCTCCTCCCCTATTCCCTCTCGATCGACGTCTCAACGACCTTACTTATGGTGTCGTGCCCAAAGCCATGCACCTCCAACTGCCACAGCCGCCGTCAAAGTTGCCGCAATAACATACATCCCAGATGACGATGACGTCGACTTCCTGTTCCTCTGCTGTGCCTTCATTGGACCCGCATGCTGCTGTAGTCCCAAACCCGATACCGCAAGTGGCTGCACCGTTTGTCCCCACTCTAATCGTCGCTCCCTCCACCACAAGTACCGCTGCGTCTTCGACGGCAGTCCATTCAAGCTAGCCACACCCCTGTCCATCAACTTTCCATCCTGATTCTCCTTCTCTTTTTCTTCCAGTGCCGATCCCTCTCCTGCTGAAGCTGAACCTGCCACTGTTCTAAACTCCCTCTCGAACTCGACCTCGACTAGCAGCCACTTATGATCACTCGCCGAGTAATCATGGTTCCCGACCTTGCGCTCCACACACTTAAGGTTCATCAGCAGTGTGTAATCTAGCTTGGCCTTTAGTATCCCAAAGAAGTTGGGGTTGTGCAGCGTCATATCGTCCCGCGCAGACCAAGGGTCATAAAACCCAGGATTCCGTGCCTGGTGCAGCACTAGTGGTGTGAATCCTGACCACAGACGTTGTGTCGAAAAGAATGGGTGCGCCACCTTGAGCGTCGAGAGGTGGAACGGTGGTTGTGGGTCTTTGAACATATCGCTTTCAGTGCTTGAGCTCTCGCTTTGTTGTTGCTGTTGTTGTTGTTGTTGTTGTTGTTGTTGTTGTTGTTGTTGTTGTTCTTGAAGTTGTCGTGATGTCGTTACTGTAGTGCTGCTGTTCATTAATGTGTCATTAGAGTGTTGGTCATTAAAGTGTTGAGTATCATTATCGCTTGAAAATGTGGTCGTTGCTGAATAAAAGTGTTGCGACCCAAATCCATGGTTGCCCAAAAAGAGATCTTCAATCTCGTTCTCGTTCTCGTCCTCGTCCTCCATATCCTCTTCGTCATCATCATCATCATACTCCAGTAGAATCCCGCGCTCCTCTTCCGTCAGCCCATAAAGCATCTTCGCCCTGGATTGCGTGGGCGTAGGTGGAATTAATCGAAGCGTGGGCGACGGCGTCGATGGAGTCGATGATTTTCCAGATCGAGGCTCCTTAACCCCACGACTCCGTCCACGCTCCGGTGCTCCATCATGATCGCCTTTGTTTTCGCTATCACCGTATCTCGCTGCTGAAGAAGAGGACCATGTTGGTGAAGAAGACGTATACTCGGTTCGATCGATCAGACTGGATTCCAGAGTGACAATGCTGGGAGATCTCGCCCGTCCTACCAACACAATACTTCCATCATCCTGGAAGCTCCTGTCGCTCTCCACGCTGGCACGTTCGTGAATAGCGTCGGCACTTTCTTTGCCAGTGATGATAGGAGAAGGTCGATCCTGACCCAGAGCAATGAACTTGTCATTCAACAACTGCTCCTGGCGTGCCTGTTTGATATAATCCAGGCCAGCACCCACAAGTCTCGTGAGCCACTGCGTGTATCTCACATCTGCAGGCCAGAATGTCTCCTGTCCATCCTTTGAATGGTTTCCTGCACCAAGGCCTAAAAAGCCAAGCCGCCTCAACCAAGACCAGCCTCCGGTTGCAAGCGCCAGATTGAACTCGCCATCTTGAACATGCCAGCTCCAGAGATTGCGGTCCCACCACTCTGCCTCCTGAAGCCCGACCGACGCGATCCTGTACTGGTCCGTGGAGATGGTCTTGGCGAGTCGTGCGATCGAGTGTGAAATCGTGTTCAGGTCACCAAATAATATCTGATATGGATATCGGTCCGAATACAGCTCTGAATCCGCCAAGATGTCACTTAATGCAGATATGCGACCCACAATCCCGGTGAAGACCTCGAGGTGTGCGCAGTAGCAAAGCAGTGGTCCTGAAGGTGTCTGAACATCTGCCACAATCGTGAATCGTCTATGCGTTACAAAAAAGCAAATACAAGCCTGTGAATATTTGTTTCCAAGATGCAAATCCACAGTTACCGATGTTTGCGAGTGAATTCATCAGAAGGAAAAGAAAAAAAAAAAAAAAAAAAAACGCATCACATATGTATGTCCTACCTTCCCAGTCTCGGTTCGTTCAACTGCAGACCGTCTCTCTCCCATTCATACGCGTGGTGAACATGATCCAGTACACGGAACCCATTGATCGGCCACTTTGATAAGATCGCATTTCCATGCACGCCTCCGCCCTGGTCCCGATTCTTGCGCCCCGGGTGTTCGAGTTCCCAAAACTCTGGGACGAACCCGCCATAGAGTCCCTGAGATTGACAAATCTCCAGAAAATGGTCCCGCTCGTGTCCGGACCGATGGCATCCAATATCAATCTCCTGGATGCACAAGATATCCGCATCGAGCTCTTGGAGAGTGGCGAGGATTTCGGCAGGTTTGTAGTTGCGCTCAATGTTCCACTGTAAACATCTGATAGGTCGTCGTTCTGTACTAGTAGCTGCCTTGGCTGCTCCTATTCCTGGAAGGAGAAACAGAGACCATAGACATATGTGAGCAACATGGAAGGACTGACTATTTTTTTTTTCTAAAAGATATAATTGCGGTGCCCGTGAGCCCTATCGCTGTACTAAGAGCTGGACATAGTATTTTTATTTTCTGTGCTGCTCCGCAAGTCCTCTTTGCGGATGTGTGCTGTAAGGTCAGCACTTCCGAGCCATGCCGTACAATCCAGCCTTTTGCCAAGAAATCACAATATTGAAGAAATGTAATTGATAAGCGCAAACCTCCCCATTGAAAGACCCTCCCAATATCCTCATAACCACCTCCATCGTGTTACATTCCTCTTCTCCCAAGTTATGCACAGCATCTTTTTTTTTTTTTTCGAAGAGTCTAGTGCATTTCATGTAATATATACCTTGCAGATTGACGGAGAATTCACTCTGACCCATTGCCCCTTGCTCACTGTGCGTAATCTGCTTGCAGGCCAGGTCTCGTCCGCTGGACGATACCGATGATTCCATAGAAGATGAGCCGTCAGACACAGCGGAACCACCAGCAGCCCTTCCTGGAAAGGTGGCCTCCTTAAGACCGGGCGTTGGTGTAGGCGGCGAAGACCCATGCGTGGCGGAGGAGGTGGCGGATGCTGGGCTGGAGGATGATAGTGGCCTGCAGTCATAGATCAAGAGCTCTCCAGGTCGAGGACTGGGTACTGCTCGCTTCCTGGTAAGCTGAGGGTTTGGATTGGCATTGATGTTGGTGCCGGTGTTGGGGTTCGTTGCTGAGGACGAGGCGGAAGAGGATGGAGCCTGTCCATGGAATTCGGTGGCCATAGAGCTGTTCCTGTGTTTGGGGTGTTATTGAATTACTGGTCCAGAGGAGTGGTGGGCGATGCACCAAGGAGAAGAATGAAAGGCTATTGCGCACACAAGCAGACACGCAACAAAATTAAAACAATGGTAGGGTTGCTATTGTAGCAACGGGTGAGAAAGAAAGGAGGGGAGGCGAGGGGAGGTGCAATGAGGTGAGAAGGGGAGTGAAGTGAAGGAAGGATGAATGAGGAAGGGTGTGTCGATGGAGAGAGGAGTGTCCCACAAAAGGAGGGAAAAGGGGTCCTGACACGAGCCACTTCGGCTGCATTAAACCCAATTGGCCAGTTGCCTCTGAACGCGTTCTAACTTTTCCTTCCACGCTGTTGCAGCCTTTTTTTTCTTTTTTTTCCTTTTTTGCGGTGTTCTCTTCATGCGCCACTCTATACCACCAGCATCCCAATTACTTCCTTCTCGACAAGCATACACATTATCCGTACCATTCACTTTCGCTTTTCTATTATTGTTACAAGCTAAACAAAAGTCGACCGGTACTTATATACATGTCAGCCTCGTCCAAACCGTCCGAGCGAAGCTGAACCAGACTCTAAAAATATACTTCCAGCTTCCTTTCCTCGGCGCAGCCCTGCTTATTCTCTTGTCAAGAACATCGGATCCGCTTTTGCTTTCCGGACCACGTTCTGGTACCAATCATTAAACGCCTTCACTGGCAAAAAGCTCGACCCAACCCCTCCTGTCTCCCCCAGCACACTCGCTGCCGACCCCGGACCGGCTGCCGGAACCAGTACCATCGAGCCTGGAGGTAACACCGCCGTCGCAAATGATGTCACATGGTTATAAAGATGCGTCATGACTTTCTGTGCGATCGCTGCAACCGAGTCCGGGGACACATTGCCAGCAGCAGACAGTGGTACGAGTGCATTGCTGGGTATTGTTCTTGATCCAGAGGATGACGTGGCAGCTACTGAGGTCGATGTGGCGGAAGGGAGCTGAGAGATCTGGGCCAAGACTGCATCAGTGGGCTCGATCGATATGCCCAACGTTGCCGTAATCGGTGCTGCTCCTCCTGCTGTCGCTGACGATGGATCCATCGACATGTCGTTTCCTGAAGAAGCTGCCGCACCCGGGAATGAGGGATGCGGTTTTGAATGGGATGCTGCCTTCAGACGGAAGATCGCGCTTGCCTTTTCATTCGATAGCCTATAATATAAAAAAAAAAGACAGATCAATAAATTGTGATCATACTTATGCACGTTTGGCGCTGCAACGTTGACAGGAAATGACATCGCGAACGGAACATACATGCCGAGCAATTGCCACGCTTTGTTGGGCCAGAGAAGGTGCACGGTTGCAGCATAGCCTGACTGGAAGGGCAATGTTCCGAGTAGGAAGACTACGATGTGGTTGATATTCTCCGCATCATCCAATTGGAATGTAAACTTGTTCACGTCGACCTGCTGCAGATTTGTTTGCACCTAATATACAGTAACAGTATGCAAAGTAACAAAAAGGGATCAATGTGGTTGGAAACTCAGTCGTTCTTGCAGTCCTCTCAAAGCGTCTCAATAATAAAGCAACGTCGGCGGGTGCACAAGGTATTTTACCAGTCGACCAGCAATAATGCAACCAAACATATGCAAGGGAAGTGTTCACAAAGAGCACGAAATGAGGTAATGAGGTAATGAGGTATTAGCGTAAAGGGTGTAGTAAGAATGAAAAACAAGAAAGACTCAATCAGACCATTTCGATGAAAAAAAAGAAGAATGAGAGAGAAGGTAAAGGAGATTCTCGCAACTTCCACGGTGTAGTTGCACGCTCAGCCCATCGATAAAATTACCAAAAAAAAAAAAGCAGAATTCCGGGTTTGAACCGGAGACCTGCCGATCTGCAGTCGGCTGCTCTACCACTGAGCTAATCCTGCGATGGACTTATTTTGCAGCGGCCTACGGGCCTACATATGCCGCACACAGCCACATATCTCTAATTGCACACATCCTTATTTGCACATGCCCTTTATTTGCACGCCCTCTTCACCTGCACGACTGCTCCTGTGCTCATGGGGATTTATGTTAATAAAAAAAAAAAAAAAAAAACCTGCACGACTGCTCCTGCGGGCGAGCCTGTGTGGTACAGTAGTATCACGCGAAGCTTCCAGAGAACAGTGCTGTGGATCCTAGTTTCGGATCCAGCTTGGTGCGGTTGTTTTTCGGCACGGGGGGCCGTGTATAAATTACCTTTCGGATCGCGGGCAGCAGGGGATTGGCTCCCTCCTGAGAGAATGTTCTATTCTGCTCAGGTTCGTACGCCACCGTGGGCTACGAGGAGATTTTTCAGAACTATCACTCGGATTTGCCAGAGCCGTTCTCCAGCACTAAGGTTACGGGGGGGACTATTGAGAGAGGAGACTAAATAATTTACTTCAGAAATCACTCGAGGGCCGCAGTAACATCGTAAGGAAGCCGTACATATATGCCGGATCGAAACATAAGTTGAATATTTGCCGAATCAAGTCACACAGGAGAGAGCCAGTCCAAAGGATCAAGATATCAAGTTAGCAGGAACAGGACGACCGAGGCAGGCTTGCGGGAAAATACGCGGGATTTATATGGCGCCTCCTACCATTGTTCGGGACAAACAGGAACATGCTGACCAGCGAGAAATAGTAACCCCCATAAAATAACCAATAAACCCTGGCAAAGATTGTCCATTGGAAAAAAAAAAAAAAAAAAAAAAAAAAGGCGATCTGGCGCGAATCGCCGGAGGACGCAACGGTGATCGGGGACACCAACGTAGTGTTGGTGATTTCTCTGATTTGAAAGGGAGACGGTTACTTGCAGCGGAGATCCAGGAAGGTAGACGGGCCGCGGATTATAGGGTGCTACAGCATTGCTTGGGGCGAGGGAAGTTGGACATAATGGAGGGGTTATTCGGTTTAAAAACAACTTTATTAACATTGGATCTGGATTAGGAGACGTGTATCGCGCAACAGGTCACGCAGGAGTTAGGTTAGGCTAGCTATGCGACATGGGTTATGAATTTGACGCCTCAAGCCAACATAGTTGGTAGGGGATGCGGCTCTGCCGTGCATGGAAGGCATCTATGGCTTCAAGGCCTTTGCGGACCATGCGTCTTGTGCTCATGGGGATTTATGTTAATAAAAAAAAAAAAAAAAAAAAAAAAAAAAAAAAAAAACGCGCTGGATCCTGATGCTGCGGATTGGATGCTATTGGACTGCCTGCAAGGAAAGAGGCGGTTGACAACCATGGAGGGGATGGAGAAGATACCCTTTTTGTCACAAGGAGTTTTCAGCTTTTAACACGTTTTCGACTCGAGAGACAAATTGTTAAAAAAAAAGGGCCTCTGGAGCCCTCCGGGGCCTATTAAAAGACTTTAGGAACATCGCCAATCCTACATTAACTATATAGTCTCCCATTTAGGTGCAGAAAAAAAGGATTACACTGGATAGTTGTCAGCAAACGATCGATTCAACCGGCCAAAAGAAGCCTGTATGCTTTGTAAAAAGATCAAAGATGTGTGTCCGTCCATAGCGATCCATGTGAGGAGGAAGAAAATAGATAACCGCAAAACGATGGACGCGTTTTTTTATTATTGTTTTTTGGTTTCCCCTAAACAAAGGATGATCATCCCACGCAAGAGAGAAACCTGCCTCATCTCAACGACAACGCAGAGGTAAATAGCGCCGTGTAACTGCGCGTGGGTTTCGTGAGCACACAGAAGGCGTACTATGAGTATACATGTCTTCGGTTCCGCGACATCAGACAACCCGCACAATTTTTTTTTTTTTTTGCAGTAGTGTTTCGCGCCTCGCAGCCTGTCTGACTAAAAAATATATAAAAATATAAAATAACGTCCTATTATTTTTTCTTTGCCACCTGCATCAACCCACCATCTGCCCTACTCTTCCTTCTTTTCCCTCCAACTCGAGAGTAGCGGGTCTGCAAGCAGGATAGGGACACCCAAGACTATTTCAGACATGGCACCAAGGATTGGCGGCGACAGATATCATCACCGCAACATACAGTTCTCCAGCGCAACAGCATCTACACGCATTGACACCCTTCCAGTAGAAATCCTGTTCTGCATCATCGACTCACTCCCACCTCGCTCGATCCTCATGCTCGCTCAGGTCTCCTCCTGTCTCCGGACTATATCCTTGTCGCAGCTCCTGCATGCGTACGATATCCAGATTATTAATTTGCCCCAGAGCAGCAGCAGCACCCGGAGACAGCACAGCGCACCAAACCTGGACACAGGCATAGACCTCACATACGAAGATGAAGATATGTTCATAAAGGAACGCTCGAGAATGGGTATAAAAAAAGTACAGGAGCGGTGGATGTCATCTTTCGAGCTCTATGTCCGGATGGTTCTCTCAGACCTCTATTTCCAAGAACGATGTCCTTCTACAGGGATGGACGCTTCGAAAATGGTGACACTGACACTATCTTGCAGCCAACAAATCCTGCGCCGCCTCTATCTCTCAGATCAACGTAACCACCAAAACCAACCCAATAATAACGACGACAACGACAATGACAGCAACCATCGTCCAACATCTTCAATAAGCCCGACGCACCATCTGAATCCTTTTGTCTCCTCGATCGAGAATTTACACATCATCGCACGAGTCATCGCAGATCAGGTCTGTCGAGGAATCTGTCTTCCCGAGACCGCAGTCCTGATCCTACAGTGCCTCACAAGCCTACACGATCAGGATCACTTCCAATACATGATCCACAACCCAGTCATGGATGAGGACTCAACCATGCTGCCGCCGCATAGGGATAATTGTATCTCAGTAGGGGTATTGTCCTTCCAGTATTTGGTCCCCACGATCCTATCGCTCCTTCAACCACCGACAACAAAAAATCTATTCTCAAGTACGGCATCCGAGAGATCTGTACGACAGAGGGGCAGTGCACACATCGACCTACATTCTCGCATCCAATGGACGCCCTCTCCCCCACCATTATCACTCACATCCAGCATAACCACTAGATCTCTGACATCCGATATACTTCCTACGCAGCAATCCCTCCTTTCTCCCTTACACATCCGCTCTCTTCAGCACCTCACCCAAATCCTCTGTTTCCTCCCCTTGCTCGGTCGACACTTCAACACCCTGCCGACCAGCATCTTCATCGACACATTCTTGAATCGTTCCCGGGGCGACCTACCGATCGACCGCGCAGCGGTGCTGGTGTATGGATACATGTGTGTACTGGACCCGGAGACGGGTAAAGCGAATCTGGCGTCAGAGAGTTATCGGATTTTCGAGCGATCGATGCCGACGAGGGGAGTGGTCCAGGCAGAGGAGATTGTGAGGGTCGTGGAGAGGTATCGAAGATTGGTGAGGGCATCTCTGTTCGAGGGAGGGACTGCAGAGTCGGCGAATTATCCTTTGCAGGAGTCGGGGTAAGACTGACGAGGAGGGCGGGGCGGTGGTAGAGTGATAAAGAAAAAAAGATGAACACTGTTGTGTTCCCCCTTTTGTGATATTTTTTTTGTGACATGGTCAGTGCGCAAGGCTTTAAAAAAGAAGGACGCGTCTAACATATTTACGTTTAGAAGGCAAAAAAATAAAAATAAAAAAATAGAGTATCATGTTGATGAACAAGCACAGCGTCCGATTTTTATTGAAGAGAATGAAGAGAACACGAGTAAGAATGAGTGTACACTCTGCACCAAGCACGATTCAAAACAAGGATGAACCGAGCGCTGAAGTACAGTGCACTCCTAGATCACAGACACGCACACATACACAAAGACACAAGTGCAACAGGTACACGACCATGGACAGTCCACACAAAGTCGCGCCCCCACATCCTTGTGGTCTATGCTCCTGAACAAAGGGCGCAAGAGCACTGTACAGTAGGAGAATCTGCCCCTATTTCTTATTTCATCCTTTATCTGTAAAGTATGCTTCTCTCCTATGCCTGCCCTTTCTCCTCTCAATCTTCTCATTTACGGACCAAATGAAGATGATCGTAAAGAAAGAGGAGAAGGGTATTTCTTTCCAGATTTTGTGTCCCTGCCGTTCTTAGTTCTTCTGATGTTCCTTGGACACCGTCTTGTGGTGGTGGTGGTGCGGCTTGTTATGGCGCTTGACCTTCTCGCTGTCTACATCTACAGCAAGGAATGCAAAGCAAAAACCCCCATTTAGCAATGAGAGAAAAGAGGAGGTCATGAACGCTAGGTCGACCAATAAAGACAAAATAAATAAATAACATCGCATACTCTTGCTGAACACCGCCTCCTCGGCAGCGACTTTTCCCTCCAAGTCCTTGATATAATCTCCCCAGCTCCGACTAGCCTCATACGCCGCATCAAGCGCACTCATCAACGCCGGGTTCTTCTTTGCCTCCTCCAGCGCATCAGATCCTTGTATCGCAATGCTGTTCAGGATAAACTGTGCCATCGCCGCATTCGGATCCTTGATGTCCTCAATCCCCGTCGTCTTCGGGTCCAGCTTCGCAATGATTGCCTTCGAGATCGCATCGTTTATGTTCTTGACATCCTTCCACGACGACGGCACGTTCGTCCCCGGTACTGAGTATAGGACTTTGTCATCCTTATCCAAATACACCGAGAATAACACCTTATGATCGACATTCTCCGGATCGATCTCTCCTACATCGCGGGGCTTATCGTTCACAATGGCCTCGGCCATGGCTTCCGGAGACGAGAGGTCATAGTCGTTATCCTTGGGATCCTTGAAGACCGCAACGTACTTCATCATCTTGCCGCCGTCGCTTGCGATCGAGATCTCGCGCTGATCCTCACCTGCTTTTTTGTCCGGCCAAAACGCGTACATGGTGCCCACGGGGAAGTCTATGGATGTTTTCGTGGCCTTGAACGAAGATTCGTTGGCGACATTGGGCTCTTGACCGCCTGCGGCAGCAGAGACAATAGATGCAGCAAAGAGACCGACCGCCATGATTAAAGGGGCCACAATGAATTTCATGATGCTTGGTTTTTTTTATAGATGTGATTTGGATAGATTCAATGTGTTTTTAGGTCCAAGCTTGGAATGCAAAGAATGATATGTATTTCGGTGATGGAAAGATTCACACTGTTGTGAAGAAAAACCTGAATGGGGGACGATGCTAAGGAGCTGATCAAGAGACAAGAGAGAGAGAGAGTGAGAGTGAGAGTGCGAGCGAGGCAAAAAGAAGGAGGAGCGATAATGCCGGCGAGCTAGTAAAGCAAGGAACTGTAAAGCAAAAACAACGTCATCTAAAGGGGATCGTTTTCACACTCGTCCTCGCCATCTTTCCGTCCTGAACTGAGAAGAGAAATCAGAAAGAGGAAACCATCCACTTGTGGGCCGCCATTTAGCAACCCGTAGCAACGCCGTGGCTAGGGACTGTAGCTGCGACAATCTCCTCTGCAGAGATAGAGAGAGAGAAAGAGAAAGAGAGAGAGCGAGAAGTAAGGAGCCTCTAAAATAAAGAAAAAACAAGGAGCGCGACAATCAACAAAAGAAAAACTATGAAGACATAACCACTCCTGCACTAGTACTCAGCCAGATCGATGCTGACCCCCTCTCTCTCTTCCCCCCCCCTTTGTCCTCAGCTCCCCAAATTAGAAAGGCGCGTGCATACAAAAACGTTCTCGCATTCTACACCAGCTCGAGCAATTGTAGAACGAAGAAGTCGCCTCGAGCGAATATTCAGGAGTGGTGAACCTTGGGCCGGGGTATATATCCAACATATGCACTCGACAAGGTAAATCCGTTATTCAACGCGTTGGTTTCTCAAAAAAGCATTTTTATGTTTACTGCTGTGAAGCTTACTTTCAATAGCCATTAGCACAATAAATCCGTTTGTCTAGACGCATTGTATGAAAGGTTTATTGCGTAAAATATATATAGTAATAGGTGCACTAAGAGGAAGAGTGATATATATATAAAAAAAAAAAAAATGAATGAAGTATATATGTGAAAGCCTTTCTCAATTATCACTGACGATCCATGGTAACAATCAAGAAAAGAAAAAAGTATGATGACCACGGCGTATGAGGAAGAAAAAAAAAGGGTTCTGTTGGATCTGCGAAGATGGAATAAAATACGTGGATCGTCCCCTTGTAGACAACAATATTCAGACGCACTTCCGGCCCCTCCTCATCCATGATCACTGTCCTCGTCCTATCAAAGTCCCGTTTACAGAATAAGGCACTTCTTGGATCTCTTTGAGGGCTGGACCGGGCAGAGGACAGCGCGGATGGCCTCGTCAAAGACGTTCTTGAGGCCTTTCTGGGTCAAGGCCGAGCACTCAAGGTAGCGGACAGCAGAGATCTCCTTGGCCATCTGGAGACCTTGGGGGTATGAGATGGGCATCATGCGCTTCTCGCGCAGCTTGTCCAGGGTGTCCTTATCCTCACGCAAATCCAACTTTGTTCCAACAAGGATAGTGGGGATGTTGGGTGCGTGATGGCTGATCTCAGGGTTCCACTATGTTGCGTAAGGAAGGTAAAAAGGAGGTGACCTTGCGTTAGTAAGTAAAATATACCTTTCATGTGCTAAATTGGCGCTTCTTTTGTTCCGGCAGTATGTAGGATGGACGACTTGGGATAGCCTCTCATGCTGAGACCATCCTGGATGCCGAGAGTCGATTCCAATTCATGGCCCTCCTTCCCCTCCCATGCCATACGTTTGGGCGCTGTAACAATGAGAGGGGCGAAAGAGCGGGAATAGGGCGGACAGGTACTTTGTGTACCATCTATACTGCTGTTCATGCTATTCATCCTGTCCATGCTTGGTTGCTTATTCCTTGTTTAGATGCGAGGTCCAAAGATGAAACGCATGTAAGCATTGGGTTGCCTCCTGATATTTTGTTGTTGCTGAGGCTGACACCCACTCGAGAAAGCATAGAAGCTGGTGGTCCCTCTGAGGAGAGCTGGGGGCGCATTGTTTGCGGGCTGGTCCATGTGAAACAATGTTGACCGCCATAAAACAGGAAAGCATTGCGCATGGCCGATGTTATACGAAGTTGCTGCATCTGTTGTGCTTCCGACTGTGTCATTGTTGTCTGTTGTTACTGCTGCTTGCATTGGATCAGGGTCGTACGAAAAGGATTTTCTTTCCGTGGCACGCATGCTCCTGCTCTCCTACAGATGATTGACCACTCGTTTTGACGCGGAGATCCCTGAAGTCATCGAGATCAGCGACAGCGAATAAAAAACGTAGGGTCCTGTTCTGCGCATTTGTTTGGATCCATAGCAAGACCGGATGTCGATGGCCAAACAATAAAGCAAGATGCGAATTTTTTTTGAAGATCCATGCATTACCTTGGTCTTGACGTTCTCGAACGAGGGAGGGCTGACGAGGGAGAAGCAGATGAGGAACACATCGGTCTGAGGGTAGGAGAGAGGACGGAGACGATCGTAATCCTCCTGACCAGCGGTATCCCAGAGACCCAGGTTAATGGGCTTTCCGTCGACCATGACATTAGCAGAGTAGTTATCGAAGCTACAAGAGAAAAACAGAGCAGGATTTAGTAAGGATCCAACTGGACGATCTCAGTAATCTCACTTTCTCCTTAACCCCCCCGAGTTTTGCGCTGAACCAGTAGTGATAGACGCTTATTCAAGCTTTTTTTGTCGTCATCTCGCCTCGTCTGCTACAGGTCGGGCTAATTCTTGGCAGGAGTTTAGGTCAGCAGGGCAGCATGCTGAGGGGAAAGGGCCTTACACAGTAGGGATATACTCGCCGGGGAAGGCATTGGTCGTGTAACTGATGAGGAGGCAGGTCTATCGAGAACAAGGGATTCAAACATCGGAGATGAAAGGCCGGATGTTAGTTGCTCAGCTCAGGTGCACCAACAGTAGTTCGACAGAGCAGAGGTGTTCAGGCAGGGACAGTTCGTACCTTTCCGACGGCACCGTCTAAACATGACAGCAGGTTGGCGGCAAAAAAGCAACAGAAACAGACAACAGTTAGCCATCCGCAAAACCCACTCCAAAGAAGTCAAAGCGAAAACAAAGGGCTGAGATGCTGGGTCCGTTTGACAGGATAGCATGAGGCCATTGCCAATTGACAGGATAAGGATAATGGCATGGCGAGGTGTAGCTGGTGCAGGGTCCTGGTGCTGGGTCATCCGGTGGAGTGCTGGGTCCTGGTAAGGGGGGTGGTAGGTGAGGCCACGAGGGACTTTTTTATTTTTCCCAGGGCACTGCCTGGTGAAACATATCGTGCGGGGCGGGGTGCGCGCCAAAAGGTGCGAGATGATGAGGAAGACGAAGAGGGGATGGAGAAAAAGTACCTCCGACGACAACACACTTGATGGCCTGCATGATGATGAAGAGAAGAGGGATGGAGCTGTGTGAGGGGTGATGGGGGTGATGGGGAGGATGAGGAGGATGAGGAGGCTGTTGTGTGTGTGTATGTGTTTATGAGGTGAGACGAGGAAAGAAAAGAAAGAAAGAGAAGAGAGAGAGAAGAGAGAGAGAGAGAGAGAGAGAGAGAGAGAGAGAGACAGAGAGGACGAGGGAGAGGAGAGTACGAGAAAAGGGTAAAAAGGGTGAGAGAGACACTGCGCTGGCACGGGCAACCGCTTATTACAGCCTTTCCTTTCAGATGTCCGCTTGGGCTATTTATTCGCCTAGCGTACGTCTATTTGCAATGAAGTTCATGGAGTTCATGTATAATTACCATCGCCGTTGTATGTAGTCCGTACCCGCTGCTTCATTACCCTTCGCCTGGCTTTGGCTCCCTTTTTTTGTTTTGAGTTTGTCCGTTGGGTTCATTTGCAAGAGCGGAGCGTATTTTTTTTTTTTTTTTTTGTTCGGATACGATAGGATTTGATATAACATGCATGGCATGGCAAGGTAATGAAGGAATGAGGTACCCAAACACAATACAACAAACTTACCTTGCAGCAACCCCCATCGGCAACATGAGATATTCAATAAAATGTTGCCGACACTACCCATCCCATCCCATCTACGATGCGATATGTCCATGGTCTGTTTGCGCGCATGCCAATGTACATCTGTCCCATGTCTATACCTAAATTCATACTTTGATGTCCAAGTTCACTTTCGTGCCCTGTGCCACACTGCCATATCATATGCATCTCAAGTTCATATTTCACGAGCGAAACAACAAGACAACATTGGATAATAGTATCAACCATATCTATCTTTTTAGCGATCGAATAAAGCCCATCCTCATTAATACCATGGGGAGTTGGTGTCAGCGCGGTCTTTTGTGTTCTGCTCATTATTATTAGCATCATGTATTATGTTATTTAGCGACCGCATCCCCATCTCTCGGCTCATCGCGATATGGGAAATATTGTCCGCTGAACCACTCGACTCGACTACAAGCTCAAAAAGCTGTCTTGTCCTTGGGCAGAACGAATGTAGCAATCGAATCGATGCGATGCAAATGGTGTTAGCCTAGATGAAATATGCTCATCTTTTTTTTTTTTTTTTTTTGTTTCTGTACGCATCGCTGCATGCATATATACAAGCAATCTTCATATTAATAACCAACCGAAAAGAGTTTTATGAAATGAGCATGCCATGAGAGATGAGAGCATTCATTCATTCGCCTACCCTCCTTTCTCGACCCATACGATCTACATCCCCACTTTACTCTTTATTCATCACTCTTCTTTCTTTTTTAACCCTTTTCATGAACATATTTTCTTCGAGCCGTTGAAGATGTGATCCACCAGTTGATACATCGTTAGAACACATTGAATATTTCCTTCGATCCTTCTTGCCTGTTAATCAAGCCTTGCAATGGATATACAAATATATATATTTTATTTTTTTTTATTTTTTTTATTTTATTTTTTTTGCCGCCTTGCGTCCTGGCGATGTTCTCCAGCTCTATGGCTAGTGCAAAAGGAGGATACATGCTTGCTGCACATACCATAAACCATGTCCAATCACGTGTAAGGTTGATTATAATACAATATCTGCCGCTCACCGGCTCACTTTTTCTTTCTTCTCCTTCCTTCATTTCCCATGGTTCGCTCTCCGTGTTCTATACCCGGCTACAGCCCCGCTGACGTCACGCGTAATGGCAGCGCGTTGTTGCCTACTAGACATAGCCATACCTGGGATTTCTTCGCGTCTGACTCTCCAATTTTGAAGAGCCCATCGTTGACGTACACTTGGTCAGAATGGTCTGATCGCGGGCGAGATGATTGGCAGATTTTAATATTTGATTCAGAGATGATGCTATTCGAAACGTTCAATTGGAAAAGCATGGCTAACCAGATCAGGAATGGGTCGACCTAAAAAAAAAACCCCACTCGAGAGTATACCACACACCAAACAGATGACGCGCAGGAGTTATTAGTGCTGTGTCTAGCGGAAAGAGGAGGACACTTTCGAAGCAAAGGTATAAAAGGCCAGAGGAGTGAGTGTCTATCTATCGGACGATAAGGAAAGGAGGGCGTTGCTGAGCACCGTAGAAGAGTGTTGGCAGCACTACGACTGGATGATGATGATAAGAAAAATTATAAAAAAGCGGTACGTAGCCTGATAAAGTGGGTGCATCCTGGCGCCCTTTTCACTCCATTGTTGATAACTCAGACGCGTGCGATAAGATAGTCTCATAATGCGCTGTGCACGCGCCCACCCTTCCTTCTCATTTCTTCATAGGGCGTCATTTTTAAAAGGTCCTTTTCTCTGCTTTGTTCCTCCTTTACTTCTTTCTCCTCATCTCTCTCTCTCTCTCTCTCCGCTTGAATCTCATTCCTCTCATTCCTTACTCTCATTCCGCTGAATTGAATTGAACCGAACCCCACTTCCTCTGTTACCTGAAAAGAAAGAAAGAAAGAAAAAGAACACCAACATGGCCCAGCAACCCCGCAATGTCCACAAACCTCTCCTCTTCGAAATCGCCTGGGAGGTGGCCAACAAGGGTAACCAAACAGCCAGCTTGACCATTGCCTTGGGCTTCTTGCTCGCAAATTGTCTTATAACTCCAACTCTTTTGCATCTGTAACTGCAATGGCGATCCTACTCTAGTCGGCGGTATTTACACTGTGCTGAAAAGCAAGAGTCCAGGTAAGCCCTCTTGGCCATTCACTCGTTTCTTATCCTCACAATATCCACAGCAACGTCAACAATGAACCGCTGACCTGTATACCCCATAAATCTCATTTCGCCTGCTAGTGACAAGCCATGAGTACGGAAATCGTTATACAATGGTGGGACCCCTCTCATACAAGACAGCCCCACTCGAGGTCGAGACACTCGAGCCTGACACGCCCGAGCTCCGCTTGACACTCGAGTCCATGAAGGAGCGCGGCGTCAAGTTCCTCTACGGTCGATGGCTGATCGAGGGTGCGCCCAAGGTCCTGCTCTTCGACACCGGCTCAGTCTACCACAAACTGGACGAGTGGAAGGGCGATCTCTGGAATGTCGCCGGCATCCCTTCGCCTCCAAACGACCATGAGACAAACGAGGCCATTCTCTTTGGATACCTGGTCGCCTGGTTCTTGGGTGAGGTAAGCGCTTGCAATCGCTGTACACACTGGAGTTGCTATCTACCATTGATGATTCGTGGGAAAGAGAAACACTTTTCTCTTTCCTTCCCTGTTTCTTCAACTGATGAGATTATGGGCCTTCCTGGGAAAAAGAAGCGTGCGAGAGGGATATCACATCATGCTTGGAATCGTTCATCTCTCTTTGTGCTTTATTTTTCCCCAACGGGAACACAATGCAATGGCCTGGCCGGATGCACATGCAAGGGGTTGTGGGACCAGATATCGAGTACATTTCACAAGAGGATGGTGTGGGCAAAGGAATCAGACAGGAGTTACTGCAGATATGGCATTTGCTTGGATCGGACATGGGCGCGTTTCTGAGTTGCGGTCCGATCCCTTTAGCTGCTCTCGATTCCTGTTGCTCTCATGCCTGCCTCGTGCGGGTGGGCCACTTTCCTCTCCCCTTTGCTCGGCATTTGAATATCAATCGTATCTTTGCACTATCTGGTCCAAGATAGCGAGCGAGCCATGCTATCGGATTTTTCATTCTTTGTTTGTTGGGTTTTTTTGTTGTTGTTTCTTGTGTTCTTTCACAGCATCATTAGAGTCGCTTTCCATGTCTTTCTTTACTTTTCATGCGCACTATCAGTCGCTATCATTATATCTGCATCCCCTTGCTTTACTAAATTTTATTGAGACGGCGACATTAACCATTCTCCTATCCCCACCATCTTAATCCCACTAGTTCTCGGCCCATGAGACTAAGACCGCTATCATTGCTCATTTCCACGAATGGCTCGCTGGTGTGGGCATTGCCCTCTGCCGCAAGCGTCATATTGACGTCACGACCATCTTCACAACCCATGCGACCTTGCTCGGTCGTTATCTCTGTGCCGGATCCGTGGACTTCTACAATAATCTCAGAAACTTTGATGTCGATCACGAAGCTGGCAAGAGAGGCATTTACCACCGATACTGCATCGAGCGTGCGGCAACACACTGTTGTGATGTCTTTACGACCGTCTCACATATCACCGCTTACGAGGCTGAACACTTGCTGAAGCGCAAGCCAGGTACGCAGAATGTTGTTCATTCACGCGGTTTGACCTGAAACCACAGTGGGTTTTGAACTGACGGTTCTGGTTTCGCTACTTGAATAGACGGCGTATTGCCCAATGGCCTGAACGTGGTCAAGTTCTCGGCGATGCACGAGTTCCAGAACCTGCATGCGGTCTCTAAGGATCGCATCCACGATTTCGTGAGGGGACACTTTTATGGACATTATGATTTTGATCTTGAGAACACGCTCTACTTCTTCACCGCCGGACGATACGAGTACCGCAACAAGGGCTTGGACATGTATATCGAATCTCTTCAACGTAAGTTTCTGACACTCCGATTCCTCGAAACCTTAATTCTTTATCGTTTTGGCGAGTGTCCAGGCTCATTTGGTTGCCGCCGTCTGGCGCCTAATGCTGCTCAGATGAAAAAAAAAAAAGCAGCTAAAGGCGTGATTGCTGCAGTCAGTTTCACTCTAACATGCATCTTCCCTATCTGTCCAACTCCCCTTCCTGTCCTGAAAAATGATTTCTCTACATAGGATTGAACGAGAAATTGAAGGCCAGCAACTCGGAAATGACGGTGGTAGCATTCATTATCGTGCCCGCCGAGACTCACTCGTTCACCGTCGAGACTTTGAAGGGCCAAGCTGTTGTCAAGCAGCTCAAGGAGACCGTCCAGGATATTTCCAAGCGCATGGAGACCCGTCTCTTTGAGAAAGCTGCTCGGTAAGCGAGAAATAGGACCCTTCCTGGGCATATAAACAGGAGGTTGTACAACACTCACTTGCTCACACTAACGTCATTTCCCTATCGTGTTCATGATTCCGGACGAATTTAGCGGCGGCGATGTGAATACGACCCAGTTCTTGACGAGCGAGGACCAGATCCTGCTCAAGCGTCGCACATTCGCCCTGAAGCGCTCGACTCTCCCTCCGATCGTGACCCATAACATGGCCGACGATAGCAAGGATCCCGTCCTGGACCAGCTGCGCCGTCTCGGACTTTTCAACCACCCCTCAGATCGTGTCAAGATCGTCTTCCATCCCGAGTTCATCAATTCCAACAACCCGCTCTTTGGCCTTGACTATGAAGAATTCGTTCGTGGCTGCCATCTTGGTGTGTTCCCATCGTATTATGAACCCTGGGGCTACACCCCCGCCGAGTGCACGGTCATGGGCGTGCCCAGCATTACGACGAACTTGTCAGGATTCGGATGCTTTATGGATGACAATATCGTGGACTCGTCCGAATACGGAATCTATATCGTTGATCGTAGGATGAAATCCGTTGAGGAATCGATCCAACAGCTCTCTGACCAGATGCTGATGTTCTGTCAGAAGACTCGGCGCCAGCGAATCAACCAGCGCAACCGAACCGAACGTCTCTCGGATCTGTTGGATTGGAAGCGCATGGGCCTGGAGTACATCAAGGCAAGACAGCTGGCACTGAGACGTGCGTACCCGGATTCGTTCGATGACGATGATTACTTTGGACTAGATGAGGCTACACAGCAGCAGTTGCAGCTGCAGGAGCAGAGACCTAAGATTCCGAACCCCCGCTCCGCCCCTGGTTCCCCACGGATCCGGACCCCGATCGAAGGTGTTGATACGGAACTGACCTTTGCAAAGATGTCGAAGGGTGATCGAGAGCGGTACCTTCAGTACAAGATGGAGGGACATGATGACGATGACGTGTTGCCAGCAGATCTGGATGATGACTCGCCAGAGCATCACCTGAACAATGCCACGGGTACGAATATGCAGATTAAGATGCCGTTCCGTCAGAAGCAGCCGAAGAGGGACGAACCGGAGCCTGAGGGGAACTTTGATGCGGAGGGCGCTAGCCATAAGGAAGCGCAACAGCAGTTTAGGGACCAGATGAGCGGTGGCGAGAACGGCCAATACTATGGCCGCACTGGTGGTCGTACGCCAGCAGGAACCAGCAATGGAAACGGATATCATCGTTGAACGTCGTAAAGTCGACAATCGCAGGGAAACCCCTTCCCGCCTAACCTCCCCCTCTCCTCTTTTCTTGAAAACGGCGCCAGGTTTTATTTTTGTCACCATTTGAAACATCCAAAAGCAATAAATTTAACAACAATCAATGCAATGCCATGCAAGTGCCATGCCATGCAAGTGCCATGCAATGCAATGCGATGCGATGCGATGCTATGCAATTGGGTGTTTATTATTTCCTATACATATAAATGTCGCGGTTGAAGTTCCTGGCCCTTCCCTCCGAATGCCCCAACAGCCTTCCTTCACGAAACCCGACTTCAGGACCGAGCAGGTACTCCTGAAACATCTCTGGCCGGAACGCGATCTCCTTGTAAGTCGTCTGCATCTCTGGCAAGATCTTGCTCCGCCTGTTGTACGTCTCGTATGCCTGGGGCTCCAGTAGCAGGATCCCACCCTTGGCGAGGCTCCGATAGATCTTTTGGAAGAACCTCTTCAGTCCCGCATCCCCGTGATGCAAATGAACCCATTTCGTCAACGAGAATCTAGAAGAAGAAGAGGGAGAAAAAGAAAAAGAAAAAGAAAAAAAAAACCAATAAATAAGACAGCGGTTAGGCATGGCCAAAAGCAATGAAAATGTCAGACATTTTTCCAGACAGGATCATGGAAGACGGCGGAAGAAAGGAGACAAGAACCTACGCAAAGATGATATCCCATTGCTCGGCCTCCGCATCCTGGTGGTTATCGGTCTCTGTGACCCAATCCGCTACGCGCAATTCAATATTATGAGGGAACAACACCTCTGTCCTAGATGTCCTCTCGGGCACGGGCAGGAGCCCATGTATCCGGTACATCGCCCTCGGAAAGTATTCCTCGTACGGCAAATCCTCCTGATTCGCACCTTCACCTTCCTCGTTGTCGTTGTCGTCGTCAATGTTAGTACTGCTGTTCCTGCTGCCGTTACTGTCAGTGTGACAGCGGCTGTGTGTCTGAATGTACGCATCGGGCGAAATCTGCGAGAACGTCTTCAACACAAAGTTCTGAGCCTTCCCAATCAAGCTCGGATCAATGTCGACGCCCTGGATCTTCTTCGGCTTGTAATGCAATGCTAAAAAATAAATAAAAATAAAAATAAATCGTCAGTCCTTTCACCTCTTGCTCTTGAAAACATATTCCTCAGCACCAGGACAAAATATAGATGAAAAAAAAAAAAACACACACAAGCACTTACCAATAAACACCGTCAATAAAGCGCTATTGCATCCGATATCCAGCACCCGCTTCCCACGGAACCATGTCGGATCCAGAAACTCCAACCGCAGATCCACCCTCTTGGCCAGATCTGCCAACGACATCCTCCCGCCGCTCCCTTTCGTCCATAAATCGGTCGGTGGGAACAAGACCGACAGTTTCGCTTTCCACCGTAAGCCATCCTGTACCTGCTTCCTACTGCTGTCGCCTCCGGTCTTTGTCCGCACTCCTGTTCCTGATCCCGACATAGATCCAGATCTGTCTGTGCCCAATGATGGCTGTGAAACCTGTATAGGTTTCTTGGTCTGCTCCTCGATCCGCTTCTCATAATAGGACGGATAATTTCCATAGGGATACTCTTTTCGATGAGGATGCTTCTCCGGATGGACAACAATCGGCGCCGCGTGTATGATCGTATCCGTCATAGTCCTTGTCGCCATCGTCATCGCCAGCGCTGCCGCATTCACCGCTGCAGTCACTGTTGAGGGCGATACTAATGCGGTATCTTCTTGATCTGCTCGCGCAGACCTCACCGTTGGGCGCACACTTCCGAACCCAATTCTCACTCGATTCGCGGTCGAGGCTCCTGGCGCTATCGGACGTAGAGAAGACGTACTTCCCACAGTCACCGCCTCCGATGATGATGGGAGTGCTGGAATCCAGTGTTGAACAATATCCTTTGCCCGAAAGATACTTTTCTCTGCCTGATCTGTCGATGATCCTCCTGCTGGCACCGAGGCAGTTGCTGGTACATTACCCTGCTTCTTCTTGCTGCTGCTGCTACTGCTTTTATCCGCGACGATGACGAGGGTATTCCGGCCTATAGAAGAAACAGGCTTACTCCGAGTGACCTGGCGAGGCACAAGTCCTGATGCGATCGTGATCCGCGGTAAAGGCTTCGCTGCTGATGCTATTACCGATCCTGCGGTCCCTGTAACCGCAACTGGGGGTATGCCATTCGATCCAGCACCCTTCTCACTCCTGGGTTGTGCAAGTGTCGTGATATGGTTCCTTGCCGATGAGTCTCCTTCTGGTATCACTGCCGATCCAGCCTTGGCTATCGTAGTAATAGGCGAGTCTGATCGCTTCTCTTTTGAGGTGCCTGTGAGTAGAGCGTGTCCATTCGTCCGTGATTTCTTGTCAGACACAGGTTGTGCATTTGATGCCGAAGAAGCGCCCTTGCGTTTTCCCATGACCGAGTCGAGAGATTGTGAACGGGGAGGAATGAGAGGAATGAAGGAATGGGACGAATAAGCAGGCAAAGCAGGGGTGCGTGTGTTAAAAACAAAAAAATGTATTTGAATGGCTTTACAGTCTAGATAGCGTTTGCTTGCAATGTGGATTGGATGCAGATACGCCTTTAGACCTCCCACATCATACCGACTCCGAACCTGCTCTGTCCCTGTAGAAGCAATAAAGAGAAAAGACAGACATTGTTTGTTAACGAACACAAACACCACCATCACCACCACCATCATTAATGATAACTCCATTTTAGCATTTCCGAGTAATAGACGTACCTTGCCATGATCCATCTCTCCACTGACCAAGAACGAGAACCCCGGCACGATCTTCTCCTCCAACACCGCCGATACCTTCCCTGTCGTATCGATCTGTCCCCTAAACGTCGACCGCCTAAACTCGAACTTGCCTCCCACACTCGCCACCGCCTCCCTTCGTCCTCCCGCCGTCACGATCTGGATCTCCGTTCCAAAATCAACCTTCTCCGAATACCTCAAATAGTACGCCGCCTGGATCGCTCCAAAGCCCTGGTACTGCGCCGTCACAATATAGTCCGGGCCCGTATACTTGGCCACATACGACCAGATCGTCTCTTCCTGACCCGGTGTCGGACGTTGGTACACAGCTTCGGCACCCAGGGCCAGATGTTGTGTGACAGACTGCAGGTACGAGCCGATAAAGATGCCGGTGCCATCGATCGGAGACGGGTTCACGCCCTTCAGGTTCACGTTGAAGTCCCGGCCGCTGTAGTCCTGCTCCACCTGCAACATCGAGTGTCCTGGTGTGTTTGAGAACTAGTACGAAGCAAATATAAGAAGTCCTAAGGTTAGTCAATCCATTGCTTCATTTTTTTTTGGTTTTTTTTTGTTTTTTTTTGCATATCGGCAAGCAATCCAAGATTTGGTCTTAAGAGATAACAACACGTACCTGCGCCTGTGCCTTCGAGACATTTGAGCTACTCCAAGCGTAGTTTGCCCTCGCCTGCACATTGCCATCCGTATCCAAGTTTCCCGACAAGAATGACTATCATTTCAATAGCAAATAATATCAATAGTAAAAATAAAAAAGTCAGCGTCAGTGTTTCCCGCACCATAGTATCGACATTTGCCTCCCCCTCCTCCCCTTGTCTCGCAATGACCTTGAACATCACTCTCAAGTCGCCCCCCTAATGGCTTTTTACCTGCTGACCGATGAACGCAGTTCCAAAGTTATAGCTCGAAGGTGAAGCTGAAGATCCCAATGCGAACGAATGTGTGACCTGGAAGTTGGGCGTCAACGCCTTCGTGATATCGCACCGTGCTCCGTCGAATACATGGTTTGTCAAAAACGTATCTGCAATGGAGGAAAAAATAAAAATAAATAGAGTACGTTAGTAAGGATCTATAGTAATGAGCAAAAGAATATGCTTGCTGTTCTCGACACAAAAAGGGTATAGATGATCCGATCGGCTGTGACAATGCGTTTGATATCGTTGTCGTGCATTGTCCAATTGAACCTCCAATATTCCCATACTTTGCTGTTTGAGAAGGAGACATCCAGTTTCCCGCATCAAATCGATAACATAAACCCGGACCAAAATGCCTGCCCTACTTGCTCATGAGGACCTTGGGATCCGATCAACCAAAAAAAAAAAAGAAAAGAAAGCTATCCAGTCCGGGTTCAGCTTCTGTACTGTATCAATGTCTGTGTCGAACATGCGCCGTGCGTTCCATTTCCGAGACTCCTGCTCTCGCCTACTTGCTTCCTGCCCGTACCAATGTCCTGTATCCTACGCATTCCTGAGTATATGGATGCACTGTGCTGTCGATTGTTAAGCAGTTTTTGACACCTACGTTTGACTTCTCGGTTGACTCCCTCATATGTTCCGGGGTTGGGCAACTTCAAGTCCTCCCGGAACTGGTTGACCTTGGCGAACGCCGCCTTGGCCTGGTCCAACAGCCCCGTCGGTGCCGCAGGTGCAGGTGCAGGTGTGGTGGGGATGGGGTTGAATCCCAAGGGTGTCTTAACAGGGGTCGCCATTTCGAGAGAGTAGAATGTCATGCAACAAGGCAGAATTGATTGCTCAGAGGGAGTGCCCGTGTAGGGGGACGCTGAAGGGACTGCTCCCCCAAACAAAAAAAAAAGCGGGGAGATTCAATTGAGGGGATTGGCTCGATCTTCATTTGACGCGTAAATGTAGTGCGAATACGCGTTTTTCTACAATGACAATCCTACGACTCGACTCGATCTACAGACCGCCCGCGCCTACAGCCGGTGCCCGGGGACGAGACCAAATACGGCACCGACACAGACCGTGTACAGCACCGCAACCAACACGACCCGGACAGCCCTTTCACGGTGCAACATCAGAATATAAGACTCCTCGATCCTTGCAAACTGCATCCATCGCGTCTCGCTCACTCCAAAGGCAACCATAACGGGGCAGAGGTTGAACTGAAAAGTCGCGCACTGCAACGTGCCCACAAATGTCGGTATCAATGCCTATCGTATTAAAAGAAAAAAAAAAGAAAAAAGAAACAAAAAGACATAGAAAGTGGTCGGCGGTAACTTAGTAACTATATCATCGATAAAGAAACCTCCTTCAAAAACGCAAAAGACGAAACTTACCCAAGCACGAATAGACCTCGGCCGTAGGTCCAAAAAGATCATACAAAGGACCACCACAAACCCTACAAACACCATCCCCAACCCAGCCACCGCCCTCATCACCCGGTGCGACCGCACCATATTCCCATACGCCCGTGCTTTCAGAAACCTCGGAAAATAATAGGACTCCATCCCCTCAAACACAATCTCACGCGCCTCCGAAAACACCAACCCCAGCTCCTGCTCCGGCTGATACAACTCTCCGGGCCCAGATTCCATCGACAGCGCATGGCTGTTACGACTCTGTCGTACCGAGTGTCCCGGATCCGTTCTTATTCTTCCTCCTTTGGATGTTGGCCCCAGCGACATTCCCTGCCTCTCACGCACTACAGTCATTGATTCATTCTTGTTCTCCTTAGTCCCTTGGTATTGACAATGAATATCACGAGGGGTATCGCCCATGGCTGTAAGCATCATCCACTCATCCATCACCGCCGCAACCCGCTGCTTAATATGTTCAGGCACTCGAACCCTCTTCTCCGCCTGCAGAATCAAATACTTGGAATAAATCATTTCCGCCGATTTCTGCACATCCTCCTTCGTCACCCCTCCTGAAGCTCCCGACAGTGTCAGCCGCTTACTCGTCTTCCTCGGCCCACCACTACTTCCAAGTGTTCGTGGCATCATCGCCACTGTTGAGCCGCCGCCATCATTACCATCACCGGATCCTGCCCCCTGGCTGTCGGTCCTCTCGAGGTTATCCTCGCCTACGCGTCTACCCCAGTTCGTGGGCACAGCACCCGGGAGATAAGGTACCTCGCCCGCCCGGCTCTGTAACACGGATGCGACTATAGGACTCACTGGCGATATCGGCGGACTTGTCATTTGGGAAGAAGGTGCGCTCTTCATGAGCATCGGCTCTGAGCTTTCCTTTCTGTGCATCGTACGCATCACTTTCCCATCACCGCTGTCATCGCCATTATCGTCTTCACCGTCGTTGTCGTTGTCAGAATGGAGATATGCAGCCGAAGATCCAGCGTCAGAGAGTTCCAGGAACCGGTTCGCGGCTGATAGGTGTGGCTCGTACATGTCTGCGGTGACACTTGGCTTATGTTGATGCTTGCCATGGTTCGAAAGGAATGGAGATGGATCTGTGAATACAAAGGGGGATGTGTTAAAAAAAAAAAAAAAAAAAAAAAAAGGTAGCGGCAGCGCTTTAGTTCGACGCGTCTCGCAGAAAAGAAATACAGTCAACTATAAACCTAAAAAAAAACGCGTCCTTTTAACGCGCAAAAGCATCCACCACTTACTCTGCTCCTCCCTCTCGCGCCGCTCCCTCTCGGCCCTTTCCGCCGCCTCTTTCCTCTCCCTCTCGATCCTCTCCAGCGCCATCCTTCGCTTCGTCGCCCTCACATACAACCTCCACAGCAGCTCATGTGCTGTCACATCCAACCAGAAATCAACCTCCTCAGCACTCTTCTCTACATCCCGCATGTACAAGTAAAAATTAAACAAGCACACTGGCGGCAACGTCTTCCTGTGCAGGACTTGCCACAGGCTCGGTAGCCGCTCTTCCTGCGCCTTCTCGTCTACTCCATCAAGCCCTCCTCCTCGTTGCTGCTGTTGTCGATCGTCTGGGCATAAAGTCGAGTACCTTAATTCCATCCTCCCCGAGCCATCCTGTCCCTCCGATATCCGTTTCTGCCAGTCGTTGTCATGTCCGTAATCGTGGCCGTGGCCGTGGCCTCCTTGAACGAAAGTGTAGCTCGCACGGCTATCATTACTGCTCCGCAAAGGGTGCACTCGCTGCTGTTGCTGCCCAACAACAGCACTTTGACGACGATGACGATCATCTGGTGAAGCCGAATTCGAAATCAGTGCACACGACTTTCGTTCCCGCGTCCCCTCCACACTCGCGGCCGTATATGCATTCGAATGATTCCGGGGTTCCTTGCTCTCCTCTGTGGGGTACGCTTGCTCCACAGGTGAGGGGATATCGACCGCTGCGATGATTATCGAAGGTGTGAACGGGAAGTTCTCAGATCCCGTTGCGGATGTCGTCGTTGTTACTGCCGACATCAAAGGTCGTGGTTCCGGTAACGATGCGCGTCCTGTGTCGTTCGTCGTTTCTACCCTTCCGGCAACAATAACTCCTTCTCCTGAACCACACTGCTGCTGCTGCTGCTGTTCTGTCGAGGAAAGAAATGACGATGTGGGGTATGTAGGAGTGGTGTCTGCGATTGAATTGGGTCGAAAGGCGACATTTGCCTGAACTCCTTTTGGAGCCTGGATGGCTTCCAGGTGTGGCGGAGGTTGTTGTCTCTGTCGAACGAAGGATGGAGGACCATTAGGGGATGTAGTCGCCTCGCTCATGTTTTTTATGGATGGTAGATAGATGTAATGTTGAGGGGTTGGTATATGATTAATGCTTAGTGCTTTAAAAAGAGGCTGTTTGTTTTGCAGAAAGTAGCATTCATGGACTTGAAGGAGGATTTAAGTTCAGTTGATGTATGAGGTGGATATGCCGGAGAGAGAGAATAATGTTTTTTTTACAATGAAGAGGGCATTACGCGGTATATGTGAATAAAAAAAAAAAGAAAAAAAAGACTAGGGGAAGGGGTGGGATGGGTAGGGCTAAACATTCCGAGCCTACAAACTCTCAACCTTCCGACAGTGAAAAAGAGAAGAGACGAAGAAAGAGAAGAAAGATTGTGAGAACAAAGAGAAAAAAAAAAAAGATGGAGAGTACGACTTCTCACCCCATCGCAAAACAGCTCAAAAAACAAAAAAGCCGAGAAGAGATAAAGGCGCGCTCTTCGCTGCGTGCATACGCGCTATCTGCTGTTTGTTCAAGGAGTCGAACGGGGGATAAAAGGAGTAAGACGGGGCATCCTAAATCGCCAATCATTTTGTCGAGGCTCCTGTCCCTCAGGGAACACGGCTTTGAATAAGAGCCGCATATATGTCGACACGAATGGAGAAAAAAATAATAATCAAGGAGTATATCCTCTTCTGCTTTATGGGATGCTCCTGCATGCACACGCGCACATGTACATGAGCGTGGGAGCGTTAATGTATGTGCAAGTGTGCTTTTTCTTGCTAAGATGTGTATTGTGAGTGAGTTGGCTTTGCCTCGTAGTTTGCATAATCTGTGATGTGCGCGTTTTTGTTAGGTCGTGCAGGGCGCGTTTTTTTTCATTTGGCTCGTCTTTGTCAGCCCAAGGGTTCTTCATTCCTGGCTTATGAAATCAATCATATGAGAACACAAGCTTCATTTACGCGTATTGTGTATATATTGTCGTTGTATTAAGGCTGAAGAAAACGCTGTGCTACATGTCATTCATTTCGGCTTCAATGGACCAAAAAGAGGAAGTGGGACAAAAAGGTTGGAGGAAGAGAAGGGCCGAAAGGGCTAGACTACTAATGCGAGCATGGAGGCGTATATAAAATTACAAAGGTTTGCTACACACATATAAAACGAAATAAGAAGGAATGAACAAACGAAAGAGGAGAGGAGGGATGGACCGTCAACAGTGTGCCCTTTTAACAGCACCCCCTCGATTTTTTCCGGGCATCCGATTCTGCATCCCAATCCAATCTCGTCGATCCTCCACCACCACCTCCTCCAACCATATCCAGCTCCATCTGCGGTATCCTCACTGTCTTTGCAATATACAAGAACGCGTCCTCAACATGGATCCCATCCTTGGCTGAGGCCTCAAAGCAGGGCATTTCCACCTTCGATCCTGTCACCGTGCTGTGTTCCTGTGCAAATCCTCGTGCCTGTCGTCTCGACACCACCCGCTCGTCAATATCGATCTTGTTGCCGAGCAGCACAAAGGGGAAATCCGGATTACTGTCGCCAATCCCTGCCTGGCTCAAAAACTCCCGTTGCCACTTGGCCAGGTGTTCAAAAGTCAGATAGTTCGTTACATCGTAGCAGAGTATGCACGCGTCCGCGCCTCGATAGAATGCAATGCCGAGTGATTGGAATCGCTCCTGACCTATGACACGACAACAAAAACGTCATGCACGAATAGCGTGAGCAACAGAAAACAAACAAATATCAGCAGAAACAATAAAATGAGAGACCCCGCGCTCCTTCTTTGCTTGACCCTATTTCTCTGAGATTGCTTATCGATAGCACGCAAGTTGAAGACCGTGCGTGAGATAATATTACAAGGTCAACCCCACAACCCTACTTTTCTACACCTGCCTCTTTTTCTGCTTTCGCTTTCGCTGTCTTTTCCTTTTCTTTGTTTGGATATTGGAGCAAAAAAAAACAAGAAGCTCTGGTCGATCCTTGGACCAACATGCGCGTGTGTCCTTCCCCTCATTCTTTTTTGTGCTCTCCCCAGAACCTTGAAAATCCAGAGACGCCACGAAGAAAAAGAAAACGAACCTGCAGTATCCCAGATCTGAAGCGAGACCCGCTTGCCGTCTTCGAGCTCGATCTCCTTTGTGATAAAATCCGCTCCGATCGTCGCCTTGTATGCGTTCGTAAATCTCTTGTGGATGAACTAAGCAATGTTCACACGCAAGAAGAAAAAAAAAAAAAGTTGGAGGGAAACAACGAAACGTCTTGGTCAGCACGGGCAATTGCTCTTTTTTTTTTGTTGTTGTTGTTGTTGTTGTTGTTTGGACTTTAGACTTTTGCTTGTCGTTTATCTCCGTACATGCATATAGATGTCCATGGTTAAAAAATCCTGCACAAGGCGATCGGATTATCCGTTTGCAGCTATCGATTGTCTGACTCTCCTTTGTCCAATTCATGCACCGTTTGGTCCTGCAGTCCTGCATATCATGTTCACAACGGCAATGGATGTTGCAGGGCATGTTTCTTACTTGATTACGTAGGGATGTCTGTGAGTTGTTGCATATTGTTTAATATTACGTTGCAAACGATGTTGGTTGCATCGTTGTCGGTGTAGTTGATACAAGGCCGTAGAGCGACAAATGGACATGGTCCATGATCGATTGAAAGTAGGGTCGTAGCAGCATAACCGTAGCCGTGGTTGTCCATCCAGTGCACCGAGAGGCATAAGCAAGTCATGTTGAACGTTTCCCGGCGCAAATGAGAAGAAGAGTTCGTACAAGAAGGCGATAAGGAAAAAAAAAAAAAGAGAAATAGAGAAAGAAAGTTAGTTCTGGTTGAGCAACCACACCGTGCAGCATAAAAGAAAGGCAGCCTGTGCAGGTTGACATTCGACTCGACATCAACAAGGAACTCGTCCAGACTCATTCCACGAAAAGAGTATTCAAGGTGTGCAGGGGTGTTTGGTTGAAGTTGAGAGCATTTACCTTGCCTACTCCTCCATCGCCGACAAGGACAACCTTCAGCAGCTGCTTGCCCATGATGCTACTCGTTGGGCTGAAGAGGAAGCTGGGGGAAAGAGAGGGAAATGGTTATGAGAAGATAAGGGTTGAGGTTGAGGGTAGCTTGTCCTGCCGTTCGAAAAGACGCTGTAGCTGTGGTCGAGGTGGGAAGTGTGGAGTGTGAAGTATGGTGTAAGGTGTGAGGGAATGTGCTGAATGAGTTTAAAAGATCTCAATGAGCGGGAAGAGAGGATGAGAAAAGAAGGGTGGAGTTGAGAGTTAAAGGGGTACAAGCGTATGGTTATGTGGGAACACAGAGGTGGAGGGAAGCTGTTGTTGTGTTGTGCTTCCCTTCCTATCTGACGACTGACGACCAGGACAAAGACAAGGACGAGGACGAAGACGAAGAAGACAACGACGAAGAAGATAGGGTTCATACAGCTGTAGATGCACATGATGGCACCATCCCATCTATCTTCACCAGTATGTCATCTCCTTTCAGCCAACCGTACCATACCATTCCGGACCAGGCCAGGCCAGGCCAGGCCAGGAGACCCTTCAGGTTAGTTTGTTTGTCCTGGTGTCCTGTGGTTTAGTAGCAATTATGCATCGCCCAATGCTCCTCGCGCGACTCGCTGCAGTCGTCTGTGTCATGCTCCCCAGCGCGGTCGTTACTTACGTATATTCGAAAGCGCCTGGCGAGGTATGTTTTATTGACGACGGCATTCATTCCTGCCACTGTTTTGTGTTCACTATTCGTTCTAGTCGTGCCTTGGTGCATGTGCGACCGTATGGGTCATGCACGTACCTTCAAACGCGTAAAAAAAAGTGTGGAAACGACGCCACCAAAAAAAAAAAAAAAAAAAAAAAAAAGTCGCCTCCATTTTTTTCAGGTACCACAACCACTCCTACCACATGCACTCTTCCTCTCATTACTACTGCTTCACTCATTTGATCCTGTCCAGATGTCATGACGTTCCGATGCTATGCCCATGCCGACAACACGCGCGAGTACATCATGACAAGTGATGCCAAGCGCATCAGCTCCTACGACTTTATGCTCGTCTTTCTCTGTCTCGGAATCGTCAATACCCTGGTACAATTCTCTCACCTCTCTCGCTTTCTCCATTCAGTTTCTGGGTCTCTTGTTGGGAACTTTCTTTACTAAAATCCCTATCTGTTCATACCATACACAGGGTACTACATATACATGCTACGCAGTGGTCACCCTTTTGATCGTCTCGCGGATAGTCGTCAAGCTATTTATGGTCACAGAAGGCAAGGCGTCGGTTGTGTGTCAACATGGGAAGCCAACGAGTAATTGTTTTGGACCAAACGAAAAATAACGCTTAAGTCTTTTTGATTGCCCTTGCCAGAAACGATACTGGTCATAAGGGATGTCGGTGTTCAGGTTAAGACTGTATACCTTGGAGGCAGGAGTTCTTCTCGATTCATTGATCGGTCCAAGATCTCGGATATCATCATCAATGAGGCCATTACCATGATGCATATTCGTGTCTACATGGCGATCATTGTCGAGGGCGAGGACAAAATGGTCGTCGTCTTTCAGGTACGATGCTCATTCATTTGTGTTCAGTACAATTACTGATTTTGTGATATCGTGGTATCGTCTTTAATTTGCCAATATGGATGCCTCTTGGGAATATAGCACCTATTGCCGAGACTGAATGTGGTGCTGCAGGCGTACCATGGGGCGAGGTCTATCATCTTTAATGAAAAGGACAATTCGGACGTTCCGCTCGAGTTCTCGTAGCACAAGAGACGCTTCACAGGATGCATCATAGCATCACAAGGCCGATGAAGGATGTACATGAGATAAAGAACCTCCAATAAACCAGCTGCGGATCAAAAGTACAGCACTCTGTTCAAACTTCCGGCGGCAGCAGTATTTGAGTGAAAACTCATTTCGATCTGGATGGGAATAGACCGCCATAGGAAATATTCCCATAAGCGATAGCAACCAGCCACTGACTGGCCTTTGGGTCTTTGTCCCTCTCTGATCAACCGCTCAGAAAACCATTTCGACCCTTGACACATCCACTCCTCCTGTCCCAAGTGTCCCTCTCCCCTTTCTCTTCTTGTGACCCTCTTCATTGATTATACCATCCATACAACAGCAATAGCACCTCCATGTCGCAACCCGTTCACAAAAAGTACGCGATCGTTGTGTTTTTAGCTGATCACCATCATCAATACGCGTGCGTGCAAATACTGATCCTCAGAATACATCTTTCTGACACACACCTCTATCCACAGGAAATTCGGAAGCGAGTTTCTCTGCAAGACCCGGTACAGGAACACGTTACCACTACCACCGTTCGCTCCCAAGCTCCTCGCCCTGCCCTCATCCACCGAACGATGCATCAAATTCCAATCCACAGGACTCGCCGAGGCAACCTCCAACGAGCTCATCCTCGATAACCAATATGCTCTCCCTATTGACCTCATCGAGATGCGTGAAAACTACTTTGGAGAAGGACGACAGCACCATCACCTCGAGAACGGAGCCCTTGTCAACGGAGGGCTGAACCAGGTGGACGACATGTTGCTTGCTTTGCCAGTCAAGGCACCCACGGCCGCTGGCGTTGGGGCAGGTGTGAATGGTGCAGCGGCGACTGGATTGGCGATCCCAAACAAATCGCGCTTGCCGGCAGTATCATGGTTGCGTAGGACAGAATACATCAGTTCAGAGACACCCACTGGAGCAGGAAAGGGTGCCTACAAAGAGTAAGTGCGAACCTCTATATGCCTATGTCGACAATCTACAGGATGATACACAGCTGGGTATGCATGCCGCACCGAACTTATCCTCTCTAACTTTCTTTCGCGACATAGCTCTTCCTCGAGGAGGAAAAAAATGGATGTGGTCAGCACGAGGGAGGGACAGATTGTGGCGATCGAAAAGACGTTTGAGCGCTTCTTGAAGAAATCAGGACCATCATCGGCAGCAACAGAACCACTTTCGGAAGAAGAGTTCTTGGCAGGATTGAAGCACCCAACCAATCCGGACCTGAAGGCAGTCGAGTCATTACCTGTTTTCCCCGATTTTGATATCTGGGGCAACGCCTACACGCTCGTTACGTTTGATGTTGATCCTGAAATGAGCAATGACAGACCCGTACAGCTTCAGGAAGAAGGGGTAAGCCAGGCCTCTTATTGTATCATTGTCATAGAGGTGCGACTGGAGGAGACTACAGTGTATTGGAAAACCCTTCTTACTAATCTGCGTTCTGTATGCGTGTGTTTGGTAGTCTTCACATCAGAACAGAGCACAGCGTTCATCCAACGCACTGATCAAGCCGATGCACGATGCCAATGATCCAGAGACCTGGCTTGGCTACTACCTGCCGGACACGGAGACTGCCAAGGAGATCAATCGCCGCAAGAGGACCCGAGCACAATTGGCGGCTAGTGGATTGAACCTGGACGAAGACGAGGACGAGGACGAGAAATCGAAGGAGATGGCATTCAGTTTGCAGCGCGATTACACCTACACGACCATCCCCTGTGCGGCCTTGTCGCAGCTCGTGTTCACGTTCAGGGAGCAAGCAGAAACGAAACAGAAGGCAGCGTTCTATAACCCGATGCAGTCTAAACTCATGCTGCGCAAGAAGCGTGCTAAGGTATATACTGATTTTTTTTTTTTTTTTTTTTGGCCTATTATCACGGCTGGGTTGAATGTGAAAAGAATAAGTGGATACTCATGCTGATTTTGTGTTCTTTTTCTTTCTGAAGCGCTATGAGGATGACGATCCACCTATTACGCATATTGATGTGACATCTCGTCGCATGAACTCTGACGAGCTTGCGGCCAAGCGGGACGCTCTGGATGCCATTGGACTTTAATGGGAAAAGAGTGACGGGTGGAAATGGACATGATCTCCATGCAAAACAATCCATCATGCACACGGAGAAGACTTGAGGACAACACCCACACACTGTATTAATAAAATAAAAAAACACGCCAGAAAAACCATTCATCTTTGGCACTTGCTATTCAAGGCTCACTTTATTCAAAGGATGGTCTTCTACGTCCATTCATACATTGATACACGCACATACATACACGGATTTTGATTTCCTTTCATTGGTTTACAACTTGGCCTGACCCACCAATAAGTAAGACGAGGCCTCGGGGTACATATCCTCCTTGATGTTTTGGATGATCGAACCAGCCTTGGATTTGGGTGCGATCTTGAGGGCGAGCTTCTTGGCGAGCTCGAACGTAGCATCAATGCCGTCAGTATCGGGGATGGCATCGACGATATGGTTCGCGAGCGCGTCCTTGCCAGAATAGCGGCGGGCCTCGAGAACGACGGAGCGGTAGACGTGGTGAGGGAGCTTGTAGCGCAGCAAGGCGGACATGCCCGATGGCAGCGGCGAAGGCAAGTCGATCTCGTTCTATGGAAGGGAGTAAGATGAAGGTGTGAGTCAGTAACTGAGACGATGGTATGTGGCGATGCTGTCCATATTTCTTTGTTTTTCTCTTCAGACAATACACTTACCATGCACATGAAGCCACGATCGCTTCGCATGACGCGGTAGTCGTGAGCCATGGCCATTAGCATGCCGCCTGCAAAAGCGTGTCTAAGCCGGCGGATCGGATACGAATCCGGGTCAGTTCAGATCAGTTCCCCCCGCGTTCATTGCCAAGGTTATCGAGGTACAGAATTCTCCCCAAGGATCGTGAACAAATGGCAGAGTTGATGTATGAAAAGATGGAGAAGGAAGCGCAAAGATGTCTGCACAAACACACTGATGGTGCCATGTGAGATGCCCATCCATCCATTAGTCTACGCCCAATGCATTTTTTTAAGGTTCCTCTCTCGGTAACTTTTTCAACCGATCCCTTTTCAAAAAACAGCCCTCTCGGCCGATCCCCCTCCCTCCTACTCCTCCCTCTCCCCCGAACGCGCTTTCAGTCACCTTACCCATTAACACATGCAACGGTTGGAATGGTGAAGACCAGGATCTTGTGCAACATCGGCATGAAGATGTTCTCCGTGAACCCAGGGACCGAGAACGCCTTCTCGATATGAAGACCGTTCGAATAAAACTTCTCCGATGCTCCACGGGAGATCAAGGCGGCCTCGGTCAGTCCTTCGTTGTAGACGACCTCGGAGACGTGATCGAGGGCATCACAGATCGCGGCGCAGAACTCGGTAGTGAAGCGGTTGTCGTTGTCGAGCATAGTGAGGATGAAGAGGGGGCCATCACGGGTGATGGAGAGGAGTTGCGAGGATTCAGAGGGGAAGTACTTTGCAGCGGACATTGTGAGGTTGTTTGATGGTGCTGAGGATTGAGTGGAGGTGGAGAGTGGGAAAGGCGGGTGTGGGTGGGCGAGTGAATAAATGGGTGTGAAGAGGATGGAATGAATGGAGATGATGAATGGAGGAGTCGGGTTTTTATCCAGCGTCCTTCTTCTTCCACACGCCCCCCTTTGACAGGGACAGGGACAGGGACTCTCCTCCATGTGACAATTGCGGAAATGCACACGGCCCATTTTACTATACTTTTTGCCACGCGGCTGAATACAGCACCGCGGGTGGTTGGAGACCTATCCTGGAGGACATGGAGCAGGAAGCAAGGTACATGTAGCATATATAAAATGCACTTCCTGCATCGATGCTGCAAATGCCATCCTCCTCCTGCAGTCTTTGCTCTATCCTCCACGTCTTTCGGCCATCGATCGTTGCACAGAAGTAGAATTCAGTCAAAGTGGCTTTCCTCCGTCCAAGGGTCTTGGCGTGCACAAAAGACACTGCCCCAATGGCTTACAGAGCAATGTGAACCCTCGTCTCTCTCCTTTTCTCTCTCACCTTGTCCTCCAGTTACTTTCACAGCTCCATCTTTCTCTGGTTCTTTTTTTTTTTTTCTTTTTTTTTTCAAGTATACATTTATCATCTATTGCCCAGAACCTCAATGGCAAACACACTCACACTTCCGGACGTTCTTATGCCCGTGGGCCGGCTTCTACAACTCAAAGACCTCACCGCAGCAGTACGGGTCTGCAAGGCATGGCACAATGCCATGACACCCCTGATCTGGCGCACCCTATCCTTCGACACTCCACTTTATATCACTTCCACACCTCTAAGAGTCACCGCCCAAAGTAGCACAACGGCCTACTCCACCTACAAAGCACCCTCTCCAGAAGCCATCGAGCGGAACGCAGCCCTCATCCGCAAGATCACAGTCTCCAGAGGATCCCAACAGCATCCAGCAGACCATGCAGCGCAGAACGCAGCCCTGAGATATTGCTCCAATATCCTATCCCTCGAAATCTTAAAGTCTGATGCCTATCGCTTGAACCAGCTGTGTGCGATTCACCACACGGACGAACATCTTTGGCAGGACGTTACTCCGTTCGTCCTCAGGAATCGTCGCTCCATACACACGATCGTCATCCATCGATCGAGACAGACACCTTCGAATGAGTTCATGGAGGCAGTGCTGGATATCGCTTGTCTCAGAGAGTTTACGACGGCATACTGTCACTACCGAGCTCAAACCCTAGCGCAACTCTTGGTCGTTCACGGGTCCAACTTAGAAATCCTTGCGCTCGAGGGCGATGTAATCCAACATTGTGACAACTCATCGTTGGCTCAGATTATGAGACTAGTCCAATTGAATCGACTACGGGAGCTCAGGATCGAGAAGTTGGACGGGAACATGGACATAGATAGCCAACTACAATTGATCCAGCGAGCACCGAATCTCATCAAGTTGACTTGGGATCTTGGAAGGTATCCGTTCCCGGATCAGGACGTTTTTTGTCAGATCGTTTCAGAGACATGTCCCGGGATCGAACGCTATGTCTTGATTGCCGCATCGCAGGATTTTCCTACAGAAGCCGCCAGGAGACTTTATCCGTCCTACATTGCGAAGGAACCCACGCCTAAGGACCGTACGCTGGCGAAGGTCCTAGACCTATCGAAAACCGTGACCCAATTCGATGTTCTCAAGTCCAGCTTCGGTCCACAATCCATGGCAGCCTTGAGACGACACTTCTCGGTACTAACGACGCTGAAGTTCGAGGCATGTTCGCTCTTCACGAGCACCATGGCTCAGGAATGTCTCTCGTCGACGCCACTGCTAAGGAGTTTTACGGCGGACAGGATTTCTGCACACGATATCATCCGTGGTATAGACAGCGAGCAGAAGGGGCAGTCTTCGTCTTCATGGGTCTGTCTTGGACTGACCGTCTTGGTAGTGTCGATCGTCGACTTGCCAGATGTATCCCCCCGCACCTTGGAATTCAAAACCAGTCCAGTGGAGCGACAACGGAACTTCCAATGCCATGCCAAGGTGCTCCTCCAACTCTCCAGATTGGAACGGCTCGTCCTTTTATTCGTGGGATACAATTCTGGGCTTGCACATGCTGACTATCTGACAGACAGACCTCGACTAGGGATCAAAATGGACGGGATCTGTTTAAAACCTGAGGCGGGATTGTACCAGTTACAGACATTGAAGAAATTGAGGTTCTTTAATGTGGATAGAGTGCCGCAGGACTTGTCGATGGAAGAGGTGAAGTGGATACACAAGGCCTGGCCGAGCCTGGTATGGTATCAAGGACCGTTAAGTCCGGATAGGAAGCGAAGGGAGGAGCTGGAGCAGTATATGTTAGAGCATAAGATCAGGCCGAATTCGACTTGGTAGTAGACCTGGTACAGTTACTCTCAGCAACAAGACTACTCTACTGCTTGCAATACCCCGTTCAATTAAAGCCGTCTGCAATGGACTTATCCCTTCCAATGCGTGAAATTAACATTAGCAGGCGCCTCATAGAGCCTTACCGCTTCCTGCGAGGCCGCCCCACGTAATATGATTCAGGATCCGAAGATCTATTCGTATTAAACTAAAGTTCGAAAGGCAGTAACCGTCGCGTTCTAGCACGGATTCTGACTTACAGGCGTTCAGCCATAATCTGACGGACGATAGTTTCGAGAGCCATTGCCTGCTCAGCCATTCGACATTTTTTCGCGTGTTAAATCCCTCAGTTAAACTCTGTTAATGTATTATTATGTCACATCTTGTGGTCTTGGACACTTGACATAGCGCTTGAACTCCGTTGTCCCCAGTTGAGTTGTCCCCCAAGGCCAAAGTGGCCAGGGTCGAGTTGGTCTTGAGTGCCTTAGACAACGTCTGAGCTCCGCTGTCTCCGATCCTGTTGAGAGTCAAGTCCAAAGTGGTCAGAGTCGAATTGGTCTTGAGTGCCTCAGACAGCGCCTGAGCTCCGTTGTCTCCAATTGAGTTGTCCCCCAAGGCCAAAGTGGCCAGAGTCGAGTCGGTCTTGAGTGCCTCAGACAGCGCCTGAGCTCCGTTGTCTCCGATCCCGTTGTTCCACAAGTCCAAAGTGGTCAGAGTCGAGTTGGTCATGAGTGCCTCAGACAGCGCCTGAGCTCCGTTGTCTCCGATCCCGTTGTTCCACAAGTCCAAAGTGGCCAAAGTCGAGTTGGTCTTGAGTGCTTCAGACAGCGCCTGAGCTCCGTTGTCTCCGATCGGGTTGTCCCCCAAGTCTAAAGAGGTCAGAGTCGAGTTGGTCATGAGTGCCTCAGACAGCGCCTGAGCTCCGTTGGGTCCGATCGAGTTGGCTGCCAAGTCCAAAGTGGTCAGAGTCGAGATGGTCTTGAGTGGCTCAGACAGCGCCTGAGCTCCGTTGGATCCGATCGAGTTGCCCGCCAAGTCCAAAGTGGTCAGAGTCGAGTTGGTCTTGAGCGTCTCTGCTACTATTCCAAATTCCTTTCCTCCAATCGATCTAGCTACCGTCTCAAAGGATAACTGGCGAAGATGAGATGGTCTTTTTGTTTCAAAACTGGAAAGCTTGACAAACTCCTTTGGAAGGACAACATGAATCATTTTCATATTAGGAAGTTGTATGATGCGAAAAAGTACTTCGTATCGTGTGGATGTCGGCAACAGTTTGCTGCCGAGGCTTGTTCGAAATCGATAGAGATCAAGTCGAAGAATCAATACTCTTGATTTCTTGAGTGCATCCTCTAATGCTTCAAGATCACTCCTAGTGCACTCCCAGTCGAATGTGATATCCAGGTCGTCAACACGTCGTGCTTTGCCTAGGGCATCGAAGAATTCTGCAGCTCTGATTTTGGATCCCAGCCTGATCACTACTTGACCGAGTTGCGGTTCATAAGTACCACCATTCATCTGGACTGCATTTGTAAATGCCTGTTGCTCTTTTTCTTTGTAAGTCAAACGATAATGGTCGATGCAGACCCATTTGACATGGCCCTCCTGTGTGACAATTCGGTAGAGGTTTCCTAGTGCTCGATGCTTGTCTTTGCCCTTGATAAAAGCTTCCAAGTGACGAAGGTCTGCACCCTCTAAAGCGTCCAGTCCAGTGAACGAATCCGCCTCGATGTCCTTGGCCGAGTCCTGATCTTTGGAATCGTTGTTCGCAAGTCCTTGTAGATACGCGATAGACTGGTTGACATCTGACTGTGAGATGGTGTCCAGAGAGTCCTTGAACATGTCAATAACTCCAGGGGCACTGATGGCAGCCAGCGCGGGAACGGCGAGGCCCGCAATTGTGACCCCGTACTTGATCATCTCTAGCACAGTCAGCATGTACCTGCCATACTTTTGGAAAAACTCCTTGGGTCTGTGAAGGTCGTATCCCTCATGTTTGGCAAGGTGAATGTGGTGTGGAATCTTGGTATTCTCGCCATCAAACACCTTGGTGTGCTCGCCACATTCGCAGAGAAAATGAAGTCGGAACTGGTTGTTGAGGATGTTGGCGGGGTCCCAGTTGGAGGTCTTATTGGGTAGGATGATGAATAGTCGTGGAATCGGATACTCGTGCAGCTCGTATGTCTGTGTAAGGAGCGCCGCGACTCGTCCATGAATGACTGCGAGTCGATCGAGTGCCTGCTCTTGCATCAGGAGCATCTTGTCATCCTTCTCTTTAGCCTCTAGCAGCAGAGCCAGCATCTTGTCATCCTTCTCTTTAGCCTTTAGCTGCAGTGCCAGCATCTTGTCGTCCTTCTCTTTGGCTTCCAACAGCAAATCCAGAATTTGTTGTTGTATGTCTTTGTTTTCGGACTTGATCATCGTGCTTTGTTCGATATTGCGAGCAACAAAAGGAACCAAGCTTGCTGATGACAAAAGAAGGTTCTGAGAGGTCTGGGTACCCACTTCCCCTAGTGTAGAGCAATAGACAACGGCGTTGTTGATGCTGGACTGAGGTTCTTCTGTAATGACATCTAGGACCTTGTCAGGGTAGAATGCGATGCATTGAGATCTAATAGAGCAGAAGAACATGTGGGAATTGAGTTTCTCTCTTTTGTCAGGTCGATTGAGATGTCTGGGTGATTAGTGCGTGCCTTGTGCCATCAATCTCTGGGAGGAATGGAATGGGATGACCATTCAACGCAAAGTGCTGTGCATCCGTAAACGCGTCCTGAATGTCTTCCAAACTCACAAAGCACGACGAAGTGTCAATGGCTCCAGGGATATTGGTGGTCCTGACAGAGACCTCTCGAATGATGTCTGCCTGCCGGAATTGTTGGTGTAGATGTTGTGTCATGGTGGTGGCAATTCAAAGGATGGTGGGTGAGGAATGAAGGATCTCAGCTGGCGAAGATGTCAACTTTAATACTTGTCTCTGTTGACTCTTTGGTGTCTTCGCCCTCGCCCTCGCCCTCGCCCTTGCCACTTTAGTACGGAATTAGGTTTAAAGTGTATGTTCTATGGAATGTTTTTTTTTTTGGCTCAACTGCGGCAAAGATGTTTACTCATGACCTGCTTAATGCCTAGTGTGACCCCACTTGGCATCCTTGATGACTTTGATCTTTCTAGGCATTCTCTCAATCAAGCATTGGCGGACAGAAGGAAGGGATCTTGTTCCGCTCCACTTGAAATCTTTCCCAGAGTTCGACCATGCCTTTCGGAATGCAAACAGTCAGTGGATCGGGGTAGTCAGGGGGTTCTAGGGTAGAAGAGTGATTTATTCGATGATGATTTCCATCTAATCCCACGTTAGAAGAGCTATTATATACGAAGGATATGGTGAAGCAAAGCAGCTGGAGTGCTCCAGACAACTGGGCGAAGCATTCTTATGACTATGACATCATTCTCGAATCAACCCTTGTACCTGTTGCACCAGCCTTAAATCCCTCAAATCTTATATCCAGGCATATTCATTCCCAGAGGTTGTTCTTTCGAACTGTCTAAAAACACGTCTCTCTTCACCCTTTTCCACGGGAACATCATTCACATTCCCATCCCCCCCCAACTTCTTCTACATGACAACTCTCTCTGCTCACTCCCAATATCTCTCCACCCACCCTGATAGATCCCAGCCTCGATGACATCGAATGCGCTACTCGTGGTGGAAACCGAAGACTCGGACTGGTAGCGGGACATTGGCATTTTCAGGATAAATGTGCGGAATATCTATATCCTTTGCGTCCCCCAAGTTACGCGTTGTTAAGTTCAAAGTGTGGTGTAATAATAAACGCATCTCTGTCAATCTTTCTTGCATAAACACAAAGGAAGGTGGCAATAGTGAAGTCAGTTTAATATTCCAAGTCTCCTCAATATCACCCTGAATAAAAACAGTTCGCTTTGTTACTTGGAAAAAAAAAAATGCCTTCCCAATGCGAGTTACACACTTTCCTGCAGTATTTTTGTTATTGCAGAGAACGCGTCGTCTAGGAGGACATCTTATTGTCGATAGACGTTCAAAAGAGCTAAATTAATATGTATGTATTCTAAAAAGCAAACAACAACAACAAAAATAAAACAATAAAACTATGCCTGCCGCTGTGGAAGTGCCGCAAAGATGATGGTCGCGACCACTGTCCAGAACAGACACCAAAACAGCATCCAGATGGCCTTCTTCCGGTGCAGCGTTCGGATCGATGGTTCCATTACCCGCCTGAACCTGAACACATGTCTATCTTCAGCCCTACGAACGAACAATCAACAAAGAAATTGCCAGTTAGTTAGTTTTTTTTTTTTCTTGTCTCTCCATCTATCGCGCATGTAACAAACATATTACACATGCAGTTTTTGGGCACTTACTCTTTCCCAATCAAGCCAAGCACAGGTGAGAACCCGTGGATCCCCGTTACAAAACATACTGTTCCAGGCCACCCTGCCACCACCCCCACGACCCACACCCATGGCCTCGTCCATCCACCCCAGTCCATCGCCACCAATACCACCTGCACCACCAGTACCACAATCCACAACATAATCCCGACCGCGATCATCCCGCGCTGTTTGATCCGGTTATTGACATGGTTCTGGTGCAACAGCCCCAGGTTCTGCTTGGTCGCGTATTTGAGGAACAATGGGAAATAGTGGTCCTGCAGAACGACGTCCACGACGAACCCCTTGGCAGCCCCAAAGACATGCGTGCCATCCCTTCGACCTTCTTGCTGGATCTGCATGTGGATCCGCCGACGACATTCTAATGGGAGATAGAATGTCGCTGCTGCAGGCGAGTGTGAAATGACCTGTGTTGGAGGTCCTGAACTCGAGAAGGCTTCCGTTTTCAATGCCTGTGGCTGTGCCTGTAGCTGCGATTGTGGCTGTGCCTGTGGCTGTGGCTGCGGCGCTGATGTGGATTCTGAAGGTACTGGTGCCGACAATGGACCAGAAGCAGTTTTTCTGAGTTGCTGCTGCAGGCCAGAACCAGTGCGCAAAGGCTGAACACTGAATTCCTTGACGGGTTGCGGTCTGCCTTGAGGCTGCCCTGCTGTCGCTGTCTCGAAGGCCTGCCTCAGCTGAATCACAGATCCGCCCGCACCAGTCTCAAGGACGGGTGGACCACCCACGGATGAGTTGCCCTTCGTGTCGTCGTTGAAGTGCCCAGGGCGCTTCATGTCTTGACCATGCTGATGTACGATCCCCAGACTCTCTAAAAACCGTTCGGCATCGAGGACGTCCTCATCATCATCCTCCTGGTCATCTTCATCGTCGCTGTCGTATTCTTCCTCATCGCCATCGTCGTCGTCATCCTCCTCATCATCATACTCGCTATCGTCTGTTTCGTCTATATCCTTCGTAACCGTCGTGGTATTGATCGTCAGCGTGGGCAAGTCCACAACCGTCGTTTCCGTTCCCAACAGCCGCGCCAAAAATGCGGTGATGCCGGTCGCTGTCGTTGTCCTCTCCAGTTTCACCGGCCGTACTTTCGCTGCTGCAGAGTTGACCTTATTCTCCTTACGATCCTGACCAGTACTGTCGCCGTCGTGTGCTTCTTCACCCGAAAATTCTGTCTTCTCTTCAGAGCCCGCATTCGCCGCATGAACACCGTTGCTGGCTCGCGAGTGCGATCCATCCTGGACGGCCTCATGGTCCACTCTGTTGCCAACGCTCGCTCTCCTGTCCAAAGAGATTCCTCTCTCTTGCAATCGCCTCGATTGCCGAGCCTCCGCACCTCGACCTCGCCATTTGTCGTTCCACCCCGCAATCACCTGCTCTGCATATCCATATTCAGAAGAATTCTTCTTCTCCGCTTTGCTGAGATCAAGTGTTTTCGGATCTTCTGACGTTTTTGACGTAACTGCAGCAGTCTCCTCCATAGCCATAGAAGCCGTGCGTAGTTGGACCAAGTACTTGCGGTAGATCCTGAGTGCGGACTCTTCCAGATCCTCCAGACCGATTGTCCTATAACTCTGGAACAAAAGCGCTCGTCCACCGTCTTGAATTGTACTGTGCACGCTCGATGGCTGGGCAGATTGATGAAAGCTGTCGCCCGATCGACGGGAAATGGACAGGGGTGGTTGGAGCGGACCTACCGCACCGCTGTCGGCTCCGATAACCGAAGCCTTCTTGAGTAAGGCAATGGGCTCGGCAATTTGCAACGATTGCTTCGACATTTGGCGCCTGGGTATGAGATCGTTGATGGCGGCGGTGTCATGGCCACTCGATTGGTCTGGTGACATAAAATCCTCAACCACCTCCACCAGCTGAGCTATCTCGTCCTGCGCATTCGAGCCCTGTCTTCGCGGAGCCAAGAACTGCTGCGAGCTCACGCGCCTTATGCCGTTGCTGTGATAATCCACCGTAATAGACGACCGTCTCCTTGTAACTCTCCTGTCTGGCAGAGCATCGGTCGATCCAAAGCGGTATTGTTTATCTGCATTGCCAGGTTGGGATATTGAGTGGCTATCGCTGTGCTCCTGTAACGGTTCCTCTAAGGACTGTTGACTCTCCTCCAGGGACGGCCTCCGTGCGCTCACACCGGTCAAGAGTCGATTGTATGAGCCAGCTGCCCGCTGCTCTGATCCGCGCCGCTGAGGAAGATAGAGTGGCAAGGGCGACGAGAGCGGCAAGGACGAATCCTGGACCCCATAATTACGACGATGTGTTTCTGCAGGGTAGGGCCGATGGTCGTGTGATGGTGGTGCCAGCTGCAGACTTGATCGACTGGTACGATGAAGACTCGAACCATTCAATCCATGTCCATTCGTTCTGTATCCATCGTAGGGCCCGTTTCTGAGCAGCGCTCGTTGCCCATGTGCGGTATCCTCGTGGTCTGACGGGAGATATCTATTCTGGTAGCCCGCAGAGTACGAACCCCGTCTCCTGTCACGAGTGAATGGGTTATCCTCGAGCACTTGTTCGCGTTTCCGTCGGGATTCAGAGATATCGAAGGTCCTACAAAGCTGCTCATGGGCAGTGACATCCTAGAAGTGAGCGAATGGGAAAAGACGACCAGAGACGAGCAGCAATGAATAAACATGTTTTTTTCAATCCGGGTTACTTATAATCAATTATCGTACGACCGCACTTACGGCCCAGAAATTAAGATACTCTACGGCACGTTGACTCCTCAAAAAGGCCTCAAAGTCATCATAGCCAAGGGGATACCGCGTTCTCTTGGCAAGAACGTCCACCAGACCCGGTAGCGCTTTCTCGGATCTTGAACCACCATAGCCGAGCTCCAGTGACGGTTGCTGTTGTTCAGACTGGTGCTTCTCCTTCTTTACCCTTCGCTTCTTCCTACGACCCTTCGCCTTCCTCTTGGGTTGTTTCTCGCGCTGCTCTGGTCTTTCCGATATCCGGCGCTGATCGTTTTGCGGATACCGCCGTTGATCATGCGTCGTAGGGATATTGTAGCTAGAGCTCTCTTGTCGTATAAGTGATAAAGACGGGCGCCAGGACGGTCGAGTCCTCCTGGGCTCCTGTCGCTCCTCGTCCGATATGTCCTGCACGTTACTTCTGGTTCGACTCAGACGCGCCGCTATCATCATTGCCTCTAACTGTGAGTCCTGGCTATTTCTAGTCACTTCCTCCAACTCTAAACTCGGTCTGTTTTGGAATGTATCGCCCAAGGGACTAGCTGGAGCTGAGTTTAGTGTGCTTGTCGACACCCGAAGCCGTCCAATAAAGCCTTTGCTGGTAGACCGGTGCGGCCGTCTGTCTGGTTCGGACTCTTGAGGGTCGCTTTTGGAGCCCTCATCAGAGTCCGAGAGCGGTACGGGAGACTCAACACGGATTGCAGTGCCCCATGGGTCGTGGCGTCCCTGAGGCAAATGATAGGGAGGTCTTTGACGGGTGAGATTATCCAACGATCTTCGGTAAGGCATTTGAGGGCTCGAGTGTTCATAATAGTCGTTGTGCTGTGGAGATGATGGTTGCACAGAGCGAGACGAGAGCGAGAACGGGAGGCGAGGAGGTGAGCCTGGGGAGGATGGCCGCAATGGTGTTGGCGAGTGGGGATGAGGGGCATAGGCATGATATGTGCCTTGAGGGTTCTGCGGATACTCTTGTTCACCTTGGTCATTGGACTGAGAGGCGTGGTTGATGTTTGAAGGCGTCGAGGGCGTAGTAGGGGACGATGGTGGGGGGGAGGATAGTCGTTGGGGTCGGGTGGTGATAGAGGGCGATGAGAGGGAAAAAGAAAAGGTACGAGGTCCGTTGCCGTATGAATAAGGGTGGTCCTGGGACTGGTGCTTGCGCGAGTGCTGGGCACGGCTCTGAGAGGGCGAAGCTGATAGAGGCGAGGGCCCATGTCTGATATAGCCAGCGGGGAACGCTGGGGCGACCTGTGAGGCAGAGGAGTGCGGTCGGGGGATGAAGGCCTCTTCTGTCGGGGTCGGAGGGAGCCGTGGCATGCTGTGGAGGCCTGTACCATCCATGGTGCCAGAGGATGTGCCTGAGGATGTGCCAGAGGATGTGCCAGAGGGTGTGCACGACAGGGGGGCCGATGCGGAGGAGGGGAAAAGGATCTATGGCTGTTTTCGCCAGGAGATGTGAAAGAGATGAATGAAAATGAAAATGAGGATGAGAATGAGAATGAGAATGAGGATGAGGAGAAGAGGGAGGATGAGCAGAGGGAGTTTGCACTGGGGAGGGAAGAGGTTCCACGGCACCCTTCACTCCCACGTCCTTTTCTAAGAGCGCCCTCTTTTCTTCTTTCTTTCTTTTTCTTTCCCTCCTACTCGTTGGCCTTACCACACCTTGCATAAGATGATGTAGTGATAGGGGCGGACTGGGCGAATGGATTACCTCCAGATCTTTTTTGAAATGAACAACAGCGGGGATGTGAGCCCAGTTTGAGTCGACCAACAACCAACAGAGTCGATCCGACCACCGCATTTCTGTGCCCCGACATGTTTACAGCTGTTTACACAGACACATACGCACAGTGGATATTCTCGATCGGCGTGCATCCGATGTACGCTTACGCTTCTTCCTCCGTCCCAACTCCCGCGAAACCGTTTGACGCGTCGCCGCGGTGAAACAGCACGTACTGTCGATCTCTCTTCTGAGATTAGAACGCTCCTTTTTTTCTTTTTTCTTTTTTTTTCGGAAAGGATGCCCCTTTTTCATCCTTCACTGTTGGCCATGTTCTTTGCTGCAGCCGATCTCTGGTGGTTCACACTTTACAAAGCAAAGAAAAGTGCAGGTGTTGTTCGTGTTTCTTTTATTCTGAAAAACGGATGTAGCAACCGTGTATCATGCCGTGCCCCTGCCCGCTCTATTCGTGCCTATTACCAATGACCTCCCCTACGACTTTTGAACCTGCAACAAAGTGCCGTCCTTGTCCCTGATCAATGTCGTCTACAGAGAGAGGAGGAAGAACAGAAAAGGAGAAAAGAGAGAGACATAAAGAATTTGTTAAGTGTCTGAGTATTACAGGCAAATAAACCAACGGCAACCCAGCATGACTCCGGTTCATTACCTTCGCAAATGTGTCCAAGATTTCAAACTTGAACCGAGGATTGCTCTCTGCAGCATTCCTGCTCAATGCCACCGTCTGCGGCGCCTCCGCCTTTGCAACGCCCTTGATCGAATCCTTCAGCCGGAATGGCCTCTGCTTCTCCTCCTCCAACTGCCGCGCCTTGATCTCTGCCAATGGACGACGCTTCAGCACCTTGGCGGCATCCTCAGCTGTGAATTCTTGATCCTCATCCAAAGCCTCAAACTTGGGACTGCCGACCTGGGGCAGAATATCCGTCAATGGTTCCACAATCGCTGCCGAACGCTCTGCCTTGACGCCCATCAATTGTTCCATGCCCTTGGTGAACTTTTCCTGTGCGACAAATCCTTCCGCGACCATTTCCTGTTCGAGATGCTTGAGGCGCAAAATGGCCTCAACACGCTTGATCGAGATGTTATATTTCATACCGAGTTGACGGGGCGTCCACTTTGTAGAGTCGGAGCAGTGAAACTTGTAGATCTCTTCTTTTGCAAGGTTGGAGATTGGAGGCGTCGGCTTGAACAGGGGGTTCATTGGGAACGGCTAAAGGAAAGAATATGGTGTTGTGATCAGTGCTCCTGCGATACCAGTTCGGGCATAAAAGGTTGCACACCGATCATAATAGCTGAATCGTTGCAGATCAATCCTTTTGAGCGTGTGTATGACAAGCGCCTTCCGACGACCACTTACAACATCGCCAACAAAGTTGGGTCCTGAGAACGATGGGGTAGCGAAGCGAGCACCGCCTTTCTGGAGCCACTGGTGGAAATTTCTCCGCCTGTATGGCAACTTCGTGGAGGCGACAGCACCAGCCTCCTCTGCCGAGTCTCCCTCTGCTGAATCCCCCTCTGCTCCTGCTGCTGCTGTTTTCGTGTCGGCGTTGTTGTCCTCGGTCTTTTCCTCGTTGGATACAGAGCAGGAGGTGTGCAATAGGCGCTGTGAAGAAGTAAGGACGGGCGCCGAGGTGACAGGGGCCTTGATTGTCTTGAGTGACCAAAGGGCCCTGGTGGCGAGTCTGAGGGATGCCATGGGTCCGAGTTGGAGTGTGTGCGTCGTAAAAGGTGAGGCAAGAGAGGTGATTGGGACCTGAGCGGATGTCAGACGAGAGTTGAGACCCGAAGGTGTGTTTGCGTCAAGCCACAAACACCACTCTCTCTCCACTCATCTCAAATTAAACGCTTCATGTACGTGTACGTGAATTCCGCCACCAAAAAATTGCATGGTTACACTGAACGCAGCAAAGACCAAGTGAACGAGAAAAGAAAGCAGAGGAAAGGTCAATGAAAACAATGAGAAGGAAATAAAAGATCAGCTTCCTGGAAATTCACTTACTGACCAATGCTGACTGCGGCGTGAACGTACATGATGCGATCGGGGGCGATCTGTCTTTTGCTGGCTGTTCTTTCTTTACATTTATTAAAAGCAAAAGTCGCCTATACATTCACAAACCCATGTCGGAAACAAAGTGTCGTCTTTCTACTGAGGAGTATCCATCCACACATATTAGTTCCTAGGATAGTTGCAATGCTTTGCGTCCGGTGCTACGAAGTTTCCTTTTTGGTGAAAGCTCCATTTTTTATGGGGTCTTATTTGTGCACATTCTTTTGTGTACAGATCGAACGACGCTAATTTTCGTTTGTACCCTTTTCAAGCATTAACACTTCATTCAGTCGTTTGGATGGATAGACATGGCAGGAGTAAGCACCTCGTTTTTTTTATTTTTTTTATTTTTTATTTTTTATTTTTATTCCAAGGATTCAACCCAAGTCTCAAAACACTATCTACGTGCGACTACCATGTATACGATAACTAGAGTAAGCATATATTTTAGGCCCTTCTCATTCATATTCAACGTGCACACTCTATCAAAAACTATTTTGAATCGACCTCTTCATGCGCCTCTCACAACATTACGGGTATTGTAGGTATATAAGTATGTAGTACTTTAAATTATATGATACAAACGAAAAGGTGTCCCAACACTTCTTGTCTGCGCCAGCACCAGCTTCATTCGTGAGCCGCAAAGGATCATATCATTTATACGTCCTCATTCAGTCGATTCACACTCTCGGCCACCGGACCCCGTCCATCGTCACCACGAACATATCGTTCAAGCTGTACCGCCTACCACTCGCTGATCTCCTCTCCACTTCATCTTCTTCCTCCGTCTACTTCTTCTCGGCTTCCGATCCCTGTGGCGCAATATTCGAAAGCGACAGTGGTTGAGCCTCTTCGCCTCGATCATACCCATGTTCCCGGTGCTGACCCTGCTTAAGATCTTTTCTCATATGCGAAGACTCTGGCGCGATCACCTCAATGGTTGGAACTTCTTCTGGACCACCTGTGCCGTTGCCTCCCAAGATGCCTGAAAATCGACCGAGTGAAGACCGTGAAGACCGTGAAGACGCCAGAGTAGGATCTACGCCCTGAGCGGTGGTTATGGCAGTGGTAGGGTCGGTTGAGGGTTGTGTTGATCCCAAGTTCTGTGAACGAGAAAAGATTGACCCGTTTCGAATCCTCTCTGCCAAGTCTTCCAAGATACTCGCCGCAGATCCTGAACGGGACCTTGTATTCACACTCTTATTCGTTCCGTCAGGCATCAAAGGTTGCAAATGAACCCCTTCACTCCCTGCTCCTGTCGATTCCCCTGCTATCTGCTGCACTGACTGCTCCTGTCCCTGCTGCTCTGGTTGCTTCTGCTGTTGCTGTTGCGAAGTAGCAAATGTACGCTTGAGCCTCTGTGCAAACGCATCAAAGTTTCCATGCTGCGATTGCCGATAAGCCGCAAAAGTTGGATATGCTGCTTCAGAGGTGCTCGAATCCGCCCTGGATCCTTGTGGTCTGACCTGGAATGTCACATTGTTCGTGGGATGCTTGGGGTTGGGTGGCGAATCTAGGTTGGAAATATCCTCAAGTGGCTGAATGATTTCGTCACTGTCTGCAAAGCGTGCTCCCCGTACGGCAGTTGGACCTGAAGAAGGGTGCAGACGGATCGCCGGTGAGGTTGGCAGAGCATCCGCACGGGAGGGAGAGTAAAGTACGGCGGGCTCTGGAATTGGAGACGGGTCATAGGTCGGCAAGGTGGACTCGGTTTTTGGAGAGGGCACCAGGAAACGGACTAGTAGCTGTCAAAAAGAAAATAAAGTATAGTTATGGACTCTGGATTCGAAAAAGTGAAACAAGCGCACAGCACTTCCGGTGTGTGTGCGGGAGATGCTTACTGAGAATAAGGCCCAGAGGCCAAAGTAAACCCCAAAGACTGCGCCCATGGCTTTGGCGGATATCTTTCTGGGCTTGCGAGAGGATCCATAGATGGCTGGCAGGGTGATGCAGAAGATGGCAGCGATGACGAAGAGCACCCGCTGCGCAGGCTTGTGCCATGCGGGGTACACATGCTTGAACATTCACTGGACAGTGATGAGCTATGACAGAAAGAAACAGAAAGAGAGGGCAGCTGTTTGCTGATGAAGAGTGTGTATAGGTCTGTTCTAACTGTTGCTGGATGAGGATGAGAGTTGAGAGGCAAGTGATGAGATGATGAGTGAGCGGAGGTGAGCTGGTGCGGTGTTCCTGCAACGGAAATGCGGATATGCAGTAACAGCTTTTTTGCAGCAGCAGCAACAGCAGGAGTAGGAGAATGCGTAAATGACGACAAATGGAGGGAGACAAGCAAGGGTGAGTCGTAATTGCCACTGTCACCAGAGTCATAAGGAAGACCGCATGGATTCCACCGTGGACTGATACCCTCATAAAGGATTACCATCGCTTCTTGCCTCGCTCCAAAGACCAAGAACAGCTGTAATCTTAATACAAATAAGGTTTGTCCAACTAGCGCAAACTCAACTTTGTCTTTGTCTTTTGTGCAGGGAACAGGAGCAGGCATGACGCTTTGACCGCTGGCCATCTCTTTATGAACGACCTTGCAGTGTTTCGTACCAACAAAGTCCATATGATGTAAAAGAAAGAAGAAAGGCAGAACGAAAGCGAGTAGTCGGGATTGGAATGACAACAACTAATTTACAAAAGCACTAACAAAAGAACAAAGAACTAGGTATAGCAAGCAGCTTAGTGCGAAATGTACTGGAACACAAACGAAATGGCTCCCGTGTCGGCCTCCTCCTTCAATAGAGGATCTGTCAGCTTCTCTAGGTCATGGTCGCCCTTGAAATGGTTCCACGTCGAGGTGTCTCCATACGACACCTGTGGGGCCTTCATCACTTGTCTTCCCTCCACACACCGTTTGCACTTGAACGTCTCATGCGTATCACAACACTCTGTCGTCTCATTGAGCTGGAAGAGTTGTCGCAGATTCTCCTGAGAAAAGTGTCGCTCCACATCCTGGTCCTCATCTACCACACATGACGAGAGCGACTGCTTATGCGATTGTCGTTGAAATATCTTTTCCTCAATAGAGCCCGTCGCGATAAACCGATACACAAAACCTGTTAGAAGCAAGAGCATGAAATGCGTGAGAAACTTGGTTTCACATAGTAAATCTTAAGACACAACTTGCTGCAAAACGCCAAAAAAACCCCATCTTACAATCTTTCTTTTGACCATCGCGCCACACACGAGCTAGGGCCTGCTGATCAGATGCTGGGTTCCAGTCCGGGTCAAAGAGAACCAGTCGATTGGCGCCAATCAGGTTCAGACCACATCCTCCTGCCTTACTGCTTAACAAGAACACGAATTCACTGCCGTCAGGGTTGTTGAATCGGTCCACAAGTTTTTGTCTTTTGCTGATCGTCATTGTGCCGTCCAATCTCAAGACTCCGTACCTAAAATAAAACGTGGTGAAAAACGTCTTAGACAGGGTGCTTACTCATAAAACACCAGTCATACATAGGAAAAAAACATAGCATGTCAACCTACTGGCTCTGGCGGCACAGCTTTTCAAAAATATCCAGCGTTTGTGTGTAATTCGAAATCAGCACAATTTTGTCGTTCGTATCCTTCTTAATCTTGGCCAGCATCCTAGCCAAGACTTGCATCTTTCCTGAGAACTCTGGTTGAACCAAGATACCTCCGCGCGACATGGGCTTCTTCGAACTCTTGGTCTGGTAATCTGGTGGCAGCAGACTGTCACATCCCTCCAAGTCATCAGGCAAATTCAACAGATCCGGGTGGTTGCATAATTTCTTGAGTAGTCCAATGGCCTTCAGTGGTTGAGATCCCTGACCGCGCAGCAAACGCTGGATCGATTTCGAGTTGATAAAGTGCTTGTAGAGGTCCAGCTGAAGAGGCGCCAGACTACAAAAAACGACGTGTTCGAACTTGGTCGGCACTAATTTTTATACAGAATACGAAATGTCAGCTGCATAACTTGCTATAACAAATAGATCGCGTATAATACAGCACACTAAGACACTTACAGTATTTGGACAGAATGTCGTTTGTGCGTCGAATGATAAATCTGCTGACCACCCCTGAGAGCTCCATCAGCTTTTGGTTACTGGCTTCCTGCTCTTTCTCCGTCGCCTCAGAATCGCGGCCACGCAGAATAGGCAGCTCATAGTTCTTTCGGAACTCTGCAGTCGATCCAAGCAGCCCTGGATTTGCGAAGTTCAAAAGCGAGAAGTACTCTGACAGGTCATTCTGAATGGGTGTTCCTGATAGGATAACACGCCGCTGTACATTTAACTCGTTCAATGCTACGAATGTCTGTGAACCTACAAGGAGTTGCAACACGCGTTAAAATAATGTATCGAATAGCAAACGAACTTATTGACAAAAGAAATGTTGAGAGAATATATACCAGAGTTCTTCAATCGATGGCCCTCGTCACATAACATCAATCCGATGGGGGTTTGTGCCAGAATCGGTGCATACATTCGCAAACTCTCGTAACTGATAATGAGAACGGGATTGACGACCATACGCTGCCTTGCTGAAGCCCATCGCTTCATGACGTTATTGGTCTCTTCCTTCGTGCCTTTAGCGTCACATGTGAGCACTCCGATCTTTCCTGGTCCTAGCCATTTGATAATCTCGTTCGCCCAGTTCTTCACGAGCGAGGAAGGACAACAGATAATGCACTTCTCAATAGTTCCTTTACCAGGATCAGGTGACTGCTTCAACAATGTCCAGAGAAGCGCAATGCATTGCAGCTATGTAAATCAAGAAGAAAAGGATGTCAGACGTATCCTTGTGGTCTCTGATGATCACACTTCAGAAAAAGAAAAAAAACTCCAATCGGCCATAGCCTTACAGTCTTTCCGAGACCCATTTCGTCCGCCATGATACAGCCATATGCATTTGGCATGGTCGCTCCTGTGGTGCACTTGTACATGAACTTGACTCCCTCGACTTGATGAGGACGCAAAACCCTGCCCAGTACCGGATCCACCTACAAGACAAAAATCCTATCAGAACCAAGCAATACGCCACAGTTACATTGCAGCAAAGGGTATGCCATTAGGGAGTGCTAAACATACCACAACATGGACTTTTGGCGCTTCCTTCTGCTTTGTGAGGCCGAGCATCTCTGCGATCGACTTGGACTTGGCCTTCTCCTTCTTGGGTATAATGACTTGCGGTGTCGTGTCCTCGCCGTCTGCTGCTGCTCCTTGAGACGCTGCTAGGAGTTTCTCTTCTTCACGCTGGGCCTCATCTAGTTGCGCCCAGGCAGGATCATATAAGATGATCGATCCCTCCATCGTGTAGTCGTGGGCCGACCTGGCCTCCACCGGCGGTCTCCGCTTGACCCCCAGCGTAGCTGTACCTATGCGCGTCGGTGCTGGTGCTTTACTTGGATCAGTGAAAGTAGGGACCTTGAATCGCTTTCCGAGCGTCATTATAGTTTTGCTGCTAGGTTGTATTGGCTTAGCGACGAGCGGTTTTGACGAGATGGTGACTTTAAGATGCGTGAGGGGTGATCGTCCTGAACGAGTTGCACGTGTGGTTGCAGCAGGTAAAGAGGCCTTAATCATTTGGTGTGTCGTCCGTCCTGTCTTAGCCCGCTTACGACTGACACCATCAGAGTCATAATCCGATCCGCCACTCTCTCCATCACCAGCGTCGGCTTCGTAATCATCCTCCCCATCCTCCTCATCCTCGCTCAGTTCAACTCGAGTAATTTTGGAGATAGGCTTGACTTTGGAGATCTTTGCTGGCTTTTGAATGTCAAGTCTGTTGATCGGTATGCTTCTGTTCTCTTTGTCGTCTAAGGGGCCTCGATCATCCGCTTCTACGGTCCCTTTCTCCGTACTCTCGTCGCTTGAATATTCTTCATCAGGCCCACTGAGCGTGCACTCCGAGTCATCCACGAACTCCACCCTCTTCTTCCCCGACGGCTTGGATCCAGGTGACTTGAGAATCGTCCTTCGTTCGGGGATAGCGGACTTAGAGATGCATGGAATCTCCACGAGAGCGTCGGCGTCAACTGATTTGGTGGCGTTCGACTTCGAATTCGGGTCCGACGATGGCGGCGTGAGGTTCATGGTGCCCGTGGGAGTTTGGGTGTCGGTGCTGTTACTGGCGCTGATGGTCTGAACAGACCCGGCCCTGGATGCCGGTCGCTTAAGCGAGATTCCTGAGGAGGTCCGCTTCATGGCAATCGGACGTGGGCGGTGGTTGTTTGGAGGAGGGGTGTGAGGAAGGAGTGAGGCGAATCTTTTTTTGAGCGCAGCCAGTCACTTCGTTTAAATTATTTGGTGGCAAAAGCGATCGAGTCGTCCGCAGTCGTACTTGTAACAGGATGACGGATTCTTCAAACGAACCTACCATTCACACCTTTCAGGAACTTGAAGTCAACGCCTAACTATGCTACTATGTCCATGGTAGTGACTTGACCAATGCGCTCCTCGTCAGCCGTGCCTAGCACTCGATTCTCAAACAATACCTACGGTGCTCAGTCCAGCTCCCCGTCAAGAACCATTCTCGAGAGGATACTGTCGGTCCCCCCCCCCCCCACCCTCCCCTCTCCTTCAGTAACACTGTCAACTGCAGCTGCTCTACGATTCGAATCCTGTTTTATCATGACTAGTCCCTGTTCAAGGACTTCATCTCGCGGCGCACCAACCTACTCGAGCTACGAATGCAATCATCAACTCGAGGAGAAACTTATAGGAAATGAACATTCGTGGGCGTGAAAGCGCTTCTTAAGGGATGGTTCACTTGATTCTGGCATCGCATCAGGATCTCGAGGCATTTGGAGGGTTGTTTTCTATATGAGGGACCTGGTAGAGGCCCAGGAACGGGTGCGAAAGCAATTGAAGGAGCTGCGAAATAGCATTTTGAGCAGCCCTAGACAGGGGACCGCGGTCTTTTACCGTCGCCTATGTACGAGCAATTGACGGAATTGATAGAGTTGACGATCCTTGAGCTTGAAAGCCTTGTGTAGGCGCCAGCGGAGCCTTACGACTGGATCAAACCGATTCTATGGAGTAAACTTGAATATTTGGATCTGGGCAAAGCAGAACAGCAGTGGATCCGCTAGCACTGGCCAATAGCAGACGTCTCTGGTCGGTTTGTCATCATGAACTTGACGTGACAGTCCGTATCCTTGAAAAAAAAACCCCCCCCATGCCGTCGTTGGCCCTTTCTCTCTTTCTCACTCACACACATCCTCTTCAAACTACGAATCGATCAGCTTTTCGAATCACTCCTTCGGTAGAACATCAAAGAGACATCGGACTCATTTATCGACTCCAGGGACATCGGACAGCATACTCATCCCTCCCGCCATCATCACAAAGGATCCAGTAGCACACAACCATGGCTGAAGCTACATCCACTGCCACACCCAACGTCCCCTTCTTTAAGAAGCGCAATCAGAGCAAGAACGTCCGGAAACGCAACCTCTCTGACGATGAAGGCATCAGCCCCGATGCCTCCTCAGCTCCTTCGTCCGGTCTCGGCCATAGCACTCTTTCCTCGGTCTCTAAAAAGCGCAGCGTCAAACGAGCACCCCAAACCTCCACATCGGACATTCTTCAGTCCTCCTCCACAAGCAACGCCAACCGACTGGCCGCCAAGGACGACGATGTAAAGAGCATTGGTGTGGCCTACAAGGCCACATTAGGAGGTAATGTTAGGATCGATGATGCTACAAGGATACAGGAGATCGACACAGCTCATGACCGGGACGCACAGGCCGTTATCGATCGGCATTTGAGGGCTGTCGAGAATGGACTTGAGGATACAGCGGCAGGAGGCGATGGACTCTACAAGGGCATGGCCGCATACAAGTCGCATATTCAGAAAGGAGAGGTCACCAACTCAAAGATCAGGTAAATTATTTTTCTACCCTTTTTATTTTGCATGGAGTGAGCGCCCTTGTTCGAATGATTCTGTTTATTAATTTACTCGACTATCTCTTTTTCAATCTTTCTATCGAATGGAACCTGCAGAGTGGGACCTATGCGTGCCTCCTCCAATATCCGTGTCACGAACCGGTTCGATTACCAACCCGACATCTGCAAAGACTACAAGGAAACCGGATACTGTGGTTATGGCGATTCTTGTATCTACATGCACGATCGTGGCGATTACAAGGCAGGATGGCAGCTTGACCAGGAATGGGAAGCTGAGCAACGGGCCAAAAAAGCAGCCCTGATCGAGGGGCTTGATGGCGATAGCGAGAGCTCGAGCGATGATGACGATGAGGTGCCCTTTGCATGCTTGATCTGTCGTGGGGATTTTAAGCACCCTGTTGTCACCAAGTAAGTTACACATCACTTAAACAATGGACGATGGCATCTCGTGGGAACAAATAATGTTGTCGGTCTCGTGTGAAAGACTTGAGACTTACATCTATGTTACTTTTCAAACTGCTTTGTACATTAGATGCAACCACTACTTCTGCGAAAAGTGCGCATTAAGTCGCTACAGGAAGACCCCGAAATGTGCGGCCTGCCAGGCTCCCACTGGAGGACTTTTCAACGCTGCTTCAAAGGACTTTATGAATAAGGTTGCAGAACGGAAAGCCAAGATTGAGGAATCGAATCGTCGGAGGGCTGAAGATGATGCTGCTGCCGCTGCTGCCGCGGACCCTGCAGGCGGTATGGCTGCATTGAACACAGAAGAGGATACAGGCATGATTGAAGATCTGAGCGTTGTCGGCATGGGCGGCACCCCGAATTTACCGGAAGGCGGAAGCGATGATAGTGACGACGATGATGATAGCGATTGAATCCTGGGGCAATAAATTTTGAATTGATAGTACTCGAGTGTTCATGGCAATGCTACTATACGATGTGAAAAACAGTAATGAGGCCTCCTTCGTTACTTTATTATGTTGAGGGTTTTGTATAAGATGGCGATGTCTGTCCCGCTCAGCAGGAGTAGTGGCGTCAACGCCACAGCTTGCCCAGGGTCGCTCACTACAATTTAGGCGGTTTAGGCGCAGTGGGTGGTGGTCACGGTATCACTATAGCAGGCTTGGCTGGACTTGCATTGGTTCAGGACCCAGGTACCCTGGTTGCATTTGGAATAGTAGGTAGCTATCGACAGAAATAAAAGCGTGAGGATAAAACACATTCGTCTCCATTAGCACATTAGCAATATATCTATGCAAAATGACAGAAGAAACAGCAAAAAGTGGGTAAGGCCTGACAACTTACAAGAACCTGAGCTGACGCAAACAGTGGCGCCATTAACACTGCAGGAGCCGCTCTGACGACCACTGGGAAGTGCTGTAGAGGTTGGACTCGAGGCGGCGGCGGTGGTAGTCGTGGCCTTGGTGGTAGTGGTTGTGGCCTTAGTGGTAGTAGTCGTGGTGGTCGCGGGTGAACCAGATCTGTGGATGCGGAGTAAAAGAAGGACATTCGAAAAAGCGATGAATATAACATTTTTGATTTATCATGTATATTTCTATTTAGCGGCTATAAGCGGTGGTAGATAGCGGCCAAGTACAGGTGGGTGTTCAAATTGGTGGCGAAATGTGCTGATACAGACAGAGCAAGTGTTATTTGCCTGAGCAGTGAGAAAGGGAGGGGAGTTTAAGACTCACTTGGTCGGGTAAGAGATGGCTCCGCTGCAGGATCCTTGAGACTGTGGAGCAGTGTGGACGTACTGGTCTCCGTTCTCTACATTGAAGTAGAGCCAGATCTTTTTGTAATTTATGTCAAGAAAAGGAGAAGGGCGGTTAGTGTATTCACGTCGCGCCAAGCCTGGCCATATTGATGAGGTACTCGGGGCATTGCTTTTCTTACCTCGCTCAAAGATCCAGACGAGCAATTGATCTCGGCATCGACACCGAACGCGTTATGGATAGCAGTGTGCATATCCGCAACATTTGGGGTAGACCCAGGGTAAATGCCAGCATTAGCCAACGCAGCATACAAGTCATATTGCTGGCGGAGCGCCAAGGCCTTGCTAAAGTAATTGTACACATCCTCATCCTGGACATAGTTGGCAATGCAGGAGGGATTTAGGGTCGAGACACAAGTACCGTGCTTGGACCACTCGTGCGACCAGAACTCGTTGTTATCGCCCGTGTATGAGGACCAGTATGTGTTCATGTTATTCTCGAAATTGGCATCCGCATTAGGGTAGTTCTGGAGTCTTGTTGCAACATCGGTGTAAACGCGGGTAGAATCACACCCACTGGTGGGGCCTTGGCCGCCGGAGCAGGTATCAGGCCAGAGACCGTGCATGGTGAACTGGTCCGAGGGTCCGAGACCGTTGTACCACTGCTGGACCAGGACGATGAGACCCATTGTAGGCAAGCAGCAGGAGTCGACACCGGTGGCTGTGGATGAACAGGAGAGGATGTTGGCGGGGCAGGTCGATTGGCGGCGGAACAAGGAGTCAACGGGACGAGCCGAGACGACCGAGAGGGCGGCGACAGCCAAGGAGGCGGCAATGGTCATGAACTTCATGGCGATGGGAATGACAGAAATTGAACTAGATGAATAGAAGAAGTTTTTCAGGAACCGGATTGCTAGGATGGTGAAGAGAGAGAGAGAAAGTGGGAAGTACTCGCTCAAGAGAACGTATTTATGCATGTTGGAAAGAGATCTCGATGCCAAGGACTCAGTGGATGGAAAGGCACAGAAATGCAGGTGCGAGACAAAGGGGATTCTTGATTGGCCTATGGACCATCCACTAAGACGAAGGCGATCTCTGCGGCTACAGCGACACTTGCAAGCATCCGAGTTAAATGTTTGGCCGAAAGATGCAATATAAAGTTGTGCGACATGTATTATTATGATGGGAATAAGCAAAGAAACGCCTGTTTCCTCATTGTGTATTGTTTGGAGGCGACCCATAGCGACGAATGGTATGACGAGAGCCCTGCAAGGGTGTCGTGGGAAGGTGAACCCTCCAGGCTGCTCCCTAGGCCTTGGCGGTAGTGCAGTTGGAGGCCGGCTTAGGTACACGCTGCCCGACACGACAGACTGATTTTCAACGAGCGGATAAAAGATTTGCTGACTGCCCTCCTCTCTTTTGCAATCCAATTAATCCAATTGGCAAATATACAAATATAAGGAAGAATGACCCAAAGGCTGGCATGCGACATGAAATATCCATTTCAGGGACAGACACAACTTCCGAATGTTACACAAATCGCACTGGTGCATGGAGCGTTGGCACGTTGAGGATGGGAGAACTCTCTGCGGAGGGATTATGTAAATACGCCATTGCTCCCAACTTTTCGTTCTCCCCCATTGTAATAACTACAGCAATACTGCCAGTACTGCCTTGCTGAGCCAGCATATACAGTAGACTAAATAGGGGTAAACACTCTTGAAGAGGAACAAAGTGGGAGTCTATCCCTGGCTATCATTATTTCAGGTTGGCCGAGGAGGATTTCTGCATATTCAAAACAACGAACAATGGCCGACCATTGCAAGGACATGACTGATGATGAACAAACATTCCATGACAAACATCGAAGTATTCGCTCAATAGAGATGCAAAGAGCTCGAATTACCCATATTCTTTAGTCGGCTGTATCACTGAACGAAATACCCGCCTGTTGCGATCGCTTGCGCCCATGTACCCATCGCGCTGTATGCGATTGGTTGGTAGCTCAGGAGGACCCGAAAGCAGACAGCCAATCGTGTCTCGTCCGACTCACATTCACGGGAACAAACGTTCCCAGAGGGACACATCGGAACAAGAGGGATGCTTCTTATCCACTCAAACTTCTGTCGCGTACGCCTACGGAGATACATCCATGCACCATGCGGCAAGTACCCTCATGCACCCTGCATCATGTCGAAACTTTCATCTAGATCATTTCTTCATGTTTATTTGAGAGGAACGTGTGCCTCAGTCAAGCGTGGCATATCTTTTGACGAAAATTAAACGGCGCGGTGAGTACACTGCATGCTTCTCGCTGCCTCCTTTCATAGGCTACGCCTTCTTCTTCCGCTCAGTCAAAGATCTTGCCAGTTGTAGTGTGGAGGTAATGCTGGCCTGGATCTTGGACTTTTGTTGATTACTGTACTCATCTAGACGTATGCACATGTTCCTGAATTTCATTCCATTCGCGCAACGTTTACATTCTACACAATACACACGTAAACAAGCGTAGCGTAATTCAGGAACAGGAGTGGAGATGCCTTGATTTATACTAGTCTCGATTAGATGGAACGTGAGAAGACCCAAGAGTATATCCCTGTGGATAAATATTGCACTGCCGCATTCATTTCGACTTAACTCGTTATCCTGAGTCTGTTGTTTTCGCACAAATTGCCTTTGTCTTCGGCAAATCCATCAAGTATTTTATATAGGTTTCCTGGAGGGGTTGTCAAAGGAAGAATATAATCTCATACCTCCCCCTCCGTGAGATTTTATTCTTACACCCCTCGTGAGGTTATCCAAAGCACATAGCGAAATGTTCTTCTCACACCCCCCGTGAGAGCTCTAATCTTACACCCTGTTATTATAGCGAATCGAAGATAATCCCACGGGCATCCTTCCTTCATATAAAGGACGCTTTATGATTAATACCTGGGTTTCTAAGTGCTTAAGCACCTGACACACCTGGACACACTTAGTATGACGCCTCGTTATCACCGCACTACTGGTAATTAGCAATTTAGTGCGTCGCCCAGGTGTGTCAAGAGCGCAAACCTTAGTACATCTCTCTCTCTACCAGTGCGCACTTTTGTACACCTCTCTCTCTATACCGGCCCGCACTTTTTTTCCTTCTGCCCCGACCACGCACCACCGTATCCAATACGTAACTGTTAATAGATTGCCCTTGCTCCTGTCACTCATCTAGTCCCATCGCCTCAATTCGTTTAAGGATCCGGATCTTTTTAGCCATCGCTTCCTTGATATAGGCTTTAGTCCAGCTCCGTCCTCTGGCCAGGTGTGTTACGCTCTTGACACACCTGGGCGACGTACTAAATTACTGATTACCCGTAGTGCGGTGATAATGGGGTGTCATACTAGGTCTACATATAGATTCACACATCGGTTTCCTCGTCGCTGAAGAATTTACCTCTTTGCTCAGTCCAATAAGAGGCAGGATTGAGCCAGATTCCACTCCGAAGCTGAATGACGAGGTGCCATGGAAAAGAGAAAACAGACAGTCGTTTGTGATTATATTGGAGTAGTACTTTACGACTCAAAACCACTATCGTGGATCTTTGCAAAGGTTTAATGGTAGATTTAGTATGCTATGATGTCGACAGTGCTTCGCCCAGTTTCTACAATATTCCAGTGCACTGTTGACACCGATGCAACTATCACCCTAGATCCTTCGACACCCCAGATACTCCAATCGTTTGCAAGCATTCCGACGCATAGGGAGCTACCTAGCTTTCACTGTCATGGAAAATGATAAGTAAGGCGAGACCATGCGCTTTTCCGTCTCTACATCTGCTCAATTTTTATATCGATCTACACTCGCTCCACCAAATCGCCATTTTATTTTACTTATTTTCAGTTGGAGACATACGACTACAGGGCCTGAGTGTTCCAAAGCGAGGGACGTCAGAGCGCGTTCTCTTTCTACTTGTAGAAACCGGACTGGATGGTCCGGTGTCAGAAGTAGAAGCAGAAGCAGAAGCAGCTTGCACAGCTTGCCCCTGCCCTTGACCTGCTGCAGTCTGGGCAATAGAGCTCAGAATCCGTTGCTCCATGGCCGTGATCAGCGTGCGCTGTTGCTCTTGAAACGCCATGATTTGCATGCGCTGTGCATGTTGCTGTTGAATATTTGCAATGCCCAAGCCCCGCATGAACTCTCGGATAGTTGCACCAACCACTCTTCCTGAATCAAATGTCATTGAAGTAGCCGAAATGTCGTTATTATTGAATGTGAGTGCATTGCTGCCGCTAAACGCCTCATCGCCTTTGTCGTTCTCCTCATCAACCTCGTCATCAGATGTACCTGAGGCATTGACGACCTTCAAATCATCAGGGAGAATTTGAGCGCTGTCAATAAGTTGAAGCCCTAAAACGTTGATCGAGATGTTGGAATGGGCGCAGACCCGCTTGTAATGCTTGCTCCTGTCAGGAATGACTTTCTGCAGACGCAGATGAAATCCATGCTTCTATCCTCGCGCCTTTCAAATTGGACGAACACATTTAAAAGGACATTTCTCACTTCCACTGGCACTGTTGAGTGCGACCGAATCAAGTAATTTTTTTTCTGACTTGGTCAATAGCACAGGTCTGTCCTTGTCCCTGACCGGGAAACCCTGATCAATGCGACACTCCTGTGTCTAGATCGCCGCTTTCCTGTCCAGCAGTCCCTGGACACAGTTGTAGAATGTAAACTCGTTTCTCTGTGTCTTGATCATTGTAGTTAGCGTAGCGTGTAGTGGAATGCTGGCGAGGAAGGTAATTTGCAACAGTGATGTTGGTTGTAGAGTGTTAGAGTACACACAGAGAAAAAAGTTGCAAGAAAGAGTGCATTGCACCATGTCCTTCACCTTGCATAGAATATATAACTCGCCTCATAGTCTACAAGTCCTCTTCTTAACCATATCCCCATGGCCAGGCAATCTCGAGCAATGGCCATGTTGTGTTGTTGTGCCATTTTCTCTCTTCGTCCAATTGCTTTACGCCCTTTTCTTTTTCGAAATGTGCAAGGCTGTTTGCATGCAATGCTAGACTTTAAGTCAGGATGATTAGGGTTTGTCTTATGTAGAAAGAAAAGAAAAGAGAGATTGCTAAATCACGATGGGTAATCAATGGCCATAAGCATCAGCAGCATCAGCAATACCACATATTCACCAAAGTCCGTTATACAAGGCTATGGTCTATGGTCTATTCAGACCGGGTATCCGGAGAATGTCCTGAGATACGTCTTACTCATAGACCAGATACTCATAAACAACTGCTCTCAGTAAGCTCTTGATGCTCACCTTGTGCATTGTCCAAAGCGCCTTTGCAATTGAGGAACATTTGGAGGTATCACCACGCGTTTGCTTTTCCAACCTTCTTCCATGATGAACTGAGAAGTGCATCTGGACTTAACTCACACATTTGACACTCCAAAACTAGGAAACTAGGAACTGAGGAGATCCATTCAATTGGACTGTAACCGTTGGATTATTTTTCGATGCACAGGACAAGAGCGAGGCGTATGGTGCTGCACGAAAGGTCGTTTGTAACAACCGGCTTCTGAATAATACCTCTGATTGACTAGCAGCCTCACTGCCTACCGTGGCAAGAGGCAACAGGATAACTCCCATATTCGAAGCAACAACCTCTCAATCTTGCAGAAACGGAGACAGGGGCTTATGGAGCTACAGGACGCGTCTGACAAAGAAGCGGGTCTTGGTGTCACCAAAGACCCACTTGTGGTGAAGCCGAAGGGGCGTCCAAGAGCCAAACGTAGCAAGAGCAGCAGCGAGATGTCGCGACCATTCAAAGAATTCTATCCTGCTGAAACAGACCTTGAGCAATAAACGAAAGC